AAAAAAAAAAAAAAAAAAAAAAAAAAAAAAAAAAAAAGGCTGCTTTTTTATTTTTAAATTCTAGCTGCAGGAAAAATACAGCTACTAGCTAAAAGTAAAGTTATAATTATTAAAAAAGTAAATTATAATTAAATAATTATAAGCTAGGTGCTAAAGAGAGATTATTAACTATTAAATAAATAAAAATAATAAAAATTAATTAAAAAAATTTATTTTAAAATAATATAAATACTAAAGGCACTAGAATATTATTAAAAGAAAGAAAGTATATAAAAAAAATAATATAGTTAATTAACATTTATATTATTACTTTTATTAAATCTTTCTTTAAAGGCTTTATTTTCTTTTATAATATCCTCTTCATTTACTAAAATACTTTTAATATATTCTAGCTCCTTTAGAAAATTTAAGCAGTAGTAATTTAAAAGGTTAATTTTATTAATAGCTTATATATAAGTCTAGCAGTAAGTTAAAAATAAAGCTTAATTAACTTAAAAGATAATTTATAATTATTAAAGCAATAAAGAATATTAATATATTTAAGGAATTAATAATATTTAAATAAATTTAATTAATAAAGATTAAATAAGCCTTAATATAAAGAATTAATAATTTAGCTATAGAAAAGTTATTAAAAGTCTAGGAGTTTACTATTGCTTTTTACTTAGCTTTTATAATATAGTCTTTATATTTTTAAAGGAATTTCTTAGTTTTTATTTATAAAGGAATTATAATAAACTAGCTAAAAATTAATAATAAAGAAATAAAAGAATATAAAAAATATTATTATATCTAAGGTTATTTTTATAATCTTTTATATTAAATAGTAATATACTGCCTAATAATCTTTATCTATGGCTTTATAGTTTTTTTTACTTTTATTATTATTATTATCTTTAATATAAGTATAAATAATATATTTATTACTACTACTTAAGTTATAGTTAATTAAAAATAACTTTTTTAAAAGTAATTTTAAATAAATTTATAGTATAAATATAAGCTGGCTTTATTATACTTAGTTTTTAATATTAATAATAATATATATAATAATAATAAAGGTTTTTTTTAAAAGCTAGTTAATATTAAGTTATAAAGGCATTAAGTAAATATATATTATTATATTAATTATAAATTTAATATTTAAAAGTCCTGCATAAGCTATTTACTTACCTTTATCTTTAGCAGTAGTATTTTATATTTTAGCTATAGTAAAGGTATTGCTTAATAAAGAGCTTAATAAAAAATATAAAAATAAAAATAATAAAAAAAAAATAAAAAAAATTTATTTTATTTTATATTTTTAAAAATAAAAAAAAGTAGGATTATAAAAAAAGTTATTATTAAATTATATCTAGATTTAATTTATTTATTTATAAAATGCTGCTTAATAAGGTATTATTATTTATAAATCTAAAAAGCTATATAAGTTATATTTAAGCAGCACTAGGTTAGTGTTATAAAGGAAGGGCAGTATATTAGGCAATAAAGAAGCTAGGATATAACTAGCTAAAAACTAGCTATTATTCTTTAAGCTTAAATAAATATTTTATACTATATTAATAAACTTTAAGTCTTTAGCTAAAGATATAAAATAAAAGGCTTAATATAATTAACTAAAAGCTAATTACTATAAAAAAAGAAAATATAAAAGAAAAGGACTTTTTTTTATAAAAATAAAAAAAAGGCAGAGATAAATATAGTCTTTTAATAATACCTAGCAGCTATTTAATAATAAAGATACACCTAGCCCTACTTGATCCTCTATTACTCTTCTTGCAAGACCCGGATCGTGATATATTATTACCTTAAGGCTTTTATTTTATCTTAAGTCTCTTTAACTCCTTTAGTTTTATATATATTTAAAAAGGTAATAAAGGCATTATATATACTTATACTTAATAGTATTACTATAATTAATAAAATAAAGTATTTAAAGAAAAAGAGCCTTACTTAAGTGCGCTTAATAAAGAAATTATAAGTTATAAAAAACTATAAGCTGCTAAGTTTTAATAATTTAAAAGTTAAGGCATTATAAAATAATTATAAAAAGCAGGCTATAAAAAAAGCTAAAGATTAAAGACTAAAGGTAAAAGAAGTATATAATAAAGTTCTTTTTCTATAGCATTAGCTGTAAAAAATCTACTCTAAGGTCTAGAATAGCCTTAAGAAGCCCTCTGCTGCCTGGTTTTATATATTTAATAATATTCTAAAAAAGCTTAATTACTAGGCTATCCTACATTTAATAGCTTTAATAAGTTATTTTTATTATTTTTATTATAAGCTTTATTTTTATTAGTTTTTTAAAAATAAACTACTAATACTTTAACTATAGACTTATAATTTTAAGATTATTTAAGAAGCAGTGTATTTTATAGTTATAAATATAGAAAAATAAACTTAAAATTAATTTAAGCTTTTATTTAAAGTTAATAATATAGAAATTATAGAGGAAGATATTCTAAATAAGCTTAATAAAGGTTTTAAATAAATAAAAGATAAATATAACAGCCTTTAGCTTAAATTTTACATTAACTTTATAATAGTTTTATAATATCCTTTTAGGTTAACTTTAGCGGGTCCTTTATAGAAATACTAAAGTAATCTTAATAATAAAGGTATTTATTTCCTTATATAATTTAGCAGGGCGCTTATGTATTTAATTTTTCTTAATTATTAAATATTTTCCTTATCAGCGTACCCCCTGTGCTATGTGGAGCATGCACGGGGATTTGGCTGATTTTGAAGCCCCCCTAGTAGGGCTGAGCATCAAAACTAATAGCCAATGTTAGCTGGTTCACTAGTCGAAGCCGGGGAACCATTCCTAGCCTCTTCTTCGAGCACCTAGGCGACACTCTAAACTTTGCCGTATGAGCCGTCGCCATCAATTTCCTCCTTTTTGAACAGGCCCAATTGTCTGTCTCAGCCCACTCACAGCCATCTAGCTGTGACAACGGCACCGGATGGGTGTGGCAGACGACAGCTCATAATTTAAGCAGCCAAGGCAAGCCACCAATAAAACCACCACCAACCGCATGCCAACACACCAATGAACACCTCCAACACGAGCAGGGATCGCGGCGGCTGTCAAATTATCCCGCCCCCAAGCTGCCCACTTGTCGCCTAGTGTAATTTGGGCAGAAGCTGTCACCGTCACCGCCACCGTTCAGGCCCCACACCAATTCGAGGCCTGCAGTAATATCAAAGTATGATTGCCAGATGGTATAATACGAGATATGGGGAGGCTTCCCCTGCTCCGTGATGCTTCCTCTCCAACTTCTCTTCTTCTCTGCCATTCTTCGTTTCCTCCCCTAACAATGCCAACACCCCTACAGAGCTGATGGATCCATTCGTGGAAGTCAAGATAGAAGTGGAGGATCTGGATCTGCTGCAGGGAATCCGCCACCATCGCGAGGGCTTTCCACGCCAACGCAGGAGATTCGACCGCGAAGACGACGAGCGCCGATTCCAGGACTTTGTGCGCAGCGAGTGCGACAGGAGGAGCGAGGAGCGAAAGGAAATAGGGCGCAAATGCGATGAGCTGTACGAGCGCCTGTTTCAGAAGCTGAAGCGCGAGCGCGACGGGCTATTCGAGCGCCAATGCCAAAAGTTGGATGCCGAATATGAAGAGCTGTTTGACAGCGAGTACCAGAAAATCCAGCGCCAGATCGAGCAACGGAAGCAGCAAGAGTCATTTTCCGTAGACGAGCTCCCGCTGAATCTAACCAGTTATCTCACCGCATGCCATGGGCTGCATCTTCAGTTTAAAAAGGGCGCCTGTCGGTCCCTGATCACGCAGAAAGAAGCCCTCAGCTGGACTTTTCCTCGGCGAATCATTCCATGGGATCTCAGCTTCCAGTCGCTACAGCAAAGCGTGTGGCATCGTCTCTTGCCAGATTGCTACTTTACCAAACAGCGCATGTTTTCATCTCCCCAGCGGCTGGAGAACGTAAGACGTACCTTGTCTCCCGTAAACAGCGAGGCCTCGCTCCAGCACTTTGGGCGATACACCATTGAGAGCACGATTATGGAGATGTTGGATAGACTGATGGAAGACGACGTGCTTTGGAACGGCCTTGGGCTTAGCGACGACGTGCGGGTGACCATGGACGCTGATAAAGACCTTGGCCAGGTGTATGAGCCCATGCTCCAATCTTCATGGCACAAGGACGCGGGCGAGCTCAAGCTATCCATGCGTAATTCACATCGCAGGGCCAAGAGACAAGGCATCTGGGCCAATCGGTCGTGCATATACCGACAGCTCGATGGCGAAAGCACTCCAGTCTTTGCCATCATGCATCAGTTGCCGCATAGGCTTCAGCTGGAGGAAATCGACTGCGGTTTAGCATCCGAGATTGAGGTACAGGACGTGATTGATAAAGAGGGTAGAGACTTTAAATTTGCCTCAAAAACTCTCGTGGCCGCCACCATCACTCAGTTGTATTCTTACATGGTCAGCAAGGATATTCGGTATGGATGCGTTTCCACAGGAGAAGCCTTCATCTTTTGCTGCATCTCAAGGAACGATCCTTCGAATATATACTGCACAGCATGTGTGCCAGGGCGCGATGTGCAACGGGATGATCCTCTACGGCTCCATCGAACGGCTGCAGCGTCCGTCTTTGCCCTCGTGGTCCACGCCCTTCGCGAGAAGCCACTTCCCGGATCGTGGTACGACTCGGTCAAGAATTTGGATGCCTGGACCATGGGATACGACGATATTTTGGACAAAGTACGCAAGATGAATGCCCCAAAGCCTCAAGTATCTTCTGTCCAAGACCACCGCTGGCGGGGGTTTGACCGGTCCCCATTGCTGGCAGAGCATATGCGTGGACGCAGTGACCGTAGGAGAGGCGAGGAGATACGGCACTGGCTTGACAACGTATCTGGTCAGGACGTAGCCGACGGAGATTTCAACGAGAGCGCTACTAAGAAGCCCACTATACAAGATCAGCCGTTTTGTTCTCAGAAATGCCTGTATGGCTTGGTGCATAGGGCGAATATGGACGAAAACTGTCCCAATTACGAGCATCATGGCTTTGGACATCCTGGTTTTGACGACTTTTTGGCCACTCTCAGTACGCAGCTTGCCAAGGAAGAAAATAGCGATGTCAACTTCATACCGCTAGGGACCTCAAGCCCCCACAAGTCCCTCTTCAAGGTGCGGCAGGCATCTTGGGGCTACACTTTTGTCGCCAAGGCCGGGAAAGGGCTTGCTCATCTGTGGAGCGAGAAGCTTGTATATGACGAGATGGAAAAGTATCAAGGCCGGCATGTGCCGATATGTCTTGGACTGTTGGAACTGGACAAGCCGCGGTTGGGATACAGGCGGCAGTTCAATGAGCTGCTGCTTCTGAGCTGGGCCGGGCGGCCGTTTCAAAACTGCCTGCGGCAAATCAGCAGGGATCAAGTTGCGAGCAAGGTAGAGGCCATCTTGCGAGCACTGCACGACCAAGGAATCCTCTACAACGGGTGTCTGGAGCCGAGTAACTTTCTGTACGACGCGTCGCGTGGCGAGATGATGATTGTGAACTTTGGAGAGTCGTCGACGAGGTTCACTGATCTTCCCAGCACGGGCAGAAGCTATTCCATGCCTAAGAAGAGAAAGCGAGGGCGGCCAGACTCTGCGATGCTGATCTTTGAGAAGGACAAGGTCGATGCTGTTCATACCATTTTGCGTTCGGCGGCGCCGAGTCATGAACGTCGATTTTCTGAATCAGAGTCGGAGGTTGGAGATGACTCGGTGAGCAATTGCTGATACTCTTTTATTTTGCATGAGACGAGATTGATTGATGGTTGGTGTAGAGTCTGGCTGGACGAGAAGAGGAGAGCGACACATCGTACTGCCTGAGCGATGGGATATCTCGAGGTATGTGCTCCTAAGCAAGGCGGGTGGTGGGCGCAATTTTGTAATATTAGAATATTTGGAATTTCATGTGCATTTTGAAATAGGTACTGTATATAGAAAATTATCGGGTGTTGAGATGGTTGGGCTAAATTGGTAGAGGGCGTTGGTATGGGGGAGCAATCCAGGATCTGGAGATGGGAGTATACGGGGAATTGCATGGTGGCCAAAATGAGTGCCAGACTGATTTAAAGCAGCAATATATTATAAAGAATTAAAGACAAAAGGTTATAGAAAAGGATTTATTATTGTAAATTTTGGGACTCTTTTGAAGTTTTTTTTTTTTTTTCGGCTCTGTCTTTTCTGTGAATTACAGGGTACCTGTTGAACGAGGTATGTTGTTTTTCTCAAATGGTTGTCTAATATAAAGCTTTTGTTAGTGAGGAATATCGTATAATCTTCCTACCCAAGAACGGTAGTCTCTATAGTTCAACGGCATCTTCCAAAAGAGAAAGAAAGACGTGGAATTGGAACTTAACATGGGAAGCCAGCTCAAGAGGTTTTGTCTCGTCATAGCCATTGTATATGCAGATTAGGAAACGAATTGCCTCTTCCATTCACACCCTTTTTTTCTTAGCTGCTGAATTATATAACGGCGCCCCACTCGGAAATCAACTACTGTTAGTGATGCTACTTGGCGATGCAATGAAACGTTTAGCGGCTCGCTGCCGGCAAGTACCGACATAATAGTACTGCAGACTTACTAAAACGGATTCTTGATGAGTAGCGCCAAGAGTTAACTAATGCAACTGGCTTTTCTTGTTGTTACAGTTAAAGACAGCTGATCCGATCCTTCAAAACGATGATATCTATGGCAAAGAGCTGACAAGTCTTGTAATATGCAACACATTGTACCTCCAAGGTAGCCGGTAGTAGAATGGATATGCCTCAGGAGATAAAGAACTCTTTGCTTTTTGTAAACCGTATCAATCAGCTGCTTGAGTCAGTTATTTCACCAGAAATCAGATCAATATAAGCACCCAATCGACATGTTTGAAATGACCTGTCAACACACGCATGGCCAACACATTGTCTAGGCAAAGCAAACAGCGGGTTTGTGAACTGTAGATACGCCACGCTTGCTGTTTTGGGTCATTGTATGAAGAATCAGGAACATCCCGCCGTTCAGAGCCTGACGTAAAATGGCGTGGTGTTTGGTTTGACGTGCGGGATGCTGTCCGTTGGTTCCGTACAGAGTGGTGGCCCGAGTTGTATAGAGGTTGATAGACAGCAACGACGACGACGACAAGACGTCATTGCCAAAGACAGAAATATATATACATCTGTAACCTAGTGAGTCGTTAATAATCCATTATGTATCAATAAACTTGATAAAACAAGCAGCTCGATACAACAGTTCCATACAATCAGCATCTCAGCACCTCTCCATTATACAACCACATCAACAAACGACGTTTGCAGCAATTGATTCGGCCAACGACATAATGTCTCAAACACAAACTCAATCAGTGTCTGAAGCTCGGATACTCCTCAATCAGTCGAATAACACGGCTTTCCCACCACGACCCCCCTCTGGGTATGCTCACCCACCAAAGTTGACGCGCGAACAGGCTGGACACATCCGCCACATCCACAATATTGTTTCTCAAGTAGACGGAGAATGGAGATTCATGGGCACGCAAGAGCCGGGCCAGGAGTGGCTGGATGCCTACAGATACCAGCTCGTCACCATGGCGTATGCCATTGCAGCGGCGCAATACCATCGCATGCCGGCTGCCAGATCCATCTTCAAGCCTCTCATGGAGAGGATTATCCACAAGATGCTGAGGAGAGAAGTGTGGGGTACTGGTTTTTGACATCACACAGTGGAGTTTTGTTGATCCTGATCTAAAGGAGCTGCGAAAGCCGTGGGCAAATCCCATCTGCAAAGAAAACATCATGGTGAATAGCAATACTGCACGTGTGTATTTGCGTGTGTAAAGCTAAGTGTTGTTTAGTACTCGGGAAACTTGCTTCTCATGACGCCGCTGTATGCCATGCTGTACGACGACGAACGGTATGAGCAGGACGACAGCCTCGTCTTCAACTGGAACCCGGTGTACTGGGGATTCGGTGCCGAGCGCTTCAGCTACAATCGCTCGACTCTCCAGGAAGCAATCCTCAAGGAGATGGAAGCCAACGGTTGGATTGGAGTCTGCTGCGAACCAAACATGGTCTTTATTGCCTGCAACCAGTTCCCTCTGTGAGTGCTGCTCATCAACCTGGTGGATAGCGTCAAGATTCTAGGCTAATCAGTGGATACAGCACCGCCATGCGAATCAACGACGTCCGAAACGGCACACATGTTGCAGATGATGTGCTGGCCAAATACAAGGCTGCCTGGCAGAAAAAGGGCATGATGGGAAAAGACGGCTTGCTGAGGGATGCTTATCGAATCAAGCAGGACTCCCCCGTCGATGCCTTTGACATTGGCTTCCCGGCGTGGGCCGCGGCTCACATGGCCTGGAACAATGAGCAGATGGAGGATCTGTACCCAAAGATGGCGCATGGATACTTGACCAAGATTGGAGACCGAATCAACATCAACCCGGACCCAGTGGCGAGGGCCATTCGCAAATTGACGTCTGAGAATCCCAGCATGGACGCCGACGAGATCCACGCCAAGGCACGCGATCTGACTGCGCAATATGCGCCTCGCTATTCTGCGTTTATGCACCCGGTCTATGGATAGGTCGTTGAGTGGGCAGCGGAAGTTGGCCCGGCCGAGGACCTCCACGGCCTGCTGAAGCACGTGGATCAGTTCCTGGGCCTCCAGTGGGAAGACGGCGGCCTTTTCTATCCACGCAACGACACCTAGTACGATGAAAACGACAACCACGTCTATGTCGAGCCGTTCACCGGCAACGCGGGCATCGCATATGCCAGACTGACGGTCAAGCGTGGACAGGCGACGATGTGGGACAAGCCGTGGACCAAGGAGCAGGTGAGGAGCATGCCGTGGATTGACGGCGTCGGCCTCGATGGCGGAGTTGATACGTTGGCTGGCCGCTGGGACGAGGAGAAGGGCGCCATGTTTGCGTCGTTTCGGACCTGGCATGAGAGGACGGTGAGCATCAGGCCGGTGTTTAAGCTGCTGCGGGCAGGGCGCTATGGGGTTTACATTAACGGGAGCTTCAGCGGCGAGGCTGTTGTCGGGGCGTTTGGAGAGAATGTCGCTGTGGATTTGGAGGTTGCGGGATGTGAGAGTGAAGTTGTGCTGGTGAGGGCCAAATGAGGGAGAGTGCTGTCTGACTGATGACTAGATGATGATTATCCATATTGATAAGAAATTTATTGACTTTATTTATTTTACTTTTTTATTCTTTATTTTCTTCTTTTTTTTTTTTATAAAAAATATTTTAATTTATTTTATTCATTTATTTATATATATATATATATATATATATATATATAAGATTGAATTCTTGGAGTTGGAGCTCTTTTAGCCTTGCCAAGACTAGGTACCTACAGCGCTGGGAATGTCACCATATCAGATCGAGCTTGCATCTCGATATTACAACACCTAGATTCACCGTCTCTCTCTTTTATCTGTAGTTGACTCGCGTTTACATGATTACTATTCCCCTTATCAAGGAATAAAAGAGAGAGAGAAATCCCACAATCTGATTGGCGCGATCCTGCGTCATCCTCGCCATCTCCATTCTCAACACGCCCGAAATCTCGCCTCGCTCGTCTCGACTCCAGGAATGCACAAGCCGCAAAGGCCCCTCCCCGATTGGCCAATTGCTGCAAGCCGTTGCCTGCTTCGGGCCAAGTCCCTCCGAGCGCCCCAGAATTTATCCGCCGCTTGCTGCGATATGGCGTCAGGCAGGGCCGGGGGACAAGTACCGCGCGACTTGGCGCACGCAGCAATCTTGGCGGCCGCAGCCAAGTACGCGGTACCTGCAAGCGCTCAGCAGGTACCCGCTTCAACTGCCTAACACGGCCAAGCGACGAAAAAATTTAGCGCCCCATTGGGTGCTGCGATAAGCCCGATTAGCGGACGCACGCACAAAAACGCAAAAGTAGAGGCCAGGTACCTTTTTGCTGGTCTTGGGGCAAGCTGTCTACCTACCCCGGTACCAAGCTCTGTATCACCACCACCACCTCTTTTTTTTCGTCGTCTCTCCTTCTCCTTCGTCCTCTTCTCCTCCCCATCCCAAGATTTTCGGCGCAACCGCATGAGGCTCCCGTGAGCCAGTTCGATCCTCCTCTCGCCACCCCCCGCGCGAATCGATCCAGCCCCCATCGTCCCAACCAAACCATCTCCAGCAAACCGTGGCCCGCGGCGAGGCTTCGTTTGTCGTTGCGGATGGCCGTTCAGTCTCCTCCTCCTGCTGTCATCGATATCGACGAGGTGCTTCCGGGCACGCGATGCGTCTTCATCGATGAGTCTGCTAGTAGCAACTCGGCAAATGGACTGCTGCAGAAACACGACGGCATCGTGCTGGTGCCGCAGCCCACCGCGTCGCCAAATGATCCCTTGAACTGGAGTCTGTGGCGCAAGGCGTGGCACACGGCCCTCGTCTGTTTTGCCGTTGCTCTGACCGCTGCGACGTCCAACGTGGCTGGTTCTGCGAGCACGGGCGTCAACGAGGAATACGGCATCAGCTACGACGTGTTCAACACCGGAGCCGGTGTGCTGTTTCTTGCCATTGGCTACTGGACCTTGCTTAGCTCTCCGGCCGTCCATCTTTACGGCCGCCGAATTCTGTATCTCGTCGGCGCTACTTGGGGCCTGATTGGCAATATATGGTTTGGGAGACTCACCACCTCGGCCGACGCCATCTGGACGCAGCTCTTTGTTGGGGCTTCCGAGTCTGTAGCCGAGGCGGTGGTGCAGCTTTCTCTGCTGGATATTTGGTTTGAGCACCAGAATGGAACCTCGATGGGCTTGTATACGTTGGCCACCTCGGTGGGAACCTACCTGGGTCCGCTAGTTGGCGGCTACATTGCCGACAGCAACCTTGGATGGCGCTGGATTGGCTATCTGGGCGCCATCATGTCTGCCTTTAACTTTGTTCTCTTCTACTTTGGTCTAGAAGAGACTGCGTTCCCACGCGAGCGCTACCAGCGAGATAACCGCGCCACGACAACCTCTGCGCCGATGGGTGACGAGAAGACGGCCAATGTAGCCGATGTCAGTACGGGCGTCTCGGACGAAGAGACTGCCGCCCGGGCTCCTGATGCAGACCAGTTCTCCATCAACTTTACGCGACCAAAGTCCTACTGGCAGCGCATTGCCCTCATCACGCCTGCCCCCAACCTGCGTGGCATTGGCGCAAAGCAGTACATCGGCCGTCTGTGGCACACGCTGCGCATCTTCACCTTCCCAGCTGTCTGGTTCGCCGGCCTACAGTGGGGCATGCAAAATATTGCCTTGTCTTTCTACCTCACACTTGAGGAGGACTACTGGACTGACGATCCGTGGGACTATAGTGATGTCGCCGTCAGCAACATGAACATTCCCTGTCTCATTGGTAGTATCATTGGCTGTTTCTACGGTGGCTACCTCAGTGACCTGTTTGTCCTTTGGGCAAGCCGACGCAATCGGGGTATCCAGGAGGCCGAGTTCCGGCTGTATCTCATGTTTCTCTGCGTCGTCATCTTCCCCACGGGCATGTGGCTCTTTGGCATTGGATCGGCCAAGGGTTGGGACTGGCCCGTGCCGTATGTTGGGCTCGGCTTTATTGGATTTGGCTACGGCTGTGCCGGCGATTTGAGTCTCACCTATCTTGCCGACTGCTACCCGGATATGGTCCTCGAAGGCATGGTGGGGGTTGCCGTCATCAACAACACGCTAGCCATGATTTTTACTTTTGTGGCCAGCTATTGGCTTGACACGGGCGTGCAGGATACTTTTATCGAGCTTGGCGTCGTGGGCTTTGTCATCTTGATGCTTTCTGTGCCCATGATTATATGGGGCAAGCGCGCACGCCGCTGGACGAAGCAGAGATATCTAAACTTTTTGGAGATTCGCGACGGAATGGGGCACTGAGGCGAGGTTGGATGAGCTCGCGAGGCTATACACATGTTGAGTTGAAAACGCTCGGTTCGAGAAAGAGGGGGATGCAACGGAAGGAGAGGGAGAGGGGGTGGAAAAAAGAGTTGATACTCAGTTTTCTATTTTATTCTTGAAGAGCTTGAAGCTTCTTCTTTTTGTCAAGGACGAAAAGTTGCTATACCCTGTTTGTAGGCTTTTTGTAGGTAGCTGGCTATGATGATTGCGAACACATCTTTTTGCACAACGCAGCGTGCTTTCGCCTCCTGTCTGGTAAAAGAGTAAAGACTGTTAGGCTCTCTTGATAGCCCAGTTTAGTGTGCTATACTTTCTGCATGTCGGTGTGCCCAGAGGTAGATTCGGTTTCCAGACATGTTGTGCTGGATGGTTCCGCCACATTTTGGGGAGTTTCTTTAGCAGTGTATCGCACCAGGAGAATCAAGCTTTTGTGACTACGATTCAGGGTCTTTTTCAACTTGAGAAGAGTTGGCTTGCTCAGCAAAGCTTTGTGTGCGTAATTATCGGCTGTATACATGTAGTCGGTGATATTTTTTCTAATTTGCCGAGCCTTTCTTCTTGTTACTCTAGTTCCGGAATGATCGGGGTTTTTTAATTTATCTACGCTTTTCACATAATTCTAAGTAGCTTTAGCTTTAAGCTTTTTTTTTTTTTTTCTCATCTCGTTTGCCTTATCCAAGGTCTCCCAAGCCGTGATTGCAGTGGTGGAGTGGTGCAGAGTCATCTTTGACTTTGAGGCTGTCCTTGGTCGTACCAACACGCTGGGTCTTGAAGCTGGAGGTGGAGGTATGAGGCTGCCAAAGAAATCTAATTTGACCTCATAGAGTTCCGGACAGATTCTATGTGGGTTCGCCATCTGGGAATTTGAATTTAATAGAGCAAAAAAAAAAAGGAAAATGTTGGGTAGGGGCTGAAAGATGGCAATCATTGGGAATGAAAATAGCGTCAATTGCGGATATAAAAGGAGGGCGAAATTCCCTTGTCCAGACTCGATTTTCTTTCCTTGTACATCAGTCCTAACAGTCTTGCCATCTTGTATCGTCACAGTACACGTCGCCTTCACTTACAAGTCATTGACACTTACAAGTCATTGACACTTACAAGTCATTGACACTTACAAGTCATTGACACCCGCGCCTCCATCTGTCTACAAGATACCTAATTACTTTATACCTTAATACCTTTAACTTTATACAGCAGGTGCCAGGCCACGTTGCAGCGAGCCTTGCAAGACACTCCCGCCGCTAGAGAGCCCTAGATCCCGCGTTTTCAGGGGCTCAGCCGCCTAACCGCACCGCTAACGGCAAGCGTGAAGCCACCCGAGCTCTATCTTGACAGGTGAAACCCCCACTCTGAGCAGAGGTACAGCCAAAGTATTGACAATTGCTGTAGTTGACGATAGCGAGTTGAAGTGTTGTTCAACTCGTTCAACAAGATAGATAGTTTGAAGAATAAAACAATAAAGAAAGAAAAAGGAAATCTTCTTTTTTTTTCCTTTTGAAAAATTAAATAATAAGAATAAAAGAAAAGAAAGGAAAATAATAATCTTTTTTTTTCTCTCTCTTTTCAGCAATGTCTGCCACGGAAGGTGCGTTGATCCGAGTCTATCGGGATATCGAGGGCGACGAGCGCCAAATCCAACACAATCTCGCGGCCCTCGCCAGAACGAGGCTTGAGATCCGCAACCTGGGCGAGAGAATCTGCGATGCGCACGGCAGAGCGCCGGATGCCGCGCCATTGGACGGCAACGCGATCTTCCAGCTGCACGTGCAGAGGGCCATGCTGTACCGTCAGCTGGCAGCGGCCGACCAGCAGATCGCAGCGCTGCACCAGGGGCCGCGGGCTCTGCTGAGGCTGCAGGGCTATCTCGAGGCCTGCCACTCCATCGACCTCGCGATGCCCGCGCGCGACCTGCTGGTGCCGGCGCCGGAGGTCAAGACCCACGACCGGATCCTGCCGAAGAGGTGGCCCCGGTCCATCGTGCCGGCGCCGGATTTCGCGGCGAAGCAGCTGCGCATCTGGAGCAGGATGGCCGACAGCGCCGAGCTGCGCACCAACGCCTGCTATCCCAGCATTACCGACCTCGAATGGGTGCGCGGCACGGTGGACGGCATCCACGTTGGTTGTGTGTCGTCCCTGGCGGGGTTTATGCACCGGACGGTGGACGAAGCGGTCGATACAATCCTCGACCACATCGTCCAGAGCGAGAGTCTTGTCAACGGACTCGAGATTGGAGGTGAGCATCACATGAGACTGCCTGTCTGTCCATCTGGCTTTGCCATTGCTAACTGCCCGCACGACAGGTTTTGTCCTGACCCAGCCCGGGTCTGAGCCGCGCATCGCCACGGCCCGCTCCCTCCTCATGCGCGACGGGATGAGGGCCATGGTTGCGTTCCGACACGCCGATTCCCAGGAGGTGCCGCTGCTCGTGGCCTGCTACCGGCCGCCACACCGGCTGCGCCTCAACGAGATCCTCAAGGGGTTCCAACGAGACATTGACGTGGAGCGAGACGTCATTGGCAGGATAGGCAACGACTTTGCCTTCACGTCCAGGTGTCTTGTGGCCGCCGTCGTCACCCAGCTCTACGACCGCATGCGCGCCGTGGGCACGCGCTTCGGCTACATCAGCACCGGCGAGGCCCTCGTCTTCCTCAAAATCATGCGCGATGCACGCTTTGTGCAGTACTCCGTCTGTGTGCCTCGCCGCGATGTCGAAGCGGACGCTGAGACGGGCCTCCACCGCACGGCGGCTGCGCAGGTGCTGGCCTTTACCCTGCGAGCTCTTCGAGCCGTTACCCTGCGGCGAGCTCTTCTAGAAGCCGAGCAGCCAGTGGACGACGAAGCGTGCGACCTGTCGGCAGAGCAGAGGCAGTGGAGGGTGAACCCCGACAACGTCTTCAACCGGATCCCTCCGATGCTGCGCAAGATGGAGCGCAATATCCAGTATGTTCCGCATGACTGGAGGCCCCTCTTGGAAGCGTCGCCCCTCGAGCAGCGCGCGCGTTCCTTGGTCTGGCCCGGGTCGAGAGGCCGCACCAACGAGGCCGATTTCAACGACTACGGCGTCTTCAAGTTCCTCTCCATCCATCGCATCGACCCGCAGGGAGAGCGGATAGACCAACGGCCTTTTTGCACCCCGCGCTGCCTCTTGGGCCTTGCGCGCGGCGACGCTCTGGACAAGGAGTGTCCTAACTTTCGGCATCACGGCGACAAGCACATGTCGCGAGCCCAGTTTCTCAGACGCCTGCAGACGCAGCTCGACAGGGAGGTGGCAGGCAGGGACGACACCAACTGCCAGCCCATCTGTCGCAGCGGCTTCTACACGGCGCTGTTCAAGGTACGGCTCGCGTCGCATGGCTACACGCTGCTGATGAAGGGCGTCGTCCAACCCAAGGTCAAATACCTGCGTCACGAATGTGGCATTTACGACAGCCTGAAGGAGATTCAGGGCAGGTATGTCCCCGTTTGCCTCGGCATGATTCAGACCCGGGATCCGATCACCAGGCTGCATGGTAAATATGTCAGCTTCATGCTTCTCGGTGGGTTTCCCGGCGGGCTGATGCCTCTGCGCCAATGCGTCACGGCGGGCGTTGACAAGGGTGAGATTGTCGATGCCGTTGACGCTGCGTTTGAGGCGATCCACGGGCAGCGCGTCTTGCAGTATGATCCGGAGCCGCGGAATATGCTGTACGATGCGGACGGGAAGAGGGCCGTGATTGCGGATTTCGAGAGGGCCGTGTGGAATACGTTGGTGGGGCAGCAGGTGCTGGATATGAGCGTGAGGAGGGCGGGTGCGGCGACGAGGTATGCGGTGCGGACGAATGTGATGGATGGGTGGTTTGAGCGGGAGAGGGGGTATGTGAGGGAGAGGGTTGCCAAGTTTTGCGAGTCTGATTATTAGTTTGTTTGGGATGGGATGGTTTTTGTTGTGATACCCATTTGTTTTGATACCCATTTGTTTTGGATACCCATTTGTTTTGATACCCATTTGTTTTGGATACCCATTTGTTTGAGATACCCACTTGTTTGCTCTGATGCCCTTATAGATATACAGGTTCATGTACAGGAATACTTCGAAAGAGTAATTGTTATTCATGATATCATTACCAGATCTTTCTTCTAGAATGGTGAATAAATCGTTGCATTAATGTCCTATTTCGTCCAACAGGGTTTGACGGTGAAAACCGATTCGCTGGCGAACTGGAACGTCAACATGTATGTAGTTCCAGGATGAAGATGGTGAATTCATGGCATGTTGCAAGAAATTATTCACTTTATACCGCTCCTAGATAGCAAGAATAAATATCAAAACATCTAGTACCGTATTTTCAAATTGTAGTATGGCTTCCCTTTTATGAATCTCCAAGGCCATTTTAACGGTGCATTTCGAGCTGATTGCTAGCTTGTTTTGGAGCGTCTACATGATTTCGGCAGCGTCGAGGTCAATAACTGAGATGCTAGACATGAAAGGTTTGCAATCGCTTTGGGAGTAGAATGTTCTTCTTGAACATGCAACCCTTTTTACAGCTCTGAAACATGGGGAGTGAAAAAATATTCCAAATTTTATTTGTCATGGATCCTTCAACCGTCCAAGAATGCCCATCACACCGACTCAATCCGTCAAGGGCTGCCATCATTTTTCTTTGCCCCGCGTGAAATTGTGCGTCATGCGCCATTTCAAAGACATCTTCAAGGCAGTTTTGCGGAACACACAAGTAGGCTCTGTCATCAATATCTTTTCTGTATATCAGGCCGTGTTGCCGATGAAATAGTGTTCCTTTTGCTTGATTGTGATGCTTCACGCTCTTCATTTTTTGACAATTAACATCACTTTATGGAAGTGTTTGTCTTCGTTATACCCCAGTATTCATATCCTTATCATGGTATGAGAGTATCATAATCTAGATTAGAAAAACTATCATTATACGCCTTCTTTAGGCAAATAGCTTTCCAGAAACCGGCTTATTATGAGTTATTTCAGATTCTATTCTCTGATCAAGGGTAGGCTGGTACGTACCAGAAGCATCGCGATTCATTGCGCTCGCTCATTGGCCATAACACTGATTATGTAATCCAATCTTGGCCTTACGTACATGCAGGCAGCTGCGATTGGACCCTTTATCTTGAATCTTTTCATATTCGACGTTTGTTCATCGTCCAAAGAACGATTACATGGAAATTTTATGAGTATCACTAAATTATTTGACCCCATTCCACCTTAGAATCGTCTCCTCAAAGCCCGTTTCTCCTCTCACCTCTCAAAAGTGAGCATCACATGCTCGGCTGAAACTACGATGCGAGAGCCCGGCTGAGTCGAGTCTAAAATCCGGATAGAGCTGGATCCCTATCGCCATTTTTCTTTCGCAAATTCCAAGAGTTATGGAAGCAAGCATGCCCAACCCGTCTAGACTTGAGCGGCGGAAGCTCCGGAGAGGCACCACGAGCTGCTGGGAATGCAAGCGCAGGAAGACAAAATGCCATTTCGAGCAGGGCAAATCGACCGCCTGCGAGTCCTGTCAGCGTCGAGGATGCAAATGTGTTCTGCAGGATGTTGAGCAGAAGGACTTGGTAGACCAGACAGCTCGAAATCGGAATCTCAGAGCGCAGATGGACCATCTGGAAACTGTGGTTGATCAACTTGTCCATTTGCCAGCCAGGCCCAGCGCTCAAGGCGGAAATTCCGAGGCAAGGGTGGAAGAAACAACCGCTGCTCTCGAGAAAGGAAACGATAATACTTTGAGAAAAGTGTCAAGGCAGCAGACTGGTCGACAACTTCCACCGTCCACTTCTAGGCGCAGACTCCTCCCCAAGCTGGACAAAGCATCCGCAAAAGACTCTCATGCTCCAGCCAACGACAGCCTCAATACAATGAACCAGTCTCTTCAGCCGTTATCATCGCATCAATATTCTACCACGAGACAAAGCCTTCCTTCACTTCTGACTCCATCTCCCACCAGCGGCTCGCCGCGACACAACTCATTGACTCTGTTGCTACAGTCTATCCTCCCGGCAGCCAGTGTCACCACTCGCATTATGCAGCAGAACAAGCTTCTAATGATGTCCATGCACGTATTTCGAGGCCTGTCCACCGATCTTCTCCGACTTTCTTACCACCGCCAAATTGCATACTTTTCATCTCTAACACTATCAAACGCAAAGCCGATAGACCTGGCTCGAAGTCTTTTCCAACTGGCCATCTGCCTCCAGCAGTCTGATCGCTTCCCCGAAATTTCCAAACTGTGGCTTGATCATTCGAATTGCGATGCAGCAGACCAATATTTCGAAGCCGCCTCTCGCTATGTCACCTCTCAAGACTCTCTTGTCGTCTCGTACGAGGGAATAGAGACGTTGATGCTCGAGGGTCTCTATCACGTTTCCTGCGGCAGGCTGCAGCTTGCGTGGCTTGTATTTCGCCGAGCGCTTGGAATTGCTCATCTTGTGGGCTTACACATACCGCAACGGCGGCGGCAGGGCAAGCAGCAAGGATCCACCAGTGGTTCGTCACCAATGTGTCCGGCGACGTTATGGTTCCGCCTCGTTTTCATGGATCGTTACTTGTCTCTGGTGCTTGACCTTCCCATGTCTGTCCAAGATGACAGCTTCATGGACGATTTGGTAGATCTGGCGCCGCTTGAGAAGCTTGAGAGAGCTCAAGCAAAGTTGACGAGCCGTATTATTTTCAGAAATGAACAGTTGCGACTTGGGCAAAGAGGAGGGGACCCCGCCTATGACCATTACAAAGAGACAAAAGACATTGACTATTTGCTATCACAAGCCACGCGGTCTCTGCCTGCTCAGTGGTGGGTTTTCCCACGACCGCAAGATGCTCGATCGGCCGACGAGCTGAGAGATATGGTTGCAAAGATTGTGCATCAATTACATCACTATAATTTTGTCTTATTGCTCCATATACCTTACATCTTACCTGGAGCTGATGGTCGCCGTTCCAATGATGCCGCGCACGACTACTCCAATTCCAAGATTGCAGCCATGACTGCCGCCCGAGAATTACTCTCCAGATCCATTGTTCCGATCGGATCTAATCGGGTGTCCTTTTCGACCAGGGGAATCGTACTTAAAGTTCTCCTTTCTGCTTTGACGCTGCTCGCGGTACACCTGGATAGCCATCGGTTGGGCCGTGAAAACGCTCTTGGCCATCAGCGTCCAGGGGATTTAATAACGGCTGAGCGTGCCATTCAGAGCCTGGAAACTATGGGCCAAAAATACGACGACAAGTTGTGTAGTTCCGCAGCACGAGCGCTAAGGAGAATGAGTGCCATTGAAGCAACTGCAGCAGGTGGCGTCAGTTATAGAACATGGAGCGAACCCAGCGATATGGTGTGTACGGAGTGTATTGTGCAAGAAGAGGCAAACGCCGTCCAGATGTCATTTCCTCATGTGGGAATAATCAACATATTGCGCCAAGAGCCCCAAGACTCTATTCAAACAACGAGCAATGGACTGCGCACATTACTGGAGACAGACAATCTGGATGGCGGCCTCTTGACTCCGTCTTGGGCCTGGAGCGATTCTCCGCTGTCTTCATGGCCCGAGCAAACTTTGGCAGATTCCAATGTGGACGACGTGGAAGATTTGCCCATTGGCACAGAATTGATTTACCATGGCATTCAGGAAGCGTGGGCCTTGAATAAAAGCGACGTCGAGGCTATCAACGCACCGCCAACGGAGCTAAATTTACAAAACTATGAAGGTCAAGGGTGGAATTCGAATGATCAGCGCCCGTTATTACTAGAAGAGACGTTTAATGCCACAACGTTTGGATCTTGATTTATGCAAAATGACTGAATAGCTAGCTACTATATGGAGGAAGCAACCTCAAAGAGCACCGAGTCTATCTCTCATACATTGATAATTTTTACACCAACACTGGCCGTGAATCGAGCGATTAAGCCTCGAGCGGTGGCGTGTCGCCGAAAAGATTTACACCCGGAAAGTTATCGGGAATTCGAGGACCAGTAACATCCTTTGCCACGTCACGAATAGCTCGCTCTTCCTCCGCCGTCAAGTTGACGCTCATTGCCTCCAGATTCTCAGAGAGTCTGCTGGCCGTGGTTGTGCCAGGAATGCCAAAGATGTCGTCACCCTGCGCAAGGAGCCAGGCCAGTGTCAGCTGCGCGGGAGTGACGCCCTTGCTATTGGCGATTTCGTTAATCTTTGCGACGGTGGCAAGGTTCTTGTCAAGACTTTCGCCGCTGAATCGAGGCAACATTGTTCGCATATCACCTGCTTTGGCGATATCCTCCTTCGACTTGATGGTTCCTGTGAGAAGGCCTCTGCCGAGAGGGCTGTACGCAACGACGGCCGTGCCTAGCTCTCGACAAGTCTCAAGGAAACGGCGCTGAGGTTCTTCAATCTCCAAAGTAAACGGGTTGTACTCCATTTGGACGCAGGCGATGGGATGAATGGCGGAAGCACGGCGAAGAGTATCGGCGCTGCATTCACTCAGGCCAAGGTGCTGGATCTTGCCGGCGTTTTTGAGCTCGACCATGGCTTCGATTGTCTTTTCGATGGGAGTGACCTTGTCTAGGTGATGAACGTAAAAGAGGTTGACAAAAGGCACTCCGAGGCGCTTGAGAGATTTTTCGATGGCCTGTCGACAGTATTCTGGAGACGAGTCGACCTTGATGCTGCCCTTTTGGGGAATTATGCCAAACTTGGTGGAGAGAAAGATGTTGTCACGTTTTCCTGGGTTGGCGGCGAACCACTTGCCGAGGAGATCCTCGCAGTCGCCGTACATGTCGGCTATGGTTGAAAGGTTTAGTTAGTAGTCGTCTTCCAGAAGAGAAAATTGAATTGTGTCAAATTTTGTTTTAACCTACAAGTGTCCCAGAATCTCTCGCCCATATCGTACGCCTTGTCTAGAAATGCAAAACGCTCTTCATCTGGAGCAGGCAGGCCATAGTGTCCGCTCAAACCCATGAGGCCGAGGCCGAGACGAGAGACTTGAGGGCCATTTTTGCCCAAGGCGCGAGTGACAATCTTGGGAACGGTTTGAGACATGGCTTGTTCGAAAAGGTGTTTATTGTCGTATTGGTATTGTCTTTTGCAGAATGTGCTGGTTGTGATCTGGCGGTTAGGACGTCAAAGGGCATAGGATGCCGCCCTTTATAGATGCGAATGGTGCTCCCATGAGCCATTGACTCGTACAATTCGAAACAACGTTATAAGAATCTCGGGAATTTCTTGCGCCTAACTCCATGATGTCTGCGATGGGCTGTTCAATACTTGAAACTCGGTGCTCATGATGATTGGACCGGACATCAGCTCTCGTAGGTGAGCTGACCAATGAGCGTTCTTCCGCCGAAGATGCTGCGACGCAGCCAATGAGCGTTGTTGCGCCGCTAAAGCCGTAGGTGATCCGATTTGCTGTGGTCTCGGCGGGGGAGCTGCTGCTGTGAGTAACCGGAGAAGGGAAATGTGGATTCGACGGCGTAGCCTGGGGCTTTATACAGTGGGTTTGGTGCTATTTCTGGTTTCTGATCGTGCGTTGAGCAATGGGTGCCTTTGTGGTTTATGGTGAAGGCGCCTTGTACGTCTTGGATGCCGGTTATACGGTAAGGCAGCTTTCAAGCTCGTCTTTGGAAAAAAAAAAATTTGCTCTGATGGCTCATCTAATCTGATATTTTTACAGATAATATTTTTACAGATAAATGCGCAACTTGTCGAGATTTTCAAGAGGAGAGTAAAAGAGAGCTGGGAGAATGTCGTTATCGGTGTACCAACGACTAGGCAGGCTGAACCTCAGATGAACTATTGCTCTGCCAAAGCTCACTCCAATGCTACCAGCCACAGTCTTCTCGACTCTGTCTGGAGCCCTCAAAGAAAAAAAAAAAAAAAAAGAAAAGGCATTAATAATCTGGGCCCAGAGTCTGAGACATTTGCATCGCGTGAAATGGGCTTCTTGATTTTCTATTTCTACTCCTGAGACTCTTTATTGTGAGTGGAGAAGGGCGCCTTGTTCCTCAGCGTTCCAGCATGCGTGGAATGGGTTCAAGTCTACCGGCGCTGCATTCCACCAAGCGAGCATAAAGAGCTGCAATAATTGTGTTTGAAAGACAAGACTAGAGCCTAGGGTTCAAAGAAGCTTTAACGTTTAATGGAAGGGTTGAGGCTCGACGGCGGTGAATCTTGCATTTGCCAGCTGTTTGCCGGCCCCATTCGCGTCTTACAGGGCAGCATGCAACAGCACATGCTGACGCCAAGGTATCGACCAGGTTGAGCGCTGAAAATGCGACTGTTTATTGTCACTTTATGCATCTACGAGCCCTTATAGGTCGCTGTGCTCAATACACGGGCGCTTTATGACGCCGCTCGTATTTCGCGGCCAGGGGACAAAGTCTATTACCCCTCGAAATCAGACTCTGGGGAACGAAGCCAAGATTACCGCTTGGATCCACATAGATCGTGCTTTGTTGTCTTGGATCTTGAACAACGCGTGCCAAAGCCGGAGATCGAGAACACCAAGACATATCACGATGGCTCGATGTCACTGTACGCAAGGAAAGCGCTGCATTTCACCTCGGTGTCGGGTGTCGGAGATGATCATCCTCCATTTCGGATCTAGGCCCGATGCTCCTTGTAGTTTGGAACAGGCACAACAGCAAACAAAGTTCCGGACGCATGCGTATGCGTTACCATTTGATGCGACATTCTGACGTCAAAACGATTGGCATTTGCTGCGCTGTCTTACTTTACTCAAAACAGGTGCTACCAGGAACGGACTAAAAGCTCCATTTGGAAACGTCATCGATGATGTGGGTATGAAGGAGTTTCTTTTTCTATTAAATAGACTGCAGTTCTACTTTTTTGTTGTGGCACTTTTCTTCTATACTGAACTGAATCTCTCTCATCATCTGTTGCTGCTTATTACTGATTCTTGTTAAAGAAGTGTGAAAAGTCACCTAGAATCCTTCCACCAACTCGCCATCACCACCATGCATATTCCCGACGTTCAGAAGCTTGCTACTGCAAGCCTGGCCCTTGCTAGCGCCACACTAAGTATGAGAGTTCCATCCTCCAGCACTTGTCTCACCGAAACCAACTGCTAACAACTGAACTTTTGTTTTTGTCTAGGCGGTGACACCATCATCAAGGGTAGCGTGCTCGACTTTGCCGTGGAGAAATGCATCGACAAAGACGGAAACGCCCGGTGCTCCAAGCCCTTTCCCGTAAAGGCCGATGGCTGCTACAAGCTTGAGTGGTCGACCGATGGCGCTCTGTCGCACACCACGGTCGAGGTTCGAGATGTGGGCAGCGGCGAGATTGTGTACTACCGCGACACCAATGGCGAGTGGAAGCCCAAGAAGAACGAGCTGGTGTATCTCGACTTTAAGCCCAAGATTATGGGGCAGGGAAACAAGACTGTCGACTACGAAGTAAAGAGCTGCGACAAGGATGATGAGCTATAAATGCTTTGATTCGATGTGTGGATGCCATGATGTTGATGCAAGATTGAGGCTTGAATGGCTGGCATAATGGAATGCAATATCGGCGATTCAATATGGGAAAGGGCAAAGGATGATACATACGGACAAGCAATTGTTTCCACTGATGCCTACTAATTTTTTCGTTTAGAGGCACCGACCTTTTCTTCATGAGAATTTGAAAATATAATTCTGGCGGCATACAAAAGGCTAATTGATGGACTCTTTTTTTTTCTTTCGTCTGCATCCTCTTAGCTACTCTTGTCAGCTTTAATGAAATGAAAAAAAGTGTTTGATCAATGAGATGCATGGTACTAATAGACAGCAGCTGATGCAAAGTTGACTGTTGAAATAAATGGCTTGGGATGTTGCATGCGTGATGGATGTATGCCAAGTCTATTTTCTTTTCGACGCTGCACTTGAGAATTGAAATGGAAATTTGTTGAAGGAGTTTCCGTGTAATCTTTATTCATTTTTTTTTAGCTGCTTTGTGTATAACGTCCAACGTCCTCTTGCTCTTGATTCTAAAGTTGCATGCTATCTGTAATCTGTAATGGCATTAAAAGGCATCCAAGTATCTGGTCCCGTTGAGACTGCTCCTCGCGCCGTTAAAGCTAGGGCCCCTGATATGGCTCCTGAACAAGTCCTTGACCTCTGTCCCATTCTTCACATTCCTAAGGATTTGGAGGTAAAATGGAGCCCAAAGGCTGGCTTCTAAGGCAGAGAGGCATCTTATTATAAAGCCCAACAATTATCCTGCTCCCCCATTCATGTAGAGCGGCGCGTGCCCGTCTACAGCATCTTTGTTCCCCCACGGCCCTTTCTTGCCCGGAACCAGGGAGATTGGCTCCCCAGGGACGCTCTCACAGAAGTGGAAGTCGTAGCACTCATCCTTACGCCCAGCGGTGGGGAGCTTCTTGCGCAGATCGGCCAGCGAACCGGGCACCAGCTCGTTGCACATGATATGATGGCTCGCAGGATTGTCTTAGCTCGACGCCAGCCCTCTTCCGTATCCTCTGCACCAAACGTCCAATCTGGGATGAGAAGATAAGAAGCAATGGCGAGTTTGATACCACTGCTGATTGGGCCCGGCTGACCGTTAGACTTCAGCCAGTTGACCTGATGAGGGGCTTTGGTGTATATTGTGTTGTTGTTTGACATAGTGGCGTCAGGTCAAGAGATCTCAGGTAGCGTATCTACGAACGTCGTTGTCGACGATGCGTCAGACTGCTTTGTTGTTGTTTGTTGTTGTATTTTTGACAGGAGATCAAGAAACTTAGGGCGGGAGGTCAGTGGAGCCGGGCTCATAACCTGTTGAACAATATTGAACGAAGTGTTGAATTTTTTTTTTTTTTTTTTTTTTTTTTTTTTTTTTTTTTTTTTTTTTTTTTTTTGGAAGTAATTTGAGCTATTGCCTCGGGCCATAGGAACAAGTTGTCATCGGGAATTAACGTGCGAGCGTCGGTGACAACGGTGCGCATGTATCGTTCGATTCGTCCGTTGGATTCATGGTGGTATGGCGGTGATTGTGAAATGACGAAGTCAGTATCTCGCCAAATCACCAACCTGTCTTGATCGTTGACGAAAGAGCGAAAGCCCCCTTCGACGTTGTCAACACAGACCTTTCTGGGAAATTTAGCACCCCATCGTTGGCAAAATCCCAATACTTCCTACCATTCCTCGACGAGAAAACACGATACGTGTGGATCCGATTCATCAAGAAGAAGACTGACGTTCCGTCGGAGATCGCCGACTTCATTCGAATGATCCAGACCCATTTCGGTGTCACCATTAAATTCTTCTATACCGATGGAGGCGGCGAGTTTACCGGTGAGAAAACGAAGAATGTGCTTCGACTCACGGGCACCCGACACCAACAACATATTGATCAGCCCTAAGTAACTGCACTTCCAATTGCTTGGTTGTTCCGGCAGCGGCGGATAAAGAATACGGAACCTACAGGGCAAGCCGAGGTCAAGGGCAAAGGTTCTCTAGCCAGGCCGCACGCCTTGGCTCTAATCTTCCGGTTTCTATTGTGCATATCATATCGTATACGTAGAAGGCGGCTATGTCGACCATTATAAAGTCCTCCAGGACGGCGACGCAGCTAGGCTTTATTGAGAGGCAGATTAAACGTCGTATCAATAGCTTCCATTTGATATACATTGTGCAAAGGCGGAGTTTCTACACAATGGGTGTAAGTGAGACGAGGAGCGTCTCTGGGAATGAAACTGTGAATAGGGAGCGAGTCTATTGTGAAATACTTGCTTGTAGACTCTTTATTGACATATCTGTACCGTATCAATGGTATAGAAGCCCAGGCATAACGGGTATCTTGGGAATAATAACGGATGTGCTGCGTCTCTTGATTATCTGATATACAAGTGACGGCTATCCAGCTGCCACGTTGATATTCACGCCAGCTGTCAAAATTGAAAGATCCGTTTGCTCTATCCTAATGGTGCAGATTAGATTCTTTTCTGCAGTGTAAACGAAAATTCGTTTGCCTATATATCCACCTTTCTCTTCTTCCCCTGCCCTCGACTTCTTCTCCCTTCTTCTCCTTCTCACATCATCACTCACGGGCAGCTGAAGACACCACACACTGCACTCTGCCCATCCACAACCTATTCTTCCCCTTTCTCGTATCAAGCCTTCAAGTTCATCTTCACTCAAGCAACCACTCGACCATCATGCCGTCAGGCAACAACAACCAGCGAGTCATTCATGGCCCGTTGCATGAATGTTACACCTGCGGCGACCAATTCCTCCTGCACGAAGAGGTGATCCTGCACATGACCAACGAGGGCCACTGGCCAACCTGTGAGATTTGCGGAGACCGCTTCCGCCGGGTGACGCAGCTGGAGATGCACTTGGAGAGATGGCACTACTTCCGCTGCAAGGAATGCCAGAAGGCGTTTGCCACGCAGCGTGGCCTTGTCGACCACATGAGGGCCAAGGGCCACGAAGGCCCCATCCACAAGTGCCGCACCTGCAATCTCATGTACCAGACGGAGGCTGCCAGAGACCGTCACCAGAATGCCAAAGGCCATTAGATGTGCTGCTGAAGACAGACAGCCCGTCAAGGTATGTGACGAATCTGCTTGCTCTTGTATGTATCGTGGGACAACTACTGACAATTACCAGGGCAAATCTTGGCACATTCTTTTCTGCCTCTGACGCACTTTTTCTCTTCTTTGTTCTTTTGGAGGATTTGTTCTTTTCTGCGTTGGGCCCAAGGCCGTCAAAATGATTTGGGGGAGGAAAGCTTTCTTCCAGGTTCGGGATAGCATCAGACAAGGGAAAATGGATTTTTGTTCGTGAATACTCGTGTCCATTGTAGTTTGTAGGCGTGAAAAAAGGTGCAATCGCTATCCCAGAAATGTGTCACGGTGGATTAATTTGAAGCTACGTAGATGCCATATCATGACGATGAATGCAGTTGCGTCTGTTGCGTCAAACTTGATTCTGGTGATGGCTTTTACAGAGACACAATGTTGGGAATTGGTTATCAAAATTGACGCCGATTGCTATTACTTGTTCGAAAATAAGTAAATAAATGATCAAGTGCAATCTAAAATTCATGTATAAAAAAACAATATTTTCTATTTCTTTTATTCTTTTTTTTTTCCGCCCCCAAAAAGATGTCACCATCTCTCTCCATAATTACTCTCTGCATGCCTGTCAGGCGCACTGAAGGATCCGAATCCTGGTCGGCCGCTTCTTCAACCAAACAGCTGATGTGGGCGCTTAACCGCCGCTTCTGGTTTGCTTTGATCCATCAGCTGAAAGCTGGTGGGGGATGCCTAGCCGTTTCAGTATTGCATGCATGCGACGCTGCTCTTTGTTGTTGGTTGTGTTGTTGAAGGTGATTCTGCCTGTTGTTTTGTTTTCGTGTCTTTTTCTTTTCTCTTCTCTTTTCTTTTCTCCTCTTTCAACTACGAGTCCAGCCAAACCAGCCATGGCTCCCGAGCAGCTGGACCGCGAAGAGACGAGACGCCTCTTGGACACCATCACGAGCCTCGACGACCTGTGCGTCCTCTTTGTCAACACGCCCCAAATCATCGTCGTTGGAGACCAGGGCTGCGGCAAAAGCTCCGTCCTCGAGGCCATCTCGCGCGTCCACCTGCTCATCGGCGATGGCGTCTGCACGCGGTTTCCCATCGAGCTGGTGCTGCGGAGAGCGCCGAGAGAGCGCACCTACTTGGAGATCTTGTTCGACACCAAATCGCTGGATGTCGGTGGCAGAAGCTTTTCGCGGACTCGCGAGCCATTCAGCCAGACCGGCTTTCCCCGGAGCGAGCTGCCGGCCATCATCAACAGGGCAAAGGAGCACATGGGCCTTGAGGATGGAAAGACGACCGGCTTCTCCAGAGACGTGCTGCTCGTGGAAATCGAAGGCCCAGACGTGCCTTCAGTGACGCTGGTCGACTTGCCCGGCGTCTTCCATCCCGGCTTCTCATCGCAGCTCCGTGACTGGAAGCCGGTTGTCGATGACTTGGTCGACAGCTACATGAGGCGGCCAGACAGCATCATCCTCACCGTTGTATCAGCAGACGTTCCTCTATCCGCACACGCCGTCTTGAACAAGGCTGCGAGATTCGACACAGATGGAGAGCGCACCATTGGAGTCATCACCAAGCCTGATCTTTGCCCAAGCGCGAATATAGAAGATCAATACCTCAGGCTTGCGAGGGGACTAGAAACCAACCACCACCTGCCGCTGGGTTGGCATGTTTTGCGAAATCGTGGGCCCAAGCAGCCAGAAGTTGACTTTGACGAGAGAGACTCTGACGAAGATGTTTTTCTCACAACAGGGACGGGGAAGTGGTGGAGGCTTCCTTCAAGCAGAATAGGAGTCGACAGCCTTCGAAAGAATGTGGCGGAAACTCTTCTCAGGCACATCAAAAGCAAACTGCCAGATCTCATCGAAGAAGTCGAGTACGAGCTACAGACTCGCCAGGCGCGCCTCAAAGCCATAGGAGCCTCCAGGACAAACACCAACGAAATGCGAGAGTACTTGCTCCGCGTATCGGCAACCTTCCACAGACTGGCAGAGCATGCTGTCGAGGGACGATACAACGATCCATTCTTTGCCAGTGCAACCGTCCAGGAGACGAGCAAGATCAAGTTCAGGAAACTGAGGGCCCTGCTTCGAAACTTGAATCGAGCCTTTGATCTCACCATGAAGCGCAAAGGGGCCAGGTACAAAATCGAGTGGGAGCAAGATCAACAGCAAACCGGCAGCGGCGTGAGCGCAGAAGAGCAACTTGCCAGTTACATGGCCGAGGCTGAGGCTCCAGACTATCTCCAGCCTTTCCTCGAGTTGTACGACTTCCCAGACCCGACGCCAAAGTCCGAGGCCACGGTCAACTCCAGAATCGAGCGAATAGCGTCGGGCAGCCAAGGCGTTGAATTTCCCGGGCTGCCAAATAGCGATCTCATTATGCAGCTTTTCCGTGATCTATCCGAGCCGTGGCGGCGTATTGCCGAACGCCATGTCGACATTGTTGTCGAGAGAACAAGGCTATTTGTATACCACTTGTTTGACTACATCTTGGAAGACGACAAGAGAACTCGAGACGCAATCCTGGCCGAATACGTCGACCCTACTTTTGAAACCACTACCGAGACGCTGAAGAGCAAACTGGACGAGATTTTGCGTCCCTACACCTCGGGGCACGGCCTCCCGCTTGATTTGGAGTTTCGAACGGGGCTCTCGAAGCGCAAGCTTAACCGTATCGCAACTCAGATTGCTGATCTCCTGAAGGAGAATCAGAACTCTGTTACATACAACACGACGTCGTATAGGCTCTTGAAGTATGAAGATGTTCGCAATATTGTGGTTGAAGCGAATGGCATGACTCTAAGCAGCGACTTTGGGACGGATGTCGTTATTGACATGATGTTGACGCATTACGAGGTAAGAGCGAACTTTTCTAGTCTTTTTAAATGCTCTTTTCCTTGTTTCTGCCTTTTATACCACGTCTAGTTTCCCAGGGATGTCAAGATGCTAACACAGTCCCGATACAGGCGAGCCTGAAAACATTCACAGACAACGTCATCCACCTCGTCATCGAAAACTGCCTTGTTTCCGACCTGTCCGACATCTTCTCCACAAAGATTGTAACGCAGATGAGCGACGACATACTAAGAAGCGTTGCTGAAGAGTCTGGCAAAACGAAGGAGGAGCGGATCGAGCTGGCGGATGATATTGTCAAGCTGACACTCGGACTGCAAGAGTGCCGCCGCTCAAGGCCGAGAAACTTTTCAGGTACATGCCATACAAAACACACTTCGGTTCCTGTTTTGACTGCCATCAATGGGCCTCTCTAACACCAAGCGTATAGAACCTGCAGAAACCTTTCCTGAGCTCACATCTCCAACGCGAGCTCCCACAACGCCACCGAATCCATTCCCAAGTAGAGCCATCAAAAAGACCAAATATCGAGTGAAGCTACCCCCCTTTACGGAATATGCAAAGACTACACTGTCAGAGTCGCCGTTTGCCCAAGTCGCCCAGACGAGTGTCGATTTCACAACGCTCCTGAAGCAAGATCCAACTTCTTCCTCTTCTGGAAGCGAAGAGAAGAAGGCTTCTGGCAGCAACTCGGTTCCTGGTACCGGTTCTACTACTACAACTGCAGATGTGAAGCCTGTGTTTGGTTCTCAGAGTCCTCCAAAGCCGGCTGTTGGTCCTGTATCCGGATCTACTACGGCATCTGTCGCTCCCGTTACGGCATTTGGCTCGGCGGCAACATCTTCGCAGGCTCCCGTCCCTAAGCCGTCCCTGTTTGGTGCCGCCACGACAACTTCGCCGACTCCTGCCCCTAAAACATCAATTTTTGGTACGACTAAAGCATCTTCGCAGGACACTGTTCCTACAACGTCCCTTTTTGCTGCAGCAACAGCAACGACTTCTAAAGCTTCTGTTCCTGCACAATCTCTTTTTGGTACCAACACAGCGTCCTCTTCACCGACTCCTGCTCCCAAATCGACACTATTTGGTGCGGCAACAACAACTTCTCAAACTTCTGCTCCTAAACCATCTCTTTTTAGTACAACTGCTGCATCTTCACAGACTCCTTCTCCTAAACCGTCCCCCCTATTTGGTGCATCCACAGCAACAACTTCTCAGACTTCTGCTCCTAAAACATCCCTGTTTAGCACAACTACAGCATCTTCACTGACACCTTCTCCTAAACCATCTCCCCTATTTGGTGCATCCACAGCAACAACTTCTCAGACTTCTGCTCCTAAACCATCCCCGCTATTTGGCGCGGCCACGACTTCTTCGCAGTCCCCTGCTCCTAAGCCGTCTCTGTTTAGTGCAGCCACAACAACTTCTCAAGCCTCTGCTCCTAAGCCGTCCCTGTTTGCTGGAGTAACAACATCTTCACAGGCTCCTGCTCCCAAACCATCCCTTTTTGGTGCAGCCACAACCGCTTCGCAGGATCCTGTTCCTAAGCCGTCTCTTTTTGGTGCAGCCAAGATATCTTCACAAGCTACTGCTCCTAAGCCGTCCCTGTTTGCTGGAGTAACAACATCTTCACAGGCTCCGGCTGCCAAGCCGTCCCTGTTTGGCACAACCACAACATCGACGACGACTACGACTACGACAACAACAAAGACGACAGAAACGACTTCAGAAACGACATCGGAATCATCGAATTCTACGCCGTCCAAGACACCGTCGAATGATGGCTTGGTTGGATCGGCTGCTGCACCGCCGCCTCAGTCATCGCTATTTGGCACTGCCAAATCTTCGTCGTCTTCAAATGAGAAAACTTAGAATGAGTCATTGGCGGCGTATGTGATGGAGCATGGCGTTCAAATTGGAGTTGATAGAACAGTCTTTCATTTCAGCGCTGGTGAAGAGACTTGTCGCGAGTAAATGGAGTCTCTCTTTCTTTTATTTAGCGTTTTCTGCTCTAATCTGTTTCTTTCATTTAGAGTTTTCTGCTCGTATCTGCTTCTTTCATTTAGCGTCTCATTCATTTATGAATCATGGTCGTAGCACAGTCATTTTTTAACAAAACCAATTGCGTCTTTTACTGCCATTCAGCATCTCACAGGGATACAAACATAGCTTTTCGAGCGCGCTAAGTAACATAATGTGTAAACATCAAGAGTAGAAATTGCAATCTTTACGCCAACATCAAACTGTGTCAGAAACGTCCTCAACAGTGGTGCTTCTAGTTTCGTCTGTCTTTTCGTCTGTGTTTGCCCTTTCAACCTTGTCCCCAAATAGTTCGCCGATTTGTTCAAGAGAAAGTTGGTTTGTCTAGGTGAGAACAAGTAGTTAGCGTCAATTTCATAGAACGAAAAATAAATTCTCGATCTTACTTCGGGATAATAAAAGTATATGATGACCCCAATCACAGCCGTGAGGCAAAGGAAGACCAGATAGTACTTCCATCCAATGGCTGCAAAAGCAGTCGGTGCAACTTGGAGGAAGATAATGGTTGCAACAAAGAGTCCTGAAACAGACACGGCAAGGCCCTTTGCGCGCAGAGGAGTTGGAAAGATCTCGGACGCATAGATATAGGACGTGGCATCACATGTTGAAGAGAAGCAAATCATGTGCCAGAAGAGGAAGAAGACTGCTGCTCCGGCCACGCCGCGGGACTGTGTGCGCTGAAAGACACTGACGGAAATGCATTCGCCGATGAGAGCCGTGACGACGCCGGCGAAACCGATAACCAGGAGGCGAATTCGGCCGACGCGATCAACAAGGACGGAGTTGATGGCGTTTCCAAAGGGGCAGACGCTGACCCAGCCGCTTTGGATCAGGAGCTGGCTGACGGTTGTGAAGCCGAGAGCTTTGTACAGCGTTGGGCCATAGTCTAGAACGCAAGCCATGTTAGACAGTTATTCTGTTTTCTACTCGTGCCTTCTTGTGATCTTGTGAGATGCAACTTACTGTTAATCACCAGTGTTCCGGTTCCCTGGCAGCCAAACATGACGAGAAATCCAAGAAAGCATCTCTTGCGCATGCCCGGCGAAGTAAAGAGATCGACAAAGCGATGTTTGGTCATCTTCTCGTGCTGGATAAGACCCTTGAGCATGTTGAACTCCTCGAGAATAGCCGTCCTGTCGTTGAGCATCGAATCATCAGACTCTGCTCGCACCGCTTCAAACGCCTTGAGAGCCTCCTCGGGACGATCCTGGTTGAGAAGCCATCGAGGCGACTCTGGGAGAAACGGGATGCCGATGGCGAGAATCAGGGGCGGGAAGCACTGGATGGCCAGCGGCAGACGCCATTGAGCGCCGGAGGCGTTGACAAAGTAGAATGCGAGGCCAACCCAGCTGGCGACGGAGTAGCCGATGCAGATCATGATTCCGTGGATGCCGACGAGGAGGCCGCGGATGCGAGGGGGGGCGATTTCGGACTGGTAGAGCGGGATGAGCACGACGATGGAGCCTGTTGGCGGTGTCAGCACAGTTGTTTGTATAATAAGAAGAAGAAGCAGAGGAAGAGGAAGAGGAAGACATCACGAACCTATTCCCAGACCAGTGACGAATCGAAAGACGAGATACATGGCGATGTTAACGCTCCCAGCCTGCAGCGCCCCTCCAACGAGCGCAACAAGAGCCGTGAGGAAGATGGCGCGCTTTCGCCCAAGCACGTCTGCGGATTTGACGCACGACAGGCAGCCAACAAGGCCGCCGGCCTGGAAGAGTCCGTTGATGGCGCCTATCAGCTGCGTGGCGTTGGACCGCGTATCAAGGCCAAAGTAGGCGATGAAGGACGGCTGGCCCAGCGTGGTGGCGATGATGCTGGAGCAGTAGCCATAGGTCATGCTGCCGAGGGCAACGAAGCCCACGATCTGCGAGGGAGATTAGCAATTTGTCCATGATTGCTTTTGTTTGTTTGTCAATGGTGTTCTGTGTTGTGTGTTGTGTGTTGTGGAGGAGGTTTTGACATGTGATGGTGTGAAGATCTGAGTTTCGGAGGGTTGCATTTATGATTTCATGAAAACTCACCAGCACCCGATACACGGCAGGCGAAATCATTTTTTTTTTCCCGAAATCAATCAATCAATCGAACTGACTGATGCGACGAGATGAGAAACAAAAATTGAAAACAACGACAACAATAACTCAGAAAGTTGAGTTTCACTTGGAGAAACTAAAACACCTGTCAAACTCGGGAGATCGTCGAGATTTTAAAAAAAGAGCAACAAAACACCAAAACTTTAGTTCGTACGGGCGGCCAATCGAATGAAGCTGGCTTCTCCAGACTTGGCCAGCTGAAGCCACGGCAGGGCTAGCAAAAAGCCATCAAACAACAGGGCGATGAAGCTAAAAGAACAGAGAACAGTGAAGCCACTTTGGAGTCTGAATTAGAATTCGAGCATATGTGTCGGATAAGAAGCCGAAACTCCCTGCCTCGGCGTCTTAATCTCAACAGTTTCGCAGTTTATGTGTCTCTCTCTCTCTCTTGTTTTTTATTTCCTTAGGCCCGAAGTTGAGCTCTCCATCTCCATAGCCCATACTATGTTCTAACAACCCCAGTTTATGACCCACGGCAATTCTTACCCCGCAAACGCCAGTTGAAATTCTAGATTTTAGTGATTTTAGTGTGTCAAACAGGGGAAGACAACGCGGGTGTAGCGCCGGCTTCTAACGCCCTTCCTTCGTTGTTTTATAGGCGCAGATGGAAACCAATATTCTTCCACCCCTCGTCCGGAATCGCATCTGTGTTTCCCACTAAAACTCGTTGAGCAACCTCTGCTTTTTTGGCCACCCGCCACTAAAACCCCTAAAACAAAAAGTACAATAGATTGGCTAAACAATGGCCTCATACGAGTTTCCCGAATTCGACCAATTGCCGTCTGTGCCGGGCCAGCCTCAGGGCTGTCTGTGGGGGTTCTTCGACCGAGGAACCGAAAAGGATGAGCTTGGAAGTGAGTTTCTCCTCTCATTAACTCTGTCAGCGAGGCTATAGCTACTGCAGCTAACAAGCAATGCCTGTTGTTTTCGTGTTCTAGCCATCAACCTTTTGAACGCTGAGACTGTCAAGCAGGCCGCACTTGAGATTCAGACCGGGCGGCATGTCCAGCTTGACTGGCCCATGAACAATGTCGAGTTTCCGGGCTTTGGTCGCATTCCTCTCGAGCACAATGTGAAGCAAATGGAAAAGGAGGGCTTCATTGGCCTGGATGACGAGATCAAGATCAACACCCAGACGAGCTCGCAGTGGGACAGCCTGAAGCATGCAAGTCCTTTCATGGCCCTATTTGTATGAATGAGAAAATTTGTGCTGAGACATTGTGGTGCAGTGGAGTATACAGTCCCAGGGCTTGTTTTATAACGGGTTGTCCATCAAAGAGGCCTTGCAGTCACCCCGAAATGGCCTGCACAGTAAGCGCTGTTCTGTTCTCTTTGTCACACGTGAAGCTCACAGAAATGAAACAGATGTTTGCGAGAAAGGTGGAATAGTCGGCAGAGGTATTCTTGTTGACTGGGTATGGCCAACCATATTATACGATTATAAAACACAGGTACAGGGCTAATCAAGACATAGCTACGCTGGTGGGAGCATTGCAATCCGGGCAAAGAGGCGCCGTCTGCCATATCGACCTACTCGATCCCAGCGTCCGAATTAGAAGAGGTCTTGAAGTTTCAAGGCACCGAGTGTCGACAGGGAGACATTCTCATTGTCCGAACTGGCTTTGTCCGCTGGCACGAGTAAGTATTTGCCAAGAGCATGACTTACCTTCTATCGTACACTAACTGTCATTCAGTCTCGCAGATAAACCCACCAGAATCAAGGGCACAAAGCCCGAAAAGGTCCTGTCCCTGATTGGCGTAGAGAGCAACATGGATACCGTCCGCTGGCTCTACTCCAAGCACTTCTCGGCTGTTGCCGGAGACACAATGGGGTGGGAAGCTTGGCCGTATCCAAAGGAGTGCTGTCTCCACGAGTGGCTGCTTTGCCAGTGGGGGACGCCGATAGGGGAGATGTGGAATCTGGAGCAGCTGAGTGAGGTTTGTGCGGATCTTAAGAAATGGTCGTTTTTCCTCACCAGTGCTCCTCTGCATGTTATTGGCGGGGTTGGTACTCCTCCAAATGTGATTGCGATATTCTAGTTTCTTTCTTTCTTTCTTGTATCAAGATGTGTAGATGTATCGTCTGGCGAAGCGGTGGCTGGTACATGTATAGCTATAAATGCAATCACTTCTTTATTTCTATCTACCTTATATAACGACACTACAAAGTATAATGTTCATTTTCATGGACATGGACCAATAGTCTGCTACACCAATAGTATGGATCTGGTATAACCTGCATTGTTGCGGGCGTTTTGTGGGTGGTTCACTAATATTAATGCAAGGATGCCAGTTTGACCGGCCGGGGTCACAAGCTTGGCTATTCTCCAAGCAGCAAGTCGCGGGAGTCTCTATTACTTGATTGGGCATATTCATGAAAGCGTTGCCGTATCGGGACTCTTGGATGATACAATCTATGGACTAAAACAAAGGGACGGCTGTTTCTAATTATAACGACAGGAAGCAGAGATATATACACATTGGTATCTGTATAACAAGTCGTAGCAGTCATGAGAATAGCAAGCCAAACACCTCAGCCCTGATACGGTATGACATCAACATTGTCGTAGTTGGGCACTTCTAATGAATCAAAAAAGCTGACTTGGCCCGCATCTAGATTGGCAAAGAGATCATCCAGCACAAATAAGTTTGGAAATAAGCCAGCATTCGTAGTGCTGTATGGGGCAAATTCGTTTGGGTAGACGGGAATACCCCCCGTCGGAATTTCTAAAGGCGGCTTCATGAGCGGATCCATGGGATTTGCCGCCATGTCGAGCGGTGTCTGATCGCCAATGCCTTCCATAGTTGCGAGCTGGGGGTTCTGCGAGCCACGGGGCGTTTCCTGTCGTGGCTGTTGCGGCGGTAAATAGCCTGGAGCAGGGCTCGCCGTCACCCTGCTCAGTTCGCCAGACTTGCTCCTGTTTGTGAGCATTCTGCGGAGTCTCTCGATGATGTCGACGAAGAGCTTGAGAATCCACCCGCTGACGGGCCATGATTCCTGAAGGCAGTTTAGGCCCAGCATGCATGTGCGTGCGCGGTTCTCGGCGAGTTCTCTGCCAACGTTTCCGGATGTACATAGCGAGAAGACGTGCATGGATAGGGAGTTAAAGAGAGCTGGGATGCTATTGTTCTTGTTGGCTTCTCTGTCAAGATGAATGGAAGGGGAAAGAGAGATACTAACGTGTGGATTTGGCTGAGCCGCACAAAGGAAGTCGAAAGAACATCCTCCATGACTCTCGTAATCTCGTTGGCGGCAGCCACAGCTTTCGGTCGGTCCCCCCAGAAGTTTGAAACGGCGTCATTCCCCGTGCTAGTAGGTCGGTAGAGAAGAATAACGCTATAGCTGTAATGGAAGAGACATATGTCAGCACATCTCCATGAGACGTTTTAGAGAACTCCATCCGGCATACTTGTAAGCCATGAGGATCATGGCAGACCACAATCCTTGGCCCGTTTCGGGATTGATCCCTCGGTATTGTAACGCGGCTGGAACCTGTATCCTGAAATTCTCCAAGTCCTTTTCCATTTGGTCCTTTTGGTTCAGACTCGTTGACTGGATTGCGGCGTATCTCATCTTGACAATCCTCCCGACTGCAGTTCACGATTAGCTTTGATACACCAATGACTTCCAGGTCCAGTACTTACATATTATCGACAGACGCGCCATCTGACAGGCATACAGTGCTTCCTCATCGCCCAAATGGTTGTCGTCATCCATGTCGCTGGGCTCAAGGGGCTCTACGTCGCAATCCCGATGAGAAATATGCAGTGGCCGGCCTGTTGAACCACTTGCGATTGTGTCTCGGATCCGGATACACCACCAGATGCGTCTCCAGTGCCTCGACTTTTCATCGCTCATGTGTGACTTGGCCGTCCTGTCAAATGCTGCTGTAAGCTGTCTTGTCCTTTTCACACTCGTTACTAACATGACTCACGATCTATGCATCCCCAGGCTCTGAGCCAGACTCACGGCAACGCCCAGCCAATGCCACGAATCCTTCTCGTCGTTGGACCCTCCCCACCAGAAGCTGATGAAAAACACAGCAGTTACGTTGTTGACCTTGTCAGGATCCAGTTCTGCATCGTATAGAGCTTTGGCTTGGCGATAAAAGACGGACCGAGCGTGGGCTCTGCTTTCACATCCCGTCATGGCGATATCGGCTGGGTCGCACATGATTGCTGCCACCAGTAACATGCCGTTCAAAACAAGCAGCGACATCTGATTGCGGTGGCACTTTTCGATGAAATTGGTCTGGTTGACGAGGGGAAACGCGGGATGGAACCACCGGAAGTAGACGTCCAGCATCCTTTCCAGGGCATCTTGGCTCAGCCGATAGTAGAGGTTCCTCTCACGCAGCAGGGCTATCTGGGCATTCACAATGTTCTCGCGTCCCTGGTCAGAGGGGTCAAAGCCCTCGGCGATGGGGAAGTGAAGCCGCTTCTGGTAGTTGCTCCGATCACTCAGAAACGGCGCGAGAACATCGTGAATGGCATAAGTGAGGCTGAACGAGTCTCCGGCGTAAAACGTGCTGATGGCATCGCTGATGGGCTGCTGCGTCGGCCGCACGCTCTGGTCGGCAATGTGCAGATAGAACAGCGCGCTGGAGTCGGTGGGTGCGCGACGCTCAAAGGATCGCGATAGGCCGCGAAAGAGCTGGCCGTCTACGGGCTCCACGTTGGACGCGAGAGGTTGCTGTGATGGGCGAGTCTCTGCCTTTGGTTTCTGAGATGTGACGGAAATGGACAATGGATCCCGCGGGGGAGATTCATCAGATGAAGAAGCCGGGGTCTTTTGCTGCGACTGGCGATGAGGAGGAGGAGGCAGTTGTTGATTGAGTTGAGGCAGTTGTTGCTGCTGTTGCTGAGACTCTCTCTCAGCTGAAGATTTCTTTCGGCGAATGTAGCTGCAATCAACTGGTTAGCCTTGCTTCAACTCCTTGCTCCTCACAACTCGCACTGGCCCGCATAGCCAACGACGAGTTGCCTGCTTTGTTTGTTATCTGTCTGCTAAACCCCCATAGTGAGTGTGTGTTATGTGTGTGTGTCCACACCAGACCCAACAATTCAAGTCGCTCGCTGCAACTCACCGTCCACGCTTCGAGTCGATTAGAACGCATTCCGCGCGCGCAACCCGGCATCCAGAACAAGCAACTCCAGGTGCCGCATCACACTTGACCTTTTTCGAGTTGCACCGGCGGCATGCCACTCGAGTTCTGTCTTTCCCGCGTTGCCGGTGTCTCTGGTGGTCCTCCGGGCTCTCCATGATGTTTGAGATTTGCTTACATGGCGGCTAAGATGCCGGGGCAACAGGGCGTGCCCAGTATTTTATTGTCCCGTTTTTTTTTTTTTTTTTCCTTTTCTTCCTCCTGCTTCGGTCAGTCAGCTCCCATACACAGCAGTCAAGACTCGCCTGCAGCTGGTTTCACCGTGTCTCATCTCCCCGCTTTCTAGCGGACTCTCAGCCATCTTCTCTGCTAGACTTTAAGCAGAATAGGCCGCAATTCAAGTTTCCAGCCCCCCCGCAAACTAGCTGTTCGCAGAAGCCATGGCTTGGCCAAATCCCTGTCTAGCCTCGGCTTCTTCGGGCGGACGATTGCCGATCGGTCCCTCCACTAAGAGCTGGCCTCCGAAGCAATCTCCACCGCGGATGGCCATTTTCATCTGTTGATATCCCTGTTGCCAGCCAGCTCAACCTTGGGTATAGGGGAGCATTCCGTGGTCGTCTAGCATGTGGCAGGCACGTTGCAAAAGCCCGGGGTTGCCCAGCTTTGCTGCACCGGCGTCCACTTTGACGATGCTGCTCTCCACTAGTTTATGCGAACTAAGACGGGGGAAATTGGATGGACTTCTACAGCACTAAGTTTACACGAACTAAGAGAAAGAAATTTGATGGACACGTGGTCGATCTCACAACACCTCCTCTCCGAGCAGCTGGAACTGCGCCGGGTATCGATCGAGAGCCGGCCGGCTTGGCTGGCATCCGACAGCTTAATTGCAACCATAAAGCTTCATTATGCAGTGGCTTACGGAGGAAATGTTCCTTCTCGGATTCCATTTGTCAACCTCTTGGACTGTAAGCATGTAGCTGTCAAGACTGGAGACAAGAAAGACATCTATAATTGGCCATAGCTCCCGTTGTGGCGACTAGCTCAGCTATGAGTTTGTTGCAGAATAGGGAACTAATCCGGGCACAGCTTAAAGAAGCTTGAAAGAGGCTCATCTCCTCTTTGAAGTCATTCGTGGGGGGATTCCTTTTTAAGTTCAATCAGCACAATGTGATTTGATCAACTCTATCTATTGCCTATTGTTGACGCAAGATCTAGATTCGAACTCTATCACATCGACAGGTCCTATTTCGGCGGCTATGTAGATAAGGTTTTCCGAACAAGCCTTGACAGCCAGCCATTCATGCATCGTCAGCACTCAAAGCATCACTTTATTGTTGCTTCCGCGGAGATGAGATGATCTATGGCAAATTCATGCTATTCTTCCATCAGCTATACAAGCCCTTTATGTAAATGGGGTGGGAAGAATAGGAATTTGGAGATGGACTTACTTGATCAAAATAGTCTTTGGCTCAGTAAACGCTCGCAACGCCTACAGTCATAATGAAGTCAGCGCATATGATTCATCAAAGAAAGAATAGAAAGAAAGAAAAATGGCATAAAGCTCACGTATTCCCCAAACTCTCTTCCAATTCCTGACGCCTTTTTGCCTCCAAAGGGAGCTTGGACACTCATCTGTCACGTCACTATTAGTTTCATACTAGATCATAACACGTATAAGATCGGCATAGGCCATCAACAAACATACCATGCTCACACAGTTGACCCCCACGACGCCAGAGTCAATCCGAGCTGAGACTCTCAACGCACGAGTAATATCTCGTGTGAAAACACCTGCCATCAGGCCGTACTCTGTATCGTTTGCGGCTTGAATCACTTCTGCCTCGGTATCAAATGTCTTGATGACAGCTACAGGACCAAAAACCTCGCTCTTGTAAATCTCCGCGTCCGCCTTTGGGTTCACAAACACGGTTGGTTCCATGAAACTGCCTTTAGTGCCGATTTGGTTGCCTCCCACGACGAGCTCTGCTTCTTCTCTTGCGCGAGCAATCATGGCACGAACCTTTTCAAAGGCTAGGGAATCGGCCAAAGGGCCGTATTTTGTGTCTGGGTCTTGAGGATCCCCTATGCCGGCACTTGCAGCTTTCATTTTCTCGACATACTGTGAGATGAACTTTTCCGATATCGATCTATGGACGTAGAGTCGAGAGGCAGCAACACATACTTGGCCAGTTCGTGCTAAGATGCCATTCGTAGTCCTAATACCGCGTTAGCCACGTCCTTTGGCAAGCCAATAGCATCTGCTTACCAAGTGACTGCGTTGTCGATATCAGCATCTTCAAATACAACCACAGGATTCTTGCCTCCTTTAAAAGTATTAGCGCTGCCATCCATCAATGCATAAAGCTGAGCCTTTATTATACATACCAAGCTCCAAAGTCACTCGCTTCAAGTTACTCTGCGCAGCTGCAATCTGAATCTTCTTTCCCGTAGCAACAGAGCCCGTAAAGCTGATCTAGTAACTGTCAGTCCTGACGGCCTAAGTAAATGCTTCGGATTTGGTAGAAGAAGCTCACCTTTCGTATACGCATATGCTCAGCCAGCAACCCACCAGTTCTACCATCGCCCGACACAACCTGGAAAACGCCTCCAGGGAAACCAGCTTCTTCAAAGAGAGGAGCGATTGCAAGAGAGCCCAGAGGGCCTTTTTCAGATGGCTTCACAATGAGGACGTTGCCTGTTGCCAGGCATGGGGCAGCTTTGAGGAATATGGATGCCACGGGTGAGTTGTATGGAAGGATGGCGGCGCATACTCTTTAACGCCGTCAGTATTACAAGTAGGTATTATTTGACGATATAAAGTTGGCCACTTACCCTATAGGCTCTTGTCGCACGAGTTTGACGATTCCATCATCCGCGGGAAAATAGTCACCTCGCAACTTGTCGGTCCAGCCAGCTATGCAACGTTAGTCAGTCTTCTTTATTGTATAGAGAGAGCAAAGCTAACCATAGTACAAAAGACAATTCTTTATATAATTCTTTTCCCTTGTCGGTATCAGCGACACTGGATTCCCCGTCGTAAGAGAGTCGAGAAGCAAAACATCATGCAGCCTCGTTTCCAGCAGATCAGCTAGCTTTCTGAGGCATTCCGATCTCTGTGCAGCACTGAAAGAAGCCCATGGACCATTAAATGCTGCCTCGGCGTGTTTTACAGCGTTGTCGACATCCACGCGGTCGGCAATTGGTATTTTTTCTGCTACCAGAGAGCCATCTTTCGGATTGAATAACGAGTAATAGTCTTTGGAGTTGGATTCTATGTATTCTCCATTGAGATAAACTTTGTGAAACGAAAACGGCACTTGGCCAAGTAAAGTCTTCATGATGCCTTGCGTTACAGATTGTATCGAGCGTGCGTTATCCTCGACCTCGCAATCAATTCACTTGTTCAAGTTCTCATCTATACTATTTTATCTATCCTGAAACATTACTTTAACAGATGACGAAAATGTTCCACTACGTGAAGCTATTCCAGAGAGTCTGGAATTTTGGCGCCAAAGGGCACGGCTTCTTTCGGTGATTGAAAGAAGCCGAAGTAGCAGTCCTACTATGATGCCTTGGCATGGGAACTTGCTTAATCCTGTGTACATGAATAATGCACTGCAATTTCGGCTTCTGATTGAAGAGGCGTTCATTCCAGAACGCTCGATTGACGATAACTTGATGTCTTCACTGAGGTCAAAACAAAAGGCTGGCATGCTCGGCTCAAACAACTCGAGCATTGTGTATATAGCGATCCTTGGCAACATATAGATTTCTGAAAAACAAAAAAGTCCCAATCAGGACTCGCACATCATTTTTACAAGTCCATCATGTCAATGAAAGCAGTAGTTTTTCGTGGCCCCTTCGACGTTGGCGTCGAGAAGAGGCCCAAGCCTGTCATTCGGGATCCTACAGATGCCATAATCCGCGTCAAACTTGCTGGAATATGCGGAAGGTAGACTCCTGCAGGAACGACTTGTCTTCGTTTCGAAAATCTGCTAACAGGCCCCAGTGAACTACACATGTACCGCGGCATTCAGAAGACTGCGGCTGGCCACATCATGGTAAATATTATATGCGGAGATCCACGAATCAGAAGAGTCACTAATGCAGTTTGCTTATTCAGGGCCATGAATTCATCGGAACTATAGAACAGATAGGATCAGACGTGCATAAGTTTGCCGTTGGTGACGAAGTCGTCTCCTTATTCTCACCCGTTTGGTACGTTACTCAGGTCTCATCAGCCATAACAAACCTAATAACAAAGATACAGTCTGAAATGCTGGTACTGCAAACAAGGCCTCACAAACAGATGCACCGAAGGAGTTGCATTTGGCACTCAGAAGCTTGACGGCGGACAGGCTGAGTTTGTCAGAGTGCCTTTTGCAGATGGCACCCTCAATCTTGTTCCATCAGACCTGGACGAGTCTCTACTTATCATGATGTGTGACATCTTTCCAACGGGGTATTATGGAGCGTCTCGTGCTGTGGAAGGCTTATTGAACCAGCACCAGTCACCGCTGACCAGCTTCCGTAATACTCATACAGCCAAGGTAAGCTTTAAAGGTCACAATGGCCACATGAATGGCAGCACAAATGGCCTCATGAACGGTCAGACGAATAATTACACAAACGGAGATGCACCTCTTGATCGATTAGGGTCATCAGTGGTTGTCTGTCTTGGCTGTGGCCCCGTTGGGATTTGTGCCATCACCACAGCTCTATCAAAAGGCATCAAGACCGTATTAGCAGTCGACAGCGTGGAAGACCGCCTTTCTGAAGCAGCTCAGATCGGGGCAGTCCCTCTGAACCTCTCCAGGTTTAACATTCTAGAAGAAGTCATGTCTCGGACTCAAGGCCGTGGAGCAGATGCTGTCATCGAAGTAGTGGGCAATCCGGCCGCTCTCAAATCCGCTTTCGAGCTACTACGTCCGTGTGGAATACTATCATCCGTTGGCTTCCATCAGGATGATTTACCATTCACTGGTCTGGAATGCTATCTTAAAAACATAACGTGAGTTGTATTTTTGACATCTCCATAGCTGGCAGCTGCTTATTCACAATCTATATAGGATGAACTTTGGTCGAGTTCCAGTGGGAACAGTCTTCCCAGATGCTCTGGAATGTTTAAAGGAGAACCAAGGGGCATTGAAAAATTATGTCACGCATGAACTACCACTCGATGAAGCAGCAACTGGCTTCGACTTATTTGAGAAGAGGGTGGCTAGAAAGGTAGTACTTCGAGTATAGCAAGATACTGTAGAATATAGCCTGCCTTTCCAGAAGAGTAATTCCTTCTAATAGCCTATATGTCCGTTGAATAGCATAGTCTCGCAACTATTTCCCAACAGAATTTAGAGCAGCAATCCTATACGTGAAACTATCCAAAGGCCCGAATGCAAGTGCCCGTGTGACGCTCCCCATTTCCGCGTCCGGGATACTTCGGTTGATTTTACGTATATCCTCCAAATGATTCACACCATCATGAGTCCCCCCTTGTTGTTCTTGGCAATCATTGATCCTCCCCGCAAGGTTCTTCATTCCAATAAATGGCCTGTTGGCATCCGAGTCAGGAAATCGGCTAATACGCATCTACAGAAGTGGACTATTTCGGCTCCTAATTCCGATCGCAGCTAAGAATAAGTGTACCCATAATTTGTAGGCGACGATTATCCAAGAAGCCGAGGTGCATAATGCCGAAAATCATGAAGCCGATGCTGACTGATCCTTTGGGCGGGCCAGTGGAGAATCGCCTGTCAGCATGTACTCCAAACATGGAGAAGAGGCTATGGGATTAGATGCACTTTGGGTTGCCTTTGCATGAGCTGAGATGCAGAATCGTAATAGATTCGGAATTACAAAAAGCTGACGGCCTGGACAATGGAAATTGCAACTCTTACTGCCGCAACGTTTGCCTCTTTTGGATCTTAGACCACCAAGTACTATAGGACACAGATTTACAATGGTTGAGAAGCCCCATATTCGTATTGGCAATGTTTCAGGCGCAACGGGCGACCATCCACACGCCATGGCGCGCATGGTTCGCTCGGGCAATGTTCATGTAATCACCGGTGACTGGCTGTCCGAGATGAACATTGCCTGGAATGCCATCACGAAGCAGGAAGTAGACGAGACTCTTGGATACGAGGATGGCTTCTATCAGCAGCTTGAAGAATGTATCGACGACATTGTTGCAAAGGACATTCGCGTTGTGACCAATGCGGGTGCTCTCAATGTCCTCAGCTTATACAACAAAGTAAAGCGTCTCTGCGAGCAACGGGGACACCAAAACTGTGTCGTTGCAGCCGTACTTGGAGATGACATTACAGACTTGCTTGTGGATAAAGCTTCAGGCAAGAAAAACACTGGCTTCAAACATTTGGACCATCCCGAAATGTCACTTGATGACTGGGAGTTTGCGCCCTGCTCTGGAAATGCCTACATTGGCAGCTGGGGCATAACCGCAGCTCTTCGGGCTGGTGCCAACATTGTCCTTTGTGGAAGATGCACCGATGCTTCGCCAGTTATGGGAGTTGCTGCATGGTATTATGGATGGAAAGAAGACAGCTTTGACGAACTAGCAGGGTCACTACTGGCCGCTCACTTGATTGAGTGCGGCCCATACGTTGTTGGCGCGAATTTCTCAGGCTTTAAAGATTTTCTCTCTGATCTCGTTGATCTGGCATTCCCCGTTGCTGAGATTGATCCTCAAGGGGGCAGTGTTATTACGCGAACTGCAGAGGGAGGGGGCCATGTAACAGAGGGCACCGTAACTGCACAGCTCCTCTATGAGCTCCAGGGTCACCTATACTTGAACCCAGATGTCGTTGCAGATTTATCTACTGTCTCAGTCAAGCAACAGGGACCAGACCGTGTGAGAGTGACAGGGGTCAAAGGCCTGCCTCCACCGGCTACCACAAAGGCCATGATTGCAGGCAAGGGAGGCTACCAGGCAGAGGCAACTTTCTACATTAATGGCCTTGATGTGGCGGAAAAGGCTATAATGATGAAGAACCAGCTGTCTCATATTTTCCAAGACAGTCGATTCAGTAAACTCAGCATCGAACTGTATGGAACGCAAGCTGAGAATCCATCATCCCAGCAAGCCGGTACTGTGTCATTGAGAGTCTTTGCACAGGCTCGAAAGAAGGAAGACATTGATGAACTGCGGTTTAAAATCCCCTTGTATGCATTGCGGATGCAGAGTTACCCCGGCTATCACATGAATCTCGATTTCCGGACCATGGCGCCGCGGCCCTTTATGGAAATGTTTCCAGCGCTGATGCCGGTCTCGCTGATAGATCACCGCGTCCAGATAAGCACTGGGGCCGTCATAAAGGTCGAGCAGCCCAAGGTTACAGCGACGTATCCCATTGTACGGCCATCAGCAGATACGGCAGAGCCCGTGGATCTCTTGTCGTTTGGTCCAACAGAGTTTGCGCCTCTCGGCAGCATCGTCCACGCACGATCAGGAGACAAAGGCGATAATTCCAATGTAGGATTCTTTGTTCGCGATGCTTCGGAGTATCCGTGGCTGAGGACTCTTTTGAGCGTCGACAAGCTCAAGCAGTTGCTGGGAGATGACTGGCATAGCGGTGACCCGAAGAGGAGGGTTGAGCGAATAGAGTTTCCCACCATCAATGCCGTGCACTTGTAAGTATCACAGGATAATATATCTAGATGAGGGTGAAGTTTAACATTTTATAATCGTAGCCGGATACTTGATAACCTCAACGGAGGCATTGCATCATCGGATAGGATCGATGGACTTGGCAAAGGCGTTGCAGAGTATTTGCGTAGCAAGTATGTGGACATACCAAAGATATTCTTAGAAAGAGGTCGCATATAAAGCGAACTTTGAATCATGTACTATCATAGCTTATAGCTGGAGAATAAGTAATTGAACATTATTATGTAGTCTTCTTTCATGCGCCATCCCGCTTTGTTGACTGTGCAACGGTCTAAGTCCGAAAAGGCACAAACGAAAGGTTTTCCTCAGAGCTAGCCCCTTTTTTTTCGGCACCATTATTGAGCAGCAGCTGCACAACAGCTTGATGTCCATTTCGAGTGCCCCAATAAAGGGGCGTCCAGCGACATTTAATGCCTCTTACCACAGTATCGACACCGCTTCATATCCACCTCCGGCTGCAAAGGACAACGGCGTTCGATTGAAATCATTTCTCGCATTAACATAGGCACCCGCTTCCAGCAGCAGCTTAACAATGGCTTCATGTCCACCTTCGGCTGCAAAGGACAGCGGCGTTCGATTGAAATTATTTCTCGCATTAACATCAGCACCCGCTTCCAGCAGCAGCTTAACAATGGCTTCATCTCCACCTTCGGCTGCAAAGGACAGCGGCGTTCGATTAAAATTATTTCTCGCATTAACATCAGCACCCGCTTCAAGCAGCAGCTTAACAACGGCTTTATCTCCACGTTCGGTTGCAGTAGACAGCGGTGTTTGATTTACATCAATTCCCGCATTAACATCGGCACCCGCCTCAAGCAGCAGCTTAACAACGGCTTCATATCCACCTCCGGCTGCAATAAACAGCGGCGTTCCATTGACATCAATTCCTGCATTAACATCGGCACCCGCTTCAAGCAGCAGCTTAACAACGGCTTCATGTCCACATTCGGCTGCAATAAACAGCGGCGTTCCATTGACATCAATTCCTGCATTAACATCGGCACCCGCTTCAAGCAGCAGCTTAACAACGGCTCCATATCCTCCTTCGGCTGCAACGGAAAGCGGCGTTCGATTGAAATCATTTCTTGTATTAACATCAGCACCCGCTTCAAGCAGCAGTTTCACAAAAGTTTTATCACCGACTGCCCTCAATAGCATTGTTTCATTGCGTCTGTTTTTTGCATTAACGTCAGCACCATTTGCAAGCAGCAGCTTCATAAGAGCCTCATTTCTCTGATTAAATGCCCGTGTCAATGGTGTGTCATTAAGGTAGGTTTTTGCATTAACGTCAGCACCATTTTTAAGCAGTAGCTTAATGACAGTCTCATTTTTCTCACGGACTGCCCTTAATAGCGGTGTCTCGCTATCTATGGCTTGTGCCTCTATGTAAGCACCCTTCTCGAGTAGCATTTCAACAACGGCTTCGTGTCTGTTATGTGCGGCCCATGAAAGCGGCGTCCGATTGAAATGATCTTTCGCCTCGATATCAGCGCCCTGCTGAAGCAGCAATTTAACAAGGACATGATGGCCACAGTATGCCGCTACCATAAGATCCGTAAAACTTCGTGGCCGCGTAACGCTTATTAGTTCGTAATTTATAAATCGTGTATAAATTCCAACCCATTTAGAGTAGCTCTTTGATACTGGATTACAGATTTTCAGAGCGACAGGTATAATGGTTTCACCATCCTCGAAATTGGCTTCATGAAAATGAGCGCTCCAAAACTTAGCCGAGTAGTCTATAAACCTCTCATTGAAAGAGGTTTGGTTACCAGACACAGTTGCACTTGCCGAGAGTCTACTGTCATCGTTGAGAAGATTGAGATACAACACGCAGATCTCCGCAAGCGTAGCATGGGCGTTGCGGATAGTGATAGAGCGATGCCACAGCAGTTTCGGTAAAGTAGCCGTAGGCAATGCTGAATCTATGAGAAACTCTCGAGCCGTTTGATGAATAAAATAAACATTTCCGTGATAGATTGAGATAAACAACCCACAGCAAGATCTGAGGCGCCTTTCAAAATCCGAGTCATCCTCCAAATCAAGATCGCGGGTTGATTGGAAATCCATATTCACCGCAATGTTCATTTCTGAGACTTTTAGTGGCTGACTTGCGGCTAAGACAATGCTCAAAGCCTTGCGAGCAATTATGACGTCTTGAGATTTGCTGAGAATATGGTCATAGGCCTCATTAATCGTTCTGGGAAGAGCCGTAATAATGGACATGATTGCTCTTTCTGTTTTTTTAAAATTCTCTTTCTTCAGGTAGTCAAATATAAAGTATATCCAGAGATATGTGCGGTTAGTAGTTTCTTTTAACCTTTTTGCGAGTATGTTCGTGATTGGAGGCAATAAAAGCTTATCTCTTGCTAAGAGGCCAACCTGGTATGTTATAACGAGATCCACCTCTCGACTAATGGCGTCTGACTCTTCCTCTCCTGGTATTCGAATATATGGAAAAGTACTCAAGAGACTGCGGAATCTTGACACAATCTGCTCATACGGGCGACAAGTTAAAAGATACTTTAACTTGCTATAACCCTTCTGGTAACCACTGAATTGTCTCTTCACATTCTTTACTAAGTCTTCAAATTCGGACTCAGCACATTCATCCAACGCGTCGAGGACTATAGTGACAGATTCCGTATTAGACGGGTCTGTTGCAGAGTTTTGTAAAATTTTCCAAAGAGATTCCGTGGAATTAATTAAACCTCTGCCATTGGTTCGGTATTGTGGCATAGCATGTTTAATTAGAGATGGCGATTTAGAAAAAAGCTGATGAAGAAGTGCGCAAAGTGCCTGTCGCATGGTATTCTGGTCTTGGTCTTTGAAAAAGAAATAACAGACAGTAGTTGTTGCCTGCGGGAGGATGTAATCAATCAGGTATTTAGCCAACACTGACTTTCCACATCCAGGATCTGCCGTAACTAGTAATGGGCCAGTATCTTGGTTTAACCACCTCTTGAAGTGGTCGTGGTTAAGGAACCACATGCATGTATCTTCAACCCGATCTTCCACGCGATCTTTATACCACTCATACGTGGTGTCTTTATCGTTATCTGTAAGACGAAATAGCTGGTGGCATTCCTCTCTTGCTTTCTGTTCTTTATCAGACAACTTCTCTTGTGCCAGATCTTTTTGAAGTTGGATATGCTTTTGTATCGAATCATGGTGATCTTCAATAGCTTTATTGCAGCCTGATCGTAAAGTTAATATAGTATAATAATATTATTAACTAATTCTTTAACTTACTGTATAGAACATCGATGAATTTTCTCTCAGCTTGAACTATAGTAAACGGCATTTGAGACAGAAGATCTCTTGCATATGCTGCAGCTACCATTGCTGCATAGCCCTGCCACTCCTCATTCTTATGGGAATCAGAGTAATCGCTGATCCCGCGGATAACGAGGCAAGGGAAGTGGTTCATTAACCCGGCTGCCTCCATCTCAAAACACAATACATCCTTCTCTGCCGCAAGTCTATCTCGATCTAAGGCATTCTTCATGAGCTGGTTTGCTGACGCAATCAGACCGTAATGAACGGCGTGATTATCCTCATATTCGGTTCTTTCAGATCGTTTTATCAATCCTGATGAGCCACAGACGGCTGCGCAGCTCTCCCTTGATTGCGGATGGACGATTTCAGATCGATATAGCCTATCACTGCTTGAGTCCGGCCGCTTATATCGGGGCAATAGCCTCCTATTTTTCTCAAAGATTTGTTTAACAGCTTCTTCTAGCTTGTTGCCTTTTCTCTCGTGCTGGACCTGAATTCCAGCCAGTGCGGTCAGTAAAGCAGATGGCGGCTGGTTCAAAAATCCCGTAGTTTGATAAGGTTGATCCTGTATATTCTTGCCAAAATCGTATTGGAATAATCCACCGGTCCCATTGCTCGGAGCGCTGACTACAATATCGCCAAGACGGATATCATGATTTTTGCTTGGAGCACCACCGCCAATGCCAACCATCAGTCCAATTCTTATATTTGGAAAAGAGTGCACCATATCTCTAGCAACAGTTGCAGCTGTGGTCGTACCGTGGCTCCCAAAAGGCAGGGTGGCAATCACGATATTGTGTTGCCCAATTCTGCCTAACTTGTAATTATTATCATCGCGTTGAGATATAAACGCCGGTCCTTCATGCTCTTCGTCGAGAAATTCTTGCGCGGCAACGAATTCGACTTTTAGAGCGCATATCCAGCCGATTGTGTAGTCGCTAGGTTGAGACATGCTCGCCAGCCGCAGGATTATTCAGTTTTGAGTTAGGCTGAGGAGGATAACTGGTGCTTAACTGCCGAGAATCCTTGGAATTAACACTGGCTTCCACCAGACAAGTTAGACCGTGCCTGCAGAATGGCGGAATCTCTGAAGATAAGAACCAACCTGGCGGTGCAATTTATCGTCCCCAATCGCGAGACCTTGTATGGATTAAGTAGAAGATGAATCGACAGTTTGTTGAACCAGGAAGAAGAATCATTTAGAATATGCCGCAACATTGTGATTATCATTCCAACAAAAGCGGCTGGGCAACATTGGGCAGCAACATGAGGCTGTAGAACCCGTGACACACCACTGGGTGAGTATATTTCGTCCAATTATGTTGACATATGGCATGGCGGGGTGCTTTGACGCGCTTTTTACCAATCAATTTTATTTATTATACACGTCTTAATTGGCTGTTAGAACCCCGTTTTCACTGTTGCTGTGAATATTGCGTGTACCTTGCGATATACCATACATGCACCTAATATCAGGTACCTGCTAACATACAGTTAACTTTGTCTTTTGTGACCACCTTCATCTATGCATTGCCCTCGCAGTTTATTGCATTTGCGATCTTATATTCATCGATATTGTGAATCTAGTCTCCAATTGTTCGCCCCCTACAATAGAAATCGTTACGAAGTACAACAAAAGAAAGCCCGCTTGCTGATTTTCTCAAGCTACAGGTTATGCGAAACGTCCGCTGCCTGTTAGTCCGACCAGGCAATAGAAACTTGCCTTGTATCGCTCAATTGATCGATGACAACCAGACATCTATCTGCTGCCGAGGAAATAGATCGTATATAAGACAAGACAAGTAGGACAATTAATCTCCACCATAAGCTCCAACACCGTATTATCGACAGCTCGAGCCAGCTCCAGATCAGCGCAGTCACACATCAATGCGTGAAGCAAGCTGCAAATTGATAGATAGGACGTAGGCTGATGTAGCCACGCTCGGTTTTGTAAGATCTTTGTAGATGCCTTCTGGCCTCAGGAACGAGTCGTCCAATAAACTCTCGATGGTCTGGGCTGCCCTGAGATGAAAAATATCCCGCACGAATTTGCAAAAAAGGTCTCCTCATAACCTGTTGATCATGCGATTGACCAGGGAAATCGCCAACAACCATGGCTTACGGCATGGAGCTTGATTGCTTTCTTCTTCATGCCAAAGATGCTCCTCTTTTCTTCTTTCATACACAATTTTTTTTTATTTAATACTAATCTGTCTTTGACTCGTGAGGCTTCTTCCTTGAGCACTGTGAATTTTTTATTCATAACTTCTAGTACCTTTATGGGTGCGACAGGTCCTTTGCCTTAAACTTGTACCAGCCCACATCAAGAGACGATACTTTAGAATCTTCTTGCTCCCCTCAAACAATCCACTTTCACAGCATGCAAGTCGACTCCTTTGCATCATTTCCTTTCTTCAAACGAATAGGCCAATATATCCCAAAAAAATTAGAGAAGGAGTCTCCATTTACGCAGTGCGCCGATGCCTTTTCTATAGGTAATGAAGCCCCATCTGGACTTTTGGGTTCCAATTTGGACAGGTACACTTTCAGCTACCTCTTTAACATCTACATTTTCTAACTTTTATCTAGTACCTAGGCCTAGTATTTACGTGTCGCAATCTATACTCCTTAGAACGAGGCCTCTAAGAACCTTTAATTTTATCCTAGCCGCTTCGTCAGATGCTCAACGAATGCCGCCACCTGGAGCTACGAATGCTACCTGTGGAAAGATGGACAGGTACTGGTACATATGGTGCAGATTTTGCGCATGACGAAAAGTCCACGGGAGTGAAATTGACTGGGAAGAGACGAGAAATAATCATGGAGGACCTTGGGACGCGCAGAGCGTCAATGAAGCTATATCACAGGCAAACTTGCCGTTTGTTATTATTGTACCTCAAAAGAAGATGATCTTCGCTTGCGCCGGAATCCTAGCCTAGGAGCGTCAGCTCAGACAAACAACGTGGCCAACGATCAGATTTTATGGCAGTCAAATCCTACGCCAACTCTGCTCATCGAATTAAGCCGCCCTTGATGCCGCCTCGAACAAAGATTGCTGATATCTTCTTCTCGGTAATGCCTATCTCTCCCGTTGGTTAGCATATACTTTAGTCTTCCTCTTTTAGTATCCACGCGCTTGTTGCCACGCTGTTCTCTCTTTCCAACGATTATCGTTTACGCTTCAATGGCCTAATTTCAAAGTATAAATATTTGCTCCTTCTTTATTTTATTACTGATTAAATGCGTGGAAAGTCACTATTTATAATCGAAGCATATTTTCGGCATGCTTGGTATAAAGATGCTTCGCCCCCGGCGTCTAGCCTGTTTATGCTTTTCGTTACTACGTCTCATATGCCCGCCTTGACACTTGAAAACATCAGATTTCAGGATCAGCAATTATTGATACAGCCACGCAACATGGATTCATTCAAAGGAAGTCGTTTGAATTCTAGTTTCAACACTCTTCCTGCGTCATTACTGTCTTTCTTAAGCACTGTCACCGAAGATATCCCCTCAGACCTCTCGCGAGAGACTTCATTCCTCACTAGTGTCGAGTTGGAGCTTAGCAGGAAACTTGCCCTTAGGAACCACGTCTTCGCCAAGTTCTTAGATACCAAGCACGTTGCCCAAAAAGACACCAATGATCCTTACAGAAAGATTGGTGCCGGTGCTTGTGGTGCCATCTTTGCCCAAGACGGTCAGCCCTTCGTGATCAAGCTAGCCAAGACCGACGACGAGCAGTTGTGGAACGACAATTGTATGCATGCCTCTATTGCCGACGAATTTCGCAATTGGAACTTTACAGGAGTCGTGATACCGGCCTGCTACTACTTTGTCCCAAGAGGAGACCCTTACTTTGACCGGAATCCCACGCTTGTAGAGGCAGCTGAACCAGTCTGCAACCTGCCCACAAGCGCCCTTGTTACCGAGCGGATTTTCCCATTACCCCTGGAGACTCGAAATCTATTGATTGACAAGTATTGCCCAGTGCAATGCAAACAGGCCGCACGTGATGACGGGGCAAATAGAGACTGCCTGGTGCGAGTCTATCTCGGTTCAATGCAAGGAAGACAGGGGCGCTATTTCTCGCTACGAAACTTCAAGTTGCACCTGAATCAGATGGTGGAGCTTCATCTGGATGTCAAATTAATGGCTGGAAGAATGGCCATTGCTCTGGCAATCATGCATTGGGCTGCCAAAACTGATGCTCGGGATGTGGAATTTGCTCTGGGAAGCTCGTCGAAAAAGATTGCACACGGTTTAAGCGGCCGGGAGATGAGAACTCTCAGGTGGCCGACATATACTGGGCCGTCATCCTACGTCCACGAAGACTTCTTTACTCGAACCACCGACCTTTGGCTCCTAGACTTTAATCAAGTTCAGCCGATCACGATGGACCAAGACGGCGTTTCAAAGGCTGTTGAAGCCATCAAGCTCAACGATCCGTATTTCCCTCGACCGCTGCAAGAGTCGAGGATTGAGAAGATCTTGTGGAACGAGTTTGCCGAGCAGTACCTTATTACGGCTCATAAAATTCTGAGAGAAGAGGACGATAGTCAGAGAACATTGTCACTTCCGGGTATGTTTATTAGTGGACTGATCGATCTCGAGAGAAGGAAGCAGCAGAAGCAGCGTTAGTTAGTGTTAGTGTTCTGATAAAATGTCAATGCGGTAAATAGGATACCTCTTATACATAATATTTTAGTTGCAAATGTATTATGGAATCCCAAATCTTCTTTCCTCGCAAGTTCTAACGTATGCAAATAGTAGTTGTTAGTCCAAGAGCAAGAAATAGTCAGAAGAAACCGTTTCCTGAGAAACGCTTAAAGTTAAAAATGCTTTCCACCTCTCCAAGGCATTCCTCGCGGCCCCTCAGGGTATCTATTATCGAACTCAATAGCTCTTGCGAGCATGTAGGAAGAACAAGGGAAATAGTGCCTATCAACCCAGGGACATTCAGATTCCCAAGTAATAGATTCTTCCGGATCCGCCACCCATTGAGAGCTTGGCCCAACCAATGCCTCATCGCCCCATCCCAGCCTCCGAGCTTCGTACATGATATCTAAATCACCTATACTACCAGCATCATGAAGCTCTTGGGTAGACACTGCTGAACTTGGCTGGTATCCAAATGCTGCAATTTCTCGATTTTCCAAACTAATGACAAATTCTACCGCCGTTTCAAGCGTCATTTGCGCTGCTGTCTTTCCGCCAGAGCTATGGATGAAACCTTTGATCTTGTGAGCGATTGGATCAAATGAGACGGGAGCACTGAGCCCTTCTTCCACTCCAGTACGAATAAGGAGAACTGGAAGTTCGCTCAATTCAGTATCTTTATTGAATGCTTCAAGCCTTATAGAAATGATGACTGCTTGGAATAAAGGCTGTAATATAAAACCTTTCTGGCTCTGTATAATCCCAGGCTTATCTAGACCCTCACAATCCCACCATTTAACCGGAAGATTCGAATCTAAAGGCTCTTCAAGATTATCTGGGTCTAGTCTTTTGACTGCGTCTTGAGCAACTTGTACTCTCTTGCAAATAGTGTCATGCACTTTGGTAGCAAAATCGACCAATGGACCAGGCTGTAGATCGCTGGGCAAGAGCTGTGGAAGGAACGTTTTCGCCAAAAATCGCCTGTATTCAACCTCGTTTCGATATGGTCGATACCATTTTGTGTACAAGAAATTGTGAAGCAATTTCAAGAGTAAGGACGTGTAGAATGAGCGCCTTGCTGAAAAGATGTATATAGGTGTGGCCTTGTTGAAACAGTCGTTGGCTTGCTTATGAGTCATTTCGGCGGCTAGTAGGCCAAGATCTGCAATATTCGGTTGGTAAAGCCAGCGAAAATCAGTTGAGCGGTGGACCATCTGCACTCTATGATCGTATTCAATGAGCGTTCGAAGAGCATGAAGAATCCTCTCTCGAGAAAGATTAGGTGCAGGAGACGCCATATTTGAGAAATTCTATTCGTAAAGAACTTTGGGTAATAAATTCCCAAGCTGGTGAAGAATGAAATAAAGGAGTGAACAGTATAAGAGAAAATGTACTTACAAAGGCGAGAGAAAGGAGGTAGCCTGGCTATTGATATACAAATGTAAATAGGCTCAAGTGGCGCAAGCAAAAGCATAAAATTTCCAGAATATCCGGTGGCTTTTAATCCCCCCAATATTGGCTGGAAGTTTGGAAGATTGCGGATAACCCCAGCGTATATGCTTTATGACTCAAAAGATTACTTATTATATGTAACTACCGATGTTCCATATACCGCTATAGGCTCCTAGGGACATGTACTTTTGAACTTCAAAATTTTCCATCATTAGATGAGTTTCATCTGCGGCGATGATGATATAACCAAAGCCTGGACCGGGCGTGCAATATACCACGTTGCAGGAGACTATGCCATCTCATTATATAAGTAGACGCTGTAGCTGGATTCATTTTGTTTGAGCAACGCAGATTTGCGAGAAAGATATTTTTTAAGACGACAAATTTGAGGTAGGCTTCATTTGCAATGCGTTTGACGAATTAGCTGTTACTGTTATGCCTGCATTTGACCTCCCAGCCATTCGAGCACGATGCACCGGAGGCACCAACAATAACCCTTGTCATCCCTAACCTCACATGCCGTCAAACGTCTCTGTCCTCTCCCCTCCCATATCTATGTGAATTGAAAGCCACCGCCGTGAGAAAACGAAGAAGAAAAGAGGACACGCGAGTGCCGGTGGAGTATATGCATGTTTGTATCAGAAAGATCCAGTGTCTCCGTACCTATGTTGCGGAATGTGATTATAACCAAGGTGGCCTCATTCTGCAAGGAAATGATGCTGTGCATGATACCTGTTAATCGAGGCACTGTAAACACGGGTGGAAAGTTACATGTAGTTAATACAGAAAGCGCCGCAATTTGCCAGGACTAATAATTTAAATGTAGCGACCCATTTCGCCTTTCACTGTAGTCGCAGATTATATTGCTGCCTTATGTAGGTACGGTTCACTCAAACTCGGAACGTTCGCTGGCGCTGTCTCCATTCCCCCAATTTCCCTTATTCCCCCAGTCATCTTCGTTATTCTCATCATCCTCATCATCCTGACTATCCTGATTTTCCTCATCCTCCTCATGGTCTCCATTCTCTTCATAGTTTCCACTCTCCTCATTATCCCTATTATCCTCATCATCTCTGTTATCCTCAATATCACCATGACCTTCAAAGTCTCCTTTGTGTTCATCATCCTCATCACCTCCACTTTTCTCACTATCCCCCTTCTCTCGGCTAGCCATCTTGAATAAAGTCGAAAGATCCACCTTGTGTTCAACCATTAGATTCTTAAAACACAGGAGCACGGCTGAGCACGCTACAATAAGCTTCTCCAAGCATTCGGATTGCTCGTTCTGATACGCCGCGATTAGTGCGTTGATATTCTCATTGTTAAAGTGCATAATGTCGGCGTCATTCTCCAGCAAAAATTCAACAGCTTCCACGTCGCCGCGAAACGCAGAGATTATTAGAGCAGTATCTCCATCTTCGTCGGCGAGATTAATATCGGCGCCAGCATCGAGAAGAGTCCGCAATGAGGTCGTTGGAAGAAAAGCCGCGGCGTTAATCAGCGGCGTTGACTTGTCAGGACCACCGAAGATGTTCAGATCTGCACCGGCTTTGACGAGCACGTCTAGAATTTCCGCTTCCCCGCGTCTCGCAGCAGCAATGATAGGAGGAGAGTCAATACCCGAACCGTTGTTTGGATTGGCTCCGTGCTCTAGTAGTAGCTGCACAATCTCCAGCCTGCCCGACTCACACGCTGCTTGCATAGCACTGCCTTGAGGGAAATTCGGATTCTCTGTTAATGCGTTCACATTTGCCCCATGCTGTAGAAGCTCTTCAACAATCTCTTTGTGTCCCTGGCCGGCAGCGATTTGAAGGGCCCAACCATCTGGACTGTTGGGATCTGCATTGGCTTGTAGAAGCAGTCTGATGATATTTATAGTGCCATCAAACGCGGAAGCAGTCAGAGCATTGCCGTACTTTTCACCAGGTGCGTTTGGGTTTGCTCCATATCCCAGCAAGAGTTTGACAGTTGTTTCCTTTTCGCCATCGGTTGCTTGGTAGAGGGCGTTGTCAAGAATCTCCTGGCTGATAGACTCGCCCGAGAATGCCCAAGCACGCTCAACCATCTCATCTTGCTTCTGGTTGCTAGTTGCTGCTGCAAAGAACAACTTTCCGACATTGATATCCATCCCTTTGCACTTCTCTAGCAAAAGTCTGAAAATATCCCAGTTTGGATAGTCGTCAACGATGTCGAAAATCGTTTGATATACTCCCTCAAGTTGATCGCTTTCGGGTGCATTGTCCAACAGAGATTTGAAGATCACATCTCGTCCAGCGGCAGCTGCTGAAGCCAAAGCCTCCAGGTAATCCATGAAAGGGATCTTTCCTTGAAATCGGTCCATCAAGAAGTTGAACATTTCATCGTCCGCCAACACTGCAGCAAGTCCCAGCGGACTTGGCATTTCGTCGTCTCCATCGCCATTCTCATCACCATCTTTCCGTTCGCCATCATCTTCATATTTGGCAAATGAGACTTTCTCCTTATCGTATTCTACAAGTAATTTGACGGCCGAAACATTACCAGACGTAATAGCAGCATTTATGACCGGGCCAATATCCCGATCCGCGGCATTTGGGTTGGCGCCGCGATCAAGTAACTTTTGCATAACACTGACTTGTCCTCCAGCCGCCGCCATGGAAAGAGGAGTGGCATGGCCAAGATCAGCACAATCATCGACAGGCGCACCGCTAGTTAGTAGTTCTTCGACAGTGTTTAATCGGCCGTAGTAGGCGGCCAAATGTAACTAGTAATCGTGGTTAGCGACATTTTCAAGCTGAAGGGTTCAGTGTGGCGTGGTACTTACAGGGGTATTGAACATTTCGTCTCTCTTTGTAATTTCGTCTTTATAGCCGTTGCGGATTAGAGCCCCGACAAGTCGGCTGAAGCCAATGGAGGCTGCTACATGCAAGGTGTTGAAATGTTCATACTGGAAGCCTCTCAACACATCGGTAAGGCAACAATATCCCGCCAACCAGCGTCTTCTAACGAGTGAACTAGGTTTCCAAAACTCCTCGTCAAAGCTGAGCTCTTCTGCGATATCAAGCGTTGCTTTGCTAGCGTGGTGGAGCCAATGCTTCACTGCGTAAGCTGAGGCTTTGTCTTGTGTTATTTTTTCGAGTACTTCTTTCTGCTCTGGGCTAATAGTATTCTGTTCCTCTTCTGGACTTTGTTCCTCTTCTGGACTCTCATCTGCCTCAACGGCTGGAGGGTCAGGCGTTTGCTCTTGCTCGGGATAATTGAAGAGGGCTTTGAGATGAGATAAGCAGCGGTGAGCCAATACACCCTGCTGCCATTTTATTCCTTCTTCAGACAATCCAAGCAAGGTCTTTGCATTATCAAGAAGATGAGTTTTGACAACGAGATTGATAAAGCTAATTTTTGGGTTGGTTTCGTCATCGAGATGTATGGACAATAGCGGCTTGCACTGCTCAATTAGCTTATGTAGCTGTACTCTTTCTTCAACTGTAGAAGAAAACCCAGCAAGCACTCCGAGCTCCATCTCTGTTGGGTCTTCATAAGTCAAGACCATGGTGCGAAGAAGCTCTCTAATTTCTCCAGCCTTCTCCTTGTTCAGCTGAAAGATCTGCTGCCAAGCTTGATTGAGAAGAGACTTAAGATCCTGAGGCGTGCTCTCAAGAATGTCACGAACGGTGAGGTCGCTGTTCGTTGATAGCTCTTCTAGTTGTATACACAAAATGTCGATCCACTGGGTATTCTGAGCACGTCTTCCGATAAGACTACTCGCAAAATATGACAATGCTTTGTTGTAATTCTTCTTCTCTCCAAGCGCTGATACCATCTTCTTGGCGTGTTTCTCTAGCTCATTCTGCACTTTGCTCTTATGTTTAGAGTCTTCAAGGTCAATGATTTGAACGCAGTCGGCGTTGTCTGAAGCATTTGGGATGCCATGTAAATTTCGGTTTGTAATAAACCATCGAATCTTGGCGTGTCGCTGCGGTTGATCAGTACTCAATTCGACATTGATGCAATCTTTTAGCTTCTTGGTGGACTCAGACTCGGCTGGTAGAACGTGCAAGTTATTGAGAACAAGGTAAACCCTGTTACCAATTAACTCATCTGATAGCATGCCTTGAAGCGACTGCCACAAATTTTCAACCGAAACTTTTGCTCCAATCTGCTTCTTTTTGTCGTCCTTCTTCTGTTGTTTAGCAAACTTTTCAGTGTGCGGCGCCAGCGTTTCTTTCTGGATCAGCAGTTGTCTAACCAGCGATTTGAGGACATCTTCTGCGGTGGAATGATTGGATTCAACGTCGCAGAAAAAGTATGCGAGCATATACTCTCCATCAAAATTTCTTTTCGCATCCTGTTCCTTTCGGATGCCCTCGAGAGCAGCCAACGTAGCGCTTGTCTTTCCACGGCCTTCCCTGCCCTGTACAAAGAGACAGTCAACTGGTTTCTCGCCTTGAAGCCAACTTTTGTATTCATCCTCTGAGGACAACCAAGACGAGGGCGCGAATGATTTCAACAAGGCCTCTTCTTTTCTCTCAACTTGGCTGCCTTCCAAAGCGTTCAATGCGGCACTCAGCTTTGAGAGATCGATACCTCTGACGGCGTTGAGACGACTCTTGACAGCCGATTGGGCGCCATCCACTATTTCTCTCAAATGTTCATTGATTTGCGTCCATGCTCCGCCTTCCTTGCAGCTGTCAATCTTGACAAGCCCTCGGTGGTCGCTATGTAGACCCGTGTTTTTGCAGTTCTCCAGAGTCGCTGATTCCTGTCTGACAAATGTAATGTAGTTGCCATCAGGGAGGTTAAAAATCTGGGGATCCACGCCCTTGAGCTCTGCTATCAGACTTCTCAACTTGGAAATGTCGCTCTGGTCTTGTTCCCAGAAACAGTGACAAGAAATAGTTTGGTTGTTTCTGCTTGCTAAACGCGTAAAGTCGATTCTCAATTGGCGCAGCTCTCCGTTTTCTGGCTGAAGCAAGTCTAGCAACGTGGAATGAACAGCGCCTTTGTTCTCTTTTTCTGCCGAGCGCGCATAGGTACTGATTGACGAGAATATAGATGCACCTCTGAATGGAGTGCCGAAGAAGATGCATCCTGTGGTGGTGTTAAATATCTCTCTGGATGTGCCAACATCTGACGAAGCAAGAACTATCGCTTTTGCGATGATCAGACCTCCCATACTATGTCCAATAAAAACAATGGGCCGAGATTTGCATGTCTGTAGAGTTTATGTGAGTCAAGGTGTCGCGACAAATTTATATAAGTGGCAAATACATACCTCTCTCTTTGCCTTCAATTCTACCAGTAGCGTATCAGCAAGATTTTCAATGTACTGCCTGACTTTGAAACCCCCAAGATACGCCGATTCGTATTTAAAGAGTAGCAGGCGAGCTCGAGGGTATTTGCTTTGCAGCCCAGTCTCGTCCTTCATCCAATTGAAGGTCGAATCGTTGGAGCTCCATGATTGTACCGGATCTGCACCCAGTCCAGGAACAAATACAATGTCGACGTCTAACGAGGCATTAAGCTTGTTGTTCTCGGATGAAGGAGTTGCATTCTCTTTTTCTAGAGGATAAATCTGTACCACCCTCTGGTCGGCTACTTCGTATCCCTTTGGCGCCGCCTTCGGCGTTCTGGTGCCATTTGGATTGGCTAGTGAGGATTTTAGATTTATTTTCTGGCTGTTCTCTGCGAACATTGTCTGATATGTGGTGGTCGACATGTTTGCGGCTTAATGGTAGAGTGTTATAAAGAAAGTATTCTCAAAGACCTTGGAAGCTGAGAAAGATGGATCTTTCTCTAATCATCTAAACATAGTAAGGTCATATGAGATGATGAAATTTTGGATACGAGCTCATTGGTGAAATTACAAGATTAAAGAGATATTTAATGCTTGTGCGTAGATAGGTCCAGTACCACGCAGAGCCTCATCTTACTAAAAGCGTCTCATCATGCTTTTTAGGGTAGCTCGGCATGTAGAGCCCCGGATGGGACCTATTGAAATCCTTCAAACGGCCAAATGCACTCCTTCGGACAAGACACACATGATTAGCGTAGTTTTTGATGACAGATAGACCAATAAGAGGGAACTTTTGAAGACAGGAGGGATGGCTTTAGCATGGGTTGTATGTAGCCTTGCTGGTATATAGGCATATATTCTGCCACAATGTGCCCTATTCGTGATGGCATAGAGGTAGCTAGCCCTACCTGTTACGGCAGAAATATGAGATGTCATATACTAATATATCTGAGCGGGGGCTAGTTACTTTTTGGCGGAGATAATTCTCGAGTATACGAAGTGCTCGCGGTGTACTCACCATTTTTAGTACCACCACTTGAATCACCTCACGTATTCGATAGACTTTACCACTTCTGTGAATACTATAGCCTAGATTATATCCTCCGATCAAATCATTATGGCAGCAGTTATCACCTTTTCGAAGATCGCCATGGCAAGTGTTGCCTCATGATTTCCCAGAGTGGGCGATCGACTTGCCATCGCCGAGGCTTTCAGCCGCATAAACCATCGCGCTAAGTATCCCAAACAATGTTATTCGCTGCTTCTTGCATCTTGCCGCTCCATCAATACCACCTAGAAGTCATGTTTAATAATCAGCAGCAAGCATGACTGATAGAAACATCTGATACGTGTAAAATTTGCTCCTTGATCTTACCGCAATGTCACTTTTTCCGGTCCAACCCCAAGAATAACTGGTAATCTACCCCTGAGAAATATTCAGCCGCATGGAGCCAAGCTGAAACCGTCTATCGCGATTACAATTGACTCATACCATGTTGAATGCCTAGACCATTCTAGGTACTCCTTACAGACCGAAGCAAATAGACCATTAGTAGTACAATTTACCTGATTGATGCTAGCGTTTCGCGGGTACTGGTAACTCGTGGGGGCCAAAGTCTTAGTTCGGCATGGTATTGCCATCATAGGTGAAGTTGCTTAACTGGACGTTTTGTTCCGTTAAACAGTCAACTCAACTCTATGTATCTCCGCTGTAGCAAGTGGATATTTTTGTCAATGTAAAGAAATAGCAACTGGCATAGAGGGCTGAGTTCGAGATGTAATACTAGGAAATTAAGTAATTTGTCTGTATGAGATATCCTTCTCTAAATAGATGACGATATAGACGTATTATAAGGCACTTCAAGTAACACGCTAACTTCTTATGCGCCGTTGACGCCTTGGTATTGGTATTTGGTTCACTATGCACGTAGGCAGGTGTTTAGCCCAATCATTCTGCGAGTTGGCTCCACAGAGCTAGTCTCTTTACTTGCGGTTTAGTAGCTCGCTTGTGTGCCTTCGATCCTCTCCATTGATCGCGACTTATTAACTATCCCCAAGATCAACCGCCGCTGGCAATTGGTGCCACGTAGACTGATGCGATATCTAGTTAGTCTCGGCCCGCCATACATCTTTACGTGCCGCGCTGGTTTGCATCTACAGGTATAGTGAGTGTTAAGAGCTGACGGGAATGTGGCCAATCCAAGTCTCTGATACAAGCACCGCGCAAATGGCTTGTGTAACATTGCCACGAATTAAACGCTGCAGTCTATGCTTTGTTAATAGTCAACCGAGAATGAGAAACTCTGGCCGCAGAAATGGCCCGAAACGAGACAGTGGCGGTGGGGTTGCATATGATCCCTGTGAAAGAGTCAGCCTAATCTAGCCTTGGGCTTATTGCGATTTTTGAGGCTCCTAAAACCTCCGCATATTATTCTTGAATCTTACGGCCTCCAAGAGCCACCTGAAATAGCTGTGGAATATCCTGGGGACGGGTATCGCTATCGAGCCGAGGCTTGACGTTTCTCTAATATCGCTCTACGCTACATTGCCTGTCGCACATTGCAGCTGTCATGAAAACTTCTACTGATAATGCGATGGGCGTACCAGGTAGGCGCCCTATTTTACATTTCCCCTCTATCTCGATAGGCAGCCAACTCCATAACACTGCCTCAGAATCTACAAGGAATGTGTTGACTGAAATTAGGAAAACGTATAGATACTGACTGTACGATAACCATCGACAGCCCGGATGACGATACAAACCCAAAGTCCAAAACAAATCTTGGTACGTATTCCTTTTTTTCTTTTCCAATCTAGTAACTTGTATCAGAGGAAGAGGCGAAAGCTTCGCCAGTGGTTTCCTATGGTTTGTTAATTGATGTGTCTACTATTAGTCCCTCCATTCACCCCTGAAGAAAATATTTTCAACGAGGAGCTGGTCCTACCTGGGACTTACCAGCATGGAAGGAGAATCATTAGCATCAATAAAGATGACATCTCCTCAGTGCAGGAGTATATGGAGCGCGATCTGGACGTCTCTCGTTTAAACGAGATCCACAAACATCTCTGGCTGGCAGGACTGCCACAAATCTCTCGCGCACTACACAACCAAGTCAGACTCGGGCGAAAGATTGTCATTACTGAAAGCGCAGATCTCCATCTTGTGTGGCGCGACAACGTCTTGAACCTCAAGCCACTGCCAGACTATCTACTCAGCCATTCGTTCTGGGACACCATTTTCTGCCACAATCGGGAACTTTTCGAGAGCGCAAAGGGATTTCTATATTCATACACCTGGTTGATATGCAGCAAAAGCGATTTGCGGATTGCGCATGAGAATGGATTGATATCGGAATCTGTGCAATGGAAGCACTGGGCGCCGTTCTCTGCAGCTGTTGTTTCTTGCCTTCAAAAGAATCCAAGTGATCTCAACCCGAGATATATCTATGGAGAGCTTCGTCTAACACGACTTAATTTGATCTACAGGCTTTGCAAAAACACGGCCAACTTTTATAGGCTGATACGGGGTTACGAGTACGGCTATCATCAGTACTCTACCTACTTTGAGCGAAACTTCAAATGGGTTTTGACAGCCATCGTCTACATAACGGTGGTATTGGCCGCCATGCAGGTTGGGCTAGCCACGACAGAATTGAACGGAAACGCAATGTTCAGCCGCGCATCGTATGGCTTCACCATGTTTTCCATCTTGGCGCCGCTGATCACGTTGATCATGGGGGCTCTCATGATGCTTATACTGGCTGTGTTCAATGTGCGTTATGCGCTGACGCAGAGGATATTTTCGCAAAAGATGTATGCAGAGGCTTTTCGGAAGGATTCTGTTCGAAAACATTATCATTAAAGAGAGGAGGACTGGACATATGCCATTTGTCTACAAATCTGCTTCAATTGTGCGTTTGGGATGTTGCGGGAGTATTGAAACTCAAGTTTTCGAAACGTATACGTATCTAGTTTGCAACATGTATTAATCTTAATGTGTTGACCCTTTTGTCTATATCGCCATCCGAAACCATGTCCCCCTCTAGTACCAAATTTATATGTGCGTGAAATGCTGGTTTCAACGCTTTAGTTATCATCGCTTCTTCAATGAAAGCTCTTCAACCTCACGAAGCACTTTGTCGTCCGACTTCCACATGAGAGGTAGCCAAGGCGGATACTTGAACCAGAGAAGCATACGCTGTGGTTGGATTATGACGTGGAGATGCAGATGGTGAATCGAGATGATGTCTGGATAGAAAATGCTGCCAATCAGTGGTCGTCGGCCTCGGTGATATCCAGAGTGTATCCACGATGAGGTCATGTCGGGACATCGTTCCTGAAGCAGGTGGCGCTTCACTCTGTCCATGGATTGTACTGTTTTGTATGGCATTAATATCTAAGAATTGGAGATTGACGATGAATCTTACAGAGTTCTAGATGTGAAGAGTCAAGATTCTCAATATCTCTCACGGTGTGCTCCTTGGGCAGGATGAGCCAGTGAATCTGCCCTGCCAGGCGCCTATTATCAATGACAATGATTTGACCATCCTGCAAGCCTTTATCAGTACAAACCCTTGTAACCAAAACGGCATCACAAAGCACACCTCGTAGACTATGCTGGCGAAATTCTTGCGATCGCAAAAGATGCAGTCGTGCTGTCTGCGCTCCGTCCATTCAAGATTGCCGAGGTAGCGGAAAAGCCGCCGAATCGTCTCCATTTTTGGGCGCCAATCGCAGATGCAAGAGGTGATGAGGCTGGCCGAACATGGCAATGATTGAGATTTCTATACAAAGACCGCGCTGTATGCGGCCTCTTCATATACCTAGTTGGTCGTACAAAGTAGGCTTGTTGAACTAGCTGAATCCGCTGAGAGCACAGATCGTGGCTCGTGATGGTGCCCTTTGTGTGCTGGCGCTTTGAAAACGCCCTGTAGCCTAGGACGGACTGGAACGGCTTGTGGCTGTGCGCCTCAACAAACGAAATGAGAGAGAGATCCAGCTCGCGGCGGTGTGAAGCGGCTTAGTGACTGTGAGACATGCTGAGTCTTCTCGTGTTCGATGAACGAGCTTGGACTGCCCTTTAGTTTTGCTGCATAGCCATCGTTGGGGCTCTGTTTCGTAACAGATGCCTGACAAAGGATCACTCTGTTCGATGCTGAAAATCATACAGTAGGGAGACTCACAAAGGCCACTATCCGTTCTGCTTATGCGGAGACTGTGTAACAGCTTAGCGCAGTAAAAGTCTCCATATCTTTAGACCCAACAGAAGCAAATCACAGCTTGACCCCGCAGCAGAAACGCGAGGCAGATTGGCACACTGACTGGACTTTGCTTGCACTTTCGAGAACCGCCTGTGCAGCGTCTATATGGTGTTGGGTTCAGGGTCTGTTTTGTATAAGAGTATAGGCTCCGAGGAGTATCAAATAGGCCCGAATCAGGTTAGACAAAGCCTCAATATAATTCCATGTTATTAGATACTATGTACATGACCAGCGTTTCGTTTCAATTCCGTAAACGCCTCCCCGAAACATAGCGATATCCAATCAACGTAACCTGCAAGTCCGGATTTCTCAAATCAGCATCCTCCCAAGCCAGAAACCTCTCAAACCCAGCCTTCTCAAGAACCCTCTGGCTCGCAAGATTATCCACCAGCGTAAACGAAGTCACCAGCTCCGGCGACGACTCTTCACCCTCGTCAGGCAAAAGCGTCCGTCTATCGATTTCAATCTCTGCCTCTGCGCGGGGCAGCTTGCACCACATGTCCAGCCATGCCTTGACAAACTCGGTGGCGACGCCCTGGCCCCAGAACTCCTTTCGGATCATGTATCCGATGGCGGGCCAGCCAAAGAGGGACGCGGGCTGGTGGCAGCCGCCAATGCCAATCAGCTCCCCCGTCTCTTTGAGGCAGATGGCGCAGTTGTAGGTTTTCTCGTCGTTTGGGGGGAGAAACGGGCTGAGCTTGCGCTGCGTCTCTTCCAGATCCTTATCAGGCCGGCCTTGAGGGTTATTTGCCATCACCTCCGGTTGAGTGCGCAAGATGTGCAGGCTGGGGGCATCTTCTGCAACGAGCGCCCGGATAAGCAAGCGATCTGTCGTTACTGGAGATCGGCTGGAGTTGAGTGGCAGTGGGCGCTCAGGCAGGGTCGTCTTGATGGTGACCCATTTCGGCTTAGAGGCTGCCATTTGCTTGATATCTCCTCGAACAGCGTTGTCGTGATGCTCTTTTCATGCGGGTCTTGTCCGATGCTCAGTTATGAGTTGTGAATATCTCTCACATTGGTTGCTGGGATCGCCCCCCATGAGCTTCCCAAAGGGGCTAAAACAGCCCGTTCCTTCGTAGACTTTAGCCCCTCGGACACTTGTTGAGCAGCACGGTAGGAGATCCATAGCGCCCTGTACAGTGTCCATCACGATAAGTTTGCTGCCTGCATCCCACTGAAAGTCCGAAGGTTGAGTCTGCGAGGATGGGCTGACTTTTGGCGGGGCTTGTGGTCAGAATAACGTGGAGGTTGGCGATTCCACAGCCGGCCCTATGCTTTTAGCCTTTATATGTTTTGTATCTGGCTATTCTGCTGGTCCTTGTTTCTGCGTTGAATTCGTCAAGTATTTGACAGAATCCTCGTATTGTAGGGCACTGTGCTTCTAAAGCAGCGACGTTGTCAAAGCGTTTAATATAGTTTCGAATGCACCATAACAATCTCTACAGCCATTAAATAGATGGCTATTGCAAAGCGTCAGAATTTAACTTGTCATGCATTCTACGGGCTTTTGCGGAATTATGGGTGGGATCAGCACAGAGCCTTTTGCCTTGATGATGTGGCAACCACAGGTGGAGCGGTTGAGCAACTCTTGTAAATCTCCACCCTTTATAATACCGCTCGCTAGACATCTTCATTTCAGGTCCATTATGCATTCGCTAATATTTGGCTATTTTTGGCTGATGCCAGCGTATATTATTCCTCCGAGTGCATATGTAGATCCTTCCCGCGGACGCACGAGCGGAGCTGGGCTCAAGGAGATTGTCAGGGTTCTGTCCCGCCACGCCTGTCCAGTTCGGTATTAAAGTCGAGGTGACTAATAAGTGACTGTACGGCGAGCACGCTGTGAGATAGAATGAAAGATGCCAAGGTTGCCAGATTTCATAGCCGAGGATTGCTGCTCGAACGATAGTCCCACTTCGCCTTTAGCCATAACTCGGAACACTGGAGAAGAGCCTCTAGGACTAAGCCAGAAGGAAAAGCAGGACCACAACTGTTAGGTCTACTTGCTGTAAGCATAAATAAACCTTCCAATCATTTTCACCGCATGTGTTTCGCATATATGGAGTATCAATTAGTGCGAATCGGCCTGTCAGACTGAGTAGTGCACACTAGGAGTTAGTGGCGTGGCAACTAATACTAGCAGCAGCAAAGTCGCAGAGAGATGCCGACAACTACGGCTATTTGCCGTGGCGGTTCGGAGTACTAGGCATGACTGAGAAATATCATATCCGGCCCCTTGGAGATGTGGTTGAGTGATTGTTGTGAATATGACGGCCGCAGCTCCATACATGTATAGTAGCGGGTGACGACGGGAAATGCCCGCATTTGGGGTAGCAGTTGGTCATCATAATTCATGCAAATAAAAAGAATGGAACGCGCGGCCGATCAAATGTGTCTATGCTATCAGTAATATGAATATTGTGCTTGTAATTGCCGGCACTGGGTACGTGTATCTATGCTCGAGTAGCCTACCAAGGCTGTGAGCAACAAGGCTGCGAAGATGACTCGGCATTAACATGTACTTTTTCAGGTTGTCTACATGTACTGCAGCATGAATATGCCAGCTCAGCACACCTCAGCATCCGGGTGCATGTGTCTGTATGTAAGTGCATGCAGGCTATGTACATGTAGTCATCGTTATAAGCCATGATGACAACATAAGCGGCTGGCCGTGAACCTATCTCCCACCGGCGACGCTTCTGCAAGGGTAGAAGGTAAAGGAAATACGGAGAAAAGGCAAGAGAAGAAAAAGAAAAGGCCTCTTTCTGTGCAACCACATACCCCTCGCGTGTGCTCTATCCAGGGTGAGATTCCTATATCGCTGCATCAATCCCGGCTCCCTGGACTCGACCCAGCAAGCTGTGGCCAGCATTCTCGGATAGAAGCCAATGGCAGCGGGACCTGATCAATATTGCGCGTTCTCGCTAATAAAAGAAAAAAAAAAAAAGCGTGGCATGGATCGTCTGCAGCAGAAAACAAGCCTCAACAAACATACGCATAAGCCAAGCATTGTGTTGGCATATTGACAGGATCGCGTAGGATTCGGCCAGGGTGCTGCAGTGAGAACAGGGCGGAGTACAGGCCGCGGACAGGTACCTCCGTCGCAGGTGCCCCCGCCGAGGAACCCCCAGTGCTGCAGCGGTTCTTGGCTGTGCAAGGGTACCGCAGCTGAAGGTACCCATGTGGCGGAGAGTACATGTTCCTGCGAGGCCAGGGAGATGGCACAATGCATGATAGAGGAGGTAGGTACCCAGAACAGTGGATGGATATCTGCGCTCCTTGGGTGGCCTTGATTACAGCCTCCCTACATACACGAATGGCTCTGCACTGCACTGTAGGGATTGCGGAGAGCCACTGAAACAGGGCTGCTGGGGCCTGGACCTTCGGCATCTTGAGCCCTGCCGCCCGCCCAACTGCCACTGAACACTCCACCCAACAGCGAAGCGCAGAATCCGGGGCAGTGGTCTGTGGTGGCATTGCAGCGCTGCATGCGGTACGCGGCTGCGGCGACGCTCCAGGTACTGGATACGGGGCGGCGAGCAAACGCCGAGGGTGCGAATAAGCTGCTGGCGGAAATATGCATGTACTGCCGGCCGTGCCAGGGGCCCTGATTGGCCTGCTGGCGGCTGCGACGCGATGGATGGCGCCCGATAGGGAGAAGCCGCCTGCTGCTGGCGCTGCTCGGGTGCCGCCCATTCCCGCACCGCGCGGTACCCGCTACTTCTGCCCCAGGTGCCTCTCTTCGGTGCTTCGTGCTAGGTGCCTAGCGGTGCCTGTAGCGCATCGCTGCCGCCCGTTAGCCCGGCAGGTACCCATCCCTATGGAGCTCGCGCGGACTGTACCGCGCCACTAACGCCCAGCCCGCTGCACGGCCCTGTAAGCGCTCATTAGTCAGCCGATCGAGCTCTGGATGAAGCCGATGCAGCTCCTTCATCAATCCCACGACGCTGGTTCACCGACACACGCAGTTTTTCTTTTTGTCAGACAAACGACTGCTTTTTTTTTCTTTTCTTTTTTTTTTCTCTTCTGTCTCTTGTTTTGTATATGCCACGCAGGCTGAGACACTCGATTTTGCGCCACAGACTCGGAAACGCTTAAAACAAACAAACACCAAGCGAGAGAAGCAAGATGGCTCTGCATATGAAGTCGGGCGGCATTGGCGCTGCCGCGTTTCAGGGACAACAGCAGCAGGATCGGGCTCTATCACGAGACAAAGGTGAATGGACTTGATTGCTTTTTTCTTCCCTTTGCCTTACATATTGGTGACTGGTTGAATGAAATAACCCCTCGCCGTCGTCACTCTTTGCTGTTGTCTTCTCTCTGTCGACGAGTCCTGATACTTTCTTTCACCACCAAACTAACTCATCGCCATACAACCTCAAGCTCCGCCAAAACGTGCATCCACCGCAAAGCCGCTCCAGTTCGTCACCGTCACCTCCACCAAGCAAAAGAACCGCAAGGATGTCTCCAAGGTCGTCCGCACCCAGGCCATGCGCGACTATTTCTGGAAGCAGCGCAACCCCGACAGCTCTGAAGCCGCCGCCAGCGATCTGCCCATGGACCCGTCGCAGTACAAGGGCCGCTTCCGCCTCAACTCGCCGCCCAACGCCGCAAAGGCAAAGGCCAAGGCCGCGGCCAAGAAGGATAAGACGCGCGCAAAAAAGGCCAACCAGGTCGCCAGAGTGCAAAAGGGGCGCATCGGCGCGGCGAGAGACCGAGGGCCGCTGCTCGACATTCGCTTCTACCTCACCGACGGCCTCTTGGAGAAGATCCCCCCGAGCATGCTGGGCGCGACGCTGGATCCCTTTGACTCGTTCAACCTGGATATGAAGCCCGAGGCCTTGAAGCTCATCTGGTACTGTAAGTCGAGTCCAAAAAACAGAATATACGCAGCCCGTTGCATCTTTTGGCTTGGGCTCCCCTCTCTCTCATTACGTCATCTTGTCTTTGGTTGGCGTTATCACACATCCTTGAATCACATGTATATATGCCTTGTCTTGCCTTGTCTTGTCTTATCTTGCCTTGCGTTGCATTATGCTGCCATGCCTTATCTTGCCCTGTCTCATATTTGCTGACATGAGCCGTCGTCTCCATCTCAGATAAGCAAAGTTACGTCAAAGAATTCCTCGAGCTCAACGTCGGCGGTGGCTATACCCTGTTTGATGCCAGGGAAAACTGCGCTCTCTTTCACGCCATCTTGTATCTGGTGGCCCTCGACTACGTTCTCCGTCGCGGCTTCGAAGATGACTTGGGGTGCCTGTACCACTCATCAGAGGCTTTCCGCCTCATCAACAACCAGATTCGGAGTGGCAAGATTGAAGACTCGACAATTGCCGCTGTGGCAATGATTTCCACCAAGGAGGTATGTCTCTCTCTCTCTCTCTCTCTCTCTCTCTCTCTTTTTCTGTCCCTGTGCCTGACTACACATTACATATGCTAACTTTCATTCAGAACCTTGCCGGCATGTTTGACATTTCATATATCCACATGCAGGGCCTCAAAGACATGGTTCAAAAGCGTGGTGGCATAGACAGCATCAGGGGCATACACCGAGGAGTAGTTCTGTGGTTAGTACACCCTGTCTACCTCCATCCTGACAAATACCATCGCCTTCGCCATAAGAGGCCTGCCTCAGCTGACACAATCTCCTAGGGCCGATTTCTTCAATTCAACAGTCTTCAACTGCGCGCCGCAGTTTCCCACAAACTTCTCCCCCGTCATCGAAGAACCACCGATTACACCCCCTGAATCTAATCCTCTAAGCTCGCCTTTAGAAACCATTCTCAACGATGAACTTCCGGTCCTCTTAATCATCCAGTCACTCCGCGATGTGTCTGAGGAGAAAGAAAATTACCGCTCCATTACCCAAAACAACAAGGAAATAAACAACCGAATTTATGATATTGAATACAAGCTTCATTGCTTGCAGAGAAATAATCACGAACACGGCACTAGCTGTGGAAAGATGATTCCATTTTGTGTCGCGCTAAACATCTATCTCTACCTAGCAATACGAGAGCTTCCTGTCAGATCCAAGTTGATGATGATGTTGATAGATCGCCTGCAAGAGACTTTCAATACGGAGCCTATGCAGTGGTGGATCTCCAATCAGCAGCAAAAGAACCGGATATTGTGGATGTTATTCATCGGATATGCCGCTGGCGTGGACACTTACAAAGATGCATGGTTTTTTATAACTATAAAAACCATGTGCAAAAACTACAAGATTCACGACATGGACCAGCTCAAACAAAACTTGAAGGATGTCCTATGGCTGGACTCTTGGTGTGATCAGTACTTTGACAAGTTGAAAGTCGCCTTGGAAGCTCCAAAAGTCGAACCATAGACTGGTAAGTTGAGGCCATCAACTTCTGAATCTCTAGTATCATGACGGGAGTTTTGCCTTTTGTGCTCTTTCTTTCTGCTCTTTCTTCTTCTCTTTTTACACTAGAGTATTTGTTTGTCTGTCTATTAGCAGTGCGTTCAGGCTGATGATTTGTGTAAGCATGGGTTGACAATTTTTTGGGCATAGCGCTTGTACTACATTTCCAAGTTTGTATTTCACATTTATCGCTGATAACACAGATTGAATGTACTATACTATCCGTTCCGTCTCTATTTTCTTGATACCCAGCCACTATTCTGATGAAGAAAGGATACCGTTGTTGTAGGCTTCGTACCACCCTGTAGTACTGCAGAGTGTAAATTGAAGGCATCAGATCAGCCCCATACGGCGAAACGTACCTGAATAACAAGGTTTTTCTTTCCTGAACACAAGCAACAGAAATAAAGAAGACGAAAGAACCAAAAAGAAACAAAAAGATTACCCGCCTCGGCAAGGCCATTACTCGAATATCTCGATCAAAGCAATCGACTTCCACAGAGATGGCCAAAGACCAAAGTCAACGTCTTTCCGCCTCTCATTCACTCTGCAGAGCCCTCCAGTCACTGCTTTGGTCGGACTTTAGCACGCCATTTCCATTTTCCGATTATCTCCTAGTTGTGTGATGGCCCATATACTGTATCCCACTCGTGGCCCACAACAACGCAATAAAATGACGTTTCAGCCATCTCCCAACGGTGGAACCTCCTTGTACAACGAGAGGCGTGATAGGTGGGAATTTCCAGTGACCCTCTTTATACAACGCCTGCATGCGCAGTAAGCCTTACTTTCGCCATGGCTGACGATTTAAACTGCTCTCAGCTGCGGGAATTGCAATGATAGCGGCTGTCCCGCCTGGAGGCTTCCTGTGGAGAAGTGCCATTGTCCAAGCATCTCTGTAGGATTGTGGATCAGGTGTGCTGACACGACTATATCGGATCTGGCAGCCCTTCCGGGGCGGCGGGTTAGAAAGACAAGAAGAACCTGCAAGGAATGCAGATATATATGGGTTTGCTTACATGTGCAGGAAGGTCTCGGGCTGTGATTGTGTTTGGGGGACCGAGGCGGATGGAGGGCCCGAGACGTTACTTTTAGGTATGGCGTTGTATTTGACGGCTTGTGCTGCGTCTTATAGCTAGTATCAAGTTGTTGTTGTTGTTTTTATACGCATATCGGCCCATACATGAATATTGTTGTCGACTTACGGTTCTATATTGCTTACATGACGGCTAGCATACTCTGTCCTCTGCTGTCAGTTGGTGCACATTTCTTTAAGTACAAAGGGTAGACTCATGGCGTGTATATCATCAGCCCTTTAAGATTACAAAATAGAGTGTACTGTTTAATCTCGAACCCATGGCCAGTTATTTGTTTAGAATTACCGCGTTCCATCATATCATGTTAGGTAGCGACATTATGTCTTGACGCAATGCATATGATTGGAACATGTAGGGGGCGTCAGTGACAAGATCTGTAAACCCGATTAGAGCTGGGGTTCCTGTAAATTCTTACAATTGTTTACTTCATGGGCTCGCATAAGACTGAATTCCTGCGTATATCTACTCTAGTCGGCTATCAGTACGTTAAAAGTTCCATCAAACCCATGCTCTTGAATACTTCGTCTTGTTCCTGATTAATATCTTTTCGCGCCTCGAATATATCTCGAGGAGTGTATCCGTCGATATCCGTTGCAGAAAGTTGCGCACCGGCTGTTACAAGCATTTTGATCATTTCTGCCCCCACTTGAATGTTGTCTCTAGGAGATAGTATCGCGCCTACCACGACGTGGAGTGGTGTTCGCTTATAGCGGTCTATACAATTAACATTGACCTTCAATTTAGAGATCAAGATACCAACAAGGCGGACCTGTAAGTTTTGCGCAGCGACATGTAAAGGAGTGGCGCCGTCGCAGCCTCTGCAAGATGCGTTAGGGTCAATTTTGCAGTGATCCAAAAAGTATTCTATGGCTGCTGAATTGCCTCGCTGCATAGATAGAGATAATGCCGTTTCATAGCAGGAGTCATGCTGTTTTATCGATGCTATGTTGCCAAGCGCACCATATTGGATGCTATATTCCCGACCGGACATATCAAGGAAATGATGACTATGCCACTTATCATCATGGCATTTTACTTTGGCTGTTCGAAAATGCGGATCGACTCCGAGTTTCTCGATAATTAACCGGAGTATATTAGTTTTGTCCTTCTCAATTTCATATATGCCAATGGGCTCTTTGTAATCATAGACTGCAAAATGTATTGCACCCCATCCAATCTTCATTGGGTTCGGGGAGTGGCATGTTAAAACTCTTTATCAAGTATTCAACAACATTCGATCGGCGGTATATCAGTGCTAAATGCATTGCACCGAGGCCCCATCTGTTCACCGCTTTCGAGTCAACGTCAGGGTGTTTCAAAAGTAATTGGATTGTTTCGGTATTGCCACGCTCAATGGCCATGTGAAGAGGCGTGTTTCCACTCCCGTCTCGGCAATTCACATTTAGTGCGCATCTCGATTTTGAAGTCTGCCTCAGCGACCACCATTTGCGGTAAGATTTTGTTTCATGGTGAGGCTTCCATTCAAGCAAAAAATTCACTAACTTAGGTCGATCAAACAAAACCGCGTATATCAAAGGGAATTTTATTTGGTTTGTGCCGTTGATGTTTGCACCGCAGGTTAGTAGAAATTCGGCTACTTCGCGATGGCCACGCAGCGCAGCGTAGCTCAATGGCGTGTTCTTGCCGCTGGCTTCGCAGTCATGATTAACTCCATTTTTTATGAGTAATTTGACAACAGGGAGATGTCCATTAAAAGAGGCTGCGAGGAGAGCAGCTTCCTTAGCTTTTTTGGAAAATAAATACTTCCAGTATAGCCAATGTCCTTTCTCTTCCAGGATTCTCCGCATGAGAACGGTCAAACCAAGCTGAGCCGCTGCAGATAATAATTTGCCATCTAGTAAAGAGAGATCCCATTTGGTCCAAGGTTTTCAGGTCGAAAAGTTGAAAAAGAATTGTGGGTATTGGTCCATTATATTGACGCCCTGCCGGCTGGAATGATTAAAGTGTTTATCCCATTGTCGTATTGCGTATTCAATAAACGGATACTGAAGGCTTTTCGGTGCCTCTTCCTCGGTTTGTAAGGGTTGTATTTCTGGAAATAACCCCATAGCTTTGATATATTTAAGAATAAATTCCTCCTTAAGCAATACTTCTTGAAAGTAGGCAATACAAACAGATGCCAATTTCGAATGCTCCACTTCAACGGTTGATAGTGAAAACCACGGCACCTTCCCATTGTCCGAAATATGCCTTGTTAAAAAGTCGTAGGCACTTTGGTGAACTAGACTTATGGTATCGTCTGATATGCTTATCAAATGACCGCAGTATGCTAATTTGCCTCGCAAAACAGCTTCTTTATCTAGCAAGTTGGTGGGCTGGATCCCCAGAGCGGAGGCAAGTTCACTGAGTGTGAGCGGCCGAACTGCGAATGTGCACCATCGAAGAATATCCAGAGATAGATCTCGATGAAAGGGATCTACTTGCTCGAGAATTCTTTCATAAAGCGAATGTAATCCCTGTGGAAGCTGGTCTAACCTCACTTCCACCTCAGATACTTCCACCTTTTCAAGATCTTTAACAACAAAGCTGACCCACAGGTATGTGCCCTCAGACTTTTCTTTTAATTTCTTTTTGACATGATCTGTCAACTCAGCTGGATAGTGCTTGCTCTCAGAGAGCTCCACAACGCGCGTTGAGATATACAAATCTAGCCCGTCGTTGACTTCTGATTTCGCGTCTGGATCAAGACGAATTCTCAAAAATTGGCCTAGTGAATCCTCAAGGAATCGTGGGTGTTCTCGACTCAGAACTATTATTTTAAGCCCAGGCGAGGTGCTTGTGATTCTATTGAGCTTTTGTAAAAGGTCCTGTAATGATTCTGGCTCGCACTCGTCTAGCCCATCAAGAATACAAGACACTTGCGATCCTCCAATATCGTTTGTCATTTCAAGAAATATTTTCCAGATGGTTTCGAATGAGTTTTGCCGGAACATCTGATCCTTCTGAATCTCATAAGTGGGAAGGATATGTGTGATTAGATCCTCTTTTTGCTCCAGGAGTTGGAAGAGCAATCCCCGAACAATAGCAACGGCGCTATTCCGCGTATCGTCTTTGGCATCACAGAAGAAAAAAGTTGAATAATGGCGCGGCTCATGATCGAGAGATCTGAAATACATCGAGAGATATTCCGTGAGGTAAATCGATAACATCGTTTTGCCCAAGCCCGGGCCGCCCGATATCCAAAGCAGCCCACCGTCGGATGTTATCCATTTGACAAACTCGTCTTTCTGAGTGATCCAGTCGCAAGTGCCGCTTACAATTTCTCCTTTGGACGTGATAAGCTTGGCGCGATCAATTGCAGGGTCTGTAATGAAGAGAGCTTGAACACATTTTTTACTGGAATCGGCTGTTTGCCCTAGACTGTCCAGTTTGGTTTCGATGGATTGATATCCGGCTGCCAGATTTTCTGTCATTGAAGCAGTATGGCTGGCGGTGTAGACAAAATTAGCCCATTGGGCATCTAGCGTTGAGCATTCCTCACTTACAGGTTAATGAGAGTATTAAGTGTGCTGTACTCATGATCAAGTATGTTGAATAGCCTCGTAATATTTTCTGCTTCGTTTAAGCTGCATATAGCTTTCGAAGTCTTCCTCGGCAACGAGTTCGTGGGCTCGAATGAAATCTTGTCCAAAAGAGTTTGCAACTCTCGTATGTGACTTTCACACCGAGTTAATATATTTTCAAATTCGACTGTTTGCAAAGTCTTTGTGCCTTTTATTTGTGTTGCAAGAGAGGCAAGGCTGTCAATTCGCTCAATCTGTTGCTGTATTCGGGCTGGGGCATCTTGAATCTCGCCAACCACAGATTTAATGAACTTGGCGGTCTCGAGAGCAACTTTGCCGAACTGTTCAGCCGCTGCTGCAACACCCAAGAGCTCAACGCCAGACATGTTGCAAAATACAAAACATTCATGACGATAATATTAAGATACCTTTTTGAGATACCAGAGCTACAGGTGCGGGGCTTTTTATATACGAATATCGTCAGGCTCCGCGATAGAGCCCAATTAGATGCGTGTCGCCGTTGGATTGGCTAGACTCTGCAATGATGCATCAGTATAGGTATGTGCATGCCGCTGTGGTTGGCTTATGCAGTTTCATTACCATAATTTGATGAATTAAATAAACAAACATGGCAGTGTATAAATCAAGATGATTCGAGGCTAGTTTCAAAGGAGGTTCAAGAAAAAAAATATATTTATAGGTTTATCTTCTAAGAGTCCAGGAAGAATTTGTAATAATATGTAAAGGCTGTAACCATCACTTATTCTGTTATAGAGCAATGTTTTGTGCGCCCCTGCATGTCATATAGAACAGAGCTCCATAGTACGACACCGAGATTCCGCCACAGCTTCAATGGCAAAACAAAATAATTTGCAGTGTAATACGGCATAAGTCTAGCAACTCTATATGGTATACCGATGTTGCTGTAGAGAGCTGAAAAATCTGCCTTGCTGCCTGCTGCCCGCAACCATGTGTATTTAGCCTTGCGAGTGACACAGCTTTGCTGGACCTAACAAAAGATACCGCTGAAAATACCTACATAATCACTATAGCACTCTTTTCAACTCACTATGTTAATGCGATCCTCATACCCCGCATTGAGCATCCTCTTCCATATCTCTCTCCCAATGGCCAACCAGACCTCTTATTACTATTTCGCTCCGACTTGGGATTTCCCCCCCAATGGCCCTATCAAGCTTGGAAATGTTCTCATGTCGGTGAAAAAGCCTGAGCGGCCATTATATATCGCCCCACCACCGAATGCTACCGATTTGATCACGACAGAAAGGAGTCAGGTGGAATTCTCCAGGGAAAAGCTAAAGGCCAAAAACTTTTCCATCTTGACACGCTTCATCAAATTTATTGGCTTAGGGATCGATGTAGCTGCAAGCTGGGACACTGCGTATAATGCTTTCTGTCCTAAAGACAAGGCTGCTCAAGCATAGAACTAACTATCCAATGCAGCAACGAGGAAACTTATATGTTCAATCGTCTCGAAACCACATTCTTCATTCCGACTTTACCTTGGCTTGAACAATGCCTCGCCAATCCTCTCGTGAAGCGCTATCTTGAAAAGAGCCGCTACCGAAAACCTGTATATATCATCACTGGCCTTAAAACGGTTACTGGTGCTGCCGTCAAGACCAACAATTACTCTGCCTCCGCCAATAAGGTTGGCATCGAGGCAGAAATACCAGGTAGCGAAGGAATTTTACCATGGACTACCAAGCCTGGGATAGCTACAAAGCAACAAGTAAAGGACAATGTGAGCTGGGAAGATCGCGGCGACTTTATCTTTGCGTATAGGGTGAGCAAGGTGTGGATTAAGAAGGGTTCCATACTAGAAGACGATTATACGCGGGGTGCAATGTTCGCAAACCATGTGACAACTGCGGTGAATCCCGTGATGAATATTGGGCTAGAAGTTGAAAAGGTGGAAGAGGCAGATCCGGCGGAAGAGGGATTTTTAAAAGAAGAGATAATGGATGGCGATGAGAGAATTATTATTGCAATGCCAGAAAGAGCAGACTGTCGATCGGCTTGACATATCAAAATTAGGAAACCAAAAAGAAGAGCAAATGCATTTCTAGTATTTTTTTTATGCAATGTTATTGTGTCAAGGTTCAATTCAAACATCCTTTATCGCGTCTCGGATTCGAGCTTTCAAGGAAGCCTCATCCTTACCAAAAGCGTTATCGGGATGTAGGCTAGGTGCGATGTAATGGTATCCCTGACTCCTCACAGAGACTGCATTGAGTGCAGCCCTCATGAAGTGGCATTGCTTCAACTGCTCAGACTCTCTTGGAAGCAGCTTTGCTCTCGCATATTGCAACAAAAACGCAGCAATCCCACTTGCAATGGGTGTTGCAAACGAAGTGCCTGACTTGCACGCCACACAAAGCTTGTTGATTTCTTGATAACAAAGATGAACGGGCCAGGCAGATTCAACTGCCTCTCCTATCGTGGCTAAATTATCCCCTGGAAGAGGTATTGGGTTGAAGTCAGACGGAGTGCCGTTGGCATTGGTCGAATGCACACTGATGACGTCCGGGTGTCTTGCGGGATATGCTCTCTTCGTATTAGCCCCATTATTCGACGCCGCTGCGAAGAGTAGAACATTTTGGTTGATGGCATGCTTTATTACTCGCTCAAGAACGTTGTACCCGTCTACTTCGCGTGATGGAAACCCGAACGACATGGATATCACATCAACGTTCCATACATTCACTGCGTATTCAATAGCCTAGTAACACATTAGCAAACGAGAATTCGATTCAGTTGGAGGGCAAATGTACTTCGGCGACTGTAACAGGCTTGGCCGGTTCGAGATCAGCTATCTTCGCTATGTAGAGCTCTGCATCTGGCGCAAAGTCCAGCAGTAAGCCTGCGACATGCGTACCATGTCCACAACAATCGAAAACGTCATCGTCCTGCTGGCGATTGGGTATAAACGACCTCGTTCCCCGAAATCGCTCTTCTTGAGCTTCATAATCGGGATGGCTTCTGTCTATCCCAGTATCAAGAACCGCAATCTTAACTGGGACAAGGCCAGGATTGTCCCCAATGAGGCGATCATGTACAGCACGAAAGTTGTTTTTCCAGGATAGATAAGCATCACGCCTAGAACGGTGTTAGCGCATTAATTACATTTCAGAGCCGGGATATCCAGCTCTAGTTGCCAAGATTAATTGCAGGTCATATATACTCACGCAACAAATGAAATATCAGATGGAGCAATTTGGTCGTCGAAGAATTTCAAGTTGCTCACGAAATCAAGTGTCTTTAACGTAGGGCTCTCTGGGGCTTGACGTTGCCTCTTCCTACCATTTAATCGCGTTTGAACGCGTGATATGCGCAACTCATTATCCGTATGCCCATTGGAAATGGCCTTTTTATGCGCAATTGGTTGACCCCATCTAGTAAGATCTAGCTTTTGGGCCTCCATGTCGAGCGCTTCAATCGAGATATAACTGTATGCATGCTCAAGATCATACTCTAGCCGGCTTACCACGTATTTATAGATGACGCTTCTCAGCTCTGGGATAGCGAGTTCGTTCTCGTTGTCGTCTACGCCAATATTTTGATCCAAACATTTATCAATCGCTTCACGAGTTTTCTCTGAAATATCGTCTTTACATTTGTCGAAAATTGTAGCAGTGGCGATATATTTAGCGCAGTCGTTCATATCATCGTCAAACTCAAGATCGTGAACCTGCGCAATTTCCTGTAAGCTTCGGGCCAAATGAAGCTCAATGAGCATAGCTGCTAAAGCTACCAGCGATGGATATGGATGAGAGATTAGATCATCCGGGTCGAAATCTTCATCATTTTCGCTGTCGACAGTGGTATTTTCAGACTTATTATCTACATCGTTGCCAAATTGCAGTTGGATATAAGGCTTTAAAGGTGTGCCAAACGACGTTGCGAGGAATAAAATATTGCCTGGGCCCCATGAACTATTTAGCCAAGGAGTTTCAAGTAGATGAAGAACAGCGTAGCCCAAGAGGACTGCTAAAATGCGCTTAGTTTTTTCAGTCAACTTGGAAGCCTCTTCTGTTATCAAATGCTGAAAAGTGATCGCGCGCGTTGTTGTGTCTGTTGTAAGATTGCTGGGCTCGGACTGCAATTTCCATAGTATGTCATTTTCGATCAAGAATTTGAGTCGGTAAGTCGGGAAATTTTTCCATAACTTCTTTATAGGATCGCATAAGAATTTGACCTTTTTCCTTCCCGTTGCAGGCGTCTTCTTCTTCGCAGACTTTGAGTCATCCTGAGTCGCATGTCTGGCGACTGATTGGGATTTCCTAACGGAATGGAAATGAGCCTCTTGCCAGCGCTTGTCTATCTCGAGAAACAGTTTGAAATCATATTCCTCGTTTAGGTCACTATTGCGATGCGTCTGAATACAAAACCGGGCTCCATATGTATGGCATAAACATCTTCCGGATGTCTCGAGCACGTGAAAGAGAGACCGGGCAGCAGATAATGAGGCATACGGTGGCTCGCTTCTCCGATTCCACAGAGGAAGTTTGTCAAGAGAATAGTCTTGGCTGGATTCCAATAAGAAAATGTCTTCACACCTCTTTAAAATTGCGAGGAATTCGAGTTGCTCGTTTGGAGATCCAAAATGGAGACAGCTCTTAACACGTTGGAGTTGAGATAATTTTTCGCCTTTCCCGTACGATGTCCAAAGTTTGTTAAGGGCGCGCATACGCCGAAAAGAACATCCTGATATCTCTATTGCTGGAAATAAACTCAGGTCAAGTAGAGAATCTAAGCGATCAAGAATAATTCGAGCTATGGTGACTCTTTCCGCCTCGCGAGATGGCGTTATTGCGATTGATTGAGAACGTATTATGGTGCAACGTCCATTCAGTCTCAAATAAAAGCTCCTGGAATCGAGCTCAGTTTCATCGCCACTGAGAATATCCGCTATTTCCTTGATCGTTCCTAAGCTGGCGAAGAAGAAATCTAAGAGATCATCCTGTTCAGGCTCGCTGCTGAGAGTCATGGTTTTGGCTGCGTCATTTCGAGTGCTCTGGCTTGAATAGCTTAACAAATTCGCGGAATTTGTTGGCGGCAGCATCTGCAAATTCACTGTCAGTGCTCCATTTAATGTGATGATCAATCTCGTACAGCGAGTAAAGGAGAAAAATGGGACAAAAGGCGGGGTAAGTTTCATACATCCATCGGTGCAACCACATAATAGGTACCTAGGTAAGCAAGGCTGTATTGGGAGGCACTTAACTCAGAGAACAATTCTCGCCACAGCATAGTCGTATCTCTATCTTTATACGTTTCATGTCTCTACGCGTTGCTATGCGCCTTTAACAAGCATACATTTAGATTAACGCCTCGCAGCATGGTTCATCATGGAGACAGGATCATCGGAACCAACCATCTCTGAAAGAGCACGAAGATGTCTCATCTCCTTCACGGAATGTCTGGGAGGGATGGCTGCGCTGGATCCTCAAAGGAAATCTTTGATTGAGAATGAATTCGCGCGGTTTTCAATCTGGTCCTCCAACATTGGTATCTTTGCGAGTGGTCGAGCTTCTATGGATGATCGCCTCCGTGGGGAGCCTAGCATCAAGAGGCTAGTTCTCGGGCTATTGGAAGTATTACAAGGGCGTATTAAGCAGTGTATGTTTTGTATTGCATTTCTCCCCTGCCTCTGTATTTCTATGCAATACAGGCTATGCTCTTTTGAAGCGATAAACTTGAACTAATGAGGGAAAAAAAAAAATCAGATTTACATGCTTTGAACATTATCAACAATCCTTTACTTTCGGATTCCGACGGGCGAGCTGCTGCGGCCTATACCAGGCTTGAAAAGGCAGTAGAGTCTATGGCGAGCGAGATAGCTTTGCTCTATGATCTAACTAGAACCATTCGTAGGGCAAGCAGAAAAGCAAATGACGTCGGAAAAGCGCTCTCTTTTCGCATTACAGACGAAGAAGGCAATGATGTAGAGAAGTCTTTGGCAAATCACTTTGCTGCCAATATACAAGATCAGTTTCCGGATCTATCCGAGGTCATAAGATCGCGACTTGCCAAGGCCATGGTGTTGAGACGAAGACGGATCATATACAAGAGACTCGGTTACTCCGATGACCCTATAAGGATCGGTATGTGCTCTTAGTTTGATATCTTATTAGACAGTGGGTGGAAGTTCGCTAGACACTCCGATTGATGTCTTCAAATGTTCAAATGTTTACGATGAATGACGGAGGCTCATAATTAAACAGCCCAGACCACCACCCAACCAACTATCCAGCAACCGGATCACATGCAAACCGATAATATAGAAATTATCTCACAAGATACTGAGCGGCCAGGGGCAGTGACACCTCTTGAACTAATAGCCCCCTCTAGGTCTAAGTCCATGGCGAGAAGCGCTACTCCTTTAGCTTCAAAAAGCTTTCAAAAGGCTGCAGCCCCATCAGTTGTGTCCCAGTTGAAGTGGATGGCGCTGGAGAGCCATGAAGATTACGCTTTTCCTCCACCACCAGAGCAAGTTTCCGCGGCTACTGAAGTTATTTGTCCGTTTTGTTTAGTTATGTTACCCATTCAAGAGGTAAAGAACGAGGAAAGATGGAGGTTCGAAATTCTATTCACCTGAATGTGTTTTGCTCCCTACTAAAAAACAGCTCAGGGACCATGTTAAGACCGATTTAGATCCATATGTCTGCCTCACAGAAAACTGCGATCGTCCCGATGAGCTTTACAAACACAGAGAAGAATGGCTCCGGCACATACAGAAACACTCTTTGCGGTGGCACTGTACCTCAAAAGCTCATAATAGCGTGTTCTTTGACACAAGAGATGATTACATCTCCCATATGAAATCAAGCCATAGAAAAGCCGTAACCGATACTCAAATTGATATGCTAGCTAATAGAAGTTTGCAATTGACAGGTCCTCTATTCAAATCATGTCCTCTTTGCGGTATCGAGGAGCAAGACGGCAAAGGGCGATTACTGGAACACATTGTTGGCCATCTCCAATCGCTTGCACTCAAATCGCTACCGCCAATTGATTATGGCAATGAGCAAGAAGATAATTTCAAAAAAGACAAAGAGACATATTACAAGATGAAGGTTGAAAGAGAAATCGATCCTCAGTACCATACTCAAGATATATCTACCTTTCTGAGCATCGCCTCAGTCTCCGTTCCGGAAGCTCGACTAGCTATCAAATCTCGCTATAGTTCTACAGAAAGTATAGTTATAGGCTCAGAGGTTCTTACTTCCCAGCAAACATCTAGCCAGAGTGGCATAATTTATGTCGCGCAACAGCCTGAAGACGTCGATTATACCATTGACATACAGTTAGAAGAGCCACTGCCTCGCTCAAAAGTAACTAGCATCAAATGCCAGATTGTTTACGATCCGGGGAGCGATAATTGTATTCTAATCAATCGAACGAGAGATTCTTTGGACTTATCCAACCTTCAGCAACTAGGCTCTTCGAGGATTATGGCAATTAATGGAATGTCGATTATTCAACCTGGGGCGTGGGCGATTAAGCTCGCTCGAGGTAGTAGTACTATTGACAGCGGTTTTGTTTTTGAGATATTGCTACGTGAGAGACGACACACAGTCGCAATTGCTCAAGTAAATGATGCATTGCAAAGTCAACAAATCGAAGACAGCGAGAGATCAACTAAGCGACAAAAACCTAACGCCAACTTCGCAATGAATGTAGCTCCTCACGCTTCCAGCTCCACAATAGATTGGAAACAAGATGCTCGAGATATCATTTTGACTGCAGATAATAATACTCTCCTTGACTTGCAGGATGGAGATGTCGCTACTATCCACGCCCCTATATCAACTACAACATTCCAAATGGAATCTTCACCGGTCAGATATAAAATAAAGCAAGTCGGGAAGATTTTTGAGCAAGGAACAACAAAAGTTTCGCATTGTCACCATTCTTTAATCCCTGGAGGGCTGGCTGTGAAAGTCCTTCAACATAAAAATAAATCTCCACGCCTGTTAGTCCAATTATCGGAGCTATGGAAACAGGAGAAGAGCATACTTAAAAGATTAAATCACGTATGTTTTACTTTTTATATTGATTCGTCATTGAGCCATTTAATAACTTAACCTACGCAGAGAAATATCGTTTCTCTGAAAGCTTTTGATGGCCGTCTTCTTGCATTGTATCTCGAGCTTCTCCCTCTATCACTAGCTCGTGGCCGCGACTCACCATTCGAATCATCCGACGCTATAAAGATACTTGATGACATTTCGTCCGCGCTCACATACCTAATAGCTCAAAATGTCGTTCATAATGATATCAAGCCGAGCAACATTGCGTATTCTCCTGAACGAGGCGCTGTGCTCCTTGACTTTGCAATGGCTTCATTCTCGGAGGAGATTAGGTCTGGCGGATCACCGTGGTACGTCCCACCAGAGCATATAACAGATACGAAATGCTACTCTAAGGGAGACATATGGGCCTTTGGTATTACAATGCTCTATATCCTCAAGAAGATAAAATATCCCGAAGATATGGCTGCTGCTTGGAATATACACGAGATCCGCATCACATCTAGTGAAGCAAGAAATCAAATGGCCACTTGGCTTAAACTAATTGATCGTGTTAGAAAAGAGTTAGACCGGGCAAATGCTATGGAATATGTGGTATTCCGAATGCTTGAATATCATCCAGCTTCGCGAATATCTGTAACGAGAATCCAAGAGTCACTGAACAATCTAGGATAGGGCCTTCACTCTTTTGTTTATGTCTTATATCAGTCAAATATACCACCCGAATTCTAATCTTTCAAATACCCTTCCCCATTCAGATACATGAGCTGACGCTGCTTTAACATGAGCAACCCCTTGGCTAATAAAGGTATAATGTGATATCTTACAACTCTGCATATTAATTCGCTGCAGTACATAATTAAATTCATAAACTGTCTAAAATGACATCTGTTTTGATTGATTAACTGAGACTTGAACCTATTTAGTAATTTCTGAAATACATTCCCATCTTTACACTAATTTGCGCTGTATTGGTAGGTACTTTAGCTGTCTTTTACTTCAAGTCTTTATTGTTGTAGGCGAAATATCACTCTATCGCGTATCTTTATATCCTACTCCGTACAGCGCTCGATAATAACAAGCTGTGGTCCCGTTATATAAGAGCACATAGTATATCCTCTATATTAGTCTGTAAATCTGCGGTCCTTACGCCACCCCCACACAAAGACTAAATGCTCAGAGCCTCCGCTGAACAAAGCTATCTTACAAGCTCTATCACATAAACATAATCATGGCAGCTGCGCAGTCGAGCCAACTGGACGAACCCCCATACCCCTCATTTGAGGAGCTTCGGAGCAATGAAGAGCGCGTCCTCTTCTCCCCCGCCGCCAAACGTCTCTACTGGCCTCTAGAAGGCGTCTTCCCTTCGGCAATATCCGTCATGAGGACCGCTCGCAGCGTGAGCGAGCTCGATCCCTTGTTTAGAGCAGACACCAGCGGCAGCGGTAGTGGCACCTGGCATGAGATCGCATCGCTGCCTCTGACGGACCCAAAAGTCTCTTCTGTTGAGGCTTCACTGCGCGACCTTGACCAATGGGAGTCTGACTGGCTGGCATGGCATAGGGACCATACTGGATCTGAGTTTAACGCCGAGTATGTCACCTATGGAGATCTCAGCGATGAAGACCGGCCATACGCAAATGAGCCCAATGAGGATGGCAGCTGGGAGGAGGACTCGGATACTGAGTTTCTCATCCGATGTTGCGGAGACGATAGACCGCTCAGGAAGAGGGGATTGAAAATTAAAGTTACACCTTCCTCAGGCAACGACTTTGTCACTGTGCGTGATTATGTTAGTGGTGAGCGTTGAAGTCTCTCCTCTAGGACTTTGAAGAGCTTTTCTAACCATCAGTCTCAGCCGTGCATCCATGGCTCATGGGCTTACGTGGGGACATTCTACGAGCAAAGACTGTTGCACGTCCCGGGGCGTATGTTGAGTCAGTGGTCAACACCGAATGGATGGTTAGCAACCTGACAGCGCCGCAACACGAAATAATGACAAAGGAGTTTTGGATTGAGATGCATCGCCCGCCACGCCCTATGGATGCTGCAACCTCCAGGTTCCTGCAAAGAATAGGCGCAAGGACAGCCCCGTAATTCACGGGCCGTCTTGTCGTCTGGCCCACCACTCAGCCGGCTAGACACAAAATTTCTAATCTAGCATGTAATATGGACGCTGAGGAAATGGAGCTCGGCTCTCTATAGGAATTATAAAGGTGATTAACGGGTTATGGAGGTGAAGTTTTTCAAAAATCACCTTAAAAGTATCAAAACCTTCAATTCTTCATCCATGTACATGTATTTCATTAGGAAGCAGTAGATCACTATGAATATTCTGCTAAACAAGAACTCTTTCTCTCGCTACCCAGCAATGAAATTTTTAAGGGGACGCTGTCGCAGACGCACAATACGAGCTTCCAAACGCAATCACTGTTGAAGCAACAGCGGTGCCACATGCTCCGTTTGAGCAGTCCCTCAGCCCGTATCCAAAGTTGACATTCTTGCAAAGGCACTTGGGATCCGGGCTCGCGCAACCAAGTTGCGAGTACTGAGCCAGCATGTTGTTAAAGCAGGTCTGACCACAGGCGGGCAGGGAGCCAACGCCGGTGACAGCGGCTGTGTGAGTCGCTGATGCGGTAGAGCAGTATGCACTCCCAAAGGCAATCACTGTTGAAGCAACGGCTGTTCCGCAAGCGCCATTTGAACAGTCGCGGAGGCCGTTGCTAAAGTCGACATTGTTGCATAGGCAGTAAGAATCCTGAGGACTGGGGCAGCCCAGCTGCGAGTACTGAGCCAGCATGTTGTTAAAACACGTCTGACCACAGGAAGGCAAAGCAGCTTCGCCAGTGGTTGTTGGTTTATGAGTAGCAAATGCAGTAGAGCAATACGCACTCCCAAAGGCAATAACTGTCGAAGCAACAGCTGTTCCGCAGGCACCGTTTGAACAGTCACGAAGGCCATTGCTAAAGTCGACGTTGTTGCATAGGCAGTAGGCGTCTAGTGCGTTACATCCGAGAGAAGAGTACTGAGCGAGCATGTTGTTGAAGCAAAGCTGGCCGCACGAAGGCAAAGCAGCTTCGCCAGGGATGGAGGTGTTGGGGGGCTTCGCCGACGTGGTGGTAGTTGCATGGGTACTTGCCGGTTTGGAAGAGGGAGTTGATGATTTTGAGCTGACTGTGGTCGTGTGTCCGCTCGTTGTCACTTTGGTGGATGAGGAGGAGACCTTGGATGAGGAGGAGGTCTTGGATGAGGACGCCTTGGATGAAGAGCTCGTAGATGAAGAGCCCGTGTTCGGAGTGGTACAATTTCCAAACTGAGGTTGGCTAAAGGCTCACGTTAACTATGTTGTTCTCGCCATGATAGTGGCGTGATACAAAGGAGAAGAAAGTTCAAGAGTAACTCAAAGGGGGACAAAACGGGCTCAGATTAAACTCACCATCCCTCCCCACAATCTGAAGCCAATGAGCCGCATATGCCATCCTTGTTGCAGCAGTTCCCATAGACTACGCTGCAGGTGTAGTGGTTTGTTCCGCCGCAGGTTCCGTCCGTCGTGTTGCCGTTCAACCACGAAGGCGGGCCCGTGGGCTGGCTCGGAACCGTGCAGTTCCCAAGCTGGCACACGCCGTATCCGCAAAAGGACTCGCCGGTGCCGCACTTCCCGTCCGCGTTACAGCAGTCGCCCCAGACTCCGGCGCACTGCTTGTAGCCGTGCTGGTGGCCGCACTCGCCGGTGGTGGTGAAGACGGAGTCTCCTGCGCAAGCGCCTTCGTAGCAAGTTCCGTCTGCGCAGTCTTCTCTGGTTTTGGGAACTCGGTGTTAGTACGGACTCGTTGTCAAGATGTGTAGGGTGACTTATATACGCCTGGAGGACTCACGTAGAGTTGCCGCATTTGAACGTGTTTGCATTGCAGCACTGGAATTCTGTTCCAAGACAAGTCGCGTTGCCATTCGGAGGGCCACAGAGTCCGGCTGTAGCTCTTGCCGGCTCAACGACTATTCAATCCGAGTTTACAAGTCAGTTTGCAAGGTCTCAGAGCCTCGATTGTCCAGGGCGTGAAGTTATGAAGTTATGACTTACAACCAGCCACACAATAATCCGTGTCAGCTTTAATATTCCCACAGTCAGGATTCACATCGGGATTCAGCATGAAGAACGTCTCGACGCTGATTCCGTACTGGGCTGCCAACGCGCTGCAGGTGTAGTAGTTAATGTCCATGCCTTCCGTGGTGCCCGCGTACCGGCAGTTCACCGTGCCCGTAGTGATGTTCCCGCCGGAGACTACAGGACTTATCACCACCGGCACGGGGGAAGACGTGGTGCCCACAGAGCTGGAGGCGGCCGTACTTGCGCCGGACGAGAACGAAGAAGTGGGAGTGGGAATGGCGGCAGCTACAAACAGCCCATCTTCAAATTGCCCCGGCTGCCATATCGACGGCGCACATTGGTTTGAGGCTCGAACAGTGGCTGTCAGACAGAGGGCAATGGCCCATGAGGCAAGGTGCCTCGACCAAGATGTTCTCTGAGGCGACTTCATGGCTCTGATGGAGCGATTGAAGTTGGACAACAACTTCAGGCGAGAAATTCAGAAACAGAGAAATCAAGGAGCATCAACGCGGAAGCGGATTCATCTAGTTAATCTTCCAGGAGCAGACCATGAGCTGACCATGAGCTGACCAAGGTAGACAGATAGGTCGTCTTTCTTTGGAAAGGGTCACAAGGGGCTTCTTGACCTGTGAATTTGTTGTGAATTTGGTTGTATCGAAAGCTACGGTAAGGGCAAGTTGGAGGAAAGACTGGGCCTTGACTCCTATTGGCGCTTTCTGAGTTGATCATGCCTAGGAGGAGCAACTGTTTGGGCGAATACAGACTCTAAACTCCGACAATCCTCCCGCTTTCGGCCCTTCGCGGAGAGTCAAAAGCCAAAAGTTCCTCAATAGTAAATTGTCTCAGTTAATGGTGTTAGGCAGGATCTAGATAGCATGACCGACTTATGGGTGATATCAGCCGGCATATACATGTACGGCGCAGGCTCGCATCGCCGACGTGCATGTTCATTCGCTCGGCTGCAAAGTGGAGGCACAGATATAAGGCTGCATGTAATCGGGTGGTCGGTTCCTACATATCGAGCTTCCGATAAAGACAAGCTTCATTTTAGGGTCTTCAGCTCACACAGAGCATAATGCCGTGCCCAGTGGAGTGCTGGGCTGTCCCGCGGCTAAAGTGGTATTGGGGGCCGCATCCTTCATGGAGGCCCTAGGGGCATTATCCAAAATAAGACAAGACAAGTATACTGTAGACGCAGGGGCAGGGTAATGGACTGGGTCAATACACAGTAGGATTCGAAGGAATTACTTAGTCTATTCTCTGATCAGCTGCGGAATCCCATCTTTCCAAATGCTACCTTGAGTAATAACTTGTAAGCAGACAAAATCCGTCTCAATAAGACTTACACTAAGTAAGTGTGCCAAAGCAATATAGTAACTAGCTCTACCAACGCGCCAAAGATGCTCCGCGGCCCCCGAAAACGCTCGGCACTTTGAGTTAATGATACTACAATGTACTAGTTAGCACCAAAATTCCCCTGATGTGGTATCAAAGGATGAGAGTGGAGAGAGGTGCATGCTTCCATCGCGCGGCACGGCCATGGCCACTTTCAGACTCTGCCTGCATTAGTCGCCCTCCTACTCGTCCTCGTTCACATCAAGACTCCTGACTAGACACGGATAGAGTCATTGCTTCTACGATATGCAATTGCTCAAGATACTAGATCATTCAGGTATATACCATCACTTAGACACAGTGACCCTCAAATCATGTTGAGCTTGCGAGAGGCTTTGGTTCCTTACCGGCTTTCTCTCTGTCTCTCGTTGACGGGATGGTAGTCCTACAGCTTGTTGCGCTTCTGGCGCCGTTGTCCTATCTCTTCTTACCTCAAGTCACAGAGGCTCAATACTTACAGGACTACTTGCCTGATACTACCAATCCCGGCAACTACCTATAGTAAGTTTCCAGTCTTTCCCATTGTGCACAGTTGCCGTCTTATCCTCGTAGTCGAAAAGGTAGAAGAGATGCTAAAAGAGATGTGTTAACTGTGAACGACATTTGCTAACTTGCACGATTCAAGCAAGTCTGTTCCACAGATTGCGCCATGGCGCGTTATCAACATCGAACCTTATACCATCTACCTAGTCTACAACTGTTACTACATGAGAGAAATCTGCAAGAATGCCGAGCTCTTCGGCGGAACCGCACGAGGGCAGAATCTGCATCCCCAAAGCGGTCTCCCCAATGATGTATATGGTTATGATCTAGACACAGGCGAGGCTCCCACAGGCGAACCAAAGACTCATCAAGAGTCTCGTCGTACCGCATCTTGTCCGGATAGCTGGAAGAATACCCACACCTGTCCAGAAGCAGACGGGACTCAGAGGAGGCCCATGCGACATGACGGCGAGTGGTTCACAACCGCACTTGAGCCGGGGACAACTGTCAATAACCTAATGAACCTGCGCGTCAATAACCAGGTAGTCAGATACTCCAATATCCGGTACACGTGCGATGAGTTCCCACCGGCCACCTGGTACGTCTTCTTTCACTCTGAGAAAAGTAACTTGAAGCTCAGCTTTAGTCCGCTGTTACACGGCTGAATTCAAAAACATAAGCAATTATAGAATCTTGGCGCTAATTGATTGATCAGGGTTGAAGGTGGAAATGGCTGGGGTGCAGGCTCCCCTTCCAACACGCGGTGTGCCGCACTCGCCTGCTCAAATTTCAACGAGCCTGTTGTCAAGGCGGAACAAAATTGTAGGTTAAACCAACAAGACTTTAAACGAAGAAGAAGAAGGGGAAGAAGAAGAAAAATTTCTCGCTAACCAGTATGAGGAGTACAGGGCAGGGGCTCTCCCACGGCGTGTTACGCTTAGAGCTCCAAAGCGCAGCCCAGAACCAACCTGGCTATAGTGCATCCAGGTCCATCATTCTCTTCAGGTTCCGCGCCGATAATGACGGCCCGGACGGCATCGCTGCCCGCGTATATGTCATGGAGGATATTGGCAATGCGGATCAGTTGGTGGCTGACCGCTATACGACCCAAGCAAAACGCCAAATTCGCGTAAATTCTACCATGACTGGTCCAGGGTTGACGGTGGAGGAGCTCAAAGCCCAAGTAAGGGCGGGTTTGGGTTACGAAACTCTGGTGCACGAGAACTTGACTGTAAGTTGAACATCTTCTATTATATCTCAAGGACGTCTGAGAAAGGGGGCAGTTGCAAACTTGCCTGTCTGTTCCTTTCTTGTCCCCACGAGGCACCTGGAAGAAATGTGTCACTGATCATGGATACCCATGTCTATGTAGGTCAGCAAACCAGATCTGGTGGGCCGATCGATGCCCCTGCTTGACATCCCCGGCATGCCTGGCATGGATCGACCGCCCAATTGGAATCTGGAGGTCAAGATGGAACAGCAAGAGGCAAGATCGCGTACCAACGCAACGCTTCCCAGGAGCCTGCCAGAGAACCTGAAGCCCGTGCTCCAAAGGATCCCATCCCACAAAGTCACGCCGCTGATCAAGAGGGCCACGGCGGCAGAGCTGAAATCCGCCCGCAGCATCGTGACAAAGGCCCTTGCCGAGTCGCAGAAGCTCAACAAGGCGCGCGTGGCGAATCCGCTCCGCAACAAGTACAGCTTGAGACCTGGAACAAAGATTGCGGGAGGCACGGCTCCAGGCGACAGCAGGATCCAGTCCATCAACAAGGATGTCCCACCGCTTCTGGTCATCACCGACGAGATTGCCGCGGCGGCAGCACTGGTGGCTGAGGCAGAGATGAAGGGCAAGTTACGGAACGTTACGAGGCGTGCTGCAGCAGCCGGCTCGGGAACGTTTTGGATGCAAGAGTAAGTGTTTAGTTTGTTTAACGAATAAGTGTCTTCATTTTCATCGTTGATTGTTTGCTCACCATACTTTACGAACGATAGTATTGCCCGTAAAGGCACAGTGCCTTGGGGAGACGATCCCGACTATGTAAGTTTCCTTGCCGAGAGACTTTCCGACGAGGCTCATAAGTTAATGACGAGAAATACAGGTCATCTTCCGAAACGTGCTCGACTATGGAGCGGTGGGCGATGGTGTTACAGTGAGTCCCGAAGCTAGTCGCACGTTGGCTTCATGTCTTTATTCTAACGTATTTCTCAGGACGATACAAAGGCCATTAACAAGGCCATGGGGACAAACAGCACTAGATGTGGCAAGGGCTGCAACGGGTCAACCACCAAGAACGCCATTGTCTACTTCCCGCCCGGAACCTATCTGGTATCCTCTACCCTTGCCATGCCCTTTGGCACGCAGGTCATTGGTGACGCCAACAACCGACCGACTCTCGTGGCTGCTCCAAGCTTTGTTGGTCTAGGTGTGCTGTCCACGGACGAGTATACAGGTACAGGAGGCACTGGTATTGACGGCGGAGACCCTGAGTACGTGCATCACTGCTTTCCGCTTTAATAACTATCTTCTATAGATCTTGTCGACTATGCGGAAGCTGACTCCAGACTCCATTTTCTAGGTACTACGTCAACACCGCCAACTTCTATCGTCAGATCCGAAATATCATTATAGACGTTCGACAAGTCACCGCCGGAGCCACCATCACATGCATCCACTATCAAGTTGCTCAAGCCACGAGCACCCAAAACGTTGAGCTGATAGCCAAGTCTGGCACGGAGCAAATTGGTATGTTCGCCGAGAATGGCAGTGGCGGAGGTATCTCCGACATCACATTCACTGGCGGCGGCATCGGCCTCAAGGGAGGCAATCAGCAGTTCACGGCGCAGCGTCTCAACTTTAACGGCTGCGATATTGGAGTCCAAGTCATTTGGGACTGGGGTTGGGTATGGAAGTCTGTTAATATGAAGAACGTGGGCACTGGCTTTCAGCTTGTCGGTGATAATGGGGTTGGAAATAGTGAGTATTCTCTGAGTTTCCCCTTTCCCGTCTGGTGGTGGTTCAGCAATCAGAGGAGAGAATAAATTAGTTGTCAAAACGTATCAACACTGTTGGAACATATCTCAAGGGTATGGACCAAGAATACAATACTGACTATCCTTGTTCTCGCAGTCGGTTCCGTCTCCATCTTGGACTCGTCTTTCACAAGCGTCAACAAAGCAATCGTTGTCAACCCCATCACATCGACTCCTGGAAAGGGCAGCACGGGAGTGTCTCTCGAGAACGTTGCCCTCTCAGGAGTTGGCGTGGCCGTCGCCGATACATCTGGCGCAACTCTTCTGGCCTCATCAGGCCTCATTGACCAGTGGGTCGTCGGCCCAGTCTACGAAGGCGCGGCGACTGCTCGCTCCTTTTCCAAGGGCGGCAAGATTGGAAACTACCGCAGGCATTCGACTCTTTTGGATGGCCAAGGCAACTACTTTGAGCGTGAAAGGCCGCAGTACGAAGATCAGGCGGTTTCGTCGTTTGTGCATACCAAGGACCTCGGCTGTGCAGGAGACGGTTCGACCGACGATACGGCAGCTTTCCAGGCAGCCCTGTACGCCAGCTTGGGCAAGATTCTCTTTGTTGACGCCGGAACGTATATCCTCACGTCGACAATCACCATTCCTTCCGGTGCCAAGATTGTGGGGGAGACTTGGTCGCAACTGGCTGCGACGGGCTCGTATTTCTCGGATGCTAGGTACGTATCGCATAACGAATATCTCACTGAATCAACTTCCAATGAACCCATATCTTTTGGATCCATTTTCTCTCTTCATCCATAGCTGACTATTTGTGTTCTACAGCAACCCCAAAGTCTTCATCAAAGTCGGAACGGACGGCGAAGTTGGCAATGTAGAGATGCAAGATCTTCTGTTCACGACCCGGGGCCCAACGGCCGGTGCCATTCTCGTCGAATGGAATCTCCAGGCTGAGTCCCAAGGCGCCGCCGGGCTCTGGGACTGCCACGCGCGCGTAGGAGGTGCCACAGGGACGGAGTTGACACCTGCAGAGTGTCCTCCCGCCACGAGTGGCATCGACCCGGGATGCTCTGCTGCCAGTCTGATGATGCACCTGACGAAATCCGCGTCTGGCTACTTTGAGAACATGTGGCTCTGGGGAGCCGACCATATGATTGAGTAAGTTTGAAATAGAATATGTGGAATATAGTTACTGACCGAGTTGCCAACAAATCTCAGCGACCCTGATCTGAAAGATGCAAACAACACCATGGTCCAAACCTCCATCTACATTGCTCGTGGCTTCCTGATTGAAAGCACAAATCCCACCTGGTAAGCTTCTTCTTCTCACAGCCTCTGTCTGCAATGGCAAGACTACATGTAATGATGTTAACGAATCATAACAGGCTTTACGGCACTGCCTCGGAGCACTCCGTCTTCTATCAGTACAACTTCCACTCGGCATCAAACATATACGCCGGCATGCTACAGACCGAATCGCCCTACTACCAACCAACGCCCCCGCCACCTGCTCCGTTTGCTAACGTTGTTGGTAAATTCCCCGGGGATCCCGATTATACGTGCGCTGCTGGAGACGAGTTCAGCGGCTGTGACGAATCCTGGTCTACCATCATCACAGGCTCTGAGAACATATTCATCGCGGCCGCAGGCATTTACTCTGTAGGTTGGCTTGCTTCAACCGGGATACGGAGACTCTCCTTCGTACCTGTTTTCTTCACATTGCCATGACCACAAAGTGCCCTGCTGAACTAACATAATCATGTATGTAGTGGTTCTCGACCTATGCCCAGACCTGCATCGATACGCAGCAGTGTCAGAAAGCCCTCATGCTTCTCAAAAACAACTTTGCCAACATTCGCATCACGAATCTCGTGACAATCGGCTCCAAGTACATGGCTGTCATGGACGGCAAAGGCATCGCGGCCGCGGACAACCTCAACGTCGACGTCCACCCGGACTGGTCTCAGATCAGCCTTCTCGACGTGGGCAGCAACGGCACCACCAACTTTGACGAGTACCTCTGGATCGACCCTGCGATTTGGGACATGGATCAGCCTCAGTTTACCTGCTCTCCGCCTTGCAATGTCAAGATACCGCCGTGGACCGGCGCAACCAGCACCGTCGACTACCCTCTCATCACCGTCAGCCAAGGATCCTGGACGAGCACAATCACGCAGCCGCCGCTGACCATCACGGAGTGGGTGTTTGAGGCGGCAACGTTGACCCAGGACGCCGCCGCCAAGAGGAAACGCGCAGCAGAGACTCTGTGGCCCGTCCCGGCAACGACGCCGTTCTGGCCTGCTGTTGTTTATAATGGCGGCATTGATGGGAAACAGACGACGACGTCCGCCACGGAGCCTTTCCCCAAGCCTCCCAAGTCCATCGGCCCCGGTGCCCCTGCGCCGCCGTCCGGAAGCTGGCCCAAACGCGGCATTCAGCCTATATTCGGCCTTCCCGAAGGTCCGCTGGGGTTGGAATGCTCCTTTCTCAACTTCGTGGACCCTGACTGCGTCACACAGCCGTGGTTCTATGGCAATTTCACTGCTCCTGGAGGCGACGGTGGCGACATTGAAAACCTCTGGGACCAGAGGACGAGATGCCCTGCCACCACCAGCACAAAGTCTTCCACCAGCTCCAAACCATCACCCACTCGACCCGCGCCATCGCATTACGACCAGGGCGACCCGCGGACCAACTCTGTCAAGTGCTACAACAGCGGCGAGACCACCGAGGACATACGGATGCAGAACGCGGCAAAGAGCTTCTGCGGCGACATCTCCAACGACATTCTGGGCCCCGGTTACTTTGCGTCCAAGAAATTTCCGTTCCCGTACAACGGAGGCATTGGCATAGTTGACATCACGATATCGCTTCAGATCAAGCCGCGGTGCAGCTTTGACACCATCAGCGCGTTGAGTCGGAGAGATCTGCAGGGAAGAGACAATCCCAACTTTGACATGACCTTGTGTGAGAAGTATCTGTCTGTGCCTGCGGACAGCTGTAACTGCGCGGGGGTTAACGGGAAGCAGGGGGGTATCGTGGAGAATAACTGCTATATATGGAGGATTGATCCTAATCGTGATTTATAGTGAGGGTGAAGTAAGGGATTTGTTATGCGCTGTAGAGAAGCCGTCTGAATATTGCTATAATTCAAGTAATAAGCATTTACTTTATCGACCTTGGCTGAATTGCAAGAAATGGAGTAGAATCCTCGTTTCGCAAACAAATAATGTTGGGAGATTGCAGGGGGGACTTTAGAGTACGAAGTGAGCACCTATGAATGACCCAAAGCCATTGCCTTGCCCAGCTGTCAATTATAACAACTCTTTCGAAACCTGGCTGACAGACCAGCGCCTCTTCCGGAAATCATACCCCAGATAACTAATCAGCATGAACTGCGCGTTAAAAAACATTCGGGCGTAGGCGGAGCCTAACGCTTCCAGATTAGGAAATAAACAGTCAGCCACTCACTCGGCCTCGAAGCGATAAATGGCGATAAAGCCCAGACAAAAAATTATAAATTGGAGAATCTAGTGTTTTTGTTAAGTCGTCAAGTTGCTTCCAAATGCTCAATTGTCCTAACTATTCTTAGTCGCTCTTGCAAATGCTCTATTTCCTCCCGGTTTCGACAATTAAATACACAACAGCCGATTGAGAAAATACGACTTAGAGTTTCCATCTCATCACCATTAATTAACCTACCACAACATCAGCCATTTGAAACAGTTGATAAGGTTTCTGACAATGCATCTAATTCTCACCGGCGCTACTGGGCTCATCGGCTCAAGCGTTCTTGATGCCATGCTGAAGACGGCTGAGGTCACCAAAATATCCATTCTAAGCCGTCGACCCGTCGCAATGGCCGAGAACGCCAAAGACCCCAGAGTCAATGTCATTATCCACAAAGATTTCCTCAATTACGATTCAGAAGTACTCAGCAAACTACAAGGCGCTAGCGGCGCAGTCTGGGCTCTTGGAGTTAGTCAGACCAAGGTATCGAAAGAGTATGTTTGACATATTCTTATTCCAACAAGGCAAAAGGGAGAATAAGATCTGACAAGTCTTGCGTCGTAGGGAGTTTATTAAGATTACAAAAGACTACACTATTGCAGGTGCAGAAGCTTTCTCTAAGCTTGCGCCCAACGACGATCCGTTTCGTTTCGTGTTCGTGTCAGGCCAAGGTTCAACTCAGACGCCTGGCCGATTCAGCAATCTGTATGGCCGTACCAAGGGCGAGACTGAAATAGCGCTTTCAGAGATGCGCTCTGCAAGTCCTCGCCTCTTGGCTGACGCCGTTGGGCCTGGGTTTGTGGATGGCAAGGGTCACGCCGCTATTCAGCCCTATCTACAACAACAAGGCTTTCTCATTGATAACAGCAAAATGTTGCTTCGACGACCGATTGAAGTGGCTGTAAAGTGGTTACATTGCCCAACAGAGCCAATGGGACGCTTCTTGGTCGGAATGGCTCTGGGGAAATACGAGACACAGTTGCGAGTAGATCCCGACGTCGTAACAATGGATAGCGGTCTCAGGGTCATTAAGAATTCTACGATAACACGGATAACTGGTCTTGAAAGCTAGGATGAAGAAGGCTTTATTGAGTGTTTGTACCATGTATAACTATTGTCTTAGAAGCAACATTTTTTTAGCATTTGTTTATACAAATGGCTCTCTGTCATTCAAGAAAAGAAGGGTGTTCATTGTGGCGTACTGATCTGTTCTCTTTATGATGTCTTTGATACTAGTATTCCAACTACAAAGACGCTCTCATTTCTCATATTGACTCAACCGACCTATAATTAGATATTTACAACAACAATTTTTCCAACCGAGATATCTCGACCTCGCTCTAGCGCTTCAGCATACGCCTCAAACGGATACGACGCCAACACCTCAAAACCACCCTCTCCATTAAGCTTCAAAATGCCCGCCTCGACCATCTTAATCAGCCCTCGAACATGCTCTGCCTCAAACATGCACGATCCCCGAATTGTTATGTCGTTGAACATCACTGCTAGATAAGGCGCTGGCAAAGCGGCATCTGCGCGGCCTCCAAGAAGGCATACTCGGCCACCTTTGCGAACAGAGAGTATAGCCGAACCAAGATACGTCGATCCTGTAGCAGCGCTTGGTCCCAAGTCCACAAAAGCATCAATTTTGCCAAAAGATTGTATAGAAGCCACGTCGCTGGGTTCTCCAGTTAGCTTGACTGTTTGAATCCCATGGAAGCGAGCTTTCAGGGCGTTTAGACTCTCTTCATTGCGGCCACCGGCAATGACATTCGCGCCCATCGCTCGAGCCACAGCAATACAGCCACCGCTAAAGACTCCTGTTGACGGTGCAATCAGAACCGTCTCTCCGGCCTTGACGTCAATCTTGCGGAGTCCGCTATACATAACGGGCAGAAGCCCCAGGTGGAGGAGATCCTCAGTCTTGAGTCCCAAGTTTCCAATAAGTTTGTTTTCGTCCAGTGCCCAAGTACTCTCCAATGGCGCCCGGACATACTCAGCCCAGGCACCATCTCGCCAAGATTCTTTGACGAAGCGCTTGGTCGTCTCGTCAAAACCGTCAAAGGCACCCCAAACTGCAGAAACATTGGGATCATCACGGGCCCGCAGGTTTGTGTCGATGAGCACGAGCTGGCCCGGTTTGAATGCAGTAGTGTCGGGCCCAATAGCGGCAACACGGCCAATAGCAGGACTACCAAAAACCACTGGATAAGGCAGAGTCATGTTGGGATTCGCAACGGTGCCATGAAACACATCTGGTGTTATCTGGTATACAAGAACGTGCAGAACACGAACGATGACGCTGCCGGGTAAGGCTTGCGGGACTGGCGCGGTCTCAATGGCACCATTTCCTGGGCCTTTGAGGACTAGCGCTTTCATTGAAGTAGGGAGATTGGCCATTTTGAGGTGATGCGAGGCAAGGCGATTTGTTAAGACAATGGATAACTGATGAGTAGTTGAAGAAAAAGCTCAACAGATGTGCGAGTACTACTAACTGATGGCTTTCAACTATCCTCCTAGAGACACTTGAATCCTTGATAAACAGTCCATATCTTGGCAGAGAATTTAAACCATCTTTATACTCCATCTCTCCTGTGCATCAACTTGCATCCACTGAATAGTCAAGTTGCAATTACAAAGACGTCTCGTCTGCCAAACCAACTTCGACTTGGTCATTCGGCCCTCGCACCGCCCTGTCCCGATTTGGCAGGCGTTTGTCTTGGCATTATCCACATCTAAATAGTGTCGACATACGGAGGCAGCTATCAAAAGTAATGTCCTGAGAGGAATGCAAAAAAGTGAGCCAAAACAGCCCAGAACATGAATTCAGACGAACCTTTCCATCGCTCTCGAATACAGCTTCGAACGAACCTCTCGTCGGCTCGACGCCAAATACGGTAGCCTCCGCGGCGGTGCAATAAGATAACCGCTGTTTCGTCTGACCAGATAACCAACTTCTAGTCTTTTAAGGTCCAATACCTATGGGCTAGGCACCAGTCCAACCGGGCTTTCTTCATCTCAGCCGTTAGCCCAGGCTTTCTAGTTGGCTTAGTCTTCCGGAACCCGGTTTTCTTCAGCACCCGCCACACTGTCATGGCTGATACTGGATGCCCTGCTTTAGTCATCTCTCCAGCTCTATCAGCACAGGTTTTTCCCGGCCATATCGATCCTTTTGGACCTTAGCTGCTATAGCTAGCTCAAGGTCGCTATTCCGTTTTTTCGGTCTTCCGGACCGCGCTCGGTCTGATACAAATAGGTTGGTTATTTGCAACGGCCGGGCTGATGGATTGAAGCCGGCTATAACGGCCCGGCTGTAGATTCGGTTGACCTGACGGACTGACAGACCTAAGATAGTTGATATCTCCGCCGAAGACCAGCCAGTCGAAGCTTTTAGAGCCAGAATAGCGCCTCTAAGGGCGTCGTCAGACCTTTCGTAATTCATCGTTTTTGCTGTTTTTTGCAGCTTCACATTGAAATAGCTTTGAAAGCCGGCCGTTGAAATAGGTGGCGTTGGCTTGATTGAGCAGCAAAATCGCTGCCCGACCGGGCCCCCTGGTCAATCGGCTATACTTAGGCCTAGTTTACATTCCTCAGGACATTACGTTTAATAGCTGCCTCCGTAGACCATTTTTCTTTTAACGACAGGCTTATTAATTTTGTTGATACATGTTCAATTTGTGCTGAGTAAAGCTATCTGGGAGCGATAGTCGAGTGAATCGATGCGTGTGCTAGCAGGTAGCAGCGTCTACGTACATGCATCCACTGCGTTCCTGTTTTCATTGGTTTGTACAGCGTTCGTGTAACTAGGATAGCTCACGTCGAGGCCATTGGCACTTGTAAATTCTGCAAGCATCAAGGTTCTTAGGTGAGATGATCAGATCAGTGTGATGTATGAAGGCTCAGCTGATTGAGCATTTTGCCGAAATAATACTCATACCATGAGTGTTCCAAATATGCCCCAGTCCATTTCAAGTTGCGTTTGTGCAGTACATCTTTGGTCACAGGAGAGATAATCTTTATTCAGTTTTCCAAAACAACAAGAACTTACTTTCTTTGTCAAATATAGAAGCCGGCTCTGAATAAAACCAACCACCAAAAATAATACAAAAAGTAAAGTCTCCGATACTGGGAATCGAACCCAGGGCTGCTCGGGGCTTCAACAGAAGTTGAGAGCGAGCGATGTTAGCCACTACACCATATCGGATGTTATCAGTCAAGATGGTTGTCTCTGACTCGTTGCAACGTGGGGACGCCAAGTGGTTCATAACCCCTTGCAAATTCTGCCCTGAGCGAACGGATAGGATCAAAGAACCGATTGTATAGATAGATAATATATGAGGACTCCATTGACACATAATCCAAAATGACTCTTTGCCCGTAACTCATTAACATTTCAGCAGCCTTGGGGAATGGCAGCCTAGCAAGTCTGATCTAGTCCAGTGTGATCATCTCTCATTTGAGACTAGATTCTACGTCAATGCTTGCATATTGCATACGGCATTCTTCTTAATAATTTGGCACTTGTAGGCTATCCAAGAGAGATGGCTTATCATTGGCTTCTCTTTCAGTGATAACTCCGGATTCCAACGCTAATTCTTCATCAGCAATAGGTACTTAGACACCCGTGGACAACATAGGAAGAAGTGCTGCATGTACTAACAACATCAGGGAAGCAATACAGGGATATCAGTAGACCACTTTAGCACTAGTACCCAAGACCCTGGTTTTGGTATCCAGAATGCGTGGTGGGTAAGATTAAGTAGCTCAAGCGTGGTCATCCCATTCCCATGGCCAACAACACCAACACCAACACCAACTAACAGTTGGTCCGAGATCCCCAGGACCAGTGTCACTGGGATATGCTACTCACGGGATAAAGCAAGAAAATGCTTCTAAGGTCTGCGGCAAGGACCATGAAGAAGATAAAGAGTCAGTGCAGCGGGAACGCTTCTCGGATCTGTGTGTGGTACGTGCGAGCTGTCATTCTTGTCTATGTGGGGAGATTGGACGATTATAGTCATTTTTTGTCATGTGTGCGTTGCGTATGCATCAATGGACTATTATTTGTATAAATAGAGTTCTCAGTAGTAAACGAAACAGTAAATCATCTTAGTACATCACACAAGACAACAGAAACTCAATCGCCAAGGTATATATCCAAATTATATAGCTTCCGACAGTTTTCAGCGCATCATCCTGCAACCTTGAATGGTGATGCTTCATAACCACCGTTTTCCTCCGTGAATTCGGCGACTCTACCAAAAGTTGAAGCACCCGAGTAGACCTGACTTGGGCGGGATTAGAGCCAAGGTAGCGCTCTGACTTGAAGCTACATCACTCATCAGTCTCATGAGAAAAGGTAATCAGCCACTAAGTGATTAATAATAATGCTCACCTCCAGTTAAGGTTGGCCTTGACCACGCATTTGATGCCCTCAACATACTTTCGAACTTGCACATCAGCCTCTTTGCCCCAGCTCGGCACGCTCGCTTCAGCCTTATCCCAGCGCTGGTACCGTTGCTCAAGGAGCTTGCCTACCGTGTTAAAGGCGTTTTGCAGTGACATTCCACTTGAGCAGCAGACTGTCACCATGTTGTGCGGCACGCCTTCTGCCTATAGCGAGTGTGTAAGTAAGCATGCTAATTATACAATGGGATATAAAAGAATTATGAATACTGACTTGTTCCTTTCGGTATGACAAGATGTCGTTAGATCTAAGAATCATCAGTTTTGTGTTTCAGGTTCTTAGAGGGCATCTTATATGGCAACCATGTCCATACCCAGACACTCCAGTTCTTGAATAACGGGGTTGTCAAACACCTCGTCTGGAACTCGGAGGTCGTGTGCATATTCAACAAGATGGTACAGAGGCTTGCATCCTGCTGATTTTCGCCTGATAAGAACGATTTCTTCCAGTGAGGGCGTCTTGCTCGCAAAATGGTTGTCGATCTGAACCAACGCGCCTTGACAGTAGCCTTGCATGGCGAGAGCAAATCTCTTCCGGACGCCTTTTATATGAAGAGGCTCATTAGTAAAATATTACGTTTTGACATGCTGTCAAGGAAGTATACCTGTAGGCGCTACCTAGTGAGCTCTCGATTAGCAAAAGAAGATCCAGACGCCAATATTTTGAGCAGGTTATACCATGGCAATTCTTTGGAAAACTGTGTCATGAGCTTGTACGATACGCAGCCTATCTGCCACGTCCAAGTAAGAAGATTTACCCATCATGGGCATCATCAAGCTCTCCATGACACGTTGAGACTCTTCAGGCTTGTCGCGGAGGCATCCATTGTCAAACACTAGATGGATCGCTAAGCATATAGCTGGATACATTGTACACAGATACAGAATGGACTCACTATCGTCGTACGGGAAAACCTATTTCATTATCCAAACAGTTAGTAATATATCTTGTCAGGCTAATGTAAGCTACGTGTGGCTCTCTCACCCAATTACCCCAATCACAAATGGTACGAAATTGCGATCGGGGAGCAAATGGCGCTGCAATTGCGCAAAAGTAGGAAAAGTCACAATTGTTAACCTTTTTTCTCATTCTAGGCCCGAATGAACAGAATCTAGTATGACGAATTAACATCAACCTTGAACTAGGACAGAGAAATGATGGGCAAAGGTGAATGATGGAGTATCTTACTCGCTCAGCCACTCTTCTGACTCTAGCTTGACTCTTTCATAATGAGGATTTACCAAAGGTTCTTGCTTGAGAAATGCTTTAAACATGTCTGGCAAAAGGACAGTAATAGTTACCTGCTCGGGCTCCATAGTTACAAGATTAATGTGACTGATCAAGAATATATTTTTCTACCCAAAATCCCTCCATAGGAGAGATTGCTATGGCGGCCTTATATCTTTAGATTCCATGGTGCCTAGGCAGGCTTCTGCACACCTTGCTGGTCACGGAAAGGGAGAAAGGGCGAATGGCGTTCCAAAACATATGTTACAGAGTCCTGAAAAACTCACTGTGCATAATGAATAGAAGTATCACGAGAGAAAGCAGGGAAGTACTGGTGTACTGTGAAGCTAAAGATGGAGATGTTGTTGGTTGGTCGTTGGCTTGGAGCCCCCCTCGATAGTTCTATTAGTAGCACGGTGGTGACGGTGATTGCGCTAAAGAAGTCTTGGGCTATTGTCACCGCAAAAGTGAAGTTGGGTCTAGCATCGAGCTACAGGTAGCTGTTCCTGATTTCGGTAATATCGGTAATGGAGCTTCTTCGGATCATGTGTTAATGTGCTTGTGTAGAACGTGTTGGTTGTGGAGTACAGCATGGTCTCGGTGTTTAGAGCCGGTCCCTCGATGACACATGAGTATGGTGTCTCAGTTGAGACATTACACAGCTCAGTTATAACCACTCGCAACGCCGATCCCTTGCGAGGAGATGTGTCATCTCTGCTGCCCATATTGTGTCTCAGGTGATTCTAGATGTATCTGTGTGGAAAGTGCACGTTTCCATCGTTGGTGGCTTTAGAGTTTCATGATCCTTCAATACTATCAAGCCATGTCTCTGATTCCAAGTCCGATTCCAAATTTGAAAGCAAATTGCTATTCCATGATAGCTTCAGGTTCCATCACGGTACCTGGCAGTTGAGCTACTTGGTAAGCATAGGAGAAAATAGCTTGGCGGAGGATTGAGTTGCTCTGATGACAAGGCGAGTTGCGGCAGAAAATAAGGGGTCAGACAAGTTAAACTTGTGTAACACTGGCATAAACAGGTGAGCAAGTGACTATGTAGAGATTTACAACTATAAAAGTTCAGTTATACATGTATGACTGGAGTTGAAGACGGCAATATTTCAAGCTTAGTTAGAGTTACCAGGGAATTGGTAATCGGTATGGCGTCCAGGGAGATGGCGGGTGCATTGACACATGGCTGGCCTGCACGGCTCTATTGGTAATCGTTTGACACCTGGAACAGACGTTGGCCCGACAGAGATGATCACCGTGAGGGTCAGCAACAGGAATGAAGAGTTTCGAGTCCGCTCTTGATTCCTCCGCCACCAACAAAGTAAATCACGCAGGGCATATTATGAAATGTGATAGACTTCCTAGGGATACGACTTTGTTGCCTCCTCCGGAATAAAGGGTGAAAGCGCTTTCACTCGGTATTTGCCCTTTGGTCCGGCCCTGATGCGTCTGTCCTCGACTATAAAATCCTTGTTGTGTAAGAAGACGGGAACTAAACAGATACACTCTTCTCAAGGAAACAACTATATTTCAGTAAGTCTTGCTCGGTATTCGTATCATACGGACATAGGTTGTTGAATAAAGCTGACAGATGAACAGACTCTCCTCTCCATTACATATAATCTATTTGTCCAGCATCATTGGTCCAAAGCTGCAGCATAGCATCACCATGGCATACCACAAGGTGGGAAACTACAGCTTCCAGTGGACAGACCTTCACTTGCCTCGAGAAAAGCTAGAACCCCTGCGCCATGAGTATGACCAGCTGGGTAGCTACGCAATAAAGAAGCTGCAGCAAATCTCTCGAGACAGAAAAGGGGATGCAGCAGCAGGCGAAAAGAGCCTCTGCCATGGCCCGTTTGACGTGTACACCACGTTTCGGGACCACCATCCCGAAGACGAGAAGCTCAACCAGCTCTGGGAGGAGCTTCACACGGTGCCAGAGTGGGTTGACTGGGAACAACTCAAGCGTGGCCAGCGCTTCTTTTACCGCTATGCCGCGGCCAACCTGGTGGGATTTGCCCTTCAGGGATTCATCGGCCAAAACTCGTCGACGCCTTCTGCCGTTGAAGTCCTGGCGCGAACCAGAAGCTTCTCCACGCGGGTGCTGCTGCGTCGACTCCTGGAGACGACTCAGTTCATCCTCGAAGCCACGCACAGCCTCGAGTCGATCCAGCCCGGCGGCGAGGGCCACACGACGGCCATTCGAGTCCGGCTGCTGCACTCTGCCGTGAGGGAGCGCATCCTCAAGCTGACCGAGATGCAGCCGGGCTACTTTGATGTCGACAACTTGGGCATTCCCGTCAATACGCTGGACTCGGTACACTCAACTGCGGCGTTTTGCTGCGGCCACGCATGGTTCCAGCTGCCTCAGATGGGCGTCCATCCCACTACGCAAGAAGTGGCCGACTATATTGCGCTATGGCGATACATTGGATATCTCCAGGGCGTCCCTCACGAGTACTTCTGCAGCGTGGCCCAGGCCAAAGCCACGATGGAGAGTATGGTGCTGCACGAATTGAAGCTGACGCCAACGTCATTGATTCTCGGCCACAACTTTGTCGAGTGCGTCAAGGATCTGCCGCCGCTGATAATCTCGGCGGGCTTTATCGAGGCCGGCAGCCGAATGCTCAACGGCCACAAGGTCTGCGATGGGCTGGGATTCGGACGGCCTGGACTGCTGGCGTACGTCTGCTGGAGAGGCCACTGCTGGTTTGTGGGGGCTCTGGCTGTGGCACAGCACTGGATTCCAGCGGTGGATGAAGCCATGGTGAGATACTGGCGCAAGACTCTCGATTATGCAGTTATCAAGAGCAAGGGGGGTCTTCAGGGAGGTTCCAAGATGGATTTCAAATACGTGCCGCAGCTGGGAAAGACGACTAAACGGGAGGATAATGGAAGACCGGCGATTGGTTCGTTTATGGCATCGCCTTTGGCTCGGCCGTTGGAGGCATTTTATTTTGCGGTGTTTGTGATTGGATGTGTGTTGATTTGTGGTGGTGCATTTGGGATTTACTGGTGTGTTAGGCAGATGATGTTCAACTAAGTGAATAAGCCGCTGTATCTCGACGTATACGAAGCGTATGTCAAACAGATGCTACGTTGAGCCCCATAGTATGAAACTTTTAAGTTGTTTGTTTAGGATTGAGTTTATTGTTAATCTGACAATGTGCATTTAATCTGTTGTTGTAAGAATTGGATAATGAGTGTGCTTGATATAGCTTCTGTTGTAAGCTTCGTCTTGGTGTTGTTGATCCTAATATTGTCTGCCGCTCAACTCCAACCTCGAGCAATAAGAAAAGATCATTTTCATGCTTTTACATGTATAGAGCTACTAATGAGTTATCCATTTAGGCAGCCATAAATTCTCCTTCAATAGCAAAAGAAGAATTTAACCGTATGCTCATACAGTCATTTGGTATAGGTTAGGCGAAGCAGCCATCACGCATGTTCAATCCCGTCACTCCGACATGGGTGGCACGTTCGGGCGTATTAGCTAATAACGATGCCGTGTCTATTCTCCTCCATCCTCGGGTTTCAACTGGTTCAACAACGTTGTTTTCATCCAAGCCCGAGCTAAACAGGTGTTGATTACAAGTTATACGACTCCACCCCATCCATAAGTCCGAGCCCAGCGCGAAGACGAGAAAGAGCTGAAACCCAATGGTCGGCGATCACCTGCTATTAGTAGCACTTTTATCTTTATTTTTAAAATTGCTGCGACGCCATCAGCATCCACGTGGACTCGGGCCCAGCAACAGGCACTTGTCCAGGTAACATTCCGCAATATTGCTCGTTCTCATACTATCGCGCGCGGCTTTCGGGCTTACGCTAGCATAGCATCATCCACTGCTTGCCACTCAGCCCTGTTTCCGCCCCTTGTTCTTGTTCCTGTTCTTGCTTGGACGATTCGACGAGAAACAAATTACTGAAGACGTCCAAGTATGGAGCAGCTCGGGAGCAGCTACTCCGTGCAGAGCACAGGCAGGGCCACTCTCTGCCCAAACACCAGGGCATCGGCCAGGCTTGCTAGGCTCGGATGGGCTTAAAGGTGTTTCTGCTGTGGTTCTAATTATAAGCAGCTTCGCTTGGGATTAGCACGCCCGCCAAAACCGCACCAAAATCTCACTGGGATGCCGCCGATCCGCTGGAACAACGTTGATGCGCGTAAAACGCGACGGAATGGGAATAACGGAGTCATATAGAGTCTGGAGAGGCAGAGCACGCGAGTAAGGTTTGTAGACAGTAGTACAAGTAGAGGTTAGGACTATGGTGGAGAACTGGCAAAGCTCGTATGGGGCAGCTACTTTTTTTTTCCCCAATTTCTTTTTCTTTTTTTTTTTTCTCTTCACTTTCGTAGCAAGGCCGAAGATAGGGGCAGAAAGACACAAAAAGAAAAAGTAGCTGTTTGTGGTGGAAACGGAGAGTCCGTAGGAATAGTAAGCATAAACACAACACAAGAGCCGCGGTATCAAAAAGGGGTTGAAGGATCAAGTCATCAATCACATCTACCGCTTCAAGCAGGGCCACCAGCCACAGTCAGCCTTGGGCAAAAATGCACAAGACCGTTCCTGGTTTGTCGGCCGGACCGTCCCTTTTTTGCCTTTTCTCATGTATTTTCGGCCAGCAAGGCCCAATGACCCAGAAGTTCGTCTGGTCTTTCGACACCCTGCACAGACGATATAAAAGTGCCCGCCAAATTGCGCTTCCAGCGTTGCATTTACTAGGTAGTACTATGTATGTATTTATGTATTTATTTCCTGATTAACATCCCCTGTTCTTTAGGTGCAAACTGGCTCGTCTATAATCAGTAAGCACCATGCAAGGCCAGCTGGACCACCATCTGGGAGGAGCAACAGCAGAGAAGCGTCGACGAGCCACAGCATCACACACTCCGCCGCGGAGGATATTATCCAGTAGGTATATATATAGGTATATATAGGTACATGTATCGTGATGTTCCCCATATATGCCCATATATGCCTCCAAGGTACGTAGCACTATTCGTAATCTACTAGCTCGTAGACCCGTCGCTCTGGTTCTTCATCCCCCTGTCTGCGGCTGTTTCTTTCGCTCTCTATCGACAGGGATCACCGTCTGCCCAGTGGATCCAGCTGTTTATTGATCACGCTGCACGCTGGACGGCCATTGGTACAGGGCTGACGCTGATAACAGAGCCCCCAGTAAGCCTTAATTTCTTGGTAGAGCCCGGCAAACTCGACTGTTGTTGCTTTGGGTCATAACTTTCAAGCCCACCAATGCCTGCGAAAGCCGGCTGTTGTGATGGGGCAGCACTAGTGGGATCTGTGCCTTTTTCCTGCTAACCCGAGTGCGAAGTATTAGTTCCAACAGAGATTCCATACGAGGTCTTGCTAGAGCACTCATTTGAGGAATCGTTTCCCATAATTTGCCCGTTTTTCTTAGCCGCCTGGACTCAACTTCGTGGCGCCCCCAGCTTATTAGTGGCACCGGCTTTCTCTCTTGCGGTTTGCCCTTATTCCCAAGGGGGGTGCGGTCATACAATCTCCATTTTCCTCGCTTCTCTTCTTCATTGATTTCTCTTGGATCTCCTCTTCATTCACTCGTTTCTTTGCTCTTTCTCTTTTCGTCTTTTTCCATTTGCCGGTTTCGGTTGTGTTGCTGCTTTGTTGCGCAGGCCTCTCCTTGAAGCCCAGTGGAAACACTAACACTAAGCTATTCTTGCCTTGCCTTGCCTTGCTTTGCTTTGCGTTGCATTGGCTTTGTCGACCAGCATGACGAGGATTCTGAGTATTGGCGCTGCGGCGTTGGCGGCCAGCAGCGTCATCAGCACAGCCAGCGCCACTTCTATATACGCCTTCTATACAGGCACGGATCGGGGTGTCCAACTTGGCATGCAGGATCCCAACTCTGGTGATATCTGGGTCAACGACTGCGCCGCCATGAACAATGGCAACCCATTGTTTCCGACAGATGTGCCGATTGTGCTGCCGGTTTCGACCCCGGTGAAGATGGGAGGAAGCATAGCAGCAACGGGCTGGTGGGATTCACAGAAAGTAGTTGTAAGTATGATGGAGTTGACATGGATACTGCCACGATGTTGGCCAAAAAAGAGAATGAGAACAAGAGTCAAGAGGTGGAAGTGAAGAAAAAGAAGGACACCATAAAGGAGGAATATAGGCGGGGCAAAAGAGAAAGAAAAAGGTCAGATGTCTGGAACGAATTTGCTAATATATGGCCGCCACTTCAGACCTCCGTCTTCTGGCACTCAGTAAACGGCACCATCGTCAACGCCATCTACAACTGCGACAACGAGTCGGGCACGTTTGTCCGGATGGGGCCTGAATATGTCATCTCCGAGACAGCAAACGTCAAGAATTCATCCATCCACGAAAACACGGGCTTGGCCGTGGAGCTCCTGGGAAGCACCGCCGGCTACAGAGTCTTTTACCACGACAACAACAGCCAGGTCCAAGAGCTGTTTTACACCCAAAAGACAAACTGGAACTACGGCGGCATCGTATCGCAGGATCCGGTTGCATCATTTGCTCTGGGCACGGCCCATTCGTCAACCGACAACATCACCGTTGCGTTCCCCAGGAGTGACAAGGACATTGAGGTTTCGCGCTTCAACTCGGACAAGACGTGGCACATCTGTATGTAGTTGCTATATCTACTGGCATCACCGCTGATTGATAATAACTGACCCCTGAACGCAGCGACTTTCCCCGAGTCTCTCGAAAACTCTCCCACAAACAAAACTGACACCTCCAAGATTGAAATCGACCCCAAGGCCGAGGCCAATTTCACCCTCCCGGCCTGGGACGGCGCGCCCAGCGGCATGGGCGTTGCCATTGACAGCACCTTCACCCGCAGCGTCTTCTATATCGGAACCGATAGACTGCTGCACGAAGTCTCCAACATCAACTTCCAATGGAAGCTGTACCCGAACCAGACCAGCGAGGCCTGGCCCGAGGCAGACGAGGCAAACGCCGACCTGGCCGTGACTTACAACTTCCAGTCAAGCGAGGCCTGGATCTACTACGTGTCCGGCGGCAGCCTCGTCCAGGCATACCGCGGAACCAGCGGCGACTGGAGCTCAGCCGTCGTCGTGTCTGTAAACTCCATCGACGACAAAACCACCAGCAATGTGGATGGCAAGAAGTCCTCTGGCCTGTCCACGGGAGCCAAGGCCGGCGTCGGTGTTGCCGTCAGCATCGGTGTCCTTGCAATTGCCGGCCTCGGCCTCTTCTTCTTCCTTCGACGACGCCGCCAACGAGCAGCCGCTGCCGCCGCCGCCGCCGACAAGGAGCATCCCATCAACCTGGGCGACTACCAAGCTCCGCCGGAGCAGGCTCACTACATGGCCGATGGCTCGCTGGCGCCTCCTTACTCGCCTCAAGTGCCGTACGACGCCCACGATCCCCACAAGATGGCCGCCATGACGCCGGTGCATATGCTGGCGACGCCGCCTCCTCCAGTAGAGTTGGAGCAGCCGCCGATGATTCACGAGCTGCCGCCGGAGAACTACAGCTATGAGCTTCCCGCAGAGAGCTTTGAGCACAGGTGACTCCTGGGGAATGGCCAGCAACGCCAAATGTGAGGGGAGGGATTTTCATTTGTTTTATTCGAGCATGGTTCCAAGCATTCCTCTTTTTTTATGTTTATGAGGAAGAGCGTTTATCAGCCTTTTTTTCTTCTCTCTTTTAGAGTACCATGAGCATATCGTTTCTCTTGAAAGCATGAGCGAATTTCTGTTATAGGAAAATTAATTTATATACAACTCTGTGCTCTAATGGCTTGGGGTAATGTCGTCGATAGTTATGTGATGTCTGTGGCACTTTGGGACTTTGGGCTTAAAATGATGCATGTGTTTGTATATTGATTTCGAATTCGAGGAGAGATGAAGGTTTAGTTAGGTAAAAGGCTATGGAAAATGGGTTATTTAGTGGAACAGAAATCAACTTGTATATGACTGACACAGTGGAGTCTAAACAAATCGCCAATTCATTATAATTAAAATCCTCTATATATTGACGTTTATACGTCATGACTACACCATCTCTATATTCAGCAAGGTCTTAAGACCTGAGTTCATCGCTCATTTGCGCAATCTAGTTTACTGCCTTTGCAAACGCAGTCGCCTTTTGTCCACCAAGCGCTAGATAAAATGAGGTGTTTGCAAAAGTGTTGTCGTATCCCACAAACTTGTCATTAGTGGGGAGCTGGCTCGTCTTCAGAGATGGCAGGTTTCCAGTTCCTAGGGGCAAACGTTTATAAGCATTGATTGGTAGTCAATGGCATCACATAGACGAGGACCAACCTTCGTTCATTTCATCAAACATGGCGTTAAAGACAAATAGGGGCTTGATGGCCAGAGAAGTAACGGCATCTGCCTGCATGGAGTAGAAAGAGCCGTTGTAGCGGGGGAAGTAGTCAAAGGCAGACGGGTTAGTGACACCGTTGAGATGGTAGGCCGATGTGCCGGGCCAGACAAGAGGAGCGTGGTCGATGCCGAGCGATTTAAGAGTTCTAATAACATATTGAGTTAACTAACAGCAAGAGAGAAAGAAGACCTTGAGTAACCCACTGGCTGTCTGGAATCTGTGTCGTCGTGTGGTATCCCGCCATGTATCCGCCCTCGCTGTAGCTGCCGACAGTCCAGGGGCTGATCAAGTTGGCTGCCTTGTATGCGGACGCAAAACCAGTGTTGCCTCGCACATCGGAGCCAAATGTCGACGGCACTCCAAGGCCAACATATGCTCCAGCATTCTTGAGTTGAGTGGCAATATTGGCTCCATCACTAACGCTGATGGCGACTGTGGGGAATCCAACGCCAAACACCATGACTGCTGGTTTGCCATTCTGGTGGATATATGCCGATGAGCTTGTGTAAGTCTTGACGACAGAGTTGTAGTCGGCCAAGATTTCGTTTGCGACGCTGCCGGCAGAGGAGTTGCCACCGGAAGCATCATATTCGACGATAAAGCCTCGGCCGTATTTCACAGCGGCAGCTTCAACTTGATTGAGGATCTAACGCAGTAGGTTAATGGTTTAATATGACTGCTGCACGTTATGAGTTTTCAGTATGGACGAACCGTGATGAAAGAGGCATCGCTGAGGTGGCTCAAGAAACGCTGCACAATGACACCATCAATTCCGTACTGCTGCATCCACTTAAAGTGCAAGTCCACGACACCCTCGCAAGTGTTATCGTACAATTGCACCGGTTGGCCATTGGGTGCAGTCAAAGTAGAAGGGAAAAGACAATTGGTCGGATACTGGCTGACATCAGGGAGAAAGTCAACCTCGACTAAAGTCTTTGCGTTAGAATCGATCCCCAAATGAAGAACCTAACAAGTTTACCATTTCCAGGCCCTGGAGTTCCGCCGTTGGGAGACCAGTGGTTGTTGACACCAGATGCGGGTTTACGGAACCAGCCCTGGTAGCCGTAAAGCCATTTACCCTTTAGTGTTGAAACGTCGACAGTGGCAGTTCTCTCATAGTTTTGATGAGCCCTCGGATGGTTCTCGTGGTTGCCGTGAGCTTTTGCCGCTGAGGCTGTGGCGACTAGTAAAAGACTAGATAAAGTTACACGCATTATGTTGACGGAGAGACAGGGATATGTACAAGTGCCAATAAAATATAGACAACGGGATAGGTTGTCAAATACTTTGGCATTCGCTTCATAGGGCGGCACTCTCTCTATATATACCAGTTTCCTATCTCCTAATGCTATTCTCTTACGTATAGAGTTCTTAGACGGGCTATCAGTAATCAGACACTACAAGTGCCGGTGATGCAACCGTTCAGGGAGCTCTCTTAGGATAGCGCACTATGCACCCCATACTATTCAAAACGGCCCGATGCTGCCATTCGAATACCTCCAGGCAACCAGTATTCTGTGCAAATAGGGGAAAGGCATTTACTTGCTTGACTACTCGGAGGGATGTCGGCATTGCTAATTTGCGCCCTCTACGCAAAGTTATTGGGCTGCCTTGAGGCCAATCGTATGCTATTAACATGCCTTTGGTCTAAAAATTGGATGAAATGTGCGGAGCGGATATTGTACTGTGCTTTCCCGTCGGATATGCTTATGCTCCTTTAGGAGACATGTGAATGCTACAGAGCCAATCGAATTGATGTAATTGATGAGATTTTGCGCAACTATATAGAATAAACAAATAAACCAACAGCTTGTATGCGTTACAACGGCTTCTGTTTAGGGCTAAGCATGATCCGTTTGTCTCACCCTCCTTGCAGCCCGATGATCACTATTTGGAACCGAGATTCCCGCTTTATGCCATAGGAACGCCCATGATAACTAAACAGATAGGGTCGTGAATAGGCGCATAAAAAGACTTTTTCAACGATTTCTGAGCATAATCATCTAATCACGGACAGCTCTCTTGAGGCAAGTGGCTTGAGCATTTTGAGAGAGGAAGCTTCTCAATTTTGATGCGCTATCCGCCACTGAATCGAATTGTAATCCTTCTTACGATATATATTTGTCTGCTGGATGGTTGCAATCGTAGATGTTAGCTAGCCTGCCAATCATTTATGGATGTAGCCTCCTCGCGATATAGCGAGGTTCGTTAAGGCATCCGTAATATACTCTTTGACACCGAATCCGATCGCGAGATACAACGCAAGCAAGATTAAGAATCATGGGACGTTACCACCTAGCTATGGACGGCCCGAGATTAAATTGACTCTACAAGATGTCAAACGGTAGCAGAAGCGCCGGGTATTCAAGGACGGGCTGCACACTATTCTGCACAGGCACGTTGGCATACTACGCTCACTAGACGTTTGTGGCTCATGCATTCACCCGGTTCAACTTGGAGGCGTGAGATCTGCTAGTTCCCGGTCTTTATCTTGCGTTACAAGTTGGATCATTATGCTTGCCGTAACGTGGGTTACAGTAACTTTGAAAGCTTAATATAATGGATCCAAATGAATAAAAGCTTAGGGTCTTTGGCACTGTGTGACGTTGGCTGATCTAAGCTTCCTCCATGGTATTAACAATTTCCACTCCCAATATGTGGCAATTTATTCGTAGTTAATGGTGGTTGTATCTGTGCCAGCAGAAAAATGCAAAACCTCCTCCAGCCAAATTATCTTCTTCTCTGCGTTGACCTCGCCCATGCAAATTGCCTCCGCTTGAGTCTTTGTGCCGTCCTTCCCAATTCCAATCGCCGTATGTTTCTCCGCAAACATGTTGCCATCCTGCAAAAGATAATGCGTGTTGATCTCTGCAGACTCCATCGACTTATTGATGCCCCTTATGTAAGGGAAGAAGTCGTTCCATGTCATCCGCTTCTCATTCACAGTGACGACGGCATCTTTGGAGTATATGCCGAGCAGTGTAGATTCGAGCTCCGATTCGGGACAGGTGAAGATGGCTGTCATCGCAGAGGCAAAGGCTTCCTTGCTAGATAATATATTGGCGGTAGACATGGTGTAAAGTCCCGGTTGGCTTTATGAAGCTGTTGTTTTGGGTGAGAAGAAAGACAGGGTTAGAAGTGAGTCGCTCATTGTTGAGAGGGACCGAAACTATATAACTTATAATTTATTGTCCTAGTACTTTACTAGAAAATGCCTACTACTTTACTGGGAAATGCAACTTAGTTCTAGCTAAAGTCTGAGATGAGCGAGCAATGGACACTACGTTGGATATCTGAAGCTTAGCTGTGCCTTTAGTGCCGTCCAACGCCCGCAGGCTTGTGTGGATCCCGGCTTGGTATGCTTACCCTGAGATGTGTATATATATTGATGATCCGCACCCATATTCTCTCTGACTCGAGCTTTGAAAGGATGAATAATTCGTAATTGGGACAGTTCAATGAAGGAATTTGGTACACTGCGTTGATTTGCTTCATGTTCAACGGTGCATTGGAGCCGAGGGGTGAAACTACACAAAGAGGAAAATATCGTATAATTCTAATGGGCTCGATCTAAAACAATCTATAAGCATAAATGCTCAGACTCATCTAACATTTTAGCATAAATTCTCTAGACCCACTCAGTTAGTTACCAATCCGAATTACTAGCCATTAGTGCCAAACGTGTTCCATGTATTGGCAGCTCACCACGGTTTATGGGAGCTGCAAATCACCCTTCGTCACCAGCTCAGAGAGCCGAAGGATAAAGTTCCCGATTCTCTTTGGGTATGCCTTTATGATGGCGGCTTCCAGTTGCTGCCAAGTCTTTGTAGCTTCGTTTAGCCTGGACCAAGTACGAATGTATTCCTGCGTAGCGCTCAAGTGTTCAAGCCCAAAATTGTCTGTGGATTGACGATGGCTCGGTACAACAACTCTGGGTTTGAGGGCAGCAATCTGATCAAGGGCATTAATCCAACCCTGTCGGAGTTGCGGTGTTGTGTTTTCGGCAAGATACTGATAAATGTTCCCATAAACAACATCCCCTCCAACAACAAGACTCAGGTCAGGCACATGGAGCACCGTTGACGCAGCAGTATCGCCTCCGACGACCTCGACAGCACGGAATTCGTGACCGTCCAATGTAAAGTGTTTTGCGCTCTCCGGTAAGACTTCTACCTGCAAGTCTGGAGGGCCACCTTCTCCCAGCTCAGGAAATGTTGGAACCCAAAGACCATTCCAGAGCTCTGGAGAAACCTGTTCTAGCATATGGGTGTAAGTGCCATTTGTAGCACGGATAACAGCATCTGGAAATTGTTCTTGAATGTATCCAGCAGCAAAAACGTGGTCACCGTGACCATGAGTGATGTAAATAGTGCTCAACGTTCGGTGCCCAATAATTTCAGCTATCCACGCTGTAACTGGCTCGACTCGAGATTTGACTGCTGGAGTATCAACCAACACTGCTTCGTTTGGCATCGTAATCAGGGTAAATGTAGTTGGGTTAAAAATCCATGGTTCTGTGCTGTTTTGTCCAGGGAAAGACACTGGTGCAGGAGAGTCCCAATACGTATATGCCCCTGATACTAGGGGTATGCGCGATAGGAGTGTAGGAAGCCATGACTGATTGAAAGCGTAACGATTTCTTCTTAGACTCTCGATTGAGGTTTCTTTCTCGGTCTCTTGATCGAATTGACAAGTGTGAATGATGAACGTGACGATCAACAAGAAACCTTACGGTGAATCTCATCTCGGAACCTTTATATGTAAATATTCATCCCTTAGTCTATATCTGAGCTACAATACGGAATCTTCCATGTGAAGGGAATCTCCGCATGGAAACTTCCGTATCCATTTGTAAGATGGAAGATGGAACTTATGAATCGAAAATTCTCTGTTGACATATTTGAAAAACAATTGCTTCAATTACGATACCTGCTGTAGATAGAAGAATGAGCCCCGCAGATAGATAATACTAACAATGAAAAGTTGCCTTCATAAAGAGAACTATTGATATTCTCAATGAGGAGACTCCATCAATATCCTAATGAGGAAGTCGCTTGCATTATAGAAATCAGCCCTGTGGGGCTTGGGCTACTGATAGTAAGACAATAGAAGGGATCTCTATAGCCAGCTACAGAAATGGTAAAGCGCGTAGAGAGGCAAGACTGAAATCCACAATCAGGAATCATTTCGTTCTCTTGGCTGTGATTAATAATCGGCTTAATAATTGTTCGAGTAATTAGAATTTACCGAAAACACATTGCTAATGGTATACAATATAATAAAAGTTGTTATTCCGGGCTAGAGAATTTTGCAGAATGGGGCTTTGATGCTTTGGTTGCTGGTTCGTCTTCTTCGAGTAGATGCTTGGCTGCGTTTGCCACTTGAGCTTAGGAGGCTCTATAATAGTGGGTTCTAAAAAGCCATTCCAGACAAAAGTGCAACTTCAATTTCAAAGTTGTAGAATATAATGAAGACAATGTGAACCATAACATTATATTTCCAGCGAGTAAAAAAACCGTTTATTTCTTTTGCAATATTATATAATGCTTCTAGAAATGTTCTTGTCATAACATTGGACAGTATGATATACGTTGTCAACCGTATAAGCGATTGTTCATTGTGTAGTCAATCTGAGGTGGCTTTACAACCTTTGTTGTCTTCAAGCACAAATTACCTAGTTACAATGAACTAGGGCACAATAGGTGTGTGCGCTTACAACACTCTTTTATAAGCTCCACTACAGTGTATGACCAAATCTGAAGGCAACAAGGAATTTAGGATATTGAATTGGGGAACGCAACACCGCTCATCCTCAGTGAATTTACCACAAATCCCATCCCATTTCCATTCAAATCATACGGCTCCTGGTTGCCAACACACCAGGTACAGTAACAGGCTAAATAGCAATAACAATGCTTTATAAATTCAAACCGATTACATCCTTTAGTCAAACATACTAGCTAGTCAAAAAGTTGGCCTAAAATATTACTACCTTACTATAGCTTTACAGAATATTTCCAACCGTCGCTCCATGTTTCAGGAGAATAGATAGTTCGCAGTACTAAGGGCGACCCACTTGCGGCTGATCCTCTAGGCACAATGCTGACTGACTTGTAGTTATTCTTAGCCTAGGAAATAGCACAAACATCTGGCTTTACAAGAATATTATTCACAGAGAAAGGCAAACTGAGAATGAGTAAAACTCTTCTATTTAGATCACCGGTAGAAAAGTAAAATCAGCTATAGGCGTTCACCTGTTCAGAACACAATCGGCGGATGTGGCTACTCCAATCGAACCAAACAATCATGTAACTTGTAAGCTACAATCCATCTCCTTTCCCCTGTAGAAGCCAAAGGAATTCGCTTAGAAGCAAGACCACTGCTGCTGGACACCGCACTGGAGGTTCTGCTCGCCGAACTGGCAGTTGCTGTTGAAAGAGCCATCGCCGTTGTCCAAGCTCAAGCCGGCACCACCGCAGCCAACGAGGTGGTAGGTGAAACCATTGTTGAGGGTGAAGTTGATTCCGCAAGGGTTGGCACCGTTGCCAGCAATGAAGACGTTAGTGCACTCGGACTCGCCGCCAATCCAGGCAACTATCCTATGATTAGTGAATCTGATATTGGGCAGACATGAGAATGTAGTGGAGAGGGGGGCTGTTTACCAGTGTCACCGGCAGAGTCCTTGCCAATGTTGACGGTGGCGGTGGCCAGGCCGAGGAAGAGGCCGAGAGAAGCGACGATCTTGGAGGCGTACATTTTGATGGAGATTTTTTTTAAAGTTGGTGGTGAGAAGTGTAGTAGAAGTGTTTGTTTGTTGTTTGAACTGTTTGTGTGTTGGAGTGAGGATGTTGTTGGATGGAGGGGAGTGACGACGGTATTTATCTTGCTCGAGAAGCAGCAGACGGCCTAACTAACAGGCCGACGTATGCTTAGAAGGGACAAATCATGTTGGAGTTTCCGAAAATAGACATTCTGAAAATAGTATCTGGAGTAGTAGCAATGACTGTACAAAGCCTTTTATAACTTCAGATTAGTCGGCTGACTACAGTTAATGGAATGTGTCCTACTGCCTATAGCGTGTTAGAGAATACGAAGATTGGAGTAGTTGTATTTTCTGATCTCACTCCTGAAGCAGGGCTATTTGTCGTAATTGCAAATCGTTGTTACTCCTAGCTACGGGATCTCCAGAAAACGATTTCATGAATATCATGGTGGGAGGACCTAGGATGGACTCACAAGAACAATGATGGAAGCAAATGTTTAGATACGCTGAACGTAGATTACAAACGATGGATGCAGAGCTTCGACATGAAGTTCAGCTAAAGAACTGGATCTTCAGTGCTCATGTTACATTTGGGATACCGGTTACTACCGAGACAGTGAACGAGTCAGTCCGCAGCATCAGCCCACTAGGTATCTTGTTTCTCTTTATGGTATGTATCGGCATAGGAACAGAACCTAAAATCTCATATCCAATGAAACGAGCTAAAGCTCGGGTCGCCGGCTTCAAACTACGGCTTAGACCCTAATAGCCTGCGATGAATGCATCTTGATGCCCGCAGAGCGCCCATCATTGCCCTTAATGTGCTCTTGAGAATACATTTTCAATTGTTACACAAACGAGAGAACACAAATAGACGTAAGATTACGCTCATAATCAAAAGCCTCTAGAGACGGGTTTGATTGGGCTGGGATTAGTTATCAGAATACAAATGAGCCCCGAGACACGCATGAGAATAAGGTTATTCAGTCATGAGATTTACCAAAACAGAAATGATTTCCCAGCCCCAAGCACCTTCCATGGTCGGTAACTTTCGGCTCAGTCGAATACCAGAAGCAGTAAAAGGATATTCAGGTCTCATTTACTTATGCCTTGGCCGTGTACAGATAGTTTGATGAACATGTGCGGGATACACTGTATGCTGGTGTAACGGATACGGTACTGTTACTGTTTTAATATATATTGAAGCCATTTCCGTCTTATGGCTTGGAACTGCGGGATAGCTATATCCGAGAACTTTTGAGCTTATTCCCGATGGATTATATACAGTGCATGGGGTGGACTATGTAACAAGAATATGCTCTGTAATCATGAAATGTCTATTCTGGGCGCATTTTGTATAGCCTTTGATATTGTGTCTCGGCATGCGGTGCGATATCCCAACTAATCATCGGCTTCTGTCAGCACTAAGAGACTTCAATGGCCAATCCTGATGGACAGGAGAGAATACGACGCAAAGGGTAGAACGAGGAAACGATTACTAGGCATTGGATGGGATTAGGACTAGGATGGCATATGGCGCGGGCTTTAAGTGATACTACTGTGCTATTGGGAGGACGCAGGCTTTAAGTGGTACTATTGGGAAAACATATGCCGCCGCCGGCATTTGGTACCGGCATGGGCGCCTATTCTATTCAAGCCATGTGTGTGTTGCCGCTCTTGGTAACTTGCTATTAACGAATCTGTATCTCATCGTATCTATATTAAGCATAGATGTCGATGGATGGTGCTCTCGAGATCGCCAACTAACTCTACACAGGAATTTGTTTGGACGATACCGACAATCACTGCTACATCTCCTCTGCCCTTCATCCCAATCCCGCACGGATCGAAGCCCTCCTGCTCCTAGGCTCTGCATATTCATTCCGATTACTCCGTACTATTACTCCGCAAGCCAGGGCGAATCTGTGGACAATTCCTTGTCAGCATCTGCGCTAGCCTCTGTCCCGCCTTGAATAACTGCCGCATTTGCGCAACTCGGCTGTCGATCGTACCTCATAAGCCCGCCCCGATAATCCGAAGGGCGGCTTCTCTCCACACCATCCTTGCGGGGTTTGGGCTTGTCATACCTAGTAGCCTATGCATGCCGTATTAGTTATACGTAGGGATTAGTATTAAGCGTATAGTCACTTGTTATGCAATGAATCTAAAAACTATGCCCAAATAGAATGTAAGCTACGATTAAAAACTACAGGAGAGATTAGAACCAACAACCAATCCCAGAATATATAGAATGGTCATCCAGTGTTTACAGAACTCTTGCTGATACGTAATGGTAACCAGGCAGGCAAGCTGAGACCTTTTAGTCACGACGGGTGAGAAACAAGTAGATTTTGGCCTGCTAACACGAGCCGATTTGCACCTAGCCGTATTTCTCATAATCAAGTAAATAGTATTACTATTTCAATCCTAGGGCGACAAATCATAGCCGGCCAACTTCCGGCTTGAAACAGGGGTGTCCTCTATATCCAAACACGGCAAAGAAAAAAGAAAAGAAAAAAAAAAGGAAAAAAAAAAAAAGGAAACAAAGATTGCTGGAACAGCCTGAGGGGAGTCACATGTTGTGCCGTTGCCGAACTGGATATTGCATGGATCTCGACAGTACGCGATGTGACATTTGGAATCACTTTAGTATTAAACCAGCTACTGTTTATGATAGGACTGGTGATTGTCATCTTTAATTTGTAATTGTCCAAGACATACAGCGGAAGAGTAGTGTTTGTGTTTCCGAAACTAGATATTGGATTCATGTACTCTTGTTTTTCACAAAATGACAATGAACAACCTACCCTAGAATGCCATGATAACAGTCTCTATGGATGGGTATATTTCTAGCTACGTGTAAAGCAGTGCCTTAATCTCAGTGAGATGCGTTACTCCATGAAAGATTCACAGTCGAGAGTGAAGATCCACGAGATACACGCGATCGGGCGCTGTTTCCAAGAACCGATCTACGGTACATGGCTGTAATATGTAAAATACAATCGGCGTTACGCCTTCCTCTACGGGGAGCCACGATGATCACTTTCGCCGTCTCTTCCTAGCCCGTGGTGCATTATAAATTCTCCTTGGACATGTCTAACCGGATCCGCCTACTTCTTGCGCTACTCGTACTTTTTGTAGCGTTGTAGAGCAACGGCGAATATAAAATGAAACAAACACACCTATTCAAACATCATTCCTTGCTTATTTCTTCGTTCATTTCTTCATTTGCGCCAGATACGCATCCACGTCAATCTCTCGCAGCTTGTTGGCCTTTTCTTCAACCTGCTTCTCGTTTTCGAGCTGGTACGCCTTCATCTTGTTGTGGAACTCGGGGATAAAGGCGCCCAAGCATCTGATGGCAAGGAGAGCCGCATTGGTCGAATTGTTGATGCCGACGGTGGCGGTCGGTACGCCTCGCTGGTCACTTGTTAGCATGCGGATGACCCAATCACTCTCTTCCGTTTTATAACATAATTATCAACTAGGAGGATGGAAATTTCTCAAGACTCACAGGCATTTGTACAATGGAGTACAGAGAATCTACTCCGTCGAGATGCGTGGCCTTGACCGGGACACCAATCACGGGCAAGGGTGTGTAAGCCGAGACCATTCCAGGCAGATGAGCGGCTCCTCCTGCAGCCGCGATGATGACTTTGATGCCACGGGCAGCTGCTTTCGTGGCCACATCGGCCATCTTGGCTGGCGTACGGTGCGCTGAAGTGATGTCCACCTCCCATGGCACACCGAACTGGTTCAGGATGTCGATGCCAGCCTTGAGAACAGGAAGATCCGAGTCCGAGCCCATGGTGACGAGGACGAGCGGTGCCGCCTTTGGCTTGGAAACTCCCTGCTCTGGGCGGAGAGACTTGCTTCCCGCCTGTAGTCTCTCTTGTCTGACGATGCTGGCCATGTCTACGAGTGGCTTCGCAAACTCTTCGAGCTCTGATATGCTGGCAACGACGCCGGTGACTGTGATGTGGCCAATTTTCCGGCTAGGCTTGGACTCCTTGCCGTAGAGGTGGACGTAGACGGACATTTTGTTGCCGTACATGGACTTTGCCTTTTCGACAAGCGGGAGATGGGAGTCGGGGTTGGCGCCTCCGAGGATGTTGATCATGATGCTGGAAGAGACGTGGGGCTCGATTTTGGCGGGCAGAGTCTCGTCCAGGATTGAGGTGAGCTGTGCCTTGAACTGTGACCTATATAGCGGCGGCATCGAGTCAATTAATATATGCCAATGCGTAAACAGTAGAATAACAAAATAACGGCAATCTTTGCTTACATGTATGGCACTGCCTCGATAAAGAGATGGCCCGAGTTGTGTGGCCGAGGCGCAATCTCATTGACCAGGATGTCATTGTCCTGAGTCACAAAAGTCTCGACGGCGAAAATGCCTCTGCCCCAGAGCTTGTCCACCACGCTGCTGGCAACCTGCTGGGCGCGCTCACAAACAGAAGCAGGGGTGGCACGAGGAGGCATGTAGACTCGCGAGCAGATGTTGTCCTCGTGGACTGTCTCGACTGCCGGGTAGGGCAACAGCTGCTTTGTTCGGCCCTCGTCGTCCTCGGTGCGGATGACCAGCACAGACAGCTCGCACTGGAAAGGGACGAACTTCTCGGCGTAGCAGCTGAAGTTGCCAAACTCGGCGACGGCACGGTCCAGATCGGCCTCGCTCGAGATCTTGAGGTTTCCTCGGCCGTCGTACGAGTCCTTTCTGGCCTTGAGCATCCAGGGATATCCAAACTTGCCCGAGACGGCCTTGAGAGAGGCGTACATGGCATCGCCAGAGCCCTCAATGGCCACGGATTCCGCCACGGGGATTCCTTTGCTGGCCAGGTATGCCTTTTGCTCGTACTTGTCCTGGATCAGACGCAGCGTCTTCCATGACGGGCAAACGGCAACCTTTGTCGTCGTCGCAATCTCCTCCAGCACGGTCGTGTCGACGTGCTCCGTCTCGACGCTGAGCACGCTGCAGTGAGAGGCCAGCTCCTTGATCTTGGCCGCGTCCTTGTAGGAGCCATTGATGTTGTGGCTGTTATCGTTGATCTGCTTGGCCGGCGCATTCTCCGCGTCGAGAATGGCGATTTCGACGTCGAGGGGAGCTGCAGCTTGGCACAGCATCCGGCCAAGCTGGCCGCCACCCAGAAGGCCAATGACGGGCTTTGGGCTCATCTTGATGTCGATTCGTGTGTTTCTGGTCGTCTCGAGGGAATGATTGGCGAGTGGATTCGATTCGAGGTGCAGAGAGGACAATAATTTGTCGGGCTCTTTGTGTAGCTAAAGATTGAAGATGATGAAAAAAAAAAAAAAAAAAGCAAAAGTTCTACTTGCAATTTTTTGGCGTCACTGCGCCGGTATCGTCTCCCGCAAAAGTGCCCCGCCAATTTTTTTTCAGCCCCGCCATGCCGCTAAAACGAGCGCTGTTGGGGCTGTTGGAGCGCTAATTTGGCGATCCTCAAGCATCGCAGCCACTCAATTCATACGCGCAGCACCTGGTTTGAAGTTTGAGCGAAGCGACTGAATGCGCAATTTTTGGCAGACAAAGATAGACCATTTTCGTTGCAGAAAGCATCGAGCTGCTTCAGGGAGATGGGATGTGATGCGATGGGGTTTGCAGCTTCGATATTGCTATCGATAACTGCCCCGCCATTCCCATTCAGCGGGTGCTTATCTTATCTGTAGATCAATCAGTCGCAGATGAAAGATTCAATCTCATGACGTATCCGAGTGGGCCACCATTGGGGATCCCTGCGCTGTATTTTAGGGCAGATTAGCTGGAATATAGCGTACAACATCGCTGCTACTCCTCCGCGCAGCGCATCAATGGACTGGTGGTTCGCTGGTATTGCGCTACAGGCAGCATGTACAGCATTCTTGGATTTCAATTTTCTCACGCACCTACACTCATGCTGCAATAACAAGCCGAGAAACCTTCAATGTCTCGCAGCCACAAAGACTCTACCTGTTGCCAAGGCTGCCTTTTTCTACCTAGTAGTAGAGATGTATAATCCCGGTACTTGTTCATTTTACTTGTGCTGACATACTTGAGCATGGCCAGGTCGAGGGCAACCAAAGCGAGATCGCCCAGATCGCATCGCTCAACAACAATGGAGCTCAAGATACAGTATAGCTCCCCGCCGATGACTCGCTTTCTGGCACGATTCTCCGCAGATATCGCAATTGGTGAGTTTCTTCTTGGCTGGCGGTAGAATAACACGGATCTGATTTTGGTACATTCAGCCCACTGCTCCCCGCGTCTCTCTCTATCACCGACAAACCGTGTCTGTCCTCCACACACGATGCAAACTCCATGCCAACATCTTACAAACAGTCCTATCAAGCCTGCTCTGCTTCCAATCCAACCAACTTCAGAGAGTCTTCCCATAGACGATCCTCCTCTGTAACATTGTAAGTTTGCTCAACCCATCCCACGCCAAAAGCCTCGCCGTCATCCACGCCCCGTTCAGCTTCGTTGCAGTCCTCAAGGTATTTGCCGCCCTTGGTCTCCCAGTTCTTACTGACCGCTGCCCAGACAGTTGTTGCCGCTCCCTGCTGGGCAGACTTCAATATTTTCCCAACATGCGGATTTTTCAAGATGGCTTCCACAGACTCTGGCGGCAGATGTCGGGAGATGGCAGTGTGGATGGCTCCAGGATGCAGACTGGTGGCGTGCAGTCCTTGAGAGCCGTATAGGCGATCGATTTTGTTGGCCAGATGCACGGCTGCAAGTTTTGAGTTGTTGTATGCAGCTTCATGACTGTATTCTGCCTCTTCCAGACTGTAACTCTCTCCCCTTCCAAGGCTGGCAGCTCGGTGAGCAGACGAAGCGACAATCACCACACGGGAATGCAAGTCGGGAGTGATGCTGGCAAGCAGAGCTTGCTTCAGTAGTTGGAAGAGGAGGAAGAAACCAAGATAGTTGGCAGAGAATTGTGCCTCAATTCCATCCTCGGTAAGTGAATATTCCTGGATGCCCATGACGCCCGCACTGTGGATGAGGATGTTGACCTGACCCCTGGAAGCAGAAAGAATCTTTTCGGCCCCAGAACGAATGCTTTTGAAAGAATCCAGGTCCATTTCCACCAGCGATACTCGACCGGGTTCGACAAGTCCCGCAAGGCTTTCATTGCCTTTGCCCAAATTGCGAGCCGTAAGAAACAGAGTTGCTTCAGTAGCCGACAAGGCACGAGCTGTTTCAATGCCGATGCCTGATGTGGCTCCAGTAATCACAATGACTTTTCCGACAAGTTTACCCTCAACACCTTCGTCCCGCACGATTTGGAGGGCTGTTGGTCGAGCATCTCCAGCGCCCTGGGGATCTGCATGGGCAGCAGCGTAGGGATTCGAAATTCCATTTCAAGACAGCAACAACACAACAAAGAGATAGAGAAAAGGGATTCAGTGTAGATAGTTGTTGGTAGCCTGGATTGTGGAGAGGTGAGCTACCTACGTCAAGCAACAATTGAGGCTTCGAAAGAAATATCCTCCTCTCTTCTTCTCTTCTTCTCTTCTTCCTCTTCCTCTTCTCTTTTTGTCGAGAACATACTCTCTTTATAGCTTCTCTATTGCCTGGCTGCAACACTCTATTTCGCCGTGTTATTCTTACCACTTTTACAAGTCGCCTCAAAAGCTGACAAAGCGGCCGCCTGTTCTCCGCCATTCTTGCGCCATTGTTTCCGCCACATGCCGCTGCGTTCCCCGCTATATGTCGGCTTCTCTTGCGTCTGTCACACTCCGCCAGAGTCCGTCAAAGACGGGCATTCTTCATGCCACGCTTGCAGTCTTCCCTGAGTCTTCTCCTTCGTCATGCAGGCATCCCGTCTAGAGTCTAGCCTTGGGAAAGCCCCAAAAGCCTGCAAATTCTGCAGATTACGAAAGAAAAAGTGCAACAAAGCGCTTCCTAGATGCGGCTTCTGCGCCAGGCAAGCTCCGCCGTCTATTCTCCGCCAGCATCGGCGGCAGCAACACCAGTAGAACTGACATTCAGTGTAAAAAATAGGCGAAATCGTTTATGCGAATATTGGAAACCGAATGCAGCAACAAATACTCACTCTACCATCGCTTCACCTGCTGAAAGAGAGTGGTCTTCTCTCCTCTTGGACCAAGAGCGGCTACACGCCCAGGCTGTCGACCTTCCCACTATCCTTTTCCTGGATCCAGATCTACTACGGCTTGGCCAAGTAGAAACTATACACACTGTACCAACCATCCCAAAAATTGTACTGCAATTCCTAGGCGGCTTGGATGAGATCCGACTCACAGCAGACAAGTTCTTTGGGCACATTCATCAATGGATGCCCTTCATCTCGAAGAAGCGGTTCTATGATCTCTACATGCAGCCCTCATTTCACTCTCGACCCGACGTAGCCTTACTTTTATTGGCACTAAAGCTCATCACTACCCTTCCCCTTCCTCATCTGCCCAATCCTCGCACAGTTTTGTATCACACAGTCAAGCATTTCTACCTAGAGGTTGAAAGTTCTTTTTCTCTCCTAGTGTTGCAAGCAGGCATTCTCGTGGCACTATACGAACTGGGACATGGCATCTATCCAGCCGCCTTCTTGTCAATTGGACAATGTGGGAGATATGCCCATGCCCTGGGAATCAACACCAGTCAAACGGTGCCAGCTACAAGAGTGCTTACTCTGGTGGAAGTCGAAGAGCGACGAAGGGTATGGTGGGCCATTGTCATTTTAGACCGGTGTGTGGCTAATCTTGATCAAATTCACCGGCATGTACTGACAATGAAAGTTTCGTGAGCATCGGTTGCCCAGGACGGCCATTTATCGCTACACATCCACGGCTTGATGATCTGCTACCGGTCAATGATGCCACATTTGATCTTGGTGTACGTTCTTTAGGTGTTTTGCCGTTATTGCTCAATTCCATGAGCGCCTCGTCTTTTGCTTTGTAGCCGCTGACGCCTTAACTAGATGATTGTACTCGACGATTTCTCTACTCTTTCGTCTCCGAAAACAGGGCATATGAGTAAATTTTCTCTACTGTGTCAGGCTGCTCATCTGCTAGGTCAAGTGCTTCAGCACGTTTCCAGTGACTCTGCGGGCCAGGATATCGCCTGGGTGCAGCTTTATCGCACGCTACAATCAATGCTAACTGCTGCATTGGATGTTGACCACCCAGATTACGATCAAATTACATTTGTCTACAGGTTTGTGCCGTGCAGTTCCAAGTCACCGCTTTCTCACGCATTAATTCGATTCTGCCCAGCGCCCTTGTTGCTTTGTATACGCCCTATCTGTCCTCTGGCAAGACTGAAAATCACAACAGCGACTACTCCCGGCGAGCTAGAGACGTTCTACACCAGATCACAGGCCGAATCAGTGCGAATCTTGTCGGGCGCCGGTGCTTCTTAGGCCGAGATCCAGAAGATGTGTCTCCATGGGGCCTATACTTTGCTTATCGCATCTGTGGAGTGCTCATGCGTCCTAGCGAGAGAGCACTGCACGGAGCCGAGGTGCTGAAGAGTCTGCTTGAAGCGTTCCAGATAATCTCCGTGAAATGGAATGTGGCGACCGTTTACCTTGAGTTACTAGAGGCACGGAAGGCCATCTCCTTGGGAGCTTGAGTCTATTGGAATGAGGAGTATACTTCAACGCTGGACACCTAGCGGCTAGAACAATGATTCTGCATGGAATCGAAGAAGTATGCATGATCCACACACAATACGTATGCTCTCGTGGTACGGTTCTGATGCTTCACAACGGAAATGAGCCTTTTGAGGAGCCACTCGGCGAGTTTAAGGACTTTGCCATCGAAGCTCGTAAGCTGTCGAATGGGGCAACAAGGAGCTCCGTGGGGGGTTGGAGAGGCATACATATATATTATACATCTTTTCTTCTTCTATCATTCCAAGATTATAATTATTATTCATTGCGTTAAAGATGGAGCAATTATTACGAGAGCAAGTATAAACGAAATTCACATCCACTGCGTCCTCCGCCTTTTACCACGCCGTAACTCAAAAGATTCCATATTGTATCCCACTAAATTCTCTTAGACCAAGGTGACGCGGTTCTTCAGGACCGACAGGTCAACCTTCTTGAGCTGATGAAAGTACGGGTCGAAAAACTGGTTTATGCGCTGGAACAGCCACTCGGGGTTCTCGTCAGCAGGAAAGTGTCCAGCCCGAGGGACAATATCCAGATAAAAGGTCACCATCTCTGCATGTTATATATCAGATACATTGTTTTTTGCTCAACAGCTATCGTGGTCTGTTTCTCTCAATCCTTCACTTCACTGTTTCTGCAAACAGTAATGTCCAAAAGAGGGCATTTCCTCATGTAGGACTAGTTGCGCAGTTTCCATGTGCTAGATACTGATATAGAGCCCTTATTAATACGCCTAGGTAATTCAGCTATGTAAGCGTCCCGCTAGACCCATAGGTATTCTAAATTCCAGACGCAGGTACATCTTGGCAAGGCGTTCGAAGACCAATGACCAGCTCTTTCAAGTTGTCCATGTCCCTGGGGTTGTGGCAGCATCCTGTTTTATGAAGTTGCTTACAAAATCATGATGCCATAACAATACCGTGGGGCTTGATAGGTGGCTGTGCCTAATATTAAGTATTTGTCATTCCCATAGAGAAATATTAAATGATGAGATGCTAGATTGTACCTTACAGACTACACGCACGTGGGTGGTAGAGAAATTCGATCCCTGGTGCCTGGTTTCGTGGCTGAATTCAGGGTAGAACAGCCGCAATAGAAACGGTTTATTGCGCTGTAGGCAAAGACAGGGCATATAATAGTGCTGGGACACGCAAATCTATGTTAATAAATAATCAGAACCTAACGGCATTCACGCTCGCATACAGACTTGCATCTAACGAAATCTTCTTTATCAGTCAATTTCCCTTGTTGCCAAACATTCATTCACATAATACCATTTTCTCAACTATAGCCAGCAAAACAGCGCATCACAGCGCCATTCTAGTGTCTTGACAGCGAACAACTATTGGCTGGGATACGCATCTCGGGGTGAGTGAAATGCTGAAACCAGTTTTCCGGGCAATTTATTGCTGTTAGTTATATATAATTACCCTAACATTTTACTACCTATGACTGACACAATCTTCTACATAAGGCACTTCGCCTCATTCTCTTCCTTGCTTTCTCCTTCTCTGCCTTTCTTTAAATACAAGATTGCTCCCCAGGTTTCTGGCACTTTAATGGAATACGAGCTTGCCCGTCAAGTAGACGGCTGTAGCGCATATTGCACGTATCACGCTGGAGATATCCACCGTAAGCATGTCAACCAAAACCAATGTCAGCTAACAAACTGGACGCCATTTTGATACAGGGCCATCCTAGCTGTAGCCATGTACAACAGTAGATCAATGTCATGATGGAAAACTCGCTACGAAAATGTCTGATATACTGTGCGTGTATCCAATTTGAATTAGCTAAGCTGGTTCTAATTCCAGCCTCTTCATTATGCCTCACAGCATATATCTCCAAGTCAATGCCTTGTCGCCTTTACCAGACAGCTGCTCCGCCGTGTATTGATCCATCTCGCCTTGAGCCACCTTGGCTTCACGCCTTCTGTTGATTTGCATGTACGCAAAGACTAAAGTGAGGGCAGCAATAATTCCAGCGCTGATAAATCCAAGCTCTAGTGCGTGGCCCAGGATATATCGAGGACCGTCCTTTTGTCGGTAAAAGTTGGATGCCATGGCCTATTCTCATTATTAACATAGTCCAGAATTTCAGTAAAGACAAAAGGACCTACTCCGCCAAGATTTCCGACACCAATCTGAATTGCCATTCCGGCGCTCCTCTTATAGCTGCCGGACAAGTTGTTTGCAAGCCAAGAAATGACACCCGGGAAAGCTGGATAAATGGCACAGGCTGAAATAAAGACGCCGCCGTAAACTACCTTGGGATTGCTCGACGAGATACACCTAGATGAAGGAACAGTGATTAGCTTGACTGGCATGGGACTAGCTGAAGTTGGGAGAGAAGCCTACATGGAGAAGCCAACAATCATGACACAGAGGAGAGTAATGATGAATGGGCTTCGCTTTCCAACGCGATCTGAAACATAGGCCACGACAACGGCGAGAATAGCAGCTGTGATGTAAATAGGGACCGTCATGAGCTGGGCTTTGTTCGACGTGTATCCTAGATTTTTGATGATGGTAGGAAGAAACAGGCTAATTCCGTACAGGGGGCAAACAATCTAGCCAAATGTCAGAACCATGCTGAAGGAGAAAAAGACTGAAGTACTTACGCCCCAATAAACAATGATGTTCACCCAAATCTGCCAGTCTTTAAAGGCACTCCAGACATATTTCCACTTGAACTCTTCGGCCTGGGCAACCTGCACCTGATCTGTGTCGAATTTTCCCGCTTGGGCCTGGTACTTTAGACGGAACACCACAAAGGCCTTCTCCTCCTCAGTGAGGAACGTGGCCGTCTCTGGGAAATCTTGTAGGATGAAGAAGGCCAGCACCGCTGCTATAACTGTGGCGATTCCTTCAAGGATAAAGATCCAGCGCCAGCCCTCGAGCCCGGCGGTTCCATCCATCTTGGCAATGGCAAAGGCTAAGAGGCCGCTAAAAGCACCGGCGATTGAGGCTGCGGAGAAGAATAAAGCTTGGCGAAACTGGATCTCATGGCGGCAATACCACATGGTTAGATAGTACTAGATGATGTTTCATTAGCCGAGGACAGGCCCAAAGACACAGTCAGAGAATCATACGGCAACACCTGGAAACAGACCCGCCTCGGTGACACCTAAGAAAATGCGTGCAATGAGAAGACCATGGTAGTTTCGTACGATGCCCATTAGAGTCATCACTGTGCCCCAAGCAACCATGATGGTGGGGAGCCAGACACTGGGGCGGAGCTTCTTGAGAAGCAAATTAGAGGGCACCTCGAAAGCTGCATAGGTGAAGAAGAAAACAGTGAGGCACCAGTTATATTGGTCGGGTAACAGATTGAGATCCTCTTGGAGGCCCTCAATTTTTGCGTTGCCGATATTTCCTCCTATCAAGACCAGTGTTAGCATGAGGCTTAGAGTGATGAACTGATTGTGCCTACGGTCTAAAAAGGAGAGGAGATAGAGGATCGCAAGCATGGGGATCAGCCGAAGGTCCATCTACCTCACTTTATTAGTATTGCGTATTGTCAATTGTGTGATGTTAGAGCAAACATACCTTGCGAAGAATCTTCTTTTCATCCAGATGAGAGAAAGACTCTAGAGTAGCGCTTGAAACCGCTTTGATGCCTCTGCCGTCGTCAATCTCTACTTTCCCGCTTCGATCAGAAGTATTGATCGTCTCTGCCTCCATCACACTGGCTTTCTCATTTGGAGAATTGTAGGAAGCCATAGTGTTGAGAGGAGATGACAATGCTCCTCAGGCGTGATTGTTGTAGGATGGTGCAGGTATGACTTGGTTGAGATGATGGGATTAAGTCTTATAAAGCTCAGGAGGAGAAGCTTTAAAAGCTTGAAGGCTTGAGTTGCCAATTCAATGCTTTTTAATAACAAAATGTCGAGGTCATCAAGAGGTTGAAATATGCTTATTTCCACGCCATATATACCCCTGCAGTTTTGACTCTTGTGGCTAACAAACCACCCCAGTCTGCTAGAGTTGTTGCGTGGACACTGTCAGCGGCTTGGCGAGCCGGCAACTCTTAGCGGTGTATTTGGATAAACCAAGTGGCTATGAGCTGGGGAAGCAGGGCACAGTTCCTGGGGAAAAGGGCCCTTGTTGCATCCCCCGCACTCTGCTAGACGAACTATTGCCTGCACGGGGAAAGCTATCTGGGTATGTGTGTGTGGGATGGCGTTTTGAGATTAAAGGTTGATGATGATGATGATGATGATGATGATGATTATCGGATCCGTGATGCTTGAGACGATTTATTGGGGGGCGTTGACAGCCTACGGAAACTCGAGTCATGCACAGGTGACATCTTGCACTGAGTCTTTGTTTGACGCCACGATTATTATCGGTTCCGATGATCCCTGTCAACGCCCACCGGGTCTTGAAGCAATTGGTCGAGAGACGGTCTGATCTGGCTCGGCTGCAGCTTGTTGCCACACTTTCATCCATAGTCTAATACCTAGTCTATTCGCAACCTACTCCGCAAACGAGAGGTGGCGTCGTTTCTCGCCCTCGCTCGCTTTCATCGTGCAACCAGCGGCACATTTCCGTTACAATCCCCTGCCAGAATACCCCAGATCTCCCCAGTTTTACCCATCGTCGGCATATTTACCCCGCATTTGGAGCGCTGAGGGGCTGTAGAAGAAGGGAGAGACACGGATCCGACGAGGTTTTCTAGAACGTGTTACATCCAAGGTGTTCTTAATGTGTTCTTTATACAAGTAACCCCCACGAATATCCCTTCGGATCCGATCCTTGAGTGACGCCGCAAGTTTCGGCTGCTTCCATACGCCCGCTTCAACTCATTCTCAGACGATGCAGAACCGCGTCGTTACCCGTCGTACCCAGTTTTCCAGTTGTGACGAGTGCCGCAGGTCACGCGTCGCGTGCGATTCACAGAGCCGTCGCAGTGTTGCGGGCAAGGCTTCTGCTCCCTGCACACGTTGTTGGAATCGGAATAGAGCCTGCACATTCAAAGTCAGACCAAGATCAAGTTCCTGAGAGGCAATGGCCCTAACCATCGTATACAGTGGATCCAAGATGCCAAAGCAGGAGCTTCAACTTCACATGCTGCTACTCCGCCAAGACCGCAAGGTCGGCGTCGGCGAGCCTCTCATCTTGTCATTGACCAAGTGTTAGATGAGGAGCCAGCTCATGCACCTACCCCGGCGGTGACTCCCGTCAATAGCCATGATCCTTCGCCTACGCCGTACTCACGACTCGAGTCTCTAGAGGAGGCTTTGCCAGAGCCAGCATCTGCTCCTTCAGAGTTTGAGACGCATCCCCTGGGCAGCTGTCACTTTGAATGGCTTCAGACTCTATATCGACAAAATTTCGAGGTCGTTTTTGGGTCTTGGATGGGCCGGTATAGCTGCCCTTTCTTGTAAGTGCACAACATAGCACAACCATGCTCCTCCCTCGGGGGTAGCCTGAGCTCACTGAGACAGATTTGGACAAAATGACCGCGCCGAACGGTACATAAGCATATCAGATTTGTGTTGTCACCTGGACAAATACATGGCTGAGACGTCCAAAAGGAACCAAGTCTCGGCCCAGGAACAGTGGATTCAGCAGGACAAGAAAAGAGACGCGTTGATTGAACGGTCTTTACGCAATACTATTGCTGCGTTTGCCGTAAGATGGTTGCCAATCACCTCTTCCGATGACGTGGTTGGCCTCGCTCTCGATAATCCGCACCAAATCCAGACCATGTGGCGGCAGGCTCGACGAGACATGCTGAGAATTATCAATCGCCCCTCGTATCGATCGATGCTGTCCCTCTTTCTCTTTGCCTTGACTCCCATTCCAATGGGAATATCGGAAGACGAGGAGACGGATGGAGTCTCTGGACAAGTTTGCATCCACGCGGCCTTGCAACAGGTCCAGTCTCTTCGAGCTTGGCAGAGGAATCTGCAGTTCAGCGGCTCAAAAGTGTCTCCGTCGTTGAGCTCGACTCCGATATGTGCCACTCCAGAGTCCGCCGACACTTCTAGCTTTATCAATGCGGAAAACATTGCATACTGGGCAGCAATCACATTCGACACATCCGCATCTCTCACGCTCAATTGCAGGCCACTCCTCTCGTCGGGGCTCTTTGGCTATGAGTCTGAATTCACATGGAAACTGGTGCGAACCTGCTTGAATGTGTTTAATGAATCCTCAAAGAGCTGGTGCCTGGGCAGCGCTGGGATGACAGATGAAAGGGCCAACGAGATTATCGCGGCCGCCGCTTGCTGGAAGCTGTTGGTTTGGAAACTAGCCGCCAATTTCAAGGAGGCGCTTCGGGATGGCCACGACGAGTCCGAGGTTCGAAAGGCTCTTTCGCAGGTTAGCAATTCCATCAAGCAATTCGATGCTACATTTCGTCCTTTTCTTGATGAATGCTACAAGCGTATGCAGTTCCTTGGCCAGCAAACAAAGCTTCGATGGTGTAAGTGTGTTACGCTCCAATCATACCAATTCTTTTTCAACTAACAATGGCACAACCAGTCTCGCTCATGCTTCATTCTCACTTGAGCATATTGATGGTGCTCGATATGATAGAAGTCGTAGATCGGTACGACTTGCTCGCTGATCTCAAAGATGCCAGCATTGAAGCAGAGAACACTGTCATGAATGCACTGGCATTTGGTCTTCACAATACTATTACCTTGAGACGAGTCATCGATTCCCCATCGCCTGGCCTACCTCGGGAGAGCGTAACGACACGCAGTATGACGTTTACCGTTCCCCTTATCGCCATTGACCCTTATCCGCATCATGTGGTTGCGTCTGTGCAGCTCATGCGGAAAGCCATCGATCGGGATTATAGGATTAAAAAAATTACCCAGGAGTTATTTGATGGCTTAAACTCAACTTTGGAATCTGCGTTGAAACATCTGCCCCAGAGCTCAAAGTCAGTCCAAGCAGCTCGGCAAAAGCTTTCCTCGGCAGTGCCAGATGATTAGATACTAGAGGATACTCAAATTCCGTAGAGGAATACCAACGCTTATGCATGGCGGTTGTGAGATTAAGTGCAGTATAATTATTGATACAAATTAAATGTACAAGATGGAATAGTTGCTTTATCTCAACCTCAAAGACTTGCATCTGATATTGTATATGAAGCGATCGCTATGCTTGAGCGACAAGATCTTGGGTCTCAAGTGTTGGGCCCGAATCCAGCGTGACATTTTTGGGTTCCGAATCCAGCGCGCCACTTTTGGGTTCAGGAGGATATAAGCCGCCGAAAGGAGATTTTGCACCGAGTTTGCCTTTGGAAATATACTCGCGACGCAAAAAGTCCACTGTATAGGTAGGAGATAGCTGACGCTCCTCGATGTAGTGATCCTCGATGAGGGCGACAGTGTCCAAGCCGACGACTGTTGATACGTTAATGGAATAAGTCAAGCCATAAGCCACAAGGAGAGATCACGAACCATCCATCCATCTGCAAGGTCCTCCCCAGGTTTTTGTCAATTCCATACAGATAGTGTCGATTTCCTCAGGTGTTGACACTCCTTCAGCGAGAATGGACAGCGTCTCCCTTTTTATCGCCGCCCAGAGTCTGTTGAAAATAAAGCCTGTGCATTCTTTTCTCGCGAAAAAAGGCTTAGAACCCACTTCTCTCTGTCTATCCATTAGAAAGGGAAAGATGTCTGGATCTGTATAGCCGTCTGTCATCAGCTCAACAACCATGTTGTCGGGAGGCATGTAGTAATGCGTGTTCAGGACTCGCGATTTTGTTGTGTCCTTGAGCTCCCCAAGCATCTCAGAGGACTTGTATGATGATGAATTACTGGCTAAGATAGCATCCTTGGGGGCATGAGTTTCGAGTTCCGCAAAGGTGTCTATTTTGAGTTGAATCTTTTCAGGGACTGCCTCAATGACAAGCCACGCAGTCCGGACTGCCACGTCGAGGTCTTGGAATATTCTGACGGTTCCAGCGGTTTTCTCTACAGAAGCAGGGTATCTTGCGACGTTCTCCTTGATGTAGTTGAGACAGGGCTCATGCTGGCTTTGATCTGGTTCTCGGATCTGGACGTCATATCCACCAGATGCCCAAGTACAAGCTAAAAAGTTAGCTTAAATCATCTATAGAGTCTCACGGCATTACGAACCGATGCGTCTCCCTAATACGCCGCCTCCTATGACAGCAACTGGCCTACTGGAATAGTTCTCTGGCAACATATTTGTTGTTATGAGACGAAGACACACGATGCTTCAAGAGAGGTGGGAGGTAGTTGGGAAAAGATAGAAGTAGTTACCTAGAAATGGAAAGGGAATTTAAGAGACTGGCAAACAATATATATAGATACAATCTAAGGTTAAAGAACAATTCGGTCGCCTCCCGAGTGTTGTTCAACCTTGCAAAGAGACAATGTCCCCGTCCCCAGCGAGCTTTGGGGACTGTGGGCCACCCTAGCGTTACAGCGATGGTAAGGTGACATGGCGTAGAAAGAAGCATTTTGGGTTGTGGGGGAGCTTGACAAGCTACTACATGTATAGCAATGACTTCTCATGCTACCCTGATTCTGGACTCTGCCAAGCATCGTAGGGGGTCTTGTTAGGCGATTCAATTCCCAAATTGTGGGCGTCTGCTAGGAGCAAGGTTCGAATAGACTGGAGTGATCTGAAGTGGGGTAGTGATTATGCTCCGGGAAAGACACCAAGACTCAACATCCTGAAGGATCATGTGGTGAAGACCAGTGCCAGACTTAGCGTCGTCCCATTGCTGTTCTGTAAGAAATCGGAACCGAAGACCCTAAACTCGCGTTCACTGGTTTGCATCGCTAATGTTGACTGCCTAGTTGCCAGGGCCCCCAGTCTAGCCTGTCTAGAAAGCTTTCCATCCTGGACTAGCAGGGATTATCGGATCCGATACGTTGATGCGAGTCCAATATTGATATCAGTCTATAGAGGTTTGGTATGTTTGGAAGACGTGTAATTGTTTCCTCCCTCTTTATCTTTCCTTTTTCTTTTCTCTCTCTCTCTCTCTCTCTCTCTCTTTTTGCACCTTTGCTGACACTGGAGTTGGGAATTTGTGGCAAATTGGAAGCCGAAACTGGCGCTCTCCAACTAGCCTAAACGGCTGTTAAGAGTCCCGACTTGTATGCTCAGACACGAACATAAGCTCTGTCTCTCTTATCATTTTATTGTCCACAGCGTCAATTCTAATAATTAATATGAAAGTATGGTTAAGGCAAGCAAGTATGATTTGTACCCAGTTTATATTCAAAAAAAGATGTCTATTCTATTATTTCAGCAGTGATGCACGCTTATGCAGTATATTCTATCCAGTTAGTTCCAACGGTAAATGTTAGTATGCAAATGTCGTAAATAGGCTTCATCGACCAATCTTGCGCAGTTCCAGCCAGCGCAATGGGGGGAATACAATCATGGCCCATGATGAGCCGACCCAAATGCCAAGATCAGCCCCTGTTGGACTGGCGAGCTTGGCAATGGGACCAACGTAATAGACTTGATACATGCATAAGATGGCTCCGACCCATCCGACGATAAACGCTGCAAAGGCAGCAAGGCCCAGCGGCAACCGTGAAGGATCAGACCAAGCTGTCCAGTCAAACCCACGAGTTCTACGAAAAATCAAGTGCTCTTCCAGCGTGATGACGATGAAGATGGTAACCCAATAGCCCATGAGAGCCAAAAAGTTCTCAAAAATGTCATAGAGGTAGTTGCGTCCACCCAAAGCACACGCAGTATAGATGATGGCGCCGACACACGAAAGAATCCATCGCGGGATTCGCGCGCCGTATCGGCCAAGCACCTGAAAGCACAAAGCCGCAGAATATGTGCCGGGGATGTTGTTCGCGACGAGGCCGAGGGCAACGAGGACGCCGAGAAACTTTCCAAAACCCCCCAGGCCGTGGTATCCTTCGACGATGAGCGCTCCAGAAGACACGTCGTTGGCAGCGCTCCACGATGGCTGGGTAAAGGTCCCGGATGCAAGGCCAACGCCTAGGAGATATGCAAAGCTCATGGCAAGGCCCACGCCTGCGGCCGTCATGGCGAATGTCTTCCACTTCTTGGTGTTTTCGGGGTAGTAGACGTAAAAGTCTGCTGCTGCGGGTGCCCAGGCAATGGATGAAGACAGGCACAGCGAGAAGAACGAGAGGCGGTTGCCCCTGATGGTTGACGCGCTTCCAGTTGACTGGATAGAGGTGTCGAATTTGGTGCCGGCGGAACCGACCAGGACAAATGCTGCAATGAGTTGCGGAACCCAAGCCCACCTAGTGCTGTCAGTCTGCCGAATGGTGGTGAAAACGGAGCCCATATTGTCCGCCTACCTTTCGTATGTTTGGAAGGTTGACATGCCAAAGACGACAATAACCCAAGAGATGACAGCAATTATAATGATGCCGACAATGACGCTCAGCCCGCCATCAGCAACGGCCGACAGGATCTGACCTCCTACGAGACAGTCAATCATGCCATATCCCAGCATAATCACAATGTTCAAGATGGTGCAGATCTTGCTGGGCCAGTAGCCCATGAAGTATCTCGCCAAGACCTAAGAGCAAAACTACCATCAGAGCTGCAAAGAGGCTTTTTTACCAGAATCACAATCGCCAAGCCCTGCGGTTCAACAGGAGAGACAAGAGAGGAAACGAAAGTGAAACTCGAAACAAAGAGGGAAAAACAAAGAACAACTCGTTTCATACCATTGTGCGATTCCCGCTGGCCGGGCCAAACGTGCTGATGTAGGCGACGCCAATGGCCCCCAAGACGGCGCCAAAAGTCGCGCATAGCGCCGCGTCTGTAAAGCCTAGGGAATAGTCGAGCGGCCCCAGCATGCCAAGAGCCATGTTGTTGGCGGTGATGTTGGTGCTAAACCACAGCATCGTCATCTGCAGGTAGTTGGAGGCGCCGACCTTTTCCAGCCGCTCATCTTCCGGCACCCGCTCGATACCGCGAGCCTCGAAGTGCTTGAGGTTGAGGATCCGCTGGTTTGCGCGAGCAAAGAAGCCGCTGGTGGATGCCTCTTCGTCGGAGATGATCTGGCTCTCCAACGCCGGCTCGGCCGCAATGTCATTCTCAATCTTCTCCATTGTGCACGCGGAGTTGGAAGAGACTCATTCGCAAAACAAAACAAAACAAAGAAAAAGGGGCAGTATTGACGCTCGTTCCAAAGCCTCACATGGAGTCATGGAGTCGAAGATTGGTTGATAGAAAAAATCTCTTATCAGCGCACACGAGCAATGACGACGAGGCCCACTAAAATGGACTCGAGTTGCAAATTCAACCAGTAGCTTGTATGAAGCACGACTCAGACTCGGAAGAGCTCGCACAAAGAGCCTCGCATAGTCTCACATAGTCTCACATGCACGCGAATTCTGTGGAACCCTACACGTTGGAATAATGCGATAAAGTGCTGTTTGGGCATCCGATAGAGATGAGAGCCATCGGATTCTGCAGAACCGTTTATTCCAACGCATTTTTCTCTGTAGAGGTGTTGCAACACGCACACCAGATCTTGACTCAATTCACAACGCATAGTTAACATAGTTAAAGAGCATTTTTATTAGTTTACTTGAAGAAAACACCGTCAAAACAGCTGTATGAAGACGCGAAAACGCGGATGCTGAATATGTTTCACATTGCGTGGCTGGTATACCTGGGCTTCACTGACTCAAGTTTAGTTTGCCATAATGTAACACAACCCGCACTCAGCCAAAGCCTAGGGTTTCCTCCCCAATTCCGAAAACAGCGAACCAAAAAAATAAAAATAAAAATTATAATAAAAAAAATGGATGAGCTTTTTCATCTATTGGTATCTTTTAGAGTGTATTGTTATAGCTTTCATTGCACATGGTGAGTTAAGACATATGTCTTAGTTTTGACGTGGCGAAAAATTGGGAGGCAAGGGAAAATTTTCGGATTTCGGCATCAACCAAGCGCTCTGCAAAAATAGATTGCAGCCGAGGCCGAGAAGCGATCAGCAAGCAATAATACATGGGGCACACATACAAATCGCGCTATTCTTCTCAGAGCACTGCACGTATCACTATTGATTGTGCACACATGTATCTCGCTGTCTATTATTTTACTGGTCACTTGCCATGCTATTTCTCTGTCTAGTGAGAATTTTGACCACAAAACTTCTTGTTTATCCAGAACTGCTGAAGAAGCTGTTGCTCTTTGACAGATTCTCTGGAGTTCCACATAAAGCTACTGTGCATAGCAAGTTGTACCATTGGAGCATTGCTGCCTTGCCGTAACTTGGATCGGTCTAATCCACCGTAACTAGAACATCTCGTTTCCGTCTCGTATAAAGCTGATATCCAAGTATCGGGAACGAGATATTATTTCAAGCATCAAAAGCTTGGTATATCGCATATCCGGTGCAAGACAACATCTGATGACACTGCTAAGACGATGCCACGCAATCTAGCCTCAAGAATTAACATTCTAAACTCCCAATACTGAACTAACAGCTTTATACTTGCATTTGTTAGGACATAGCCCTTTCACGTTTCTTGCTACCTCCAAGAACTATGCAGATGTGCGTTGTCCATGATGTTCTATATGATTTCTGCATCCCGCAGCTTCTCCCTTCCCAACGCCGCCATACCAACTCTGCCATTGCCTGAACCCAGCATTAGCCAAATTTCGGAATCATCTCTCGTAATTCTATCTCCTGAACGTATCTTAACACAGCTGGCACGCGAAATAGCCACTCCGTGGGTGAAAAAATGTTGCAATAGTAATAACTCGGAGATGTCTCCATCTGCAGAATATTGCAAAGATAAGAAGGATGGAGTATTGGCATATGTTTGTTATCCTCGGCATTCTGGTAGATGATTAGTGGAACGTGACACTAGTTTGTTGATAGAAAAAGGTTCTTGACGAAATAGGCAAATCCCTAGGGGAATACGACGGTATACATCAAACAGCCCATCAGGCACAAAGCAGCCACGTCGGCCGTCTTACTTCTGTACGGAACTTTCTGTCCTAGTTTACACGGATACTTCCGTCACCCTAGTACCGCTGACGTATTTATTAGTTTTTCAAAAGGTAGGTTATCCTTACATCGTAAGGTCGCAATGTTGATGATCGTGACGTGGTATCATTAAGTGATCTGTGAGAGTTGGGTCATTTGACGACAATACGGAAGTGGCCTTTCCCTGCAACCTCTCGTCACACATCTCATCTCGCCCTTGGTATGAGAGTTGTAGCGTTAAAAGGAATTCTCGTAGCATAATTATATTCTCATGAAGCTAAGGGAGGCCAGCGAAAATATAGTCCCCATCCCTACGAGTAATTATACAGTGGTACACGTATTGAATCAAACCTAAATACAAGCCTAAAACATGACAGGTCCAAGTAATAATACTCACTATAGTCGAATCGATCAGTTCATCCTTACTTTCAAAAAAAAGCCCCTTATCGCTGCATATGTTCTGTTTTGGGTTCATGCCACTGTTATGACGCGCCTAAATATTGGACATGAGCCTTTGCACACGCTTGTGGAAGTTCAAGCTTTATCCTCGCCGTTGCTAGTAGAATAAAGCATCGTCTGTACCATACCAGCAACTCATTAAAGTATATCGCTTAGTTAATTGATGAAATGAAGCGAGAAGCTTTATGCATTCTAATTTTTTTTTTTTTTTCTTCTTTTACGTTCAATCTCGGCCTTTAACTTCAACATTCTACTATCGAAGCTCTTTACTGCCTAATTAATACACTCAAACGGTTATAGTATTACTCATTCCATTCTTCAGATAATCTGTGATCTACTCAAATTAATGGCACTAAATCAGCGCAAGACATATCATCATACGACGGTATGCAGCTTTACTTGCCTGCTGAACAATAATGCACGAATACGCATGGATGACAGCGCCCAGCTAGTAGCACCCCTTATTTACAAGCCGTTAATTTTGCAAACTAAGAGGCCAGCCAACAACGGTAGATCAGCCGAGCTTCTCCACCCATACCAAATTATTAAGATCACATATTCCGAATGGGGCATACAAGGTATTTCCTCGTGAGGCTGAAGGTGCTCATTAGCTGCGTTTGCATTTGTCTGGGTGCTGACAATGTAATTCCATCTGGCAGTCCATTAATAATTCGACAAAGTAGTAAAAACAGTTTTATATAAGAGCATAGCTTGACAGTGTCAAAGATGCAATTCGTAACTCAAATCAGCTTGTTCTCTTTCCAACTGCCAAAGCCTAACTGGCCTACAGCAGTTTTAGTAGCACCTTGTACTAAAACTCAACTATACTGGCCATAACGCTTTAAAGCTTTTGACAAATTTCGAAACATAAACGACAACTATACGAATTATAATCAGCCTTCAACCTTTCTATATACCGATATTCACCAAAATGGCCGACTTCTTTCGTGACACGACATTTGGACAAACGGTCCGTTTACTATCTGGCAAGAGACTATTTCTTCGTCCAGAAGAGAAGCCAGGCTACGTTCTACCTCCCGAGTATCAGCTTTTACTAAAGAATGAAGAAGAATCTGCAGCAAGAGGAGCCAGTCCTGCATCCACATTTCAGAATAACGACGCGGATGTGGAGGCTCACAGAAGCTCATTAGACGCAGACGGTATTGAGCTTCACAAAACAAAGTCGGTCCCTATCGCTCCAGTAAAGACGTCTGACAGCACTATTCTCGTCGACTGGTATTCTACCGATGATGCTGCGAATCCCCAGAATTGGTCGACGGGGAAGAGAGCATGGGTTGCCATTGTCATGAGCTTATACACCATGATTGCCTACATGGCAGGTTCACTCTACGCTACCTCTGAACCTGGCATTCAGGCTCACTTTGGTGTGGGAAACCAAACGGTCCTCCTCGGTCTGTCAATGTTCGTCCTAGTATATGGTTTTGGTCCCCTATTCTTCGGCCCCATCACAGAAATTCCCGTCATCGGCAGAGGCTGGGTGTATTCGCTCTCGTTCATTGTTACCTTTGCCCTCAGCTTTCCTACCGCTACCGTCAATAACTTTGATGGATTGATTACCCTGCGGATTTTCCAAGGCTTCTTTGGCAGCGTTGGTATTGCCATTGGTAGTGCTAGTGTTGGCAATGTCGTTCCCTTTCTGTATTTCCCGTATGGTCTGGTGGCGTGGATTCTGGCCTTCTGGTGGGCTCCTCCCATTGGGTACGTTTACAATTCTCAATCTTTTTGATGACAACAATTTACTGACTGATACTCTATAGAACCGTGAGTAGTGGCTTCGCCGCAATGGCACATGGCTGGAGATGGCCCATGTGGTTAATCACCTGGTGGTCAGCACCTATGCTGTTGATGCTTCTGTTCCTTACACCAGAGACATCCCCTTCCAATATTTTGCTCAGACGTGCGCAGCGCCTTCGAGCACTTACCGGCGATTCAAGACTCCAGTGTCAGGGTGAACTTGACCAGCGAGGTATGACAGCGACAAGCATTGTGATGGAGACTCTCATCAGGCCTTTTGAGATTGCCGTCAAGGGCCCCGCTGTTGCATATGTCCACTTGTATACCGCCTTCTTCTACGGCGTCTTCTTCTGCTTCTTTGAAGTTTTCCCTCTCGTCTTCATCCCCATCTACGGCTTCAACCTTGGAGAAATCGGCCTGGTATTTCAGTGCTGCGGTATCGGTGCCACCATTGGCACGGTATTTTACGTCATCTTTCTGCGCTACTACATGATTCCCGATAACATCAAGAACGGTTTCGACAACCACGAGCAACGTCTGATTCCTGCTCTTGCTGGCTCAATTTTGACTCCCATTGGCCGCTTCATCTTTGCCTGGACTCATTACGTTCATATACACTGGATTGCTCCTATGATTGGTGTTGTGACGTTTTGCGTTGGAATGTTTTGGATTATCATGGCACTCTTCACTTATGTCCCAGTTTCGTACACGCAGTACACGGCATCGATCTACACATCCAATGGCATTGCCAGATCTTTGATTGCATGCTCGGCAGTCCACATTGCACGGCCCCTGTTTATCAACGTGGGCACCCACGAAGGTGTGACTATCCTCGCCTGTCTGAACGTGCTTGGTATTCCGGCAACCTGGTACATTTACAAGAAGGGTGCCCAGCTTCGTGCCAAGTCTAAGTTGGCCCAGTGCTAGTAGGGCACTGAAGACGGAAAAATCAGTAGAAAAGTGAGCATGGTGAGAGAAAAAGCGAGGCGGCCATATGAAATATCACGAGCGATTGCTTAGATGGGAGTCAAGGCTACAATGTTACAGTAGAGCGGCGAATAATGATTTCTGGAAAAGAAAGATTACATGATACATGCTAGACATGGATAGAATTTACACACAATACCACCTTTTTACAAAACTTTTCATGCAAGCTCTCCATCACACACTTGTTGTTACAATCGATTCAATGGGCGTTGAAGAGCTATCTCATTGAACTAGTCCTACTTCTAAGAATTACCAAACACGCCTACAGTTCTTAAACTGGAGCAGCACTAAAGACGCTAAATCTGCTAGCTATGACATCACCGCTTACTCGTCGCTCGCTCTATGCCAGCTCTGTTTATTGTCAGAGCAATTTTAAGCTCAGGGGGGAAAGGCCGGTAGCAGAATTGCCATCTATATCATTGATATTTATACGCATTCCTCATATGATGTCTTCATCGTTTGAGATACTGCTGTCGTAGCTTCCAAGAGTAGGGCCTGGTCTTATAGTAACAGGTGAACACTACCAGGTATTCGACGCTAAATAGCCTTTCTAACAATTCAATCACACAAGTGAAATAATGAGACCTTTGCCTACGACACATATGAGTTAATTGCTCTCAATATTTGGATTGCAACCATATCTTTCAGTTTATTAGGGTATATGTTATTTTCAGCCTGAGTAAGCTATAAAATGTTGGACGCAGACGGTTTTGATCATGGTCAAGGGTAGCAATGTTTACTCCGCATTATGGACGATGCTAGCTCAGAGAGGATATTGCCATACGTAAACACCCTGTCTCTGATTGGCCTATGGTTCTGTACAACACAATTAATATCTTGCATTTGACCAATTGAGGGCTAATGGTATTATTCTGAAACCTGACTACTGTTAAAGTCTTGGATTTTATGATAAGATAGCAATTCAGTTCTTCTACCATCATCTCATTCAGCATTCACTTCGATAACTTCCATACAATGTCCTTGCATTGCCTTTTACAATTTACTGGCCCACCGACGGCGGGGCTGCTTACGTGTGAATGGCACATGAAAGTAACAGTTGATAGAGCTCAATTCCTCTAAACCCTTCTGGTAACCAACTAAACAAATCCACAATGTCTCTTCCATCGCAATGGAGCGCCCGGCACCGCCGGCTGCATATTTAGAACCGCACACTTCCCGGCTTGAGGTGTCGAGCGCAGGCTGGAGATGGCCAGAAAACACTTCTTTCCTAGTCTGAGCGCTGCGCTGCTGGCCGGCCAGTTCCTCTGCGTCCTTGCAAAGCCTTGGACCCGAAGCACAGCCTCGCCCATATTGTCTGCGCCAAATCACATTGTTCCCGACTATGTGACAAAATACGGTATGAACCTGCAGCAAAACGACTCTTAACTAAAGGCTATACTGCATAACCCCAATTAGGAATACATAAGCTAATTTCAAAACGAGGAAAACAGCGCCGCTTGTGTGGCTACACTCAGATGATCCTTTCCGGCCATCAGATCTGCTCGAACACATTCGTCACACAACTCCTGCAGTCAACCAGAGCTTTGTCCCCGATCTGCCAGAACTGAACCTCGATAACCTCGCCCTCCTCAACAATATTAGTAGTGAAACAGTCGCTCTGACCTCCAATGACGATGTTACAACTCTGCCGGCATGGCTCTACGGCCATGATCCCGACGAATCCGGGAAGATTGCAAATGCAACGCCTTGTGTTGTGATCCTCGTCGAACGAAGTCCCCGAGACGTTGACGCCTTTTTCTTCTATTTTTACTCATACGATCGAGGCGCAAATATCACGCAGGTGGTGGAACCTCTAAACCGCCTGATAGAAGATACTGAGCATGGGATGCATTTTGGAGACCACGTCGGTGACTGGTTCGTGGACTCAAGCTCCCAGCTCGTCTGTGCAATCAGTTGAGCTAAATCGATTAATTTGAAGGGAACACAACATGATACGATTCCGCGATAGCAAGCCCACTGGTATCTACTACAGCCAGCATGCCGGTGGTGCTGCTTATGACTGGAACGATATGACACTTTCTATGAAAAGTGGGCGGGTACGTGACAGCGAAAACACTCAGACTTCATGGATATCACCTAACATAAGTTTCTCAGCCTCTTGTGTTCAGCGCATACGGATCGCACGCGAATTACGCTACTTCTGGGTGAGTTGCAACCTCGACCGCAACGATCTGTGTATGGCGTTAACAACATTTCCTATTCAGCGATCACATCCATGATTCGGCCTTGATCGACTATTGTGATGCCGGCAAACTGTGGGATCCAGCCCTCTCGGCATACTTCTATCACCTTGACCCAGCCAATTTTAGACTAACGCGCCTGTTTACCTCGATATCCAACACCACGGTTGCGTCCAACATGACATCCTTCTTCTACTACACCGGCATGTGGGGCGATGCCCAATATCCGGATTCTGATGATCGACAAAAGACAGTTCCAAAGTTTGGTCTAAAGCGATTTGTATCTGGCCCACAAGGCCCCATTGTCAAAAATCTCGTACGAAAAGGACTTATGCCCGACGAACGTGAAAAGAAAACGTGGATGCAGTGGGGTGTTGGCATTTTCATGTCATGGTACCCGTGCTGTATACGAGGGTACAGAGTCTGGGTGTCTGTCGCAGTGATTATAGGATTTATAATCTTGACCGTGTTTGGAGTAAGGCATGGAGTGAAGAAGTACAGGAGGACGAAGGGATACCAAAAACTAGACACAGAGATTCCATTACGCGACATGAACCATAACAGTGAGGACGATGCTGGCTTGCATCGCAACCAATCCAACTAGAAGGAATAGATTAAAGAACAATATGATAAAAACATTCGATATCTGTTATATGGCGGCTCCCATACATGGTTCTGTTATGTGATGGCGAGACGATACTCGCAACTGATCATACAGCGCTGGCTTCTATAATACCCCTTACAACCTCACCAGCCGCCTTCAGATGTTCCACAAACTCCGCAGACTTTCTTTCTCCGTTAATAACGGTGAATTGCACCCTAGATCCGCCATTAGCTTCACTGCACCTCGCGACAAGAAGTTTGTCACATGTCATATTGTTACTCACCTTTCGTCAAAGACTTGCACGCCAACCCACACATCCTCCTTATGAGGCTGACACCGCCCCATTTCTGGCAGCCCAAATTCCGTAAAGCTGGTACAGACGGGTCTCTCGCTTGTTCTTTTGAAAACCTCATCCTTATAGAAAACAGGGAGCTCCTCGCCAGGCTCCAACATCTCTCGAAGCGCCATGAGATGCCATCTAAACCCTCTTCCGCGAGTGGACAGTGCTACAAGCCGAGCGTGCGACTTGACAGCTTCCAAGAACAGTCTTCTCTTTTCGACGCTACTGACGCTGGCGTCTTCAGCTGCCGCGCAGAATGCTTCAACTGGCGGCGTCATCACGTATATCATGTCTGTTCTCCCACCGCGGAATGGACGTTGCGAGATGACGTCCACGGCACCTGAGGGGTTGTATCCGAAAAGACGGCGGACGGCTACCTGAATTAGAAGCTGGATGACTGTCTTTGGAGGAAGTTTGTGCTGTCTTAGATAGGAGGCCGCACAAGACGTCTGCGTTAAGTTGGCGAGAGTATAGCCGTCATGGGCCGAGCGATGCTGAGTTTGGAGAGCAGGGATTACTTTTGATAGAGTCGGTGACAGAGTGAATTCAAAATATTTGAAGTCGCCATCAACCACTGAAGTGGAATTAGATGAGCCACTAGATAGCTTGATGTGTTCAACAGCTGGCGCGTTGAGAGCTTTTATTAGACCGCCGAATGTGGTACCGTCGACCATGGTGTGCTCGCCCCAGATAGCAGTCACGCCGTTGAGACAAATGACAAATGAGAGTGTCTTGTCCAACCAGCGGTTGGAATTATCATCAAGAAGGAAGGCTTCTGCGCGACCATCTGCTGTTTCTGGAGATACATCTTCGAGATAAACAATGAAGAGAGACTCTTCTATAGTTTTGACGTAGTTGCGGCCACTCTCATTTCCCGATAATATTTCATCACGGGCCTAGAGAACCAGTCAGCTTGAAAGAAAGATCATCGCAAGAAATATACTTGAAACAATATCATGCGTACCTTTGCCCAATCATCACGATTTGCAGTGGTGAGTAGACCTGTCCAATTCGTTTCTTCGGGAGTTTGCTGTATGACGGCTTCAAAGACATTCTTCAACTTGTCGTATGCTATAGTCTGTCCATTGTGGTCGGTGAGAGGAATCTTGTATGCGTGCCCGCGCCTCATAGCGACGATGTAGTCGCTCTCTGGGAATCGGTCATAACCGTCGCAGCCAAGCGCTGGAGTGCGATTTGAGCTGAATAGCCAATAAACAGTCGCCACTGCATTCAGTCTCGTCAGCAACTGCACCAGAGCAAGACTTTTGTTATGTTAAAATGGTAGAATAGGTTTGCTTACTGTCCAAAGCTTGTTCATGATAGAAATCTTGCTTGACCGTGCCTGCATCGAGTGCCAATTTATATGCATAGGCTGCTAGCGAAAGCTGTGCCGCTTGTTGTGCCTGCGGCTGTCGCGCTGTATCCTGTCCAGGGAGAGTAGCAAAGAAGTTTCGAAGTCTGGGTCGCCAATCTCGCCCACGAAGCCACTTGTTTCTGACATACATGTCAACAACCTCATTGTTTTCACCCTCACCACCCGACATGTTTCTGAGCCTCGCTTGCAATTTCTGTCCCAGTCCATCGGGGTCTTGAAACGCGTTGATGGCTTCTCGAGTGCGCGAGAGCTCTTCAGCGTTAGCTATATGGCTCACGGAGTCGAGGAATATGTCCAACGTCCCTTCTAAAGATTGCATAGGATATTTGGGAAGAGAGACTTCTTTGACACGGTAGCTATTGCCGTTCACTTCTGCCTTTGTCTCATTATGACCGTTCACACCCTCTGGCTTAAACTTGTTCTTCACAAGGATGGAGCTTTTTGTAACAAATGACGCAAGTGACCGGAGGCTTGGAGCGTCTAAAATGTCAGAAGTTTGGACTGGGGCTTGTAGCTTGTTGGTAATCCAGTTCTTGATCTCAGTCGCAACAAGAGAGTCAAGGCCCATATTTGCAACGGCTTGATCCAGATCGAGCTCCTGGGATTCAAGGACAGTAAGTGAAGCTATTTTCTCTCGAATTGCAATCAGTATCATCTGCTCTGCCTCTTCTATCGTTGATGCAAGAGCGACTTTCTCTTCTGCTGTTCGTTCGTTTTCTTGGCCTGTTTGGTGCGCGAGGCCCCGGTCTTGAGAAGACAATAGGTGAGACACAAGTGGCGGCACTCTGCCACCTGGTGTTGTTTGGTTGATGAAGGACTGAGGATCAAGACCAAATGCAATCTGGTGATTGCCATCTTTGAACGCCCTTCCACTCATCACATAGTCAACGACAGGGAGAGCAGTCTCAATAGGGAGAAACTGAACACCTTGTCTACCCAAAGAGTGAGTGTGCTCTTGGGTGACTGTATACGTGCTTTTGATTAGTGGAAAGTCAATCGTCGCAAACTTTGTATAACCAGCAGAGACTTGAGCATGAGTAAACATGTCCTGATACGTGCCTCCCGCAGCATAATTAGACTGTCCCAGCGTACCAACAATACCGCAGAGAGACGAAAGGTTAACGAAGAAGTCGACATCTTTATGATAAAAGGCATTATAAATATTGACTGTGCCGTGATACTTGGGTAAAAGAGCAATCTCAAAGTCTTTTTGTGTAATTTGCGACAGAGTCCGGTCCTATATTTGAACAATGAGCTTCATATTCGGTCCGTCTGTCAAAGTCGACGGGCTTTTGCTTACCGAAAGTACCATGCCGCCATGGAGAATACCTCGTACTGGCGGCATAGCTTGAGACAATTCTGCAGCTACTTGCTGCACCACTTTCGTATCACCTACGTCGCACGTTACAATTTTGACTATGGCCTCCAAAACTACTGTCAACTCTTTCTCCATCTCAGCTTTGGCGGCCTCTTGATAACTCTGTCGTGTGAATAGTGCAATGTGTCTCGCGCCTTTTTCTTGCAGATGACGGCACAGATGCCTTCCTAGACTTCCAAGGCCTCCGACAATGATATAAGTTCCGTCGGAACGGAGATGGAATGGTTGCTCTTTGGCTTGGACAGTCGAATGATCAGAGGCTTCCAAAACAATCTTTCCGGTATGCTTTCGGCTCTGCATCAGCCTGAAAGCTTTCTCAATATCGCCCATCGGCATTGCCGTAACTTCCAGTGGAGTGAAGAGTCCAGCGTCAAAATCTGCAAATATTCTTTGCAGCAACTTTTGGCAATCAGCTGGTCGCTGTTTCGAAAGCCCAACAAGATCAACGCTCATGAACCTTAGGTTTCTCTCAAACGGTTTCATGTTCAGTTGGCTGCGTCGGGAAATATCTGTCTTGCCAACTTCAACAAATGTTCCAAAAGCGGCTACACACTCCCATGAAGCGTGAAGCATCGGTCCAGATAAAGAGTTTAGCACCACGTCTACTCCAGTTCCATTGGTGAGGCGGTTGATGCCTGCCGCAAAATCGGTTGTCCGGCTGCTAAAAATGTGACTCTCAGGGATGCCGTACTGCTCGACGAGGAGTTGGCGCTTGGCTGCACTTCCGACTGTTGCAAATATTGTTGCGCCAAGTCTTTGAGCTATCTTTATGGCCACTTGGCCCAATGCACCAGAAGCAGAGTGGATTAATATTGTCTGTTCTTGGCGGAGATTCGCGCAGTCAAAGAGCGAATAGTAAGCCGTAGCGAATGTCAACGGAATTGAAGCCGCATCCGTGAATGATAGCTTATCAGGTATGCGGTAGACCAAATGGCCATTTGTTCTCGTCCGGCTTGCATAAGGGGTACCAAACATGGCCGTTACTCGATCTCCAGGCGTGAATTGTGATGCAAAGTTGGAACCAACGGCTGTGATAATGCCAGCGCTTTCGCCAACCATGGGCTGTGTGGGTGGTAGTTGGCCTAAGGCAATGAAAACATCCGAGAAATTGAGGCCCCAAGCATAAGACTTTATTTCAACTTCATCGGGACCGAGAGTAGGAGAATCATCGTCAACAAATACAAGGCTATTTAATAGGCCGGGTTTGTCAACATGAATCCTGAGACGTCGATCAGTCTGATGGAAAGTAGTTTCTTCAGTCTCTGTAACGTCAGAACTGGCTGCAACAACTTTGGACAGCTTATTGTCTGCGACAAAGCGTTGAATCTGCATTCTCCCATCTCTATACATTAGCTCAAACTCCCTCGGCTCATTTTTCTTGATTCTTGCTTCAGTAGCATAGATGAATTCTAAAATTGCATTCTGGATTTGATCAGGGTGCTGTTGCAGAGAGTCCTGTACATCGATGGTGAAACAATCAAGGTGCGGATTTTCGTTCCTTGCTGTTCGCGAAACTCCAGTGATTAATGCATTGTCTGGTAGAATGCCTCTATTGTCGTTTGTAGCAAAGATGATCCAGTATACCTTAGTAGCCTTGGATAACAGGCGTGTGATACTAGAAAACTGCTCAGCAGAAGCCTTTGTGAGAAGAGGCTGTTTCGCAGAATCAAGGATGATATAAGAACCTGAGTTGTCCACTTCAACATTAGTCCATTCCTCCAACGAAGCCCCGAATCCTTTCTCAGTTAAAGCACTTGCTAGTTTCTCTGAGAATGGGCTAGATGGTGGATTTCCACCAACAAAGCCATCCAATATCCTGAAGCGAGGAGGAATATGTCCATTAGTCGCAGAAGGTAACGCAAGCGCGGTTGATAACAGCAGAGCACAATGCCGTTCGGGTTCCGGTAGATCATAGGCAGCCAAATCAACGCCGGAGAATCCGGCCTTCTGTAGATGCACATTCCACTGCTCGGCAGACTGCAGCGGGCTATCAGTCCGACCTTCGTCAACACCAGCCCACCAGCCTGGGATAGAACCAAAAGTCATATTGATATATGGCGTTGATGTTGTAAGTTCTACAAGGCCAAGTACACCACCAGGCTTCAACAGCTTGTGGATCGTTCGAATCGACTTGTCCAAAGACCGTGTGGCGTGAACAACGTTAGCAGCAACGACCAGATCATACGAGTGTTCTTCGAACCCTTGACTCGCCGCATCCTTCTCAAGATCCAGAGTTTGAAATGTCAACAGGTGCGCCCAGTCTTTTAATCTCGTTGTCCGCACAGCCTCAAAGAATCCAGATGAAATATCAGTATACATGTATTCCGAGCAGAAGGTATCGCCATTAGGGCTGCATGCTTTCAAAATTCTATAAGTTGTGCCGCCAGTTCCAGCGCCAATTTCCAAGATGCGGAGATCTCTTCTCTGGAAAGTCAACATTTTAACATAGTCGGCCATGTACTGGTTGGGTCGAGCCCCCTCATCAGAATGATATACTCGGAACAGAAGATCATCTTTCAAGAAGTGAGTGAGTGGATCTGTTTGGCCAGTCAAGAGAGGAATCAGTTCAGGTCCAATTCGAGCCACAGCCTCTCCTTCGACTCCAAGCCTGGATGTAAGCTTGTCCAACTCGTCTTTGGTGTTCGGGCTCTTGTCGATAAGCGACTTGCCCATGTCTGAACTTGCAAAATTCTCCAGCAGTCGCCACCAGTTGACTCTGTGATCGTCTTTTACCGCTAATCCACGTTCATGCATTTCCTTGACTGCCCAGTCGATATATCTAGCGCAAGCAACGAAAGTGAGATTAACTTTCTCTGCCTGTGTAATCCCAGCTTCGTCAGACTGCAAGGGAATTTGAACGCGTTCCAACATCTCGGGTGTAATTGAAGAGCTGTCAACTCCCCATTCTAGTTTGAAGATGTTATCATTGTGAAGCACTTCTGTAGCTTGAGACTCTCCGACAACGCGAATCTCTCCCCCATTCATAGTGAGAACGCACTGTGGTGTGCCATCCACTTCCGTCTGGAAGACAGTGGTGCTAAAATTTGTCGACGTGGGAAAGACGTTACTTAGATTACACAATGTCTGGAGATGATTCCCTGCCTGATTGGCGATGCTCGTGGAAATGAATATGTCGCTAATGAAAATGGGCATTACTGAACCTTTATTGGAGTGCTGCTGAAACACAGGAAGACAAGACTGGATGATTCCATCTAGCGTTGTCGGATGAATGAGATGTGGCTGGATGTATCCACTGGGCATCTTCGTAGCAATATCTGGGATAATGAGGTCGTTTAGAGATTGGAATGCTGCCATCCGAACTTCGTTGTTGATGGCAAATGTAGGCCCATATTGGTTGCCTGTTGCCGCCATCTGAGAGTATAGGTCCTTGTGTGAAATGACATTTGTGCAAGCCTTGGCTGCGTCTTCCAAGCGAGATGCTTGAGTCTTGCGATCAAATTCTGCTTCACGTTGTTGCACAACCTCATCTTTGTCATTTTCAGTTATGGTAGATATAATGCCGTTACAGTGATCTTGCCATTTGCCTTGATCTGACATGGAAGAGACAGAGAAATTCCAATTCTCGTTTGAATCAGAATATTGGAATGTAAGTATTGTCTCGACTGACTTGTCATCCTTGGGAATAGTCAACGTCTTTTTAAAAGAAACGTTCTTTATCCTATAGCCTTTGGGCTTGAGGTCTTGTCGACGGTCTTGGTCTAGTTGTTGTATCGCCTGGATTGCCATTGTCATGTATCCGGCAGCAGGAAAGACAATGAAGTTATCGACAACATGGTCTTGCAACCACGGCAATCTTTCGGTACTTAGCAATATTCTCCAGCTGGGTTGGCTATCAGGCGATGCAATGACTCGGGAGCCTAGAAGATCATGCGAAGGATGTTTTCTGCACCTATACTCGCGACTTAGTCTCGATTCCATCCAGTGAGTTTCAGTATGATCCCAGTGATATGAGGGCAAATCTCGCAAAACTGTTAGGGGTGATGACTCCGACTTGCAGAGTGCAGCCACAGCCCCAATATCGAGATCGTCGTTCCCGCTGCGGAAAAGGGTCGATCCTGTATTCATCAGAGATTTGACGCTGTTTTCGCCGCGAACCAACGTTGGAATATAGTTGTATGAGGAGCCATTGGCTTGAAGGCCTGCTAGTGTTTGCTTGATTGGGCCTGATAAAGCTGCGTGGGGCCCGATCTCAACAATGTTAACTGCTGCCTGCCGCAACTCTTGATACAAGTTTTGTAATGCACCGCAGAACCGAACAGGCGATACTAAGTTGTCTACCCAGTAAGAGGCCCCAAATCCATCAACTTTCTCTTGTTCGGTGACACTCGAGAAATAACGAATGGCAGTATTTACCGGTCCTGATTCGAGCCCTTCCAGTTGATGCAGATAATCGGAGCTTACCAGCTGCATATGATGAGAGTGATAGGCAGTATCAACTTTAAGGCGGCGACTGAAAACTCCGTCCGCATCGAGGGCATCCTTCAAGACCGTGATTCCATCCAAGTCACCAGATGTTGTAACGCTTGAAGGGCTATTAATACAAGCCACTGTAACACCTTGAATGTTGAATTGCTTGATGTACTTCTGGACATCCTCATGCCCAAGACCGACAGCCATCATAGTCCCACTTTGAACAGAACGTTGTTTCGACTTTTCAGCCAAGAAACTTCTGTGGTATGATGCAAACATTGCAGCACTCTGCGAGATAGCACCAGCGGCATATGCCGCAGCTATCTCACCACTGGAGTGGCCTACCACAGCTGTAGGCAAGACATTCCAACTCTTGAGAAGGTCAACAAGAGCTATCTGAATAGCCGTGCTTGCCGGTTGACCATATGCACTATTGTTCAGGCGGCTTGAGGACTCATCTCGAGATAGCTCTTCGACTAGGCTCCATTGTGCGTCGAATCCCTGTAGTAATTTTTCTGAGGTAGCAATTGATCGAGCAAATGCCGTATGTTCAGACAGCAGAAGGTTATACCCCATTCTTGCCCATTGTGCGCCCTGTCCGGTGAAGACAAAGGCGGTTGCTTGCTTATTTGGCGCTTTGTTTCGTACTAAATCCTTTGCCCCAAGGCCCTGCAGTAGGGAATCGATATCTTCAGCGACAATACAAGAGCGCCACTGAAATTTCGATCTCCGTTTAACCAAGGTGTGAGAAAGGTGGTTAAGTGGAACATTGGGGTGGTTCTTCAAATAGTCTCCAAGGTTATTGATGGCATTTTGCAGAGAATACTCGGATCTAGCAGATATTGGGAAAAAATGCTGAAGATTCGGATCGTCTTTCCTCAGATCGGCGTTGCCATTTTGTGTGCCATTTTGTGTGGCTGTCTGTGCATTGATATGGTTGTTGACACCTGAAATACCACAAGATTAGCAAACATTGACTTGATAGGAAGAATCATGGTTACCATTGTAGCCATCTGCTGATTCCAAAAGCAACATCGCGTTTGTGCCTCCAAACCCAAAACTGTTCACTACAGCTTTCCGGTTAGTTGGCGCGGCTGGCCACGGCGTGAGCGACCGCGCAATCTAGTTATAATTGTCTTGTTAGAAACACAACATTCGCACAGTTGGAGTGAAACGCTAATCTTACCTTCATATACCGCTCATCTGGTTCCAATCCAGGCTTGAAGTTTTCGAGAAGTATGTTTGGTGGAATGAAGCCCTTCTCCATTGCCATGACCGTCTTAATGAGACCTGCTGTCCCGCTGGCAGCTTCAGAATGTCCAAGGTTCGGCTTTGTGGCGCCAACGAAGACGGGATTTTGACCATTACGGCCCTCGCAGAACACGTTTCGTATCGTGTTTATTTCCACCTTGTCACCAGCTTTAGTCCCTGTGCCGTGAGCCTCTACATATTGCACATCAGATGGTCTAATTGGAAGATTCTGGAAGAGGCGTTTCGCAAGACGTTCTTGGGCATCCTGATTAGGCAGCATTATTCCATTTGTTCGGCCATCAGAGTTGATTCCTGAACTTTTTATGATAGCTCGAATGCTGTCTCCATCTCGCATAGCATCGTCCAACCGCTTAAGGACAACCATTCCTACACCCTCTCCACGGCCATAGCCGTTACCGCGTGCGTCAAATGTGTAGGACCTTCCTTGATCGTTGAAGAGTCTACAGAATAAACCTTAGCTGCATGTTTCGTATTGATAAATTTCGTAAGACTCACCCAGTCATTGACATCAACGCCATCTGATCAGGAGAGAATACCAGATTTACACCGCCCGCTAATGCCATGGAAGTTTCACCGGAGCGCAGACTTTGGCACGCTAAACTAATAGCAGCTAAGCTGCCAGAGCAGGCAGTATCTACCATGACTGAAGGGCCTTGCAAGTCGAAAACATAGGAGACACGGTTTGCCAACAATGGTCGGGCCACGCCGAGATTGTGATATTTAGAAATAGCCTCTGGATCTTTGTGTATTATCTGTGCGAAATCATGGCCGAACATGGCAACTCAGGGATTGTTAGCTTGAATCAAATGATAGAAACAGGCTAGATAATACCAAATATTCCAGTGTCCGACCCCTTAAATTTATGCATCGGAATGCCTGCATTCTCGACTGCCTCCCACGTCGTCTCTAAAACAACTCGCTGTTGTGGATCGAGTGTATCTGCCTCCTGTTGTGCTATGCCAAAGAAACCAGCATCAAAGGTGGCAATGTCTTGGTCAATGAAATGCCCTCCCCGTTGATTAATTGTGCCTGGAATTTCTGGGTCAGGGTGATAGAACGCCTGATGGTTGAATCTATCTGACGGAACTTCTGTCCAACCACTTCGACCTTCAGCAACGACATTCCACAAGGCTTCTGGGCTGTTGGCTCCCCCGGGATATCGACAGCCCATGCCGATAATGGCAACGGGAACAGGCCCTTGAGACCGCATCTCTGTTTAGGTTGCTAGAAAGGGGTGTTAAAATGCCTTCAGAGCCCAAAGAGCATGGGAATTGTTCTATATTCTGCTGACTCTCAGGGCTACACTGCTGCCTAGATATATGAGCAATCTCCATTGTCTGCTCTCTCCCCTTGCCTGTCAAGATTGGGCGCGATAGCCGACTGTAAGCTCTCCATTTTCATCCCATAAGCCAACTTGAAAACTAGCCTACGGATATTCAATATGCAGTCAGCATTTGATAAAACGTCCAAATACCTAGCTTTATAGCTCGCATTCCATTTCTATATACATGCACGCACAGTTAAACCCCTGGTTTAGGTATGGTCGACCAACATACTAGTAGTAACACGAAGATGTATATGATGCCATTGGAGCGCATGCGATACTACCCTCCTGCCATGATGATACGCTAAAACTTGGTAGATGCCGCTAACATTCTTCTAAATGCCCATTGAATATCACCCCCCGCAAAAGATGTGTGGAAGGATGCCCTCTGAACCATGCAAGCTTAATTAAGCTGCGGGTCATATCCCCCCACCAAAGACTTACGCCCGAAAAGTACTGTCCCGTTCTAAGTGACAGATCTGCATATTGGATCCTGCTTCAGATCCATATTGCGAGGCATTAGTAGCGTACATGACCACGTTTCTGTATCGTACGCATTGCAAAAGAGATCTAGTTTGTAGCTTGCATTCAGGTTAATACATATTGTTCTTTCTTACCCCTTGTTGCGTCTTTATACATACCATTCGGCGCCCAGTGGTGCAGATCATAATCATCGAACTATTTTTCATCAGTGTTTAACGTTCCTTTAGACCGTCCATCTTCAGTCGTAGCAAAGCCTACGGAGATCATCCAGATATCAAGAGCCAACGGGGAATATCAGAGCAACAATGGGTAATACAATATTCTCCAATTGGAGGCGAGCTAGAAATTTGATGTCAGCAGATCTTCCTTTCAACCATCCACGCACTCATTGGGAAGCTCAAACAGCATTCTTGAGTTCTGATGCACCAATTAGCTACCATTTAAGGAAAAATATAGGCTATGAGACTAAAAATCATCTTGACATGCTTACCTCTGGTACTAGTAGTAGGAGCTATATGTCGCAGCCGTATGACAGGCCATAAAACCACGCAGAATTAAACTGAGATTGGTAGTTTTACAGCTGCACATGCTGCGAACACGAGTATATCTCCAGAGCTAGCAGGGTATGTCCCAGGCCTTTTCACGCTTTCTCCACCAACGGCCCGACTCAACTATGATGCCTCTCCAGAATAATGAGCAAAGATACACTAGAAAGCTTCGATAATTTTATTTTGGTCATTACGATTCTATTATGGTGACGGGCTCGAATCTAGCCATTCTGCTCGTTTTTAATAGCCCCTAGGGGGTTTCAAAATAAAGTCGGCGAAGGGGCATTATAAAGCTTTTTAGTCAACCATGCCGAAACATTCCCCGCACTCGTAAGCGCATCCGCATTACCCCAGACATTCACTCGACAAGGGATACCATAAGGCACATCTCAAATATCCGTGTTAAGTCATGTAAAGCCTTGAATACTCATTACTCACTATCTAACAAAACCCAACTGTAATATCATGTGGTCCCGTTTTCACTGGTGCCTTAAGAAAAGTGATTTAATTTTTATCCATATCACCGTCTGCCTAAGGACATAGGATGAAATGCGGTAATGTTTTTTTTCAGCGTGCGTGCAATTCCCGTCTCGCGGAAATTTGTCTACTATGTATGCTGTTGGAAGCTATACACACATATGTAGTACGGTAATTAGGAGGCATTGGAATTGGCCGACAGCTATCACATTCGGACAGTCTTTTCCATCTGATCTAGTCACTGAACCTAGGCATAGATATAGCCTTTCATTGAAATAAGCCTCCTGCCCTACGATTCTTGATTGGATATTTGGAATGTCATGCCGAGAAACAAGCCTGCATTCCGGGAGGGACAAAGTCAGCGAGCATAATGGCTGTACAAGATCTTTGTGGGAAATCAAAAGAAACGTGATGTAGTAACTAGAGATAATTTGTAGTACAATTGACATCTGTGCGCTACTTAACTACGTTTCTGAACTCCGTAGACTTTCAATGACGACTCGTCGTCTCGTGACTATGCTTTCTAACTGTGTCTCAATATCGTGATTAATATACAGATAAATTATTAATATTTATTATGCCATGTAAATATCAGGATAGAGCAGTATACTAGCTGAAACATATCAATTGTTAAGCTTATTTAAACCAGATTAAGTGATAAAATAGGCATAGCCCAGCCATGGACCATGATAACAACAGTAGTGTGGTTCCTTTCATCGAGGAGAAACTGTTTAAGGTTTGCTAATGATAAAATGCCTATAACTAAACACAACGCTGCTATCTCTGTGGTAGTTATCTCGATGTTAAAACGAAAAATTAAAGAATCATCTGACCTAGTTACACGATACCAGTTCCTTTAGGAACTTGATCGTTGTAACAACTAAAAGTCATTTAAGCGAGAGTATATCCTTTGAGTTTCTATCTAAAGGAGAGGAATCTAACTTTCTTATATAGAGACAGCCATACTGCATATTGACGGTTTTCGCAAGTCACTGGGTAGTTAAATTCCATATTTATTGCGATTGGAAGAAGTGAGGCTTGGATGCATAGCATTGGCTACTCGCGACATCAAAAACACATATATCAGGTATATTCTCTTTGTTTACGATGTTAGGCTTCAGATGTTTCAAATCAATAGTTCTCAGCAATATATCGGGTACAAATACGGAAGAATTGTCTACGAACCTTTGCCTGATAACCTATAGCCTCACAAGCTCTTTCCGACAATCGCAATCTCATAGCTCTAACTTACTGCATCTAGAATTCTCCACCTTCAACCATGTATGCCAAAACGCCTGTTCTCATTACAGCTGATGATGATGTGTCTAGTGCCGAAAACAGCCAATGTGTCTCGAGCAATGAAGAGAACGTTTATACGACTTGACAAGTCGCAATTCGCAATCTTAAGAGTATTATAGGAGAGTTTTATACTTGAAGATAAGGAAAAAGCAATTTTTTTTATGTGTTTATTCTCATCTCTTAGCCTCAATATTCATTTTGAACCGTAGATATGCTAAAGCTGAATAAAATATTGTACGCTAACTTGCCACTATGGCTGTCGGTTTCGGCACTTGTGCAGCGTTTGAAACCACTTACTCGAGTTAGTATAAACTACATACACTATTCTAGCGCCAGGAACATCAGAGCTCATAACCGACTTCGAAGGCAAGCATGGCCGTCAAATAGCATATTATATTACACAAATGGCATGTATATCTATCTTTTTAGGGTATGATAACAATGTGCTTTTCTGATCCAAGTCTTTTAATTCTATTCCGAGGCCGGCCATAGCATAACGGTTTGGATAGCAATAACACGTTGTTAGCCTGGTGGCGCAGTCCCACTTATTGTCAATTTCTTGGGCGCGCGCCCTGTGTCCGCAACAAGGCGTCACTATGGAGAAGGGGAAAAAAAAATCATGAAGCATAAAGAAGATTCTAGCAGTAACAGACTGCTTCCCTAGAGTTTATATATAGATATATTTGTGTGTGTGTAACAAACAATTTTGATATAATTTGAGCCGCTGTATCGAGTATTCAAGTCTCTGTACTCTCGACGCCAATTTCTTTCAAAGCTTTTTATCGAAAGTTCATCATGAATTCAGCATTCAGTGCACAAAAGTTGCTGCAGTCTGCGCGAGTCTCTCCAGAAATCTTTAAACTGCGGCCAGATTACCGAGTTCTCTTAATGACTATCGAAGGCGTTCCTCCAGGCCCTAGTGACAGCATAAGCGAGGCCTTCTTGAGCGATGCCGAGGCAACTGCAAAGAGTCTTTTGTCAAAGCGTCCTGTAACTGAAATTTCACACATTGCTGCATGGCGAGAGACTTATAAGGCCTTTGGTGCTAAGCCGCAGAAAACTCGCAACAGCTTGGAAGCACTGACTCGCCGTGCTGAGACTGGATTGCCTCGCATCAACCGGTTGACGGACATCTACAATGCTATTTCGGTCAAGCATCAAATCCCATTGGGCGGCGAAGACCTTGACAAATACGACGGATCACCATTCTTGATACGTGCCACAGGCCAAGAAGAGTTTCAGGCGTTCTCAGGTGGCGAAATGCAGACTGAATTTGCGGCGCCTGGAGAACCCATCTGGTGTGACGACACTGGAATTACCTGTCGTCGCTGGAATTGGCGGCAAGGTCCACGCACCGCACTTTCTGATGCAACTACAAATGTTTTGATCATCTTTGACGCATTGGAGCCACTTTCGGACGAGGCTCTGCTTGCAGCTGCAGAGGAGCTTGCTTCAACACTGAAAAGCTTATCTCCGGAAGTGAAATGCGCTCAAAGATTAATTAAAGCTTAGCTTATGGTTGACCAATGATTCAAACGGGCCATGTGAGTGTGTCTTGCGACGTTGTGCGAATCTATACCTGGTGGGGTTGCGATTATGTTGGCGACAACTCGAGTATAAATACCGAGACCTAGACTGGCAAGCGGAAAAAAGTAAGGGAAGATTATGATTATATTAAAATATTTGGTGGGATATTTTTTCTGATATAAGAAGCACAGATAGAAGCTAGAACCATAGCAAACAAGTATACCCAAAACATCTAGTTTCTGGTAATGCATCTCAGTGAGAGGTTAATTCATTAAGAGCGGTCAGCTCATATCTGCATAATCATAACTATCAACGTCGTAAAACTACATACAAACATATACATCAATTAAAAAGCTTTTCAATATTTACGATGAAACGTAACGGCGTCCATTAAAGATGAATGACATAGGTGCCATTGGCCTTGCCAAACTCATCAAACGTAGTCATGGTGATGGAATCAGACATGGGAATAGGCTTGATCTCCTTGACATCCGGGCTCAGGGAAACCGTAGGCTTGGGGCCTAAGCCACGGCGGAACTTGGCAGAGTTGCCCATAGTCACGGGCTGGCTGTCAGTGAGGCGGTTGACGCATGTGCCGCCGGGGATGATGGTGTTGCCAATGTATCCCTGAAGGGTGGCATACTGGTGGAAGATGGCCTGCCAGTTGGGCTGGATCGTGCCGATACCGCCAGGCACAACCTTGTCATATACCGAAACTACAGTTTCTTGGGCAAAGTTCTCCTGTTGGCTGGTTTGTGCGTATGAGTCTGTCACCGCGGAATCGAGGTTGTAGTTGGAGATCCAGACATTGCTGGTAGAGAAAGGCACGCCGTATGAAGGGTCAAACGCATGAGAGTCCAGGCTGTGGCCAATTTCGTGGAGGAAGACGGTAATGTCGACATTGCCAACCATGAGAGTGTTATCACCGCTGGAGCCGGCCGAGGTGGCACCGGGAATGAAGACGTAGTGGCGAATGAAATCTCTCATGCGAACGGGCACACGGCCAAAGAGGTCAATTATGTCAGTCTGGCTGAGAGGAGAATCCTTGTGACGACAAAACGTCCAGGTCTGAGAGCAGTCGGTGTAGTGAATGTTGAAAGGTGTAACATCGAATGGTGAAAGTCCGGCACCCTGAACCAAAGACTTGCAGTCTGCAGGAATCCAGCCAGCTCCCCAGTTATCTGAAGTCGACTGGGTGGGCGACAAGTTATTCAAAAGACCCTGGCCTAAAGATGCCAGGCCACCTCCTGGGAAGTTCGGCTGGATAATGGGCTTGTCAAGCTTGGCAAGAGCCAAAGGGAGGAGGGAGAGGAAAGAAATCTTAGAAGCCATTTTGACTGTTTATTGAATAGCAGGAGAACTGCTGGTTATCTAATGAGCCGATACTGTCTAGGTAATTTCCAATATCGCAATAGAATGCAGATCTCTCCCTATTTATGCTTTTCCTATATCAGCTTGCTTTAAAGAGAATCTTGGGCAAAACCTTGAAACATCGGGTCAGTTCCAAGTTGGGAAGGTAGTATGATTTCGTTTATCGTTTGCTAACCATAGTCTTGGCATATGATGGTAACTAGTCTAAGAAAAAACATTCCTTCTGGCCAGGATCGAGTCATTCGGATGCTAATTCTCTTGGGGCCAATCGATAAATTAAACGGAGGAATGCTAATAGCGTTCATCCCTAAGCCTTTTGAAGATTTTGTGTAACAGGAAACTATAGGAATAAGTGCAAAATGACGCAGAATCAAGAGTTATCGCTATTCTTCAAGTACCCCAGTCCCAAACGTTTATCTGCAAAGAGCTAGCTGACGTGTGAACTAAGTTAGCTTCCTTTATAAGCTAGAGTTTTAACTTGGAAGCTTTTGTCTATAGTTAAAGAAAACCGACGCTAACGTAAATCGATGTTAATGCCGCGGCTAGGGTCATGATCCCACACAAGGCAACCACGTTATGATTTGTGAAAGATGATGCTCAGCTAGGCTCTAATGTCACTCTTGCATGTTCTTAGAAACATCTGCCCCTTTCTGATAATGCTCTAAGCCCAAGAGAGAATACTCCGCATGCATAGCCCAAAATTCTCAAGCTCATTTGCTAATATATCCCGTCCTGTTGCTTTATTTGTAGGAAGAAAACGAAGAAGGCGCGCTACATAGGAGGATAACACACGCCATTGACGTGGGTGTACGTTATCATCTGACTTTTGGCTCTTGTACATACCAGATACCTACTCATACATTAGCCAGGATGCAACTTTGTAATCAAGCTTGGTTCACTCGATAGTTTTCACGTGTTCTGAGTGATCACGAATCAAGACATTATCGCAACGTTACAAAATTGCCTGATTGGGTAAACTTGCATCGCAGGATGCCTATTCTGTGACGCCGATTAGTCTTATCGGCCGACATGCTGATATTAATCAGGTGTGACATATCAGGATAGCAGCTAGTCACACTGGTATAGGCATGTTCATGCGATGCGTGTGGTAAAAATGACTTTCTTCTTCAGTGCATTAATATGCAAAACATGCAAGTTGCTGGCAGAGACGAAATCACAGTATGGTTATTTATTTTTGCTTATTTGTTTGATTGCTTTTGCGACGAGTGAGCAGTACCGTCCTGGTATAGCGAGACGATAGGTAGCCTGGTAAGCGGTGTGAGACATCCAAGACCATTACGAAGGCTTAGTAGTTCAATATAGGTATGTGAGCTGCAGCAGTACTCAGTGTTTATTGGACAAAAGAAAGCTCACTTTCGAGAAGAATCCAGGAAACCCCTGCTGACACCGAGTGATTGTAGTTTTCTTTAGCTAGTTCCCGCCTGATTCCACATTAGCCCCCGACCTGGTCAATAGTTGCGGGGCTATCACTCGGCCAAACTGCTGTAGCAACGCATAATGGACGTTGACGCCGCTGTTTTGGATTAACACGGCTCAAGCTGATGAGGCTCCTCTTGCTTTACTATTATAGTAGTCACTAATTAGCGCATTGAGCAACAGTTTGCGAATCCCTTCAAGGAGTCTCCTGCATTAGCGTTGACACCGACCAAATCTCTTAGTTATGTCCCATCGAATCCTTTCCCTTGATCCTTTAGGACGAACTGCCGTGCCTTCATTTAAAGTCCATTGCCCCCGAAAAGGAGAAGGCGAACGCTGTATTCACGGGGTTTGAATGGAGAATGGCCACGCGTTATGCATAAGACGCGTTACTACTGCAGGTTACTCCGCAGTACCGTTTGTGGAGTAAGCATCAAGGTTAATATTGTAGCATGAATGGACGCCGTTACTCTTTGGTGCCACAAGACGGCTCCCCTTGACTTGAAGACTGCCTTTGTGTTTCTGAACGGGTGACGGCCCGACTCGCACGCTCTAAGCTTTGATGTCGATCTTGACTCCATCTTGAGTGTGCAGCTGAGCTTGGCACCGACCGTTTTGATCTACAAATGGTACGCTGGCACCAGGTTTCCTACTAGAGAATGAGCGGGCGTGAGACAGTATTGCGTCACCTGTAGATGTCTGAGTGACGGCACTGTGATCGTGGCACTTGCAGTGGAGAAATCATTCGACAGCAGCGTGGTGACATCTGAGACATGGTCTTGTGAAGATATCGGGAAATTAATCAACCTGAGAATGGATGACGTAAGGGGCATCGGGTCCAGCTATATGCAGCTTAAGCAATTTCCTTTTGAGACAGTCTTTGGTGTTGGCACCAACAAACGTCAAATGCAATGGTGCTCGATAGAGAAAGTTAACTAATTATATGTATCTGACAATCCCATCCTTGTGAATTATATGCAACAAGATGTACCAATTTCTTCCTATTTCATTAGGCATCAGAGGAGAAGAACATTGCTAGTAGAAATCACCAATCATCAATTCGTGCAATTTCTTCGATTTCAATTATCAAATACTTCCATGTCAATTGAGCTTATCTATACATATACCAGTATACTATAACAGATCAGCTATCACATATCGCAATTTAGTCAGTAGATGCTATTACAACTCATCTTGTATTTACGAATTAATCTCGACCCTCCAATGGGCTACAAATCGCCCGTCTAAACACTCTTTACACAATACCATCTGGACCCAGTGGTATCTCAGTTCCCGAAATTATGCACTGCCTCATAATCCTCACCTCATCTTCTGCCAGCGTTCTAACCACCGAATGGAGAAGCCCTCGATTGTGGAAAATGACAAAGTCTCCTTCTTGCCAGTCATGTGTATAAACTGACTGCGGTGCTATTCCAGGCCTCTGAAATTGATACAAGATATCACGAACCCGCTCCAAGTCGTCGATAATTTCCCCGTTTACAAGATGCAGCCGCCTTGCAACAGATGAGTGGACTTGCAGTGCGAGTCGGCCAGTCACGGGATTCCGCCAGCACATGGGGAGGATTTGTATAGAGGCCAGATCGATAGGCGGCAGCTCGTCGTCGTCGAGTTCCAGGCCTTCAGAGACGAGGCCCAGCCCAGTAGGATGCGACTTGGACGATGCCATCCACAAATATGGGTGGGCAGCATACTCGACCTTGGTAGATCCTGCAAATGCCTTGTCTTCCTCTGACAGCAGGTCGTACATGGCCTCTCCACTGGCGAATGCGATTGTCCCCAGCGGAGCTACCAACTCGTCCCCAGTGCCATCATCATATCGAATCGTCTGCATGCGTCTCTTTGGAAGTTTGACGGCGAGGATCGTGGTGGCAACAGGCGGAGGCGCGCCGTATAAGTCACCGTCGATATGCCAGCGGTAAAATCGGGTATATTTCAAAGCGTTTCGGTCTTCTATAACGGTGGAATGAGACGAGCGGTGATGCGGGTATCGCAGTTTCAGGTTTCTGGCTCCCTCATGCTCACGAACGAAGCCGTTGCCAATGATTTGGACCTGTGGCAGATGCGGAACTGTGTTAAGGTCTGGGCTTAAGAGGAAGCTTTTGGCATTGTCTTGGTCCTTGTGACGAGAGGAAATCGTGGCAGCTGAATTGAGACGCTGCGTAAATTCGTATTGAGCCTGTGGCGATAGACGTCCTTGATCTTTCAACACCAGAACGTGGTGCTTATAAAAGGCCTCTGCGAGAATTTCAATGTCGGCGTCTGATGGTAGAATTAATGTCAGTTATAGGAGCTTGTAGACTCTATGGCTAGGTAGAATTATTCACCGGACAAGCCCTCCAAGTTTACGCTAGAGGCATTGGCTCCAAAACTGACGCTGCTTCCTTGGGGATGGACCATAGGCTCGATTTTTACGTGAGAAGCCATTTTACCATTGTGCTGTTTGGTGGCGGGATATCTGATGGGAAACAACTGCGAGTCTGCTCTTAGGTAGCGCCATCCTTCTAGGATTTTGACGGATTCTGAGCTTTATATATGCTCTTAGTTATGTTATACCATAGACGCTGAGGCTCATTGGATGGCATTCAGATGTAATTGTGTGTATATTGAGTCTGCGGTGGAACCCGAATGTCGCCTTGTGGAGCCATTCCCAGCGGCGATTAGTGAAAACCCCTAGACCTGGGGTACTGTTGCCCAGAATAGTTTTAGCGTTTAGCATTATCATCACTTAGAGCCTTGCTAACTCGCTGGGCAAAGCGCTATCAGGAGCCGCCACCGAGATATTTAAACACATGGCGTCTGAAAGAGTTGAACAAACTTATCTTATTCTCTGTGCTTGATTAATTTTCAAACCTATTTTCTCTCTTACTGTCAATAGAGATCAAGAGAAAAGCTCTCAAGACATTCAGAATACCGGTGCTCAACTCCAATTCGTGTCTCAATGGCTCCATCTCAGATACACAATAAGGCTCTCTCATCATCGCTCACAAGTTAGAAGTCGTTTTCACATGCTCCTCTCCATAGACAATCCAAACATCCTTTTTCAGCCCTTCTCTCTTTGTCACACCAACCCGTTCCCGCGCCGAGAACTTGTCTTCTAGGTAATGTTGGAGAATCTCTAGTTCAGCTGCACCACCGCTATTGTTTGCATCAACATGCAACAAAGCCGCCATCAAGACTTCCGCCACAGACCACACAAGGTCTCTCGCTTTACCAACGAGATTTGCTTGAGTCTCTTTAGCGATACGGGTTTTCATCTTGTCCCATCTTTGCACAACACTTTGAAACCTTGCGGCATCTCCACGAAACGCAAACGCCTGTTTAATGGTCTTGTCCAACGCATCGATTGACTGAACCCCAGTTTCAGGGCGTTTTAGTGCTCTTATAAAGTCGGTGCTCAGCACAGATGGGCAGCACGCCACAGTCTCTGTACAGCCGCGCAATGTTGAGATACTCTTGTTCTTCATTCAACAGATAGCCAACGCCGCCAATCGACTCCGTGCAAGAGAATAGCAAAATCAGAGCCGAGTTACAAGCATATGCTTTGGTCAGCAGTGTGAGCACCCTTAATAGTGGCGCTATATCCTTTGGTGCAGGGGTTAATGCTTGTAGCGCTGATGTCAGTCCTTTATCCGCATTGTTTTCCGTCGGATGTTCAGAAAGCCCCAGTATATAGACGGTAAACATGTGCAACAATATTAGCCGCCTGTACTCTGTAGTCATCCGTGCCAGCGTCTTCATATGCAGCGAACTGTCGGTTAGTCCCATCCTGCCTCCTATACCAGCACCAACTTCTCTCACTCGCGCAAAAGCTCGTGCAACTGCCAGACCGCGACCTGCATATCCGACAGCTTGGCTAGTTGTGTGAATTCGACTCAAGTTGAGCAGCACAGAAATTTCTTGGATGCCCCGATTCTCTTCTCCAATGAGCCACCCACGCATTTCTTCAAGCACAAGCTCTGTTGTAGGCAGTGACTGAGTTCCAAGCTTGTTTTTGAGGCGCTGAATGCGTACTCCATTGAGGCACTGGCCGTTTGGATCAGGGTTTCCGAATTCGTTCAGGGCAGAGGGATCATGTTTTCGAAGGGGTGCAATAAAAGTCGAGAGATTTCCAGCGGGAGTGCGAGCAAGAAGAATCGTCATGTCAGAATCAGTGGCTGAAGAGAACCACTTGAATCCATTGATGCTCCATGCGATGCAAAGCGACTCTAACTTTGCAGTTTATCTAAAGTGTTGGCTTTCAACCTTGAACGGCATTGTGAGTCGAGGTAAATACCAGATGAGAATAGATTTGCAAGATTGGAGAACTCTTAAACCTCATTCCACATTTCAAAATGATAGAGGCATACCCCATGGATGTTATATCGTTCTCTCTCAAGTAGGACACATTTCCAAGTTCATCCCTCTGTGTGTTTGAGATCTTGTAAAACCGGCGATTCATAAAAAGAGAGCCTATATCAAAATGTGGAATATGCGACACTGCTATAATGCATACAAGGCAACAAAGCGCGCTGTCGGCGGAATGTGGGGAACAGAAGCTTTTCTACACCGGTTGATCATTCTTCTACTTCTACGACGTAACCGATTCGCTATTGCGGCAACAATCTTGAAATTTTTTGCAAGAGGCGCTATATGGTAAGTGTTTATTAATCGCAGCCCCAATGTGAGAAAAGAAGAAGCCAAAGAATACAACGTTCAAGCACAGAGTCTCACATCGGATCGAATATCAGATCTCAGGCGCTATGCCAAACAGGATATTATCCGTTGGTCCAACTTTCAGTAGCCAACTGAACGGCGAAGCTAATGAAGGCGTATACAGTCATCCATTGTTAATAGTATCAGAGCTCAAGTGGAAGGGAGGTCCGAAGACGTAGAGGAGAGCAATGAGTATATAGAAATTCATCAGTTTACGATAGCGCACAGACGACTTACTAGAGGAGATGGCTGAGCTTGGTGAGTATATAGAATCATAAATGATAGTAGTAGCAAACCTATTGTGGGCTACTCTTCATGATAGAAGCCCAATTCAATACCGTCATAGGATAAGCTATACCTAGCTGGAATGACAAAGCTGGGAAATTCTCGACGGCGGTGGCATACGAACTTGAGTATAACATGGCCAGCATTCAAACTCGGATGCTCAGGCCTTTATCAAGGCATCTGATGGTCCGCAAGTAAGTTGCTTCATTATTACTGCGAGTCCGCACAAACGCATTGGACAATGAAGACGGGCGTCGGGTCATGGGCAGATCTCCCGCGTCTGCCAAGGAATCTAAAACTTTTCCAGAAATGCTGGCCATACCCTTTTTTAGGCATAAACCAAGTAGATGGTCCCAACGTGTATGCCTGCTGACTGTGTTTCTCGAAATAAACATGCGGACACATTTGTCATCCGTTGCAAAGTGGCAGGATAATTCACGGCGCAAGACGAGAGGAATAGTCTCTGAATAAGCACGCGCTCTGCACATTTCCCAGGACCTCAGAGAGCAGTTCATTTCCATGGCGGGGTGGCAAGCGTGAGGTCGTTGCTGTTGGTGAGATGCATTGGCATGTGTTCTAGCTGGCTCTTGAATGTCCTCGCAGATCTTGCTCCACTATGCAAAAGGTTTCGGTGCATAATCTTTGCATGCTCACTTGCCTTGGGAGTGGAGGCAAATGCTGACGCGCAATTTTTCTCCTTGGCCAGCGGGTAAGCACATGCGATGTTGTGATCGCAAGGGATCGCAAAGGATCGCTCGCCCGCCTGTGGAGGCGTAAGACGCCGTGCATCCTTCTTCCCTGGCCATAGGACAAGGGTGTCGAATGCCCTGATGCCGACGCCCTTCTTCTGGCAGTACAGATTTCGCCGCAATGCTCATCTCGTCTGGCAGGACAACGGCGGCGTTTTCTCTTGCATGGAATTGCGCATTTTTGCTGGCTGAGAAGCGTCTGGCGCGCAATGCTCGGTTCCTGCAAGAGGGCCGCGATGCTGGTTGCGAGACGGCATTGCTTGGAGAGGCTTTGTTTGCCGTACCAGATAGATAGATAGATGCGTGGCCCAGGTAACGATACACCAGTCACAAGATGCAGGCGTGCGCTTGAAAAGATGTCGGTGCGAATTGGCAGCGAGTGCGTTGAGCCTTGATTGCTCCGATGACGGCGTTCTGAGAGGTTGCATCGCATCAGCGCCTCAAGGTCAAGGTTCGAATGGATGTCGAAATCTGACGCTTACTGCACGTGACGCATCACGTGCGCTGCTTATTTTTCTTCAGATCGGAGAGTTTATCGACCAGGCCATTGTCGAACCTTACCTTGCCCACGCAAGTGACTCATTGTGACTCAGCACGTCGTTGTTGGCCTTGATATATCAGCAGATCCGGCGACAATCGTCTTTGCACAGCCAATTCCTCCAACCGTCCATCCCAATTGCCCGCCATGTCGACCTTTGGGCAGTTTCTGCGTGTAACGACGTACGGCGAGAGGTCAGTATCTGCTTCCGAGCTAGGATAGCGCTGGGCCGCTAATTCGCCGCTGTAGTCACTGTCCCAGCGTGGGATGCATTGTCGACAACTTCCCGCCCGGCGTCCCGGTCTCTGAAGAGATCATCCAGCCCCAGGTGAGTTTCTAGTATATGGAACAGCCATGGCGCTTTCTAGGGACTTTGTAGCTCAAGTTTCCAGGTCACTCGCCGTCGCCCCGGCCAAAGCTCCATCACGACGCCGCGGAATGAGGCCGACATTGTGTCCATCCAGTCCGGAGTGGAGGGCGGCGTCACGCTCGGCACGCCGATAGCCATGGTGGTCAAGAACAAGGACTTCCGCCCCGCAGACTACAAGGGCGACACCATGAAGCAGTATCCCCGCCCCAGCCACGCCGACTTCACCTACCTTGAAAAGTACGGCGTTCGTGCATCCTCAGGCGGCGGCCGTTCGAGTGCGCGCGAGACAATCGGCCGAGTGGCGGCAGGCGCTCTTTGCGAGCACTACCTCAAGCTTGCCCACGGAATCGAAATTGTTGCCTGGGTTTCGTCTGTCGGCAACATCCACCACATCCCGCCCACCCCCGAGTATCCTTCCACTCACAACCCCAAGTTTCTCCAGCTGCTGCAGGAGGTTACACGGGAAACCGTTGACAAGACGGTTGTCCGGTGTCCGGACGCGGAAGTGGCTGCCAAGATGGAGCAGAGCATTGCCGACTTCCGAGATCGCCAGGACAGCATTGGAGGCACAGTGACGTGTGTCATTCGAAATGTCCCGACTGGACTTGGCGAGCCCGTGTTTTCCAAGTTGGAGGCCACACTGGCCCACGGCATGCTTAGCATTCCGGCCACAAAGGGATTCGAAATCGGCTCCGGATTTGAAGGAACAGAAATCCCCGGGTCCTCCCACAACGACATGTTCATCCGCAACCCCAATTCTGATTCGGATTCCAAGAATGGATTTGCGAAGCCAAAGCTCACAACCGCCACCAACAACAGTGGAGGAATCCAGGGAGGAATCACAAACGGCGCGCCCATCTATTTCCGCGTCGCTTTCAAGCCCCCGGCAACGATTGGACTGCCTCAGGAGACGGTCACATTTGAAGGAGAGACTGATGGGCTTCTAGAGGCCAAGGGCCGTCATGATCCCTGTGTTGTTCCCCGTAAGTCTCAACACTCAACGCTAAAACTGACTCTGCTAACCATGTTTAGGCGCTGTTCCAATCGTCGAGGCCATGGCTTCAATTTGCATTATGGATGCTCTTTTGTTGCAAGGCGGCAGAAGGATGGCGGTGCTTGCGCCATGAAATGAATGATCAAAAGTGTAGTATCTTGATTTTGAAAAAAAAAAAAAAAAAAAAAAAAGATTGATCTGGAATCAAAAGCTTTTCTATTGTATATTCAAGACATTTCCTCCTACGCATATAGAGATGTATTACCATTTACACAGTCTTGGGTCCTGATTCAATTCATTCAATTTTAAACTAGCACCAACATGCCGCTATACTTACTTGGGCCGTGTTTTTTTGCAGGGTCTTGGACGGGTAAATCTTTAAGCCCGAGATCGGCGCCGTATCGGAGCTAGCAGGGGCCGCAAAAATGCCTGTAATAGGGATAGTTGCTAGCTTTTCTGGTGGATTTGCTTGTTGCGACTAATGCGTAGTCTCGACTTTTTGAATTGTATAATGTTGCAAACCCAGTCAACAGAAACAACTATACTAATGAGTCGATGAATGGCTGTTGCTTCAGGTTGTCAAATTTCCAGTTTCGAGCACCCAATTGGTAGCTTTAGGAAATTGTCAGACGAGCATGGCTTTGAGGTTGGCAGGGCCTTCTATAACACCATAGATAAAGAGCAGAACAGACTATAAGTCGACATGTTCATGACGCTATAAGAAATCTCCGCGAGAAGCAAGCACGAAAGAGCACTTATGCGTTATTGCGATTGAGAGGTAAGCATAACGGTATAGTTTAGACAGGGGATATTTATTCTTTGTTTATTTCGCACTGAAATGTAACGATTTTTTTGACTATTACTTGTACCGTGTTTAATATATATGATAACCCATGACTCTGTGCAAGTGAACTGGAAAAACATGGCTTGTAAATTCACATCCAACATTAACCAAATATACCACAATACAATGAATAACACCAAATCTTCGAGTTGACCGAAAATATTTTGTCTTTATTACGTTGTTATCTTGATCATTAATTCATGTGTTCTTAGCTGTTTTCTTCCTTCTGTTAACCTGCACCCCACTAACTGGTCCGTCAGAGCGCTAGAGTCCAGCAATCGGCAGCTGCCTCAATGCATACGCAATAATAAATAAAACAATAACAAAATCTTCACTCCATTTGCTATTCTCTATACTAAAATCCACAGAAATCCTTCCCGTGCCTGTATTGTCAGTGATTTCATCACGTGATGAGAATCAGCCGATGTAACCAACCCAAAGTCAGCCCATCCATCCTTCAGTTGGCCCTTGAAAATGACGCACCATCATTTACATCACTAACAACACCACAACTCCAATTCACAAGGCCGTCATTATGGCGACCAAAGCATTCTTTGATCCCGTGGCCGCATTGCGAGCGGCGCCGTTGCTCACATCAACTTGCACCCTCTGGTGGGCGTGGGACGAGCACTTTTTCCTAAGCATCTTCAACAAGCCAGAGATCCGCAGCAAAAGCAATGAGCTGCTGCCGTCGTATTTCAAAGACTTTTTCGAGGGAGGATTGAACCGGACTCTGGGGCTTCTTACACTCACCATTTCATCCACCATGGCTACTTGTTTTGTAAACCACAACTATCACTGGGCCAACAAGTCTCTGCGGTGGTACACAGCCGGAATGGTATTGACCGCCGCCCATCTCGTCTTTGTGCCGGCCGTCGCACCAAAAATTAAGGCAATTGTTGAAGACACCTCCAAGGGAGAGAGCACCAAGGATCTGGAGGGCTGGCTGAGCGTGCACACGATTAGGTCTTTGACGGTTGATTTGGCGGCATGGGTTTGCTTTGTCATTGGCACTGCGCGCGAGATCCAATCCGATTGGGACTAAACAGGTTGGAATTGGAAATTATTATCATCTACTCTTTCTGGTGTCTAGCTGGTATTGTCTCTGGATGGAAAGAGGTTGGCTGCTTGGATCCGATGAGAACGCACACAACACCCTGTAATATAGCTAGCAGCCGGCATCTTGATAAGCTTCAAAGGATTTAAAAAAAAAAAAAAACACTATTGAACTCATTTACCTAGTACTTTAGTTAGCGCTCCTTCGTGTGTTGTTTGTATTTTGATATTTTTTGTATGGACGATGCAACATCGGCATAAAGCAGTCTCATTCCGCGTTATGAAGCACTACCTAGATATTACTCTCATAATTCCTGGCGTTGAGTGCCTCGCATCATTCTCCATTTTGAAAGATACTTCTTTATCGAGAAATTGATCCGAAATATTTCTTTATTTTCGATTCTAATCTCGCTTCGGCAAACTCCGAGTTTTTCTATAGCCGTGTCACAAAGCTCTGCTTAGTATAGACAGGATCGCCTGTCAGCTTTAAAACGAATTGGCCAATGAAGGTGACCATAGCATGAAATACGAAATATGCCTTGTGTCCTAACGCACTCCTGCGTCTCGCTATTCTCTTTAAGCACTAGCCTACTACTCGTTCTCGTTCAGCTGCCGCTACTATTTACATACATATTCGGCGCCCCTCGTCATCGTTTAACTTGCTCGCTTGAAGTTGTGCTGCATTAGGGATACGATACCACCTGCATTATAATGACTTTAATTAATACGCTGCCCATTGTGGGCGGACGCGAAGAGAAGCCACAAGAGACATAACAGCCACGAAAGAAGCATGCAAAACTATTCCACAAAAAGACTAGGACAGGCTGCCAGCGTTGTCGAGTTCGGCGAGTCAAGGTACGAATGGAACGCTCTTCGATCAGCCCTATGGCTGTGGAGAAGACGGCACTTGAACAGCTCCTAATGTTGTGAGATAGTGTGACGAAGCTAGGCCAATCTGTAACAATTGCATACGGCTTGACTTGGATTGCGAATATGCCCAGCCCCCTGCAGCAAAGAAGAGCAGCGAAAGCAACTCGGCTCAGTCGTCGGCTTCTCCAAGCGGCGGTGAAGGCGTGATCAATTCAGACGGCGTGGTGCAACTTGCGGAAACAACAGCACGGAGGAGGCTCGAACTTGAGCTGTTCTATCATTATTCTACCGTCATCGCACCAGTCCACAGTGTGGACAAGTTTTCTCAGGCTTTTCTAGGGCCTTTCATGTGCCAAGCAGCTTTGCGGTCAGATGCTGTCCTATACGCAGTCTGCATGGTGGCAGCTCTCCACAAAGCGCACATATCCGGTGATGCCGGGTCGGAATATATGGGTCATTGCTTGACATATACGAATTTGACTCTTCAGTCGCACCACCAGCAGGTGGCCAATCTCGATCCCGATAATGTGGATTTTTCATGCCTGACCTCTAGCCTTTTACGGGTTTACAGATATTATCAGTTACAAAATCGATCCTTGGAACCGTATACGCCTCCTGTTGAGTGGTTGCGCATGTGCAACACCAGCAACATTGTGTTCCGCAAGGCATGGGCATTTATTGAAGAGAGACGTGAATCAGTCAGCGGCAGGCTAATGCTGGAAATCTCACAAAATCTGGAGGAAAAGAACAGAATGGAGCATTCTAATGAGCTGATACACCTGCTGCGACGCCAAGAGCCCCATGAGCTGGAGGAACAATGGGATGACGATGTTCACAACGTGTATAAACGAACGCTGAGCTGCCTTGGTTGGCTCTGGAAACACAGATTCGACAGCGATCCTCCATACGGCGTGTCGAGACGACTTTTTCTTTTCCCCATGATAGTGGACGCCCAGTTTGTGATATTTGTAGAGGAACAGCGGCCGCGAGCCCTCATCATACTGGCGCACTATTTTGCATTGCTTGCAATTATTCGTCAACTCTGGTTTGTTGGCGATGCTGGTCTTCGCGAAGCTCAAGCAATCGCGGTAGCGGTGCCTCCAGCGTGGCTGGGAATGCTGATACAACCACTGGAGATATTGAAGGATCCATCCTTGTTGTGCAATGTTCAGCCCAAAAGTTGACATGGTTGATGAAATAGTAAATAATATTAAGTCTCTGCAGGGTGCGGGGAGCGATGATCACTCTGGATGAGGAACCAGTTCTATCGCTTAAGAGCAATGGCCAATTGCCAATTATTAGCCACAACCCTTGGTAGGAGTCGATGCAGGGGCTGATTTAACGCTGCAGTAAGCTCTTGTGGGCTCTGCTGATTAGCTGTCGTTCTCGTTCAAGTTGCGCTAACCTAGACATAGTGGCGTAGACAAATCCGGCTGACGCACAGTAACTTGAGGGACGCTATATTGAATAGGGAAATTTTCATGGGAGGGAGAATTGAAGGATCAAGAAGTAGTGAATGTAGTTGAAGATCTTGGTTATCATTATCACAACCGCAAATATGTATATATATATGTTGTTCAATCTACTATAGCTATTCAATCTACTAGACATTCACTTTACATACAACATTCCCGTTTCTTAAAGGGCTTAATAGCTACTCAGTAAACGGCACTTTTGCGATTTACGCCTTCTTCGTCTTACAAGATCAAGCGCCAAGACTTATACAACCACGATGACAACTGACAGTCTCTCAGCTGCGAAACTCGCCATTTACTTGATTCTACTCCAGCCCGCGCTCTACTGTCTATGGAAGCACGGCAAAACAGGATTTCTCGGCTGGCTCTATGTCCAAATCTTCTGTGTACTCCGCATAGCTACTGGCGGCATTGGTCTGCATGGGAACCAGACGGGGGAAGCCGCTGTGATTCTCAACAGCATAGGCTTGTCTCCTTTGCTTCTTTCGATCTCAGGAATATTGCACGAAGCGTGAGTCTATAATTTGTCCCGTGAATGCTTACTATAAGTGTCTTTTGCTAATTTTACTTTACTTTACATCAGTCGACGTGCTGTAAACCCGCGCCTGAATAGAAAGCTTGACATTATACTAGAAATCAAGTACCACGGCATTGTCGCTCTGGGAATGGTTTTGACAATTATAGCTGTTGTCCACCTTTTAAACGGCGGCGAGGTGTCAAAAAATAAGTCATTGCTCAACGCTGGCTCGGCCATATCGTGCGTTGCCTGGCTACTTGCCGTTCTCTGGGCACTTTGGTCGCATTCCATGAATCGCCGATTTTCGTCATACTCGGATATGCAAACATCTGAAAACGGTAAAATGGTTAGTAATTTTGAGCATGTTATCTTTTCCCTCTTTGACTCTATAAGTTGCTGATGCACCGCTTCCTAGCTACTCAATGGAGTGTTTATCGCACTGCCCTTTGTTGGAATCCGCCTTGTTTACGGCATTGTATTTCTACAAATGACAATTTCCCACCCGGATTCAGGTTTCCTCACGTCCAAGGCCGTACAAGTTTGCCTCAGTTTTCTTCCCGAGCTGGCATGTATCACTAGTCTTCTCTTGGTCGGTATCTTGACTCGTTCTTTGAGACCAGATTTGAAGAAGAGGGAGCAAGAAGCAGTTCAATTGGTGTCCAATCAAGATGTTGGACTACAGCAGTCGACAGAGTACAAGTAAATCTGCGCTCTGGGCTGCCATAAGAGACCCCGTGTTTTATTCACATTCCGTCCTTATCCCAACCATGTTGCTTGTTAAATACATGCAGGAGCATAGATATGTTGCCAGCCTTAGCCTCAGTAGCATATTGTATGCCCAATCTGCTAAGACTACAAGTAATATCTTGTGCACTTAAGATTTGCTGTTCCATGGGCGGTATCAATGCACCAGCATGCAATTATGATTCACTAGCCATTTGCGTTATCGCTTACTTACTTAAAAATTAAATATACTCAAAGAGAAGCTATACATGGAGTTTCATAGGGTTATTTTTTCGCTTTTAAATAATGTATAAAGATTTTAGGCAGCGTTATATTTGTGTCAATCATGCAATTCAGTTTGCTCCCCATATGCTTAGCCATGGCTACACTATTCTCAGATACCAATGCGAAAGATAGTTGCAATTCCCCTAAGATATTTTAATCGTTGTCCTTCACATTTCTCCGCCAATCACTCCTGGTTTCCAGGGACTTTAGTTAGGGCACTACCGAACAAAATACCCCTCATCAAAGCAAGCTAATACGCAGTTGTTATTTTTTTTTTATTGTATTTTGGTATCGTGGACTTAAAATATAAAATAGACAACTCATGCTGCAACATATATTTTGTCTAGAAAGCAAGGAACTCATGCATTCTTTTTAATGTGACTATTTAAAGTCTGATCTGCTATGGATAAAGTCTGGTTCAAGCTTCGGCAGACTCACTATCCGCCTGGTCCAGAGCAAATCATCCTTTCTGGCGATGGAGACGACTCCCAGGCTCCTCTTTGTTTAGGTCACTGCATCGCCGACCTCAAACACTTGGACTTTCCAATCAATTCTGGCGCTGTGCTGCCGTTCCCACAGCGCATGAACGTCTTCTCGTCGCATGTCGTCGACTTCAAATGGGAGCGCAAGCGTGGCTTCGCAACATCGCTGGCTCTCGCTACTAGCGCACCTATAGCCGCATCATTAGGTTTGCTGACAATCAAGGCGAGCATCAGTGTCGCATTCAAGAGGTCCGTTAGCCAGTACGAAGAATACAACCGCCTCGACACATATATCGTTCAACCCAATTCTCGCTATATCCAGCAGTGCCTAGAAAGAGAAGAGCTTAAAAAATACATTGGCGACAAGGCGAATTGGTCATTCTTCATGATTACGGGCCTCCGCGTGGCACGAGCGGGAAAGAGGTCGAACACAGCCATGAGGAATGTAGAAGTTAAAGGGGGCCCTGATGCGTGAGTTTCAGACTGTCTTATACTTATACCTCAAATATTAAAAACTCTGGAGTCTAAATGTTGGTATGCTTATGTAGTGATCTATCAACTGCGGCAGCTAGCGAAGTTACTAACAAAAATAATGTGGCTTGGGAAAATAACACCAAAGAAGGCCAACTTTCGGATTTTGTTTGGGCTATCCGTCTCGCCAAAGTTCACAAGGGATTTCTCATGACAGACTGGTCTGTTGACACTTGTACACATCGCGCTACCTTTCATATGGAGAGCGGACAAGAAGTCGACGTTGGTGCTGTCGTTAAAAACGAGGGACTAGAGTCCTTTCAGGTCGTTGAAGATGACGATCTTGGTGAAGCTATTGTGTTAGACGAGGAACTTTTAAGTGGTGAAAACTGAGAGAACTTGAATAACAACTCTTCTAATCTATATAACCTTTAATATACCTTGTTTAGACAAACTGGGCTTGTTTTAACGTTGAGCAGCCCACTTTAAGTGTTTGTGGAAAGATATGTACTCAGTTAGCCTGATCCATTGCCCTCGACAGACTTTCCTTAATATACTCTCTCATTTGCTGCAAGCTCATACCAGCAAAGTCTGAGGGAAGTAATTTCAGCGGCATGATACACTTAAACTCTCCCGCCCGCTCAGATATGGCGTTGAATATGGCAATCATTCCAAGCATTTTACTGACATCAGCCACTCTAAAGATGGACTGGCAGTTAAATAGGTGCCGCGTAAAGTCAATTATGAGCGCCGCAAGCCCTGCTGCCGCGGCTGTGGCAGTACTGGTGCCACGTACCCGCTGATTTGCATCACCGGGATGCTGAAAATCTTCGCCGAGGATAGCAAAATTGTGCGCGTCTGACCGCCGCTCTGGATTGAAATGAGACGCTCGGTTATGAGTATCAGTGGAAAACACGCATATGGTGTAGAGATTGTGCCGCGCCGGAAAGGCCACAGGCCCCAAATTACCCCAGTTGGATGCGGCGGCGAAGACAAGTTTGTTGGCGGCGCTGGCCTTTTGCACGGCATCCTGTAGCCTGGGAGAGTGGTAGAGGAATCCAGCCGATATACTGATAATGTCAACGTCGATGTCAGGTGTTATTGCCCATTCGATGGCCTCCGTGCGATCTCAAATCAGCCGACCTATTTACGATGCATTTGTAACTCTGAAATAAACTTACCTGGGCCATCAATTCAGGCACTGTCTTATCGTCGGTCTCATCAGAGTTGAATACCCTGGCAACATACAGCTCGCATTTCTCATAGATTGACATGATGATGTTGGCAGAAATTGAGCCATGCCAGGTATTATCACACATGCTAGTAGAGCCTGGATTCACAAAATCTTTATACACCTTGATTTTCGTGAATCCCTTGACTCCTAGTTTGAAGCCCGTGTCAATGACACAGATCTTGACTGACTTGTATGTATCTTTGGCAGAAGCTGGCAACTCCATGACAGTCTTCAACCGATCGATCTTGTCAAACCATTCGTCAGAGGAAACCTTTTTTTCACTGATGAATGTTACTTTACTTGCCTATTAATTTCATCTATTAGCGATCCTATAATTTACTGACCTTAATACTTGCGGTCCGCTCAAACTTCGCGGCTGCTCTAGCTTGCCGTTTTTGCCTCGTGTAATCAACTTTTTCCAGTTAGTCTGCTGGACAACAGGGGTATTGGTACCGTCGTCGTCATTGGTCCAGAAATTGATAAGATCTAGTGAGCCGAGGAGACCTCGTTGCGCAATTTTTAGAATGGAAAATTCGACTGATAATTATCAGCTTACTCAAATCCAAGATAAAGTTTCAACTCAGAGTGATATACTTACAATCCAGACATATGGAACCGGGTCGGCCCTTTCTTTTCACCACCATACGAGTTTTATTCTTTGTAAATCCTTTAACATCTGAGGAGATAACAGATATATCAACATCCTGACATATGGATGATTCTGGAATAAATCTTTGCCGCAATGTCGTAGAATCTCTGCCACGGCGTATGTAAGTATATGTACAGATATATAATCTCATTGCAGTGGCCTTTGTGTTAATTATATGGGTTCTCACTGATGGTATACTTCGTATTCAAATGCCAACATTCGTTGAGCATACAGCTGATGCAGCCGATCTCTCATGGCTTCGACGTACGTCTTCCAATTCACCGCATCTAAAAGAATGTGGATGTTTAGTACAGGGCAAATGAATCAGATTTGATTCTAGAGATGTCATACGAACCGTCTCTCTTATCGAAACCAAAGCTTATTCCAGAAATGTCGAAAGGGGCTGTACCTTGGCGCATGCTAACTTTAGACAGTGTTACCCATAAGGGCCGCCCTAGCGTTGCCCCATCAGTGATAATTGAGTCTTTGTAAACTAAAACAATAATCATTGATTATCAAAATGCCTCGGACTACCTGTTCAAATATGTCCAACTTACCAAGTATGTTAAAGTCGTCATTGCTTGCTTCTTTACAGTCCCTGAAAATCTCTATTTCAAATACTGGACATGGGAGAGCCTCAAGAGATTTGATCCTATATCTATTTTTTGGCCTAGTTGCGACTGAGTAGTGTCTCATTTGAACTCCCTGGGGCTGCCAAGCAAGCCTGACTATAGTATTAGATGTGTGGAATTCTAGCTGCGATGGTAGTTTGTTTTGAAAGGCCTCGAACGCCCCTGGGGACTATTAGCAATGAATCAAAGATGTAATCGATTCAATCGCAAAATTACATACGGGACGGAAATCAATCTGTACACTAGCTCTTCTTCAAACACTATCTCCTTGTGTTTGGGATCTGTAGTTTGGCTCATTGAGAACTGATGGGCAAGTCTTCCGGCAAGTCTGTCGATTTTGAAGATGTCTGGTTTGTTAACCTGTTCCCGTTCATTTGTAAGACAGCCTTTGGAACATACATGCAGGTGCAAGTCCAGAGATGATTATAGAAACTATGGCATTAGTACGCGGCTTGGAAAGTATCATGTGCCATGCACGCGCTTCACCGGGACAAATATGTTCCACCAAGAAGGTCGCGGATAGTACTTCCCGTAATTAGCATCCAAGATTCAATATTTCAGCTCAGAGGGCGAGAAAGATTTGGTGAAATTTTCTGATGCTCACCTCGGTACTCCAGTTCACCATCGTGAGATCCCTCAGTTGTAGGACAGTCGCAGCCAAACCTTAGTCTCGTGATCGTTGCACTGCCACCTATATCATGAAGAAAACAGTTTGAACAAATTATATCGTGCCTGGATGAGCTGTTATCCCAATTTCCATTGATGGTAAGTTTTGCTTCATGCAGCTTGAATGTGCTTTTACTGGTGACAAAAGGAGCCGCCGGTAATATGTCATCTATAACATCTATCAAGTGACTTGAAATGGTATCGAGGCCTTGCTTTATAGTTTTGATCATAGTCGCATCTTTCAGTTCATTGTTACTTGTAACTATGGTCAGTTACAAGCGAAAGGATATCAATTGTGTAAAAGACGTACCTGATGCTTGAACATAAAGCCAGGGACAAAGAGTTCTGAATGTCAGCCAAAGCACTGATATGTCCAATCGCACTAGGTTGACGGCTCTCAAGAAAATCTGTAGTGCAGCTTACGGGCCAAGTGTTTGCCGTCTCACGGAGCTGGCTCAAAACACGTCTACAATCTTGGAGAGTCGTTTGAAACCAGCCGCAGCGTTCAATATGCTGAGAGGAACGTAACAAGGTGCCCAGAGCTTGTAGTCGAGCGTGGATGCCCTTCACGTCTACATGTATTGACTCTCCTATATCCAACAGACCCGCAAGTAGATCATCGCAAGTCTGCGCCAATTCAGCCACTCGAAGAATGCCTTCTTCTGCTCCATCCGTCATGATGGAACCTCGGGGAGAATGAAAATGATGCAATCCCGAGCTTAATGTAGGTACGGACGAAGGACGCGTCGCGGAGCAATGCCGCAATCGCTAAGAAAGGAATTAGACATCGAAGCGCATGTCATATGATTAACTCCCATTATATCTTCTATTGGATGGCGAAGAGATGCGTGTGACCCCGCTCGAGGCAACAAGGCAACGCCGCGGTTCGCGCGCCTTGTGTCACAGCCTTGCGAACTCTAGGCTATTTCATACCGCTAATTGCCTATTTAATACCGCAATGGTTTTCGACTGACTCCTTTTTCTAGTTTATTGTCATCATTTGAAACGCGGCAATTATTCTTATACACAAAAGTTTGCAGCCCAAACCTTCTTCTAAACCTACAACGACAGAATGAATCGTCATTTCAGAACTCCACGGCTGACTTCTGGTATCCTCTTCTCTCCGCCGGCTGGTATTGACGCACAGCCAGATGTCTGGAGTCCCAAAAGAAAAAGGAAATTCCAACATTTCGTTCAAGGTTCGGTGGAGCATGGCGAGGAATTACAAGGCGTACCAAGTGGTTCCGTGACGGAATATGAAGATGATTCTCCGACTCATGGCGGCCCTTACTCTGTTTTCCCCCCCTTCATTCAAACGACACACATGAAACCTTCCCCTCTTCAGGCCCTACCAGAAGATAGGTCCAAGCTACCGCTATTACCCTCTTCTTCAAAGACTCTTACTTTGTGTCTCCCAATCCTAAGAGTTTCTATTGACATCTCCATCGATGGGACGATTTCGTACACGAGGCTCACACAGATTTTCCACAACCCATCAGAGCTCGGCATTCCCGAAGCGCAACACACGTTTCCCCTATATTACGATGAGGTCGTCACGTCTTTTGAGTGCAGAATTGGCGGCTCACGACGCCTACAAGGAGTGGTGAAGCCAAAGGCGCAAGCAAAACGCGAATTCGAAGAGTCCAAAGCAAAGAAGAGAGAGGTTGCAGCCCTACTAGAGGAGCTTACCCCAGAGGTTTTTGAGACCTCTCTGGGTAATATTCCCGCCAACACGACAGTCGAAATTAGTTTGACTTATGTGCACGAGCTCAAGGTTGTCACAAGTAAAGAAGAGAAGTCTGAGGGTCTTGCTATTACAATACCGACGTCAGTTGCTCCTCGATATGCGACTTCTGCAAACCCAGTGACTTTACCTGAAGTGTCGAGTGATATGCTAGAGATAACTATCAGAGTTTTCGATGATGGCACTATTGATCCTGTCTGCTGCCATGTCGAATCCAGCCATTTATCTACCATATATCAAGGTTTGAAGCCAAGCAGCAACGTACATGTACCTATTGCGAATATCGCTGAGTTACAGAGCTTAAATTCAGCAGCCACCGGTACACCGAAGCTGCAGCATGTATGGAAATATTCGTCCAAGTCACAGCCTGCTCTTAAAGGCAATTTTGTTTTTGTCATCCAGATGCTTGATGAGTCTCGTCTTCAATCGCGTGCTGTCATCACGCCCGCAAACGATCTGGGCCACGCTGCACTAATGGTCAGCCTTCGTCCAAATGACCTCTTTGGCAGCGCAGTTCGTCCGGACTTGTTCAAGGGTGAGATTCTCTTCGTCCTTGACCGGTCTGAGTCTATGGGCTGGACACAATCAGGCACCGATAGACGGAAGATTGAGACAATGAGAAACGCCATGTCTCTGGCGCTGTCTGGATTGCCTTCTTCCTGCAGGTTCAATATCATTTCATTTGGTAGTGAAGTGCGCGGTATGTGGATTCGGTCGAAGAAAGCCGACGAACCCGAAAGTCTATCGGATGGCAGAGAGTATCTGGCCAGTGTCAAAGCAGACATGGGAGGAACCCAAGTCTTACTGGCTTTACAGGGAGCAGTAAATAATCGCGAGCCCAGCTGTCCTTCAACGCAGATTATTCTCATCACCGATGGTGAAATTGACAACGTACAACACAGTTCGATATTGAAGTATGTCTGGGAAACTCGTCAGAAACATGGCGAGAAGATCCGTTTCTTCACGCTTGGCATAGGTGATTCTGTCTCGCACAGCGTCATGGAGAGTGTTGCAGAATTGGGTGGCGGATATTGCGACGTTGTCGATGTCGTCAAGAACGCTCGTTGGGAAGGCCGTCTTAATCGCATGCTACGGTCAGTCATGGAGCCAGACGCATGGACTTGTGACATCGATCTCGGCTCAAGATACAAAAGGCAAAGTCTGGTTGCCTCCAAGTTCGGGGCTGATGGCAGAGACGAAACAGACGTGATATTTTACGCCCACGGCCCTTATCCGATACCCTCATTGCATCCATTCAGATACAAGTCTTTCTTTTTTCTCTTGGATCTGAAAATGGCCACCTGCCAACAACAGTGACAATTAGGACAACATCAGATGCTGCTGAGAAAAACGTCTATACTATGAAAGTGAAGCCAACTCAACTAAGAGAAAATACCATTCATCCGCTAGCAGTCAAGATGATTCTAAGCAATCTTGAAGACGAAGTCAAAAGAGCAGGTACTAGTGAAGAGCAGGCACGCCTCAATGCCGAGTGTCTGGGAACGAGATACGCCATCTCGAGCAATTGGACAAGCTTCGTTGCTGTGGCTGACGAAAGTATGGAGCAGACTCGCCAGATTGAAACCTATAAAAGTCTTTTCAAGGAGGCAGATATCCATGAATTGTTAGTTCCAGAGACTGAAGAATTCTCTGAAGTGTTTGGCCGTCATCGTATCGAAATACGCGTAATTTTATGGACTCTCCCGCCAATATGGAAAGTGTACAACATTTGCAGAATATGCTCTGCTCAAGGTCAATACCTGAGAAAATCTTGCCAAGCCCAAGCGCCAATACATACAAAATAGGAATGAATAGCCAGGGGAACCCAAAGTGGCCCTTTAGTCGAGTACACTGACAATGTTCAAGTACAGTCTCTTTTGTCGGCTATTGAAGCCGACAAGAAAGCACTGGATGAACTGATAATTGACCGTAACAGCAACAAGGCACAACCCATTTCAATGGACAACAATGTGAGGAGCTATACACCACAAACACGTAAATCTCAGTCTTATTCTGCCGCTGTCAGAGACGATAATGATGTGGCCAATTCCTATCCTACGCGTCAGGATCATCCTCTATTGGCTCTTGGAGAAACTATTTACTCTACTACATCTTCGATAAACGTGGGAACAGCTCCAAATCACGAAGATGTCCTTTTCTACGAACCGTCTGGAGATGGGCCTATTACATGGCAAGATGCTGCAGGATGTGAAAACCGTGGCATATTCATCCTACCGAGTATGGTGAGAGAGCGACTCATTCATCACTTTTGCAGCAAGACAGTCGAACATCTATACGAGACACTGCGCAATTCGTCAAGAATGGCACAGGCACCTGAAGAAGAAGTTGCGGCTTTAGTTGATACGCTCATGATGATACAGTATTTTAGAACGCATCTAATCGACGAGGAGGACTACTGGAGTCTTCTAATGGATAAAGTAGAGCGTACACTACTTCTAGCTTTAGACAAAGATCAGAAGGACGCATTGGAGCCCTTATATACGATGTTACTATCGTCCATTCTTCATGTCCATTTTTCTCAGTCTCTAAAGCATGCCTCTGTACACCAAGAAGAGACTCGGAAAATCCCGGATCCTTCGGTGCTCAAGACTTGTTTAGTGTGCAATACGGATATCGAGACAGACTTTGATGGACATCTTGTCAGTAATATGTCTTATACGTGTCTGGCTGACGAGTGCTACGACATTAATACACAATCCCGAGAAATCTACACCAGTTGGAGCACGTTTTGGGAGCATCAAGTTGGGAGTGGTCACATGTTATGTCCAGGGATTAACAAATGGAATGAAGAAGCTGATGTAATTACAGAAGCACACAATTAGTATAAATAGAATTGATTGCGTTTGTACATGGTACTCAGAAGCAGTAATGAAATATTGAGCGAATATCATACTCAAAGTATCGTGACTTTTTCAGTCATCCAGAGTAGAGTGCAATATCATATTCTGCGGCCCAACTCTCTTAATGAACCACGGGTAGCCATAGTTTACCTGCCACCAAGTCTGGGTGCAAGCATCTCCACTGGCACAAATGCAGCTGCATCTAGCCATATCAATATCAGAGAGGCCAATCATATTGTACCATAGCCGCCGTTGGAAACACCCGTATTTGCCTGGTTTTTATACAGGGTACCCTGAGTGCCAAATGATTTCACAACGTTTACGACAAAGGTATCAAGTTCATCTCGTGGAGTTGCCCCAGCATGCGCCAGAACATACGTAACAGCATCCGCAGCCGACATAGTGGCAAGGCCGAGTGATGTAGAAGCCCATGGCTTGCTGAGGACAGTCGATGAGCCAACAGTATTGTCCGGCGACCCATTCAGTTGTCCATCATTATTACTGTCGAGATAATTGCCAGTAGCATAGACACTCTGATCGGCCGCCATCTGATAGAAGGCGTTCTTGGAGCTGGTGGTGCTTGGGCCCGTAATAAAGTAGTTGTTGATAATGTCGTGCGAGAAGCCTCCTCCAGTGTTTCCCGAGGTGTAGCCAGCTTGGTAGTTGTAAACGACGTTGTTAATATATTGAGTGTCGTCCTTTGAGAGTGGTTGGCGGTTGTGGGCGCTGACCCAGAGGTTACGGTAAAAGGTTGACGGACCCATCTCAACATGAGCACCAAACTGCTGACCAATGGGCAGAGCAATGATTGAATTTGATACGGTAATGTTGACGGCACCCACAGCATCAACAGAATCCCATTGGCCGTACTCGATAGAGCAATGGTCTAGAATGACATTGGACGCACCTCCCATATTGAAGGCACTCTTGCCAGTGTCGGTATCCAAAGTGCCTTGACGCATACGTAGGTTACGTATAATGATGTTGCTTTTATCGCTGGCAGATACTTCACCACCCATGATTCCAATGCCATTGCCCGGTGCAGACTGGCCGTTAATTGTTAGGCTGTTAGATAGAGACACCGCGAATTTTAGCTGTATGTATCCGCTAACATCGAAAACAATGTTGCGATTGGACTGGCTAACAGCGTCGCGGAATGATCCACTGCCAGAGTCCAGGAGGTTTGTGACGTGGACGGTTGCTCCGTTATTACCACCAGTGGCAATGGCACCGAACCCGACCGCCCCGTCAAAAGCTAGGCCCAACGCCCTGCCGAAAAGGGAGAGAATGAAGACATTCAAAGGTAGACAAGCCATGGTAGAAAGGTAAAGGATAACCGGGTGCTATGCCAGTAGAGCTGAATGGTGCTGAGATGAATAATATCTGAATCTCAACCCCAAACACAATTGCGAAAGAACGGGATAATATGGACCCTACTTATATGTCTTGGCTCATCTAAGCTATTATTCTCCGAAACAAGGAGTCTGGAACTTTGAGGCACCCTGTCATAAAACGGAATATCCGGTCAGCAATAGAATTAAGGATTGGTAGGTTATGATGGAGATGACAATGCTACTTCTTAATAAAGGTTGAAAGGCGAGATACGCGTATCAAAACTTGCAATTGTGTCTGAGGTTAATTAATCTCCTTGAGATGCTGTTGTTTCCCGTACGGCAAAGATCAGCTGATGACAAGTTTGCAAAACCTTGGTAGGAATATCCGTTAGATGAAAGGCTAAATATAATCTCGCTAACGGACGAGAGGCACATTTAGCCGCATTTCTTAACAAGATTGTTGTAGGAGCCCTTCGTGGGGTGAATGGTGAATCCGAGGTTATTACTCTAGGTTACATGTATCCTCCGCACAGTAGAAATTAACAAATGCGAGATTTGTGGAACGGTCTTGGGAATATCCGTCGGGTGAGAGGTTAAACATAATCTTGCCCAAGTTACCACATTGGCCATATCTGTTTACATCTATTATTAAGGAACTGATCTACCCAATACTGGACTACTACCACTGTAAATGGATCACGCATAGAAGGGGTGTAGAGATGTGAAGCAGATATAGGGCTTTATTTGACAGACCAGGGAACTGCAGTTGTGCTATTATCATTTCGACGTGTTCGAGACTATTATTGACCGCTATCTTTTATATTTACTTCCAGGCAAGGCTACAAGTATTTGGTCATACAGTGACTTACAATGTCAGATCTTGTCTATCGCTAATGGCTCCCCAGATTCCCCCTAGTCTCACCGTGTAAGTCTACAGAGCAAGCGGCACGAATGTTGGGAGATTTTGTTTGTTTTTAAGCTTGTCGTAGGACTTCTGAAAGGAATTTCTTACGAAGTCGCTTGTTGGGCACAAGGGCGTAGCTGATGTAGTTCAAAATGTGGATGCAATTGAGGAGCACAAACTGTCCAAACTGGGGATAATGTAGGTATTATGTCAAGTAGCCTGCGTGTATAGATAGACAAGATAATCCCATTCGGTCAACACATGAGACCAATCCAAGTATCTGACCTTAATATAGGAGTACCGAATTTGTCAGTGCCGTGATTTCTTCTAATCAGACCCGATCAACCTGCTCCACAACTTCTCTCTGACCAGTAGCACCCTTATGCTCCTCAGAAATATATGCGGCATTGCTCCGGCCCTCGGGAACGCCAAGTATCTGGGCACCCTTGTCAACGTGGTTGGCGCCGCCAAACAGGACGTCAATCTCCTCTAGCGGAATTTGCTTAGTCTCGGGGATGAAGAAGTAGACAAAGATGGCGAGGAAGATATTCGTAGCCATAAAAAAGTAAAGGCACTTGAGACCCTGATTTTTAAGAAAAGTTGGGAAGAACTGTTGGAAAACAGTGTTGGCGACATTCTGCATCTGCGAGCACATTCCAATAGCCTGTGCCCGGACATTCATGCTGGTGATGGTTATTAGCACTGCTGAATTATGAGACAAAAGGCAGCCTTACCTAAAGATTTCTGAGGTCCAGATCCAGGTTGTAGCTCCCCAGGACGGCTTATAAAAGAAGATGAACAAGAATAACAGAAATACAATTGAGATGCCGACTGATTTAGACTTGGTACCATCGATATCAGGAGTTGTCTGACCGATGACGGGAACAACCACTGTGCAAGGTTAGTATTGTATCAGCCGGAAGAAGGTTATTGGTAGTCCACTTCTAGTATAATTACTTACACATGCACAAGCCCATGCCAATAGCGCCGACTATAAACAGCCAACGACGACCAAAACGGTCGGCTGTCCATGTTGCATTAAGTGTGAACCTAAAAGATATAAAGAGTTAGGCATGATTCCTGGATACAATTTAATAGAAACAGGTCGATGAATAGGCGTGCTTACAAAATTCCAAAGGTGGCATTAAGAGCATTGATGAGGTTAATCGTTTGGGTTGAGGTAAAGACCTTCTTATAAATAGCTGTAGAATAGCTATTAAGCGTCCCTTGTCCAGTAAGCTGCTGGCCAACGTTGACGATGAAAGCTAGGTATAATCGTTTGCGCACAGAGGGGTCTTTAAATAGAGCGCTGTAGTTATGGCTGATTGCTTCCTTCTCGTACTCAAGTGCCTCGCGGATAGCCATAACCTCGTCCTCAACCTCTTGTTCAGTATCGCGGATTTTGCGAAGAGCGGCCTTTGCAGCGTCGACATCCCCGTGCTTCTGGATATGCCAACGCGGCGATTCGGGCTGAAAGGGTAGCAGGACCATGATAATTATTGGGACCATGATCTGGAAGATAACCACCATCTTCCAATCCCATTCTCCAAGCGCACTGCGGTGGAGGGAGCAGGCGTAGTTGATCCAGTACGCGAGAAAGGACCCGACAGAGTAGAAGAGCTGCCAAAAGGCCATGATTACTCCACGGATATGTGACGGGGCCATCTCGCCGATATATACAGGCCCAGCAGTCAGAGCCATGCCTTGGCCAATGCCAATAAGGACACGGCCGGCAATAAAGCAGCCGAGGTTGTGTCTTGGGGAAAAGGCCTGTATAAAGGTCGCGATGACAGTGAGGAGACAGCCAATAAACATGCCCCATCGTCTTCCTAAGTAGTCAGCCTACAGTATGCACATGTTAGTTCAGATAACTTCCGAATAGCTGCATGAAGAGACTAACAGTTGGCCCGCCGAGGAAAAAGCCAGAGACGATAGCACCGATTGTGTATGCCGTGTTGATCAAACCGATTTTGTATGTGTCTTGATTCTATGCAAACAGAGATCACAGTTAGGCACCAGATCTACTGGCCAAGTTATCTGACTACTTACGGGATCGAGATCAAAGTAGGCTAGCCAGTTGTTCGAGCCCTGGAGGGAGTTGAAGACCGAGGCATCGTATCCATAGAGGACCATGCACATCGCTGCCACCAGTGAAATATACCTATAATTTAGAGTGAGCCAATCGTATATTGTGTGACTGATTGTGGAAATCCTTACCAGTTGTAAACTCTCTTTGAGGAGACCATATTGGCGGTGTTTGCAAGTGGCAAAGCCTCCTCCCTGTACCGATTCCTTCTGACAGTCGAATGGCACACGCAGAATACAAGCTGCGAGACTGGAGCAGAGCTGAGGACGGATTGAGAGTGAACCAAGAAGAGCAGGTATGGTTATTAGATATAGGCGAGGATGAGACCCAAAGGTTCTTCAGCCTGCAGGGGAGCTGAATCTAGATTCAGGCTTAGGTGGCTCCATATGACCCATTGATCGTATCTTGAATGGATCAAGTCTCCGCGTTTCAATAGTACCAGCAATATATCGGTAGGGGGGATATTAATCCGCCAATAGATTCCGGCTTACGAGATCTTACTGAATAAGTACTGATGAAGAGACGGTTGACCAGAAGAGACCGACACGCGTAGCCTCCTAGCGCCAACCTGCGGCTAAATCCCTTGCCGAGTCCTGGGGTAACTCCATGATGGGTTTATGCAGCTAGCGAGACAGGGGCCTAGGTGTTGTAGGCTCACGTATTTAGTGCTTCGTAACAGCGTACGCCACTTTTCCTTGAGCAAGCTCGGCTATTAGTTCCGAAGTTCCTCTAAAGGTAGGTACTTCAGAGATGTTAAGTGGTTGGTTAATAACAAGATCATTACTCTGTGGCTTCTTAGTAGGAAAGAGTATTGAACTTGAACTATATTAAGTTATGACCTTTTATACCCAAATTATAGTTGACTCAAATGTGGCCGATGGCCAGCCCCCTTCATTAGGGCACCGTAGATATCAAGCTATGCAAGTCTCCAGCCTCTAACACAGGATTCATTTTCAACACTTTACGTTTGGATTGTCCAGATTAGTATCGGCGTGGTTAAGGGAGGTCTCCTAAACCTTTTTGGAAAGCTCTATTTCTGTTAAACAGTGGTTTTCTATTGCGGATGAGTCCTACTGCCTACTGCGTCAGGCTGTAACTTTTACATTTTCAACTGGAGATGTAGCACCGGCGGCGTCTTAATTAACAAGCCGAACCAAGATCTTGCCAGCTAATAGACCTAGGGAAATCGCATCCAAAAATGTCTTGATATACTATGAAGCGTTTTTGCATGTAGTGTACCATATATGCCTATGCTGAAGTTATGAACCGACCAGCAGTGATCTACTCATAGCTCACCCACTAGCACCATCAGTGCATGGCACTCCAAGATTACTTGGCGTGTTGGCACACTGAAATACGGCCGATCCTTTCGGAGGCGTGACAGTGATATCGCTGAGAGTCAGACCACACGTCCCGGCTGCGGGACAGTCAAGGTTTGCAACGTTTGGAGAGTAGTGAGTGCTCGTCGTCCCTGAAAAGTTTCTAACTATCACATCTGCTATCTGCGCCGTGCTGGGGTTGGCCTCACAGTACGAAGTGTTCTCACCGTAGCAGCTTTGTACCTGGAAAGCATAGTCGGTGTTTTGTAAGACAAAGTTCTCAAACGTAACATTGGAGACCACTGCCGTGCCGTGCTCTGGCGGCCCTGGATACAGCTTGAGACCCGCCGCCTTGGCAGAGTTGATCATAGTCGCACCCCTGACAAGGCAGTGTTCAACAGTGTCCTTGCTCCCTACGCCACCGCCCAGGCTACCGACGGAGATACCGTGGCTGCCTGTACAGCTGATGTTTGTGACGGTGGCGTAGCTGCAGCCCGCCTTGAGGGCGACACAGTCGTCGTCGTTGGTGACAACCGCGCCGTCGATGGTCACATGCGTCGACTGGCCAATGTCCCAACCGTCAGTATTGTGCGCAACATTGGCGCTGGCGCTGACGGCGTACAGAGTGATATTCGAGTAAGAGACGTTACTCGAGCCGCCAGTGACGGAGTGAAAGACATTTGGGGCACTTTTGAAATGGAGATTCGATACCTTCACATTCCTTGAGTTGTTGATGTAGAAGAGTGTTGGTCGTTTGTATGATGAATTAGCTGCGAATAGATCCCAGGCGGCCTGTCCGTTTCCGTCAATGACTCCTGTGCCTGTGGTGGAGTACACAGTAGCCCCAGTAATGCCATCCATGAGGAATATGGACCGGCGTCCTCCCCAGTAGGTCGTGTTGGATGACGCCTGCAGCGTGCCGTCGATTTGCAGAGTACATCCGGAGCAGCCCGTGAAGCTAAATGCGGTGTTGATGTGGTAGATGGTGGACTTGGGGATGACGATGGTTCCTGAGGGGCAACTCGCAATGGCGGACTGGATTGCTGGCGTGTCATCGATTGAGCTGCCTTGCCCAGCAACTGGAGTGCAGGTCGAGGCTCTCTTCACCACCCGTGTGGGAGGCTGTGGCGTCGCCACCGTCGCACTATTGACTGCGACGACAGCAAAGATGAGAGCAGCTGCCAAGATCATGATTTGAGATGGGTATAGTTGTAAGCTTCATGTAGGATATTACTACACCAGTCATTCTGTCATATTTATATAGTCGACTACCAGGTGCTCTTACAGAATGTCATTTGAACTTCACGTACACTCTCTCGGGACTTTAATGCGACACTAATTGCCTGTTCGTGTTCACTCACTCCTCATACTCACAGGCTTTATCCACAGCTTGGCTAGTGGTGCTGGACAATAACAGGCATGAAGGTTAAACGGTTCGCCTCGGCGCTATTTAGGACCTGGGGTAAATGTAGACGGACGTTTGCCAAGAAAAGACTGCAACCAAGATTGCTAGTCTTTCTAGTACCATTACGTGGACGTGGTTGTGGATCTAATGAGTCTTCAGTCGTTCAACAAGTCTAAGAGAATAAACAAACACTGGCTTCAACATGATCGGCCATAGAGTGACGCAGCTAAAGCCAACTTTAGCCATAAAGTCAGATGCTCTGTGCGCCTACAAAGTTATCATTAGATAGGTACTGTACTTTGCTGTCGTTGGGTCATGTCTGTATCTACCCCAGAGTGTCACATGCCTCGGGTCGCTTGGGAAGGCGGCCATATTAGAGTCTATATTAAGGCCAACCACTGGTTGTGCATCCCTACATTAGAACTTCCCTCGGTCAAACAAATCCCGAGACTGCATAAACCCCAGTTTGTTAATCCGGGAACTAAATTAGACTGGGGCAATGTCAGGTAACTATAATGTGGACGTTATAGTAGCGCACCAATAATATCCACCGTCAACAATAGTCTTATCCATGTCCCGTCTCAAAGGAACAATGCCAGAACAGTTGTGGCGAGAATCAGAGGTGCCACCCCATCGAAGCCTCCTCCGTAGAACCATGCAAGAACTGGAAATTTCTCCGTCTTCTTGGATCCCTAGCTACACGTACGACTACAACGCTAGTTAGCGTCCTTCCCTCGTATACCTATGTGAGGTCTACAGTTGATGCTGGAGCAGTCTTTCAAAGTTTCGTCTTCAAAAGGCGATGTCGGGAATCTTTAGGCGATTGATACCCGTCGGTTTCCAGACGTGGAAATAAATTGGAAACAGAAATAAAGGCAAAGTGCCGACGGAATTTCTTCACGATTTTCACGCAATTGTTAAAAGTGCGCAACCAAGATGGCAAATCCAATACCCGTTGTTAATCTGGTCTAGTATGTATTATAATGGCAAGGTACGACTATCAAAGAACTTCCCAGCTGCTACGAATTGTTCAACAAGCACTAAAAATGTTTAAAAACTTTGTTCCAGTGCTTCTAGTCTTTCTCAGTGTTGGGACGGCGAGTCATACAGCACCCCCTCAGGGAGCCAAAGTTGTGGCCTTGTCTGGGGGACAGTATAAGTCGGTAAGACTTGACACAATCAACCGGCTTCTCAGGAAGATACCTAAATGCTAACACAATTTACAGCTTCAGGCAGCCATCGATTCAATTAGTAAAACCTCTATGGCGACGACAACCATCTTCATTCAACCCGGAACCTACACGGGTCAGACAAATATTACTTCCGGTTATAAAGGGAGAATAATAATACAAGGATATACTCAAAATGAGCAGAGTTATCTGGACAACGAGGTCATTTTGACAAACAATCTCTCCTCGATTCTAGCAGGCGGTAATGTCCAAAGTAGCACCTTGCGCATACAGTCACCCAATGTCGCCGTATACAATCTCCGCGTTGAGAATACCGCAGGCGCTGGCAGTCCTGCCCATGCGCTTACGGTTTCTGCCAGTCATGTCGGGTTCTATGGCTGTGCCTTCAAGGGCTATCAGGACACGGTGTATGGGCAGTACACAGACACCCTGATGAAATCCTCCTACGTTGAAGGCGCAACAGATTTTATATACGGCGGCCGTAACTGTACCTTTTGGCTGGAAAACTGTGACATCGCCTTCAACCGGGACACCGGCGGCTACATCACGGCATCGGGCCGCGAAAGCGATGACGATGCCTGGTATGTCATAAACGGATCGCAGGTCTTCGCCAAACCTGGCATCAGCGTCAAGGCTGGTAGTGTCTATCTTGGACGTCCTTGGCGTGCATATGCCCGGGTAGTTTATCAGAACACAAACCTAAGCAACATCATTAGCCCACAAGGCTGGAACCCATGGGACAAGAGTGATGATCTCAGTCACATCTACTATGCCGAGTATCTTAATGCTGGCTCTGGAGCCAATATTAGTCAGCGCGTTCCGTGGTACCATCAACTCAGCAGCCCTATCTCCATGGACACTGCCATGCCGGGCTGGGAGGCTTGGGTCGATCAATCCTACTAGGGATGGGAGTTACGCAGTTGAAGGATGGGGATATATATCACACACACTCAAAATGAACGATATTATATGTGAGCCAGGCTTAAACTTGGCATATACAGTTTCGCATTTTAGCATAAGTTGTAAAAGCAAGTTCGAGCGTGAGAGTTATTTGGTAAACCAGTCCTCAGACATACACGTTTAAATAAAGGTGGTGACGGCCTTCATTTACCAGTCTGAGGTATACATTCTTGAAGTAGGGACATAATGTTGCTGTTGCACAAGAATACTGAATGCTAAGATTTACGTAGTATACGATTGGGACAGTTATACTTGATCTCTTCCTGCGGTTTCAATTGAACACTTTTCATTCTGAGCCAGTGTCATCATATTTATTGAAGCAGTACTATCCCCGTTCCGTGCTCGCAATATGCGACAGTGAAATTCAGCGCTCAGCAGATGGACAGGACAGACCAATGGTACAAAGTTCACAGTATTGCCATCTACATGATCAGGCTGGTCATCATCAAGCGAAACACATTCAGCACATTTCGTAGTACACGTTCAAAAGTCTTAGCACTGACATATCATATCCCAAACTAGTCCTGGACTGATCTGCTCCAACAAACCATGACTTGAAGAGCTCTCGAATTTTAATAAACTAAAGTTTGCTTTCATTCTCTGCCTCTCCATTTATGCGACCGTGAAGCTACCCGTCAGCCGAATATCTCTGCTGCTCGCTCCAACGCTCACGCCAAAAGTCCCCGACGGCACCCGCCACTGCTGTGACGACACGTCCCAATAGCTCAGATCTCGCTTGCGAATGTTGAACGTCGCTGTTCCGCTCTGACCAGCCGTCAAGCTGAGCTTATCGAAGCCTCGAAGCTGTCTCACCGGGGTTCTGGGGGCAGAGGACGGGTAGGTGAGATAGAGCTGGGCGACCTCGGCGCCGGTCACTGCTCCGGTATTCTTGATGCTCACGGTGATGGTGGCGACATCCTGGAACAGGTCACTGGGGCCTCCAGGAACCACAGCTCCAGTAGCCAGTCCAGATTTAGCGTTGGAGGTGATGGAAAGGCCCGAGTAGGTGAAGTTTGTGTAAGCTGTAATGTTTGTCAGTTAGAGTCTGTCATTATATTCTAGCAATCATGTCCTGTAAGACAGTTCTTCTTCTTCTCCTTCTTCTCTGTATGGGGCAGAAACTTACACAGTCCAAAGCCAAATTCGTATCGCGGCGTGATGCCCGCGTCGTCAAAGTGCTTGTAATCCGTAAACAGCCCCTCACTGTAATTGTCGTCGCCCGAAGAAATGCGCGTGTTGTAATCGCTTGGGCTCTTGGCAATCGTATATACCAGCTTTCCAGACGGGCTGACGGCTCCCCACAGAATATCGACCAGCGCGTTGCCGTTCTCCTGCGAGGGGAGACCCGCCCAGACAATGGCCTTTACTTGAGGCAGAGCGACAATCTGCTCCAGATTGATGGCACCCACAGTGTGGACAACAACGATTACATTGCTGTTGGCTGCTGCTACGGCCTGGACGAGGCCAGTGCCGTTGTGCCACGCGTTGAGATCGTTACGATCCCCAGAGTTGCCCTCAACAGTGATGTAGCCTTCGCCTGAGTCTGCGGTGATGACGACAATGGCAACGTCTTTGCCGCTTGCCGCAGATGCGCCAGCAGAGGTGCTATCGGTGCTACTCAGAGTGAGTTTGGCGCCAATCGAAGAGGCTTTCGTGTTGATGGCATCGTACGGCGCCACAAAGTATGGGTAGTTGGCGGTGCCAGATCCCCAGCCCATTCCCAAAGCACCAAGATCACAGCCATGGTCAGAGCATGAGGCAGAGTTGTTGGCGTGAGCACCGACAATGGTGGCTGATCCAATGAGGGCGATGCTCGAAGGCGTCTTCAGCGGCAGAATGTTGCCGTCGTTCTTGAGAAGCACGATGCCGTCTCTGGCAATGGCCCGTACGTTGGTGTTGTGGCTCCCCTGGACATTTCTGCTAAAGCTAACTGAAGGATAGCCAGAGTCTTGGCCCGTCAAGTACCACGCAGCAAGGATGCGCGTCACCATGTCGTTGAGTCTGCTCAGGGGGACCTGGTTGCTGTTGACAGCATTGGTCAAGGCCGACCCCCAGTAGATGCTGCCGCCGTTGAAGTCGGTGCCGGGCATGGACATATCGAGACCAGCCAGTGCACTTTGCACGGTCGAGTGCTGTGCGTTCCAATCCGTCATGACGTATCCGGGGAACCCCAGCTGGTTCTTCAGCAGCGTCTGCAGCGTATACGTATCTTCACACGCATAAGTGCTGTTGACTCGGTTGTACGAGCACATAACGGCAGCCACATTGGCGTTTACAGCATCGGCAAAGGGCCAGGCATACAGCTCGTGGAGCGTGCGGTCGTCAGCGTTGCTGGACATGCTATCACGGTTGAGCTCCTGCTCATTGAGGATGTAGTGCTTGGCTGTTGCTTGCACTCCTGCACCTTGGATGCCCGTAATGGTTGCAGCCATTGCCAGTCCAGTGAGATATGGATCAGGACTGAAGCCCTCCCAGTTACGCCCGCCCTGTGGCGTCTTTCCTAGCGGTCCAGCCACTGGTCCCAAAGTAACGTGGACGCCTGCGGCTTTGTTCTCCTGGCCGATGAATTGGCCACGTTGGCTGATTAAGTTTAGATCCCATGTTGAGGCGGCCTGGACGCCCGGCGTGAAAGCTGTATTGCCCGTTGAGAATCGGATACCCAGTGGTGAGTCCTGAAGACACAACTCCGGATAGCTAATACTTGACACCGGGGATGTATTTCCAACGCAAGGTCCCTTGTTCCAGCCAACGCCAGTCACGATACCGACTTTATCCTGGAGCGAGAGCTTTGCCAATGCGGTCTGGGCTTTGGTGTAGGCAGTGGCCCAAGGAGAGCCTGCTGGAGGAGTGACTGCACCTGCACATTATACTTTAGCATCGTGCTATACGTGAATACATGATGTCTTTAGTTGGTGTACTAACTCTCTGCCCTTACAAAGGGCGTTGTGGCAATGGCCAGCGCCGCTACGGCCGTGTAAAGCATTTTCCCGGAAGGTTAAATGCAAAGAGACGAAGGAAAGGTGCACGACATGCTCCCAAAGCCAAGACAGAAAAGCCACTTCTCTGCCTGCTATTTATGTGATTTCTATCCTAACATTGCTAAAATCTTCCAGCGTTGTTCCGCCCCATTACCTTCTTGATCTAGGCGTCAACGGCCCGGATAACGTTACAGAGATGATCATCAGCTCGGCAACATTGCGGAGAAACCTAGTCGCTCCAATTCCACTCACACTTATATGCATATAGGTAGAGGGCACCGGCAAATTCCACCAGAGCCAATGCTCTGAGGGAGATTCTCGGCGTCGACGCGTTACTGCAAAGGGGAAGTAGGTCCTGTATCTAGGGTTGTCGCCAAGGAAGGTTACATCTCCCCTGGAAGGCGGACAAGGTGATGATGGCGATCGCTATTGAAAATAGTAAAGAACAAACTCTCAGAGTCTAAACCAATACGCATCGAAAACTTGCTCCGCAAACTGAAGTGAGTGCCGCGGCTGGGTATATCTCCACTGCCCAGCCTTAGTAGTGGGTCAGCGGCCTAGGAAAGGCTTATACTATTTTTCTCCAAGGTGCATGTAGCTGGCTAAACTACCGGATATTGTCTTGGAACCTCGTTTATGTCAATGTCGTCTACTTAGGATCGTGACCAACCGCTCAGTGGCCTCAATAGCTTGTTGCAACCCTAGTCACTACCAATAAGACAAGTACCGGACGGCGTTTTAATCAAGATTTCTGGACAAACCAACAAAGAAGCATAACGGCCAAGGGATATGGCGCGATTCTGGTGAAGCTTCAAGAGGCAAGTGTTCTTTTGACATCAGCCGCTACTACCAAAGGAGAAGGTCGCTTGAATTCCATCCTCTCTGGATGCAACTCCGATTTACAACAGAATGTCAACATGAGGCAAACTAGTAAGCTTGGCTTGGAGTTTTTCCAGAGTGCCGCCGTCAATAGGTGCATGATCGCCGCAATGACACGATTTTGCTGAGGATGGATTGGCCAATGGCGACCAAACATGCAATTGCTCGGGCATGAATGGGATTCCACGTGAGTATGGATAATTCATGACAATGGCAGATTCTGGATTAGCATGAATAACAGCGTATTAGCAAAATATACCCTTCTATCAGCATAAATAGCCGTGCATTAGCATGAATACAAGCCTGTTAGCGCACTGTCGATCCGCTTAAATGGGACGTGTCTGGTTAGATGTAGACCAAAGTCGCAATTACAAGGCACAGGTACACGGCCTCTCTCTACGCGCAATGGGCTTTAACTGGGCTTTATATAACCTTCTATAAGACTCCAAATAGTGAATATCTATCTTTCATTCACTCTTATATGTACATGTTCATCTCAGATACATAGCCGCCGGTCAGAATCCGCTGCCAAGATCACCTCGCAATAAAATCACACATTAGCCAAAATTCACAGGTACCGCGGACAACTGCTTTTATGCAAGTAGAATTCAACAATTTTTATTCATCATTACTACCATTCTGCCATACCTAAATCATAGAATTAAAAATTATGAAGAAGTAGCCTTGATTTCCTGCTCCTCAAGCGGCCAGTTCTCAAGCGTCACCTCGTCGCCCACGAGCTCAAACTCCAACTTGACAGACTCGTCCGTGTTCAACACAAGCTCGTACTTGCCGGGGTAGACAATCTTGTTTCCAAGAGAGTCGACTCGCGAAAGAGCGTTAAGAGGGATATCGATGCTGAGTGTGGAGGAGTGGCCAGGGTTGATGGTGGCAAGTCTATCAAATCCAACGAGCCACTTGTTGGGGTACGGCTTGGGACCGGCGTTGCTAGTGCGAACAAACAGCATGGCAGAGTAAGGGGAGGCTGTCTTGCCAGTGTTCTTAATGTTGGCAGTGAAGGTGAAGACCGGGGTCTGTTCGCTGTAAGTGTATCCGGGGTGAGCAGCTCCAAGGACTTGTGAGGCGTTGAACTTGAGGCTAGACTGCTTGCCCAGAGACTCCTTGAAGGTGGTGTAGAAGAGGCCATCACCAAACTGGTAGACGGGCTTGCCGGTGTACCACATGTAGGTCTGTCCGGGGTTCTTCTTTCCATCGGGGCGGAGGTTCATGTCGTTCTGAGCAAACTGGTGGACGTACTCGGCAGGGTACTGAGTCGAGACCAGACGACCAGCCGGGGCACGCTTTCCGGAAAGGATATCGAAGAGGGCATAGCCTCCTGACTGACCGGGGTATCCACCCCAGACAAGAGAGTTGACCTTCTTGTTGCTCTTGATGGAAGATGAATCGACCTGACCACCGCCCATCTGGAGAACGACGAGGGGCTTGCCAACTTCGCTAAGCTGCTGGATGAGATCGAGCTGGTTGCCGGGCCAGGCAATGTCCGTGCGGTCAGCTCCCTCCTGCTCAATGGTGTTGTCGATACCTCCAATGAAGACGATGGCATCCGACTTCTTGGCGGCGGCAATGGCCTTGGCAAAGCCGGCAGTGCTCTTGCTGTTGATATCGGTTCCGATCTCGTAGTTGACCTCGTAGCCGGCCTTCTTGGCAGCTTGCAGAGGGCTGATCAGGTATGGCGCAGGGCCAAAGTAGTTGCCCTGTAGCTGAGTGGTGGCGTTCACCCAGGGTCCAATGAGGGCAATGCTGCGGACCTTCTTGGACAGGGGCAGAGTGCCGTCGTTCTTGAGCAGCACAATGCCCTCGACAGCGGCTTCGTACGAGATGTTCCATGCATCGGTCTTGACAACGTCCTTCCAGCCGAGGGTGCGGTATTCGTTCTTCTTGTCAAAGTATCCGAGACGCACCAGGTTAGCGTACAGACGAGTGACTGAGCGCTCAATCTCGCCGCGGGAGACAGAGCCGGCCACAAAGGACTCGTTCAGGTGCCACGGGTAGGTCTGGCCACAGTCAATGTCGGTACCGGCCCTCAGACTGTCGGCAGCGGCAGACGACTGGCTGTTGGCGTAGTTGTGGGGGTTCCACACGTTGTAGATGGCATCACAATCAGACGAGACATAGCCCCATTCGGGGAAGCCCCAGCTCTCCCGCAGCAGAGTCTGGAGGAAGAAGCTGTTTGAGCAGCTGGGAACGCCGTTGACGGAGTTGTAGGCGCACATGAAGCTTCGGGACTTGGCGTAGCGCGCCGCGGCGAGGAACTGGGGGGTGTAGTACTCGGAGAGATCCTGCTGGGTGATGATGGCGTCGAAGCCCAGACGAGACTGGTTGTTGTAGTTCTCCAGGTCGTATCCGGCAAAGTGCTTCGCCGTGGCGGCAACCTTGAGGTTCTCGGGGTCGACACCGCCCTGCATGCCAGTGATGTACTCGTAGGTGTAGGCAGACGTCAGGACGTTTGCGTCCTCGCCGGGCGTCTCTTGGCCACGGCCCCAGAGAGGGCTTCGGAAGCCATTGATGTTGGGCGCGTAGACGTCCAGGCCGTAGCGTCCAATGTTGTTGTAGGCACGGGCTTGGGTCGAGATGATGTCCGCAATCTGGTGGATCAGGGTGCGGTTAAGAGCGGCCATGGACAGGATGGGCATGGGGAAGGAGGTTGCCCATTCGAATTCGCCGCCCTTCGTGGCGAAGTTGGCGCGGTCCAGGCCGTGGAGAGCCTCGTTCCACACCTGGTAGTTTGGAAGGCCCAGGCGAGGAACTCCAGGACCCGAGTTCTGGGTGTTGAGAATCAACTCCTCGAGCGTGAAGAGCGAAATCAGCGCCTGGGCTCGCTCGACATAGCCGGCCGTGCTGTCACAGACCAGGTTGTTCTTCAGCGGGCCATGCTCGCAGTCGGGGAACGACAACTCGAGGGTGGCAAGAGTCTGAGGAAAGAGATCAGGCTGGCCCTGAGAAGAGTAGTTGGCGTAGGTCTGGTTGTTCTGCGCCAGCGCGGTGCTGGGCAGAAGGGCCGTCAGAGCGGCGATGAGAGCTGCGTTGGAAACCATGGTGCTTTGTCCAACCGAGATCCTTCAATGGCTCATGGTCTTCTCTCTCTTCCCTTCTCCAAATTTCAAATTCAGGAACAGTCGATATTTATTAAAAATTGGCGGTATAGCTATGACGATGTTGCACACCCTCCCTGCAGCTATACATGGCTGTAGCTTATTACCCCATACAGACATGATGCTACCCCAGCTCTTGGTGTGGTCGGGATTCAGACTCCACAATGGCAATGCTTCTCCACCAGGACTTCCCGGCATCTCTTGCCATTTAGCCTGAATTTGAGCAATTGCCAAGTGGAATGACGGGGAGATAATTCTTCGTCCACGGGCAAAGACGGGAGGCTGCCTTGGCTTTTTCTTTTCTTGTAGACTAATTTCAACCCCATGCTAAGCTCTTTCGTTTAGTCTTTTGTTTTAGTCTATGCTTTGACAGCTCTCACCCATCTCCTTGTCGATCACCATTTATTACATACTACTAGTAATAGCCGGGCCTTATTTGTCTTCTCGTTACTATTCTGTGGTTTTCATTTTAGCCAGTACTTCCGAGAGGTCCTCTATTCGATCTTCTGGTTACCGGCTAAGTATACAAAAGCGGGGAACAGCAGGTCACTCTAGAGAGGAGCTGCCCAGAGCTGCCAGGATCACGGTCACGCCAGAAGCGAGAGTAACCGTGTGGTCAGCACAGCCTGGCATGGGGAAAAGTGCGGAGTAATGCTACTCTTGTGCTTTTCAAGGAAACGTCATGCAATAAACCAGGGCGAAATGCACAATGGCTTGTATGAAAATTGTTGTGGCAAGACGACAATTATACGGTAGCCTATACTGTATATTTCAACTATGCACCTAGATCTACAAGCAACTTCTCTTTACGACTAATTGCGTTTGTTTTAATAAATGTACAACTGTATTCGCTGCCTTTGAAACTTTTGATTCATTTTTCAGCCCTTCAGCATATCAACACACGTGTTTCTCCGCATTCTGTACTCTACAAGTCATAAATAGATTCAAAGTTTTGCAAATGGGTGGAGAAAAACGTGGTATGGTTTCATACGATGCACCCTTATTGCATTACTTTAACGAAAAGCTGAAGACTCTCTCCAACTATGGAAGCAGTGATCATCAAGAGTAACTACTGTAAGAGTGCTAAACAAAGAAGCTAGCAACATCATCCGGGATGCCCATTATCAACATTCAGGTAAAACCAAACGTATAAGCAGCAACGCAGGTATCCAGCCTCGCCTCTTGCCGGCTAAATTACCAATCCATTACTTACCATAACGCGGAATAATCCTTCTTGCGGTCAACACGTTCCTTGCTCCTTCGATCCCTGATCCTTCCTTGCGATATGCTGCTGAAAATCAAGAGATTGTTGCTTTCCAGTCTTGCCAGACCATCTAGACCATCAAAAGTCCCCCCCAGTCCTTCCATATATCCGTCTTGTGTAATGAATAAAATCAGTAGCGTTGACTTCCCCTCATACACATGTGGAGGACTCCCATCCGGAATAAATGGTTAATATTAAATAACATGCGGCCAAGCGAAACTAGCTACTCCAAGCAACTAAATACTATACCGTGCCTCAATGCCGCCTTTCATTCTCGCCCTAGACAAGCCTGTGCCTGAGCCCATAGACGGACATACGGAAAACCCCCAGCTTGTGAAGTCAACCCACATGAGTTGCGGATCTGTGGCTTGAGTTCCCCGCCGGGCCGAATGCCACATTCAGCGCGCCTTTCCACATCTGGCCCACACGATCTGGGGGCGCGCCGGTTGAATTGTTCCTGGACTGGGCCTCTAGTTTTGCAGCCCACATTGGCGCGAAGATGGCTGTCATTCCACCAATTGACCATTGGCGGTGCAGATTTGGCGTCATGTCGGTTGAAATTTGTAATTTGCCCCCAGCTGTAGCAAGAAGGCGCTTGCTACATTGCACATAAGTTGTGTGAAATACTAAACAATATAGTAATCCTACCCCAGCACCAAGTACCCTGTACTTGTGAGGGCAGTACAGATTTGTGCTTTTTTCTTCCAATCAGTTCCAATAGTATGGGGCAATTGAGTCTTAACAACTATTCTATGGCTGGCGTCAATTAGCCGAACAAATTACACACCTGGAGTATGTTGCTAACTCCGTAGCATTAACTCTATATGGTATATGAAGTACTGTGTTGTCAATTGCGCTATTGAATAAGGATCAAATGGTAAAGACTTGGTTAATCATCATTCGCATTCCACACATATATTAGTCACGACAGCTCATCATAAATAGCAATAAAGATCAATTTCTGACCAGTATTTAGAATACGCGTGTCTCGAAGTAACAATAAAATAATTTATTTTTAGAGGCAATGAAAGGGCAGCTTGAACTTTTGCGTAAGGGGATGTTAATTCGTGGTATTGCCGGGTAAGTATTCTACCAGACCCAGCATTCCTTTTTGCAGCGACGATGCAAATCATGAACTTGCCTTATTTTACACGACATATGTCTTTTAATCAACTCTACGCACGACCAAGTTATCGATCCTAAGCTCCATCCTGTGAGCAAACCTTCCTCTATAGTGTGCTCCTCACTATTGTAGTAGCTTAAGCGAAGCGAAAACCCAATGTACTAAGTTTATGAGTTTATACAATATCTAGCAAAATTCTTTTATTTTCAATCGATTTCCCGACCACGAGTTGTCATCCAATTCCTTATTAACCTATCATATTAGAATAATGATCTTCTTTCAAGGAACTCGTGGCATAACCAGCTTGCCGCTTATGCTAACAGGAAGCTAGAGGGGAATCCATATGAGAAGAACCATGAAGGCCGGACTCATACATATTTTTGTTGAAAAGTGAGTTACACAACTACCGAATATCTGTCTGCTACATCCTTATTAGCTTTGACCAATACTAGGTTAATGTAGTTGAGAAAGCTTGGAACAACGTCCACTTCTGCTCAGTTCCTCGCTGTAGGATATCTGTTGGCTCTTAAGCATCTCTCATGTGAGATCCACAAAATAGAGCCCATGCAGCCCAAGGTTTGTACATACATGGCATCTTGCAAATCGTAGTGGATCGGCCACCCTCCCACCACTCGCTGCCGCTAACCTTATATTCTGAAAAATGACAGAGTTTCATCACCACGCCAGTTTTCAAGGGAGCCACCATGCCGGGAAGCTTCCCCATTGGTTGGAAAGGCGAAAATGGCAAGACCAATAGCTAGTGATTTCGAACGTGACTCTCGGTTGGATCTGTAGCCTGAGTCTACAGCGAATTATATTCAGCCATGATTTCATTATGTAGGCTACCAGCTGTATAACCGACTCCAATCCGTGTAAAAGTGCACCAGCAGCAGGCTTTGCGCGTTTGATTCCTGCAGTCGCTCCATATTATGCGCTATATAGTCAATCAGCTGGCTGTACTATATATTACGATGGCATATATGTAGCTGTTTTAGTTACCTGCATCCATGACCAATCAGCTTGCAGTCTCTGCATAAATGTGCCGTGTTGTTAAAGATCTTCAAGGGCTAAGCGGAATTTGTCTGGATTATGTATATATTAGGCCTTCCTAAGACATGCACAGACTTGTTGGATACGCAAATACACATAGAAGTGATTAGCTTATGTCAATGCTATACAACACGAGATGCTGCAAGAAGATGATACTACATCAAAACATACAACGCAAGGCAGAAATGAAAATGAGATTTAGTTAAACAGTCATCTTGCCAAAGTTATCGCGGTACATCAATTAGCCATTACACGCGAGTGCATGCTTGACATTAAATGCCCCATGGCTAACAAACCAAGCTGCAATCACCAACAAAAGAATGCAACCCTGGAGGAATAAGACTAAAAAAACTTGGTCTCTAGGAACAACTTGGCATATAAGTATGATTTACAATCCAACCTTGGAAATCTAGATGCTCAGTTGCTAACAAAGTATAACGACCGACTATAAGCTTATACTTGTCTAGAATCTTGCTTCGCCGTCAGCTGCGTCATCTCCTACGTGTCCTAGAGATTTTGCTAAGTAGAATGTTGTCCTATTCCTTGAGTTTCTTCACTAATTCTTATTCTCCGTGAACTAACCAATCTCGGATTTGTGGGGGGGACATCGAACCATGGATGGCTTTCTTAGATGGCAGTGTAGTGCCGTTATCCATCATGGCATGGCTTGCGCGGTCTATGCTGCGGTTCTGACATACTGTTGGACAAAAGAGACTTGGAATTTAGCATCTCTGTAATTCCCAGAGAGCCAAATTGTCCATACCGTTGCCGCGAAAAATAGAAAACAAGTATAGTTCAGTCCAAGACATCTGGGGGCTTACAAACTGCCTGTATGTAGCTAGATCATTTTAGCGGCCCTGATTGCGGCTTTAGGGATGACTTTGTTTTCTCGCTCAACGCCCGTTTTAGCCACTGAGCTACCAATAAGTTGAGCCGTGCTGTCATAACAGGCATGGACTTTGTTTGAAGCGTCCTTGCAACACAGTGGCGACTTTGCGACCGGATCACATGCAATTGCTTGAACAAATAGACCTACATAGTAAATAGTTGTTCAATTCGTCAGCCTCTTGCGAATCGTCTCTCTTTTGTTCGCTGTTGCCTAAAAGCGGCATTGATACAATGGGGTACCGTACCAGATCCACAACCGATCAAAACGCTAATAGATTCATCAGACCATACGGCGAAAAGCAACTTCTATAATAATATACAGTGCCGCAATTGGCTTTGCAATTCTCAAAGTAAAGCACGTAAGAATTGCAAAAATGACACAATCTTTGCCAACTACCACCACCGTCAAGGGGCCGAACGGCCTGTTGAACGTTGTTCTTGGAGAGGCAACTCCTGAGCAACGCTTCCCATGGTGCGAAATCGTCACCGCCGCTTTCGCACCGTCCTTCCCGGCCTCGGCTTTCGAGGGACATGAGGAGTATCTCTCGCAGCACCCGCTGACCATCAACCAAGGAACTCGTTTCTGGTGCGTATCCCTGGCAGAAGACCCTAAGGTTTTGCTCGCAGTGGCCAAGACGGTCCGTCGGCGGTTCCTTGTCCGAGATAGCGAGTCTGTGCGTGAAGAGGATGGCTACTGCGTCGGCTACGTCGGTACCCATCCTGACTATAGACGGCTGGGCCTTGCCTCGCTGCTCATCAAACACATTGCGGGATGGCTGGATGGACCAGCTGACGCGGCGGCGAGCATGCTGTATACCAGCGTTGGTGATGTAGGTGATGATAGCCCCAGGCCAAACTGCTTCTTACCAACACTTGTATAGTTCTATGTCAGCCAAGGCTGGGAGATGATACCCTCGATGGTATCGAATTTAACACATCCCTCTGGCGAATTCCAGCCAGGGGATCGCGCAGGCCTCCCCGGCACCCGTCTCATAACCGACGAGGAGATTCCAGCGCTGAGCGTGCGCGACGTAGCAGACTTGAAGGAAAGCTTCGACAAGTTGGCAGTTGAGCCAGACGAAGTGCATGCCGCTGTTCTCCCATCGGCGGAAATGGTCACCTGGTTGCACCAATGGGGCGATTACCTCAATAACAAGCTACGCGGTGGTGAAGCACCCTATGCGCATGGGGCCATCTGCGAAGCTGCTGACACTTGGATATACTGGCATTACGGCTTCAAGCATCTGGCAATAGACAGGGTGGCTGGCCGGGGCTCCCCCGAAGTGCTGGCTGCTTTGTTGCTGGATGCTTTGGAGGAAGCCCGCAGGTGGAAGTTCCCAAAGGTTGTGATCTGGGAACCAAGTCCTGAACTGATTCGTGCGATGAACCTCATATCGAACAAGGTTGGTGTTGAGGTGGAAACTATGACGAGGCCGAACAGTATTACTTCGTTAAGATGGAGGAATTCAGATAAGACGAAGAAGACGATTCTTCACTTGAATGAGACATATGCGTCGTGTTGAAGGGCTCGAGAGTAGAAGTCAAGTTTATGCTTTAAGTATTTATACGGATAAGTCTCGTATAGGTAACATGGAAACTGAATACTTGTTTTGTAGATGTATAACAGAGCACACGATTTATTACGGTCCAAGGGAAGCCCTCTAGTAGTGCACCATCAGTCTATTTTACTCTCACGGTTCCCAAGTTATGCCACGTCTCATGACAGCTCTGGTGTCAGTGCCTACTATTTCTAGATCTTTGTAGCCTGGTAGGTCTGGACAAACGGCGAGAGTATAAGACGAGAGTCAACATCGGATTCGACGCTGTAGGCTTCTTGCGAACTGGAATTACTATCCAGCGTGGGCCTGTTTGACGCCTTCTAGCGCATTCACAGCCAGAGCAGTTGTCAACCCATCGCTACCAATAAGAATTCCTGAGGATCCATAGCGGTATAGCCATCCTGTCCATCTTCCATCTACATTCTGGGAATCTAGCAAAATGGCCTCATCTCGGCCATTAACCATATTCATATTGTTTGAGGCAATTAGGCGAAAGGCGGCGCTTGGCGAATCCTTGCTGGAACCCATGCGATCCTGAAGACGGAGGCAAAGCAACTTTCGTATCAAATCAAGCTCTCCAGCTGTCGGATTGTTGGCGCAGAGGTCGCTGACATAGTACAAGAAAAAGTCTGGCAGGTGATAGTAGCGAGTGGCGTGCTGGAATGCGGTGGTACGCAGCATATCTTCGACAAACTGACGAATAGCTGTCAACTCACCACCTCGACCATTGGCGTAAAAGAGGCGAAGCACGTTGGCCGAGATGAAAGGGTCGATACGTGGACGACTTGAGTCAAAATAACACTGACGATAGGTATTAGGCTGCTTGGTGAACGAAGCGGCTGGAGTTTACCTACATATACCAATCCATCCGAATTCCTATTTTCTAGTATATCATCCATGCATTTATGCTTCACGACATCTGGCACATCTAGCTTAAGTAAAGCTAAAGCCGTAGTGTCCACATCGTCCGGATACGTGTCTGTTGTCAGTACGGGGGGCCCATAAGGAAACACGTTCCAGCGGCCATTTGGAGGATTTAACTGGCCAATATGAACAAGGTCCCTGGAAGGAGTCTATAAGTATTCCGGGCTTGAATATAAGTTGTACTCCATTCACACTTACCAGTCGCCTGTAATATGTAGCAAAAGAAGTTGTTGGAATTGTTCCTGGATCTCTATGCCAGTATTACTCACGCTCCACATGTTTTTTGCGTGGGCCCGAAGCCATGATTTTCCACGCTGAGCAGGGCTTCCGAACATCGCGTGGAGTTTTCCAAGTGCGTCATCAGTGCCTCCAAAAACTACCCCATGCATGCCGCGGCACTGAGCTGCGATGACATTCTCCGGACGGTCATCAACGAAGACAACAGACTCGGCAGCAACCCCCACGGACTCGAGAACTCGATCATAAAATGCACGTTCTGGTTTCCTTGCGCCAAGGCTAGCGGATGTGAAAACATGATCGAAGATATCCCAGCTATTGACTTTCTCACGAATTGTATCGTACAAGACTTGATATATGTTGGAAGCGAGAACGACCCCGATGATACCGTCATGATTTTGTTTCAGCTCTTTAATTCCTGCGATGAGCTGTTCATTGCCAACGAAGCCCGCTTGAGAAAGGCGGATCATCTCTTCCAATGCACCCTCTCCCAGTCTGAATCTTTCTGTTAAAGCTTCAAAGACCTCCGGTGCTGGTAACTTGCCCGATTCCAAATCGTGCCACTCTTGCGAATCGATAACTTGCTTCCAAATATGCGATGAGATGGGAGCGCTGTCGATATCTGGAAATGTATAGAACACCCCTCTCATCTCCATCATAAGCAGAGTAGGCCTAATGTTATGGCTATCCTATAGTCAATTGGAGCAAGTTAGTAATAGTTCAAACATGTAACGCTATTACCGATACCCCATTACCTCGGCGTTATCGGTGGCTACCCTTGGGGAGCGAATCGATGAGTTGACATGTGGCGTACTCGAGAAATTTCCGACAGGGGAGGACATGTTCATTGTAGTTGGCAATATTAGAGAAACACCGCTTATCTCTCGCAAGTTCTATTATTTAGCTGCCCTTGATGCTATGTTTTTGGTAGTCGTTGTCTGCCATTGGAGATTGTCGTGCTCTCTTCTTATAATAAGACACCTAGGGACGCCACATTGTACCGGTTGCAACCGCTTTACCGGGCCACTACTCCGAGATACAAGCCACAAGACTGTCGCCCGATACTATCGAGGAGCTGCAATGCCGGGGTAATTGCGTGAAGAATGACATGATCCATTGACTACCGTAGTAAGAGCTGTGAGACCTTCTACTGCGCTGCTGTGAACTGGAGCATGCGACACCCGGGGGATTTGCAGCGTAATCCTTTTCTCCTATTCGGTGTAAACTCATGTTTCACTTCTGGATCTTGTGACGTTGCTCAACTGAGACAATGTCGGCCATACTCAGATAATGGCGTGCTACAGAAGGCGCTAGTAATGTATCCGTAGGACTTACTGCTGCTGAGGCTTCTATTACGTTGGATGCTGTAACCATGCGAGGGCTCGTGAACTTCGGAGGGGTAAGAGCAATCTGGAACAACATATGCATTGCGTTTGTCTCGTCTGAGAAGAACTTTGCAGAGTTTCCACAATACATAGTTCGAAGCAGCATTTGCCTGCATGCAGGCCCTCTCTGTGGTCATTATCAGCATATATATGCGAACCTAATCGCACTCTGTCTCCACCTAGTAAGTTTCCTATTGCCGTTATAGTTTTGCGATTGGGCTCCAGCAGCAGTGACCGAGACTGTCAATAGTCATTCGCTTTGAAATGTATCCATTAGATGGCTCGACATTGAAACCTTTGAAGCAATGGCCATGGTAAGCAAGAAGCTTTTGGTAATAGCTGTGTAATACAAAAGCTTGATAACTCCGCTTGTTACAAAGAGCTGCACATAATGCTTAATACTTGTGGCAGTCTGATTTGTTTAAAACACCGACGTCGTTAGTGCTATACCGTGGGCTAGGCGGGATAAGAAACCGAAAGACCCAAGTAAGCAATACCTAAGCGGAAGTATACCCAGAATATTCAGAGAGCGTTTCTGCTAAAGGCTTTCGGCAGGTCGTTTCTTGCTCTGTGTCACACATTCTATCTATATAGGCCTAGGCACTACTAAATAATTACGGTTGCATTCCGAATCAAGGTAGCTCCCGCAACCAACACCCCCAACCAACCTCAGCTTCCCAGCCTTAAACTCAACCGATGCTAAACTTTGGTGGCTGTTTCTACATTCTGACAGCACCCACGTGGTATCTGATTGCCGCTGGAGCATGGTATGACATCCCCACAACACGCCGACTTTGTATGCCGTGTCAGCCGGCCGTATTTGAGTCCTGGCCAGTTTAGACTGGAGAGAAATTATAGTTGCTGCCGATTGGACACCCTGTTCACGTGGGATGTAACCCTGCACTGGTGATGATCGCGAATAAAAGGACGGCCGTTTGAGATGCAGGAACTCTTCAATGGTGTCGGGTATGCGGCACATTCATTACCGAGTATAGTTGTAGCAATAGCTTCAGACATAAATAACAGCGCCATTCTGCAATTGCGCATGATTTGTTGCAGGAACTCCTCGCACAATTAGCCCATCGTTTCATCGCTCTGTTCGCAATAATGCTCACCTTCAGCGGTTTCATATTGGTGGCGCTCATGGGCCGTCAGATCGCGGCGGCGGCTGTTCCTGCGCAACCTTCCGCTTGGCCTCAACTGCGATTCACACCCAAAGGCACTTTTCAAATGACGGTATTCAATGATTTGCATTTCGGAGAAGCGGAAAACACAGACTGGGGTCCACTTCAGGACGTGGATACGCTGCTGGTGATGAAGACGGTGCTAGATACGGAGTCTCCTCAGCTAGTTGTCATCAATGGCGATTTAATCACTGGCGAAAACACCTTCAGGGAAAACTCAACTGATTATGTCGACCAAATTGTCTCTCCTCTGGTGGCCCGCAAGCTTCCCTGGGCATCGACTTATGGAAGTGGGTAATTGCCTGCGATAGACTCGTGCAGACAGTAGCTCACCCATTGTAGACCACGACTCAGCCTACAATCTCTCCTCTGCCAACATATACGCGAGAGAAAAGACGTACAAGAACAGCTTAACCAAGAATATGGTCAAGGGCAAAAACGCTGGAGTCTCCAACTACTACCTGGAGGTAATGTCCAATGATAAACACGACTCTACTCCTGCTATGATCCTCTGGTTCTTCGATAGCCGAGGCGGGTAAGTCTCACAACCTTAGCATCACATGTCTACCGCAACCAACTCATCCTATGCCAAAGGAATTACTATCAGGAAGAAGAAAAGGACGGCTCCGATGTTAGTCGACCAAACTGGGTAGACGAAAGCGTTGTACAGTGGTTCGAAGCCACAAGAGTTCAGCTGGCCAAGCGTTACAAAAGGACACTGCCTTCGTACGCATTCGTTCATATTCCTGTCGGCGCCATGTATGGCTTTCAGCAGAGAGACGGCGTTGACGAGCATAAAGAGCCTGGAATCAACGCGGACAATCCCCTTTCTCAACAAGGCGTTCAGTCCCCACTGTACAATGCTACAACCAGTTTTGAGTATACTGCCCAAGACAAAGCGTTTATGAAGACTCTACTAGAAACTGAGAACCTCATGGGCGTCTTTAGCGGTCATGATCACGGCGATGACTGGTGCTTCAAGTGGGATGAAAACCTCACGTTTTTAGACTTGACGGGCAACGGTCTAGTCTTTGTTTCGGTCGTCATACCGGCTATGGAGGCTACGGCTCATGGACACGAGGGTCTCGACAAATCTCTGTTGACATCAAAGACCTTGGTAAATCGACCAAGACTTGGACGCGGCTTGAAGATGGTACCACTGTTGGGGCTGTGACATTGAATTCGACGTACGGCAAGGACGTCTATCCTGTAGTTCCGCTGACTTATACTAGCGAGGACGATGAGGGAGTTCCATCTACCACTGATTAATATTTAGTAATTTATTAAACACTGTTTCTATCTAATTCACAAAGCACAAGCTACAAAACCGGATATCCCCTAGAAAAGAAATTGTCCGGGTCATACTTCTTCTTTAGCTCTCTCAGCTTGTTCAAATTTTCCTTGCCATAAGTAACTTCCCAGTCTGTATTCTTGCTGTGAATCAAATTGCCATATGAGGCTCCCTCATAAGCATCTCCCGTTGCTTTGATCGCATCTACTGCCTTGGTAGCCGCACGAATCTCAGCCTCCTCTCCCTCTTTTGTTCTCAACTCTACGTGATGGGTGTAAGACGGAAAGAGTCTGTGGCGATAGCGTAGCTGAAAGCATGATCCGGGGTTTGGCTGGATGGCCTTTCCACGCGCAACGTGGCTGGGCATCCCCATGTAGATTTTTGGGTCGTCCCACTGGCACATCAGAGCTGAAGCTATGCCCTTGGTAAGGCTTTTGGCAATGATTCCGCGGGATTCAAAGGCCCCGGGCTGTATAGTTAACTCGGTTAAGAGAAAAGAGGCAAAATTCGCTTGATCCTCAAATGTCAGTTAATTTGGTATTGAAAAATGATGGTAAAAGACTCACATTCTCCAATTCGGACCACATCTGCTCCAGGCAGAGACTTGATCTTTTCGAAATAATTCCACCCCTTTTGCAGGTCGTCGCCTTCCTTGGCGCACCATGCAAATAAAACATTCATTTCCGGCGTTTCCAAAATATCGTTTCTGAAGTATATGTCGCCTGTAAGCTCCTCTGGAAGGTTGGGCTCAATGCTGCTAGTCCATTCGTCCAGCACAGCCGGCCAATCTTTCTTTTGAAACTTCACGCTGCCGGCTAAGAGTTTTGGCGCCGGATATGTCTTAATGGTAAACTGCGTCACAACTCCCCATATGCCGTTTCCGGCCCCTCTAAGAGCCCAGAGTAGATCGGGGTGGTGATTCTCGTCAACCTCAACGACAGATCCGTCAGCAAGAACAATACGTACACCCATGATGTGATCAACTCCGAGGCCGTACGGAGCAGCATAAAGGCCATATCCTCCGGCCATTGACCATCCAGCATATCCAAGTCTCGGGTGCCATCCTACGGGTGTGAAGGCGCCTTCTTTGCTGAGAGCACAGGCAAGATCACCTGCGATTGTGCCGCCGCCAATAACTGCCGACTTCTTGTCTTCCGATACTTTTACAGAGCACAAGCTGCGCAGATCAACCATAACTCCCTTGTCGATTCCACGGAAATTTCTTCCCTCCAACTCTGCCCCTCCAGAGCGGATGGCCAGTGGCAAGCTTGCCGCCCGGACTGTTTTGACGGTGGCTTGAACATGAGATTCGTCCAAGGCTCGAACTACAGCTAGCGGTCTGGTGGTGGTAGCTCTATTAAAAGAAGGGCTTATTGACTCATAAACAGGGTCTGACTTTGTATAGATAATTTGCGGGAATTGATCGTAAAGATCCAAAAGACCCGGTAATTCCTTTGCAACATGGTCTCGTGTAAGTGATGCTGCCGGGATTCTGGTGTCCGGAAGCTCAGTAATTTTAAACTCCATGTTAGAAACTGTGTGAAGACCAAAAATGCTGGCTATGAATGTTGAAGAGGTGTAATAGGCAACCTTACTCTTGAAAACTGAATTTCAAGTGAAAAACACCAGCAGGGTTACGACATTTATGTATTGAATGGCCCGGGAAGAAACGCCATCCAGACGCGTAGTATGAGTAGTCAGCAGCCTTATATAAACTTTTACGATAATACCCAGCAATTCTCACTTTGGTTTATTCCTTTGTGGCGTGTCAACGTCAGCACTAATAGATGATTTCTGAGCTGGCGCCGGTGCATTGTTAGTACATTACCTCTATTTGTGCAAACGGCTGATAGATTAAAGGCACGCTGAGGTAGTAGCATACTGCTCTATCATGTATACCTTTATAAAGAGCTGATGGGGAGAGCTATCGAAAGGGCGTTTATATACTTTCTTTTGTAATAAAATAAGCCACTTAGCGTGCCCCTTTGCCTTTTCTACCATTTTTTATCTCACTTATTAAGCATATCTACTTATCATCTAATTACATGTCACACGGCAAATGGAACTATATTAGAAAAGTGGTTCTGAGTGAGAATGAGGTGGAATTGGGATGAAGCCTAGTAGTACAAGCTAATCTATATTCTAAAATTTTAGCCCCCTAGTATATACATGAATAGTATGCTATCTCGCGTATCTCGTCTATATGCGTGTTCAATCTATATTGCATCCTCGCTGTTGTTGCCTCGATTGAACCAAAGTTATGGTCAATGAATGATAGTTCGAATCTAGCATTTTCGTAAACTTATCCTGGTTTACGGCTCTGCCACAGCCTCTTGCTTGGCGTCTGGGTCCGCCTGGACTGGGTTCGCTCCCGCCTGGTCACTCTTGGCGCGAGCCTTCAAGCTGCGCCATTCCACTAAGGCGCTTCCAAAGACAGTTGCCGCAGATGTTCCAGCAACCAAATAGAAAACAACCATAATTGCGTCGTTATAGTCGGAAAGAAGCGTCTTCAGATCACCCGCTGCAACCAAAGTCTTAAGGTCCGTGGCGCCCGCGTTAGCCACTTCGCTAGGGTCAATATTTGGAATATTAGAGGCGACCTTCGAAACCAGGTGGCTGAGGAAGATGTTTTGTGCTACTGGTAAGAAGATGGACGAGCCCAAGAAACGAATAAACATGACAAGCGCGGACCCGACCGCTATATCCGGTCTGTCTAGAACAGTCTGAATAACGTTCAGGGGTTGCTGTGAGCCAAATCCAAGCCCAAACCCAAAGATGATCTGATAGCCAATCCATTTGGAGTGGCCAGTTTCAGGGGTAAGCGTCGATAAGAGTCCTCCCCCAATCGGCATCATGACTGAGCTAATAATGAAAAACGGGGTATAGTAGCCTATTTTCGAAATGACAATGCCAGATGACATCGAGGAAACAACCACGGAAAGAATGGTGGGGAGCAACATGAGCCCAGAATTAATAGCGTCGACGCCCTTGATTGCCTGAAACCAGATGGGAAGATAATACGTGACTATCATCATGCTGGCGCCATTCCAGAAACCGAACCAGAGGGAGGCTGCGATACTGCGCTGCTTGACGATACGAGGAGGGACCGTTGCAGCCTCTCCTTTCCATATTTGGATACCGATGAATATCAAAACAAAGACTCCGCAGATGATGAAAAGGGCAATGATGCGGCCATTATCCCAAGCGTACTTAGTGCCACCCCACTGCAGAGCCAGGATCAAGCAGATAATGCCGGGGAAGAAAGCCAAGTTGCCAATCGGGTCGAGTTGCTGCACTTTGCCGAGAAATGTTTTCGCTTGAGGTTCAAGCTTCTGATTCGGCATATGGAGGATCAGAGTAGTGACAATAAGTGACACCGCACCTATGGGCAGGTTGATATAGAAGCACCATCTCCAAGTTACCTTGTCGGTGAAAGTACCTCCAACCACGGGTCCAACAACAGAGGCAATCGCAAATACAGCTCCGAACAGTCCTTGGTAGATTGGTCTCTGTTGCAGCGGAATTGTATGGAACAAGACGACCATGATACCAGAAAACATGCCAGAAGCTCCCAGGCCTGCGACTGCACGGCCGACAATGAATGCTTTTGAACTGGGAGCTGCACCACAGACGGCTGAACCAACTTCAAAGAGGACAATTCCGCCTAGTAACAGTGGCTTTGTAGGATAGTATTTGTAGACTTTTCCCATAAGGAGCTGGAAGCTGCACTGGGTAAGTAAATATGCCGAGCCATACCATCCTACGTCGTTAAGAGAATGGAACTCGTCTGTAATTCGGGGAATAGCGGTCGAAATGATGTTGGAATCCTATGATTAAAAAAAAAAAATGTATTAGTCTTGTGTTGGCTTATTCACGGCGTTGATCCCTTCATACCAGAGTAACCAAGAAGATTGCCAAGTAAAGCGACCCCATGATGACTATTCGCATCTGATTGGATGGATACTCATGCGTCTCCATCTTTACAACGCTTGTCTCTGTAGTGGCGGTTGGTGGCTTTTCATCCTCTGAGGTGGGTTGAGACATTGTGAAGAACAAAGGCAACTTCAGCGATGAAGAAAAGGAAAAAGAGAAAACAGATTTTTCACTCTGTAAAAATCTAGTTTTCTGAGTTTCTTGGACAAATACAACACGACAAGAAAAAATTAAATAAAAACAGTTGCAGTTATATAAGGGGATGAGGTCCCATAACTCCTTTTGCTGTGGCGCTAGACTAAAGCGCGTCTCGGGGCTCAAAATTGCAAAAATTCGCGCCCGAGCCCCGAGAGGCACCCAAATTCATGAATCCTTTCGTTCAGCATGAGTCAAAACAGGCATTGCATTGCTCCGCAACTCTTTCATTTCGGACTTTAAACTTGTCCTTTAACACCGAGAAAAGGGAAGAAAACAGACTTTGGCCGCGTCACGACAGAAACAGGCGGTTATGGAGCTGCCAAAGAAACCCAGCAGCGACCTCAAGGGCTACTCTTGCGTAAGCTGCAGACAGCGAAAGGTTAGATGCGATAGGCGTGCCCCTTGTATGAATTGCACCAAAGCCGAGAAACAATGCAACTTCATCGCCCCCATACGCGGAAAGCGGAAAAGAACGAAGCCTCTTCGAGAGACTCTTCATGCTCGGCTGAAACGATATGAAGAAATGCTCAAGGCCTACGGCGCCAAAATTGAGCCAAGCGATGGCACTGGCATGTCTGATTCGGAAACAGAGTCTCAGTCTCACAATACTCCCGAGTCGAGCGATGGGACTATAACAAGAGTCAAGAGCCAGGAGCATGAAGATCCTTTGCCGCCAAAATTTATCATGAAAGAGGGAGCCTCGAGATATTACGATAGGTATGTCGATGGTGGACTCGCATCGTACTTGAAGATATTCTTACGCTCTATTAGTGCTCTCTGGTCCAACTTGTCAGAAGACGTAAATTTCATGCCCGCCTTTCAAGTCTCTACTTGACTTTGACAAATTGTTACTAACTTGAATGCCGCAGTTCCAACATCCAGAAGCCACCACTTCTTTCAGCGAACCGGCGGAAGAGGATGTCCATGTAATTGAAGATGGGTTAATGTTCGAGCCTGAGAGAGGCGACAAAGCCATGGATCTTACCAAATATCATCTTCCATTGCCGCTAATATCGAAATTAAAAGAGTTCTTCTTAGATAGGGTTGATCCTATGATGAAGTTCCTACACCTTCCCACCTTTTGGGCCGCTCTGGCAAATGAGCTGCCGAATCCGGATCGTATACCCAAGAGTTTAGAGGCGCTCATCTTTGCGTTTTATTTAGTCTCTATTTGTTCGTTGAAAGAAGACGAGGCCCAGGAGCTATTTGGCGTGGAGTTGCAGGTTCTCCTTTATCGCTATCGAGTTGCAACTCGGCAAGCCTTGGTAAATGCGAGGTTCTTGTCAACAGCGAACCTGATGACGCTTCAAGCGTTTTCTATATTTATAGTATGTTCCTACAGTCAACTGCTTCCCTTCAATCGCTTTTCTTCAACCGTGCTTCTTTTTTCTTTTATTGTTATTAACGCGGAACAACAGATATGTGTCAGAAACATTTATCGATGCGATACCCTCTTTGTTTTGTCCGGCGTCGCCGTCCGGCTGGCTCGTAAAATGGGACTGCACCGCGATGGAACGTTTCTTGGCCTACCTCCCTTTGAGACAGAAATGCGAAGGCGGCTTTGGTGGCATATTGCCCACATAGACTTTCGTACAGCCGATGTAATGGGCACCAAGCCGTCGCCAGAAATCGCCACTGCTGATACAAAAAAGCCTATCAATGTCGAGGACAGCGAACTCTACCCAGGTATGGCTGCCCTACCTGAAGATTTCAGCGGCATCACGGGGATATCGCTTTGTATCATAAAGTGCGAAATGCTTTCGGCTCTGTGCAAATGCGCAGCCACTCGTCCCCTTGATTTGCGCTGGGAGATGCTGTACAGCCCTGACATTTCGCTCGCCACAAAGGACGGCGTCATAGATGAAGTTGAGGACTTCATGGAAAAGAAATATCTGCGGCACTGTGACCCTTTAAACCCATATCATACCTTTTTATCCATCATGGTACGATCAGCAGTATGCAAGATGAGGCTCTTTGCGCACAATTTGCGACAGTTTGCGCATCGATATCCCATGGCCACCCAAAAGGACCATGATATAGCATTTAACAACGCCATGAAGCTTCTGGAATATGCAAACTTGATTAACAGGGGGCATATGGGTTTGGATAAGTATCTGTGGCAGATGGGCACGAGCTACTGCTGGAACACCATGCTCTATTTGCTCATGGAAGTTCGATGCCGCAAAACAGGGCCTGAAATCGACAGGGCGTGGGAACTAATCGGCGTCGTATTCGCGCGCGCTCCTCAAGTATTCTCAGAGTTCACGGGCTCTGTTTATGTGGCGCTGGGCAAATGGACACTAGAAGTTTGGGACAGCCACATCGAGGCTGCAAAAGCACAAGGTCTTCCAGAACCGGTACCGCCCGATTATATTCACGCCATCCGGGACTACCAGGCCTCAAAGTTGGAGGCAGAAACTCCAGTCCAAGAGAAGAAGGCTGATGTTAAGCCTGTTTCCTGGCCGCCGTCCGGCTATGACAAAGCCTCGTATGTAGACTATCTTGATGTGGGATATTCAGAGCCGCATAATTTTCCAAACCTGTCGTCCTTTGATACGGATCCAAATCAGTGGATACATTGGGAGCAGCTAGTGGCAGACCAGAGCACCTTCACATAGGCTGGTGGCGTGTATGATTTGCGGGACTGGCACTAGCAATCGTTTTTCTCTTTTCTCTCTTGGTCATATATCGGAGACCCTCTGGCATATATTGTAGCGAATAACGTTAATGATTATTTTTGAACCTTGTCTTTCATAATTTCCAGTTCTCCTATTTTATCGTTGCTAGACCTTATGGTCGCGTGGGGCTTGTCAGCAGTCAATATGAGGAGGCATCACGACCTGTCTGATAGGTAATCGCGTGCTTTAATGCACCAATTGCCGGTCATGAGCCATTGCATGTTTCTGCCATGAATTGCTTGAGACTTTTGACGTCGCATCACTTCGCGATTTGCGCTGTATGAAACATGACTGGAGCTAACCAGTGCGAATGGACTTGCTCATTACTATTTCTTGTCGCTGGCGAGAACGTCATGCATAACCCATTGCTTGCTCTGTGCAGTAATTGGCGCTGATCGAGAACAGGTAGTCCAATGGTATGGCTAAGAACCAGCTTGATATCTCCAATGAGATGAGAATGACGAGGCAGCGAGGGCGGGGTTTTTCTTGATATGTAATCGTGCTCGCAAAGGCCGTTATCTGATGGCTTAGTGCGATGCTTGTAAGACACAGCAGCACCTCATTCAGATAGTGATGCCTGTCATGAGCCCCTCTCCCGCTTCATAACCGCTCGCTTGTGAGGTTACGGAAACGCATATATCCTGCGAGCTCTCACACTACACGAGTACTTTCTAATATGAATGTCTCTTTGTATGCTTGATTCACGCGTCTTTTTAGTGTCGGCCGCTCCGTGTACTATTTTGAAAGCTCTAGCAGTAGCTGTTATTAGTCTGCATCTCCACCTCCGCATTTTTCTTCTGCGGTGGGCAATAATGATGATGATGGCAGCAAAATCAACGATACTAACGAGTGAGCAGAGCAGGCAGCCACCCCCTTCAGCGACTGGCTAATATGACTCTGCGGGAATAGCGGCATGCTTTGTCTTGGTGATGCACTCACAACGAGGACGGCAACAGGTTGCTGAAAGCTGAAAATGAGCCAGGATGCAAGCTGGAGATGCACACGTTTTGGGCGAATCTGCGGTCAAATATAGCATCTGGACGAGGGCTATGCTATCGTTGCGCCACGGTTGGCTGGATAAAGTGTGTGCGACTCCAGCTGCTGTGGAACATGCGGGCCGCGCCTCAAGACCAGTTTGTGACGCCTCTACCGCTACTCGGGATTCGGCACTTCTGTCTCCGCCCACACTTCATGCATCTTGACTGGCTATCACAAGACGCCTGGACCTATTCCAGGCTTGTTCCAGGTCCGCATTGAGAGCCAGCGTCACCCTGACGGCAATAGATCGCGCGAGTCGAGTGATGACGAAGAGTAAGGGCCATGCCAGGAAAAAACAAGAGCCTGCATCATATCATGCGGCATAATGCTGAGGCAGCCAGTCAGCTGTCTCTGTGCTCGATGCAACCCTGGAAACCACCCCCTTGACGCGCGTTAGAGTGGGAAACGACATATCGACGATGCGCGATAGGCCTAATCAGGCGGCTCCAGATGTATGACGATCTAAATGCTATGTGCACTCGAGCTGAAGAAGTGATAACTTTCGAACATCGAGTGTCGGAGCGTTGTATAAATAAACCGGTTTCTCCCCCCGCTCACTAGTGTTGATCTTTGCTCGAAGCAAAATAAAAAGAGAACTCCTCACCACCGGCTCTCCTCGTAATACTTGTATCAACGAACATCATAAATCATATCATATATAGGCCGTTCATGCACCATGGAGGCCATCTTCAACGTCCAGACAAAGTTCCGCCTCGAGCGCGGCCTCAGCAAGATTAGGGCCATCCGCAACGAAAACTACAAGCGCCACGGCACCAAGTCTTACGTCTACCTGCTCAATCGCTTCGGCTTTGAGCCCACCAAGCCAGGCCCGTACTTTCAGGGCGTCCAATTCCACCAGCGTGGACTCGCCCACCCAGACTTTCATGAGGCCCGCGGCGGTCGCGTCCACAAGAAGAAGCACCTGAGGAAGAAGGTAACTCCAGAGGGCTCCACGGACCCTAACGGAACAGAGACTGGAGAGGTGGGGGCAGAGGACCAGCAAAATGACTCGGAGTATCTTTGCGAGGTGACCATTGGCACGCCTGGCCAGACGCTGCTGCTGGACTTTGATACCGGCTCCTCTGATCTTTGGGTGAGTCAAAACGAGACAAGACGGGGATGCATCCTGGCTAACTAACCTTTCTTTCTCGATGCTTAGGTCTTCTCCACCGAGCTGAGCAGTACCATCCAAAAAGGCCACACTGTCTTCAACCCTAAAAATTCCTCAACCTTCAAGGCACTCACTGGCCAGAAATGGCAAATCTCCTACGGCGATGGCAGCTCAGCATCCGGTGATTGCGGTTCCGACAATGTGACTGTCGGGGGCCTCACCATCAAGAATCAGACCGTTGAGCTCGCATCAACTCTTGCCCAGCAATTCGCACAGGGCACCGGCGATGGTCTTCTCGGCCTCGCTTGGCCGTCCATCAACACAGTCACAACTGATGGCAAGCCCACGCCCGCCAACACTCCCGTTGCCAACATGATTACCCAAGGCGACGTTCCCAGTGAGGCTCAGCTCTTCACTGCAGCTTTCTACAGCGAGCGGGATGCCAACGCCCAGTCCTTTTACACGTTCGGCTACATCGACAATGATCTCGTCACTGCCGCCGGACAGGACATTGCCTGGACTGATGTCGACAACTCTCAGGGCTTCTGGATGTTCCCGTCAACTAGCAGCTCCATCAACGGCAAGGCTATCTCTCAGTCCGGCAACAGCGCCATTGCCGACACTGGTACCACCTTGGCCCTGGTCTCGGACGAGGTTTGCGATGCTCTGTACAAGGCTATTCCTGGCGCGAAATACGACGACCAGCAGCAGGGTTACGTCTTCCCCATGAGCACGGATGTATCCAGCCTCCCCGAGTTCAAGGTTTCTGTCGGAGACACGCAGTTTGTGATTCAGCCCGAGGATCTGGCTTTTGCTCCAGCGGACGACAGCAACTGGTACGGAGGAGTCCAGTCCAGGGGAAACAACCCCTTTGACATTTTGGGCGACGTGTTTTTGAAGTCTGTTTATGCGGTTAGTATATCCCTATGCCTTTTCATCTGCACATCAGTAATAGGACCGATACTAACCAACAAATGCCAGATTTTCGACCAAGGTAACCAGCGATTTGGCGCCGTTCCCAAGATTCAGGCTACACAGAACTTGAATTCTGCGTCTAACCAGTAAATATTGCTATAATACGTGAGGACGCAGAGACAAGGTCTCCCTCGGGCTTTCATTCATTCGTTTTTCAAGCCAGCCAAATACTAGATCTCACAGCTACATAGTAAGATAGATGCAATAAATTCGTAATACAGTGACAAGAATCGAGTTTGCTCCGACGTCTAGCCAGTGATTCTTAGCGGTGGTTCGTATGGTGTCGTTCACACCAGTGAATGTTTCTGAGCGCGTTATTCACATCGGGTTCAAATAGCAATACCGACGGTTCAAGCTTGATGTGGTATGAGAGTGATATATAGGCTGAGTCATTAGTCCTGATTAGATCCGAGGAGCAAGGCGTAAATGAGGCTGAATATCGTAAGAGGTAATATCCGAGCGCCAATCCGCTGGCGGATACCATGGCTTCGATATAACGCTATGCGTTCTTCGTCCAAAAGTTTCGGTGCCAATGTCACATGGATATTGAAGATGCCGTTGTCAGAGACTTTCTGCCCAAATTGAAATCGCACATGCGGAAGCCTGGCCCCGAATTTGGAATGTGCAAGAACACCGCATCGAAGCTGGACAGTTTTTGTTGTACAATGACAATGATTGAAGGGAATCATTCACGTCAAAAGATAGAATCAATGTAAAGACGCTAGAAAGGGCTTGTGCATCATGTGCATCCGTCCTCGAGCTGATGAACTGAAGGCACCGGGAGGCCCTGCCATTTTCAAGACCCTCAATGGGCATTCATAGGCTTCGGCTGAGGATAGCATGGTAAGCTATAATCGTATTGTTGCGATGCTTCAAACAATAAAGGGTATCTGATCTGCCGCTGGTGGTATAACAGGCACTCCTTGTCCACGTCCAAGGCTGCTGATGGTCGCGGTAGTAGTAGATTCCGCTCGTTTGATCAGCTCAAGAGGCAACTGTCGATTATAAACTAGCAATACGCATCAGGTTCGTCTGATTGAGTCGCGGCTCTCGGGTTCAGAAGATGCTGGAGCAATGGCATTTGACTTGCGAGGAGCTGGCCATCGAGGTAGCGATACATTTCTCGACATGATTGTACTATAACAGCGCTCAGACTATGCCAGGCTGGTCAGAGGTAATGGAATAATCGACGGTACATGCGTCTGTACCGGCAACAGGCCAAAGTAGTAGATGTAGATGCAGAGATGGTGTTGCAATTGATGCATGTAAACTCGGAGAATGAATGTACATACAATGTACGATTGTGGCACCTGAGGCAGAGAGAAAGCTACATACATACATCCATGAGTGTACAGTGTATGCGCAGCGCGAACACTGTATTTATCCTGCTATAGCGCTGCCCTCGGTGGCAGCGGTAGCTGAAAAAGCAAAGCTCCGTCACCACAGAGGCTGATCAAGTTTAAGTTGATCAATGCGGTTGATGTTGACCTGCAAAACAAGCCTCTTATCGAATCTGCTCAAAGCAATCTTGATCAGCAACAGTCAGATGAATCACAGGCCAAATCCGACCAGTTGGATCGAGGTCAGCCAGGTAGGTCCACTGCGCTAGGCTATGTGGCTTAGCGGGCTCTATAGTGCTGTAGGGTGCTACAATGGCATAAGATATACAGTAACTTCTCTATATATACACTGTACATTTCATTGAACTCCATGATGTTATCAGGAGGGTAATCCGTATACTCAGACGAGACCAAAGCCGCACTCTTTTGAGAGCATTCAAGTTTCAAACTGGCATATGCATATGGCAAGTGACTACCGGTTTTAAGTTGGTGTAAATTCACACAAGCAAACCAAAGGCATAAACGAATAGACGGCATACTGCTATTAGCTCCTCTGGTTCTCAGCCAGAGCCGTAATGTGCTCTGTGAAGTTTACAATGGTTTTCTTCTTGAAAGCTGCCGTTACTTGGAGATGCTAATTCTCCGTAGATAATACTAATACTTATATGGCACTCTACTCTGCAGTCACAGACGGCGAGAGCAATATGGCACCAAACTTGGGTGCCTCGCTAGACCACTCCCAGCACCGCACCGCACCCTCAAACGATAGTCTTTCATCATTGGGCCGCAGTGGTTCGACATCTGGAACGTACATAGTACGAGACTCTACCGAGCCGCGTGGGCGTCAGGGATTCGGGACTGTGGCCGCCATCCGAAGCCCAGTTAAGGGGGCGGTGGGACTGCTCCATACCGGCAGGGGTCAGAATGGGGCACCGCCGTTTAACTGCCTGGGCAAGGCTGTTGATATGCTCGCTGCCAGCTTCAAACTCCATTTTTCTTCTCGGCCTGCCGGAAAAGCAATATCTGACATGCACAACATGCTCGGTATACAACGATTTCACTATAAAAACAACATTCTTCCATACCAGTCTGTGCTGCTTGAGCTTTGCGTTCACAACACCCTGGTTTGTGAGTAAAATGGCACAAGTGGAGGGCAATGAACTTGAAAAATGAGCAAAATGGCTTAATTCTCCGGCGGAGATACTTTGTAGATGAGGTCGGAACTTTGCTTGCATTTCCATGTGTTGGGAGAAAGGCGTGCTTCATAATACTATGACTATATCTACATGTGCTTATTAGCCCGGAGCATCCTTTGGGGAACGCTTACCAAAGTCCCGACAGTTGAACCCACTAGAAAGTTGGCTATAAACCGTACTCTAATTTGGAACAAAGGGGCAATGTTTTTTCTGTGTCTGGAGGAAAAACCTTTAACCAGAGAGCGCTCAAAAGATATCGCTAGAAATACGCTCATGTTTCATAGCCCCGGCTAGGAGCACGCCAGGGTTGGTTATCTCCATATCCAGTATCAAGCCGGTGTGCTCCACGTGGTCTGGGCGAGCCGTAGTCAAAGTGCCAGACTGTGGGGGAGCTTGTTATAATAGTAAGAGAATACTACTAACTAGTTCCAACGGCTTTTCCTATTCGTATCAACCGTAGTCCCAATCGTCATAGCATTAGCGGCTAGCCAATTACATGTGTATCAGTAGAAAAAAGCAATGGCAACGAAACGGCTAGGTGAAATCTCAGACTCTGGCTTGTTACCAGAGTTTCGCCAGCTGTACAAGTTATTACAATCATCACAGAGGAAAAGAACATTGCTCAGGTTTGAGAACCGTAGGGTAAATGGACGTTTATACCATATTGGCTTTATTGTATTTTTTATTAATGTTTTTGGTCATCTCTCGAAAAACTACTTTACAAAGAATAATAAGCTGTTATACACATTTTTCCACAACCGCTGAGAGCAAGTGTGGTAAGTCCATGTAGGCACCGTCTTTTTCCATCTTAAGTGTGTCCAACAAGGCCGGCAACAGGAGCGTTGTCGGGGTTAATATTAGTGTTGGCGAAACCAAGAAGAGAGTTCCAGGTGTTGGCAGTGTCAGCGTTCCTGGTGCCCAGAGCAGAAATCTTAGCCTGGGCAGCTGCAACAGCGGACTTGGCGGCGGCGTTGGCTCCGCAGACGTTGGTGAGCTGGTCGTGGATTCGGTTGGTGATGATGTTGGGGTTGAGGGCCTCCTCCTGGCCTTTGTTGACGAGGGGATCGATAGCCTGGAAGGTGAACTCGGTGTCCTTGCGTCCATCGAGCCCAGCCTCAAATTTCATAGTGGGCACGCAGAGACCGAAATCAAGACCTGCAATAGTGGACTTCACAAATCCGTCAAAGTTACCGGTGACAGCGTTCTTGACGGCACGAGCGCCATTGGAGGGAGATGAGCACGCCAGAGTGCTGCCGCTGCCGGTACAAGTGCCAGCTTGAGCGTTGTTGTTGTTGTTGTTGCCGGAAGAAGCTGCGGCTCCAGAGGACGCCGCAGCATCATTGGAAGCTGCGGCAGTCTGAGAAACAATGGCAGTCCTGGTGATGGTGATCATGGTGGTGGGGATGCCGCATCCTTCTGACTGAACTGCGGTAGCAGCCAGAGCAGTGGTCTTTGCCGCCGCATCGTTGGCAGCCTTTGAGCTGGAGGGTGCTGCGGCTGCGGCTGATCCTCCCGAGGCTTGCTGTTTAGAGCCATCCGCGTTCACAATGGTGAAGTTGGAAAAGCCCTGCTTGATCATGACCTGGGCCACACTAAGGCCATCAGCTGGGAATGGCGTAGTCTTGGAGGCGGCGGCGTTCTTGTTTTCAAGATCTGAGCCAACCACCGCAGGGTCGATCAGAGGGACGACTCCACGGAGCTGGGCAGACTTTGGCAGTGTAGGATCACCGCAGATGGAAGGGACGCTGACAACAAAGGGGTTGAAGTTTTGCTCAGCAGCAACCAGTCCACGGGCAGCTGCAACAGCAGCATCACTTGTACCAAGCTGGGTCAAGATAAGATCGGCCTGGGTGAGCTTTCCGCAGGGGTTGGCGGCAGCAAGGAGGAACTGAATTGAGGTTCCAGCCAGAGTAGCAGCTTGTCCAGGCTGTCCCAAGTTTGTCAATGCGCCAATGGCAGAAATAGCGCCATTGCCCTGTTCTTGGCCGAAGCGGGCTTCAGCTGCAACAGCTAGGAGAACGGAGGCTGCGAGTGACGACTTCATTTTCACTTGTCGGAAATTTTGCCAGTTGTGGTGTTTTTAAACAATGGTATAAAAGCAAAAAAAAAGAGTGTAAAAAATACTTTTACAAAAAGAAGAAAAGAAGGTGGGTGAAGAATAAAAACAGAGGCAATCGCACAGCGATGCTTGAGACTCTGAAAAGATGATGAAAAGAAGGGAAGGGATTGAAAGTAGAAGAGAGCGATGATGAACCAGAAACAAGACAGGAAGAAAGGGAAGAAACCTACTCATATATATATGAATTTCTCCTTATACTAGATACTATTGTAAACCCTGGTTTTCAACGGTTGTCAACCGTTTTATTGCCTTGGCACGACCGCACCAGTGTCTCGCAGTCCGCGCGGCAAATGGGGGACAACCGCAATCTGCCCCGCTGTTTCAGGCAAATCTAGAACTATTGGGTCCAACGTAATAAACATGTTCTATCGGTATCCGGAAACCGTTTGTCAGCCGAGGAATAGCTGGTGGTGCCTCGGACATGGCAAAGTACAACTATGTATTTCGTACGTTGGAACAATCTCACAATCTCATCACATGTGCCTTGAGCGAGTGCAAACTAAACGTGAACACAGGGGTACTCGCCATGTCAAAGCCTGCGCACTGACTGCGGCTTTGTGCCCTTGCAGCTTAGAGTAATAAACTATCAAGCGTATTTCAGAAGTTCCTACAAAATGCGCATATTGCTTCCTTTAATTCTGACTCTGTTGGCGCCCATTGCAACTGAATGCGGCTTGAATGGAGTGGTCATGCGCACCAATAGAATCATCGTATGAGCGCAGCTGATTGTTGGCCAACGGCTAGATAAGATGACCATGAAACCAAAATCGTACCAGCTGATGTTGTGTTTATCTACGTGAGCCTCGGAGTTAGATTTTGGAACGATTCAAACAATTCTGAAACCACAAGCTCTCCCATGTCCCGTCATTGAGAGCAAAAGGGGAGGAAACGTTTGACGCTTATTAAAGCTTATACAAGATAAAAATTTAATCCCAGTTTTTCGGATAGCGGCGAGCAATATAGGCTAAATGTACGGGAAGTGGGTAGACAGATCCGTATTTTATCCGCGACATGCTCTGAGCGTTATACGAGAGAAGAAAAACATGAAGGATGACGGAATGGTGGTAGACGTAAAATGAGTGGGAAAAAGAAAGGGGTAGCGAAAATAGACTCTTCTTTTCGTGCTATGCGAACATTACTTGATTGCCAATTTCTTTTGAAATTTGTAGCAATATGTGATGATTATTGAGCGTTATGCTGCTGGCAAGTTTTTGCAATTGCATGTTATTGTTATTTTGTTTCTTACTTTTCATTCACACTCTTCTAGCTAGTACTATTATTATTGACACAATACCATTAATATTACTGTGGGACGGCCTCCACGTCTTCGATGCTAACCTAAAACCCAGTATTCAGAGATCTTGATAAGCCAAGATATAGAGCTCGATTCCCAAAGCAGCAACATACACGTTGCTAAGTGGGGAAAAGGGAGGAAGAAAATGAGTAAATAAGAATAAAATATCTTTATATAAAGGATTGCAAAAAGGATTTCCATAGCTAATTAGTTTTATGGATGTTTTTAGATTGTGTTAGCAGCTTACGAAATTTTGGTTACGAGATGTTTATTTGATCCCCCTCACAGAATCAAGTATCAAACGTAACTACCGCTCATACTTCTTTGATTGGAAACTAGAACACTTTCGTGAGCTCGCAACTACGTTTGCAGTCCTTTGAGATAGCCTTTTAAACTAAATCCTACTACAACTTGATCCTCCTTATTGGTTCGGTATAAGTTCCGCCCTCCTTACCCTGTACTGCCATCTTGTACAATTTTGGATGTGGTTTTTAATTTGCCCCTCCTCATTCTGTTCCTTGTGTAATATGTCTTCTGAATCTTTAACCTATGCATTCTGTTACAGCTTCAATGCCATCACCGTGAAAGAGATGAAGCCAACACTGCTCCCAGTCTTTGCCTCCTCATCCGGTTCCAACTCCAGCCACTAGCACAAGATGAAGTAATCTGGGGTAGCACGGCTAGAATGCCCTGTTTAGGACTAGCCACGTGTATAAGAAGGTTACATTTTCTTCACTGTGGGGATAAACAATTACCACCGACCGTTGCATTTCACAAATCAACTACTAGCAAGCGCTCAAAGTCTATCGTCCAGCTTCCGCTATCAACTGCAGGCCAGGTAGCGTGTACCCGCCATTTTGTGGATGGTCGATATGGAGCCGACAGATGAGAATTCTATTAATAGTAAGAAGCGGAAGCGCTCTACGCATCTTCCCTCACACACGAGGATCCTGGCAGCTTGCGATGCATGCCGGGTCAGCAAGACGCGGTGCGATTCTGGTCGTCCAACGTGCGCAAAATGCGCCGAGCGTGGTGTGCCCTGTCACTATCCAGACAAGGATCCCTTTTCAATGTAAGACATGGTTGACTCTCAATGGGAAGAGTCTGTCTATCATCTATGAGACACTAATGATGCTGTCTCTAGATTCGAGACATGGGGCAAGAAAATCTTGACGGCTGTTGAAGAGCAGGGACGCCTCCTGTCAAGTTTCATAGAAGGCGGTCGGAATGGCCCGCTGTTGCGCCCATTAGACATGGATGGAGACAACCTAGAGACACTGTCGCGAAAAGACACTCCATGGACGCCCATCACTGGCTCAGACATGATACTCAACTGGTCTGTATTTCCACAGGAGAAGCCGGTCGGCACGTTTCCCTCTTCAGAGTATGCGGAGAAGGCAAAGCCATCCAACCTTGGTAGGTGCAAATGCTTGTGCTCTGAAGAAAAATTCGTTGTTTATTGTAAAAATGTAAAAGACACGTTGCAAATATACTAACTGCAAACTCTTACGTGAAAAGAAGCGTCAAATCCGTCACCGGAACGCATGTTTGAGCTGCGAGACATTTACATGACCAAGATCCAAGGCAAAAACCCAATTGTCGATGCTGACCAGCTGGACGCTCACATCAAATATGTGTTGGACAACGGCTTTGGCTGGTCCGCCACTTCGTGCCTCGTACTGTTAGTGTTTGCGCTGGCATCAGTCTGGGGCAATTATCCCGACGATGAGCGACGAACGATAGAATCCGACGAGGAACTGGACCTTTATCCAAGGCAGCGCGTCACAATGGCTGTGCCCGACCACCGCATGAGAGAGTCCCTCATGTATATTACAATGGCGCAGAAACGAATGTCGACGGCGTATTTGGACGATTCGTTGCTCGGCGTGGTGTGTTTTTGTCTCTTTGGGTACGTATCATTATCATTCTTGTTGTTACCGTGTACCCAGGAGTGGCTCTGTGCTGATGGTTGATGCCAGGATGTGGTATCAGTACAACATTGAGCCTATCCCTGGGTGGAAGATGTTTCGCACGGCGTCTATGATGTGGGAAGCGTACAATCTCAAGCACTCTGACGGAAAGACTGAGCGACCAAAACAAGAAGAGAGTATGTTCTGTGGCACACCTGCTAGTTGTCTAGATTGAGGGATACTGACGAGTCTCAAATCATCCAGGTCTTGAACAACGATTATACTGGACGTGTCTGAAGTCTGAATGGTACGATGATCCCATGGTACCTTGAGATGTGAATTCAGGCCAGTTTATGCTCACAATGTTTTATCAGTGAGGTGCGGCACGAACTCAACGGTCTTCCTTCTTGCACGTTACAAGAATCATCATTCCCCTATTCTCTTCCTACGTTCCCAACAATTGAAAGCTTCAGTCCCATGGATCCTCATCAAGAGGCATCTATTATCCAGTCTATCACGAGGTCTTATTACTACTATCTCGCCGAGATATCGCTGCGCCGTCTTCTAAACCGCACTCGCAGCGCTGCCGCCATATTATCACCAACAGTCGACTCACTTACCGCCTCTCAGCTCGCCGACACACTCCAGAAACTCGAGGGCCAGCTACAACAGTGGTTGGACTGTCTGCCTTCAGCTCTCCAGTTCAACATACCGCCCGACTCACGGCCGCCACCGGACGAGCCTGAATTGGTCAAGTTGATGCGTGAGCGGTACGCAGAAGTTCGAGAACTCCTCTGCCGCGCTTACTTGTACATGTGTCTTCACGGCGGCATGCGGCTTACTCGATCTCAGGCCGAAACCTTTGGCGCACACGCCTCATTAGGGTTGAGGCTGAGTATTTACCGGATCCAGACAGAGAATCCATTCTTCCGCCATCCTGGATCTTGGGGAGCCTGTCGCGTGCGGTTCAACCATGCTCTGTGTCTTATTGCAGCGTATCGAGGTAAGCAGGCCGGCATTGAGTCTGCGGCGCATGTGGTTGTGCCGCCACTGTGGAGGGAGTGCGTGGGTCTTGTCCAAGAGAGGCTGCATATATGGAGCGATCAAGGAGGAGGTATTAGGGAGCTGGGTATGTTATTAGATTGGCTGATGGAACAGTAAGGCATTGGATATGAGAATGGAATACGGTTGCAGCAAATGCAGAGTTGTGGTACACGCTCTTGGCTTAAAAATATGAAATTGGGAGCGCCTATATTTTAATGTAATATATGTAATGAAATCTTCTATTACTATAAGACCCTCTATTCTATCAATGTAACCCTAAATATCTATCCGACATTTATACCCTGCATCCTGCAGATTACTGTTGTATAGTCTATTATTATTCCTACAAGCCAAGCCAGAATCGAGTCTCAGGCACAATCAATCTCCCTTTGCCCAAGATTTCCTGGCTCGACGTCCCGATCAAGACGTCGTAAGTCCCCTTCTCGCTCTTCCACATACTCTCAATCTCGTCCCAGAAGCTGGTGGCATACTGGTCTATGGGGATCTGCACTTCCTTCTCTTCGCCTGCTTCCAGAAATACTTTCTCAAACCCGTGCAATTCTTTCGTTGGTCGGTGAGTTGGCGAGTTAGGAGCTGAGATGTATAGCTGGAGGACCTGCGCCGCAGCAACTGCGCTGGTATTTTTGATCTTTACAATGGCCATGCTGGAATGGCCTGGGCGGAGCACCTCTGGAACTGTCTTGACAGCAGAGTCTGGAAGCTCAAAGGTGGCATAAGAAAGCCCGTGTCTGCAGCAGCGGTATCAGTTAGTGACGAAGCGTGTGAAAGTAGCCTTGAAATCTTACCCGAATGGAAACAACACCTCCCTCCCCGTCTTCTCGTAGAACTTGTAGCCAACAAACACATCCTCTCCATACAACACTCGACCGCCGACACTGGCGTAGTTGAGATATGCCGGATTATGCTTCACGTCGATTGGCCACGAGAGAGGTAATTTCCCCGAGGGGCTGACAGAGCCAAAGATGACATCTGATATGCCATGGCCAGTCTCATTGCCTCCATACCACGCCTGAATGATGGCTCTTGCTTTGTGTGCCCAGGACATGGTGACTGGAGTGCCCGATTGGTTGACGACAACTGCGTTTGGCGCAGCGTCGAGGACTTGCGAGATCATATCGTCAACTCCAGGCGGCAAGTCCATGTGTGGACGATCAAAGCCCTCAGACTCCCATTCGCCACTCAGCCCCGTGCAGATGATGGTGTAGTCTGCCTCTGATGCTGCCTGAACGGCGCGTGCAATCATCTCCTGAGGACTTCCCCTCAGACAAGCGCCGAGATGAACGGCTCCACCTCCAAAGTTGACCATGCCGGTGGTTTCCATCTTGGTGGTGTTGGCAGATCCAAATTCAAGCCGGAGCTTATATGTTTTGCCGCCGATTAGCTCCTTGGATCCAATCTTCTCGGTGGTTCCCTTGCCAAAGAAGGCTGTTCCTCGGGTCTGGTGAGTGGTGTTGTCAATGAGGAGCTCGTCGTCGATATATAAATCTGCAGTTCCGAACACGCTAAGACCAAAGTCCCATGTGCCGGTTGCGGTTGGAATGAAGTCTCCGAGTAATGTTCCCCAGAACATGGCTCTGTTTAGAGTTGGGATGGCGTTGTAATCCATAAGCTGGAACGCGGTCGAAGAAACATTCTCTGTGCCGAGAAGCTGTCTATTGACGAGAGTAATAGGATCGTTGTAGAAATTGATTATCGCGTTGTGTATCATTGCTTCAATGACCGGAAGCATTTGGTGTGCGTACGCACCCACTTCGTGAGTGATGGAGGCGTTTGGCACAGCTTCCGCAACAGCATCATAGAGGGAAACCGAGTAATAGGGCAGCAATGAGGCGCTGCCGCCTCCAGAGATGGCCGGCAACCGTACGTGGGAGCCAATGAGGGCTATCTTGCCTGCTGTTTTGGGCAGAGGCAATAGAGAATTGTCGTTTTTGAGAAGCACGATACTGCTGCTGCAAACCTGGCGATTCAAAGCGCGGTCCTCTGCAAAGTCGCGCCCTCTCTCCACCTCAGACACCTTGAGCTCCCCGGCTTTTTGGGCGAATTTCAACACCCTTCGAGCCCTCTCGTCAATGGTGGACATTTTGAGGAGACGTGCCTGTAGAGCAGATTCGATGTATTTGCCCCGATATCTTGAGACACCGGGCATCTCGAGATCAAGACCAGCGTTTATGGCGTCAATGGTCGTATAGGTTCCGTACCAATCGCTAACAATGAGCGGATCCCACTTCCACTCTGATCGAATAATTCCTTGAAGCATCTCTTCACTATCGGCGACATGACCGCCGTTTACCTTGTTGTAGGAAGTCATCATGGCTCCCGGTTTGGCATCTCGGGCCACAATTTGAAACGGCCGCAGATATACCTCTCGCAGAGCCCGTGGAGTAATGAGGCAGTCCACTGCTCGTCTCTCATGCTCTTGGTCGTTGCCTACAAAGTGCTTCACGCAGGAAGTGACTCCTGTACTCTCACAACCAAGAATCATGGAAGCGGCAAGGATGCCAGAAAGATAAGGGTCTTCTGAAAAGGACTCAAAGCCACGACCACCCAGCGGCGATCTGGGTGTGTTGATTGTAGGGCCCAGCCAGCAGTGTGCGCCTTTGGCGATGCATTCATCTCCCAAGAGCTTTCCGGCTCTCTTCAACAGCGGCTTGTCCCAAGTGGCTGCCAGGGCTGTTCCACACGGTAAGCAAGCAGCAGGCACTCCGGCAAAGAACTTTGTGCCGCGGATGCCATTTGGGCCATCAGTAAAACGTATGGATGGCACGTTGTGCTTTGGGATGGGAAATGTGTGCCAGAAGTCAATGCCTAATCCCAAATTAGTAATAGGATTCGCTAGGTTGAGCCTTTTAGGACTTACCGGAAAGAAGCGCAATTTTCTCGTTTTGTGTTAGTTGAGACAAGACAGTCTCTACGTCAAAGTTCATCTTCGCCTCTGGATGCCACTCGCCCATGGTGAGATTATTAAAAGAATGTACCTTGTCTATGGACAGCAAAAAATAAAGGCACACAAGCCGGAGAGAAAGAGACAAGTAAAGGAAAGAGAAAAATGCGGTTGTTATAAATCTTATTGCTTTCGGGATATTTTGGGGATCCAGTTTAATAGACCACGTTTAAACTGGGAAACGCGGACGCTCCCCATAGAGGGGCGGACCATTCTAGCCTCAACTCCAAACCAACAACATGGAAATAACAAAACGGGGAAAACTAATTCATCTTCATGCACGGGGAACTGCCGGCCAAAAGCTTACCGACTTTAAGCTGACTGTGGGGTTACGAGCTTAAAGTCTCGCCATTGACTTCAAATAGCCCCGGGGAGTCTCCCCGATGGATACCCCAGACTTACTCCGCGATTTTGAGGGGAAGAAAAGACTAGCGAGCTACCAAACCCTTGGCGCAACTCACACCAGGCTAGCTTGTCTTGGCAAAGCCATGACTGGTGGATGTGGATAGTTCGATATTTTGCCAGGAATTGGTCATGGGCTCACTTTCGTGGCGGTTGTCCAGAACCAGAGTCTCAGATAAAAGGGAGCATGAATTCTCGTGAAATCTTTCCAGGTCACCATCTCTATCAGCCAAGCTGTTCATTATAGCACGAGCAGGCACCATGGGTTTCCTCAAGCCTGATACCAAAGCGACGGGGGCTTCAGAGCCCATCGTGACCACCATCGCGAATGAGGACAAAGTAGGATGGTACAGGAAGCCAAACCTGAGATATCTCTACTTGATCCTCTTTCCAGCGTGTATGGGAATCGAACTCACGTCTGGATTTGACTCCCAGATGATCAATGCTCTTCAGATTGTCCCTTCTTGGGTAAAGTGTATGAGCCCCCTTCTCCCTTCATCTGTTGGGCTAGCATGCTGACCGACTTGAAGACTTTGATAATCCACAAGGATCCCTCAAGGGCATCATTGCAGCAGCTTATTCTCTTGGAGCAATTTTGTCTCTTCCTTTTATCCCAATCGTCAACGACAGATTTGGCAGACGCTGGTCTATCGTGGGAGGCTCAGTTATCATGATCATAGGAGCGTTGATTCAAGGATTTTCTCAGCATGGTCAGTTGGCTTTGAGTATCAATTGGCATACATGTCATCTAATAATACGTTTGAAATAGTTGCCATGTATATCATCGCTCGAATCATCCTCGGCTTTGGAATTCCGACTTGCATCGTGTCCGGCTCATCTTTGATTGGTGAACTCAGCTACCCGAAAGAGCGAGCGATCCTCACCTCCTTATTCAACGTTTCATATTTTATCGGCCAGATTGTTGCAGCTGGCATTACGTTCGGCACGAACAGCATTCCCAACAACTGGGGATGGCGCATACCTTCTTTACTGCAGATGGTCCCATCTATTCTACAGATTGTATTTGTCTTCCTATTGCCCGAAAGCCCTCGATGGCTTGTCACAAAAGGCCGCAGTGAGGAGGCCAATGAAATTCTGATCAAGTATCACGCCGAGGGCGACCGAGACTCTGAATTTGTCCATGCAGAGATGGCACAGATTGAAGCCACAATTGAGCTTGAGGCTGAATCGTCCAAGAGAAGCTGGCTCTCCCTCTTCGAAACCGCAGGCATGAGGCGACGAACATTGATATCTTCGTTCCTCGGCTTGTTTACTCAGTGGTCCGGTAATACTCTCATCTCATATTACCTTGGTGATCTCCTTGCAATGATTGGGCAGACAGACTCTGTCTTTAAGCAGAAAATCAACGTCGCCATAGCCTGCTGGTCATTGTTCTGTGGTGTCACGGTGTCTCTGCTTGTCAATCGTTTCAACCGTCGAACCATGTACCTTACGTGCACGATCAGCTTGCTCGTGGTATACATCTGCTGGACTGTGACAATGCAGCAGAGCATCAAGGCTAATAATCTTGGGATCACTAACAAAGCTGCGGGTGCTGCCACCATTTTCTTCATCTTTGCATATCAGCCTTGTTATAACATCGGATACAACGCACTCACGTATACATACATGGTTGAGTTGTGGCCGTACATTGAGCGGTCCAAGGGAATCTCAGTGTTCCAGCTGTTTGGGCGACTTGCTGGATTTTTCGCTACTTTTGTGAACCCAATTGGCTTGCAGAATATTAGCTGGAGATGGCTGATTGTCTATTGCTGCTGGTTGGCATTTGAGATTGTTTTCGTCTGGTTCATGTTCCCTGAGACGGCTGGTCGCACCTTGGAAGAGCTGACCTTTTGTAAGTCTTATCTGCGGCTTCCATCCATTCTCTTTGTTTGACTTTTAGTTTGTCTCGTCTTACTAATGGTTTCTTTTGCAGTGTTCGAAGATAAAACCCTGGCAGACCAGGCAGTCATGGCAGTCGAGAAAGCCGTGCACCATGAGGATATGGGTGCAAAAGCCATTGAACTTGGCGAGGTGCAGCAGATTGAAAAGACTGCAAGCAATGTGGCTGCGCATAGCGTCAAGGTATAGGGAGAAGGTTAAAGTGTGCTATATTTGAAGATGACTGTTTGAGAAATTTGAGCGGACAATGTCCATGTTGATTTGCATTCAGAGTGCTATGTAATAATTAATTCAATTAAAATGACGCTTCATAAAGCTATAGTCAAGTTCACAACGCGTCTGAAACTGTACTTTCGTTTCTTGACAGACAACTGCCACATCGTATCCATTCGAATTACCGCTATTCTCGCAAATCCTGCAGCCAGATTAGACTGACTGCCCCACAAACGGCAAACTTTCAGGCCATCCTTGTAATAATCACCGCCGCGCTATAATTGGCCACTCGCAAAAACTTGCAGCCAGCTGCTAGATTATGGTTCCAGAACGCTATAGCCCTCCTTTGCTGAATCTAGAATAACCCGTTGTAGATACATGGCGCACAGGAACAAGTCTTCAGCCTTGTGTTGTGAATTTATGCCACAACCTTATCTCGCGCAAAGTTTCCATGAGCCTGCCTCTCTTACCAATGCACCTTGCACCTTGCGACTTGTGTATGCGTGCCTCTTTTGCTATCTTTGCGCGATGTATGCGGTATAGAGAAGAGCTACAAGATACCTCAGAGGCTGAACGTATGGGGAGCGTAGTAATAATAAATTGATAATCGCCCCAGAGGCCGTATCGCTGCGATGGAAGTATATATAGCCTGTCATCCAGGGATGAAAGGAGATTTGGCATGTCGTAGCTCATCATTGGACTATAAAGTACCATTGTATCAATCTTTGTTCACCTAATTTCTAAACATCCGGCACATTCGAAAATCCAAATGGAACTTCACCTGGCTCCTTACGCTGCTCTTACCTCCGCTCTTGAGCGGCTCGACTATAGCGGCAAGACCATATTAATCACAGGAGGCGGCCATGGTATGGGCGTCGATATGTGCCGATCGTTTGCTGCCCGGAAGTCTTCTCACATTATTATTGTTGGTCGTAACGAGACTCGGATCAAGGCCAGCGCTCAAAGGCTCACTGCAGAGTTCCCGGCTACTCGCTTCACGCCCATCACCGCCGACATCTCGTCCAAAGATGATGTCAAAATGCTTTTTGAGAGCTTTGTGGACTCCCCTGATGTTCTCGTCAACAACGCCGGGTATATGCCAGTCCCCGAAAAGTTCCAAGACGCCGATCTCGACGAGTGGTGGTCTGGCTATACAACCAATGTCTTTGGCACTGTTCTAGTGACTCAGACCTATCTCAAACACCGGGATACTAAAGCCTCAAACACTGGCCCCGGAGTTATTATTACTTTAAATACCATCGCTTCTTACTCGTTTAATATGCCTTCTCTCAGCGCCTACGGCTCAAGCAAAGCCGCCCTTGCTCGCTGGCTAGAAATTGCTTCACACGATGTCCCACAGGAAGTTGCTCGCTTCATCTCCCTTCATCCCGGCGCTGTGGCCACCGATATGGGTCATAAGGCTGGCATCATCGATACACTGGCTGTTACTGAGGCTGCGCTGACTGGCGATTTTACTGCCTGGTTAGCTTCTGATGAGGCTAGCTTTTTAGCTGGGCGTTTTGTCTGGGCTAACTGGGATTGCGAACAGCTAATCAGCCGCAAGCAAGAAATTTTGGAGGAGAATCTATTTCGAACTTCACTTACTGGTGTCGATTCAAGCCCTTTCGTGTAAATCTATTAGTGTCCCCTGCACGGAATATGCCATAAATGCGACATATAAAATTGAATAGGCCTATGTTCATATTAAAAATTCCCTTGGAGTATTTTTCTGTAGCTGTTGCTTTGTTAAATAACTAAAACGTGTGTCTCAGCAGCATAAATTTAAAATATAGTCTTATTTTCCGTCGTGTTCTTAATGTCTGGGGAGGCTGACCCTGTTACTATAGATACAGCAAATTATCTTTACTTTGTGATTTTATTCTAACACATGTATAAATCACTCGGATAAATTGCTACCACTGTAGCGAAATGAATTGTCGCCAAATACGTGCCAACCGGACTTTATTCCTCTAATACTTAACACCGGGGGTATTGTTATCGGCGTTAGGGGCTATTGGACAGTGGCCCATATATTCCTGTTGGTTGGCATAACTTGCATTATCTCCGTACCTAGTGACGTGACGTTGTACTGCCTATGAAATGTAGTTAAAAAAGTTGTCTTTATATAATATTCTTTTCATATCTCTTCTTTTTATAAATATATTTACCAATATACTCTGATAGATAGAGTGAAATTGTCTTTCCAAGACAATATGCGTGAATATAACACCGACACTACCAGCGATGACCTCCTAAATGACCTTTCTGGAGACATTAAGGGCAAGGTTGTACTAACTACTGGCGTCTCTCCCGGTACCTTGGGAGGCTTCTTTGTTGAGACAATTGCCAAGGCTCAACCTTCAACGCTGATTCTTGCTGGTCGCAACGAAGAGAGGACACAGAAAACCGCCAGTGCAATTCAAGCAGCCTATCCTGATATCAAGATCTATACACTTCAGCTTAATCTTAGTTCTTTAGCCGCTGTTCGAGAAGCTGCCGCCACTGTTAACTCTTGGCAACACACCCCTGTTATTGATGTCCTTGTAAATAATGCTGGGTTAATGGCGACCGATTTCTCTTTAACCGTCGATGGATACGAGACCCAGTTTGCAAGCAATCATTTAGGGCATTTCTTATTTACGAACCTTATTATGGAAAAGCTCTTGGCCTCGAAATCTCCTCGTGTCGTTAATATTTCCAGTGATGGCCATCGTCTTAGCCCCATCCGATGGGCTGACTATAATTTTAGTGTATGTGTGTGTTCATATTGTTATTAGAGTAATGGCTGACCCACTTGACTTTCTAGAATGGCGAAACATACAACAGATGGCGTGCATACGGCCAATCAAAAACAGCAAACATACTGATGGCGATTTCTTTGGCGGAGAAATTAGGACCCAAACACGGGTTAACAGCTTTTAGCCTTCATCCAGGTGTTATAAGTACCAGTTTAGGCGCGCATCTTGACTTTTCGGTCGAAATGGGTGAATTGGGTAAGTTTCTGTTTAACGACTAATTGCATCTACGGCATCTAATAATATTTCGTAGCGGCTGTCGATAAATCTTTGGGAAATGCTGAGGGATGGGCGGAGTTCAAGTGGAAGACCCCGGAGAGAGGAGTGGCTACCCACATCTACGCAGCTTTTGAACCCAGTCTTAATGGTATTTTCTTGTTAATATCAATATAAAAGTGTCTGAGTAACTGCTAAAATTCTTAACAGAGCGGAACGGCGCATACTTGGAAGACTCACATGTTGCGGATCCATATACAAATACCATTAAGCCATGGGCCACAAGCAGTATCGAGGCTGACCGTCTTTGGAAGCTAAGCGAAAAACTTGTTGGTAAGGAGTTTCAGTACTAAATGTAGAGTTATAGTGGTTTGTAGATTATGTGTCTAATGTAATTAAATTCTTCATATAAGTATTTGAAGACTTGTGTAACAATTTCGCAGCTGAACTTGGCATTACAACAAGCCGAGAGAATTTATAACATATATCAATGTTTGTGAGAAGGTTCTAGTATAACCCCAGTCCAAGATAACTCGGATATTGCAAATTGAAGGACAAGATAGTTTATTTTCGTTAAAATTGAGTTTTGGTGAAATTTAGCAGAACGCGTCTATAATCCAAGCACACTACTGCATTTTATATCATCGTGCATTATCATCATCCAAGCCATGCCGGCCCCTCTTCTTTCTGCCAGCATCTATATATGAGGCGTTCTCGTCAAGCCGTTTTAAATCATTATTGAGAATTCCACGCAATCGCCAGAGAAACAGCTTGAGTGCTCGTGAAAATAGTGCCCTGAGTTTGTCCAGTTGGAACGGCTGATGCATAAAATTTGGCGGATCCCTGGAAAGTCAAGTGCGTACCATCGTAAGCAAAGCTACTCGCAGTAGAGACAGAGGCACCACAACTCAAGGAAGAGTCGCTCAGAATAGCACACTTTCCTTTGCTTGAGCTAAGTGAAAAGGTAGTGCCATCAGAATTTGGGGTAGCAGTGTAGGTAGCTGGAGTACCGCCGGCGCGATACCATGCTCCGCTGCTGATCAGGAACCCATCGCTAGTCGTGCTGGAGGTATCGACATATAGGTATCCCTTGCCTGACAAGACTCCTGCAGGAGTGGTAGATGCCGCGCCAGTGCTTTTTGTACTTGTAGATGTGGCAGAAGCTGTCTTGGATGTCGTTGTAGTTGTGCCGGTACCCGATTTGGGCAGATATTTGATGCCGGTCTTGGGGCAAGTGGAAGCAGAGCCAACAGGGTCAACAGGGGTGAACGTGCCGGTTTGAACAGAACCACGGACGTTGTATTGATACCATAGCTCATCAAGCTCGCCATTGCTGTTACAGTTGATAATCACGTTGTGGCCGTGGTGAGCTGTGAGGGCAGCCTGGATGGCAGCCAAAGTATAGGTGGCGGTTTTTGAAGGCACGATTCCAGCTGCGGCAAGCCAATCGTATGAAGGAAGGGTTTGGAACAAGCTCACAGCTCGCGTGAAGAAATCAGGTACTTCTTGGGTGGGCTGATAGTTGGTATAACACTCAGGATCAAGTGTGCTGATGCATGTAGCGTGCTTGCCAAATTCATGCTCCCAAAAGCTCTCGTCATTGCCTTGGTAGTCCTTCCAATATGTTTGCATAAACGCAAGCGTAGAAGGGGCTGCCTTTGCCAAAATTGCTGTTATATTGGTATACTCCCTTGAGGTATCGCAGTATTGGGAAAAAGTTCCATCACAGTTATCAGGCCTGTTTAAGAGGTCAGTTAAGCAGCAAACGGGAGCATCAATCGCGCTATTTAGAGCTTTTTACCAAAGGCCGTGGACAGTCCATGAGTTATTGGGACCCGTTGATGGATTGGTGTCCCAAAATTGTGTGAGAAGAAGTTGGCCACCCGGATAATTGAAGCAGCAAGTATTGGAGACAGCGGTGGTATTCTGGCAACTCAGTGGCAAGTTTGTTGGACATGACACTGAGGCTGCCACCGCAGATCCGGCAGCCCAGGCGGCCCCGAAGATTAGATGCCGTAACGCCATTTTGGTCAAGGATAAGTTTGAGTTTGACAAAGAGATTTCTCAGATGATTCTCAATATGAGTATGGCTTACCCCTCTTATACTTTGTTAACCTGAAACATTTTCTTGGACATGGCCTGGCCCGCATTTGCTATCTATTGAGAGCTGATAACTGCATTCACACACCGACGTTCTGCCAAGAGTTTGGCGGCTTTCTCCACACAAGGGCATTTCGAACTTCCCTATGCAGGCTAGCTAGATGATTGAAGACGAAAACTTTTGACTGGGCTATAGTGCTATCTTTTGGTGTAAGTCTTTGATTCAAGTGCTTTTGCCTATAGCGCTTACACTAGTCTAAGCAAATCAATTAGCACACGTGGCTGATTGGTCGGATGTGGCTGCAGCTGATAAAAAAAGTTCCTCATAAAGTCCGGAAGAATCGCCCAAAGAAGCATCTCAAAGAGCAACTATATTGTAGAGCTAGAGCGTTGTGGTAAAGTGTGATTATATCTTATGAAATCGAAATGAGACATTTCATGAGCAATTGATATTGAAAAGAATCTTTGCAAACGTCTACAAGCAGAATTTGCTTTGGCCGCGATACAAATTTAACGGTGATCATATCTTCAGATTGCCTCCAGGCTTTTAGCCTTAATTATAAGCTTGATCTACAAAGACGGATGGATGCACAGGACTATTTTAGATCAAAATCACCCATATAGTATCGGAACTGCGATTTCACTGTCAACCTTAAGAGCCCATCGTGGAGTAAACCTTTCGCATGCTTGCCTCCATGGAATAGTAATAACGGCCCTTGATGTTACAGTCGGTGTTTTGGGATCCCAGTTTTAGTATTCAAGGAAATCGAGAAAAGACTTTAGCTCAGCATTGAACCGCGCAGGCTTATCTCTAAAGGACCAATGACCGGCTCCTGGAACCGTGACTAATCTAATTCCGTACTCAAACCGAGCCTCGAGGCTATTGAGCATAGCCGGACTAAAGTATGGGTCAAGCTCTCCCCAGATAATGCTGCTAGGAACTCTTTCAGCCAAGCCTTCCGTGCTGAGGTCTTGCCCATACGGAGGCGCAGGAAAATTTTCGTTGTAAAAGTCGAGCATCCCATAGAGAGGGGATTTTTTGCATGTGTTCTGCAATCTCATCGCGGTATGTTTCGTTTAAGATGCGCTGGACTATGGTAGATATGTTTTTTGGCTGCCCTAGCTGGTATGCATAATATGGTATTGTGTATTCAGATAGTTGTTGCTGGTAGCTGTCAAACTCTATTAACGGGAGGAAAACTGGGATGATTGGAGAGTTAACCATAACCAGGGCCTTCAACATGTCCGTATGTGCCGAAGCAAACTTTTGCACGACAACGCCTCCAACATCGTGACCCACAATGACAGCCGATGCTTTACCAGTTGCTTTTATCACCGCCAACATGTCGGAAACATAGGCATCTGCAGCATAATATTCCTTCTTAGTGGGACATCGCTGGGTGGATACCCGCGTAGTGTGGGAGTTACAACAGCATATTTTTTTGCGAATTCTTGGATTTGAAAAGTATTCCAGGTTGTTTCTCTGTCTGGGAAACCGTGTTGCAAAATTAAAAGAGGACCAGAACCGTATGACCGGTAATGGATCTTCACACCATCGTTATCAACGAAATTCTCGTGGCCATTAATGCGCCCATTTGCTGCTGACGCAATATTAGTGCTACGGGCACATGCTCCCACCAATGCCAGGCCTATTCAAAAGTCGATAGCTAAAATCACACATATGAGGACAGTTTGGATGCAACATACACTCCAGAAAGCTTTTTTTAGCACTTATCGTCGTGCCGTAGTGTGTCTTGGAGGGGCAAGTGAATTTTGAAGCTAGAAAAGGCGTACAACCTTGATTCGAATTGGTCAGGATGCGTTGGGCAATGTAAGAGTTCTAGACGTCAATCCAAATAGATAACTATTGTTCAATCAGATATGAGATCACTTAAGGGACGAATGGAGTATAAATAGCTACGACTACAATGAAAATTTTGGCCTTGTAGTAGTTTATTGTTAATCAATATGGATACTGTATTTGGAATCATAGTCGCGAGTAGTCGATGTGCAAGTTGACAACTCGACGTAGAGACAAAATTATAAATACGCAAATTAAGCCAGCACCTGGTGGATGCATGCCTACAAACGGTTTTCTAGCTACGAGATCGAAAATAAAGTATAGTACATAATATGCCATGAGCTGAGTTTCGACCATCTCTATAAAAGTTATAGAATTAAATTGAATAGCTCGTTTAGCGGTCCATTAGCTTGTATGCATTTACCTTTCCCTTCATTCGTGATCCGTAATGTGGTCCTTGGGCAGTCAATTACAGAAGAGTAGCCAAAGATTTAACGAACAACGGTAGAAATAACTGTGTAACCCGACAAAATGTCTCATCGTTAGTCAAGTAATTTAGTAATTACTCATCGCATGTAGTATGTATCTGTTTATATCATATAACTTTAGCAATATGTTTCCTAATCACCACACTCAATGCTACTCTGCAGTGACACTCATATTAGTATCTCACCTGTGGTAGTTAGCCGCATTACACATCAGTGGGTAGCCGCTGGAGATGGTATTTCTAAATAGGAGATGCGTAACTGTCAAGAGGAAGCTTTTTTTTTTTTTTTTTTTTTTTTTGGGTTTAGTAGCTATAGTGTAAAATGATCTATTCTTAAGCTGCATTTTCTTCTTTGATAAAGCTCTGTTACCTGAGGCGCTATTTGTTGCAAAGAAGTTCGGCTAATCAGGTTGTTGTCCACTAGGCCTGTTCTGCTGGAAGCAATATGGAAGCTGTAAGTGCGTTTAAAAATAGCGATATGTGGGGTTTTTTTTTTCTCCCAGCGCGATACTGGTCGCTGGAAATTGCCCGTTGTTTGAGATGGGGATGGATATCTTTTGATCTTGTCTTTTGTGGATCATATTCTTATCGCGATCCTAACTTTTATATAACATGGAAATAGCTAAGCTCACATTACTGTGAAATGTTTCGCATATTCAAATTTGCACGAAGGAAATCTTCCAACAGCTTCCATTTTGCTGTAATCACTTAATTCACTCTTAACTCTTAACAAATTAATACATTGCATGTTTCTAACGCTACAGATCAAATTTAGTCAACATGGATACGCCACAGTTCGCGATCACAATTTCCCTGGAACGCAGTGCGAGTGTGCAACATTAAAAAGTTGTCAGAAACCAGAACGTCACCCTTTTCCCAGGTGAAATAAAGGCAGACTCGGCGATCAAACAGAATAGAGTCAACTAAAGAAATGAGATTCTGCGAGCCATTGTCGATGCTGATGTCATGGGAATTGTAGGCAGTTTTCCAGCGTGGCCACGGCTGAAGCCAGCGCACGCATGGCGTCCCCAGCGATGGATGCGGCACAATCAGAGGGAGGTCACTTAAATCATGTTGGAAATAGCCATGGCTATGAGTGCTCCAGCGGATCTTGGATAGCTTCTTAATGTTGTAAGACTGTGGCAAGTATTGCACAAAGCGGCTTGAGGATGAGAACAGAGTATAGCCGTCCCCTGGAGGCGCGGCTGCCTGGCAAACGAAATATTGGAACCGTGGTATGGCGGAAACCTGTTTCTCTTCTCCAGTCTTTTCGTCTTTGACGGTGATCAGCTTAAACATGCCGTCATAGTGCATGGGCATAGCCTCTTTTGAGACAACGCTGTTGCTGGAGGCATCTGAATTGCCCTCATCCTTGACTTCTTGGATGACGCCTGACTTCCAGGGTAAAACCGTACCTAGATCGTATGCTTTGGCAGTGAAGGCGCGGCGGTCTCTAGTATCAGTGAAGCCACGAAGAACAACAGGGGAGCATAGTTCAGACAATTGGCGGACTTTTTGCATATCAACAGTACAGAGCGCGTTCTTGGCAGATCGCGGGTCCCGTGGTCGAACCAGTATACCCGTTGGGTAAAGATACTCAAAATCTAGGTCCTTGTCATTCCATGAGAAGAGATCAGATCGCTCCCGGAAGTACATGGGACGGCCATTTTGGTAAATAATCTCATGAGATATAGCCAGCACTTTATAGGCGTGCATCATGGTAATGGTTCCGTCAACCTTGCGCACAGCGGCGCCGTGCCAAGGGGTCATAGGCACCTCGTTATCTTGAGGCAACAGCGCAATGGATATCTTGTTAACATCTGTGGATGGATGAATTGACAAACGAACAGAGACTGGAAATCTCTTTTTAATAGCTTCAGCGAAGGCCTTGAACAGGTTAGCTTGACTCAATAACAGCATTTATGGCTCATCCAGTTGTCGCTGTGACGTACTTTACCGCGATTCAACATCCGTTTGGCAATCTCGGCATTTTCTTTGTCAGCTCTTGAACGACCGAGCTTAGTGTCACGCTCAGTCTCTAGGAACTTCTTATAGCCGCGATATGTAGCGGTCACATCGGCATTGTTTGAGATTTCTTCTGCGACATTGTATCCATCGGGAAGATTACTTTCAAGCCCTTTTCGAAACTCAGGAACCATGCGGAGATATTCCTCCTCTGTTAATGTAGTATAATGGCTATACTCTGATCCCAGTAGCTCATATATACGTGAAAACCGTATGTTGTTGCAGCCCATATCTTGAGCCATGGAGCGTAGAGTCTGGCCATACGTCCACACTTCGCTGTCAGACACATCCAAGAGGTCTAGGATAAGGTTAGTCAGTCTCTATCTTCAGTAAACGTTGGTATAGTTGAAGTGCAATACCATTGTATGATATGCCGTCAGAAATAATTGTCAGATGACAGTCATTTTCTGTTACTTCCTTGATAGACTCGCAAAGGCCATTGAGGTGCATCAATGAGACACGTTCAGCTTCATCTGGAAGCGAACCAAGGACCTTTTGCGACTTATTGGAAGACTTAAAAGGGAATGCCGGCAGGATGAGTTCAATCGACTCGTTGCGATCAATGAATCCCTTGATGAGTTCTTTCGAGGTTATTATCGACGTGGGCATATCCCAATCATTCTGATATTGAATGCGGTAGCGGTTCAGCACCACAGCTGCCGCAGCAGCCTTGTCTGCGGCAGATTTAGGTGGCGGGGGGTGCAATCCGACAGACGACTTGCGTTTTTGGGCCACCACATTTGGATCCGAGGCCTTGAGCAAGAGGTTCATTTTTTCTCGAGCTTGCGGTTTCATAGAGTTCAAGTCCATGACACCTCGCTTCAGAGAATGAGGCTGCAGCTGCACACCGGCAGGCTCTAGGGGAATAAACGGCATTATGACGAATTTTGAGAGGACAATCGACAGGTAGGGATGTCGTTGAAGTTTCTGAATGAAGATTGAGAGAAGTTGGGGACTAACACTCTGGCTTCTGAGTCATTAGCCTCTTTATAATGAGCGTTCGTTGGGCAACCAATACAAGGAAGAAAACAGTACCAGATTTGTATGCAAATATTCTTTCCAGCTCTGTAATTTTACGCAGTCCATACAGTCTGGTGTAACTGATGCCGAATGCCTACTCTAACTTTTTTTGGTTAGCAAATGGATTCTGCTATATAATAATAAAAACCATTTGTTTTTATTATAAATTATTACATTGGGTATTACCAGATAATAGCCTACTGATTACTGTTTTACAGTTTCATCTTCTTTTAACAAAATTGCCAAAAACAGCGCTAGACTAATTGCATTATACTAAACTAAGTAACTTTGGCGTGGTGATTTAAATACTAAATAATCTACTAGCGCTTTATCTATATATATTTATATATCAAAACGAAAAAATTGTACAACTCATTTTAAACATACAGGTAGTACTTACCTTACAAGGAAGTTACTTCACGGGATGGAACACAAGTTGAATACCGCCGCACGGATCGCCAGTGGGACTGTTAAACAAGGCTTAACAAGGGCGTAAAGGATTAGAGCGTAACCCTAGCTCAGCAAGGATAGTACAGGAATATAGCGGAGCTTGATCGGGACCGAGAACTATTGTTAAATAGTATTAGCTAGTATTGTATTCCCTCAAGCTATGGGTGTTTCTCTATAAACATATTTATTAAGGATAATAATTATCTAATGAATCTGTAAAAGAAACGTAATGGTATTATTGTTATTCTTCCTAATAATATTACTATTAATGTCGATATTAAATAGTTAATTATTTAATAATGTAACAATTTCTTTTAATATTAGAGGTTGTTGTAAATGTAAATAATATTAGTGTTTTATTAATTCAGAAGGCTTATATAAAAACATGAAAAGTTAGTAATATATCCCTTAATTATTAGTAACCCATTTCTTACTGTTTTTACAACCTTTTTAAAAGATAAATACTATCATATTCATGTACAAGAGACACTGTAAGATCTAGGATCCCGAATCCTGAAATCTGTTTATCTTTCTAGCATACCCCACGGGGGTATACAGCACGGCTCCACTAATAAGCAATCCCTCAACCTCATCCCTGAATATTACCGGCAGGACAGAACGAAAGTTCCGGACCAAGGGGTGGGAAAATTACATCGCCGCATATCGCATACATGTTGTCGTATCACACCGGCGGCATTTTCTGTCCACTGCATGCCAACCTACAGGGCTTTCCCGCCGTGAGCCTGGATACTCTCGAGGAAAATTCAAGTTCCATGCAGGAGAAATGCCACCGAAATTACTCCTTGCGGTGCTCGGTACGATGATTGTTCTTTCCAAGGGTTGTTTGTCGCCGTCTGTGTTTGAGACGGCATAGTCTAGGATTAGTAATTACAAGGGTTTACTGGCATCGTGGAGCAGAGTGCAACCTGCCAATAAGACAGAGCATGTTAAGGTTCATGAAAAGAGAGAAAAAAGTATTTATTTAGTGTCCCTTGCCTACAGCATTGTTACGGAGCATAAATCGGTTTGCAGATCTAGATCTAGACACTTTCTCCAGAATTGTACCACGTCAACGTTTCTAAAGTGACACGATGCCTTTCTTTCCTCAGCCACCAGAGCCTGAAGCACTTGGAGTGCACCGAGTTCTGTCACCCCGAGCCGGCGTTCTGGTTAGCCCACTATGCCTTGGCACCATGAACTTTGGCGGCAACTGGTAAATAGTAGCACCGATGACTTCAGTCTGTTACACCACGATTGACAAAGCGTAGGGATGAGCTCCTCGGGCCCTGCTCTAAAGAAACAGCCTTTGCCATGATGGATTACTTCAAAGAGCATGGTGGCAACTTTATTGATACCGCCAATAACTACCAAGGCGGTAATTCTGAGCGTTGGATCGGTGAATGGCTTGAGTCTCGGGGATGCCGGGATGAGATGGTAATCGCCACCAAGTACAGCAATGGCTTCCGCATTCATGAGAAAGGTATCCAACACTCCAGTTTTACTGGAAATTCTACCAAGAGCCTTTACACGACTGTCCAGGCAAGTTTGAAGAAGCTGCGTACAGACTACATTGACATCATGTACGTCCACTGGTTTGACTTCACAACGTCGATTGAAGAGATTATGCAGTCCTTGAACCAACTCGTTCTCTCAGGCAAGGTGCTCTACTTGGGCATCAGTGATACGCCTGCGTGGGTTGTGTCTCGTGCCAATGAATGTATGTTGCCTTCGTGTTCCTATGCCTGTATCACTGCAGCACATTCCATTCTAGAATGGCCAAGTGTCACACCGTTACACGTGCATAACTAATGCTTATCATAGATGCGAGATCTCACGGGTTACGTCAATTTAGCGTCTACCAGGGCCATTGGTCCTGTGCCGCGCGTGATTTTGAGCGAGACATCATCCCCATGTGCAAGGCTGAAGGAATGGCACTTGCTCCTTGGGGCGCACTTGGAGGCGGCTATTTCAAGACTGATACCGAGCGCACCCAAGTTCAGGAGAACAAGAATTCCGGCCGGAACATACCCGTGATGGATACTTCCAACCACAAGAAGGTAGGCAAAGTGCTTGAGGAGATTGGCCGAATCAAAGGTGTGCCAATGACTAGCGTGGCTTTGGCTTATCTACTGCATAAAACACCATACGTCTTCCCTATTCTCGGGGGCCGAAAGCTCGAACATCTCAAGAGTAATATTGAGGCTCTTAACCTGGAGCTTACGAAGCAAGACATGGACATGATTGAAAATGCCGCACCCTTTGATATTGGTTTCCCCATGTGGTTTAATGGAGAAGCTAACCCGAAGAACAATCTGCTCCTTCAAAACTCTGGCCATTTCGATTACGTGGAGGATCCCAAGGTAAGACCAATTTGCATATTCTCTTTATTTGAAGAATCTTTCACTAATTACTCATATTCTAGCCTATTCCTCCACGCAAGAAGATTCCTGAGTACACGAATGGCAAGAGTCACTGAGGATAATACAAATACCGATGTAGTATTCAAGACAATAATTATTTTAAACACATTCTTCCTTATTCAGATGAACCTTCTACCCAGTGATAGTGTGTAAATGCTATAACCATTATGAAAAAAGTAAGCTTAGTAGTATCTTTGTACTATTCTTTTTATTATTAATATTAAGACCGCTTTCTATCAACGGATATTAGCATAGCAACTGTTGTCATTTCCGCCCAGATGACACTAGTTTCTGACATCATTGGTTAAACGGAAGGATCACAGCGCGGAGGGTTAGGTATCTTACATTTACTACATTTGGAAATATACATCTATATTTAGTATGTATATTATGGTTGGTTATTAATTAATACACGCCTCGGCCGAACGGTCTCGAACAGTAGCTTTGGAATACAAGATCTCCATAATTTAAGGATCGCTGTCAAAGGATTCGCATGCACAGAGTCCTCCCGGTACTACATGGGTTTATAGTGATATCGCCAGGGCGGCAAATCTAATCCCACCTCGGGCATGGATCCAGGGCCGACTGCCCGGGTCCCCGAGGACTAAAATTGCCAAAACAAGTAATTGCTTGCATACTTTAGGGACCCCAGCACGGGGTACTCCGTAGAAGTGCGCAATTGGAAAATCTCTCAGGCTTCTAACAAAGCTTAGCTGAAGTGGAAAATAAAGGCAGGGATCTGTATTTTACGCTGTAATCAAACAATGGCGAGTGTATTACGTTACATGTCAATGTAAGCTAAAAATGCTCACTCTACTAGTGGTACATTTTCATTTTCATGACCGCCTGGCTCGTAATGGCCTCGGCTGACTTGTCGCTTTGCTTCTGCATGATTCATTATGAGAATCTATACCTGAGCACGATGTGGGAAGCTGTAAATTATCTTTTAGTATACTCATATGTAACACGTCATACAAAGCAGTAACTTTGGTAAAGTAATTGGACTGTAGAGAACAAAAGTAAGATGTCTGGCATAAGATAAGAATAGGTACCGTCGGACGCTACAAATGGAAGCATACAGATATGTCATACAGACTGAATATGTGAATTTAATACTAAGCAAATACAACGATAATGATACATACAACATTATGACAGGCAATATTTGTAAAAAAAAATAATAATAACAAAATGAAAGAAAAAAGCGAGCGAAGAATAGTTGGAATGGCATGTAAATGATTTCAGCAGCGAAAGTGTAATTGGTTAAAGCCCCCAAGACTCCATCCAATTCTCCATCCACATACCGCGAATTGATTCCAAACTGGAAAAGGTCTTTGATGATTTGGCTATCATATCGGTAGAAAGACTTGGTAACTTGACACCCATAGGAGCATCCAACTCCCGTAGCCAGCCCATAAGGCGGAGAGCTGGGAAAGTTTTCACGTCTTCAGTATGCCCACCTTTGTTTCGTAACATTGTCAGCCATTGCTGGTAAGATACCAACTCCATGTCAGGGCCCAGGCGGTGGCATATCGCCGGAAGAAGTGAACCCCATGATACTGGATTAGGGTTTGCGGCGTGATAGATCTGAAACCTCTCTGGCTTTTTGAGGTCATGATGAATCAACTCTACAAGTATGTCAGGCAGGCGGTCAATTGGAACCCAATCAACGTCATCAGCCATGCCCAAAGTCTTTGGCACAAGCCCAAGCGATTTAGATGTGTATATAATCTGAGGTACCCAGTCAAGCGAGTTCCATGCTCCAACTCCAGCATTGGTAGGGCCTGCGATTTGACCAAGTCGTACGACTGTGACCTGGATGCCAACGGTTTGTGAGGCCTCGTAGAGAATTCTTTCAGCTACATGCTTGGATTGAGCATAGCCATTGTTCGCAGTAACCGAGTCTGAAAGGATAATTTTTTCCGGCACTTTCTGACTCTCCTTCCAACCGAGGACACTGGCAATAGAGGAAATAAAAACTATACGCGGCCGACGCTCAGAATTCGCCGAAAGATCAATTAGATGTCGAACTCCTGCGATATGAGTTTTCTCAAAATGTTGTACAGTGTGTAGAAAGTCAAGTTTCCAAGCATTGTGAATGATGATGTCGGTTTCATCTTGCAGAGTAGCGTACTGATCTCGTCCAAGTCCCAAATGCGGCTGTGACAGATCAATTGTGAGAAATTCAACTGGTTTGCTTCCTGGTACCCATTTAATACCGTTTTTCTCACATGCTGCTCTTTGAGCCTTTTCTCCATCCGTAGAACGGTTAAGGCAAAAGATTTTTGTCACATTTGGCTCCTTCATTAACCGATCAAGTAAATGACTCCCCACAGCTCCAGTACTGCCTGTAAGAGCAACAGTGATTACTCGCTTTGGAGTATTCTCTTCCAGATTCTCTGTGTAACTGTGGATCAACTTCTCAATCGTATTGGGTGGTTGAGCTTCCACAGCATCGAGCATTGCCGGAGCCGCAACTTCTCTAACGCGGTTTACGTTTTCCGCGTCCTCTGAAGATTTAGGCGAGTCCATCGCAGTGTCCGAGAGTCTATTCATACGGCTGATTGCTTGTGACAAGCTTTTGATAGTTGGATTTGCATAAATCAGCTGCAATGAAGAATCTCTATCTTGTGGCCATGAGGCCGATATACTTTGGAGCTCGTTTGACAACTGTAAAGCCATTACAGAATCAAGGCCAAGTTCAAATAGGTCATCGTCATTGTTTTTGCTGTGGATGCCACATATAGCTTCCAAGGCTGTGTGGATAAAGCTCACGGCTTGTAATTCGGTCACCGCGATCGTTACTTTTTGCTCTTTATCAACAATTTCTTCTTCGAGCAAGTACTTTTCCTGCTGAGATACAGTCGTAGTAGAAAGCGACGTGGTATCGTCAATATCAGGCTCTGCGGCAGGTTTCACTGTTCTGGGAGATACTGGCGTTGTTACTGCAGAGCTGGTGTCGCTATTTGTCGATTGACTTGAAGATTTCGTTGTATGGTCAATTATCAGGCCGAGCTTGGACCCTTGGCTATAGTTGTTGGCTTTGGTGAATTGGTTATAGCCATTTCCGTTTGATATCGGTTTTTTGGCTGATTGGCTATGACCGTTTTCATTTGGCAGCGATTTGCCAGTCGAGTAGAGATTATTAAGCTCAGCCTCAAAATTTGCGACTGTAGCTTTTCGCTGCACAGAGCCTTTTGGTGAACGTGAAAACTCCTTTTCCGCAGAGGCAAAAATAATATTTGATTTCAGCAGTCTCCCCTGGGTGGGCAGCGTCATATTGACCCTCTGGACAAATGGCCATAATTCATCCAAAGCCTGTTCATTTGACATTCCAACAGTGGTCTCTGGATCACATTCAACAAGGAGCGCAGCTTGGCTTCTTCCATCCCCAACGATAAGAGTGTCTTTTACCACCGAACATCCTTTAAGCATAAGCTCAGCAGGGATGGGATTGAACTTCTCTCCCGTAGATAGCACAATGAGATCGTCGGTGCGACCCCCATATGTCCAAAGATTGGGCTTTGTTGGATGTGGACTCAAAATGTCTCCAGAGCTATATTTGTCTAGCTCCGGGAACAGCCGGAAGACTGTTTGAACAAACTCATACTCAGGCAGACGCCTGAAGGACATCCGGTAGAGGTTATCGTGCAGGTGTTCAGGGAAATAGCCAGAAGCCGGATGAAACTCAAAGTAATTCCAATCTTCTGGTTCCATAACATACCGCGGGGGTGCGCTATTCTCAGTGAATCCAATGAAATTGTGAAGGATGGTTACTTTAGAAAGCCGGTCTCCCGCTGATTTCGATAGAGGGCCACCTCCATACGCTACAAACTCCAAGCCTTTGGCTCCGCTGAGAGACTCCGTTCGACTAATCTCTTCCAAAACGGAGGGTGGATATATTCCACCAGAGACTTCAGCCGTTCGGTGCACCGCTTCTGCAATGGCCGCTGTAAGAGGTTTGTCGCTTAATGCAAATACGGCCGTCGAGTTGAAAAAGACTGGTTTAAAGAGCGAGAACCAGACGCCAGCAGACTAGATAGTTGTCTTAGTAAAACTATTTCAGAGAAGAATCATACTGCTTACATGGTAGCATGGCATGCCCATAAAGTATCGCCTGTTTGCAAAAAGGCGCCACCACAGTCGACCCTCTGGGTCATCGAGGAGGCGATGTGTGTCCTCTGTCGTAGTACACTCAATGGTTAAAGTGATAGGTTTTGGGGGGCCTATATACTAGATTAGAGTAACGCATATAAATCCACTGTTCTAGCACAGAGACTTACCGGTTGACCCTGATGTGTGAAGGATAAGGAATGGATCTTTCTTCACCTCGTCATAAGTTGCTTCATAAGGAAACGGGGCCACAGGCGTTGGATCGAGCAGCTCATCCAAATCAGGTGCAATCTTGCAAAAGATATCCAGATCATCTACAACTGGTGACAACTTCGCCATTAAGCCGCGGGTGCAGAAAAGTGTTTGACAGCCAGCACGGCGGAGGAGCTCTTGTTGGTACTCAGCCGAATTACGGGGCGACGGCATCATCATCTATAGTTGCAAAGAATCACATTATCTTAGCTTGTGTTGCTTTTAATTTTATCTTTCTTTCCTGTACATACTTGATAGCCGCATTTCATCGTCGCAACCAGGAGAATCGGATATCTCAAGTCATTTGGACCCAAGTATGCAAACACTTCTGATGTTTCCGTATTACCCATCGAGTGTGAAAGCCACCAACTTGCCCGATTGATTGCATTGGCAATCAATGCATAGGTAATATCAACGAAGCCATCTGCGAGATCTTTTGATCGTGGGATAGACGCAAATGCTTTTGTTGGATTGCTTTCGGCTCGCTCATCAATGATGTTGGGTATTAACCTGCGCCCATATTCAGGCTCAGGAGTGTGGTTCAAAGTGCCGGGCATATCGAAAGAGAGGTAGACACACAGGAAAGCCTATTGGTGACAACAATTGTCGATAATGAGATGCGTTGAAAGAACAGATATGGATGAACTGGTGGATGAACTGGTGGATGCAAAATTGTAAGACTCTTTGGTCTTCGCATGCGACTGTCATTTGCGGATGTGCAGGGATCTTTGGCAGTGATATTTAAGCAGTCATGTCAGCGTCCCGATGCTACCGCCTTCACCATTATTGTCAAACCAATTAAAGATTCAACCGGCCTTGCTATTAAGCCGAGATAATAATCCTACACACCCTACAGGCCCACAAGCTTATTGACGCAAGAACAGAACGACGGAAAATGTTATTCCATGGCAACCAAGCCTTAATTCGGAGAATATCGTGATGAACATGGTTTACTGTAATCAATTGGAATGATGCAAGGTTAATAGTGTTGTACAATTTGGCCCAGTGATCCTTTATCCACAGAGCTGAACGGATGACGATTCCGCTGCAGAGGAGGATTGCAACCCCTGGACACATGGCTAAAAATATTGCTATACCCCCTAGAACAAGAAACAAGGCCCCCTGGGCGGCTTGTACAGATCCTGATCTGTGCCGCTGGTATCAGGCTTGATAATTTCGCCGGCGTCTTGAAGAACATAATGTCTCGGTATTGCTTGATTAGTCTTAGTTCATGAGATTGATGGCCCTCGGCACCGAGAACAATACATAATACCCTAATACTAATCATTTTCCTGCTACGCTAACGCAGTACGAAATTAATAGGAGTACCTGGTTAAACGAAAAGCGAACGGCCGACAATTGATGTAACCACCCCACATGCCATGAGAGTCATCATTTTCTACAATAGGAAATTGCAACGACTTTCCATGCAGAAGACTACTTACCTACTGCTTATAATTAGCTCATTGAATGAATAATGTATTTAAATTAAAGAACTCATAATTGATATTCTAAACGCATCGGATATTAAAAAATAATAATATTATCACTAAATTAGAAGCTGAGGCTTTTTTGTAGTTTTAGTTAGGAATCTATTTACTTAAAGGTAATATCTGGGAAAATTTTATAACTCTATTATTGTAAAAAAATCAAGAACTTTAAATATACTTAAATTTATATATTATAATATATTATTCTTTTTCCAGCATTAAATATATATTAAATTTGATATATATATATATATATTGCAAATTTGCTATTGGTCAAGCATGGAGATTTTCTCTCAAGTAATTCTTTACTTTAACCTCGCTAGACAGATCCTTAGCCCCAGATAGTAAGCAGAAAGTAAAACATGACTGTGGAGGATTCTTCTAGCTTATACGGCAGCATGGGGGGTCCAATACAAATGAGTGGATTGCCAATTAATACTAGTACATTGAGCACTTATATTGGTCGCCTTGCTGTTTGTATCACGACTTGAAGTCGGACCAAGTGACACAACTATTCACTCCTGTCATTCGCATAGCCACTATGGACATACCTATTTACCTTTACATTCTATGTGTTGCAATACTCTTCGGGGCAATTAGAAAGCTGAATCGCATTGGTAGAAGGCCAGCAGATTTTCCTCCAGGCCCCCCAACACTGCCCATTCTAGGGAATATCCACCAGGTAGTCCCATTCATACGGAGACGGTGACACAACCCGCAGAGAGCATTTGCTAACGGTCCTTCTTGTGTACCTAGCTCCCCAAATCTCAAGGGCATTTGCAGTTTCAAAAATGGGCCCAGGAATATGGCCCAGTGTATAGCCTTATTCTGGGGACACAGGTATTAATCGTGTTGTCTAATGATGTGGCAATTAAAGAACTACTGGATAAGCGTGGTGGCATCCACAGTGATCGCCTTGAGATGTACATTGGACAGACGCTGTGCAGTGGTGGTTATCGGTTTCTAATGCTCGTAAGCCTCGTCACCGACACAGTTAATCTTTCTTTGAATTAATGTGGATAATAGGGATACGGAGATAACTGGCGAACGGTAAGTGGATTTTAACCTTTGCTATGAAGTGAAATGATGAGTGTTTCTAATGCGATTGTACCTAATATTCAGTTCCGGAGACTTGGACATCAACTTCTTAATGTACAATCATCAAAAGCATATGTGCCATATCAAATCCTGGAAAGCAAACAATTATTACGTGAAATTTTAGATCGCCCAGATTTAATACTCGAAAGCTTGCGCAGATACAGTAATTCTTTGTCAACCCACATGATTTACGGGTAAGTCGATGAATCTTTCCTTGTTTTAATTATCGCACGATTTATTTACAAATGCAAACTAGTTGGCGGACTGTACGACATGATGACCCCAGGCTGCTACAGGTATTCAAAGGCTTCAATGACGTTGGAAAGATCACTCAGACTGGAACATCTGCATTTTTGGATTTCTTTCCAATCTTAAGATGGCTTCCTGAATTCTTGACCCCCATGAAGAGGCAGGCCAAGGAACTACATAAGAAAGAGATGGATATGTACCTGAATCTGTGGCTAGAAGCGAAACAGAGCTACAAAAGTGGCACGTACAAAGATTGTATATGTGTGTCTCTGGCTCAACAGCAAGATAAGAATGGATTTACAGACGAGCAAGCTGCGTATGTGGCGGGAAGCTTCCTTGAGGCAGGGTCAGACACAACATCGTCAACTCTCTATGGCTTCATTCAAGCAATGATATTATTTCCCGAGGTACAGCGCAAGGCGCAGGCGGAGATTGATCGGGTCATTGGACCTGATCGCCTTCCAACACTGGACGATGAGGACAATCTACCATATATCCGCGGCTGTGTCAAGGAGTCGCTCCGGTGGATGCCCACTGCGCTTCTTGCAGGAGTCCCGCACGCATCTAATCGCGAGGACCAATACATGGGATATCGCATTCCGGCTGGCGCAGGACTGGTGAACAACGTTTACACCATTCACATGGACCCGCAACGGTATCCTGATCCGCGGGCTTTTAAACCGGAGCGATTTGAAGGCGATATGGCATCAGCTGCAGACTCAGCGCTGAATCCAGATCCGTCTAAGCGCGATCATTATGTTTTTGGAAGCGGTCGCAGGATCTGCCTTGGTATTCATGTTGCTGAGAGGAGCCTCTTTATTGCCATCTCCCGGATGCTCTGGGCCTTTGACTTCCTACCTGAGCTTGATCCTTCCGGCAACCCCATCTTGCCTGATCCCAATAAGCTAACGGAAGGACTTTCAGTTCTGCCAGAGAAATTTGGAGTTCAAATCATACCACGTGATGAAGCTCGAGCTCGCAAAATTATGGACGAATCTATGGAAATAATGATGCAATGAGTGTAGCTTCGAGATGCCTACACAGGCAGATTCAGCAGATTGTCGATACGGGAGCGTGGTATGGCCGCTATAGAAATCACCTACCCAGCTTTGTATTCTGAGCGTCCTTACATTAATGCTATACGTAGGTCGATTCAGTGTAGTGTACATGCTGCGGCCTTTATTTTGAAGCCATATTACTGAGAGGCATAACTCACTCTGCGTGGGTACATTGCATGTACTAGCTGCTATGTACATACTTTGATCATTGGCCGTTATTAGATCTCTAGGTATTGATATAGAATGCAAGAGAGCAGAAAAGCACAGAGTTAGTTACATAAGAGTATAAACATTATGAGAAATGGAACCATTAGCACAAAAGCGCAAGCCCGGAGAGATGAAGAAACTGTCGTCTACCTTGGCTTTACTCATCAGAAATCTTTGATGATGTTCCCCTTACTATTAGTCTCTTCAAGAATCTCGGATACCGCTTGTGATTCGTCACCCTACCATAGAACCTTTAAAGCTGTAGCTCGTACCCCAGTTAGAAAGGCATAATTTTTTGCTATACCCCATAGGTCTGTGTAGTATACAATAAAACTATGTGCAAAGATGAAGGGGGAAAAGGTCATTGGTAAAAGTGTTCTAGCTAGTCTATGGAAGCATCACTTGATACCAATGCCAAACGATGAGAACCATGTTAGTTAGCCAAGGCATAAAAGACTCAACGCTTCCCAGTAGTAGCTGCTTAATGGAGATCTTTTATCTGTAGAGAGCTGAAGACGGATGAGATGAACATGCATGTTGCCCTAAACGGTCTTTTCATGAGCTCAAATACTTAACGAGCCTAATCTCTACGCGCTACCTAGTACCTGTCAGATTGAAAGATGGAGTCAGCCGATACCTACCTATCTTGCTTACTTGGTAAAGTCTGTTCTTATAAGTGCTAAAGTAAAGCACTATATCCTGCAACTACCCAAAAATACATAAAATTGAGAAATTAGGTAAATTACTCTCTAGCTGAGTGTCTCCAAACGAAATAAAAGACAAGCCCATTCTCCCTCTGCATCGCGAAGCCTTCCCCAAACTGGTAGAGCGTCACCACTGGCGAGCATCAGTTTTGGTTCGCTCCTTATTTCGCGAGGTGCCTTGGCGATGGTCTCGGACTATTTTTCGAACCCCAGCTTTCAGCCCCGTTTATCTACAACTTTTGAGCAGATCGTTCAAAGTGCGACTCATATCGCGCGCTTTTCCTCTTTTTACCGTCCAATGAATTGTTCTTTGTGCGGAGCTAGAGACTACATAACCTCTAGAACACCACGCCTAGCCTGCGTTCGTAACCTGGTGGCTATACGAACAATGCCGGGAAGCTCGTTTATATCGGTGCGAGCCGTTGGACAAATTGGAAGGAGTGAGTAGACTAGAGCCTTTAGTAGAGGTAGCATACTCTAGTACGTATTGGAGCCTTGTGAATTGTGAATGCTAACGGTTCAGCCGCATTCCTCTACGAACATACGGCCAACTAGCGAGATCATTCAGTTTTCTCTTCTCCCTTTATTCCGTCGTGTCACAAACTACGGAAAAAGGCTGGCTAGCAATTGGGACACGTTAATGCTAGAACTGCTGTCAAGTGATTCCGCACAACTAGGAATGATTCCGCTCAGGCCAATCATGGAGACTGATACGGCCTTCGCCGTGGAGATTCCCCCTGCTTTCTTATGTCTACTTGGCTTTGTGAGAGATGGCCTAGATACCTGAAATGACACCAATATGCATGTATTGGGACTTCTCGTTCCTGAATGGTGAGCCAAGAAGCATGAGCTTTTGATTCAGGTCAGCGTCTCAGCGCAATTAGTGCCAGCCACTCCGTCGCTCAACTTTCACGGCCTACAGAAGCATCAACACCGAACACTATAGGCATATTCTATCAACGATAGTATTTAGTGTGCTCTAATCCCTGCTCAATACGTTGGAACGGCTCTTTAAAAGAAGTCAAGGATGGCAAGACTTGTCTTCGGGTAGCTCGATGCAACCCACCATCCGTCCCTAACGCTAAGATCGAAGCCACCCCCTCGGCAACCTTTGTTTTATATTCCCAACAGTCTCCGTTATTGTGGCTTTCCTTGTTTATAATCTGTATAGTACAATTTCTTGACAAATTAAAAGTTTTCCTCTTATCTCTTCTTTTGATCTTCTGCTATCTGTATTTCTTCGCCAACAACTTTGGCCTACTGTGTCCCTTGTCATTGCAACTCGCCTATCAGAGGCCAAGAGATTTATCATGACCTACTTATTCTTACCAGTTGCAGATACTATAGCTGGGCGATCGCAACGTACAGTCGATAGCCGTGAAGCTTTGGCTGTTGGCGGTGGCCATTCTGGCTGCCGTAGCAAAAGCCCTTCAAATACTTCTGCTCTCCCAGCCATGGCTGAGATGCCCTTGTGTGCTTTGTATGTTCCTAATATGCTCTTTACTTGTGAAATTGATCAGCCAACTGTGTCCTTACGTTCCACTCACAGCGTGGGCGTTTCGCGAGGGTCGATTTCCCTGTGAACGTGTCAATTGACAAACACAGCGTGCGTATGCACAAACCCAACGCTACGTCAAAGCTTGCAAGCGTGCCCTGCGAAACCTAGAGCATTTAAAGAGGTTGTATGTAGCTGATGCGACCACAGCAGTTATAGGCGTGAAATATCTTCTAATTGCGACTCATAGCGACATGAATCTGACACCCATCACGAGGAGAAAATGTGTTAATCTGATCCCCATGTAGGCTCTATTCAGACCGTCGGTCGAAAGTCGTTCACTATTCAATATTGCGATACTCTGTTAACGTGCACCAGTGGGAGATGAAGCTAATAATGGGCAAACCACCGCGAATCAACAATCTATATTTTCGTGGTCTTTGAGCAGGGCCAGAGCTCTGAATCTCTCTTGCCAACCTAGGCGATGCGACAGTTATATAGTGTAGCACATTATTAGACTTGTACGCTAAATCGTTATAAAGATGGTTGATGGGAGGAACTACTTCCTCTGGGACTTGGCTTGTGTTACAGCATTCTTATGCTAGAGGAAGGCATTCAACGACAACAGTACTACTCCCACGAATCAGATGTCAACGCTCGAGGGAATACGCTCTATATTTAGCCGACGCCAAGGCTCGCAACACAACATAAGGCCTAGTTATATAACTCCGATGATCACTGTGGCGGACTTTACATAAGCCAAGCCGCGTTCTGCGGCCGCAAAACGCGGCCGCAAATCCGTAACTCCACTCCGCAACGAAATATTTCAGGTTGCCGCACGCCAACAGCGCAAATCGCTCGTAAGAGGTGGATCTAGCTCGGGCAATTCGCGAATCTAGCTATACTCTCGTTTACGATTTCTAATTCTTAATCGCTAGTTATTAATATCGGGCTGTTACAAATCCTTTCAGAATGCGTTGCTTTGTCTCTTATCCATGTGAATTACCAAGCAGTTCACCTGATAGCACATACATCGGGTCTATCATTAAAATGCTCAACTATTTTCAAGATTTATGGAGCACGTATGGAGCAAGCAAGGCTATAAATTCTTCACTAGAGTCAAAGCGCGTAGAGTATAAATGCCTGATTCTCGAAACAATAAAGACTTCCAACGTTCGTAGCTCTACATCTCAGACAACCACATTATAGTGAGGCGCAATTCTATCGAACTTCATTCATCCCGATAAAGCAATTCGTTATGGCCGACAAAAAACTTATTGTAGTTGTTGGTTCTACTGGTAACCAAGGCAGCTCCGTTGTGAACACTTTTCTGAAAGATACAGCATGGAGGGTTAGAGGGCTTACTCGAAATCCTGCTAGCTCAAAAGCCAAGGCACTCTCTGCTCGCGGCGTAGAAGTCGTTCAGGCTGATATGGATGATATTTCCAGCCTCTCAGCCGCTTTTCGTGATGCCAATGCCATTTTTGTTGTGAGCGACTTTTGGGGGATATACGGTGCCCTTGTTCAACAAAATAAACACACCAGCGAGCAGCGGCTAAATCTGCTGGCGGGAGAAAGCGAGCTCCAGCAGTTGAAGAATGCAATCGACGCCGCTTCTCAGGTGCCCGGCTTGGAAAGGTTCATCCTGTCTACCCTCTCCAATGTGACAAAGTGGTCTAGAAAAAAGTACACTCATGTTTATCATTTTGACCTCAAAGCGCGCGCATCTGCCTACGTTGAAGAGACGCACTCAGCGCTATGGGCCAAAACTAGCCTTTTTCAAGCAGGTCTATTCTTAAACACCTATGTGGAAAGCCCGAATTTTATCCCTCACAAAGTAAGTCATTCCGATCAACAACCTTGTATAGTTAAAGGGAAAGAAAGATAATGACATATTTCAGAACGAGGATGGTATCGCCCAATTCATTACTACGATGGCTGCCGATTTCAAGCTCCCGTGGATTGCCGCAGAAGAAGACACTGGTCCATTCGTCAAGGTCCTGATTCAGGAAAAACCGGGCAAAAACCTCATTGCTTATCGAGAGTGGGCAACTCTGCGAGAAATGGTACAAGCTTTCCAAGAAGCCTCTGAGACCAAATCTGAAGTGGTGGTTGTACCTCGTAGCCAACCAAATGAATTCTTGCCTCCCGATTTAAAGCTCGAAATCGACGAAGGGTTTCTTTATTTTGAAGAGTTTGGATATGAAGCTAGAGATGACCCAACAATCATCCACCCGAAAGACGTGAGTGTGCTCTCAAAGCAGCTGTTGTGCTTGAAATATGTGTTAACAGAATTATACACGTAGCTGGAAGAGCCTCCGAAATTGGAAACAATGGAGCAGTATTTCCGAAAGCGAGATTTTTCTCAAATATTCTCTACATAAAAGATTGATATCATCGATATTCATGAATAGCGAAGTCGCAAATGCGTAGCGAGAAAATAATATTCTAGGTTGAAAGCGGAGGCAGGTGGTTTGTTAACGAGATTTATACATCTAATATTTCTCTTCGAGTTCTAAAAGTAGCTATCGCCTAAAAATACTATGGAGAGATGCCAAAATAGCGATTGGATATTAAATTAAATAATGTGAACCCTAACTACCTCTTGTGGAACCTGTAGTCCGTAAAATTCTTGCTGAGTGTCATGAGTCTACCCATGAGCTCCGATTGTAGATTTTAGGCCACTAGCCTGTCCCACTCGGCTCCCTCAATCGCTATTTGTTCTGGCCTAGGCTGAATAGTATCAGTTACTGTCCTTTTGATGCTGGATAGACCACCTAGAGGGAACAGGGCGATCCTTTCTGCCAACTTCTCAACGTAATCGTACAATCCTTCTGGTGTATCAAATGCCTTGTTGACATAGCCATATTCTTCGGCCGTCTTTGGATCAATATCATTTCCAGAAAAAACGAATTCCATAGCGCTAGCTCGTCCAATATGCAACGGCATCCATGCAACGCCCCCTGCGCCAGGATGAAGGCCGAGTGTTGCTTTAAAATTGCTGAAGCGAGCATTCTTGGAAGCGAATATCATGTCACATGCTGCAAGGAACTCGTTTCCTATGCCACGAGCAGGACCATCAATCATGGAAATCACAGGTTGTGGCAGATTGCTCATATTCAGGAATACTTTGCCGTTGAAAGCTGCAGTCCCAGGCGTGTTTAGATCGGGCTCGCCTGTACAGGTATATCAGGTGAGCATATCTAAATTATATCGTTTCCAAAAGAGAGACAAACTAACCAGGTGTGGGGAAGATATCATAATGCGCACTGAAGAATTCAGGATTGCCGCTTTTGAAGATGACGACTTTTGTTGAGGTATCATTTTGGAGAACAGTTACAAGCTCATTTAGCTCGATAGAGGTTTCCTGACAAAACACGTTGACCTCGCTTCTTGTGTTTTTGATAGTGACTGTCAAAATAGCGCCATCAGCGCCATCCTTGTGCAAGGCTAAAGTCTTAAAGCTGGTCGACATGGCGACAGCAAAATGCAGAAAAAGGGACAGGACACGGTTCATAGTGGGCAATTTATAAAGCTAATAGAGGTCGATGTTATGGTGTTTAGACTGTAGAAACTATAGAACACATGAGTTAAGGGACATGTATACTTCTATTTGTTCTTTCAACTTTGTGTTTTGTTATAGCATGCTATTTTAGTATCGCGGTAGTAAGTACGATAAACTCCGTATGCAGTAAACTAACCAGTATTTGCAAACGATTACGGATATTGTTTGACCGCCAGAGATTATTCAATTGGTTGCTACGCAGATTTGTAAGAAGTATGAAAAGTCTATCCGAAAGCCGAATTTGTTTATATATACCTAGAGAATCGTGGAGAAATATGTTACTGATCTATGCAACCTTACTGCACGATCGAGTCATGCGCGAGCCTATGTTGCCCCATTGAAATATATATTTATCTATTTGACGTGAAATTGCAGTTTCTATATTACTAATGGGTTTTAATAGAAAGCACCCCTTCATAGAATTCGAATGATGGACCAGCGAAATCTGCTTGTACCTTTCATTCACGTTGACGTTCACGCCAGCTTCAACCGAAGCGTAAATTCTGCACATCGTGGATCTTACGGTTACCAGCTGGGGACAAACTTCAATCCGAGCATTTTAACAAGAGCTTTTTGAGACACACAGAGCCAATGTGGTCGGAAAGATTGTTTGCGATACCTCTAGAGCGAATTCGTCGAGGAAACACGCAATCGAGCTATGGGGCTTGGTAATAGTGTAATTCACATCGCTTCATATGTTACATTTGGGATCAACGGAAACGTGTTAAACGAGCTTACTACAGCTATCAATTCCATAACCAGTCTTGATGTAATATAACACTATGCACACAGCCTTTTTTGAGATACTTCAGCATTATCAGTTGCAATTCTGGTCGGTTTAACGAGGAGTCTGCGGCCGGGTTTCACCAGCACAGAGAAGCACTGACCCTCATCCGCTTCGAAGTTTACAAACGATACAGATATTTTGCTGGCTCGCAGGAGATGGAAACATTCTTTCCAAGAAGAAAATGTAAGATTCTGCTGTTGAAGAAGAGATGGGCTTCACTCTGGACTCTATAGCCCGTTTTGAGTATTCAGACCCCGCTGTGGCGACGCCCCAGCGCTATATCCAACAAGCTTGGTCTGGTGCTTAGTCGATGGTGCGAAAACGTCTAGATCCGACTTTTCAGCGGCGCTGGTGTGCGGTGTTGCGGCACTTAATATCGAATCTCGAGGGAAAAGTAATGCCGCAGCAAGGTGCCACAATATTAACGTCAAGCTCACTAAGTGCCTACACGCACATAGAATACCAGGGACAAATTGCGGACTCGGTTTTGACTCTGCAAGGCCAATACTCAACAGATATGCCTAGCATTGGCAAGTTGTTAAAGACATACTAGGAATATAGAAAGGCAAACAGACGCTGGAACAATATTCTACCCATAGGGAATGCATAACTTTGTACACGGTATGACATTAGTATAAGGCTGAACTACCAACTATATTTGTGTATCAACAAAAGTAAAATATTTGTGCGTCTATTTATTCTATTTATGCAGCACATGTAAGCTTTAATCGACTTAGAGTATGTAGATGGTGCAATACTGCATTCATATCAGCACAGACCCTGCGTATATTGTAGACTTAGTAGCACTAACCAGTTAGTATTTAAGAAAATGCGTATACTTTGTAGCCTGTAATGGTTTCAATCTTGGGGCATAGAATTCTTAGTGTAATAATAGAAGATTCTATGGCCCCGATATAGGACACTAATTTTGGCCTTTGCAATTGATCGTACTGCATCTTCGCGTACATTCGATAATATGTGGTCATACGGCGATATGCGGTAACATACGGTGATATGCGGTGATATGTAGCCATACAATATTGGTGAGGTATCTCTGCGCTCACTGTATCGCATTCCGGCTTTACAAATATTCTTTTATTATCAAGTTTATTTCTAAATTTGGCGAATCTTGAGAGATTCGCGCCTTGAATGGAGTCATGTGTGTAGCTATGGGGATGAAGCCCTATTTACTAGAAGAAGATGGCTGGGATAAGAGGACTGCTGGGAATCAAGGGGTATGGATCTACTCCAAAATGGTCTAGGCTCATCTTACGCCACGTGCTAGAACAATAGATTCTATGGCCCCTGAATCCTTGAGGATTTAGAACCGGCTTCCCTACATGCTCTAGACTGGAGCCGCGGCTTACCCTATATCTACTCTTACATTTTAATATTATTAAGTAAGGAGAGACTATAGATTTCTCCTCTACATGTTTATAAAGTACTCACAGTTGGTGTCTGCAATGTATAACAACCGTACTACTATTTCTATTTGTAAACCGTCGATTGGCAGCTTAATGTCGCCGGGAACATTTCCTAATGCAACTCCATCAGACTGCCACGAGAAATTTAATGTTGCCATGCCGTCCAAGGACTCCATTCAAATGTAACTCTGTTTATTTTTGAGTCTGAAGCAACCCCAATACTACACTGATAGTTTCACTGTTGCAACATTTTGACTTCATGATACTTTACGGATCAAATAGTACACCGCTTTCAAATTATCGTTCTTATGTATGTTAAGTTCTGATACGGTATGCTGCAATTAGAAGGCTAGGTTATATAATATAGAGGCCAAATAGAGAGCGTCTCCACAGTAATTATATAATTCTTGATAAATATATGTACATATATATACTCTCAAAGTTATTAAAAGGCTTTGTATCCAAATAATGCGAGCTTTATGCTCGGCCTCCCGGCCAGTAAGTACCGAAACGGCCGTTGCTCGATGCAATGACTGGGCTGCCGTGCGAGTCGTCAACATAGACGTAGTCAGAGCCAACCTTCTGGAGATCCCAATCGCGAGGGATTGTGTTAATCGAACCGTCAAGCGCCTCTGTGGCCTTGATCACCCATTGTCCATCATTCTTCATATCATACGCTCCTGTAGGCGCACCGTCCAGGATCCATTGTGTGAATCCCTTCCAGGCTCCAGAGTTGTCCAGAGACCAAGTCAAAACACCACCGTCACAGCCACGAATGAGAGAGACATCGCTCCAACCGACGCCATTTCCGTCCCAGCTGACCTCATACCATGAGCCGAGCCACTGCGCCTGCCCGTTAAGCATGTATTGGTCGACTCCGCGCTGGATGCGGCCTTCGAAGCCATCAGGGAAGGAAACAAATTGAGTCTGGTTGGCCCCAACCCAAATGTACTTCCAAGGAACAGTATCGCAGTTGTTGTGGTAGATGTAAAAGCCCCGCCAGTCCGTGTCAGCATTGGTGATAGTGACGCCTTTGCCGCCGGTGTCGCTGTCGCCCCAAGTCAAAATGGGAGAGCTGCTGCATGTCCAGCCGCGCTTGGACTTCATTCCATTGGCCTTGACAGACTGGCGTTCTAAGCCACCCGTCTGATAACTTGTAAACCGATCTTGCGATACGGCTTTGATAGCATTGATATCGGGCACGGTGCTATTAGTGGGAGCTGCTCCGGAGCTTTCAGTTGTTGGTAGGGCTATGGCAGCGCCAATAAGCGAAAGAAAAGAGATGGCACGCATGGTAACAGCAGATGTATGGATAGGCAACCTTTGTTTGGACAATGCTTGTGAGATGGCCAGATTGAAAGACGAGGTGAAGCAATGTCTTTATTTATATACTTTCCCCCATTATTAACAACATACTGTGAGACTGGGATAAATCAACCTTGCTTCAAGGATATATCTTGCCACTGTCACCATTCTTTCCTTACAACTGCCGTCGCTTCGGTAGTTGTCGGGAGATTCGGGTTCTAGAACAAGCTCAGTGTTAGTGATAGGATTCGCTGGTTCCATAGCTCCAATAGTGTGCTGTGATAGAACCGAGTCAGCTGAAGACAGTTGTAACCAAATTCGGTCCTGAGAAATTAGAATAGCCAAGCTTGGTCAATAGTTGTAAATGGCCTATGATAAATGCAGAAGGAGAAGAGTTGCAAAGGATGAGTATATTATTATAGCATGGAAAGGATCCTATGTCTTACTGCTGCGGCTTTATATCGGCAGGATCTAGCCGTGCCTATGAAGTATACCTATTGTAAATTAAATCATCTTTGCCTTCCTTTTGGAGAAACAATGAATATGTACCCACAGATAAAGGATTCAAGGCAGCAGTCTTAAGCGCTGTCATGCTAGGAATTATAACCCGTCCGATGCCCGATATCGTATAGCGCACCGGCAGGGTTACTTCTTAGTGGCTATGAGTTAATTCCGCTTTAGCAACCAAGCTGAAAATGTACCTGAAAATCATACCACGAGGTATATATTTCATATTACAATAAGAGCGATTAACAAGCATTTATGCTTACTCGCTCTTAGTTCAAAAAAAGAAAGTGAAAAGAGAAGAGTAAGAAGAAGAAAAATCTGTCAGCGGAGTACAATCCTTCCACGGAATAAGTTACTCGCATGTTTGGAAACTATAAATATTTATAGGAGACGGAATGCTGTTGTAATACAATAAAAAAAAGCAGCCGCTATCAAGTCTGTGACATTTAAGCTGCATCTTGAATCTCTTTGTTCACAGCTCAAGAAGAGATTCATCTTTCTTTCCTTCGCCATTGGAAGATCGAGGGCTTGTATTACCAACTTCACATACACTTGTACATTTTACCTTCATACATACTGCCCCTTAGCCAACATGCTTTTCTCCGGCAAAAGGATAAGCGTAGCTGCTTCCCTTTTCACGTTGTCTCTTGCCGATCCGTGGCCAAAGCGTGGCCTGGCGGCCAACGATGATATCCCCATCGGTCAGTTCAGCGGATCATGGAATGGCTACGGTTCGCAGGTCAATTGGCAATACAACTGGGATAGCACAACCAGCCAGAAGCAAAGCTGGGCTGAGTTTGTACCCATGCTGTGGGGCACGCAAAGCTACCATACAAACCAGTGGTTCGACAATGCTTGGTATTGGCTTAATAATGGAGGTTCAGGGCACTTGCTAGCCTTCAACGAGCCAGAACAATCCGGCCAGGCCAATCTAAGCCCCGGGGATGCTGCTGCAGCTTGGAGGCAGTACATGGAGCCTTTTTATGGTCATGCTCAACTCGGTGCTCCTGCCGTCTCTAATGACGGCTACAACTGGCTGAGTCAATTTTTGCAGGCCTGCAGTGACTGCCACATTGATTTCATCCCAATTCACTGGTACAATGATTATACACTTGAGGCGGATCTGGAAAACTGGGTTAATAGCATATGCGCGCTTGGCAATGGCCGTCAAGTCTGGATTACAGAGGTACGCCGCTCATATCAGTTCCTATCTAGAGAGAAAGAATGCTTACCCAGATACTAACTACCTAAATAGTTCCAAGCATTCGGAACAATTGACCAGCAGAGTCAGTTTTTGCGATCGGCAATTCCGTTCCTTGATAACAATGGTTGTGTCTACCGTTATTCCTACTTTGGTACCGCGGATAATTCGAAAGTGCTGCTACAGAACGGTGGACCTTCTCTTTCTCCCTTGGGTGTTCAGTATACCTTCAGCCCTTACGGCTCGGGCAATGGGCCTAACTAAGACAGTGACGTTCATTTGGAGGTTATACCACTGTATATATGATATTTTCAAATAGATAGTCAAATAAAAGCGAAATATACTGCTTCAGATAAAAGGTCCCGAATATTATGGTCAACCATTGTTCATAGCTGGGTTAGTCAACTCGCAAAAGTTGAACATGGCTATATTAAGTTCCAGATGATAAGGGTATTTGTGAGTATGAAATTGATTACCAATTGCTATGCTCCTATAGATATCTACTTCATGCTATTACTAGCGTCTCTTCATTCTGTTATTCTCCACGTAGCTGTTGAAAGAGAAAGAAACACTCCCTTAACAACTATACATATTCCTCTCTGTAGATATCTAAACCAGTCTTTCAATGTAGAGAGCTTTGTCGTAATAAAGACACAATTAATTCATGTAACTAGTATATAACTATATGTAACTATGTATCTTGCGTGGCTATATACATAAAGCGACTTCCGAGAAGAATAAATACTTCGGCAAATTCATGATTGAAGACAGGGATGTTAAATTCTGATGTTTTCAGTGTAGCCGTGAATTCTCCTTGTCTCCAGCCTAAACCTGAATTTGAATAGCACTATACCTTTATTAAGGTTGTCTGGGGTTAGGAGGGCAAGCAGCGCCAACACAGCAGGTAATTTGGCCCGACTGGCACTGCCCGAAAGAGTTTGCAGCGCCATCGTTGACATAAGTCCAAGCAGCGTGCTGGCAGGGAGCAAAGAAAGGCGCAGCTGACGTGGCTCCTTGGTCGCTTCTGAGCGGGTTAACACAAGCGTTTTGCCCGTCATTGTTCTTTGTTTTGTGTTAGCTACAGCTAATTGGATAAATGTACAGTAACGTCAACTTACGCCGCAAGAGTTGAGGTTGAACAAGTTCTTGTTGCAACCAGTTACAATCTGTCCGTCACAAGAGCACACAATGGCAACAGAGAAACCGTTTCTATGAATGCATTAGCTGACAGGAAAAAGAGAAAATAAATCACAGTTCATAACTCACACATAAGAGATATCAACATCGGCTACTGCAATTGAAGACCCCTGAGGCACAACAAAGTTGGCCTCAATTAGAGAATCATCGCCAGTAATAGCCCAGCCGGCGTCGTTAATAGCGACGTTACCAATCCATCCGGTTGGTACAGCAAAGGCCGCAGTGGCGCCTGCGGCCATAGTGCCGGGACCTACATTACCTGACACAGCAGAAGGGCCGTTAGGGTCGTGAGCATGCGATGTCGAAATAGCATCGCCATGGCTGTTAACAACAGTGATCGTCAGGAACTGAGGAGGACTAGCAATGTCTAGACCATGAATATTAGGAGCAGCTGTGGGGCCGGCAATTCGAACAGTAGATGCAATCGTGCCTTCAGTGCCAGTCAATGCAGGCTGAGGAGCGGCAAGGATAGAACTGGCAAGGCCAAGTAACGAAATGTAAGTCAAGCGAGCCATTTTAGACATAGAGAAACAGCGTCAAAAAGAAAACGAAACTCTCTAACACCGGAGAATTGAATTACTCGTGACTGATGAAGACATCATGAGAAGAGCCATGGAGCGAGATCCCTCTTTATAGATGCTTTTCTTACTGAGGATTGTGCTGGCATCTTTAAAGTTGGCTGTATTTTATTTAACCGATACTAGGACTTGCCTCCCATTTCAGTCCTTGCAATCGTCCCCTTTGATGCTATTGTTGCTGACAGTACAATCTCTTGAGGACCTCAAAAACTGTCGAGGTTGTCCAGTTTCGGTCACTACCAGAGACAGAGTAGCTTTTTGAATCCTATAGCCAGGCTGATTGAACATGATTGGATCGGGTATAAATATGAACCATTATTTGAGCATGGAATACGACTCACAACCTTCTCTTTCTGTATAACATATATCTTAAAACATCCGACTATGCGGGTCTCGGCTACTTAGGGCCGATGAAAGGCCTAATAAATCCCCGATCAAATATAAGGGTACCGTAATGAGCATAGATGCCAAGCTGTTTAATTTTCTATAATTTACATGATTTAAAATATAGGTGGTGATTACTGCTCCCTAGGTATGAGTAGTCAGGTAAGCCAATATGCCCTCTCCTGATCATTTTACATTCTACTTTAACTGGAAGGTTCATACTTCTGGTCAAATAAAAATTGAAGAATCCTTACGCCGTTTAGGGTTACTCTTATGTCAATGTTACCATAGCTTACATGGAACACGCGTTTGACTCTTCAAAAGGTCTATGAACTACTTATAATTGAGTAGCTATGCATCACCTTTGTGGTTAGTGTCGGTTAATATTACTTAGTGCTATGATAAGCAGCGTTCCTTCTAGGCAACACTGTGTACGTGCGAATACAAGCTGGGCATAAATATATGTTATTGTGCTATTGAGCGCAGTAACTTGAGTTGATCATTTTCTTAACAATTCTGAAGTAGACTTTGCTTCACTGGGTTCTAATGCTTCACGGAGGCTCTTAAATAGCCAGTATCAAACTACATACCGTAGTAAGAATATTTTGCGAGGTGGAGGGCAAATTACAACCACCAGTACCTAATATTGCCTCATCAATCCTTCATACAGGGGTCGGGTTGTCGGCACATTGGAGTAGAAGATAGAGTAGTAGCTAAATCAAGAGCCACTAGTCCTACGTGTTCCTGAAGATCACATAACAGTTATAAGATAACCTCTTCCCGGACTTCTAAACTATTCCCTGCATTCTGTTAATAGTAGATGCTGGGCGGAAGCCGGGCTGCCCTGGCCACACAACATGTGGCCTAGTGTGTCTGTGGCCTAGTGTGTCCTATACGGCACTACCCGAAATCCAATTAGTATGCTTATGCACAACTGCCGCTCTAGCGCAGCAAAAAGTGATAAGACGACTTGGATTATAGCAACTGAGATGCGTAATACATGGACTTTGTATAGATACACTGGTAACACTAGAAGTTGTGCGGAGTGAGGCCAACATCACTCGACGAACGGTGAATATATCGGATTGAGATATTGGAAGAATCCCGGCTTCTTTGGCCAATGCCAAGATGTCAACGGTTCGCTTGGCCGCTTCTTGGGCTTCATCTCGAGTTTCACTACTACTGCATTCTATGCGATTGGTGCCGAGGCGTTGGTTCTGGTTTCCACAAAGATTCACAACCCGCGCAAAGCTGTTCCTAAAGCTTTACAGGCTGTCTGGGCTCTTGTCATCTTCAATTTCTTGAGTGAGGTTTAGTAATTGGAATTCCCACTATTCTGGATAAAAAAATAAGCACGCTAGAATATACTCGTAAGCTTGATAAATAATACATCGAATCATTAGTGTTTACGACAGTGCAAGCTGCCAGCCTCGTTGCCGGACAATATCCCTCCAACCTATTGTCTCTGTCTCTCCCAATTGAGCCCTCTGCTCCCAAAGTTCTTCCAAAACCTCCCTACAAGCATTCACATTCCGAAACCTCCTCCACTTGTTCATTGTGTAAAGCCTGTTCTTAATTCGCTCAATGTGTGTTTCGTTCTTCGCCTCCCCGCCAGCAATAAAAAGCGGAAATAGTAAAGAGCACTCGGCCAGGGATCCCTCGGGTACTTTTTGCGCCGCATCACATACCGATTCAACATACACATCAACCCCCTCTGTTAGTATATCATCCGAGTGTTGTGGAAAGTATTTTTGCAAGACATAATGAAGGTATATGAGTCCCGCGCTTTGATACGTCTGGCTGAGGAATCCGAGCGGTGTGTCGGCGGAAGCAGTTGGGCATTTCCATTCTCGAAGTTCAGCAGCAAGGTCGCGTGCTCTTTGAAGAAATGTATCGTAATTGGAGCTTGAAGGCAATCCTCCAAAGATGTCAGCATAGGCGTCTTCTTCTGGGCTGCCACCATCGCCAAGTGATAGCTCGTAGTCAGCGCAATCGGCGTTTAAAACACTGATCTCGGATGTTAATAGCATGATTTTCGACGCAAATGCAAAGTAAGGATCCGCCATCTCATCATCCGCAGACATCCAATAATCGCCAGTGATAAGGGGCCTTCTATCCAGTGACACGCTCATCAGGATATCGTGATACGCAAAGTTTCTAACCAGCCACTTCCGCTCAACCGATTCCAACCAGTAGCCGTTAATTATGCTTCGTGACTTTTGCAATGCGCCTTCTTGAACATCGGAGATGCCGGATTGCAGGACGGCCGCAGCTCCAAATAGATGGTGTGCCCAGCCGCTGGTAGTTGCATCCGAGATAGTCTCCATGGAGCACATGGCCATCGTTATAGCTAGGCACATTTCCCCGGAAAGGTTATTGCCGTTAAGGGCGGCGCTAAGGTTGCTAAGAACCCTGCCCCGATGTTGGAGAGAGACATTGTGGAAACTGGGGTCTCGTAAGGCAAGATGGGCCGATGACCATGCAGCCATTGCATCAAGCAGAGTAGCGCAGTCAAAGGCCATTGGCAACAGGACTAGATCCACTATTAAGGAATATTCTAGACGCAGAGGAAATAGCTGTATCCAACTAACCTGACAGGAAGCAGTTATTTTCAGCTGTTGCTGATAGCATAATGGCGAGGGTGGAAGTGTAGTATCGCATCATGGTCCTGCGACTGGAGCTCAGATGATCCACAGAATCTTTGGATCGTACAAAATCCAGCGGTTCAAAGATCTTTGAGACCCGTACGACTTCGGAAACATTGTCGCCATGTGGAGAATTGGAGTTGTCGTAGCCCCAGCGTTGACGCACTTCAGAACCAGCCGAGTCTCTGGCAGCATCTTCCCCGCAAGTGCTTGATACAACCTCTCGGGGCTTTTCGTGCTTGCAAACGAGGTTAAGTCGTGAGCAGTGCCCACAAATCGGAAGCCCCTGGTCGCATTTCTTCTTGCGCTGTCGGCAGGTTAAGCACCCGCGGCGTTGTCGCGTGTAACCGCCCTTCTTGATCAATTTGCGCTGGGAAATCTGCGGTTGCGGCCTTGAAGCCGGTAATAGCGAGACCGGCAACGTCGACATTGCGACTATAGGGGCGAGACGGGCGTCAATGGCGGCAGGCGGCACACACTTCCAGTGGGGGGACGTTTGATGACCAGATGTACGCAGCGAGTAGTCCAACGTAGGTTATATGAGATGGATCTTCCAAGGTGGTAGAAATAAGGTGACAGAGAAACCGAGAGTCGGAATGCGTCCATGCGCGGCGTTAAGGGCGGCGGCGAGCCTGTTATCTTATTAGGGGACGCTGCCGAAGATAACGGGCTGAGTATCTATCAGTTGTGTGGAGAATGCGGAGTAAGTGGACAATGGATAACGACTGGAAACGCAAAGCGCGGGGAACTTATCTGATAGCGCGTGGCAAAGTGGTTGTATTGGGTTAAAAGCTGAATCCACAAAGTTAATACGTGAGCGTGCTAGTTGCATTGAGATAACTCGTACATAATACAGATAGCACTAGAACGAGTTTATCGCCCCTCTCGCACGCGTTTGACTATTTCTGGATGTCAACCATCTTTTGCTAGTTCTATCTTTCTTTGTTGCTCCTTATTTTCTCGGTGTAGAGCCCGGGGAGGTTGGAAAACTGTGGAGTAGCTTAACAATCGCGGAGAATGAAGAGTTATCATAACATCTGTAATTCATATTGTAATACTAACTATTGTTTTTTATTCCCATCTACATAGGGGAGTTTATATCCCATGCAAATTTCAGTGATGAAATTCACCACCGTAACTCTCCAACTGAGGCCCGGTAAAAGTTTTACGCAACTTGGCAGCCCACACAACAGCTGTCACAACTAGACCCACAGCCATGACAACAATCAAATAATTCATGGTGTTGGCAGTGACGGGATAACCGACGGGGAAGCAGAAACAAATAGAGAAGAAAATGACAAAGAGCGTAGCAACGGCGTTTGTAATGTAGCCAAACTTTCCAAGAGAGAAAGCTCGCTCCGGAAGAATGCTGCGGCCTCGGAACAAGAGGGCAGCCTGGGGTAGCGCAACCGTGATATTGAGCGCGAATAGGGTGAGATTGATGAAACTGCTGTACGCTGTAGCCGACGCCACATAGAGAACGCCGATGATAATCTGCAAGACAAGCATGATTGCAGTGGCGCGAACGGGACTTGACGCATTCAGATGAGAAATGAATTTGGAGTAGGGGACGCCGCCATCTCGTGATAGCGACCAGATTGTTCGGCCGGCGAAAATGAATAGATTGAGAACAATGTCGTAGAACATGACAATGTAATAGACTGCCCAGATGGTTGTGGCCACCTTTGAATTCAGCGCCTGGTTGTACACCTCCAGAATGGGAACGCCGGATTCGATAAGGGCCTGAAGATCGGTGACAACAAACATGAGCGCAATGTTCCAGGCAAGGACTGTGACGATACCCAGGGCCATGGTTGTGATGATGGCAATGGGGACATTTCGACTCGGATTCGGCACTTCTTCTGAAACGTGTGTCGGGGCATCAACGCCACTGTACGCCCAGAGACATCCAGTAACACCGATAAAAAAGGCCCATCCATCTGACCATCCACTAACATTTGTATATTGCCTGAAGACAAAGTCGGTAGACTGTTTCGTATCCTGGACGGTTAGCAGCGTAACCAGCGAGGCCACGAAGCCAACAATGGACAGCACAAGAATCGTCACGCCCAGTTTGCCAATGGCTGTAGGGAAACGAGACGTGGCCCCAAATGCAATGATGCTCAGCAAGATATGGAGCAGGTATGTATGCCAGGCTTGTATTTCGTAACCGTCGTTCCACAGATTGACAAGGTCAAGAATCGAGCCAGCGACAAAGAAGTTGCACGATGCCGTTGCCGCCATGATGTAAATCACCGAAATCCAGCCTGTGAAGAACGCGGCGACTCGACGTGTCGATTGGGGAAAGGTCATGTAAACGATGTGATACTGGCCGCCAGCAGATGGAAATGCGGAAGCAAGTTCAGCAAAGCCGATGTTAATTGTGGCCATGACGATTCCGGCAACAATGAGGCCATAGATGAGACCTGGGCCGCCGCCGCACGAGAGCGGGACGGCAACTCCAGAGGCAAAGGCCACCCACGAGTTCATTGTAGTGAAGCCGAAGGCAATGACAGAGAGAAGGCTGTATCGCTTCTTGAGCTGTTCTTCGGGCTGTACAAACTTTGACTCTTCCACATGGGATTGGGATATGGACACAGAGTCCACAGCGTTGGGCTTGTCAGCCATGGCGAAGAACGTTTTTTGGCTTGTATTATCTGAACAATTTAATATGCTGGATAAGGAGGAATCAAAGGGGAAGAGGGAGAGGAGTTGAAGAGCTTATATAAATACTAGCTGGCTTCACTCAAAGGAAGTAGATATAAAGGCAGTAAGGGCCATTTTTATGGATGACTTGTAGCAGAGGACTGTCAGGTTATCAAAGATCTAGAAATGTTCACCACACCAAGACTTGGCGGATTCGGATTCAGGCGAGCTAAAAAGTGCGCTTTCCGGAGGCGTATTGCTAGCGTTGGCTGGTTCTTATCGGTACTTCAACCCGCGTAAACGTAGGGGTTGTTTAACAGCCGAACAGGTTGCAGCCAAGAATCGAGACTCCATTTTTTATCAAGCCACGTGCCGTGGCGATGGATTTTGCGAACTATAAACGAGGGTTCGAAGACAAACATCAAATACTTGACAGCGTCTTGTACAACTCCCCGAGGAACTGGGCAGACTTGTAACAGCACTCGCGTTGACTTTGGTGCTGATGCTGAGATCATGTCTGGTGGCTAATCAGTTTTGGCACCATTTTAGCAAGTCAGAATGCGCCTATTCGCGGCCGATCTCGGGCTTCACACAAGAGGTAGCTTCCCCAGACAATATCCCCCGCCGTTGACGCCGTGGGTGGAGAATGTGGAGAATGCGAACACCAACTATTAAGCTGAGCAACCCTATAAATGGTAGACGCTGCAAGGCAAAATGTGCTGGATATAGAGACTTTGTTTATATCGTTTCTTCTCGTTTCCTTTGTAGGTGTTGTTAAGCGCTCCTTGTCTCCAAATGAAGTTCATCACATGGCTCAGCATCCTCGCCTTGGCTGGCTCAGGTTACAGCTGTGGCGGGCATGGTGATGAGAAGGAATGGAGCAAAGAGGAATTGGCTGAATTGGAGGCAAAATGGGGGCACGAGGTATGTGACGAACTTAATTTGTAGTTTCCAGCCCGTGTTGACAGATTGCAGTGGTCTTTCAACGGCATCGGGTCATTTGCTCATCTAGACTACGTCAAGTGTCTCACAAACCCGCAAGAGAAATATGACATTGCAATTATCGGCGCGCCTTTCGATACCGCAGTCTCGTTCAGACCAGGTAACTATTTTTGCATGACCCAGGTGATGACTGTTTACTCACCTTCTCACAGGCGCCCGATTTGGACCCAGAGCTATTAGACAAGCCTCTTCTCGTCAGACGTCGCTACGCGCATTCAACCCTCGCGCCAACATCAATCCCTATCAGAACTGGGCGAAAATCATTGACTGCGGGGATATCCCCATCACGCCTTTTGACAATAATATTGCAACCGAGCAAATGACGCAGGCTTTCAGAAATCTCGGTAGAGCTCAGCCCATAAGCTCACTGAGCAAAGGTCGGCCTAAGCTCATCACTCTTGGCGGAGATCACAGTTTGGCTCTGCCTGCGTTGAGATCTTTGAAGGAGATTTATGGAAAGCCGGTTCGGGTTCTTCACTTTGACGGTATGTCTTTCTCATAGGCTTTAAGGGAAGCAGACGGAAACTGATAGACTCTAGCTCACCTGGACACCTGGAATCCCGCCGCATACCCGTCAGCCTGGGGTTCATCACATTTTACTCACGGCTCCATGTTCTGGATGGCTAACCAAGAGGGGCTTCTGTCAAACTCATCGACAAGCCAGTCTGTTCATGCCGGTCTGCGCACTCGTCTCAGCGGCTCTGACTGGGCGGATCACGAATCGGATACCGCCCAGAACTGGGTGCGCTATGCCGCCGACGAGATTGATGAGATCGGCACACAGGGTATCATCGATGGTATCATGTCAGTATTAGGAACTGAAGACCCGGTCTACCTGTCTGTTGATATCGACGTGCTGGATCCCGCTTTCGCACCTGGTACTGGAACCCCTGAACCTGGCGGCTGGACTACGAGAGAGTTTATCCGAATCCTGAGAGGAATTGAAGGCCTAAATATTGTCGGCGCTGACGTCGTGGAGGTCAGTCCTGCCTACCAAGGAAGAGGTGAAGAGACGGCTTTGGCGGCGGCACAGGTTGTGTATGAGATCCTAAGCTCTATTGTCAAGAGGGGTTTGGAAGACGGAGCTCGAGAACAGCCAAAGGGTATAAAAGATGAGCTATAATGCGTGTATATATAAGCTTTATACTAGCGACTGTTTCCTATCAGCGCTGAAAATCTGTATTATAAACGTGCACAAATGATGGCACGAATCAATTAACATGATGGGGGAATTGGAAACAATTAATTGCTCTTCATCAGCTAAAAGATACGCGTAATATTATGGTGATATCACACTGATATTAGCGGGCTAAGCAGCTAACTTCAACCGCTAAAGGGCTCCGAGGCTGTTTGTTTCATAGGAACATCAAAGCCACGTACCTTACCCTTGTATGCTCCGTCAACTTATGACGATACACATCTACTTTGAAAGGGTTTCTCTTTACGGTCATCTTTGCTTCTATTATAATAACAAAATAAGCGACAAATTGGACATCTACGCTATGGATAAGTATTACAGGACAAGTAGCCGCGTTGGCTTCCTATGCTCATTCACTTATAGTTATGCAGTATGGCGGGGCTCAACCCCTCTTCTAATGTCTTTGAAGGCAAATTAAGAGGCTGTGATATGGCATAAGTCCAATCAAGCAACAGTGGAGAACAATACACTGTACAGTATATGCAAGGGTAATAAACGAAATGCAAATGGATATGTAGCATCAGTTTCTCATTACCACACCAACCTACTCTTTAGATAGGACAATGAAGTATTGTATATCCAAGATACTCGCATGACGTAAATTCCCTAAGTCGTCCACTTGGTGTTTTACACGTCACGGCAGTACGCGCAGTAGCTCCCTCATCTTCTATTGGACAAGTCAACTACTTCATAAGACACGTAATATTGTTGAGAGGCCGTCCACTTATTAGTAAGACAATCGTGAAGCCTCTCAGCGGCTAGGCCATTGCATAAATAACTCGGATTTCCCTTTTCAAAATTTGTCAAAATATTCCTCCATTTATCTTCGTTATGAACAGAATTGCCTCTATAAATCCTATAAAGTGATATATTCTCCCCAGCTTCTACATATTGACTTGAAGGCTGGTCTATACACCTCCAAGCAATGTCGCTTCCTACCCTCAATCACGTCTTTACCATGGCGATCACGCCAAAGGAGCCAATTAATGCCGGTGAAACTCCAAGAGGAAAGGCAAATTGGTTCGAAATCACGGATGGAACAATTACTGGAGCAGACGGCAGCCATATTGCGGAAGTAACCTCTGGTGGAGGAGACTATCTTACTCGATACGTCGAAGACAATGTTGCTGAAGTGGACATGCGGCTGATAGCCAAAGACTCGAATGGCGAGCTGTTACGCCTCAGTGTAATGGGTTATGATTATCTTGATCGAGCAACTATGCTGGCTTTGGATGGCCAGGCTGGCGAGGATTTGGGCAGTGACACGTCGAATATCACTGAACCGTATGGATTTGAGATACTCAAATGTAGCACGGCGAGTCAAAAGTACAGGTGGATGAATTTTGCAATCTTACTTGCACGTGTAAATTTTGTCTTTGGTGCTGCGGGTATTGACAGTGTTGTATACAAGGTATACCATGTCACAAACTAGGATTGCACGAACAGATAATGTAGTGGGCAGAGAGCGTAAGGCAAGAATTGGATATACTCGAGTCAATTGTTGAATGAAATATTTTGGATATTGATTTATAAATGTGCCATTAGAGATAGTGCGAAGATTGAGCCACTTTTGCTGTGTACACATGATTAAGCCAATATCAACCCTTCAACGGAAATGCTTAATATAACACAATGCTTGGCCATCTTTCATTTAAATAATTCTTTATATAAGGTTCCTTTTATATATATCTTAGCAGTTTATATATGCTATAATTTATTCTCATTGTAAACCGTTTGGATGATCTCGACCACTTTATCAGGATATTCAAAATTGGTGAGTGGCCAGATGGTAGACTGAATGTCCAAATATGAATGTCAGAATCCCTCTGGGCTTCTAGAATAAATTGCTTTTGAATGTTGCTCCAACGACAGGCTAGCCTTTGCTTATGACAGCATTCACAAGCTTGACCACGGATGCTGCGAATATCGTGAACCAGCATCACAGACATGATGTATGAATCGATGTGGCCAGAAGCATGCCGTACTTCTAGTCAGGTCAGCGCAGCAGCAGCATCGAGACACGATAAGATGCATCATTCAGATCAGGCCGCTGGCAGGGGCTGGCAGGGTACATGCAGTGACCACTACCCAATTGAATGTCAGGGTTACTTGGTTTAATGCTAAATGTCCGATTGACATGTGTGTTTGTATGAAACACCATAGCTATATATACTTTATATTCTTTTAAATACTCATATCTACATATCCCTATTTCTTCCTGGATACGCTTAAAGTGGTTGGGTGCCATTGGCCTGGCCATAGCTGTAAATGTCCAACCTGTTGGGACCGCCGCATGTTTCAGCAGCGTTGCCCGCGCAATTCATGTTGCAACCAGCATTTCCATCTGGGGCAATGGTTGCACCATTGGCGAGGCTGTTACCGCAGTCTACGAATCGTTAGAACGAGATCAGAGAAATATCGAGCTGGAGTTAGACTTACAGCACTCGTCGGCATACTCAAGGCCCGCAAGAGTGTAGCCCAGGCCCTTGCACACACTTTGACACGCTTCAATAGTCATCGATGAGGGGCCGTTGGGAACCGACTCGGCAATCAACGCTCGAGCATTGACACTGTCGGTATAGCATCCTCTAAAGTTCCATCCGGTGGCCGCGGGAGGCGAGGCGCTCCCAGTTGCAGTCGCCAAGCTGTAAACATCGAGGCGGTTCGGGCCACCGCAGGTTTCCTGTGGCGCACCGCTGCAAGTCATGGTGCACTGAGCACTTCCATCAGAGGCTGGGCCGCCGCCGTTCTGGAACTTGGTATCACACCCTGAGAGCCGTTAGTTACACTGTAGGGCTTGTTCTTGTGTGCAATACTTACAGCATTCTCCCGAGTATTCGACGCCCGCAATGGTGTATCCGGCGGCTTTGCAGGCAGTTTCACAAGCCTCTATCGACATGGCAGATGCGCCTCCTGCGACCTGGACCTGGTTGGCCAAAGTCCGACCGTTGACGTTATCGGAGTAGCATCCCAAGAAATTCCATCCAGTTTGCTTCGGCGGCGACGAGGTGGTGATGATTGTGGAAAATGTTGTGGATTGTGCTGTGGTGGTGCTAGAAGGAGGAGGAGTCATGCCTCCGCTTCCGGAAGCGAGTCGGAAGAGAGCAATAACATCAGCAAAGGCGTTGACGTTGGAAGAGGAGGTTGCAAGCACGTTTCCGTTCTGCGTGATCTGGTTGACGACGCCCACGGTTCCCAAGTTGTAGACGTTAATGTTGGTCAGCGTGCCTTCAAGGTCGAAAATGTTGTTCTGGCAGTTTTCCGGCCCAAGAGCCACATCACAGCCTTTTACTCGTCAGTTCAACTCTTGTGGGAGGAGGAAGCGAAAAGACTACGTACCAGTGTTTCCATCGTTGTTTTCGAAGAACGAATACAAGCCGGCGGCATAGATGAGGATATTCTTAGAGCTAACGATTCGCAAGCCCCAAGCCTCGGCACAGCGGCCCGAATTGCCGGAACAAGAGGTGGCAAAGTCGGGATCGTTGAGAGCAGTATTGACGTTGAAGGGCGTTGGGGCATTGGGATTTGGCTGGTAGTATCTGGGCAGGGATCATTAACAGTGCACACATGAGAGAGGTGGATATACCTACGGTGTCTCTGTCTGGATAACTCCCGCATAGATGTTCTGCGTGTTGGCAAATTGATACTGGTAGAGGGTATGATGCTCAACCGCTGTTCCAACACTATAGAAGTCTGTCAGTAGCCTGGTCTAAGCAAACGAGAATATGCTAAGCAAATGGTAAACATACAACCAGAACGTTCCTGCAGTGCTTTCAACGTACAGACCTCTGCCGCTGAAAATGGTGATTTGCGTGTTACTAGAGTCGTCAATGTCGTGGTCTGCGGTCCAGAGCCAGTTCTATTCACGTTAGCTGGGAAGCACCTTTTTCCAGGTCAGTTCACTCACATTTTCCATGTACAGGTTGCTTGCACTGGCAGTGATATGCATGGACATGTAAGCTCCAATACAAGCCGTGTTTACAGTCGTGCTGCTCGCAGTTACGGGGCATTGCGCAACTTGGAGGTTCGATCCCTTGAAGCCACCGATTCTCGTGTGCACATCCCACATGCCACTGGGCGTTCCCGAGGTAGCCAAGTTCCACTCAATGAGAATAGCTCCGGCTTGGGTGCCCTGTGTGGACACAATCATGTCTGACCACTCCACCTGTCCAGTCTGGCCGGGTGTGCCAACTTGGACCACAGGCTTCGGGTTGCTTTGGTCATTGAAGAAGCTTCCAGAAGACATGATGATGGGGTATTCCTCTCCAACGATCTTCGCGCCAGGGGGAATAGTGAGCGTGCTGGTGATGCGGTAGATACCAGCATCAAAGTACACGACTTGGCCTGCAGCAGTGGCACTGTTGATGACACTTTGCAGAGCGGCCGTGTCATCGGTGACCGCGTTACCTAGAGTCACGCAAAAAGTCAGCACTCAAACCCTGACGAACAATGGATAACCGTGCTTACCGGTGGCACCAGCAGATCGGACGCTCTTGAATGAAGAAACTGGCAGAGTTTCATACTGGGGCTTTGAGCGCGTGTAATAGCTGGATCCGCTCAAAAGCGACGAGGGACGAGAGTTTGGCGTAATGCTGCCTTGGAATGTCGTCGGTCCATTTGGCGTATACTGGTGACCCTGACCCCACGCAGCAATTGTTGTAGTTCCTCCAGCCAGAATAGTGCTTCCACTCGACGACTGAATGGCCACTGGGACATTGTTGAGAGACAGGTTCTCAACGATGAGACTGTTGGACGTGGCGGGCGACTGGTTTGCGCTGAAGCTGGTCTTGATTCCCACTGGCGTCCCGGTGATGGAACTGTCGATCAAAGTGATGGACTCGGCGGCCGTCATGTCAATGCCCAATCCACAGTTGTTGATGGTAATGCCCTGGTAAACCCACTCCCAATCGAAGCCGCTGACAATGGCTGTCCCGCAGTTGTTGAATACCAAGTTGCGCATTGTGTACTGCTGATTGCCGATAGCAGCACCAATCGAGCCACCGTTGAAGGTCATATCAGTGAGGAATCCAGCGGAGCCTACGAAGTCATTAGCCAAAACATAAAGACACACTACGGTGTTGTAACGAGTGGTTCAGCAGTTCATACCGTTCTCGATGAAAAGACCGACTTGGTTATTTCCAGACGCTGTGCTCATCGTAATCTGGATGTTCTGCAAGCTTGTTGCCTGGGCTGTCGGCCAGTGGATACCATAGATTTTGGGCGCAGAAGTTGGAATAGATGTCATGTCGAGCTTGAAGTTGCGTACTTGCCGGTAGAAGACGTTGGTTGAAATCCAATTGGGATTGTTCGGGTCATTATCGCCATAGTAAGTATCACCATCGATGAGGGCAATGCCGCTGAAGCCTGCGGTCGCCTTGATGGTTGGCAGGTTGGTCGGATCTCCAATGATGTTGGTGTAGTACTGATCAATGATGGGCGTTGAGATCACGTATGTCCCAGCGGGAAAGTATACCACAGCCGGAGTCAGAGTGCTGGATGTGCAGAGTCTGCCACATCGACCTCCCGACAGAATGGCATTGTTAATTGCTGCCGTGTCGTCGGTAACACCATCACCTTGAGCATCCTTCGTCAGCAGCTGCGGTCAAGACTGAGAAGGGGGGGGGGGGGGGCAAGTTACCCTTTGCGCCATAGTCCTTTACGTTGCGGAACACTGTGTAGCCGCTGGGGGCGAATGGCGCAATTCCTTGATGGGCAATGTTTTCATACCAATAACTTGAAGCACGCTTTTCTACAGAGGGTTCAGCCTCGGATCCAGGCGTGGCCAGGCCACGACATGCCACGGCAAATGTGAGGGCCGAAAGCACGGCGGAGCGTATAAACCCCATGATGATAGAAGCTATCTGCACCTCTTCGCAACAACGGTGGAGGGAGAGATTGTCAGGGTGATCATGGAGATTTCTCAAGGACCCCCATGCTCTTAAATCATTTTCGAAGTGGCCTAGTTTTTATATGCAACAAGCGGAGATGGGGAATTTGCACATAACAAGATTCAAGGCATGGTATGCGTTCCTCAGCCAAAGACAAGAAAAGGCCCTTTTTTGGGCTGCGGCGAGGAAGCTGTGAATGAGCTAAAGATGGAGAACGCCCGAGAAAGGCATCGTAGTCTCCTCGCGAAAGGCGAGTTATTCAAGTAACAGGTTGCCATATTACCCAGCAACTTTGCACATAAAGCAAACAAGCAAATAAGCCCTAATTAAAAAAAAGGCCCGACACGATCCGAGCTGTTCATGCTAGTGAGGCGTTCTTTATCTGCACCTCATCTTGTATGAAACAGAGTCCGGGGGAAAGTTGTGGATGTCCGCGATGGTTGAAGGTTACACCGACATGAAGCCTAGTCACCTGGCTGAAGAACAGGAAAACACCCGGCACGTGCTGAGCGCCATGGGAAATAGGACGGAGAACGACGCCCAAACCAGTCTGGACTCGAAGAGACAGAACGCGCTTTCACGGCCAGATCCAGGGCTTTGGGGTGGAGCGCACTCTTTCATTGGCCTAACAGGCTGGAGCCAAAACATGCCGCGGCTAAATGGGGAAAAGGCACATACATCGTGAGATATGTGATGGCATGAGAGCAGAGCCCAAAAGCCATGCTGTCGCGGAATCTCGGACTCCAGAACCAGCCAGCCCCATGTCATCGCGAGTAGCTCCGAAAAGCGACATCGTCTCACTAAGGTCATTAAAGGCAGCTTTTTCGAGTCTCCCCCCACACGACCCTTGTCAACGACGCGAATACTATATCATCGTGCCTTGAAACAACAAAATCATCAACTGACTGGCTCCTAGAAAACGCGCCCTACTCGGCGGATTTGGTGACTCAGTTGAAGCGTCCCACAGTTTTGACAACTGTTAGTTGCCGAGTTTGGCACATGGCTATTGTTAGCTGAGGTGTTGTTTTGGTAGAAAGGAAGCGTATTCTACCCCCCCTGGAAAAACTGTTTATAAGTACGCCAAGGAGCTATGGATACTTGGACTACATTCTAGAATACAGCCTAAGCATAAATATAGTTTCCGTCTCCTCTTGTCGTATAGAAGCTCTGGTTTTTAATACAGAATGCTCAAGAAGAAGAAAAGCACTACCTTAGCACCTTCAATAACTCAATAAGATAGGACCGATTCTGCTGCAGTGGCGTAGCTTATTGCTGCATATTTGCGGGGTGACAGGAGAGGCGGCGGGCCCTAAACCCCAGACTTCCCCGACTTAGCATGACAAGAAGCGCGGAGGTTGTAGTCAGAGGTGTAATTGGTGCGGGACCTCGGCAGATCGGCAGGGCCAAAGGCGGCTTTGGAGTACCCGGGATCTGGGCGTGATGTGCCTGGGCGAGGCATTCCAGTCTGCTGTTACCGGCTGTAAGGCTCTTCGGACACTTGCTTAAGCTTCGGCTCAGCTTGGGTACGACTAGCTATAGTTGGCCAAGTAAACAAACAGCACAGATCACGGCCATTTATTAACTCGGCGTTAAATGTTTCGAGTCGCAAAGTGTCATCCGTGTAGTGAATAGGGTAGTCACGGAGAGCCTGAATGCGCTATTTATGAGCCACGCCATTATTAATCCATCGATGCGTTTGTTGACGTTTGCTCTTTTTGAAATGATGTGCATTTGAGGGTTTCCCATTGATGTGAATCTATAAAATGTCCAAGCCAGCCCATACCCCTCAGTGCTGATATTTACCAGCGCAGACTTGACGCGATACCCTACATCATGATTATCTGGTGTATTCTTCAGCGCTGGAGATTGGTGCTCTACTCCCCGTTGACAAACAAAATCAATGCTCCATGAGCTTTTGGCTCTTTTGAAGGTCTCGCATTTATCATGCAATCATACACATACCATGGCGTAAGTAGTTGAAGCTGTGATCCAAGACTCAGTTATGTGTGCAGAGTTTTGGACCAACATGTTTATGCTAATAGCATATAGTAATTCATGCCTCTATTTTATGAAAAAATGGTATTTTACATACATATGTAAATGAATTGAACTGAAAGCTTTTTCACCTTTCTTCACAAATATAAGGGCGTGTGCTCAAGGGTATGTCGCAGCCATTCGGGACTTGACTTCAATCTGAAGCCTTTTCTAACTGGCGAAACAGAACTCGCAGCACAGAGACCCCAATCATTTTGTTAGCATCCTACGACTGCCAGGAGTTGTTCACAGTCACCGCCGTCGCACCCGTTGCGGGCACAGTATATGTGTGGTTGGGGTCAGCTTCCCATGTCACATCGCCATTGGATGCCACATTAATATATTTATACTGGATCACCGTCCCCGGAGCAAACGACACCTGCACATTCCATAAATGGTTCGAAGATGTATAGTCCTCAGCCGACAAAGCAACAGCGTTCTTGGTATCCCAGTTCCCGAGAGCTGGGACGTTTCCAGCGATCTTGATGGTTTGTCCGTAAATGGTTGTGACAATCTCATCAAAAGTCACGGTAACAGGATTAGTTGCGGCTGCTGTAGAGCTTGTAGATTTAGAGGTGCTTGTGCTGCTGACTGTGCTAGACGCGGTGATTGACGTAGACTGGCTAGAGGTTGAACCTGTCCCGCCGCCAGGCGTCTGGTTGGGCGGCCAGGATCCTGTAGAGGCTGAGGAATAGGTACCCACGGCTGACGTATAAGAACACACCGACGGAACGCTGGATGCCGAAGATTCTCCCCAGGAATATGGCACGACACTAGATCGTCGGGCGGCAGCCGTCAGCAGCGCCGCATAGGACCAGGTTAGGCTGTATGCTGAGAGAGGCTGTCCATTGCTTCGACTAAACTGCTCTGCTAGTGATCCGTTGGATGATGCGTAAGTAGCAACAATGTTAACAAACCCGTCAGCGTAGGTCGAGATGGCGTTATACAAAGTAGTGTAAGTTGAAGAAGAGGAGCTATATGTTCCTACGGTGATGGAGGAATCCATGTCCTTGAAAAAGGCAAGGGACGTTGAGGTAACGGTGATGGATCCAATCCGATTCCACTGATAAAGGGCATCGTAGAGAAGCTCGGCAGCTGCAAGTGTATTTAGATACCAGGGGTTGCCACCTTGGTAAGAGTCTTCCGGATAACGGCCAACGGCAGCAGCAGTGCCCTCGGGAATACCAGAGTTGATGGTATATATGGAGCGGAAGGAATCCACAACGACTTTGTGATTTGCCAAAGCTCGATCAGAGCACCTAGATGTGGTTAGCAAACAACGTGGAATCAATGTGGCTGCAAAAGGTATAGTCCTACGGCTGGAATGTGCTTGCATCACAGTTTCCTTGAGGATCAAATGTGTGAATAGAACCCAGAATCGTGTTGGCATCCTTGCCAGACCTGCCGTTGTTCTGGTTGATATTGGCTAGAATGTAGCCTTGAGACGGACTCCAGAAGCTTTGAAGAAAGCAAAGAGCCTGGGGGGCTTGACTTTGGGCATACGGAATGGACTTGCCAAGAGTAGTAGCTAACGCACTGGCTTCGACAAGAGCACGGTGTTGGTTGGCAACGGTAAAGAAACTGGAGCCGTTCACTTCCTCCCACAGGTCAAAACCAGTCTGATTCCTTTGGATTGCCAGTTAGAATAAGTCATAGCATGTACAACAAAATCTTACCAATATTGCGACACATAACTGATGTCATTCACAATGATGGGCCACACAATCGAACTGGCAGTGGACTCATATCCATTGTTAATCAGCCACTTTGAGTAAGTTATCAAAGCGATGGCTCGAAGTGCAGGTCCGTCCCTCTGTGGACGGCCCCAAGCTCCTGTGAAAGCTGTTTCGTCAACGTTGAACTTTGGCTCACCAAGACCCGTGCCGCTGTTAGACAGGCTCCCAGAAGGATTGGATATGCCTTGCACAATCGCCTGCGCATTGATGTAGTTCTGGATCTCAGTCTGCAGCGAGGATGAGTAAGAGTTGACAAAGGTGTCGACGATACATTTGAAGGTCAACGCCGAATCTCGAGTCCAGGTGTAAAAGTCTGGAATCTGTTAGTGTGGTGTAGCATGGGTTGCGGACAAAGTGGTTCTTACAGTCCGGATTCGTTTTAGATGGACTCGCTATTACTATGCCTGAGTCGGCACCTGCAGCACAGCTACCCGATGACCCAATATTGCACAACATATCGGCCAGCGCAATAGGGACCTCAGTTGCAAGGAATGAGCTCGCAGACCTTTTCGCGATATCGACTTCATGGCGACTCTCGCGGGACAGTCTAGGCACAGCGTTGACAACTTGAAGCGCACAGCAGCCAACGGCTAACAATCTGAGAGACAACATGGTGTGATGACTCGAAAATGCCGAGAATGAGATGGAACGAAAACTTTGTCTAGACTCTTCTGTGAGGCCATAGTCTCTGTTTTTATAGTACAATCGGTAAATTTGATGCTCACTTCGGAGCTCATCCTTGTGCTGAGTTGAAGATGTTGTAGCGGCATTTTGATACGGCCATCACGCACAAGATGGACTTTTGCTATCAATTCAAACAGGCCGAGGAAGGCCCACCTCCTGAACTCTGCATTACCGTCGATTTTAGAATGACTTATGTGATTGGAGTAATGCCTCGAAACGGCCCGAAGACGGTACAATTTCCATTGGAGCGGGTATCCTAAGATGGGCGGGAAGCTTCAACTTTAGCCATCTGGACTTTTCGACCAATATGTCCATCTTGGATGGGAGCAGATCAACTTGATGCAATCGATTTCCTACCTGCATTGTGGATGATCTAGCATAAGTCTCTGCCAGTTGCTTCGTTTCAAGAGGTTTATCAAGGCCGTCAACGCCAAACAAAGGCGGGGCAGAGTCCCATTATTGGCGACTGTCAAGTGTCAAGTCGAACAAGGCCCGAATTCGGCTTTGCCTACCGACGTCAGACTAGGTAATCCTGGAGACGGCAGATAAATATTGGCCGAGAGGAATGCGGGGAAGCGCTTTAGCACTCGGCCAGATCGTCGTTGGCATCAAGGGGAAATGACGAGAGCAGGTGAAATAGAAACGTGCAATAGATGTCGCACAGCCCCAAACCACCGAGCCGGGCCGAGCCGCGAGATTGCGCCTTAAACTACAGGATAATATATTATCCCCCATGCATAAATGGCTCATGACGACGTTTTGGCATGTGGTTGGTAAGACGGATATAAACTAATATAAGGTATTAACTACCCTAAACTTGACAGTTATTAAGAAGGAATTTTGGATAGATATTAAACAAGCAGAATGAAAACAAAACAAGAATACAAATATATGTATGTATACTACAGAGAATATATAAAGTCAGACCACCAAACAATATCGCAAGGTATAGATTAAGAAAGCGAGAGTTTATAGATAAGATGAAGTGTTTATTATTCCTTTGCTTAATACTGTATACAAATTCGATAATGCGTAAGGGCTTGTAAAGCATCTGACGTAGACACGACTGATTACCTTGCTTCGTACTGATCTCTTGCATCATACTCATGATCCCTTGCCTCATACTGATCAAGCGTTCTGACGTAGGTGACTGGACCGTCATAACGGCGATTTCCACGGAAAAAGTAGTATGCCAACGAGAATATTGTAACGCCGCCATAAATTACAATATTCCAATTCATCTGAGCTGCTGTCGGATTGGGGTTGCCGGGCATAAATGACAAAACGAAAATGAGGACGAGGAAGGCTTCGGAAGCAATGTTTACCGCGAGGCCCCATCGTCCGAGGCTGAACTTGGACGGCAGAAGCGTATTCTTCGTCCATCGTCGCCAGATCATGCAGCCAGTTGAGACGATGTAGCTGGACAGAAGCGATACAGTTGCCAAAGAAGTGATGGAATTCAGGGCTACAGCTGAACCAATGTTAATGAGGGAGAGCAGCGCTGAAACAAGGAAAGTCGTGATAATGGCATTGAGGGGCACATCCCACCCTGCTCTTATCTTGGAGAACCAAGAGCTAAAGGGAACAGCTTGGTCTCGTGCAAATGCATAGAGCTGGCGCGATGAGGTAGCCACCATGGTTAGGTTGGAGAAGACTGTCATGGCAACAATGAAGACTGACATTGCAGTCGCACTGCTCGTCGATTGTGTGGAGTTGTAGAAGACCTGCATGAATGGGTATCCCGTTGGAGACTCAATAACCTCTCCAAGGTCCCCCAAGCAGAAGCAAAACGTTATGACCATGATCCATCCGAAAGCACCATTGAAGACTGTAGTCAATATCATGGACTGCGGCAACGAGCGGCCAGCATCGCGCAGCTCCTCGGACATGTGTACGGCAGCATCTGCGCCCAGAAGAGGCAGGATACCAGCAAGGATTCCCACGAGAGCTGAGCCTCCCAGGCTGTTCCAGCCTCCGCCGTCGCTAAACTCAGTGAAGACAGCCTTTGCGTCTGCCCTTGGAGAAAGAACCCAGAGGGTGACGAGGATGGCGAAGAAGGCAAAGACATGAATCACAAGGATGAGAGCCTCGATGATCGGCAGCTTTCTCGCAAGCACGGTATTGAAGAGCACAGAGAAGGCAGCAACGGCAATGGTGATGAGGGTGCCGTGCCAAGGCTGGGGGTTATAGTCGGGATAGTTCAGCACGACGAGCCCCTGGATTTGCGTGCCGGCAATAAACGCCGACGAAGCGCATGACGTCTGCCAGCCAAGCACACACATCCATCCCATGAGGTAGCTGATGAACTTTTGGTACTGCGGAGGCGCAAATTCGGATACCCAGTGGTACTGTCCTCCAGTTGTGGGAGCCCTGTGGAAAGTTGGCGTCGGCAATCAGGTCATGTCTGCGCAGGTAGGGCCATTTGGAGACTCGGTAGTAGGTACTCACATTGAAGCCATCTCAGCCATAGAAGTGTTCACCAAGAGGAAGCCGATCCAACAGATAAAGAACATCCAGATGAGGCCGGCAGTGCCGCCGTTCACAAGTCCGATGGTAGAGACACTTTACCAGCATGTTTAGTCACTTGATAAGGATTCATGACACCCCCAGATCTCAACTAGCACAATTTACCTCAGAGAAAACTCCCACGACGCCATGAGAATCATGGAAAACCCAAATATGGACAGAAAGCGAAAGTTTCTCTATCAGATGTAACCTTAGATAAGCCAATTGTACCACAGGCCAAGAATGTTTGCTAATACGAACTCTCATTTCTTGCGTTTTGCCCATGCGGTACATGTCCGCGCGGTCGGCCGCGGTCCCTTTCTTGTCAACATCATCGTTGCTTTCGATGGCGCTGCCAACGACTTCAGGGGTTTCTTTATCGTCAATTGACATTGTCGTGATGCTCTGCAATCACCGCTCGGAAAGAAAATATCAAAAGGTGGAGGTGAAGAAAAGATTATATAAAGCTGCAGCTAGCTTTATAAATGATGCAAGGAGAAAAATGCATCCGGCAGACACACATTGCCGGAGAGTTGCAATCAAGAGGAGTATCAAGCACGTAGCAGAATGAGTACCGGTAGCAACGAGATAGCATTGGGGATAGCGCAAACAGCGTGCAAATATTTACTGCAGCCACAACGCCGGCCTGGGCTCCTAATATGGCTTGGTTTATGCATGTTGGTCAGCCCTGGTATAATCCCTACATGTGACAATGCAGGGAACTCTAGCGTGGTACAGGGAGGTGGTGATGCCGTCTGTCCGACAAAGACAAGGACAAGGCGCTTCTTGATGATTACGACAGCACGGCCTAATATCAACCACGATTTCCGGTGCGATTTCCGGTGTCAAGAGTGGATTATTCAACATTTAACTAAGCAAAGCAATCGCTAGCAGGGGGCCATGCCTCATAATTTGGTCGAGCAATTCGTTAGATCGGGAACATCTTGCGAAGACCCACAGTCTCTTGGTTTGGGAACAAGACACAAAGGGCGAAGGGATGTACGTACCTACTCGTAGAGTCACAGGCAAGGATATTGTCACACTGTATCAAGTGCATACTGTTTGCATACGTGTAACTTGGTGATGAAGCCTGACCGGGACATGGCAAGTTTGCAACCTAGTCTCACCCTGAGAGGCTGGTTTTATGCGAGGATGCTTGCACTGTAAGCTGCTGGAGGGATGGATGACCTAGAGCCAGGAGGTAAAATATCATCTTGCATCAAGCATGTTAAAACCAATAACACGCGACAGATAATCCATCCGAGTCGTTGCTTTTGTTGCAGTCTCGTTCTGTAAGAGTAGATTCCAGCGATTAATATGCAATGACTTCCTGTTGGGAGTGTCATCTCTCTTTCAGTTCTTGAAAATTTGTCAAAATCGCTGCATCGCACATGCTAAGCCCACAGATATATTCGCCATGGATTCAGTATCAATGAGCAGTGGCTCGCCCCCATTCTCGCCCGTTACGTACAACGACCATGCTGGGAAGCTGTGGATTGTAACGATTCTGTCACTTATTTACAGTTCGCTTGCAATCATGGCAAGGGCGTACATCAAGCATAAGATGCTCGGTTTTGATGACATCCTGATTGCTTTTGCAACGGTAAGAGGGCTGATCTGATCCGGCTGACGTTCGATATCCCCTGTTGACAAAGTATTGGCCATTCAGATTTTGCATTTAGCTCAGTCAGTCGCGGTATTCATTGGCTTGAACAACGGCCTTGGCAAATTCAACTCCATTACGTCGCCGGAACAATGGGCGACATCTTCGAAAGTGAGCTTCTACACACTACCACTGTTGATTTCATAGCTGATGTATCTGCTGGCAGTCCACTCTCGCAGCCGTTATCCTCAGCTTACTGGCCCTGGCTCTCGCCAAATGCTCTGTTCTCGCCCTTATTCTGCGAATAATTGGCTCCAAAACCGGAAAGATTAAAATATTCTGCATTTCGCTCATAGCCATCAGTGCGGCTTGGGGTGTAGGTTCCTGCCTAGCATTCCTGATTAACTGCCGCGCCGATACATTATTGACTCGGGATAATATCGAACAATGTCCCAATCAGGTGCGGAACAACCATGCTGTACCCCCTCAGAGATCTCATCATCAGACGGCTAACTAGAGAGCTGCTTGTAGGATATACGATGGGCCGTGATCACGGCTGTCGACGTCTCCACTGAGATGCTCACTTGGATTCTCATTGTACAACTGTCTTGGACAGTCAACATGTCATTCAGCCGCAAGTGTCAGGTTGCCATGGTGTTTTCATTCCGTCTGCTGCTCATTGCCCTCTCGGTTACGCACTTGGTATATTTCGACAAATATCCAACTTCCGCCCAGCCTCAGTTTGCCATTGCGAGCTCTTTGCTCTTTCAGCAGGTCATGATTGTGTGGTCCCTCATTTCTGCCACGGTGCCGAACATGAAAAACTTTTTAAAATCCTTCTCCATCGGCATGGGGTTTCCACTGCCCCCTGACCTCAGCTGGCTCGAATCCAGCCAATCGTACCAGCTTCAGTCACTTGAGAACAGACACCCAAGGGGTACTTCCTCTACGGCAACGACAGCTGGAGGAACATTGACTTCTGCTGGAATGCATGACCCCTGTGACAGCGGACTCCGCAGCCGCCCGTACAATTGGAGGCTGGGCCAGGGTTCGAATGAGACCGCTATCAGGGCACATGGCGGCAACAACAGCAGAGAGGAATTATTAGAAACAGAAGAAGACTAGCAACCAAGCCAATAGTGATCATGACATTGACATTATAAAAGGATGAATGCGTGTTGCTTACTGAACCCTCTCTGAAACTAACTCACCAGCCTTCAATTCTTCAACAGTCAATACTAGCTCCGGCAGTACTTTAGCACAATATCTAACCTCTTTGTAGTAATTACGTCTTTTAGGTGGTAGATAAGAGGAAAAAGACTGGCATGTTTAGTTAGTCTCTGGTAATAAAAGCAACACTTGGACAGAAAGAGACACATGTCGCATGAGGCATTTTCAAGCGTTTAACGCAAAACAAAAAGAAAGCAAAAATGGCAATACCACAAGTATTCAGTACTACTAGTAGCAATTGTAGGTACGGGGCGGTGGTGCATGCATGCAACCTTGTTTGCTGCAGAGCCGTTGTTGCTGGTTGGAATTTAGCCACTGCGGACGACCGGGGTGTTGATTCCCCGGGCCAGTCGGATCACCGAGATTCAGTCGAACCACAAGTAGGACCCCGTTCGACACTTTGCTTTTTAGATCGAGACCCAAGGCCCAACCAAGAGCGGGATGGCGTAAGGCGTCGTGCTAAATCAAGCCATGTAGGAACGCCTTTAACAGGAGACAACTAATGCTGCTAATACTGTAGCATGGATTCTTGGCAAGCGGCGCTAGGCCTGAAGAACATATAGTTGCATATGATACATATGATATTGATTTATTTCTCAAAGTACGGCATGCGAAATCCGAGTTTCCTTCTTTTATTTCTACGGATAGCGGCTATTACCGTGTTGGTGCTGATATCCAAGGACGCAGGTACTGCAGGGGGGCATACCTACGGGTATGTGAAAGCAGTTTGTTTGCCCCTATTATATAGCCAGAACTAGGCAATCATCTTCAAATCATAAACTGACTACTGTCACGTTATCTTGCAAGCTGCCACCCTAGCTGGCGGCCACTTCATCTGCATCTATCTGCATAGGTGCTGATGCATATCAGTGGTGTACCTACTTTCGAAACAGTATCTCTCTTTGACTAGGGATTACAGCGATCCTCACTGCCGCTATAGACTTTATTGAACTTGGCCCTGCGAACTGTTTAGACTTTCCTTTTTTTCTTCCTCCCCCCCTTTTTTCTTTTCCGTCAAGTTGATACACTTTGCCCCCTACCACTCGGTATTCACTGAAAAAAAAAAAATGTCTAACATCCAGCTCCGCGATGCGCGGTATTCGGAATTACCCAGGATTGCCCATGTCTTGGCACAAGCATTTTGGGAAGACAACTTATTTGGCCAGCTCATACATCCTCATCGCAATGAGTTCCCTGATGATGTAGACTTGTACTGGCTGCGGCGGGCACGTGTCAACTTTTGGGACAATCGCCGACGATGGCTTGTCGCTACAGACAAAGACAAAAACGGCGAAGAGCTGATTGTCGGAGTTGCGCAATGGGAACGATTGGGGGAGGGAGGCAAGAAGCTGGAGCGCTGGTACTTGGATCCACGTAAGTACATCGAAGCATGTCATTGTCATTTCCCCCCAAAAATTAGATATCAACTGAAGCTAAACCACTCGTGTAGGAAAGATCTCCAAGCCTTTGTCATCGGTTGCCATGAAAGTCCATGCTTTAGTCTGGCCCAACCGTGCAAGTGATCCAGTAGAAGAAGACATCATAGAGCGGTCATATCCTCACTTTGACAATATATGGACCGGCAAGCGTGCTGAGTCGTGGTATCTCGAAGCACTGGCAGTACACCCAGAATATCAGGGCAGAAATATAGGACGAAAACTTGTACAATGGGGGCTTGAACGGGCTGAAGAGGAAGGCGTTTGCGCGTCGGTGGTCAGCGCCTTTGGTAAAGATGAGTTCTATACAAAATGCGGATTTGACGAGCAATACGGGAGCGCCAGACAGGGCGACGGGAATCCTTTGGCAGATATCGATGGGGCAAATATATTCTGGAAGTGGCCTAAATCTAGCTCTTAGGCATTTACCGGCTGGCTTTTTTTTCTATTTACCGAGCTTCCAAAGATCTTGTTTTATTATATTTGATACGTGTTTCCAAGCTCAAACACGCGCCACCAAAAATTTCGCGTCCTATTCACTCAAATAATATCAGCAATAGTAGAGGTAGTGATAAAACGCATGGGATCATCGGAGAACAAATAGGTCCCTCGGATAGACGTCCTTTTCAGACTGCACTAGCTTATTTATGTCAATTAATACATGTTGCAGAATGCTTGACGTCAAGGGCTATGAATACCAAAGTGCCCAAATAGCAACTATATATTCTCATCGTTATAATACATGATGCCGGATTTTATCATTGACTACAGTCTATCCAATAGAAAATAGCCCCAATTTTACTTGGAACTCAAGTTATCATGGAAGCACAGTGGAATTTCTCCACCGCCTCTCGTTGACAATTTACTCTATATATCATATCTGAGCTTCATATTTTGACATTTTCTTCTCAGCAGAAAAGAATCTGCTGCATTTACGTACGTATCATTTAATATACCATTCTACCATGGTTTCATTATATCAATCAATACATTGGATCGCTCTACTTAAGCTTGTTGATGGGCTGGAATAATAGCGCCAAGCTGCGTCATCTTGCTCCGCCACATTTTAAGCAAGCTACTAGTTTAAGCTTATGTAGTCCGCCTCCAAGTTGGAATTTATAAAACTCTGCCTACGTTTTGTAAGAAGCTTTCACCACTTTATTTCTACGCATTTATGTACTGCCTTTTTCTGTCTCAACTACCAACAACGCTGGTTTAAATAAGCCTCAGACAACATGGAGGCGTTCAGTGTATCTCTCACGTTGGAGATTGCCAGTGAAAACTCCTCTACAATTTCTTCTAGGCAGACTTCCATCTCCACAGATACAGACTCTGCCACGCCGCGCAAAGCAGACGTCACGGAAGCATCAAATCTAGAAATAAATGAATCATCAACTATTAAACGAAAGAGAAAGCCGGTGCCCGGCAAAGGCTTCAATAAGTCACGACGAGGTTGCTTCAACTGCAAGCGACGCAGAGTGAAATGCTCCGAGGCGATGCCGGAATGTCGAGGCTGCAATCGAATGGGATTAATCTGCATATACCCAGAGAGCCATTTGCCCCCAGCCAAAAGATTACATAGCGCGAGGTCCTCAAGTCCAAAGCCATGCGCTAATCTCGACCACTTGCGATTCTATCACCATTTCTTGGCTGAGGCTTACCCTCCGACGCCGCTTGGTGCAGAACCAGTCTGGCACAATGTTGCCGCCATGTCTCACGAGGTATGCAGCCGTCAAAGTCCCCAATAGGCCAGCCTAGATTAACCACGGACGCTTTCGACAGTACCAATTCCTTGCCAATGCTATACTGGGCCTTGCCGCTCAACATCTCACCTTGTTCTGCGGTGCAGACTATTCCATTCAGGCTCTGGATCTGCGTGTCTCCGCCATCAACGGCCTGAACGAGGCCTTGTCTCAGCCATGCCTGACAGCCACTGACGCCGATGCTCGATACGCGGCCATCATAGCATTGACTTTCCAATCCGGCTATATGACAGATGCAATGATAGAATTCATCAAGATGCTGCGAGGATGGATGTTTATCCAGACAAAAGTAGTTCCGGACCTCGAAATGTCCATATTCCGTAACTTTACGAGGGAGGCATTCACTAGCAGTATGAAACAACACATCGCTCGGCAACCGATCAACAAGAGCATGATTCCGCTTGATGACTATCTTGCCTCTCTGAAAATTCTTCGGACGCTGTGCCAAGGAACTGCAGAGATCAAGTATCTCTCTGCACTTGAGAGACTGGGCCGCTTGGCCAGTCAGTCTCCCGTTGAAGGTACGTTTTAGCTACATCGTGAAGAAGTATACAAAAATTGACCTGTAACAGCCTTTTTAGAGATTGTGCCTTGTTACTCCTTGACAAATAAAATGACGGAAGAGGAGTTCAAGGCATTCACAGACCCATCCAACGGTTGCGCGCGTATTCTACTATCGCATTTCCTCATGCTGGATTATACTTTGGAGGAGCACTTTTTTAGTCCCACGCCAAAACATTTTGGTTTTTGTGGGAAGATTAGTACTACATGGGTTATTAATGTAGCTGCAAGCCTACCCTCAAAGTTTCAGCAGCACATAATGTGGCCGCTGGGAATAGCAACTAGTTCGATAAAAATGTAAAGGCATTGTAAATAGAGCTCCACTGTAAAAGCAAAAGTCATGCTTACAATATCATAAAGCAGGCTGCGGTTGGTTTTTGACATCTTGAACTACTAAGTAAAACCCAGCCGGCTCAGGTCTTTGTTATAATGCAGAGATTATTAAATGTGCGCTTTTGTTACAAAATACTTAGAGGTCACTAACATAATAATGGTGTTAGGGGACATGGTTTAATTTAGATAAATTGCACCTTTCTTGTATACGCAGCTCATATATTTTCTTGCATTTGACGCGTGGCCTTTGGGACCTGTCTCACACAAAAGCCTGGCCATTTTTAGGATGTCATCGGCACTATTAGTATCTGGTGTCAGAGAGGGGCAGGGGCCAAGCCACGATTTTGTCCGAATCAGCGCCAAGTGGATCAGCCTCGTTTTCAATGACTTATGAAAGCGACGAAAACGATGCTCAGACCAATTAGCACTCAGCGGGACCTGTTCAACTGTGGCTCAAATTTGCCATATCAGGCACAACGGGACCCATGCCTCCAAGACGTTGACTCTCTCAGTCCTTGCAAGGGGAGTAATTGAGTCCATCGCTAATAGGCATCGTTTTCATCCTCGCAAAAACGACTGTGACCACGTACAATGCTCGATAGAAAGGAGGCAGTGAGCGTTTCCAAGGTCAAGGTGGGACAATGATCTTGACAGCGCACCGGGCGAGTGTATATTCCCACTCTCTTATATAACACTGTCCCCCGTTGCAATTGAGAACAATGATATTTTACTATATCTACAACAATTCCTTTCATTCATCTTAGTGAGACCAATCAGCATGATAGCGACTTCTTCTACTCCAACTCTGTTAGTGAAAGCCACTTCAACAGTGGCTGCGACTTGTACAACTGCAGTCCCTGACGCCAACGGCTATGTCCCCCCTGACGCATGCAATGCCAACTACGGCTTCTATCCAAGGTGGGAAGATAATGCCGCCTTTGCAATTGCGTTTGGTTTGACTACGTGTGCGCATCTCGCGCAGGCCATTGTTCTGAAAAAGGTGCAGAAACAACACCACCTCATCACCATGTCCACTTGCTAACTGTTCTAAGCCATTCTGCTGGGTTATCATCATGGGAGCGCTCTGGGAATGTTTTTGTTTTATTCTACGAACGCTAGGTGCAAAAGACCAGCAAAACTCGACATATGTCACAGTATCGACGCTGTTATTCCTCCTCGCCCCTTTGTGTGAGATATGGCCATTTTCGAACAGCTTCACATGTGTGCTAATAGTGTCTTTCCAGGGATAAATGCATTTGCATACATGGTTGTCTCCCGTTTGATCTATTTCCTCCACCCGAAACAAGCCGTACTCACGATCCCAGCGCGCTGGCTTGCAAAAGGCTTTGTGGCAGCCGACATTATTTCCTTCATTGTCCAAGCTGCCGGTGGAGCACTCATGGCAGATCAGCATAGCACCGAAAACGCAGACCTTGGAAGAAAGGTTTATATGGCCGGCGTGGGAGTGCAGCTCTTCTTTGTGGTGATATTTATCGTTGTCTCCATCTCCTTCTACCATCAAGTGTTGTGTGATATCCGCACCGGCACATTGAAGAATCGGAATAGGTGGATACGCCCTCTTGTTCTCGTCATATTCCTTGTTCTCATTCTCATTGTTGTACGTATATTCTTGCCGTGTGCACCACATGTCGTACTAACGCCAACGAGGAACGGATTATATTTCGATTTGTCGAGTTTAGTGGCGGCGTGTCCTCGTCGAATAAGATACTGCGTCACGAAGGCTACCAGCTGTATCTTGATGCACTGCCCATGCTTCTTGCTCTAGCATCTCTGAACCTAATTCACCCTGGCCTAGTTCTAAAGGGGCCAGGTTGCAGTTTTCCTTCTTCCAAGATTCGGTGGTGGAAGGGCCGCTCTGCAGCTTTTGAACCACTTGCTCTTCGGTCCTTTGATCGACGAGAGCACTCTTCAGTTGAGTGAAAAGCAGCTAATTCTGACCCTGCTTGAGATTGTTGATGAGGAGCGATGAATATTTATTATTGATGTGTTGCTAATATTACTGTTCACTGCTTAACATGTTGTTGTAGATAATGGGGAGTGGTATAATACCCCAACACTACTGAAAAGACAGCAACTACCACGAACATAGAGTTAATTCCTACATGTAACTTGGATGGCTTGGAAGAGATCTATCAGAAGATTGTGGGGCACGCGCGTTTGCACACATAATGATTAAATACAACTCCGTGACAATAGATTTATAACTGCAAAATATATCAATTTTTCCGGTATCATGCTGTAATAGAAGTGGCGAGCTTGTCGCTATTCGGTATCGTAAGGATAAGGAGCATCTTCCCCCTCGCCTCGGTTACCCTTTTCGTCTAGCAGCTTATATCTTGACAAAACAAATCTCGGCCGGCAGATCATAACAAGTACAACTTCCTTCTCCAATGGCTCTTCTGGCTCGTATTCTCTCATAGAGTGAGCAACAGCGGTATTATATCGTAACGGCAATACTTTCATAGTGCTTCAACATGTAGTAGATATAGTGATTTCCTGTCTTAGCGCACAACGAGAACACTCCCAACATCGATCTGCCATTGAAAGAAGCCAACCCCCAGCCAAATGCTCCATTCTCGGCGTTTACACTAGCATTTCTTCTGGTCTTTGCCAAGGCCAATCATTCCGTAGGCAAAAACTGGACCTCTCCGGTCGTGGTATTAACCGGGTTTTGTAGAAGTGATTCACGCAATGCTATGGTTAGGTTTTGATCCATCAATGAGGAAAGAGTCACGATGACAAATATAGATAGTATTGAGAAGTTTCCACTTCAATGCAGCATTATACTGAATCGAAGAACCTCTAGGAAGGGCATCTGGACCTAGGATTGACTTTTGATCGAAACTTTGGTACCTTTCATCTTCTTGGTCATCATTAAACCATCTAGAGGGATGCCAGATAACCTCTGGCTTCCCATCTACTGGGAAGAGAAGCACACGAAAATGTTCGTCGGTTGGCCGGATGATTCGAGAAGCTTGCGCACACCAGCCTATGGGTAGGCCAGTCATCCATTTGGCATGATGTCGAACAGTAACGGGCACTTTTACATTTTCCACAACACCGAGCACCTCGCTTATCGCAGGCAAAACACAAAATTGATGTATCAGGGCTTGCCATGCTGTGTTTAGCTATAAGCAATTGATGCTGAAAATTGAGAATTGCAATGTGCGAAGAGAAAAAAATTTTCACCAGGTTACTTATTGATCAAGAGAACGATACGTTGGCAATCAATTATATATATTAGGTATATGTACTTTGCAGACGCCATCATCATACAATCCAATGGCCCTTTGCCAAATGGACAAACACTATATTGCATTAATTAATCGTACATTGCGTGTAACTCGCCTGTTCATATTCCAACTTATAGCTTTCTGACAGATATCGAATCATACACTGGGATGTGTGGGAGGCCCTCATCATTGTAACCAAGAAGCGGGGCAAAGGCATCCAACTTGTTCAAGCAGCTTTGGCTGTGGTATCCAATGCGTGTTGTCGGCGACCACAGAATGGTTCTTCTCAACTTCCACGTCTTCATTGTACCTGTGGATAAAATCCTCGACAGTTGCTCTCATGTGTACAACATCAGGCTCTTCATCACATTTTAGGTCCTCAACGTTGCTGACGCGAATGGCATCGTCCCACGCATTGGCATAGCAGACCGGATCAAGCCAGAAATAAAGGTTCTTCAACGATTTAAAAAATAGAAGCAGTGCCATCATATCTGTGCTGTTGAAGAGATCAATGCCAGGAACTATATTAGCATCGCTCTCCTGCGAGCCTTGCGGGAACATTTCACCCCCGCCAAAAAGGCGAGAGAATATTGCTACATTCTGGAAGCAAGAAACCATTTCTTTGAACGCAGCGAAGTCTCTGTTATTGTAGGGAAACCTTTGCATTCGAGACTCGTTCAGGGCCCGCCAATGCTCGTCGCTGGTCAATGTTTCATAACGTGTGTGGCTCAGGCTCACGTCTGGCACTGCATAAATCACCAGCATATCCGTCTCTGGACGGCAGCGGACCAGACGACTTTTGGCGCCTGGGTGCCAGGGGCCTTGATACACTTTGAAGAATTTGGGGTATAACTCGAGGACCGTCATGCGAGATTCACGACAAGCAAGGCTGAGGCCGGTCATTGCCGAAGAGGACTCTGAGTCCTCGGGGCTGGAAACCAGGTCGGTAGATGCGAAATAGCCATCGGACATGCAGCCGATTGACCAGTGCGGGACACCCTCTCGGAATGATGGGCAGCTGCCGTGCCGGCCACAAAAGACTCCGGTGCTGGTGAAACAGGCGTGTGCAGTTGTCCCTATCTGGGGATGCACCTCTACGTGAATCGTTCTGTTGACAGTCGCCTGGTGAAGAGCGGCGCGCCAGATTTGAAGCCTCGTTTCAGGGGGAAGTTCGCCGAAGCGAGGGAAGTGCGAGTTTTGCATCTGCTTGGGATTTGCATCGCCATCTGAAGGCAGCTTTTTGCTGACTCGCTTGGGCTGAACTACGGATCGTTTAGGCATAATTATTGATGGTGTAGTTGAGGCAGAGTTTCAGAGAAGTTAACCAAGCAACTGCTGTGTTGGCGAGTAGATAAAGAGGAATATCTTGCACTTATTTGCGCACGTGATTTAGGCAGTAGGCCTTGGTAGACAGCTCGACTTCCACCGAGATTGTCTAGGTAGTCAAAAGTGCTGTTTTTTTGACCCAAGTAGAGTTGGTTGGTACAGCGAGCGGACAGCATCCCACATTAAATAGCAAAAACATATACTTTTAAGCAGTATTAATATTACTGTATTTCTCACCATGACCCGCTATAAAATAAATCTTATAAAATATACTTATTTTAACTATTTATATTTATATTAAAGCTGAATATAATACAAAACAAAACTCATAGATTCATTATTCATTAATTAATTAATAATATATATTTTTCTACATACTTATTTAGTTAATATTGGTAGTTTTATAAGTTATTAAAAATACCTACTTTTGCTGGGATTCGGTATGGTGGTCGCAGACTTTTGTCCGCTCACTGTTGGCCTATCCAGTACATGCATCAGGTACTAGGCCGAGTTGCTTATAATAAGTACATTTAATCACTCGGTATGCTTGGAAAGAAAATACAAAACTGGGAGTGACTACAATACCAAGAAACAAATGACTGTTTAGCCAAACACAAAAGCAATTAAAATGTTTTGAAAATGTACACAAAAGACGTCACGTTAAGTTAAAAAACGCATGTAATAATATTATCTTCTAACAGGTATCTATTGGAAAGATTCCAGTAAGTACCTACTTAAATACACAACCCTGCTGAAAAAAAAGCAACCCATAATAAATCAATCTTCATAATTTAGCTGGGCCCAAACTCTTTGGCGCCGCGTCCTTCTATCCGATCAGGAAGAAGAGGAAATCCAAGTGCCAAAGGTGTCGCCGCCCTTCACAACATATTCCTGAACATATTTCAGCCACTGGTCTTCGCTCTGACGCCGTCTCTTCGTACGAATCAGGATAGACGAGGTATCAGCGACTCGCTTTCCGTCAACGTCAACGTGCACAGCTAACGCCTTCTCTGCATTTCACCAATTCGTTCTTGTAGAGAAGCGAACAGCGACATGGTACTGTAGTGCCTCACCATGGAACCGCTTGCAATAGATGCCAACAGCAGCCCGGGCTTTCTTTTTGCTCCCAAAAAGATGACGCTCAATGGAATTATTGAAATAGGGGTGAATTTCATTTCTATCTTCAACTCTCGACTCTTCGAGCATGTCATAGATGGACAGTTCTCTCTAACCCTGAGCACACTCTCTAACTGAACCTGTCTCTGCATTATCTTCTCATATCGACCACACAAATAAAATCCCCAATCGCGACTGCCAGACATATTTCCACACTCTATACTAGAAGCTCTATGCAGGGAAATAAAAAGAGGACAGAGTTCCAACCTCTTTGGAGGGGTTCATCCTCCCGTTTATATACTGCATGTAAACGTCCCCTTTGCGGGGCCTTGGACAGCCAATCACCCGCTCAGCTATTCACCTCATGGTGGTGCTAATATGAAGGGGTATTGGTATCGCTCAGGTCTCCATAATGTTCTATGCTACCTAATGAACGTCTGCGTCACACGGTTATGTCTCTTATGTACCAAACATGCAACAAAGCCCGAAAGAGCGGTATTTTTGCAAGCAAATTCTTATCAAAGTAACATAACAGTTAACGCCGACACAAAATCTAACCAAAGTATTTTGGCTTGAGCCAAACACCTCAGCCAGTTGCATTCATTTCCTACAGTCGCCCAAATGCACTCTCCCCCTCCACCTTACTGCACTATGTTAATATTAGACCGATGCATGGAATCCTCTACCATTTCTTCTTTCAGTCTCTACACATGGGTTACTTCACTAGCCCAAAACATCCGACACTCTTCATCCGTACTGTTAGTAAACATAGGCTTAAGATCACCACCTGTGGTTACTTTTACTATCATCTAACGGCCCTTTGTCTGTGCTCTTAATTTCTTGGTCTCCGAGACATTATGTGCGATGGAAACTAGGCGCAGCAGAAGTCATCCAGATTCCTTCGTTTAGTGGCCGGAAAGCAATAGTGAAATACACAGACAGCAACTTTTTTTCTATCGAAATTAAAGGAATGCAATTATACTCTTGATAGCTAGGTACTCATAACATAACACAAATTAAAATCTCGAGGCAATTACCCATTAGTGCTCATTTTTTTGTATTAGTTAAAGTATTGTCTCCGTCAACATAAGCGTTCACTTCATAATTTGCAAAGTCCCTAGCTTTGACGCCAGATGCAAAAAGAATATCCATCTCTTCAAAAGTTTTGCCTTTGGTTTCGGGAAGCCTGAACCAGCCCCAAACGAAAAAGACAAGGGCCCAGAACCCCCAGAAGAAGCCGGCTTTTCCACGCCAGTTTCCTGCAGTAGGGCTTAGCATATACGGGTTAGCAACGTTGCACACAATCTGGGCGATATAAAGCGCGATTCGGCCGAGGCAGACACTTTTATTTCGGAGACGAGTCGAAGATACATCGCCAATAATTGCGTAGCACATGGGGACAACAGTAACGTAGAAGACGAACTGCCATAGTATGATCATACTCGCTTGGGCGTAAGAGCCCCCAACAGAGTCAGCAGCTCCAATATTGATGAATCCGATGATAAGCAATATCGCAGCCAGCATGCCTAAGCCCCAAAGATACATTGTTCGCCTTCCAAAATGGGGTATCAGGAACCATGAGATTATCGGTCCCAGAGATGCGAGTCCCCGCCCGCCGAGAGATATTTGGAACGCTATTGACGTCGGCAGTCCAATTTGGATAAAAAAATAAGTCGGAGTCGCTGCCATTGGTAACCCACAAAACGGCAGAGCAGCAAAAACCAGGCATCCAATCTCTGTCCGATAGCGATCGATGCCGCGAAAACAGTCCAAATAAGATGTGCCCTTATTAATTGACACTTCTAGTTCGTTTGTATGGATCATCATAGCCAAGATTTGCTTAGCTGTATCCCTATCTGCACCGAGGCGAATGATGGTCTTTTCCGCATCGCTAAAGAAGCCTTGACGGACAAAGAACCATGGTGATTCTGGGGTAAACCAAAGAATGAAGAATAGTGGAATGGGCCAAGCCCATTGGATCGCAAAGGGGACCCTATAAGCCCATTCTGTTGTATTTTTCTCAAACCCGGCCTGTACCCCGGCTGATATGAGCTGACCAAAAGCCCAGCATAGGCTAACATAAACGGTCAAATAGCCACGGAGAGCCATTGGGCAAATTTCTGATGCATACGCAGGGGCCTATTTGTATGGATACATTAATAAGTTTTCTCTCCAGCCACATAGGTAGCATGATAGAAAGAGGGAACCAAATGGCATGACTCAAACCCCGTGTCTTTCACTGAACAGACTTGTCAAGCCTCAGGGAGTAAAAAAAAATGAGAAGGAGGATTTGGGGCATAATTGGGGTTTGGGATATGTCGGAGCACGCAGGGGGTTGGGTCGAAGACGGTATGCACGTACCATTGCTGCAAAAACTCCCCATGGGATGCCGCACAATAGCTCTCCAACCAACAAAACTCCAAGATTGGGAGCAAAGAAGGTGATGAACACAAATCCTACAATGAGAAGTAGAGACACCAAGAGGACTTTGCGATAGCCGAATTTGTGTGAGAAGTAACCATTGGCAAAGGCACCAAATATTGTACCAATGCTAACCGCATTGTTGAGGCCACTCTGCCACGACGCGGAGATCTGATACGTCTTGGACTTGGGGTCGAACTCGCCGTATCGTTTCATAAAGGATGGCTGCGCGAAGAAAGAAGAGAGGAGGACGATATCGTAGCCTTCCATGATAATAGAAGTTGACAACAGAACCGACCACATAACTGCCTTGGGATACTTGCGAATGGCTTCCGTGAAACTAAGGCTATGATCGGCCTCGGCTGCTTGCTTCGCTAGTTCAATATCTCTAGCACCATCGGAGCTCTGGTGCTCCAACGTGACAGTTTCAACCTTTTCATCCTCGTTTATCATGATTGCTTGTAAGCTGGCTTGTGAGAATGAAGCAGAGGTAAGTTGAAATGGGATGATGGGAGCCGGGTGGATGGGAATGTTCGGGGTATGTAGGCGGGTCTCAACTATAATAATTTTCAAGCGGCTCAGAGTCTTGATCCAAATATTGGGAGATAACTTTGAGACTGAATTAACCCATTCGGGTCGTATCAAGTCTCCTTACATTTCATGAAGGTTGGAGAAGGGAGAAGGGAGCTTTATTAAGCGAAGAGTAAAACATGGTGGATAGAGAGAAATGTCGTGCGATTGGGCAATCACCACAGAGTATCTATGCTCTATACTCCGCATAATTATAGAGCCATAACCTGTAGATGATCAGAAGCTAATTAAATTCCCATTTAAGAAGCACCTTTAGATAACCCATGGGATTTTTGTCTCCGGCGAGGAGAGGAATGACTTGACTTGGTGTCATGGCGGTGAGGAGGTCTTAAAATCCGAGAATAGTAAGCCAAATTGCAATGGGGGTAGATTTAGGGAGCGGTACGTACATTTCTGCGTGTATCAGTCGTTCGCCTACCCTTGGTGTGTGATGGTTAAGTCCAGATCAAAGACCCTCATGTCTGCCTCTGCCCCATTGTCTGAGACAAGGCATCTAGAACTCCCATGTAAGTCTGTTCTGCCCCCCATGTGCTTATTTTGGGTCCGTCTTGCCCACTTGAACCAGTCACCAATACCGAACTGCCACCTGTTGTGTCATTTGCAAGGAGCCGGAGGCCTTCTTTAAGGATTCTGCTGGGAGCAGAGGCTTGCGTAATGATCCCAACTCTTGCCATATGTGCAGACAGCTTATCGCCATGGCGGAGGTATATTTGCACCATCTCATCGTCGCACGGTCGGTCGATATAGAAAAAAGAAAGTTCTGAAACCAGTTCTTCATCCTTGGAAGTCGTCGATTGCTGGGACGCAGTGGGCACCATGCGGGCTTCAGATGATACAGGTCCCTCCATCGAAGCTGCGAAAGCTTCAAGTTCTTCCTGTTGTTTTGCAAACCTCACCGAAATACTGTACGCCCAGATGATGAGCGTGGCCATGTATATTGCGAAAGGCTCCAGAAAGCACCTTCTTGAGTACCGTCGTATGTGCCAAAATAGCGCGCCGGCGTGAATGATTGAAAGCCTAGCCTTGAACGAGTCATTAATGGCCCACTTGAGCACACAGTTGCTTGCTTCTGTATATCTCTGGCTGGCAGCTGAGTTTGTAGAGTTGGTGTTATTGGCGTTGGTTGCCAATGTTTGGATTTGCGCTACAGGCGTAAGTAAGATGAGACGAGATAGGTGTAAATACAAGATGGTAGGGTGTTCCAGTCCTCCGGCATTGGCTGCCTTGCCATTAGCTCTCCAGTGCAATATATCCAGACAATCGCATGCACTATTGCGCCACTTTGATAGCGTTGGACTCGACGGCGGCCAGGTTTCTGCTGATGCGCTTTGATAGGTTTCTTGTCCTTGGATGGCAGCGCTAGGGATCCAGTTTGTCAGCCGAGTCCGGCTCTGGTTGATAACCTCCTTCGTCCTTCGCCAAATGCCGTGGATGATTAAAATATTGCTGAATTCGCTGAGGCTCTCTGGGAGTCTCTTCTCGATATACAGCATCTCGATCACGTCTAGCAGTGTGACTATAGGCAGAGATTATTAGCTTATCAATGTTTTAAGAAATGGTTGCTACGCTCGCGGGTAATATACCAGATGATTTCTGCTCGGCTGCAACCTTTTCTACTGATGGATATTCCCAGATGTGATCCTCGCAGGGCAAGGAGACCTTTACATCTACAAGTTGCATCAATGGAGCTGCATTGAACTCGTATGAGATCATAGCGTCAAGTACCTAGAGACATGTCAGCTGGACAAGCGGTTATAGTTCTTGTTTTATAGGCCATACCCATATCATCAAGCCGGTCCTCATACGAGACTGCTTTCTTAACCAGTCCTGTACAACATTGGCACCATCGCTATGATGATGACTGTCTTCCGACTCTCCAGATAGCAGATTAAATTCTTTGCATGCTCCAACAAGGTAGTGTCGTTCCATCAAAGCACACCTTGTCATGCCCTGCTTGCCTCTGTGTAGTGAGCAGATCAAGGAGAGGCTGGCCGCCTGCAAATCCGGAAGGCTGAACGAACTATTTTCCAACTTGCAGAATGGTGATGTTGAAGGGATTCCAGCTTCTTCTCGTCGACCGTGGCATACTCTTCTAATAGACATGCCTTCCAGAACAGCTGTAAACTCTGGGCTAAGCAGCCGTTCTTTATCATATTTGGATCCAATAACGGCAACAGCAAGGAGAAGTAGCCAGTTTTCTCTCGAGTCTTCCAAAAACGTCGATTTCCGAACAAAGGGGAATGTAGAATGGAAATAAGCAAAGTATGAATGGACGCATAGAGCAATACACTGTAAAGACGGGAAGGAGATGGCATCCACAGGCACATTTTGCTTGCTCAGCCCGAAATGTAATTGTCGTATCATGTTGCTATAGCCATCCGCATCCACCAGAGAGTCCTCCCGTAAACCAATTCTTTCACCACCTACGTAATTGGCCGCGCTTCTTTCAGGTGTTGATGCATCGTCGGCAGCCATCATTTGTCGTCCTCTCCATTGTTGGGTAGCCTGACCGCGAAACGGTGCTCGAGAGCCATCGCCATCTACGTAGTAACTCCCAGTCATAGATTTGCTTACCTCAGACCCATATTTGCCAATAGTATCAGTCGAATGGCTTGCACCATCGATGCTGGTTTTAGCTCGCCCAATGTTAGGCGCCTGTACGTTATTAAGTGGCACGCACTCGTGATCAGAGGCGGGCAAAGGGCTCGAAGTAGGGAAGCAAAAAGGCATAGATGGGACATTCTTATCATTCTCAGCATAGGGCGGCACAGCAATAAGTCCGTTCCACACAAACGAGGGAGGATTCTCAGGAGACATCCAGTTCATAGAGAGTAGGTCCATGGCCTGCTCATTAAAGTCCGGGATTGGATTAAACTCGTAGATACGCTGGGCTCTCCAAGCATCGGTTCTGAATGCTAAACGATTGTTGTTTACCGCCTCAGGGCCACATTCGTTGAGATCAGCGCCGTTGATACTTGCAGATACCTCAGGTCTAGCTGTAATTAGTGAGGCACCGTCTCCAATTGTTTGGTGAGTTGCGTCCAACGTTGTATATTGCGGCTCGTTGTCAATATGCATCCCCGTGCTGACAATCGCCGTGGTCTTGGATTTCCGTGTTGTAGGAAAAGTGCAAGTCAAGCTGCGTTCAATGCAACGTTTACATGGATCACTCCGGGAGCAGCGAACACGGCTCGTGGCACACTGTCTACATGCTCTGGAACGTGTAACAGCACTTGCTTCTTCGTGATCCTGTGTATGCGATGTGTGATGACGGTTCAGGACATCCCTGTACGGTGTCGCAAATATTATATCGTGTGTCTAGAGTGTAAAACAGAGCGGGTAAAGCTCAAGTGACTTACTGGCGAGCGAATCCTTTCCCGCAAATGAGACACTTGAAAGGTTTCTCACGAGTATGACTCCTAGTATGGCGGATAAGGTGCTCTTGCCTGCTAAAAGTCGCATCGCAAATACCACATTTCTTATCTGTGCCGACATTCGATCCAACCGAGATCGCAGTCGTCATGTCTACCAACTGATTCTTCTGTATACAAAGAGTAGGAGAGTGACGGGACGGCATTGGGCCTCGTAGTGATCATCACAGGGTTTGCCTCTGATTTGCGCAAGGCACCATGGCAAGAGGGTGACAGAACAGTTTGGCAAAAAACTTGCAAAGGAGGCAACTCTAGGCGAGAAGGCTTGCGAGAAGGCATGTGAGACGGCATAAGGAGTTTTGGGGGAAGTTGAAGCGGCCACACACAGCCTGTACTTATCTCATCGCATCAGCAACCCTAGCCAAACCCCGCAGAAACTCGTCCCTTGAACGCCGCCACTGTGGAGTGCACATCACAGCTCCGTATTATACTAACCTAGAGTTGAACTGCGCTCACTCATATTGTACTTGATGCGAAACATAGAGAACCTTTTTCCCACAATCTTCAAAAAAGTCTACACGCGACCCTCAGGATAACAACGCACATTAAAGCGTATCTCCCACATCGAAACTAGGACGAGTTCTGATGATGAACTGGGCTGATGCACTACATAGTGTAGTATTACGATTACGAGCGGAAATATGGCAGTGATGTAGCAACTAACTACTAGTCGTAATGCGGTCTATAAATGCCAAATGAACATTAAAGTGCTCCTATAGGAGTAACCGTTCAGTTGTTATTTATTCAAATCCATAATATCGTGAAATGAGGTCTAACGGTGATCTCAGTGGATGGCTCGAGCATGGGCGAAGATGGGCTTTTCATCTGACTGAAGCCTTGCTCTGACTTCATACAAACTGAGGCTTTTGCTAGGAAATAAGCATTCGCAACTAAGCCTTTTCATTAATGCTATTCTCTCTTTCTCTTTTCCTAAGGGTCACTATCCCCCATCGGAAACTAACCCCGTAGGGCTCCCTATTAGAGTGTGGGGCCAAGAACATTACATATCGCTGTTTTGGCCTTGGTATCCCCCGCATCGTGTTTCTCAGTGCGTTTTGGCGGTTAATTACTTTAGCCTTTAGTGCTTTTTGCCCTTCTCCCTGTTATGGACCAGCTATGGGCGCGCTTGAGACAGCGCCAGAGCTGGCTTCCTTAATTACAACTACACTGTAACAGCTATCGAGTCGGTTTTCGGGTTATATCGCATCTGTCGAGGTTGTTAAAGTTTATATGATGTTGATCCGAGTCTCTCACATGTCGAGTATATGTGTTGTCACCTGCAGCTGAGCCAGCTCCAGTGCCGGAGGATGGCTCTGTCAAAAGTCCGGTGGGGGTGGGGCCAGAGCAGCGAAAGTGTGAACTGGGGAAGAGTGAGAGGGTGTTGTGAACAGCTTCGGGGAGCTGCCGAGAGGAGCAGTTCCTAGTCTAAACCAGAGTAATGATGGGTCTTCTATGAGGTCCCTACAATGGTCCAAGGAGAGTTCTCTTACATCACATCATAGCGAAAGACTTCCTCCGGTGGCGGCGGCCATAGAGGAGATGCAGTCGTCCGTTTAAAAGCCCAGCATGTAATGGGGAAGTCTTTCGATTTCTCCTCCTGCAGCTCTCGCTCAGCATTATTATCATCATCCGTTTCCGAACCTCGGATCTTCTATTTTTCTATGTCGTAGAGTCTCTAGACTCTACACACACCAGAGAACAAAGGGAGAAGAAAAAGGCAAAGCGTTGGATTACCGGTTCGCAATGCTACACTCTGAGGAAAATCGCCTTGTATTCACATACGATGCCGAAACGCTTTGGATCGAGCCATGGGGCGCCAATTCCCTGAGAATTCGCGCAACCAAGCTGCCTTCTATGCCTCAGCAGGACTGGGCGCTCCAGTCTCCTTCTTCATCAAAATCCAGCATCGAGATTACCGAAACAAGCGGCACCATTGTCAATGGCAAGATCAAGGCCGCTGTGAGCAAGTCGGGCAAGATCATGGTGTGGAATTCCAAGGGAGAGCTATTGCTCGAGGAGTATACACGGAACCGCAGAGACGTGCTGGATCCCAAATGCAGCGCCATCGAGGTCTCGGCTCGTGAATTCAAAGGCATTCTTGGCACAGACAACTATAACCTCACAATGCGCTTTGAGAGTGTGAATGCTAATGAAAAGATCTATGGCATGGGGCAGTACCAGCAGCCCTTTTTCGACCTGAAGGGCACCGATCTTGAACTGGCGCACCGCAACTCCCAAGCAAGCGTGCCGTTTGCACTCTCATCTCTTGGGTACGGCTTCCTTTGGAACAATCCATCCGTCGGACGCGCTGTTCTTGGTCGCAACATCATGAGCTTCGAGGCATATTCCACCACAACCCTGGACTACTGGGTGGTGGCGGGTGACAGCCCAGCAGAGATCGAGGAGGCCTACGCTGATGCGACCGGCAAAGTTCCAATGATGCCAGAATACGGGCTTGGATTCTGGCAATGCAAGTTGCGCTACCAAACCCAAGAAGAGCTGCTCAATGTTGCCCGAGGGTACAAGCGAAGGGGCCTGCCGCTGGATCTCATCGTCATTGACTTCTTTCATTGGCCAACGCAGGGCGAGTGGAAGTTTGATCCCACATATTGGCCGGATCCGGATGCAATGATCCGAGAGCTTCAGGAGATGAAAGTCGAGTTGATGGTCTCAATCTGGCCGACGGTTGACAGACGCTCTGAGAATTACGAGGAAATGGTCGAACGTGGCTACCTCATCCGCGTGGACCGGGGTATACGCACCGTCATGGAATTCCAGGGTAACACGGTTCATTTTGATGCTACCAACCCGAGAGCAAGAGAATACGTCTGGGAGAAAGTGAAGAAGAATTATTACGGCAAAGGGATTAAAGTGTTCTGGCTGGACGAGGCAGAGCCCGAGTATACGGCTTATGATTTTGAAAACTTTAGATATCATCTCGGCTCTAACCTCAGCATTGGTAACATCTATCCGGTTTCATATTCAAAAGGTTTCTACGACGGACTCAGGAAAGAAGGGCATGAGCAGATTGTAAACTTGGTTCGCTGTGCGTGGGCCGGCAGCCAGAAATATGGCGCCCTAGTCTGGAGCGGCGATATTGCTTCATCATGGTCCAGTTTCAACAACCAGCTCGCAGCAGGACTGCACATGGGTATCGCAGGAATCCCATGGTGGACCACGGACATCGGTGGGTTCCACGGAGGAGACCCCAATGATCCAGCCTTTCGAGAACTGTTTGCTCGCTGGTTCCAGTGGGGTGCTTTCTGCCCTGTATTCCGACTCCATGGCGATCGAGAACCGCACCAGCCTCAGCATGGTACAACTGGCGGCGCAACGTGTGTAAGCGGTGCAGATAACGAAGTTTGGTCGTACGGTCCAGAGATATACAGCATTTGCAAAAAGTACATGGCTCTCCGTGAAAGTATGAGGCCGTACACCAGGATGCTCATGGCGGCGGCCCACGAGAAGGGAACCCCTGTTATGAGAACTCTATTTTACGAATTTCCGGAGGACGAGAAATGTTGGGAAGTCGGCAAGCAGTATATGTATGGAGATAAGTACCTATGCTGTCCGGTTCTGAAGCCTGGTGTAGCTGAAATAGAGGTATACTTACCAAAGGGAGCAAGCTGGAAGGGTGCAGATGGCGTCGCCTTACCCGGAGGGCAAACGCTTCAAGCCAAATGCCCATTAGACTATATGCCGGTGTTTGAAAGAGTTTAGGATTTCATTGGTATAGTAGTTGCTTAGCCCTGTGTACTTTTGCTTGATGTCATAACTGTAGCATTAAATGGCATGGTTCTTTCAAACAGTCATAGCCTGATGCCTGTTAGTTAATATCACTTTATTTTAAAATGTAACCTCTTAGAGGCTTAATTAAACCACTCTAACTTAATTTGAAAATTAATGAAATCAAATTTGTCTTATATCACAAGGGTATATAACTAGCTAGTATTCTGGTAATCAAATTTCAGGAGAATAATCGGCTACGATATTCACATGAAACGCAAAGTCTCATTATCGAGCATGTACGAGCACAGAGTGAGTACCAAGCTGATGACCTCTATCTAGTGGACAGGAACTGATAGCGCAGTAACTCGGGCTTACAGCGCGTCCGACCATGATGGGAACAAAAGAAAACACCATTAGCAGCCGTTCTGCACCTGTGACTTCCAATATGCTGCGGCATGCTCCGCCCTCTTCCGGGGACATATCTGGGTTAAAGTATCTAAATACCTTTGGGCACACGGAGCACGTCATCTCTTGCATCATGGCTATAAGAGGTAGACAGTCGGAAACAAGCTAGGTAGAGAGATAGTTTGTCCTGAGCAAAAAGCCTCATGCTCTCACGTAGGTTACTACTGTGTCTTTTGGAGCGTGGTGTAATAGATTTTGCCAGATGCCATAGCAGGGGCTCGAGGCAACCTGCTTAATGTCCACAGCGTATATATACGTCGGACGATTCTAAATATGATATAAGAAGCGAATCTATCAGAGCAGCGGAGAATGAGGACAGGTTGAGCCTTTGAGCCTCTGGATATATATGGTTATCGACATTCTCCGCGACTCTGGTGGATCCACCTCGGGTATGGGGTATGTGATTAGGTGATATTAACTAGTTAGCAGGCGGAGGAATGATGCCAGCCTCCTTGATGAACTCCATCGCATGACCGAGCGGTCATACAGTTTCTTCCGTGATAAGGAAGCTTCTGACCTTTGATCCCTCCATCCGAAGCTCTTCCTCGCTCTCGTTGTCCCCCTTGTGTCTTTTCGATCCCCATACGGACTTTGGATCAGCAGTGATGGTTGTGATTGTCGTTTGGAAATTTCCCGGGTATCCCTCCACCAACTTCAACTGCCCATTTCCTTCCTCATCCTCCTCCTCATTACGGTTAAAAGTGGCGAGACTGAATGGGTCTCTTGATTTGTTTTTCCTCGATCGGCCGGTAGTCTGATGGTTACCCATAGACGCGCCCTCTCCAGTGGGCGGCAAATTCGATCCCATCGTAGACCACCCCAGCTTGGCCGCAATCTTGCGGAAGAGCGGTCGGATGGTCGCAAGGCTACCGGCTGTGATAGCCAGCCCTTGTTCCACAGTCGACCAAATTGCGATGTCGATGGTGGCCCCTAAAAAATGCCCCAGTTAGTTAACTTGGACATTGAGCGACTGAGCAGGGGGCTCGTGGCAAAAACTTACACAAAAAGTCAACAGTCTTAAAGTCCTTGACATAGGGGAAGCGAACAACAACAGCAACACTGGCACTGTTTCAGAGTATTTTAGCAAAAGGTCTGGCAAAACGAAAGAAAGGGAAGGGATCACAAGGAACATACACGCAGGCCATTAGCATAACTGGGATCAATGCAATCTTGGTCTTGCTGTTCATCTGGAGTTGCATGATGAGTACGATGGGAAGCAGTGCAAAAGTGAAGTCGCAGATGACGCTAAAAGCACTGTATAGGTAGGTGAAGGCGATGATGACGTCGATATTGATGCAGGTCCCGTCTTGATTCTTGTTCCAGAAGAAGGAAATTGGGTGGCATTGGAACGTAGTAATAAATAAGAAGCAGATGCCCGTGATAACGCTGAGCGACATGACGACGAGGATAATCCAGTTGTGTATCCGCTCGACGGTGATGCGTAGGAGAAAGTATCCGATGGAGATTTTGGTGAGAACCATCGTTACGCAGTACCAGATGTAGCAGAAATACCAGTACTGTGTGATATGTTAGTTTCTTGGCTAGAGATTGCGGGCTCTGTGCTGATAATTCAACACCTACCATCAATGCCTCTTCGATGTCGTGTTCTGCGAGATCCCAATAATGGCGGCCAGTACCATAATGGACACCCGTGAGACATACAGAGCAGAACGCTATAAAAGTCATCTGCGTTCAGAGAGAAGTAAGTAACTGGTAAATTACGGATGCATCGGGAAGAATCGGTGCTGCGAGGTGTCTCGTCCGTCACGTACCATGGCAAAGACCATGAGATAGTCATCCACGCCGAATGCTTTCACGAGACTTATCCTGACATAACATCTGAGAATTGTAGCCGTGAGTGAAAAGACTAGCAGCACTGCTACCACAGCTATAAGCTGCGGACCACGATTGGGAATGTCAGCCATCGTGGCTCATGCTCTCTGGCGAGCAGGCCAATCGGTTGGTGTTGGAAGGGAAAGCTGTTGAAGGCGAGAGGAAACTCGGAATGGAAACGCCTTGCGGAAACGAGCGGAATGCGAAAGTCGGTGTCTACTGTATACGAAGCATCACATCTCTTATAGCATCAACAGAAGCGTCCTGCAAAAAACTCGCGTCGAGCATAAGTAGTAATTAAATTCCTCTCTTGCCCCTGCCCGCAGAGAGACGGCAGCGTGGACTCCCAGAAGCGGCAGACTAGTATACACGTAGCGCCCCGATCGGCGGCAGGTTGCCCTTTATAACGGACCATTCCCTCCATCTCCCGGGCTCAATCTCAACAGTTTTAGAATTTTCTCTGTCTGTGGCGCAGTTGTGAGTGTGCAAAAAACGAGGTTGCGTATAAAAAATGGGGAACCACCAAGGATTTTACGAGTCATGTCAGGGGTTAGCATCTTGTGCGGGGGCAAACACCAGCCTACGCCGACGCGGATATTAGCCAAATGCGGCAGCAGCGCTGTCCCTTGACGAACTAATCTAGGAGGCCCAAGCATCCATCGATCTGTCTTCCTGGCCCCAGGCACGCATCGACTTCGCATTGACTTGCTCGCTCACTCCGTGCAAGATAACCACATCCTCGATTGGATGTGTGGATAAGAATCTTACCAAATCTACGAACCCCCCGTTCCTCGGACTTGCAGCTTGACTATCTGTGGGGGAGCTGAAAAGAGATCAACGGCCCCCGGCCACGGCATTGTGCGTATTAGTGGCATCCGGCGCCTACCCACAAGTGCCTTTCTTTAGTTGAATGCCCCCTTTCACGACAATCAGCGCGCGCAGATAACAGGGAGAATCTGTCCCACGAGCGAATCCATCCATCCAACTGACACTCGTTTCCCCGATAAATCTACTCCCCTTGACTCGCTGGTGACAGTCACCTAGCCAGTCTTTTGACTCCACACCCTGTTTTGCTGGTAGCCGAGTTCAGTCAAGTACATAAATAACTTCAACAGTTGACGACGTACTGGGTAGGGTAGAGTATGCCACACTGTATTGCTATAGCCAGCCCTACTGTATGTCACAAGTTCAAACTCGAGCATTATGGCACATGCAGAACCGGCCGAGATAGAGTTAGACCAGACCAAGCTGCCTCGGTTACGGATTCGTGCCTATCCCAATTAGCTGGGAGCTACCCCTCAGCGCCTTGCCATCGCGCAACCCTCCCAGTTGCTTTAGACCTGCTCTCGGGGCTGCAACCGAACCCAAACAGGGTGAAGAATTACCCGCAGTTCCACCCGTTATTGACTAACTGTTTCGGCTTTGCCTTGGTTCGGTATAAGATCGCTGAAAAGGCTGAATATACTACTAGTTCATATATTACTAGCTAATGAACTAAAAATTTTACAATGAAAGCAACATAGGTATAGCAAAAAAGAGACTTTCTCCATACTACATCTACGAAATACTACAAGCTCAAACTGCAATCAGGGTGAAGCGCTTCGAAATCTGCCATCTAAGGGGGCCTTTTCTTTTCTCTTTTTCTGTTTTCTTAGCGTCATTTTTAGCAAGAGAATCAAAGCCATTTGCAAGAACGCCGTTTTATCTTCAGGGCGTCTTAGCGACTCTGTGCCCTACTATGGAGTGTGCAAGGCGGGGCCAAGCAGTTGGCGATTTAAGGTGAAACCTAACGGGTAAATTGGCCTTCGGGAAAGGCGGCAATCTAACTTAACCCTTATTGACATCAGAACGTTACACGCCACGTTTTTGGGCTTGGGGTAATACTACCAAATGCGGACCAGGCCATTATCCATATAGAGATGGACTGTCGGCTTTGATGCTCTCAACTTGCAGCGCCTCGGCTCGAAGCGGCTTGGAATCTCTTGGTGCGGTTGTTGCGAAGTCTCTATACAGTATTGCACGGAGTGGACTTGAGAGATGGCCATAATTTGACACACTTCTGAGGGATCAATAAGGTACTCGGATATAGACTAGTCTAGTGCCCCACGCCAGCAACGCTGGTATTCGAGGCATTGGCATTAGATGTTGACGCCAAGGAATGACATGTCGACCTGTCTAATTCACACCGTTTTACTGTGGCTTCACGGGCCGTCTCTCACCAGTAGACAGTGCTTCCTTCGCTAATCTGATTGGGAAGCCGTGGCCGTCCATGTTTGTCAGAACAACGGGAGAGCAGCCCCATATGTATGTAGATTGCGTGCAGCCTACTTATCCAACCCGTTTAGGCGAATTGCACCATCTGGCGGTCAAGCATGTTAGTAGACTCGTGCTTGGAGAGGCTCTGTTGAAGCTGTCTAGACAAGCAAGGCGGCGTATCCGGCCCACGGGCCTGGGAGCAAAAGCTTTCTAGAAGCCCAAAACGAAAGGGCCGATACAGACAGAGGACCGGCTAATGAGCCACGCGGTTCGGCCGCCATCATAATGTCCGATGGGCATTGCTTTGGGCGGACGGACTTGAAACCAAGTCCGCCAATTGTGCACTAAAAGGAGGAAACGCAGCTGCGGCGTTGGAGCCACAAGGGCCCGTTATTAAACGTCGGCATTCGTATTGTACGGTATAGTATAGTGGCAAATGTGCCTTGCTTGCCGGAACGCTCACGACCTTCCCTAGCGCGTGCCCTGAATCGTGCTTGGTGTATCAACCGCCGTCATCAGATGCATCTCTGCATTGGCTTTACGTCGTTGTTGGTATCGCGTACAACTTGCAGGGGGGCAGTGCTCGCTGACTTGAAGATTACACACCCTCTACACGGCAAATGAATCGGTCAGGAGCTGCGTCGCCACAGCCCGAATACGCCCATAAACACGCTGGACCGTTCCATTAGTCTTCTAGATTCTGCTCTGAATAAATCGCCGGGTTCACACCGTCTCGGAAAATTCTAGGCATAAACGACTAATTCCAAAGGGATAGGCCTAGCGAGCCTTGATTTGTAAACAATGGCAAACCACCATTCAGCATTTGTGGTCTTTGATGACTCGATTAAGGAGATCTTCGGTGCCTCTCCAAGCCTAGACCTGTTACATGAAAACGCAGAGTACCCATTCGCACATGAGGCGGGCGTATTCATTCCAGAGGACAACTCATTGTTCATAACAAGCAACCAGTTTACAGACCCTCATACCAACAAACCTCGTATTCAAATCACCCGCGTCTTGCTCTCTGACGATGGAACCTCTGTTCAATGCGAAGAAATCAACCCAGAGCAAGTGCCCATGGCCAATGGGGGTGTGAATTATAAGAGCGGTGTTTTATTCTGCGCCCAGGGAACACAAAAACGTCCAGGAGGCCTCGCATTCATGGCATCTAAGCCGCCGTACACATCGCATTTGATGCTCAGCTCCTTTTATGGAAGGGATTTTAATTCGGTAAACGACGTAGTTATTCACTCAGACGGTTCAATCTGGTTCACTGATCCTATTTATGGATTTGAACAAGGCTTTCGGCCAAAGCCGAGGCTACCGTGCCAAGTCTACCGCTTCGACCCCGTGCGAAACTCGGTTCGTGTTATAGCTGATGGATTCGGAAGGCCGAATGGCATCTGCTTTAGCCCAGATGAAAAAACGGTCTACATTACAGATACTGACTGGATTCACGGAGATGGGACTACGGATGACCTTCGAGCTTCGCACATGTAAGTGATAGGCTATTTCCCCTTAGTCTCGGGTCTCAAATCCGCCGCTAACTTGAAGAAAAGTTATGCTTTCGACATTGTCAATTACTCTGGCCAGCCATTCTTGACCAATAGACGTGTATTCGCCATGGCAGACACAGGTATCCCTGATGGTATAAAATGTGATGTTCATGGGAATGTGTATAGCGGATGTGGCGACGGAATCAACATTTGGTCAGCCGGCGGTGTGTTGCTGGGAAAGATTCTTGTAGACGGCGGTGCCGCCAACTTTTGTTTCGGGCGTGAGGGCACAATGTACATTTTGAATGAGCATCGCTTGTGGCGAGCACAACTAGCATCTTCTACGAAAGGCGCATTACTTGGAATTTAGAAAATCCAGCTTTTTAAGCTGATAGTTGTCCATCTTTTCTTTTCCCGTTTGTGAGCTTCCCAATCGAATCTGGTTTGTTTACAGATTGTATAACCCTAGTTTATAAAGACGACATGCTCTTTAGCATGCAAAAAATTAGCTGAGTCTGTTACAAGATCGTATAGTTGTCCTAGGGAAGTAAGGATTAAATTGAAGGAACTTCATCCAACTGATATGGACAGCTCGAAAATAAGTGTTAAGTGTAGAGCACAAGGAAACTAAGGAAGAAGAAAATGATTGGCACCCAGAACGGGTTGAGAATAGCATGGACAAAATACACCTTCCAGCCAGTATTCTCAATAGCAATTGGAGTGATCTGTACAATCATCTGTTTGCGTGTTACTAAGGACAAAGAGGTTCCATTAGGTAACTTGAGGAAGACAAGCGAATTGGCGCAGTCTCAAATGAAGGATTTCGCCCACCGGCCTTGGTTAGTCGCCAACTCATAGTCTATTCTTGAAGGCAGAACACTTGGGCTTGCTAAAAGCCCGCCATCGGTGCCGAGGTTCTTTCGTCAAATCCAACCCTTTGCGAGAACAGGGTAGTTGTGTGATCTCGAAGTTCAATTAAAAACTCAGCAAAGGACCCAAAGCTTGTTTCAGTACGTACAAATCACTGCACCAATTCCCCCAAGTTGCTGAAAAGCTTGAATATCGCATACAACTAGCAATCGCTTGCAGTGTCTTTTTTGCAAACGTTGTATCTTGACGTTGTATCTTGGCGTTGTCGACTGAGGTGGCGTGAAGTTTTGCCAGAGCATTGGTACAATCATTCGGTCGATCATGCGATGCCAACCATTTTGGTGTCTATGGAATGAACATCAAAATGCTAAACATCGGCAGAATAGAGCAACATTAGATAATAACTGAGATGCGCCAGGCGCAACTAGGTACCTGTGTGAGGCGAAAATGCATAATCGATCTAGCACACGAGCAAGATGCCAAAGTTCAAGGTTGACAACTGAGCACAAACATCTTGAATTTTGTCAGTCCATCTAGCTGTAGCTTCCAACAAGGAGAAGACTTACTAATTCTTGAGACTGAACTCGATTCGCAACACTGGAATAGTTGAGTTGATGGGTGCCGAGCCCAACACCAAACATATGGGCTCTGCGATAAGAGTATGTTGGATTTATATTCTATCCATTTCCATGAGAGGAAGTTGTTCCTGCATTTGCTAAACTGTACATTGGGTCCTGGGGCATTCAATTGTTGGCATAATTCCAGGGTAACTAGGCTCCTTGGCTATTTGAACAATAGTAGCTGTGTGCCGTGGAATGCTAGAAGCAGATGAGCCAGACATAGAGGTATATGATCTAGAACTAGACAAGCTACAGCCATAACCAAAAGTGGTGCATAATATAAAATTGCTTATACTCGGTAGAGGAAGATATGGATGGAAATGTAAGAGTGTAGTACCAGAAAGCAGATAAGCTAGAGCCAGAGCCAGAAGCGTAAAGACACTTGAATCGCAAAAGCCATGAGAAGACTAGTAGTATATAGGTAATAACGCATAGGCTGCAAGGAATAAGATTGCTAAAAGTAAAATAGGAAATTGACAACTTGCTGCCTTGAAGTTATACAATTTAAACAGGTGTGTCTTGGACAAATTAGGAAGCCGTCGATCGAATGCACTCAAATAGTGTCCAGTTTTTATAGTAGCTGCCTGCGATTACAATCACATCTAGCCACTTCTGTCTAGATGCTTCATCTACGTAACTATTGGTTTTATCATAAGTAGGGCTATGGGCTAACATTCGATACTGCAAAAAAGATGCCTAAAATACACTCTTCCAAAGATTTTGAAGTAGCGGCCAATTGTTGGGTTTATGTGGAGCATGAACTGGTATGGCTGTTGCCTAGCACCAATTGCCGGCTAAATCCCTTACCGACTTGCTTATCTCTAATCATAGGCATATAACATTCTATAACTCCATCATTCAAGTGCCTCAGACTTGTTAATCCAACACTGCTCCCTATCTCATTCTACTCCAGGAAACCAAAAATTTATAAAAAAGGGAAAGAAGAGAAAAGAAAAAAAACCATGGCGCCTTTCCAAAGAGATGATAGATTCTTCACCAAAGACTGGACTATTACCCTTCCCTCTCGCCCGGAGCCCAACCTTAGATTCATCCGCTTGACACCCGCCGAGACAGCTGCATTCATACGCTTTGCAGAAGGAGCAATTATCCCACCAGCTCCGAAGAGCACCGAAGCCTCTCTTACCGAGCCTCGGGATCCACCAAAGCCTATCCCTGGAGAAAGGATGCGGAGGATGTATGCCGAGTCCCGGACCCGACACCACGGTCTCGACGTATATATGTCCTTAGAGGGCAGGTTTGTAGGTTGGGGAGGGGTATTTGAGATCACCGCCCCCGACGAGAAGCCGAGTGTCGCAAATATCGGTATCAGACTAAGCCCTGAAGTCCAAGGGAAAGGATTGGGAAAAGTGCTCATGCAGGTCTTGCTGCGGTTGAGTAACGAAGTGGATGCGGATATTATTGAGGCGGGTACTATGAAACATAATACGTCGATGAGAGCTATGGCGAAGAGCGTCGGCTTGGTTGAGACGGATGAGATTAAGGAGGTTCCTGGGCAGGGCGTCGTAGCTGAATTACTGTTTAAGAACATTGAGAGGGAAAAATGGAGAGATCTTGATATGGTGGTTGAGTTTAGGGATCAGGTTGCAAGTGAGTGAACGGGCTGCAATCAACAAATTGTATAATGCATTATACCTTTGTTTTTGTTCAAGACTGGATGCAAACTGCGGGTAGGAAAACTCTCTGCCTTTGTTTTTCGTTATTCTTTTCTCAACATAGCTGTTCAGCAGCATATATATTGCTGTTAGCCTAGAGAAGAGATGGTGAGAAGATAGACGGATGTTGGATGCCTGTGCTAGACCTGTAATTGATACCAGATAGTAGGACGAACGGGTCATGAATATACTGGGAAGTGCCAAGTTTGAGTATGTAGCAATCTACAAGGAAACTCGCATATGCATATAAGGCTGAAACTTTGTATTAAGAATATCTTCATCTTCAACATGCAGCAGTTGACGTAGCGAAGACACCCTGTGGCCCCCTACTCTGTAAAGAAGAATGCTTACTAACTTCAAGCTTCACAATTTCTAGAGCACCTGCAGAAAGTTAAAAAAGTTGGATGCGAGAACGCCTAAGGACTAATACAATGAGAACTCATTCGGTTTCATAGATGCATGCCAAGTTATAGCTTAAGGGCGCTTCATGGCCAGTGTAATTATAATCTTGTGACGGAAAGGTTTCTCACTGCCACACCACGTACAATGAAGTTCAGTTTCGATAGGAAGCGTCCACTACAATGGGTTCTAACATTAACGTGCCAGATTGCCATCTTCTTCTTTCTTTCGTTCTTTCTCTCTCTTTTTTTCTTCTTTTTTTTTCTTCTCAACGCTATAATTAGGATACCATGAATTCACCACCAACAAGCATCTCTATAACGCATTGAATCATCGGTACAGCTAGCATGGGCTTTATATCAAGTATCTATAGAAGTATGATATATAAGTATTATGTAACTAGCATAGTTTATAACGAGGTCAACGTAAGTATTAGTGAAGACGCTACCATAGAGTTTATAATAAAATATGCAATGCTTAGTTCACCAAGTGAAGTTTACAGGAAATTAAGAAATTAACGTTCTTCAATTGAATGATCTAAGGCTATGTAGTACAAGACAACCATGTATTGTGATGATATTTCTATACATACCGAAGAAACAAACATGTCATATCTAAATATAAGCACTAATCTGGGTAATATACTTGTCAATTATGTCCATTAGGCCATATTAATAAGGGGTCTTTTTTTCTGCGGGCGCTCTAAGCTAGTTCAAGACCTGAAACTATTCCGGCATACCCAATCAGTTGGGTTCAAAATAGATAGCATGGGAGTGCTGTCGCCATAGACTCCACTGTAATATCCCCACATTCACGCCAGTCTAGTAGGCGATAGCTCAACCGCAAACTTGAGTTCCGAGTCATCTGTACTGTATATCTAGCGAGCTATGGCCGGAGCTCGCCTGGCATTGCCAATTTCGGTCTCTGCACTCAAAAAAAGGCCCATTTTAATAGGGATATAATGACGGGCCCGGAAATCTCGCCGACACTCACTTTGGGTGTTCCACTCCCTAGTATTGTCCGCTTTCCAAGTCTCTGAGTGCCGCACGCGGTAAACACGAGGTTGAGTAGCCCACTAATATGGCTAAACACGGCCCAAGCAGAGGCTGCGATATCTGCAAGCTGAGAAAGATCAAGGTTTGTCGTGGCTAATACACGCCGCTTGGCGGCTCTGTAGTTAAGCATCTAATATACCTTATAGTGTGACTTGAGGCACCCAACGTGTTCCCAATGCCAGAAGGCCAAATGGACTTGTCCGGGAGTTCCGTCTCACGCCGAATTCATCTTTCGGAACCAGACAGATATTGTTGTGAGAAATTCACAAAGGAAGCGTTCAGTGAAGACTAGAGGTCAGAAGACAGATACCAGCCAAATCCATGACCTGCCGCCTCCATTGCAGGATCGCGCCGTAGCATTTTTCATCCACCAATATGTATCCGGTACATTTGACTCTTCAGCTTCAGTACAAAGGAGGGGGATTCATGAATATCTACCAGACTTACTCCAACAGGCAAGGGATAAAGGGCCGCTAGGGACCATCACGGCTGCCGCGGGACTTGCAGCTTTGGCAAACGTTGGGAAATCTACGGGATGGAAATCCCAAGCATATGGCTTGTATGGAACGGCAATCTGCCAACTCCAGGCTCATCTTAGCGATCCTGATCGGATGAGGTCAGATGAAACACTGGGTGCTATCATGCTCATGAGCATTTTCGAAGTGGGATTTGCCCATCTTCAACGCCGTCTGAACCCAAGCACCGCTGACATATTGCCAGGTCATTGCCTCTGCCGACATGGACTCAATGAAGTCATTTAGCAATCATATTATCGCAGCCGCCAGATGTATAGACCTTCGTGGCCCCGGACAGTTCTATAACGGTGGCAAAACATCTGCAAGGTTGTTTGTCCAATTACGAAGGATCATTGTATGCATTTTTCTGGTCTCTTGTGCTATACCGCCTATTAACAGCTGATGATTGATAGACCATGACTTGCCACCAACTACAGGAACCAATTCCCCATCCTCTGCAGAAGTGGTCTAGCTGGGCAGAATGCGCCAACAGCGAGGTTGAGCCAACCTCGAATCGATTCTCTGAGCTCAATGGGCGCTTGGCGCTTGCCCGCGCAGAGATTAAGCACAAATCAATTACCTGCCCGGCAGTTCTATCAGCAATACTGCTGCCCATAGATGAGATGTTTGAAGACTGGAGGAGGACCTTGCCGGCATCTTGGGCTTTCAAGTCTTATCACTCCTTGCCGTCAGCCAATGGTCAGGTTAAGGATTATATGCTACAGTACGACATATATCCAGATCTCTATATAGCATCTATGTGGAATAGCTATCGATGCATCCGTCTGCTTATTCACGAATCGATCATAGCTGCGATAATGAAGTGCAATTCTAGAGAGCACAAGGAGAGACTACACGGTTCTCTGAGAGTTCTCAAGGCCATGGCTGATGAAGTTTGTCACAGCGTGCCTTATCATTTAAAGCTGCACCGAAACTCCGACGGCCGGCCTAGTGACCCTATATGCTCTGAAGATGGTGAAAAGCTACCAATACCGGGCGGGTATCTCCTTTTCTGGCCACTCTTTCTGTCAGGAATGCTGAGGGCAACTCCTAAGGATCAGAGAGAGTGGATTGCATCTACACTGCGTTACATTGGGCAACAAATGGGGATACAGCTGGCCCTATTTATGGCATCGGCTTTGGAAAAGGTAGAATCTAGCTTTTCATCAAGCGAGACATGGTTCATCGGGGAATTCTATCCGTCTTAAACAATTCTGGCTGACATCTGCGGGTGAAATGTATATTGATCGTGGTCTGAAGAGACACTATTCTGTTACATATCTATTTGTATTACAACTAAAGACTAATGATCTAAAAATATTTTACTAACTGTTGAGAAGTAAATGCAGGGTTTGTTCCTCAATTAGGCAGACTTGCCAGAAAAGTGACGTGTTACAACAGAACAGACGCAGATCTAGTAATAAAGAGACTGCTGCCACCAGCTGCATCGGTCGTTGTGACTTGGATCACTAATCACATTTTCACCTTCTGGCGTCAAATCCAAGACCAAGCCCTCTGATCCATAGACAGGCATCCTCACTTGGGCACCTTTATTTGGGTTTCCCCTGATTGCAAACGACGTTAGATGTCGCTGTAAAGGAATTGCGACTGACGCATTGATATCTCCATTTGGCCCGTTATAAAATGTATACGGCACATCTTCCCCGTGATATCCAGGAGGTATGTTAAATCTGTATCCGTATGTAGAGGAGAATTGTCGAAAGGCTTTCTGCAGGTAGTATGTATTGCAGGTGAATGCGCTTTCTGCAAGGGCTAATTCAGCACGTGAGAAGAAGTCGCTGTACAGAGTCGTGTTAAAGATCGGGGGGTAGAGAACCTCTGACACATGATTGACAACGGATTCTTGTATACCCAAAAATGTAGTTTTAAGGTTGTTGACAAAGAAGGCATTGTTGGTATTGTTCGGAGATGTAAAAAATAACGTTTCATGAGAGTTAAAGCCGGTCATAATTTTGACGCTTTTGTCATAGAGACCTTCAGACAATAGCGTTCCCGGAAGGCCTGGGACAAAATCATTATCCGGGGCTGGTGCCCAAGTAAATGTTCCGTAGTTGGAGTTCGCCACTATAGCTACATTGGCAGCGTAGAGGGCTTCGTAGGGTTGCTGTCGTGCCTCAGCAATAGTCGATACGTTTAGGTGCTTAAGAAAGCGCTGAGTCAAGTTCTCTTGCTGATACCGAGATGGCACAAGCGGGAATCCTGGGGATTGCATGATGGCCTTTTGAAAAGGCGCGGGACCATTAGAACCTCCATGGGCGGTGATTTGGTGCAAGATGGAGCCCCCGCCAGCTGATTGACCAAAGACTGTTACACGCTTTGGATCACCGCCAAAGTTATGTATATGCTGCTGTACCCATTCTAATGCCATACGCTGGTCTAGAAGTCCTGCATTTGCAGTTCCATTGGCTTGCACGCTGGGGCCTTGGAGGAAGCCGAATGCGCCACCCTGATGATTTTGCGTTAGTACACTTACTTATGAGAATGGTTGCCACTTCTACTTACGCGGTAATTAAATTGAACATAGATGATACCACGCCCTTCAGGATCGACCTGCTGACTCTGTGCTAAAAGGCCTGCTGGGTTGCCATCTTGTCCTTTCTTTCCAAAGGCGAAGCCTCCTCCGTACACCCAAACCATGACTGATGCTGGTTTGCCTTTTCTATTATCAAATATGGATCTTGGCACAATGACATCCAAGAAAAGGCAATCCTCCCGCTCAGCAGGATCAGGAGGTGGTAGAAGTGATGGGCCACAATCCTTTGTTGACTTGATAGTCCCGCTCTGTTGGGCTAAGCCGCAAAGGTACCAGACAGCAAAAGCCTGGGGGCAGGCTACGTTGGTTTCACCTCTTTGCACAGATGTTCGATTTCGCAAAGGGGGCTTGGGTGCTGCAAATCTCAGGTCGCCACTAGGATCCCTAGCATATCGAATGTTGGAGAAGTTATAGTACTGGCCAGTCTCCTGTATACCTTCGTTAGTGTAACTGCTGAGAGACCTTTGAAAGGCTATTGTACATTAAAGGAGATGGCTTGATGCAACTCATATCCCAAATCGACCGTTGGGAGCTCACTACAACCGGTAGCTATTGCAGAAGCTGTAGTGAAGAGGCCTAGCGCAAACGGCCACAAAATAACCATTGTAAAAGTCGGCTTGTGGATACTGAAGCGAGATGTTTGGGCAATTGGCTTTTTAAACTGAAAAAGAAAACTCGGATGTTATATAGAATGTGTTTTTTAAACATTGCTGGCATATTTATATAAGTCTACAGGCAATTGAATTGAATGTCCTGTTTGGAAACTGAATAGTCCAATTGTGTTGCTAATACCTAAAGCAGCTTGCACAGTGGAGAAGTGTCTTTTGGCTTGATTGGCTCTTCCGGAATCTTTGCCCAATATGGCAAAAATAATCGTGGAATTCCACTAATAGACACCAACCAACAAACTGAGCTAGGTAATAAGTAAGCCTTGCCACCATCAGCTCAGCCTCAGTTTGAGAGGCACAGAGCGAACATGAAGGCGATTACCAGGTAGCCCGCTCGCTATTGCGGAGACGATCTTTCCGAGAGTAGTATTTCCTAGCGATATAAATCCGTAATTTAAACTGATGAGAGCCTCCATGGTGATCTTGGCTCTGCCAACCAAACTATGACTAAGCAGCGTAGATCTTGCTAACCTACATCTGGAGAACTTATCTACTCTCTTGTTTGAATAGCATAAAGCAGAAAATTTGTTTTCTTTAGATGCTGAGTGATAGTAGGTCCCGGTCTTTCGATCCCAATAATGAAGTATTTCTTGATTTTGTTTTCATGAGACAAGATATATTGATATTGATCGGCGGCCGTAGATTTTGCTTAGGGGGTTAAGGAACACGGGACCAAAATCAATATCTTGAGCGAATGTGGTTAAGCCAAAACCAGAAGAATTTCTTAATTTGTGAAGTTCGACTTTGATCTTGACGTATATTGCTGTGTATATGGAGCTTATACATTTTCTATATCCCTTCCTCAAAACCAGTGTTTCCTTCGATGCAAGATATCCCAAAATTTACTTAACTGTGCAGTTCAAACCTAATTCCCAGAAGATGGATGAAACTTGTACACAGGGGCAGGCTGACATATGACACAGTAAACATCATTGGCCACTATTTTCTCCCTAGGAAAAAAAAATCCCTTTGGCATAGAGGGTTGTTATCACCCTCATCCTAGCCTACGGAAAACGTGTGCGCCGGTTCTTGAGAGAGAACCCCCAGACTGTGATTCTTCCGTATTACTAACAATCTGATGTATCATCGACACCGAAACCGTTCTATGATCGTGTCCGGTCTATGGAGGAAATACAATGCTCCGCCAATTGGACCTTACTTCGGCATGGCTTTCGGATATTTCTCCTGGTGCGTCTCGCAATTCGCTATCTTGGTTTCCATGTCGGTTTTGTATGGTTCTTGGCTGAGAGGATCATCAAACTGTATAAGACAGAGCAGCAAGGGACTGGCGCTCTCTGGATGTTGATTGGCGGCGAAGAGTGGTAGTCCAGTACTCAAGGTATGTTGACAACACGAAGCAGTTAGTTTCGGCTGTGCTCTAATGACAGGAAAGGAATCGTGCTTACATACTATCAATATCCCAACGAGGCAGAAATCCAAGCATGTTGGTTTTTCCTAATATTAGGATGTCCAACAAAACTAAGCCATTATCTTATATCTGAAATATTACTTCTGGTATTAATCTCCCTGCGCTTTGGCTTGCCGAAAGAGCAAAGGATAGATAGAAGAAGCAAAAGGGGGAATGATCGGACATAGAAATTATCTAAATCTATATCTAATGATATCACTTTTAATCCGTATTCTTGGCTTCGATGTGGGGAGTGTCTGTGTTGCCCGGTTTACTGTGCCATTTCCTCTCATCTTCTTGTCTCCTCCAATCAATGCACACCCAACCTGTCGATTGCCCGACAATTTTTCGTTCAAAGGATCTAAAAGTAAGCGAAGAACGAAATGTCCAATCCTGGATCAGGCGTAAAAGTGTGGGGCGTAAGACGTAGGGCGTAGTGCGGCAAATGTTAGTTGAAAAATATGGAACAACTGCGTAGAATCGACCGGCGCGAGGCGCCGAGAATACCGATCGCCTCCCAATTAAGTTTTACTTCGATCATATTCTTAAATTGAAGGTTGACAAGCATGTTTGAAAGCTTATATCTATTTGTAGTGCTTTTGTAATATAAAATTGGCATTTGTCAGACTTCTGATCCCACGAAGCGTACATAATATCACTTTTGCACCTAATGTCTTCTGCTGTGGAGACATTGAGGGAAACCCCAACTCTAACATTTGCCATTCACATGCTACAAACTTTACCCTTTGCAGCTTTGAAGCCTTCCAAATTATGTCTCTATATCACTGAATTATCTATGAGTTACCTTAATTATGAACTATCCAAGTTAACAGATTTAGCCGTTCAGAGAGGTAGAGTTTAGTTGTTTGCCCGAGTTTGCTTAGTATTCTGAACAGGAGCCAAGGCGGCTTCAATTCAACATTACCAATTAGTCTGATTGCACTAGGCCTCTAAGTACTGTACGGAGCACGTTTCTGCCTTTCCTCGTTACTTTTAAGCAGGTCGGGTTTGCAGGCAAACCAGCCCGGTGTTATCGGTATCTCTGCCGAAAGACTCCACCCATAGTAGTGGCCTTCAACAGCTTCCAGCCCAACTTGATGTCGAGCCCTGCAAAGGGTATCGGTTAACGTTCCGAAGTTACCGAATCCACTGGAAGCCGTCACTGCCCCGTTACGGCAAGTGCCGTGTTGTTGCTGTAGGGTTGAACAACAATGACCTCACAATATGTCTCGTTTATCATATTAACCATGGAGTTGCTGTATATATAAGTTGCTGCTGCTGGTCGTCTAAAGAATACTTTCGTTTCAAGCATTCATTGTGTATAAATAATTTGATTTGTCTTTGTCTCTACCCAAAATCAACCTAGAATCCGGAAACTAGACAAGATGGCCGCATACCTCAATCAACGTCTTTCTCATCCTCATATTTCTCATCCGCATCATGGCATCCAGGTGTCACGGTCTGGAACCCCAGCCCTCGAAAAGAGCGCAAAGTGTGCCGCGCCTATTGTAAACGTCGCTGCCAAGAACGTCCCATTCTTTACACCTGAGCAGGATCCCGTTGCCGGCAGTCCATCAGCCACTCAATCATCCGGCAACCCTGTTCCCAAACTTTTCACACCGTTGAAAATTCGTGGTGTAGAAATGCCAAATCGTATTTGGGTGAGCCCTATGTGCCAGTATAGCGCTCACGAGGGTTTCCACACACCTTGGCACATTGCCCACTATGGCGGCATGGCCCAGCGCGGTGTAAGTCAGGCCTTCTATTGGAGAGTCCCTAGCAATTTATAGGCTGACATATACATAGCCTGGCCTGATTATGCTTGAAGTTACCTCTGTGCAAGCTAATGGCCGTATTACTCCCGAGGACTCTGGCATTTGGCTTGACGCACATATCGACACTTTGAAAAAGCACGTCGACTTTGCACACAGCCAAAATGCTCTTATCGGGATTCAACTTGGCCATGCAGGCCGCAAAGCTTCCACAGTTGCGCCTTGGCTCAGCTCTGGCGCTACAGCTACTGAGGAAGTTGGCGGCTGGCCATCCAACGTGGTAGGGCCCAGTGAAGAGCCATTCAACGAGCACTATCCTACACCACGAGCTCTAAGCCTGGCAGAGATTACGCAGTTCAAAAGCGATTTTCTTTCCGGTGTACGCCGAGCACTTCGCGCTGGGTTCGATGTAATTGAACTACATTTTGCTCATGGTTACTTGGTCTCAAGCTTCCTTTCGCCAGCGGTTAATAAACGGACGGATATATATGGAGGAAGCTTTGAGAACCGCACTCGTTTGGCGCTTGAAATAGTAGATGCAACAAGGGAGATTATTCCTGCAGATATGCCCCTGTTTGTGCGAATCAGCGCGACTGACTGGCTCGATACAAACCCAACCTGGAATGGCGGTCCAAGCTGGACCGTAGAGGAAAGCGTTCAGTTTTCCAAGCTCCTGGCCCAACGCGGAGTCGACGTTCTGGATGTGTCAAGTGGCGGAAATCATGTACAGCAGAAAGTTATTGGCGGACCAGGATATCAAGCACCATTTGCAAAGGCAATTAAAGCGGCGGTGAAAGATACCATGCTAGTAAGCTCAGTGGGGAGCATCAAGACGGGCCTGGAAGCGCAGAAGATTATTGATGGCAACCAGAACGGCGATCAGGACGCTAGCGATACGCCACTGGATTTAATTGCTGCAGGCCGAATGTTTTTGAAAAACCCAGGACTTGTGTGGGCGTGGGCTGACGAATTGGGTGTTACGATCAATGTTGCGCATCAGATCGGATGGGGTTTTGGCGGAAGGGCGTCAAAGAAAACAGCGAAGCTCACAGTTCCTTGATCACAGTAGATAGAATATGTCGTAACAATCTCGGTTGCTTAGTTCTGCTACTACCTATGAAGAAAGAATAGATTATCACGTTAAAATCTTCCCAATATTGATTCATGGAAAGTTCAGGGATATATGTCTCGTCAAGATGCGGGTTCTGTTACACAAGTATGAAAAGCTGGGAAGAGCGTGCTGATCATTTGACAAAACCCATTTCCTCAAGGGGCTGAAGATGGATTGGAAGGGAGCACTGCTTGACAATCTCAAAAGCAATGCCTCCAATCTTATTGCATCGGAAGCAAGAGCACTAATACCATTCTCCGTCACGAATTATGAGACTAGGGACCAGCTATCGCAGACAATGACGACTGGCTCTCACAATTTCGTGAGTCCTCCGTTGAATATACACCTGAGAATTGGGAGAGAAACACACGAATTGCCGTGTAAATGTTGCCTAGTCTCGCTGAAGCTGGCCAATCCACAATCAGCGCTACAGGCCACTTAGCAACATCACCTAACGTTAGGTGGTATTGAGTATTGAGCGGAGGCTCATCCTAATGGACAACTGAGCCCTTGAATATCTACTGTCTACTATAGTAAAAGTGTCTTCTATAGTAAAAGTTTGTAGATGAAGATGCTCACTATTGCACCTCAGCGATCGCCCAACTATCCTGGCGAACGCAATATCCACCGATTGGCGCACGAAATGCGTTATACACTAATTCCTGAACAGTTTCCACCCAGCCACTCTTTCGTTCTCCAAGCATGTCTGTCATTCTTTCTCCAAGTAACTCAATATGCGACGTCGTGCCAATGTTGATAGCCAAAGCACTTGGTCATAACATTGCTTCTTTGCTAAAGCATGTTCAGCAATTGCCAGCCTGTAATTTCCCCAGCTTTGGCCGCTCTGGTTGTTCCAAGACAGGCTCTTCCTATTGACATATACTAACACCTTGTAATACATATTGGCCTATTAAACTAAATGATGAAGAAACCATTACTGGATAGGCGCATACTTGCTTAAAGACGTGCTGAATGATGCGACCAAGCGCATGAGTGATCCGCCATAATTAGTCAGACGTAAGATAGTGTTCCATCAAAGGCCAATAGAATAATGAAACAGAACGTGGAATGAGTGCCGTCATTGGTGTACGTAGCGTACTACTCTCAAATCATACGTTCAAGAGCTTGGCGAGCTACGCGAATGTCTTCTGCCTCTGCCTCCCAATAGCGCATATGTGCAATGCATATCTTTAGTGCTTCCTGCGCTTGTTGCTCAAGTGCCATCCTGCTTAGGAGCCCAATTCGCGCCGCACAGACAAGTATCATGGCGCGGCAGGCTGTATCACGGCACCTAAGCCACGCTCCAGCATGTCTATGTCTCAGTCCAAGGTTGAACAGCGGATCAAGACAGATTAGTACCGCCTTTTCTGCCAGCTGTGTCAGTGACTCATTGATCGACCAGTCTCGATCCTGGCCGTGTGCAAGGAGATACAAGAATGGGCGATAGACGCGCAGCTTGATATTCGCGGATCGCAACCAAGGCGCCAACTGAAACTCACTGACTGTCGGCAGGTTCAGTGGCTTGTTGAAGCAAGAAATGGTACCTGGAAGAGTCTCTTGCCACTGCTCTATCTGCTTCTCAAAAGTTCGTGCCGTGCTTATCATGTCGAGTATATCCATACTCGCCCATGCAGACGGGGGTCCCGAGTAAAACGCCTGATCAACGCGGACTGAGAGCTTAGAGAGAGATAACTCGGAAAGGTAGTTGAACCACGAGTTCTCATGGATTTCTTTAAAATCCGGTATATCAACAGTATGACTAGACACTGACGAAACAGTAGTGGCTGATGATGCTGATGTGTCAAAGTATTGACGATCATCCAATCCGTCGACGCTTTTCGGTGTTGGAGGGGAAGGGAATTGGTAGGGAAAATTGAGGGCGTGCAAAGCAGATCTGGGCAGCTCGACCTCGCTGCACATGTCACTTCAAGTCTGTTATCATCACACTCATGCTTCTTTGGTATATTTGACACGGGACTAACTTTTCAGACTTGACACAGCTCCAATAGAGCCGCTGCTCGAGGCAATGTCTCAGATCATCATGACAGTCATGTTCGTCAGGGATCTGGTCGCTATCAATAGGATCTGTTGTTTGTGTAACACGTCTCGTGGCCAGGCATTTCAAGTATACAGTGTACTGCGATGACGCCTGAGAAAACGCCTGCCAGGCTTCTATCGGACGCAGAGTGTATAAAAGATATACTCCTGACAAGAAGTAGCAATGACATGACGTAAGGCTAATGCCCAGCAGACCAAATCGCCTCCGGGCGTACTCGTAATATGATTGAGCCTTTTGACGAGACGCAGTGCCGCCTTGTTGCGATGAGGAGCTCGAGAGACTCTCTACCGTGTCAGGAAAGGAACTGAAGGGGCTAGAAATTGCGCCTAGCGCCGCGGCAACAAGCTATTCACCGTTACATTTCTCATTAATCAGCTGCTTGGAGACGCCATAGAGTTACAGTTTGGCATAAAGATGAAATAGATTGCAGAGTGCTTACCACAAGGCACGTGCGAGAGTCCCACTGCGGGCCCAGTTCAGCAACAGCCCTCCCGTATCTCATCAGAGTGGTGCAGTCCAGAATGGGATTCATGGTGTGGGCCATTCGCAGGAATTTCGTCAACAACGCGGGAATTTCATCCCAGTCCAGCTGCTGCGTGCCAATGGCCGGGCTCGCCTTGTGCTGAAAGTCCTGCATCTTGGTAGCAGCTAAGACGCAAAAGGGTGCCCAATCGTCTGATCTATTAGCATCGAATACTGGCCATCCAAAAACATGGTCTACGGCTGTAAAGGCGAGTGAAATGACAGGAAGGGCGTGACTAGCCTCTCTCTCATGCTTTTGTGCCGGCGGTAACCTCTGGAGGATATCATGGAGAAGGCCGATAACTTCAGAGTTGCTTTCGTTGGAACTGGAGGGCTGTCATTCAGCGTCCGGACTAATGCATAGATGGTAGGTAGTAAAGCACGATACGTACGGCTGTAGCCCGTTTCTCGGGGGCTTGGGATACACGCATTCGCAGCCGAGCCTAACGCATCCCGCACAGGAAGGCTTCTCATTGGAACACTTGACCTTGCGAGCCCGGCAAACACGGCATGCTATGGCGGCGCGTCGCCGACGGTCTGATCCAAGGTTCCTATTCCTGCTACCGTCGACTGTTGAAGGAAGGGATGGACTAGTGCCGTCTCTGCGAGGCGGGGTCCATCCAGTATCATTGCGCTGTCGATCCATTTCAGGGCCTAGATATTGCCCCGAACAGCATCAAACTGTGCGTAGGCGGGTGAAATGAATGAGAGAAGCCCGCGCCTGTCACGGAGCAAAGCCGATGTCTCTCTCTCATAACCAATCTCGAGCTTACGGAAGGAGGACCGAAGATACCGAGAGCCCCCACAACAAACGAGTGGTGATGTTAGTGGGGTCGAGCATTGAGTAGCTAGCACATGAATACTGCGCCACACGGCGGATTCCCGAATCTCGCATTAAGACAGCTTCTGGGGCCCATCTAGGTATGCACTTTCCCATTAAAGATGCATATCAAAGAGCTTGCATCTGGTTTGAAAAATGGCACTTCTGCTTCAAAAGTTCGTGATTCACTCATAGCCGTCGGAAAGAGTCTAGTTCACTCATATTGGTAGCCGCAGAGTATTTCATCTAGCTCATTACGACCTTTGCTCCGACGATGACGCCGGGCAATTCTCCTCTTCTCTGCATATGCTACACGAGGTCCCAGAAAGAACTTTTGACACGAAAGCAAATGCATATTGTGCCATCAAGGCTTCATTTTGCTGATAGTACAATTTTAATGAGAGAATTTTAGTTAGAATCACGGCATTACCATCAGCATTGTCATCAGCACCGCATCCCCCAGATGGTAATGCCGCAACTTGAAACAATCTAATCTCTGTTCTACATAGTTTGATCATGTCATAGAAAGTCTTAGCCAGCCACAGGAATATTGCAAGCCTAATATTTTCTATCAAAGCTTGATTTGAGCTAGTGCAGCATTTGGGTCTGCTTTGTTGGCCCGTGCCTCGTGAAATTATGATCTTTTCTGTTGACTTCCAAGTCCAATATCTTTCTGAATCAGACCCTTCTTGCCACCACCACTAAAGCTCAAAGGTGGTTTGGTCATAGTCTCTAGCTCTCTACGAACCCGTAATGACAAGCCATTTACAGTTGGAAACACACCATATTGTAGCTGTTGAGATACCTATGTCGCAGCCTAAATATACTGATTGTGCTAACCATACAGGGGATGTTTATTACTAGCGTCGGGCGAGGTGATATACCATGACTCCAGCGATACCTGATCACGAATCAACCAGGCAATCAACTTCCCGTACAGCACCGATCGCAAGCCATCGAGGGGAGGTTTTAAAGCCGAGCGCTACTCATGTGGCTGGAGAACGGGAGTGGTATCTCAATTAGGAACGTAGTAATCGAGATTTGTTTGGATTACGATGGTATTGTGATAAGACTTCCGAAATAGGCAACTCGCTGCACTTAGACTTGGTACGTGATTTAGGCTTCAAAGGTAGTTATGAGGATGAGACAGATACTACGAATGGCATAAAAGGTGCAATGTAGACGTTTGTTCAAAGCTTTCCTATCCATTATCCTCTTGCAATTCCTTCACTCGAACAAGCTTGAGCAAAGGACTCTTTTTTTCAATTTAGTTTGCCTGTGTCTAAACCATCGAGTTTCAACGATTCCGTCCTATCACAAACTTCAGAGGAAAATCCACATTTAGGTGTGCACCTTATAGTTGATTCACATTCAACTTAAATTCATGCTTGGCCCAAGGGGACCATTGGCAGTAGATAGAAATATCACTAACACATCTTAAATAGAATACAACAATGTCTGTGGCACCTCCCTCACAAGGCTTAGGCAGCAATTTCAACTACTTCCTTGCGGATGGAGGAAATGCTATTACTGGCCTCAACGTTGAGATAACTTTCGCCGAGCCACTCATCTCTACCTCAAACGGTTTTGGCTTTCAACTCAACGGTTATGCCCGTAAGCACCATTTAGACTCCCCCATATCCTTTCGTTTCTACTTATATACTCCATGTCAATCTACACGCCCCTGGAACTTCTATGCATAGGAAAATGCTAACTCATATATGTTGGTAGAGGAGCTTTCAGGTGCCCCAAGCACCACCCCCAACTGGCAACAATATGTAGTCTTCTCGCAGCCCGGTGACCGGACCCTTTATGGCATCATTGACAACTGGGAGGGAACAGTGCCTGACGGCACATATGCCCAAATTATCAATGACGAATCCACAATTACTACCCTCCCCAAGGCTAATCAGATTCCTGCCGGTGCCAGTATCAATATTGTTCCTACCTTCAACTCTAAGAATGTCATCACCGGTGTTACTTATGTTTATACACCTCCAGGTGGCCAGGCTGTTTCTACATCCGTAACTTTGACCGACCTTGATGTCTACGGTACCAATGACAGGATCACTTCCGCATATGAATCCCCGATTTCCGCATTAACGCTCAACATCGTCGGCGACTACGATGGAAACGACGGCGTCTTCAGCTCTGGCTCGGGTACCATCGTCTACACTGCCGCTCAACCTCTGACTGTTCTGACCACCGAGCCGAGTTATACCGCGTTCCAGGATGGTACTGGCGAGACGGCTAACACTGTCTATGGCGAATTGCCTGTGTCAGACAGCACCACGATTACTCAGACTTGGGGTATTTCGGCAGAAGGATCGCCATTTATCGGACCAGCCGTTGGCCACAAATTGCCCATTCCACCCAGTGCCAGACAGAAGAAGAAAGGACAAAATTAAAGGTAATTCCTCCAAGTTACTTTGCTGATTCAAAAGCTGACATCCATTGAAGAATAGAACAAGCAAGTAAACAAGGGTTAAAAGGATCATAGCCACTGTTCAAGAGCCAGAGTAATGTCTGGGAGGAACATTATGGTTGTCGGAGAGTAGGCATGTTAGTGTAAAATGAAAGGCATTCATGCTCAGTTACAAGAATTTTTTGGATGAAGTCTAGAAATTAAAGTGATTGATCAAGCCCAAGACCCTTTTAATTACATTCCACTTCTCAATAGAATCCAAAGAAAAGGTTGTAAATAGTAGTATTGACGCATCTGATCGCCCCAAGCGCTATTTTAGGGTGTGGAGCCTACATGTGGTTCAGATCGATCAGGAAGGTCGGCGCTCTACCGGTGCTTCGCCGGTGCCCGCTGGCAGCCCACCCAGTGCTGGCAATCCCAGCTGTTAGCAATCCCTCACTCATTGCTGGGGTTGTTAAAGACTGGTATGGCGAAGCTCTGGTATAGTGGGGTTTTGGCGCCGTAGAAGTTTAGTAAAGTAAAGGTCTAGGTGTAGTTGAGGAGCCAAAAAGCCACTTATCTTTTCTCTCTGGGGTAGAACGTTTCTTTTCTAGTACAAGAATAATATGTTTTCCTATTAAACAGTGCTGAACAAAGTCTGTTTCTACCAAGAGGAGTAAATCCCGAATTGTCTTAGGCGATCTTTATAAGTGTTGAAAGATCTGCTAGTGAATGCCAAGAAGAGATTCCCGCTTAGTTCCGAATAAGACCACGATCCATAACTATCTTGGCAGGCGCTCAGAGAAAGCGGCAGTAAAAGACGCTAGGGCATTATCGACCGTCGTCTCAGATAAGGAAGAGAAAAGGGCCTTGGTTCATGATATTCAGAGCTTCCTCAATCCAACACCAAGACGTTGACACGCTTAGAAAAGTTTTGCCTATCGATGAAGCTACTTATTATATCGTTCACCAGGGAATTAAAAGCCTAGTTTCAGCTTGTCTGAGGCAGAAGAACTCGCCCTTGGTATCTATATCATCAGCATATCCAATATCGACAACTAGTCTAAGATTGGCCACTAAACCAACACCATAATACCATGCAATCATTGATCTTAATCAAGACCACACGTGCTATTAATGCATTTGAAGAAGCAATTGACTGTTTATTCTATTGCTTAAATACGCTAGATGGCCTAGGTAATCCTGACTTGGCGACCTGACACGCAGAATGATACGATCCAACCGCCTTCGCAAACGGCTATGTTGGTTAGCTTCTAGTCTAATTAACCACGATGATGTTATAATCAACGCCCATAACAGCATAAATCAGCCCCAAGGTCTTATCTGTTTGTTATCTGTTGTGTATCGATGGCTCTTCATTGATAAAAATACTGTTGACCGGCAGCTAGCTCGGACAAGTGGCTGTAAGAACACCCCATGTTCGAGCGAGACTAGTCCACCAAAGAATACCACTTAGTCAACATAATCTTCACTTTGCGGGGAAACCTCAGCAGCCATTCACTCATGGCGCTGCGTCCTAATTTGGATAAAATATCTGAGCTGGTCCGTGTCTTCCGAGAAATACCAACCGCAACCTAGATTTCTCTGTGCAGTGGGTCTTTTTACGTCATGAATACCGAGAGCTGAGTTCAGAAGGAATGAAGGCATTTTTATACTATCATCGCTCACACTATAAAGAAGTGGCAATATCCGTCTTTCATAAGTTTAAAACATGTTTCATATTACCGCCTTTTTAGTAGTCAATACACTGCTAATACCAATTGCATTCGTTCACAATACCGACCTTAAATTTCTCCAAAATGTTAAGATCTAGCATAATCGTACTTATTACCTATATTCTATTTATACCCGTTACACTCGCCTTCGGAGAGGTAAGAACTGAAGACCAATGGATCAGTATTCGTGTCTACAACAGAATGAGGAAAGATGACGTCTCTTTTAAAAACGCCAACCTAGCGTGGTGAGTTCTTCGATTTATAATTTATCGCTCATTTGAGGCCGCGAGTTTTTAATAAACGTCTTTAGGGGCAAGTTCTATTCAGGTTCTAAATCGAATGAGATATCGGCCGCCGAAGTCGATAAGATTGTTGTGGGCCCTGACGCGACCAAATCTGCAGACTCGTGTGGTCGCTCGGGTGCTTTGTCAGGAACTCAGGGTTCTCTTGATCTGTATGACGGCACCACACGAATCTGTAGCCTCAACTGGGACTGTCCGTGGGGGTCATCAATTAACAACTTTCAAGTGTCAAACTATGTTCCTCAAAAGTCGGATTATTCAGTAGCAGTCGCAACTTGGAACCGTGGCCCTGGTGCTATTGGAAATGTAGATATCACGGTTGCAAAACTTGGATGATAAAAGATTGTTTTTAGGATGAGAGTGTATTTTGTATGGGTATCTCATTCCGACAATATATGGATAATTAAGGCTGGCAAAGCAACATAGGCAATTCAAGAAATACGACTGTGTCTTATTCTCTTAAATCTTTATAGGAAAAACTTGGTTGGTATCCATGCACACGTATTTGGCATGGTAAGGGGCGAACAGCCCACTGGCACAGCACGGATGACGGGAACCGCACGGCAGCCCATGTAATTAGGAACTTAGCTATGGGAGCCGACGAGTACATTGCGATAGATGATAACAATGGTTGAATAGCGAAGAACACGTGTACCCCAGATCTCATTGCCTTAATGCTTGAATGCTCTATTCTGAGCAGCCGACGCTGCTCAAGCTCGAGAGAGCTCTGGTTCAACTTGAGTAGGCACACGTATGACTGAGCATACCTCTTTCATAATTCCCTCCCCCAAAGGATTGTATTAATCTCTAGGTTCTTGTAGGAACGCTAACAGCTATGAGCTCCCCGCGAACAATGCTATTTCCTCATTGTTAACGATAACACGGTTGGCGGTAGCTGCATAGCCTCTCCAACTGACCTAAGATAAATGCTATGACTTGCCTCAGAAAAGAACATCAGGCCGCCGGTAGAAATTGAACTCGTTGAAGATGTTAATAAGGCAATTACGGCCATGAAAAGGGGTCTAGGGAGATGTCGCTGTGTGCTTGTCAAGACAGAGAGCATATAAAGATGGGACAGAATATCCATTGATTGAGTAACTCGAAAGACAGGTTCATTGCCCTGAAACTTCGAATTAGGTATCTTAAGAGGCCCTACTGCCAGTGGGTAATATGGAATACCCTCTTTTCCTTGATGGGCGTCATGCGTCAGAAAGGCAGCAGGCGCTTCAAGTTATGTATTTCAATTTCCCCTCTCCATCCAGGTCGCTGCGAAGTTGAGTTCATAAGCCAACCGCTCTGCAATGCATATAAGCATGAAGTGATTGAGAGAGTGGAGTACTCCACCTAGTAATTGTCCATCGGCTCTAGTCTATTTGAATGAATATCGAGTGAACTTTCCATACTACGTCATGCTATAAGACGGTATCAACTTACTATTTATTCTGACCGCATCTTAATGAGGTTAGATGCGTCTAAACTAGGTATTCAGAAACAGGGCCATCTAGCCTTGCATGGAGGCCTCCCTCTAGGCCCAACTTGATAGTTCAACTTGCCAATACCTAATAGAATTTTAATAGCTCATATATTAATCGTCAGATGCTTATTTGCGCAACAATTGAGTTTAAATACACGTGTTGAAATATTACCTCCATAGGAAAAAAAGAAGAAAAGAGGGGAAATGATCAACAAGGATGTGGGAAAGCATGCTACAAAAGCGTAATGACTATTGAAGCAAATACCCTCATATAATACCAATGAAGTAGCCGACGAGTTTAAGCACTTTGAAGCAATAGCATAGTTCTGCAATTCCGAATTGGGGCTCATATCCCTAGTATCTTGGATTAAACCGGTTTTTCTTTTTTTTTTTTTTTCCTAAAAAAAAAATCCACAAAATTAAAAATCCATAAACAATGAAAATTCTAGTATCACACCGTGTCGCTTGTACACTTTGCAGCAGATCCCATCTGCACATCGTCAAGCTGCGCCACCACACCGAGTACATCGTAAAAATCGCTCATAACCTTTCAATATAGGCCCATCATAGCTCGACGCATCAGTAAAAAGCGCGAGAGCGCCAAAGTTCCTGCTCCAGCGTACTCCTAGCTCAAAATACTAGTCCTCCTCGTTTCGGCTTTGCTATTTAAAAGGTCATTCCATTGCTATAAAGTTTGCCTTTCGCCGAGCCTAGGATACTCAAACATTCTCCTACAAATTCATTGCTTCTTGTCTGACCTTGCTTTCCCTCTCCCTAGCGGCAAAATGGCGAATCCCAACGACCAAGGAGATCCTGAAAAGGGCAGCTCTGCAGTAGTTATTCAACTCAAGAGCAATACTGGGACATCTGGCACTACGAAGCGTCAAATTCGATATTTTGATGATAGTGACGAAATCCAACAAATTGGTTCTTCTATAAACAGGAATGTCAAACTCAAGAGAAAAGGTTCGGCCTACTCTATCCACTCCCTATCAAGCATAAGGAGTGGTCAACGAGCAGTTGATCCTGCCACTGCACTCCCAGTTTTATACCGCACGTTGAGTATAGACATGGAACGCATGCAGGGGGAAAAGAACGCAGCTATTAAGAGAAAACACGGCGACAAGACCATGGCAGGTAAGTCTCGGGTGCCTGGGCAGCTTCAGGTCTTACAATAGCTAACTGATTACAATAGATTTAGAGGATCTCGAGTGGCACACTCTCTCTATCCAAGAGGTTTCTCAGAAATTAGACACATCTACAGAAACTGGTCTCTCGGTACAAGGCGTCAAAGATAAAACCGAAGAATTCGGAGCCAACACTCCAACCCCACCAAAGTCTCGGCTGCTGCAGAAAATATTTTTCTATCTTTTTGGAGGTTTTGGTTCCATTCTTTTTGGTGGAAGCATTCTTGTCTTTGTTTCATGGAAACCACTTGGCGAACCAGATCCCGCAGTGGCTAACCTAGCTCTGGGAATCGTTCTGGTTATTGTATGGTTAGCACAAGCCGCGTTTAATGCTTGGCAAGATTTCTCCTCCTCCAGAGTTATGAAAAGCATTACAGGCATGCTTCCGGAAGACTGCAGTGTTTTGCGTGATGGAAAAAGAAGATTAGTTCCGGCAACGGAGGTTGTCCCTGGAGATATTCTCTTTTTCAGTGCCGGCAACAAGCTGCCCGCTGATATTCGATTCGTCGATGTGTCAACTGATGCGAAATTCGACAGAAGCATCTTGACTGGCGAGTCAAATCCTCTGCCGGCAATCATTGAGTCTACTGAGAAGAATTATCTTGAAACAAAATGTATTGGAATGCAAGGTACTCACTGTACCTCTGGAAGTGGTCTGGGGATAGTTGTCGCAACGGGGGACAATACAGTCTTTGGCCGCATTGCGAAACTGACAAACAAACCCAAGACCGGCCAAACTGCGCTGCAGAAGGAAATCTTCAGATTTGTCCTGATTATCGCAACATTAATGATATTAATGGTTGTTGTGATTATTGCCCTATGGGCGGGCTTTATTCGTCACAAATACCCCGATTACATCTCAGTCTCAACATTAATTGTAGATTGTGTAAGCGTGGCTATTGCCTTTATTCCAGAGGGTCTGCCAATAGCCCTAACCGCTTCACTCACAATTACCGCAGGCATTATGAAGAAGAATGATATTCTCTGCAAATCTCTTAAGACAGTTGAGACCCTGGGAACTGTTTCGGTATTATTATCGGACAAAACAGGGACTCTGACCAAAAATCAAATGACCGTGACAGACTGTCTGATTGGATCCAAGGTCTTGACTGTCACAGAGGCTATACAGGATATGGAAGATACATCTGGTTCACAGAAAACCGCTGCCCTAAAGCAGCTTTGTATCACTTCTGCCGTGTGCAACGCTGGAGAGTTTGACCCCACAAGTATTCATCTTCCAATATCGGAGAGAAAGATTCTTGGTGATGCGACAGATCAAGCTATTCTTCGCTTGTCAGAATTTTTGGGTCCTGTAAACAAGTCCCGCGAATTATGGATCAAAAGATTTGACCTCGCATTTAATTCGAAGAATAAATTCGCTTTACGGATTAGCTCTCCCCGCGATCAATCTTCATTAGAAACTACGCTCTCTTTTTCTGAAATGAATGACTTTGACGCTCAGAAGGATTACATTCTAATGATCAAGGGTGCGCCAGATATTCTGCTCTCTCGATGCACAAAGTATGTTGGCGAAGACGGCGGCGTGTATGACTTTGATGAACCTATCCGCTTGTCCATTGAAGACGCCAAGAACTCATGGTCAAGCGAAGGTAAACGTGTTTTGGCTCTTGCCCGAAGGTGTCTTCCTGCTAGCATCATCCGAACAAATCCAGAAGAGAATTTATTCGAAAAAGAAGCTCTAGAATTTGCACGTACAAACCTTACGCTTATCGGGCTCGTTGGTATAGTGGACGCTCCAAGGGAGGAGGTTCCCGGTGTAATTGAGACCCTGCACCGAGCCGGCATCCGCACCGCCATGGTTACGGGAGATTTTCAGCTCACAGCTCAATCCATTGCTCGCTCATGTGGTATTATTAGCGTACCAGACGCTGAGGTCCACAGCGTCGACAATCTCCCCCGTGTACCTCCCAATTTCGAACCCAAGAGAAATACCAAATCCAATCACCTTCCAGCAGAAACCAAGGCGATTGTCTTGACAGGTCAAGATCTAATGACTTTGCTTCCACACCAATGGCACACTTTAGTTACAGAGTATTCAGAGATAGTATTTGCCCGTACCACGCCAGAGCATAAACTTCAAATTGTACGGGAATTCCAGTCACAATCTTATGTTGTCGCCATGATCGGAGATGGCGTCAATGATGCCCCAAGTTTGAAACAAGCAGATATTGGTATTTCACCCGCATCTGGCTCCGATATCGCTGTTGAGGCTGCAGATATGGTCTTGTTAAGTACATTCTCTGCTATTCCAGAGGCTGTTCTCTACGGTCGTGTAGTATTTGACAATCTGAAGAAAACAATTGCGTACTTACTACCGGCTGGCTCCTGGTCAGAGTTCTGGCCAGTGTTTACCAATGTGGCATTTGGTTTACCTCAGATACTCTCTTCTTTTCTCATGATTATTATATGCTGTTTCACAGACTGCGCTACTGCAATTTCCTTGGCTTACGAGAAGCCAGAGGCCAACGTTATGCTCCAGCCACCTCGAGACATTGTAAATGACCGTCTCGTCGACTGGAAACTTCTCTTGCAGGCTTATGGTTTTGTTGGTACATTCGAAACAGCCCTCTCTTTTACAATGTCGTACTGGTACCTACAGCGAAAGGGGTTAACTTTCGGGTCGTTATGGTTCTCATTTGGGTCAATTCCAACTCCCGAAGGACAGACTGATGATGACGTTACTACGCACTTGACAGTCGCATCTTCAGTCTACTTTATAACTCTAGTAGTAATGCAGTGGTTTAATGCGATGGCCCTGCGTACTCGACACCTCTCATTGTTCACGCATCCACCACTGTTCAATTCCAAAACTCAGAATTGGCTCCTATTCCCAGCTATCTTATTTGCTCTTGCTATTGGTTTGATATTCACGATGGTTCCTGGCATTGATTATCTTGGCTGTGCCCCAGTTCCTGTTGAGCACTGGTTTATTCCTATGGCATTAGGCCTTGGCCTATTAGGTATTGATGAGCTAAGGAAGGCGGTTAAGAGAAGATATTCTAGTGGATTCATCGCAAGAATTGCTTGGTAAATAAAAAACTACCAATAAGTTGACAACCGAAAGATCAATAATTAAAGAGAATATCGAAGAGAAAAGAAAGAGGAAGAGAAAAAAAAAAGGGGGGGTTGTATAACGAAAATAAGTTGTGCTAATAATTAATAACAATAGTTAATATATGTTTTATAATTTCGAGATAAATTGCAGATAGTTACCAAAAGATTTATTTCATAATGACGTTGCAACTTGAGGACATGCAATTAATAAAACAGTCACAGTAGTTTCGGATGCATACATCATTCTTAAATACTTTCTGTATCAACAAGTTATGCCTACAGCTACTGGCTTAGTATACATTAATTGAGCTGAGTTATTTGAAGAAACACGTAATGCAGCATTTCTGAGTCAATAGTTCATGGCTAGTCTTTATTTCACCGCCTGTGACGTGAAACCCAATATATACGAGATATCAGGAAAGGTACTTTTGTACAGGGTAAGCAGAGCATACGAGGTATTCAGGCTAAACACGTAGGTAATTAATAGTTTAGAAGTATTCTGTACTCCGTAATAAAGCCAAGAAAATCCACATACAGGGATTATTGCGCAGGATAGATGGTTAAATGTTTATCCCCTCGGGTTTTCGCTGAAGAGTGGGCCTCTTTTGTATTCAAACATCTCTCCTAAACTACGTTATAGGCTGCATGGACATGCTTAATTGTAAGTAAACCTAATTCTACTACCACAAACTGCATTCCTTAATCCAAGCTTCTCTTCCATTCCCATTATATATCTCTATTCTCAACCCACTGTATTTCATGTGCCTTTTCTTATTTCTGTACTCTATACCAAGCACCCGCAAAAGCCAAAGCAAGGGATCTAGTACCAGATGGCTTTATGCTGACAAATTAGATAATGGGCCGGAAATGTTGCCAGGCGAAAACTTATGGCCAAACTACAAACGTCTTGCCCCGCATAATAAGGATGGCAGTCATGTTTCCAGCATGGTCTATCTGATGACACATTGACGGATATGAATATTTGCTGACATTCTTTATAAAACCTCGTATGCCCACTCCGCGGGCTGGGGAATATGGTTTCGGTTCCAGGCTGCGCAGCGTCTCCGTCGTCGTTTGAATCACTCTAGCCCCTGTTTCAGTGTCTTGGCTGGAAGAGGAATTGCCCCATATCGATTTGACAGTTTAGTGTTTTATTATCGCACAGGCGGCTCGCCAACTTTTAGCGTAAAAACCAAGGATGAAACACGTTGTAACGCTAATAGTAAGGGGAGCGGGAACAAGGATAATCAACGCCATTTCCCACGCAGTATCGAGGACACAAGTCTGGGTAAGAACAGGTCTGTTTACGTGAATATTTATACCAAGTCTCCCGCGTATATGTGTTGATCGGCATGAGCTTGTAGACCATACTCTTCTATCTTTTCGTCAAATTGATCTTGTCTTTCTGGAAAAGACAGGAGATTAATTACTACCTTTTTCCCCCCTAATTGCTCTTTCTTTCTTACACACATTCAGTACTCCAGTTCTCCCTTCATTTCCAGAGTTTTTCATTATCGATTCTTGTCAATATGCATTCTGCACTCCTAGTCGCCACTTTTCTTTCTGTTTTGGATATTGCACTAGCAAGTGAGTCATGCCGTATCTTTAGAGGAGCTGCTGCTCACTGTAAAGCACACAAACAACTAATTACTTCTTCCTCCTAGACCCTATTCGCATGGAAGAGTTTCAGCTTCGGCAGGCACAGCCGTGCTTTATCGTCGGTAAAGTGGCTCTACCTCAAGAGACTCAAGATGCAGCCAATTTCCTCGCGTCGGATATCACCTGCAATGCCAAGAAAACCACCATTTCAGGAGTACCAGACGTCTCCTCTGGCGGAATATCTTTTTCGTCTATCGACTTTGCGACCTCGGGCCAGTCTCCCCTGGAATTCGCCTTGGAGAAATTCGCAACCACCAGCCCGTTAGCCGAGAATGATCTTGCAAAGTTCCAAAACGAAGCGAATGTTTACACGGCTACCGAAGTTGCGCTGCGTTCAATTGGAGGCAACTTGGCCGTCAAGGCACCAAAATTCTTCATTAACTTCCAGATCGCGCGTATCCAAACTGCCCAGGGTAACCCACCTACTGACCCAAGCCAAACAGTTGAACATCTCTTGGGAAAAGTAACAAAGAATGCCTCAAAGGCAGACCAGAAGTTCTTGGATCAGATCACGAACCTGTCAAAGGTTTTGTCCTAGAGAATGTTCAAGTAGACTGGCTGGATGAAGTAGAAAGCAATGTATAAGGCGCTTAACATTAGTCAACTAAAGAGAAGTAAATAGCACTCCATCGTTTAAGGTGGAACGTTATGGTACTAGGTGTTTCCTTCAACAAATTTCCCGGATCTTTAGGATTTAACTTGGATGGCTAGAAGAGAGGATGTTTATTGAAACTAATTGTTGGGACGGCATATCTGGTATTCAAGCAGGCTTCAATATTTGGTATCCAAACAAGCGGGGCTTGTATCACTAAGTATGTGCTGTATGATGTACTTTCAACCACTATATTACAGTGCTTAGCTACTATGATATAGTACCTATCCGCTATATTACAGCGCTTATCCGTATAATACAGTGCAGGTGCTCATGTTCCATAAAATAAACCCTATATGTATATTTACTATAATTATTTTTTCACTAGTACCTTATACATACTTGAAACACGACTGAATTGAATTAAATTCTATAATCATGTGTATGATAACCGTAAATAAGATAAAGTCCAGCAATGTCTGGAATATGGTGCTACCGTCTTTGGCCCCGGAACAATGTCTAAGAGTTAATGGCTAAATTCGGCTATCCTGACCCGTATCTCCTGATGATGGATAGTTCACGCCTGACTCAACTCCGCAAAGTAGTGCAATATCACCACTACATGCATCGAATGCCACCAATACTAGAGAGAGTGAACCGATCAGGTCACAGACTTTGACAACATCGCTGTTGAGAACTAGCTAGACCTCTATATTTAGTATAATATGAGGCTTGTTGCTATAAAATATTACTATAAGATATCACGGTGGCTATTAAATCTGACTTCCAACGTGACATCGCCATAATGTCCCTTTAGCAACTCAAGATACGACAACCAGCTGCTCAACTGTTAAGCACATTTATACACTGTGTACATTTTCCAAGTACGACAACAATATCGTCCAGCCGGTGATGAGGGAATCATCCTCGGTGAAGGATTCGGCGACATACTTGAGATGAAAATGAAAAATTCTGTTACTGGCATTCGGGGGGATGAACATGAGCATCGGGCTGCGTTAATAGAGGTTCCCAGCAAAGAGAATATCGAATTCTATTTCCCCCGCCTTATTAACTATTTCTTCACTAAAGTGGATGTGGAAGTCCTTGTTTCTATTAGGCTTAACTATCTCCGCATCCCATTCAACTCGCGGCACTGTATAAAAACAATGACACTAATACTATTAAAAGTTTGGAATTTAAGCTCATGGATAGAATAGTTAATGTTTGCTCAGAGTATAACATAACGTCATTCTGGATTTACATGGTGTTCCTGGTGGCCAAACTTGGGATTGGCATAGCGATTCTGATTTGAACAAGGTCCTAGATCACATGCTACTTTTAGACAAAAGTGCCTACGCAATCGACTTCTTGGCATTTGATAGGAAAAAGATCTTGCCAAGTACGGTATATAGCTGTTGCAATTTCAGAATGATGGATCAGACTGTTCTAGAACAGAATGATGGATCAGACTATTCTAGAACAGTCTGATGAGGAAGAGAAGCAGAAAACGAGGCTACGAGCAAGAGCCCCGCGAATAGTTAGTTTTATGAGAGACGAAGGTGTGCCAAGGTGCAACGGCAAATATCTATTATCCTTACTATAAGCTGAAACCGTAATAGTAAATACGACTTTACACAGCTACACATACGATCCTCGTCGCCCAAGGTAACAAAAGGTGGGATTCGAACCATAGTATGCGTTATTACCTAGTAGGTGAAGAAGAGTAGGATGCGCATTGTTGGAAAATCCTGCATAATACAATATAATTAATTTCATGCGCTTGAATTCCGAATTGTACTGAGGTAAAGAGTCTGCCGCATCGAGATGGCTGGTGGAAGCCAGGATGCAGGCCAAACGACTCCGCGGTAAATAAGATCGCTCTCGTGGGCTTATAGTCTCTGTATTCGGGATTTTATCGGCTGTAGGGACAATCACAAACGTGTAAGAGATACCAGTAGGACTAGATTGTGCCAGCTAGGCCCAAGCCATACATATGGTATAGTGACCAGTCAAGGAGATTATCCTCATGTGTCGCGAAGGTCGAGGAAAATGATCTGTAAATGAGTCAAGTTTATGTCACACTAGTAGCCCTATATTCTAAAGAAGCTCATATCTGGTCTCCGTGGTGTTTACGGGAGCCCCAGATAGTTCATATCTTTCTCTCGCCACATCTCCAGGAGCCTCGAGGATTGATCCGTCTTGTGGGATTGGATGAGCGTCAGTGTAGCCCTTCGATGATTGTTCTTGAATTGGTTTCAACTCTGGCATGCTCTGGTCCAGTGATTTATGTCGCTGTCGAGATCTCTTGAAGAATAAAAACAGGCCCAACCCTATGAGCGCAAGACCGGCCGCGCCACCCACTACTCCACCGGCAATTGCGCCGACAGGAGTGTTTCCAGATGATTTAGTATCTGTTGAGGATGTAGGATTCGTACTTGTAGCAGAGGCGCCGGACGAGTCAGCGGATGACGCTGTAGTGGATTGTGTCGCTGTTGAAGACGTCGTACTGGTCGTACGCGAGGAAGTCGGAGTCGAGGCGGTCGATGAGGAAGCTTCGTCGCAAAAATCACTTTTACCAGGTCCGCCATCTGCGCACGTGTTTGCGCAGAACTTGATGACTACTATGTTGCCATTGTATCCGCCAACACAATGGAAGAGTGTGTTGGTTGCTATACCTTTATTGGTTGGGTCTAGAGATGCCTTCTGAAGCGCATCGCTGATCTGGGCCTGATAGTTTCCTGAATTCGTAGCTGTTAAACAAGAGCTAGGTAGAAATGGAGCGAGTCACCTACCAATCCCTAACAAATTGTAGCCACAATAATCCAATCCAGTAATGCAGTTGGACGCAAGAGCCAGTATGGTAAAGGAAGATAAGAGAAAGAATGTCCTCGCCAACGCCATGTTCCCGACGCGACTGAAAAAATTAATAGGAAATGTTTTTTCTTCTTCTTCTTTTGGCCTTGGGAAACGAAAAAATGACGCAGAAAGACAAACACCGGAAATGCTCTCAGTGCCTTTGACCTAATAAATCATCTATTTTAAGTGATCAGCTCCTTCAAAGTCGCCTTGTGAAACAAGGGCGAATCCTTCCAAACCAAGAGGCGGCTCGGCCAACAATTTCATTGAGATTCCACTTATTAGACAAATTGCGGACTAGGACCCCGGGCGAGATCGTTCCCCAGCCAATACTATTAACCAAACTTGCAGCAATTGAAATCCACACAGGCCTGACCTGCAGGCACGCGATATCACCTCCCCGCCCAACAGACGCTCCTAATCCTGAGCGCCATCCGGTTTTCAGCATAGTGAACGGAGGGCTAAAGGACTTCTGGAGGCTGTGTCTCGCAGAGCTGGCATGGGGGCGGCTGATCGCCGTTGTGCGACAGTAATCGCAACCCACTATCTTTGATAGTAGAAAATTGAGAAAACGCATGGTTCCTTGCAAGAAAGGCTTTATTGCAAAAGCTAAGCGGACTGGAGGCAGTCATTCATAACACAAAGAAACCAGCAATACGGAATAGCAATATACACGAGTTGGTAGTTATTCAAGAAGGGTGGGAAGCTGGCGACTGTGCCAACGAAACGATCCGTTAAAAAGAAATGGGTGTTATCCACCCGTCGATCAACGATCGTCACGAACGAGTAACCAATCAGCACTGTAATCAAGTGGGTCTGAATTCGGAGATTTCTTTTCTCAGTTAGTATTACCAATCCTCTCCTGATTCTATAGATGGAGGTCATAATAGGCCATTTGGACACGACTCTCAACTGCTATCCTCTCATTGTTAGCAGTATGACAATGATATAGTAGCCAGATGTTAAAGTCGTGTCGAAGCATTTTACGGAGATAGAAAGCAGTTACATGTTGAATAGGTGTCGGCAGCCCTAGTGTCAATACAGATAAGTGATATAATTAGTGAGTATGTTGTAGGTGAGGAAGGCACATACAGGATGCGAAGCTACAAAACTTTTGAGCATACTGTTGCTAACCTGACAGCTCACGCAGCTGGAAAGGCTTATTTCCAGAAAGGAAGCGCCAGACACTGTTCCGGCTTCTTTCGTAGGCATACACTCGCCACTTATCACGCGTTCAGGTACAACTACGGCTTTAGCTAGTTACTGGCAATATATTGCCCTGGTACCAAAAATGCGTAGGCTGGATGTACTAATCCAAGACCCACGAGGCATGAGACATGATGAACAAGAATTCACGAAATTGTACAATATTACGAATGATGGTTCCTGACCACGGTCGCCATGGGACGCGCATGACCCATCGTATCAAACAGCTGGCGCGTTTCGTCTGTTTCTGACATTATTATATACGTATTTGTCGATAGCAATGCTGGCCTTAGCTCAAGTCGGCGCAATCCTGTCTTCGCACTCTTTGGTCTTCAGGACGATCGGTCGTGTAGCGTCAATTCCTGACGTCTATTTTCATAATCTTCTCGATACAATCCCGCCTACAACTTTAGATGGGAGATACAATAATACAAACGCTATACGCTACGCAAAGATTTGATCTGTATGGAGGCTATGCACTCTTACAGTAGAAGCTATAATACAGCAGAAGCTATAATAAAGTACCTGCAACTATGAAGAGCAATTACTAAGAATCTACTCGAAAAGTGCATAGTGTACGTGTACCAGTACCGCCAGGAGATACCCAAAGAAGGTCCTACTTCAAATCTCTAAAAAACTCAATCTAGAACCAAGCCCACTATCAATTTGACAGATAACAAGCGACTTTGCGACATAAACTATGTTTTTAATCCCTGCACTGTCTGAAAATACTTAATTCATGATACTTGATGGCGTATCGCTTGGTTTGAAGACACTTTGTATGCAACAAGACGCAATAGCATTGGTGATTATGCCAAAGATTGCATGTTTAACGTTTAAAAAGGTACATGATGTTGCACTTCGAGCCGAAGATCACCATGAACGAGCAGGCTAATCATAACTGCAGGCGAATGATTCTAGATTTGCTTCCTATTTTCTTGTGACCTAGCTCTTATAGCTCGGCCTGATTAGACTAATAAGATGCAAAGGAGTCTAAAATCTGTGCTTCTTGTAGTTGGTGGTAGGCTTAGCCTATATTTAAGCAGCAAAACAAGGGAAAAGCTGATAAACCACAAAAAATTAGATCTGCTGCCTTAATAAGGACATAATTATGTCACAGGAGGGCGAGGTTTAAGCCCCAAAGGCGCTAGGTCACTATTTTATCATGCCGTTTGCAAATTGATTATCAGAGACTAATTACAAATGGCTCTGCTGTGCCTCCAGTTTGCTAATTACTAGAGCAGCTGAAGGATCATTGTCTGGTTAAATTCTTGAATGATGCTGTTGCCTCGGCCAAACTCTTGCTGCATTTCTTAAATTCTTAAACTGGTACCGCTCCACAAATGGCATTGAATATTTACAGCACTCAGACGGGCAATTGGCATCGTTACACACAAATGATGGATCTCTTCATGTTAATTTTGACATTGACGGGACACTGGTTGCTCGACATCTATTCACTCATCAACGTCGGTGGACTTAAAAAGGGCCAGGTAAGTGAAGAAGAAAAAAAAATAATCTTCTTTCTTAGGACTATATTGATATAATGCTGACGATGTTTGTAGTCTGTTCTCATCCACAGCGGCTGTGGTGGCGTGGGTCTAGCTGCAATCCAACTGGCCCGCATGATTGGCGCTGGAATCTATACAACGGTCAGCAGTGACTAGAAGATTGATTTCCTTGAACGAGAGTTAGGCATCCCAAGAGATCACATCTTCAACTCGCGAAACGTGAGCTTTGAAAAAGACTTGCTAAGAGCAACCAACGGCAACGGGGTTGACTTGGCTCTCAACTTGCTCTCGGGCGAGTTGCTACATGCAACTTGGCGCTGCGTTGCCAAATGGGGAACTTTGGTAGAGATTGGCAAGCGTGGTCTTCTTGGTGCTGGCAAGCTGAAAATGGAGGTGTTCCTTGCCAATCGTACCTATCGATGCGTAGACATAGACGCGATGTGCAAGGAGAAACCTGAGATGGTCGACAGGTGAGTGTTGGTCGTTGCCCATGCGTTGAATACATTAAGCTAACACGACAACAAGCCTCCTTCGATCAACGATGGATTTCTACCGACAAGGGCGTATTCGAGCCATCTCGATTGACGAAATCTTCCCCGGTGTCAAGATGCAAGAAGCATTCCAGCACATGCAGCAGGGCAGCCACATTGGCAAGGTTGTGCTCGAATTCCGCGAACCAACATCTGGAGATCTTCAGCTTGGACAAATTCAGCCTGGTAGTGCGTCTACTACGACAGTGCTTGATGGCCAAGCGTCGTATCTGCTTGTGGGCGGACTTGGTGGCTTGGGCCGTTCCGTAGCGGTATGGATGGTCCAGCACGGGGCCCGACACCTCACATTCCTTTCTTGAAGCGCTGGAACAACTGATAGAGACAAGCTCTTTGTCGAGGAGATCCAGAGCATGGGCTGTGAGGTGCATCTGGTACGCGGAAGCGTCACTGAAGCGACAGACGTGGCCCGCGCCGTTGCGGAATCGCCTCGTCCCCTCAAGGGAGTCATCCAGATGGCAATGGTGCTTCATGACCAAGCCTGGCGGAGGATGACCATTGACGAATGGAACATGGCGACGGCGCCCAAGGTCAGGGGAACCTGGAATCTGCACAACGAGACGCAGTCACTTGATCTCAACTTCTCCATCCTCTTCAGCTCACTCTCCGGCATCGTTGGCCAGCCGGGATAGGCCAACGATGCCAGTGCAAACACGTTTCTCGATGCATTCGTCAAGTTCCGAACAAGCAAGGGGCTTCCTTGTACGTCACTCAACATTGGGGCCGTGGAAAACGCAGGCGATCTTGTCCAGGAAGAGCAGTTGCTCAAGAAGCTAGAGGGAACAGGCTGGCGGGCTGTGCAAGAGTCAGAGCTGCTGGACGTGCTGGAATCTGCCATACGACAGTCGCCTTCGCCATCAGCTCAACCTGGATCGCCAGAGTCGAGCCTCGTCAACGCAGGCCAGACTCTCGTGGGCATTGTACCCGTCGTTCCACTCAGCAGTCCCGACAGCAGCGCCAAGCTACGCAAAGACGTGCGCATGTCAGTGTTTCGCAACATTCGCATCCAGGCCAAAGGCGGCGCCTCGAGCGACAGTCTGCGGCAGTTTCTGGATGCGGCCAAGACCAGTCCTGAGACGCTCAGCAAACCAGAGTCTGTTGGCTTATTGACGCAGGAAATTGGGAAGAAGCTGCTGGGCTTGGTGCTGCGGCCAGTGGATGGCGAGATTGATGCATCTCTGTCACTCGCACAACTGGGACTGGACTCGATTGTGGCCGCGGAGATGCGGGCCTGGTGGAAGCAAATGTTTGGGCTGGATATCAGCGTATTAGAAATGCTGAGCATGGGAACGCTCGAGGCGTTGGGCAAGCAGGCTGCCGAAGGCTTGCTGGCGTTGCATGGCTAATAAGGCGTTTGATGCCGTGGTGTTTACTTGCGAGTGCTGACTTCAAATTGTATAGCACTGCTTGCTGCTGAGGCGTATCAGGAGAAGAGTGAACCTTGACGGTTAACACTAGACACTATAAAAAGGGTTATTTGTATAGTATTGATACTGAACTCGTAAAAAAGATAATTCACCATTATAAAAATTTATTTAAAAATAGTTTTTACATCCAACTACTGGAATATCCTTATGACTTTATTAGTAGAAAAATCAGTCAATTTTTAAACCAAAATACAGAAACTTCCTTTTGTTTATCATGTATGATATGTTTGCATTGCTCCAAAACCATAGCCACTTTTTATATAAATTTATTTCACGGGCAACAATTAGTGATACATGATGATTGGTTTAACTTACATCTAGCATCCCGTGCCTATGCTCATGACAGGAAATAACAACAGCTGCCCTGCAACTCTTTCTTCACTGCAGAGTCTTGCTGACCACAATTTCACTCTGCGCAATTTAGTGCTCACAACCTGGGATACCAGCAACGTTAAACTCAAATGTCAGCCGCTGTTATGAGTCACTGGCTACGCAATTGGAATCAACAAGTCTCACGCGGTTTCGCCAGCCGAGACGGAAGCACCGAAATCGTTTGATTGATGCTAAAGAGGAGCAAGAGACGTCATTGGCCGCAACTGAGCGTGCTAGCCAGACTACGCTGAAAGCCCCAGAATACTAACCAAAACCATCATGACGGAATCTTTGTGTTCCCTATTTTGGCCTGCTAGCAAAGCGGTTATTGCGGCACGCGGCCACTTTTCTGCTCTTGGGATTTATGGACAACTACGTAGACTAATCAACAGACTTGATAAGCAGAGAATGGTTTCTGCTGTCTGTGGCTGTGCTAGAGTAGATGAGGGGTTGCAGGGATAAATGAGCCACTTTTTTACAACACGTCTGTGAAATTGCCTGGTATGGCAATTCTTGTTCGATGTAAGTCGCGTGACCGCCCAAACTGTGCGTGAATCTGTTCATGTAGGCAAGAAAGATAAGAACCCCAACCTCACTTCTCAAACTTCACTTGCCTGCACCTTATATTCTACACTATTCAGCGAATTGGTCCAAAAAAGCCATGTTGCGTCTCGGTACGGCTCGCCTGGGTGCCAGGCTTACGCCCGGCAAACACAGCTTCACGGCTCCCCAGAAGCTTTCTCGACGTTGGCTGTCTGATTCCCAGGCGCCGAGATCCGCACCATCACGGCCAGGCCTCTTAGTTGGAGGGGCATGTGTGGTTGTCGCTGCCGGGGGCGGATACTTGTGGTTAAATAGCGGCACTGAGACCAAGACGTCGACTGTCCCTCTTCTTAAACCCGCTTCCTCAGAAGACGACATTTCCGTCATCTCGCCCGTGCCCGTCCTAGACTTGAAAGCAGCAAACCAAAAGTTGCGGGAGCAGGCTCAATCGTTTGTATTTGATGGCAGAGACGGACAAAAGGGCCGCGTCGATATCGTCCGCGTCGCCAGCAATGACCCTGTTGAGGATGAGTGGTCTGTTGCTGTTGGCAAAGGTATCCAAGGCGGAACGGCGCTGTACGCGGGTGTTTACGATGGACACTCGTACGTGAAATCCTGCTTCTAAGGAACATCGAGACTGACCCGAGCTATAGTGGCTGGGCTACCTCAAAGGTGCTAAAGCAGGCGCTCATCCCGTATGTTTCAATGGCACTCTCCAAGGTCTCGGCACCGGGGTCAGGAGATGTTGTCGACGCTGCTATCAAAAGAGCCTTCACCAGCCTTGACGACAGAATCTTGAATACTGGGCGCGAAGCCGCCGAAGCAGGCTATGAGCCCGGATCCAGCCAAGTGTTGTCGGCTCTCGCACCGGCCCTCGCTGGCTCTTGCGCCCTGCTCTGCATCTATGATCCCAAGTCCTCTGTGCTGCGGACCGCCGTGACGGGCGACTCACGCGCAGTTCTCGGGTCGTGGTCTTCTGATTCGGGTAGCTTTGTGGCTTCCGCTCTGAGCAAGGACCAGACAGGATTCAATGAAGATGAAGTCAAAAGATTGAACGCCGAGCACCCTGGAGAAGACGATATGCTTAGTCCCAAAACGGGCCGGCTCTTGGGGATTGCTGTTACTCGGGGCTTCGGTGACCATAGGTGGAAATGGCCCAATGAGTTTCTGAACTTTCTCAAATCGAATTATCACGGCACTGAGCCTCGCCCCAAGTCTAAAACACCACCTTATATGGTTGCTACCCCGGAGGTTACCACCCGCTCCGTTCAATCTTCAGACTTTGTCATTCTCGCATCGGATGGGCTCTGGGACGTCATGTCTAACGAAGATGCCGTGACGTGCGTCTCCCGCTGGCTCTCCGCGCGACGTCTGGGGAAACCAGAGGTTGTTGAAGATGCCAAGACGACGGGCTACACCATAGATGATGAGGGATGGCCATCTTACAAGGCGACACCCGAGCATTTTGCTATAGAGGATCTCGACAATGCGGCGGTGTGTTTAGTAAAGAATGCGCTTGGGGGGAGGAGAAGGGCTATGCTTTGTGGCTCGCTGACGGCACCTACACCTACCAGTCGATACGTGAGAGACGATATTACCGTGCAGGTTATTTTCTTCAAAGATCCTTGAATCAAGGAAAAATCCTAGCGTCACATAAATTTATGAAGAATGCTAGGATGGTTTTGTTTTGCAGTTAGTTTTGCAGTTAGTTTTGTAGTTAATTTTTGTAGATAGTTTTTGTAGGTAATTTTTGCAGCCTGTCGAGCTGCTGTGTTTGCTAAGCCTGGTTCTGGCAAATTACATAGTTGGGGTGAAGCAAGTTATTGGGGCCATAGGATCCAGTAACCACCTTTGATACTGTAAGGAACATCTCGCTACGCATTCACATTCCAGTAGTTCTATTTACTATGTTTCGTACGCCATTTAATGGGAAGATGAGTCGGTTAAAAATGCTACCTCTCGCCGAGGCAAGACGGTTAAGAACTTGCATTACAACTATTGCCCATCTCTTGCGTGTCTCCTTGTTCATGTTGGCGATATGTCCAAATCCATTTAGAGAATTTCAGGAATATGCTTTGACACTAAAACCGTTGAGAATACTGTTGATAAATGCATCCAACACACCGTGGCTACTATCACGAAGGTCAATGGCAAAGCGAGCATCCAAGTCGAACATGTTATTGTTATTGAGAGGAGTAAATAAAGTGTCTGAAGAAACCAGTGGATGACTTTTTTTTACAGGTTTTGCCCTCGATGTTGTCGTACCAATCGACACAGTCTTTGGTTGTGGCAGGGTCATATTGCATTTCAGGGTAAGGCGTCGTGACGAGGGCCGCGCGCTAAGAGCGACAGCCGCAAAAGAAATCAAAGCTTTCTTCATGGTAGACAACTGCGTAGAGGTTAAATGAAACAAATGAAGCGAGCTGGGAAGAGATCAACTGGGAAGAGGGATGGTCTGCGTATCGTATAGTAATAGCTTTTGGCTTATCCTGGACTGTTGCGTTCTGGCGGGAGCAACTCAGGCGAGGCCTTAAGCACTTTATTTTGGCGTCGATGCGACGTCCATTTTAGGAGATGGAATTGTGCTAGAGCAAGGCAATATGTAGTTTAATTTATTATCAATTTCCGTTGCAGTTCGGTTGTGAAACGAATAACCTTAAGTTGAAGCATTTTATCGACCCTTCGCCTATATTACCAACCATCCAAGAGTCTGTAATAATGTCGTCTTTTGGCCCCCTGGCATTTGCTCATTGAAGATGTATTTTGTATTATATCCGACATATAGGGTCTATTTTATTAACTCGAAGACGGATGAGAAAATGAGCTGCGCTGAAAACCAACTGAGATACAATAAACGACGGGAGAGAATTTTAACTCGGAATGCAGCAAGATGCGGTCAATGAAACAGGAGAAGCTTCTGGAACGGCATATACCGATTAATAATAATAATCTATACAGTTTACAAAAAGTATAGGGACGATCAATTTGTATATATATATATATATATATATGTTGAGCATCTTCTTAGGAACATATCTGCAAAGCAAAGCTATAGCTCACTATATAATTCAAATACAGTCATATGATATATACCTTTATAAAATAAATAAATATATATCTAGCTATTACTTTTCTACATTGTCATAGATAGATCTAAGTACAACATCATTGATCCAATCACCATTAGACCAGTCATCCCACACACTGAAGGTAACCGTGCGGCTCTCGCCCTTGTTTAGCCAGAAGCCGTTCTGATCAAAGTATCCTCTTACCGTCGTGGGATAGTCCAGCCAAACCCATGCTGCCACGCCTTTAGTCGCAGTGATCTTGAACTGAGCCCTATTTCCACGAATTAATTTTGCCATCACCAGGCCCGGATCGGCAATACTGCTTAGTCGAAGGCTTTGCGGGTGGAAAAAAGCCGAGTGGGTATATCCTCCAGCCTCAACAGAAATTGAGAGCAGGGTGTTTGATGTCGGGTTTTTGCAAGCGAAGAAGGTAGACAAGGCAGGATATGTAACCAACCGAGTCGCGTTGATCGGCTGCACATTAAAGTTGACGTTAAACGACCCGTCGTGGGCTGGATTTACATGGACCGGTGGATCAACGTCTAGAGCATTGCCTTGCCAGTCAACCCACTTGAACGAAGCTGTTCCAGAAACCCTTTGCCACAGATCAGACACGACCCAAACTTCCAAGACGTCAGTAGCTTCGTCATAGAACGGCCAGACAATGACAGGGTTGAAGATGTCCTTGGCAGCATAATAGGCCACCTTTTGCCGCAAACTGTGCTCGGTGCTGGACCAAGTAGGGCCAACCCAAATGTCGTTGAACTGCCAGTACAGAGCGCCCATCTGGCGATTTGAAAGCCCAGATCCGCGCCGGTAAAAAGCGATCTGAGCCTGGTAATAGTCTGCCTGGAACACCTGAGAGGTCCACGTCCAGGCGGTGAAGTTGGCTACAGGATCCTGCAGTTGGGGCAACGGATACCAGAGCTTAATGCTGTCTGTGAATTGGTTGATGCCACCTGCAGAAGACGAGAAAAAGTCGCTGCCGCCACTGAGATGGCGGTTATGATGCCGAACATATGATGAGTCGAAGTAGAATTCGCTCTCGGGGATGGCTTCTTGCCAGGAGTAGACCGAGGGCATGGATGGGAATCCAAACTCGTCAGCAAAACGGCCCACAGGATAGCCACTGTACTGGAAGGCAATAGTTCCATCGTAGTTGTAAAAGTCGGTGTCAGCGTATAGCGCATCGGGGCTCTCCATATAGTTGTACCGAGAGGTCTGAGGGCTGACTGAATTGAAGTCGAGCGATGTGTAGCCGTGATAGGTTGACGAAGGGATGTAGCTGATAGAGTGAGTGTTGGCGTAGACACACTTGGCAATATGCTGCTGGAAGATGGTCTCGTAATTTTCGAGCTGGGTATTATTCCGGGGATTGAGCCACCAGCCATAGATGAGGTATTCCAGCTCATTGCCGCCGGCCCACAGCGCCAGACTAGGGTGGTGATTGACTCGACGAGCATTGTAGTAGGCCTCTGCCTCGTACTCCTCAATGAAATCTTTAGTGGCGGGAAAATAGGCCACGGAAAACTGAAATTCAGACCACAGCAGCAACCCCATTTCATCGGCCAAGTCGTACGCCCAGTCAGGGAGGTAAGCTCCCGAAGACCAGATTCGCATCATATTGAAGTGTGAGTTTATGGCCAGCTCAAATGTTTCCTTGATCTTGGTCTGGTTGACTCGAGGCCACAAGATATCTGGAGGGACAAAGTTGGAGCCCTTGGCATACAACTCGTGGCCATTGATCTCAAACTTCCAGCTGGCTCCGGGAGCAACGCCCTTGGCCTTGTCTTCAGCGGTGATCGCATTCAGATTCAAGACAATGGTTCGAAAACCAACTCGCTTGGTAACGGTGGCAGGCTTGGAGAACGCAGAGTTGATTAGGGAGAGCGTTGCCGTATACAATGGCTGCTCGCCGTAGCCAGATGGCCACCAGAGATTCACATTGTTGCCAATGACAGTACTGCCGGTGATGGTACCACTGGATTGGCTTATTCCAGCTAAATTGGTCTCCTTGAGGGTGTGGCCCTTGCTGTCGACAATCTTCAGGTGAAACTGCGTATTTTTGGGAAGCGTGCCGATATAATCAATGCTGGCGTTGAAAATGAATGGCTTTGTCTGATCGGGTGATATGTTAGGCATTTGACCTTGCCGAAAGATATCAATAGCCGTATTAGTGATATAAATAGGATCAGTTTTGGCCTTTTGCACAATGTATGCTGGTCGCCATGGTCCGGCCGGAGAAAACTGCGGGCCCCAATCCCATCCAAAATCGCTTTCCTCTTTTCTCATGTAGACTCGACCTTGGAATTCTTGGCCATTGTAACCATTGGCAGAGTTGACCTCAGCTTAGTATATCTCTGTTAGCGGAACAAAGGGAGCACGAAGGGGGTATTGAACACTATTATTCAGTCATCGAGAAGACTTACAAAGATCACTTCTCTGAGCAATGTCGAGAACGATTTTGCTTGCAGACCCAAAGTTCAAGCTTAGAACTGGATCTCCAGAGCACTTGGGTAAAATATCGCTGACATCAAACGTGTATTTGCGAAACTGGTTCTTGGTATTGCCGACTGTCTGATTGCAGAGTTTAATTTCACAGAAGGTGTCGAGACCTTCAAAGACGAGCCACGATGTAAGCCCATTTTGGGGTTTCCTTTGTAGTTGCTTATATCAGCTTCAATTTTCCCTTTTTTTCTCATGACTAAATATCACTCACAGTCCTTTAATGGGCCCAGATGTATATGTCCAGTTCATTCGCTGAACCCAAAACTGGTTCCATTCATTAAAGCCATAAATGGGATCTTCAATGACGCCCGCAGCCAGCAAATCGATATGAGCATGTGAAGGTAGTTTACCAGGCACAGTGGCATTGACACCATTGCTCACCGTCCACGAGACATCGCTCAGATTATAGATGTATTGCGCAGTGGCACAACTCGCCAAGAGAGAAAAAGATGCCAACGAAAAGTGGCGCATTGTGCCGACTTTATGGCAACTGATCTCTAGACAAGAGTGTTATCAATATCTAATCACCATGGCTGTTGCTCCGGTATTCATTCGAGGCAGCACATAGCTCACCTATATACAATTATGTACCTTCCAAAGCAGACAGAAAGGAACAGAAAGTATGCCACAGTTTCCACCACGCAAGGGAAACTACATCATGCAGACATGTCTCGGGGAGGATGAGTTGATCGCCTAGCTGCAGGAACACTGGCTGTGTGAGTAAACAAAAATTAAGATGTAAACCAACTACAACGCATTTGAGAAATGCACTAAAGTCCTTCTGGATGCCGAATTTCTCCCCGCAAAGACATTGTCTACTGTATAATCTCAATCCTTGCTGAGGTTGCAGGGGTCAAGACGTGATAACGACAGCCCAGATGGATACACAAGCATACATGAGAGCTACATTCCCCACCTCCACACTTTTGTCATTATGGTTATATTTAGGAAAACGGAAAACTGGGCTCAGTCTTTCACCCTCGAAGCTAGGCCTCCCGTAGATATCGGGTAATGTATGAGCTGTCGCTCTGCTTTTCCGGCCCAATTAGCCGCTGTAATTTGCTTTCGTGTCTGCCAAAGGCAGCTTTTCCGTAATTGTCGGTCCACTTTTTGTGAGTTCATCTAAACCTCTATTATTGACTTGTCCAGGTTTATGGTCTTTCGTGGGGGAGAAGCTAGTGTGGATGCAAAGATTTAGAGGCTTCAGTGACAGCTGGCTAGAGGATTTTCGGTTAGCAACCAATATTGCCAGCGAATGAAAAGATGAAGACTTCGCCGAAGCCGGGCACGAGATATAGAACAAGAAGTTGCCCCTTGCTTCCGCCATATCCCATTATCACTTCCCAAAGGAACTATCATGAGGTAGCTTAGTTTCCTTTACCATAGTGTCCTGAGGGGTAGGTTCAAAATACCCCTTTAAGAAGGTTGTTAAATGCGGGGGAAGACAATAGAGGAAAAGGCGAGACTTTGGTTATACGAGGGGCAGGTTTCGGCATTCGCATTGTGGATGCCACATCCCCTTAGCTCGAAATTCGAGCACAAATCCGGCGGAAATGGTTCATATGGCTTCATTCGGAGAAGGAGAGAGAACTTTGGCACTTCTGCATTCGTATTTGCGTTTGCCATAAATCCGTAGTGATGGGTAGACTTATCCGTCGATAGCGTGGAGAATAGTTCTCGTTTAGTAATACAGGCGGAGCGAACAGGGCTCAAAAGAGACATGACAATTGAATCAATTGGTCTAAGGAAACAGTGGAGAGCTGACTGGCCTCGTGAGCTTCGGGGAAGCATGCATCGAGGTTCGCAACATTATTTACTCTGTCCCGTCCACCAGGCTTACAGAAACCTCTGAATTTTAGCACAAGCGTCCATCACTCCTAAGACATTACGGACAGATTGGAAAGCAGGAAACAGTCTGGATTGATATTACCATTGCAAGATTAGAACTGGGAGTTGGCCTGCGACAGACTCCCGAGACGCAGCCAACAGGCGCAGACTTACACCGCCATGGCATCGGCACTTGTCTTCTCCATTGCGGCATCAATCCTGCTTCAGCCAGTTGCCGGCACAAATACAGGCACAGTTCATTGCTCCGACGCCTCTTACCAGCCTGGAAGCGTGTATTTTTCAGATCAATGCTACAATGACATCCAGAGCTGTATCACCAAGCTGGCAGCCAATGCTTCCGTGGTTGACTGCAACGGCTCCAACATCAGCATGCAGCAACAGGCAAACTTGGGAGCCGTAGGTTCAGCCCAGAATAGTGACATCAGCGTCTCTTTTAAGAGCATGGTAGACCTTTGCCTCTTGAGCGGCTCGACAAGCGGAACTTGGGGCTGGAGCGACAACCAGTGGTACTGGCTTTGGACCAGCGGAGCTTGCTACACTTCTAGCGGGGGATCGGGTACAATGCCTACAAGGCCTGCCCCTTACTGCTTGCAAGATCGCGATTCTTCGCTTCCGGACTGCTACCCTCAACCGAGTCCTGGCGGAGGTCCGTTGAAAGTCTTAAAAACAGCGAAAACTACCAATGGATTCAGTTCATCGGCCAGAGGCTGGAACACATATGGAGCTCAAGCCCTGGCCAACGGTTCTACGTTGATTCCGTCTTTCGCCGGACAATCTGGTCTATATTATACGCAGAAGTTTGTTGAAACTCAGTGTGGCGTCCTTGCCAACTCTAAGTTCAAGGCTGCTGGCTTCGACATGTGCAGCCTTGATTCTGGCTGGCAGTCCTTTGATGAGGTTGATGATAACGGCCGAATCATCTACAACGACACTCGATTTGATATGCCCAAGCTTGGCCCGTGGCTCCACAACCAGGATTTAAAACTCGGCTTATACATTACTCCTGGCGTGCCTTGCCAAGCAGCTAATAAGACCATTATAGGCACGGATATTACCGTCGGATCCGTATTTAACGGAAATTTCGATCAGATTTTGTGCCAGTTTGACTATAGTAAAGATGGTGTTCAGCAATGGCATGATTCTGTAGTGAATCTGTGGGCCTCTTGGGGCGTTGATATGATCAAAGTAAGTGAACGGTTGCCAACTCTCCAATATGACGAAGACCAATAATTGATGCCTTATGGAAAAACTAGCTCGACTACGTCACTCCTGGCTCGCCGCAAAACGGCGCCATGCTGGGATGCCAGAACTCAGACGCCGTAGTGGCTTACCAAAAGGCCATTGCGAAGACAGGCAAAGATATCCGCTTGAACATCTCATGGAAGCTATGCCGCAACGAAACTTGGTTGCCTGTTTGGAGCAACCTGGCAGAGTCCATGCGCACTGATCAAGACATTAACAACTATGGCCATGAGACTTTCTTGGCTTGGTCGGTTGCCCAACGTGCCATTGACAACTACCGCCAGTACATTGGCCTCCAAGCTCAGCAAAATAAACCAATCACGATTTACCCCGACATGGATAACTTGTTCGCCGCCAACCCGGAGAGATTAACCGGTGTTAACGATAGTATGCGAACTACAGTCATGAACCACTGGCTAGGCGCAGGGGCAAACTTAATTCTCGGCAGTGATCTAACCCAGACGGATGATCTTGGTTATAAGCTGTTGACAAGCTCTCAATCAACTGCCGCCGCTAATTTCTTCGCCAAGTATCCTATGCAGCCGCGGAATCCTCGCACTGGAAACAACCTTGCCCAGCAGCTTCAAGCCTGGATCGGTGGTCCAAGTGATGATGGCAAGGAGGCATATGTGCTAATTGCAAACTACGGACCTGATCAAGGTTCTGGGGGGTTCGGAACATATCTCTATGGACAACAGGCAGTGACTGTGTCTTTATCTGGTCTTGGTTTGAGCTGTTCTGAGTGGAAGTTCACTGATGTTTGGTCAGGCAATTCTACGCATGTCAATAACCAATATACAGCGTATCTAACTGAGGGCGAATCTCAGTTGCTGCATTTGACAAAGTCAGGTTGAGAGGGAGAAGGAAGGCTAGTGGAAATAAAAATATTATATCGCGAATTTATTAAAGCTCAATTTGCTATTGCCAACGGGCTAAATTATCAAAATGTGCTCTCTGAGCTAAGCGTAGAAGGGTACCACAAAGTATCCGAGATTCAGGAAGGCTGGTGACAAGACAATCATCCCTAGATATATCAACGGCTCAGCAAACAGGAGAGACAAGCTAGCAACTACAGTTTAGTGTATGCTATCCTTTTGAAGATACTGTCCTGAAGAAAAAAAAAGGTTATTACGTTTATATACCAATGTGTCGGCAATGACAGTTGAGGTTGGCTTAATTAGACGCGCTCATACACTATAACATACATTAGGTAATTTTGATCAAAGAACGTTCTATCTCGTTAGTATAAGGCTTCCCACACACAAATATGGTTGGTGGTATATTACTACTTCCTCAATATATCACTTTAAACCTATTATTTGAGATTCACACTTTTCCTTCCGCCGATGTGTAAAGATCAATTGGCATTCTTCTGGTTCAAGCGCCGCCACCTATCATTCCTATTAACTCCTATGAAGCGGTACGCACTTGGGAAGGAAGAGGGCCAAACTCACATCATTGAGGACTAATTGATAACTTGGATCCTTTTGTATCGAGAAACGTCGCAAAATCTCACTAATTGTAACTCGCATCTGCAATAATGCAAAATCCGCTCCAATACATGCTCGTGACCACGCACCAAATCCAATGAACATTCCTCGGTTCTGATAAGTGCGCACCAGTCGATTGATTGTCTGCACGTCACTTCCCCATCGCTCTGGTTTGAACTCCAGAGCATCATTGCCCCAGCTATTGGGATCGGTGTGAATCCCGTATGCGTTCCAGCCTACCAAGGTTCCTTGAGGAATAGTGATTCCGTCCCCTAGGCAGACTGGTTCAAGGGCTTCTCGGTCGGTAAATTGGATGAGGGTGGGGTATAATCGTAAGGCTTCATAGATTACCGCAGTCAGATACGGTAGATCCTTGAGCTCGCTGTCTTCTGCGTCTGACGCAACGATTTCTTGGTATAGTCGTTCCTGGACGTTTGTGCGTTGCGCAATTTCAAGCAAACTCGAAACTAGCAAAGCCTTGGAATTTTCATGACCAGCCATGAACATCAATTTCATGTTTGACCGATAATGGAAATCCGTGAGCTGCCCAGAGTCTCTTGCTCTCTGGAGACGGTAAACCAGCTTTTCTGATCGACTGCTCTCAATTTCTGTTAATCCCTTTTCCCGCAATGGATGGGCCGCGGTCGCCTCAAGCACAGCTTCAGCCAGCTCATCAGCCATGCTCCACGCGTGCCGGCGCGAGGGCAGCAGAAACATGGAGATATATTCTAGCAAGGGGAATTGCAATAATAAGCGATGTGGAAAGGTTCGTACGACGTTCTGGAATGCTTGTTGCGCCCGAGCCTTGCCATCTAGGCAGCATAGATCAGCGTCTAGAAAATATTGACCATAAACGTCCATTGACCACCGCTCCATGATATCATTGATGATAATTCCGCGACCTGTACTTGCTTGTTGCTGTAGTTTATCGATAAGCGCGAGGAGCTTGTTAGCAGTGGTATATAGGGCCGCTGGGTTGTGTTTTTGCTGAATTCCGGGCTTCATGATTCTTGTGAAGTGCTTCCACAGCTCACCAGTTGAATCAATGATGTTCACGCCAAAGAGGTGGGAGGGAGTCGTAGAGGGCATTTGGCGGTAAAGCCCCCCTTTGGCGATAACCCGTTCATTGCGAAAGACGTGAGCGACATACTCAGGTTTGGTGACTAGAACCGACCACCGACCGGTGTTCCAGAGGTTTACCAACCCGTGGATCTCTAAATGACGGCGGAGGTGGTTGTTGTAAAATGTCACCTGCCCAGTCCCTTGCCACGCCTCATAGAACGATATGTAAAAGGGAACAGTGGGTGCACCCCGGCAACCTCTTCTCGGCCTATACCCGATTGTGGCCAGCGGGATTATAATCACAAGAATCAATAGAATAAGTATGAACATACTGATTAGTATATGCCTATTCTGTTTGTACTCCCTAGCAAAACCTCACAATGACAAAGAAAGTCGCCGGCGGGATATTTGCAATTATATGGGCCAGGACGGAGTGTCCATCACGGGTCTTGGCCGCTATAGCTGGGCGTTTAGCCAATACGGGACAGATAACAAACCAAGTTTTATTTGAAATTAGCTAAACAGATGACGACATCCCTACTATTACTGGTAATAGATAAAAGATTCACATGGCTAGTGATTTTAGAACTCTATATAGTGCATCTGCGCCACAATATAGTGAGACATCACCTCTGCTGAAGTGAAACATAATACAGGTCAGACCGCCATTTGGTGTCCATCATTTGTGCTGTATTACATATTAGCACTGTGCTTTACCAGCGCCAAATGTTATTGTTACACACTATACGCAAGGATCCAGACTAGACATTCAGCTGATGTAATGTTCATGACAAGTCAAATCCTATGTCTCTTTATTACCTCTATATTACTCATAGTCTAAGACATTCTGATTGCTTATAGTTTAAACCTGGAAGCTATATCTACACTAAACTGAGACATCATTCGAGTTAGACAGCTACCCGAGTACTAATCTTTACGCTGCGCTTTCCATACTCTTCCTAGTCCATGATATTTCACACCACGGAATTGAAGTGTGCCAATCCTTTTAATATCTACGTGTGTCCATCTCTGGTTTAATCTCTGCCAATGTACATAGAGAATACTTGGCTCTCTACAACAAGTTGACTACATGGAGCGGGTCTATGATCATGGTTCTCTATCTCCAGGCAGCTTAAGGTGTCGCAGTGGAACTGTCACCGAAACCCAACTAGGTGCCTCATACAATTAGGACGTAACTATGCACCGCTCTCCTTTGCTACAAATGTCGCAAAGTTACTACTAGTACTACTTGGATCTATTAGAGCAATTACGTTAAACATGTCCTCGTTGTTGGTCAGTGTCTCACATAGAGCTATGATTTGGCTTACAGTGGATATAGGCCTCACTGCTACACAGAGCCTATACTGTGCTGTATGGTGATACCCAGCAAATTTATATTTGTTTACTTTCCTGCCTTAGCCAAGTATGTCGACTGCTTGGGCATCACAGCCATGGGAACTACAACAGTCTTGCTCAATTTTGCTTCTGGTTGCCCATTGGACGGTCACTTTCCTACATTGTAAATGATCAGGGTGGACAAGCGAAGAGGCAGAGGTCCTTATGGTACCCGATAGCGTTTCATTCATATACTCCAATTGTCCTAAAAAAAAATGCAAAAGCCTTTAGCACGACCAATAGGTTTCTCGACCTCTGGTGCAGTCCGCTACGTTTATATTGCACCGCAGACATCGTTTTCATCACCATATGATGGACGCATTGATCAATTCGAACGTCGAGATCATAAGGCGAAAATGTGAGGCTTTGGATTCGAGCTCGAGATAATTCAAACTGCATTGCTTAGAATTTGAGTCAACTTTTAGGATAAAGTTGGCAGCCCCAAACTGTCTCTGCCAAAGCCCTCTGGAAAGATAGAATTCTGCTTTGCAGAGAATTCGGACAATGCTGGCCTGTATTTGATCAATCGTACATAGTTGCTACTCTGAAGTCTTAAAAATACCTATAAATACGTAATTACGTTTGCCAAGTATTTGTAATAGTAGGTGTAGCTGTACAGGCCATCGGAACCGTATACGTGTGATTGGGATCCGCCTCCCAAGTAACAGCACCATTCTCAGCCACATTGATGAACTTGTATTCCACCACTTGCCCCGGGGTTAGCTCTAATGTTACAAACCACAAGGGGTTAGAACTGGTGTAATCGGCTGCAGAGAGCGCGATAGCATTAGCCGTATCCCAATTTCCGAGGGAGCTAATGTCCCCGCTTATCTTGATTGTCTGTCCAAATGTTGTGGTGACTGTTTCGTCGAATTTTACAGGGATGGCTGTGCAAGAAGTTGGAGACGTTGAGGTCGTCGTGAATCCCGTACCACCACCAGATCCTAAGTCACGGGCGATAAGTGTCAGCATTGGGAAGTAGCCTATATTAAGCGGAAAGGGCGATTTGGATACAAGGAGATTAAAATCTACATTCTCCTGGACCGAAGTATGCATGAGGCAAAGTAGACAAGCAAAGCGAGTTAATGTATGTGACTGAGATCTTACCCGTTAAGCTAGCGCAAATGCCGCTCCCACTCAAATTCGCCCTTGAATAAAATACCCTAGGGAGACCGCTAGACATGGCCACAGCGAGGTTGCCGCTCGAGTCTGTGGAATAAGCCGTACACGACAGTACTTCAATAATTTCTTCGTTGTTGGTGAAACTAGTATCAGCTGATGTCAATGTCAAGGTGTAATTATTACCATTGGCGCCACGATTAGAGAAAACGCCGACGATTTGAAATCCCGCACTGCCTTTCCGTGTGACAATGGTGGAATTATCAGAGTATGTGACATCGGCTTGGGATGTCACGTAAGCACTGCTTTGTTTGATAGCTTCTCTTCGAATTTGATTCAGCGATTTGATATGAGAATATAGCGTAGCGGAAGTGTTATATCCCGATAGCCAGACTGCTTCGCGATTATTAGGAACACCGCCCCCATTCAAGTGTTGTTCTTGGCCTTCATATATGATGGGGATTCCGTCTGCAAGCATGGTGAATGCAATGGCGTTCTTTGCAAGTGAAATATCAGATGTATAGGAAGGAAAGCGCGGGTTGTCATGATTTTCCATGAAGGAGCCGAGAAGAGTTGTATCGGAGCATTCGGATTTCATTGTGTTGATTCCCGCGACAAGGTTACTTATACTACCACTGGTCGATTGGAAAGCTTGAGTTATCCAATAATACCTGGAAACGTTAATATTAAGGCTTGAATAAAGTGCTGATACTTACGCAGGGTAGTTCAGAGGGTTCAGACCGTAGTCTTTTTGATATGGGCAAACAATAGCCGGGTTGCCGTTATCAACCTCGCCAACAATGTAGACATTTGCTATGTTTTGTTACTTGAGGTTTCTCACTTGTGCTGAATGGGACGAACCTGAGGCTTGAAATGGTTCAAAAAATGCATAATCCAGTTCAAAGCAGCTATCCATTCTTAGACCGTCGATGGTATAATTAGCCACGAGCTGTGTTATCCAAGATTGCCACATGCTATGAACGTTGGCGTCTTCGGTGGCAAGGTCTGGCAAAGACACCGTATTGTCGCCTTCCCAGCAATCCTGTATCTGGGTCATGTTGTTGGAGTTATAGTTGATCAGACAGAAGGGATGGTAATAGGATTGCTAGGAAATTAGTAAAGCCTTAATTGACGGGGATTCTGACTTACCGAGTTAAATGGGTTGAATATATTATATTGGACACAACTTCCACATCCAAGGTATCCCATGTGATTGGTAACAATATCAACCATCAGATACATACCGGCACTGTGCAGAGCCTCAGATAATGCTAACAAATCTGCAGCAGAACCAAAGTTGGTATTCACTTCGTAGATATTCTGGGCCCAATACCCATGATAAGCCTCCCCATCAGAGCTATCGCCAACTAGATTGGATACTACTGGTGATATCCATATCTTTCTTGTTGAGTTAGTAATCATGCCATGGACATTAAATGGTAGACATGGCGCATACGGCAGTAAATCCCATGTTCTTTATATAATCCAGGTTCTTGATGATCCCCTGCCAGGTGCCTCCACAGTAGACCTGGTCTCCGGTGTTGCAAGGAGAGTTAGTTGCCCCGTTTGTGAGAGAAAACCTATCAGTCAGAACTTGGTAAATGGATTGTGAGCGCCATTCTGCAGCTGTGAGGGCAACAGCAGAAGGCAACGCTGATATCCATGCTAGGGCTAAGTGCGATAGCCCCATTGTAATGAACTGAGAGTCACTGAGCGATCCTGAATTGTAAAGTCTTCAGTATATTCGGGACGATGAGAGAGCAATTTGAGAGTCTAAAATTGTAGATTGGGAAATGTTTCTGGTAAAATTCGCGACAATTGTATTGTGTGGGCATATACAATCCAAGTCGCACAAGTCGGTTGACTGAGAATAACAGTTGAATATAATCCAAGTCATTCATCTTACAGGGGTAAAATATATAAGCTGGGGAGTCTTTTGAACCAGTGAGATAGTTTGATCTCACAAGATGTGATCAAGCCAGGGCGCTACTGAGTGTGGAATTCGCATAGTTCGCTTAGCCGTCCAAATTCGAGTAAATCGGTCCGAGTAGCTACCGTGCTTACAGCGCAGTTAGTCAATTCGCCGAACTGCCATATTAAGTAACAGATATGCCCACCATGTATCACAGGCAGCCTTTCCGTTCAATATCAGCCACAGATATTAAATAACATGTTCGAGGATATTATGAGTACCAAGGTTGGACTATGCAAATTCTCAACGGGTGAGGATGCAGATTTTTATTTTCTTTCATCATACTATTTCGAAAAGCGGCCTAAACTCTCTCGATTTTGAGGTGAATCCTTTAGGGCTATGGCCAGATCCGACACTTGTGAAATTTATTAGGTATTCCACTGCACTACGGATTTGAACACTAGGTCGGTTTGTCGGCAATAAGGCAGTCTCGGCATCGTGAGGTGTTATGCAGCGGATCTTTAAGACAAGATGATTCGCCAATATCGTGGTCTCCTAGCTCGGCGCAACTCGGCCTATTGGAGTGGTGCTACCACCTGATTTTAATGAACAACATCGACGATCTCTGTCGGTCTATATCCGCTTCCAAAGCTAGAGTCGAATGTTGTCATTAGCACAGCTGTAGGCTAATGCTGGACTCCATAAACTTGCTAAGAAATCACCCCGCCAAAATAAATGGCGGGGACCGACCTACAAGCCTTTTTAGCGAGACGTCAGGTCTGAGGAACATTCTCGTAACCCCAGGATTGAAACCCCACATCAAGAGCCACAGCCGCTGTCCGACATTTGCCGGGTCGAGAGCCACAGACGGAGCGCGCTGCGTCTGCAGCTGTCTGACGCTGCAAGTTCGAGACAGAAAAATAATGTATACCAATTTGGACACTAAGGTCTCTCCAAATCTCAGACAAATTCCAATGCCAGGGAAAAGCTCCCACGGCCTAATACATCCTAGTTTTAGAGCCTTGTGAGTGACCAGGTATCTGGTTCGCAAGTGGTTATGCAGCAACTTGACCTAATAGCAGAATAGAAACTCGCTATTTGTAGCGAAGCAAACTCAGTCGAGAAATGATAGAGTTCAGCCGTTCGCAGTGATCTTGAGGAATTCTTTAAGTAAAGCATGTATAAAGCGTAACTTAAGAATGTTCTATTCCCACGACCCAGCCAGGTAGTGAGGAGTTATTAATATTATTACTAGTAAAACCTTAATATAAGAAAGTATTATAAACTTATAGGGTATTAATTAAGGAATTTAGTTAAGTAAGTGGAAAAAGGCAAGGATATATATATTTATAAGGATATATTTGAAGAAATTTATAATAAGCTATATCTCAAACAGTGTTATAGATTCGGGCTTTGCCCGACCTTATAGAACGTGGCCTTATATAGCTAGTTGAATAAATCGCTGAGCGATCTTTTCAATACGTATCCTTTTGCATAACACAACGAGATAGGGCCCTTCAGGCACTAAAGGCAGTTGCGCTAGCTATCGCTTAGCCCCCTTGGGATCAGTCCATTATAAAGAGTAATAATAGTTTTAAAAGTAGAAGTAAGTTAATTTAAGCTTGTATATTACTAGCACTTTTAATATATATATGAATTATGCTGTATTTAGTTATATTAATATAACCTGAAGCGGTTCTAGAGATAGGTTTATGCTTAAAATAGTAGTTTTAAATTATATTTTAGAAGTTTCGGTATATAAAGGAATATAGCGGAGGAATACTTTATGTATTATAGTTTATAGGTTAAAAGACAAGCGCTTCAGGAAGAGTATAATTAAGCTTGCGAGCTAGCATTAGGCAAAGGACTTAACTTTAACTTAGTAAATAATAATTAAGATAGTGTGACGATCCGTTCCCTAGATCCCAAGTTATCGTTGTAGGGTGGGGGATTCCCAAGGGATAGATGCGTGTGTTTATATTGGTAGATGGGATAAGATATCCTGCGGAGCACGTCGCGTCGGTCACATAGTTGGTAGATAAGATGTAACTCGTATCTGGTACTATTGTGTTGTTAACGACTGAATATATAAGCTATGTAATGAGTGTATCTACGAGCGTCTTATGTGGCAAGTCGCGTTCGTCAGGTCCACTTGTGTCGACTTACACAAAGGTCAACACTGGATCGTTGTGACTTACTCTTGATTGGTCGTTAGGTCCGTGGTTGATCCGTGGTACGTATCTTGGTTGCGACCAAGCGTAATAGATAGTGTATATTAATGCCTTATAGACCATGGGATAATGGAGGGTCCAGTACGATGAGTGGTCCGCGAGGTTCAGATTTTCTTCAACCAGCAATAATGCGGTAACGCCAAGTCAACTATTTAAGTTTATTATCTAAAGAAACGTTGAGCACTGATTTTACATACAATTAAGCAAATAAGATTCCTTTTCAGACTATCACCTGACTTCGGCTTGGTAGTACAAAACGATACAATTCAATAGTAGTTAACTTGTATACGTACTTTCATACTGAACTCTTATAGCAGTCTGCATACTTCAGTCCTTACCCGAATTCCTGATATTATTGCACCTACATTACTGGCGGACGGCCTGGATAAAACCAATCCAAGGGGAAATTTCATCGAGCCGAAGGAGTTATGGACATTCCTATGATCCGAGCTGGAATAAGCAGACCCAAATAAATGGCTGCTGTATGGATCAGTATTATGTCTCGTCTCTGAAAGATTTTCACTGGTGCAAGTTGTAATAAAACTATGATGTTGCCTAACATATTTACTTATAAGGCCCTTTTCCAGCTGAATATGCAGTTTTCTACTTTGGTTAAAAATCGATGTAGCTGCATGTCGAATAGTAGTAATTTGCTTTGGGTGCTACGATTAATAGCTATAATGCATGTCCTGGAGTGGCTTCAAGTGTATACTGCACATTAAAAGCAATTGTCCTATGATCTCGGAATGCTGCACATTAAATTCATTGTCTCTCGTTTGGTCAGATGGAGCGGGCACACCAAGACACGAGTCTTTCTGTGCTGTGGCTGTGCAGTCTCGCAAAGACGAAACGGGGTAAGAAGTTCAAATCTCGTAGCTTCAGCCAGCCACAAAAACTATAACAGCCTATCCCAAAATCGAGATTATTTGGAAGCATAATATTCGATTTCAGTATTTCAGGTCTGGGATATATTCGGTGTCAATCAAAGGCACATCAGACTTCAGTGTTTCGGGTATATAATACATTCGGGTCAGACTTCAGTGTTTCGGGTATGTAATACATCGGGTCAGACTTCAGTGTTTCGGGTATGCGATACATTCCTATGTTCTAGACTTTGAAGAGTCAGTAATAAGTCAGATTAAGTTGCAAAACTCATTAGAGCTGGAGCGACTGGTAATTCTGAGCTATATAATGGATATAAAGGATGGGATATGGCCAGGACTGGGAACCTTTTTTTATCCAAACTCATTATCTCCTCGTCAATTCATCCAAGTTCACACGCTTCGCACACTCTATTCATCATGTTCGCCAAATACTCTTTCTTCGTTCTGGCTCTTGCTACAGCTGCGCTTGGAGGTGCTGTCTCCAATGCCGAACATGCCTCGGAGGCCGCTGCATGCAAGCCTCTCAACGCGCGTATGTAGGAACTACAAATTTCATTTAATACCAAAAACTCTAACTTGAGCAGGTTGTGCCCAAAACAAGGAGTGCTGCTCTGAATACTGCAGCTGGACCAGAGGCTTTATATGCTATCCCTCAGGCCTTGACGTGGACCCAATCGAGCAAGCTCTTAAGGCTGGTGTTGAGGCCTATATTGAGTCCCACAGCGGTTAAGCTAAGTGCGAGAGCCATCTCGCCAACCGGATGGCTAGTAGTAAGTCTAGACTGTACTGATTCGTATATGCCAATTCGCTAACTTCTAAAGGGAATGCAAAAAGCCTGTCCAAAGCTGCTCTCTAACTCTTTTTGCTTCGCTGAGCGCTTCGCTGAGGTTTTGGTCTGTACCGTGAGGTGTCATAATAGGGCTCTTTCAGAAAATATAGCGGGTAGATCGGTGAGATTAGGTGTTCTTCAACTTTATGGTTGATACTTTGTGCTGTAATTTGTTCGATAGTTGCAAATGCCTACGTGTCTCCTCGTAAAGTTCAATTTGCTCCATAATCGTGACTGGGGACCTTTGTAATATAATATAACTACGTTCAACTTAACATTCTAACACTAGGACAACTATCTATGTACATTGCCCTAGCAGTATCTTCTTCTCAAGGGTTTGGAGGGGCTAGTAGCTACTACCAGAGTTCAAGGTTAGTTGGCCCTTATGTTGTGCTGATTATTATTACTTTTTAGTTTAAGACGGCTTATTCTTGATGCATAGATTGGGGTTAACGCTAAAACAATCGCGGAAATATAGAAAAACATCATGTACAAATCGAGGCTATAAGTTCTTCTTCTTTTTTTTTTTTTTTAATGAACATCACCTCCTTATGAATCATAACTGGTTTTACTATTGAACGCACGCCCAACAGAGGTTCAGCAGGTTAAGATCCCACAATAGTTGTTTAGCAATTCAATTCTCATTGAGGCAGTGTAAGGATACTATTATTGAGGTTTTAAATGAATAGAGTTGAAATCAGCAAATATAGCTAATCTTGTTACTAATCTCGCTACCGTTAAATAGACCACATGAGGAAGTTCAATACCCTCCTTATGGCTTGGCTAGTGAGCTGCTAGCCAACCACTGACTTAAATCCTTGAGATCAGGGTTAATCTCCTTTAGTGATTGGATATCAGCACCATACCCTTCTTTCTCAAAGAAGTTAAACATAGTCCCCATTTCCTCCGACAATCTCAAAACGAGACGGGCCATGAATGTGAATGTAGTAGGCGGTGGAAACCCCGTCTTCTTACGGAAGATCTCCTCTACTTGGGCATATGACAGTTCATCCCCAGCTAGCGATATGTCCTTCCCTGAGAATTGATGCGGCTGCATAAACGACAAAGCTGCAAATGTACCAATGTCGTCTGTTGAAATTAGCTGTAACGGGCGAGACTTTACTACATCTCTCCAAGCAGTAGCAAAAATCTTGCCGACGAACCCGGATGCAAAGTTTTCCATAAACGCCACGGGTCTGAGAATCGTCCAAGACATTTTATCCTTGGCACTGTTGATGAGGTGGTGCTCAATGTGATGCTTGCTGACAAAATGAGGGATGTTGGTGGGGTTATCAAGTGACTTGGCTCCATTGCGATCTACAGATGAGTAGACAAAGTGTTTCACGCCATGCTTGATAGCCGAATCAACTAGAGCCTTGCCTTGCGCCTCTTCCACGATTGGACCCGTTTTGTTCATGGCTGGTAGCTGTATCAGTTAACTAAAGTGCACTCTTCGCTGCTTATCTCCAATACGTACCTGAACGCTAAAAACTCCCCAGACGGGCTCCCGGATTGCTTTCTTAGCATTTTGGAATATTGACTCTGTATTGTCTAGATTTCCTTGAACAAGTGTGATGTTTGGAGATGCAGCGGCCAGCCTCTTTGCTGATGGTGAGGTGACATCCCTTGTGACGGCTAAAATTTTAAAATCGGCATTCCTAGCAAGCAAAGCTTTGATGACGCCGCCGCCTTGCTTTCCGGTTGCCCCTGTTATAAGCAACGCGCGAGACATCTTTAACTGCGGTCGAATATGCAACAGCTTTAGAATATGTCAATTTTTAGACCCTAGTTATGCGTATTGTCTGCCCAGGTATGGGCTCTAAATAACCATCTTATATGCCCTCCCAGCCTCCCTATTCCTCTTGCAACAGCTAATTGTGTCTCAAGCAATTCGGAAAACTCAGTATTTCCGCATTACCAAATCCAATTGATTTCTTTTGCGGTGGCGAATGGACGGTGCTTCGGTGCTTCGGTGCCCGACACAGTCCTGCTTGTGGGGTCAATGTTCCCATGTACGGAGTAGCTATTAGTAAGTGAACACGACATAGTATTCTAGGTACCTATTTGCTAGGCTGCAATTAACACGCGTATTCTTCTCAGCTTCAGGTTCCAAAAAGTAGCACGAAGGTCTCCAAAGTGGGTTGCTACTTGTGCTTAATGCAAACTCAGCATGTTCCAGAATGTCAATATTATGCATAATATTCATATTTTTGCTATTAAATATTTTTATTTTTCACAAAGCTTGTAATAGTAGCTGTTCATTTAACAACACTAATTCTCGGGCGATGACAAATGAAGACACAGGCAGCCGCCAGCATTGTCACGGCAGAACGCTGGCGGCATTCGCTAAGTCGAGTGCTTATCGAGCATTGATGAGCTCAATAATATGGGTTAGTGACGTAGCAGATCTGATAATATGGCATATGGGATCTTGCATAGACCATTGCTTGAGCCTACAGTTGATCATTTCCACAAGGCCAAAGAAATGTTGGCTTATCTCAGCCGCGCGCTTGGTTCCACACTCCCGTTCGCGCCACACGTCGCTGTCCGGCAATGACCGAGCACTGGCTCGTACATCCACCCACCTAGCATTAGGAACCACACTAGTACCCTTTTTCAATACCAATGGTAAGCTTTCTACATATGCTTTTAGCAAAGTCTACTAATGCCTAGTACTCGCAAGGGTCAAATTCACATTTTGTGACTATTGACGATAATAGGCATTGTAGATATTGAACTATGCATCGTTTATAAGCAAGCACTGGTGGATCCAGAGAATATCCGTAGTATAGTAAGACCATTCTCAAGGATTTTGTTTACCTGAGCTTCTGATTGGTTTCACAGGGAGTAACAGCTGAGCACGCTACGCCGACATAATACTACTTTACACACGTCCTAATTCGATTCATTTCTATAAACTAAACCCACATTCATTGCAAGAGTAGAAATATACTTTCTATGTAGTGGAACAAGACTGGCAACACGAATAGTTCTATTTTAATATAATACTATGTGTCATAGAGGCACTAGCGGATCTATAACATTGAGCTAGTTCTTAGAACGCAGCTTTGTTCTTGACTAGGAATTCTTTAAACGTAGTTGGCTTCAATCCAACCTTGTTCAAAAGATCAAGACTTTCACTGAGACTCTTCCCTGCATAGTAGCCCGGCTCCTCAATGAAGAGGTGGTTCTCTAGCATCTCCACACCCATTGGCGACGGGAAAAAGCTTTTAAATGTGTCTGCATCGAGCTTCACAAAATTCGTTTTTCCACCAGTAACCTCTTCAAATTCTGCAAGCATACGCGCCGGCGTATAGTAGTCAGCTGCGGCAAGAATTTGCTTGCCCAGGACATCTTCTCTCTGCTTAATTGAAGCAATAACATATTTACCTTGAAGAGAGTCAATTAATTAGCAGCTACTTCGTTAGAGCCATTTCTGGGGACCTTACCCATATCAGCCTCTATATCGATGAGAGGGAACATAGCCTTGTCGCTAACAGGATAGGCGAGAGTGTACTCTCCATTGTCGCCTTTCCTTATCAATTGCAGCGCGGTATAATTGCTCATAAAGTAGCCGGGCAAGAGAAAGGTGCTAGGAATATCCTTGGAGCGAATATAACGCTCCACCTCAGCCTTCATGTCAAAATGAGGAACATGGGTGAGACGGCCGTTGGTGGTGTCAGTTACGTGAAGCAATGATGAGAAAATCAAGTGTTGAACTCCAGTTTCCTGGCATGCGTCTGTAACATTCTTTCCATGAACTAGCTCTTTGCTATCGCCACCCGTGAAGTCGGGAGTAGTCACGAGGAAAACAGTATGAGAACCCGTGACAGCTTGTAGCACTGAGTCTTTAGAATCCATATCGGCCTTTATCGAGTTAGCTTATAAGCTACTGAAGGATATACAAATCAACCACTCACCGCAACTACCTCAATACCTCTAGCTGCAAGAGCTCGAGCGGCTGGCTTAGAGATATCACGAGTGATGCCACGAATCGTGAACTCTTCTCTAAGTGTGGCATCAGACAGGACTGCTTCAATAATGGAGCCACCTTGATTTCCAGTGGCTCCAAATACGGTCAAGAGCTTCGGCATTTTGATGTTTGGCTTTTGGCAGCTGGTAGGTTTACGTATGCTTATCGCTAGAGGTAGGCGTACAAGTGGATTTTTGAGTAGGAAGAAGAACCAAGTGTTCAGAGTATGGGGTGTGAGATGTGTTGATTAGTATTAGATTCATGCTGTCTCTGCTATGTCTTTATATATCCAAGACCTGGACCTGTAATAGCGCGTATCGCATGCGGTGGCCAAGTAGTTAGTGTATAGTATGTAAAAGCGATTACAAAAGCGAAGCATACTCGTAGTGGATCACGTCGTTGTCCGACAAAGACCGAATGCATCAACATATACTTCTCCACTGCACGAATATGGCTAAATATTATGTAATCTACATTAAGAGTTGTGCTTGTGCTAGAATTTCTGTTTATTAGGACTAGAGGCTCAAGGTGCTGAATATTAAAGCGGTTGTATTGTTTTCCAGTATGGCACTGGCGGACTTCGGTGACCATGATTCATTTATTAGGTAAACTGGCTGCTAAACGCCACCCTTACGAAATAGTGCGCCTATCGTTGTCCGAGAAAGGCCGATTGATTTAGAACAGGTTAGACATGGGGCCACCCCAACTACCGGACCTTGTGTTGTTTGTATCAAAGAAGCTCAATGTATGTCACAGTCAAGATTTTACATTAGATAATAGCGTAGGAAAATCATTTTGTCGTTTTGGCCGTGCCTGTAAATATGCAAATCCGAATTGATTAACCTAACGAAGCAATTGTCAAGTTTGTGAGCGCGACTGTGACCGTGTCCATGTTGAATGGCAAACTAGATTCATTTACATAACGTTGCCATGCAATTCCAGTGGTAATGAGTTTCGTCGCCTGATGTAAGTGGGATATTCCTATCCCGCTCTCCATGAATCTAGCCCACTAGGCTGATCGCCCACAGCACCGGACCCCGAAACAAACCGGTCAAAGAATATCTGGTAGCGTAGATATGCTTTTGCATAGCGCATCCATTGCTGTATATAATATGGCGTACTATACAGACCTGCTCCTATTAACTGAATGCCACGACAATACATGTACGCACTTGGTGATCATAAACTCTCGGTTTATCCCAAGCGATGGCTAATAAACTTCACGATAATGTGTCCCGAGTGAAGAAATTTAATGTTCTCGGGACAGCCACTTTCATTGGTCTTCGCGCAGCAGATGTCGCTTTTCAGTACGTTCTCCTCAATGACGGATGGGCATCACGACTGGTGCAAGCTGTTGGCGGACGATCCGTGGAATTGGCACGACTAAAGTCAGATGGGGGAGGGCTACAACCGTATTACACAATCATTGCTATGATGGCCCTCGGTAGCAGCTTGAAGCAGATCATAACAATACTTGTCGTGTCGGAGCAGGACATGCCGGTATCATCGGCCGTTGTAATTGCTCTATTCAACACTATATTTAACTCCATCAATACGTTGTTGTCGGTTTTGGATGTTACCTCAGGATCTCCACCCACAGCTGCTTCTATCCTCATGTCGCCTTCGGTTGTCGCTGGTCTCGGATTCTACGTCGTCGGCATTTCCGTTGAGCTGCTCTCAGAGCTGCAACGCACAGCTTTCAAGAAGAACTCCGCCAACAAAGGCAAGCCTTACGCTGGCGGCTTGTTTTCCCTTGCCAGACATATCAACTATGGCGCCTATACCATTTGGAGGGCATTCTATGCCTACACCTCCGGGGGCGGACTGTGGGGTGTTAGTGTCGGCCTATTCTTCTTTTACGATTTTGCGTTTCGCGGGGTGCCAATTTTGGACGAATACCTTTTGCAAAGAGTAAGTACCTCAGCCATCTGTCTCAATCTGATCGATAATTGACAAAGGAATTGCAGTATGGCAGCCAATGGACCGCGATTAAAGCCCGTGTTTCATATAAGTTAATCCCCGGCATTTATTGATGGTAGACATTTCGCCAATCTGCGTCTTGCTGGGGCGACCATCACGACAAGGCATCTATAAGGACTTGGTTCAATTAGTTAGCAAGATGATGCATCTTTTAGCTGCCTCCAACTTTGAGTCTGCTGTATTGCAACGCCTTTCCTGCACCACCCTGAACGAAATAGCGAGATTTCTAGACGGGGAAGGACTTGGTAGATTTCCTCAGTGGGACTAACTCTGTTAATCCGTTATTTAGTCAGCCTCTAGAACCCCAAAGTAGTCTGTATTCCACTTATTTGTCAGCAGATGACCTGGTGCAATCTCGCTATTTCGTAGCATGAACCACCTATGATACAAAAACGGGCCTCTGGTCTTAGTCAAGACTATTGACAAGCAATTGTTTGGCCGAAACTGTATGTTTATCAGGTTGAGAGTCTCTCGACTCAAAGCCCTCAATAACAAAGCAGATCATGAATGGCAGTAGTCGTTCGCTTTCTAGAGCTCTGATGTCCTGTGTGAGCTGTCGGGAACAGAAGCTGAAGTGTGACCGCTCGCAGCCACGTTGTAGCCGCTGTGCGAGGCGAGACGCCAAATGTACATACCCAACTACAAGAAGGCGCCAAGTTGGACCAAGAAGAACCATCCCAGAGTTAGAAACACGACTAGGTAAAGCACATGGCCCAATCTAAACTGCCTCCGCTAACGCTATGACCAAGCGAACATCGAGAGTATTGTGAAAAGTTCTCGAGATGATAGGCTCGGGCGTGCTTTAAACAATGATGATGTTATTGCATCATTCCCTGATAAAGACATCCATGATGTCGTTGATAACACAGATTCGCCATTAGATTGTGAAGCAAAGACGGGGCCATCGACTCTGCGGTCGGTTAGGATGAGTCCCTTCGGGCAGGTACCTTATGGTGGCTTGTTAGACGATCTGTATGCTTCTTCGGTCTTATTCTTGACCTGGACCATATTTTTGACTTGTATTGTAGGGCCAAGATCTATTTCGACAAATTGCATTACGGAGCGCCTATGTTGCACCGATCACGGTTCACATCACAGGATTTGTCACCCAATCTACGTCCACCAATGTATCTGCGATATGTTATCGCAGCTTTAGCAGCATCAATAGTGGAAAACTATCGTAATCTAGCCTTAACGTTATATCATCAGGCTAGGCTATGCGTCGAGGAAGAAGAGTTAAAGGTATGGTGAAGAAATTGCATGGTGGATATCAGCATTAATCAGTGTTATAGGACTTTAGGCCTCAGCCTGTAACCCTGGCCCAGGCGCAATTCTGGTGCTTGATATCTAATTTTGAGGCGCAACAAACGTTTTTCTCCCGGGCCTCAACAAGCCTAAGCCGCTGTCTCAGAATCGCTCAAATGCTACGCCTGCACCAACTTGATGCAGTTGATGGACAACTACCACCAGGTGTGTCAGAAACGAAGAACTGGCCTGAGCTGGAAGAAGCACGCCGAACGTGGTGGGTCATCTTTTGCTCCGACCGCTTTGTTTCAGGATCAACGGGATGGCCTGCATTGATCAACGATGATGATGTAAGAGCAGCTTCATATTCCCTACAAATTATATATATCTGTCTGACCGAACCTAGATATCTACTTTTCTCCCTGCGTCAGAAGAAGCCTTTGAGAGCGGCGTGGCGGAATCGACAGGCTTGTTGGGAGACGTGCTGCAGCAAGGCTGTAAAAAGTACTCGTCATTTGCGGGGAGGGTGCTCGTTGCGCACTTGTTCTATCAAAGTGCAAAACATGTTTCGGGCCATTTGTCGGATGAGCACTCTGCAGACATTCGCAATGGTTCATTTTGGACACGACACACTATGATTGATAATGACCTGGCGACTCTAATAATGCGTTTGCCGGAAGATTTGCGGCTTCCGGGGAACCTCCAATGCCAAAACGCCCTGTTTACAAATATCATGATTCATACGGCAATCATATGCCTTAATAGGGCGGCGATACGGGAGACGCGACGATTGGCGCTGCCATCCTCTCTGTTCAACCGCGGTCAAGCTCGACTGTTAAGCGCGGCGGAAGAGATTTTTAACATCTTTCGGGAAATTACAGATATGGACGCTGCATTCAGTAATCCACTGCTTGTATATTGCGCTTACATGGCTTCGTCAGTTTATCTTGACGCGTCCGTTGCCGAAGACAGAAGACAAGCAGGGTTTAACCTGACTTACCTTCTTCACATCATGATAGCTCTCAGTAAAACGAATGTGATTGCCAGATCACTGGCTATTCAAATTGCAGAAGACATGAAGAACATTGGGCTAGATTCCTCTGCAATAGAAACAGTGACAGTGACAATCCCCGAATACTGAGTTAGCCTATACTAATTACGCAACAGGTAGCTCAGCCATCCATGGCTCCTGTTCTGGTACCGTTATTTACAAATTGTGATACCAGTTCGATGATTCTATTCTGCTTCGCCCAGAATCTTTCCGGACGCCAAAATGGTACAGCCATACCGCCAGATTCTGCACCAGAAGCTTTTACAAGAACCGCCGCCGTGACAGACACGGCTGAAGCAACATCCCGAGAGTCAGGAACTAGAGAACCGGCCACCGGCTCTGCCAGAGAAACTGACCTACCGATTCTCTGGGTCGATATGGGGTTCGATATGGGATACGTGGGCTGACGATGCATTCGAGTACCACAACCGGTATGGCACCTAGAGTACAAGAAGACGACATAGTTTGACATGCACAAGTCAAGTTCTGATCTTTACATGACCCTTGACTTTTCTTTACAGCTGTAACAGGATGTGCAGAGATGAGTGACAAATGCAAAGACATTGAATCAAGACTTAATTACTGTCCCTGAGATCGGATCGTTGTGTCTAGGGCAGCAAAGGGAGAGTTGGTCACAAAACAACATCAGGAGGGTGCCATGCCATTCCGCACACAACCCAGGCTTGCCTTTTATAAGGCGTGTATGGAAGACAATAGGCAATTTGTTGAGGAGGAAAATCTAAGTTTACACCCTTCGCAGATAACTACGAGATATTTGTTTGAAGGGATTGAAGTAGACGGTAGGCAGAATAGGTTGACTTGGACCCTTATTGACCGGTTGCTAGAGTTTATCAACAATATTCCCACGCTAGATGGCTGTAATATTTGTATAACTGGAGATAGACGATTCTAATTTAATATTATCCACGGAGTACAAGAAGCCCTTTGCTATATGATCGATGCTACGGGCACGTTATCGACCTCAAATGTCTGCTTTACACAACTGAACCTCGTGACCTTGTGTCTGCACCTCAGTAACGTAGGATTTAAAGTGCCTTGCAGGAACCTTCTTGGTAAACATCTCGTCAAGCTCTTCGTATGATCGACCCCTTGTTTCCGGCTGGTAGTACCACAGAAACGCGATGCAAGGAAAACATAACGCCCCAAAAACAAAGCCAACCTTGCCGCCGAGGTTGCCCTTGTCTGGATTGAACATGTACGGAAGGACAAAGCTCCACATGACTGAAATGGAATTTGAGACCGCTAGACCGATGGCGATGGTCTTTATCCGAAGGCGTGATGTCGCCGTTTCCGTCAAACAGGTATACGCAGTCGCGCCAATGGTGACATTGTATAAGAAACAATACAGCAAGATCATGGCTACCGTTCCTTTAAGGTCATTAGGCGAACCTCCGACCGCGAGACCGCCCATGACCCAGAGGACAACAGTCAATACCATAGTTCCATAAAGGGTCAGGCCACGGCGACCAACGCGGTCAATTAAGTCCCATGAGATGACGTTTCCTACCATAGATAGGACTTGCTGAATAATCTGTAGCTTGAAAGCCATGTCTGTGCTGTAGCCTGCGAGCTCTGAGTAGTATGTTGAGTAAGAGGCAGCAAAGTTAATTCCGGTGAATTGTTGGATTACCAGTGGCGCTATGGAAACCAGTGTCCGGCGAAGGTTGGACTTCCTAAAGCACTCAGCATATGTGACACCTTCTGTCTCGTGGCGAATCTGCTCCAACGTGACCTTGATATTAGCGATGCGCTTGGCGTCTTCTCCAGATTCTGCACTGTATCCAAGACGATGGAGGCTATGGAGGGCCTTGTCCTCATGACCTTTGTTCACAAGCCACCAGGGAGACCTTGTAGGATGAATGTTAGCCAGTCTTTCAATGCTATGTCCATCACTCGGAATTGGTGTGTTTTAGTGTAATGATGGGAAGACAAGAGAATTCCAGACTTACTCTGGCATAAAGAAAACAAAAGCAGCGGAGATAACGGCAAAGCCATATTGGGAGATGAAAACAGAGCGATATGCCCATCGATCGTCTCTTTGGCCTTCGGAGTTTACGATCAACGCCACGGTGAAGGGGCCAACAGTGAAGGACAGCGCAATTAAGCAAGTCATTAAGCCGCGAAGGGCAAGAGGCACAATCTAAGCCATACTATGTCAGCATATTGACTAGTTGGTATATTCCTCCCTTCAAGGAAGATTGGGATGGTAGATGTGGTCATCTCGTGAACCTACCTCGCCGATATAAGTGCCTGCAACAGCTTGCAATGTGCCCACCGCAAAGCCATTGAGAAACTTGCCGCCAAAAAAAAGTTCATCCGTGGTGGCCACGAACTCCATAGTGATAGCCGCAAAGGAGATAAGAAGAGCAAGCACGATGGTATATCGCCGGCCGATCCAGTCTGCAATTTGGCCGCATACAAGCGCTCCAATGACTTGTCTGTTTTCCTGATTAATTTGCTGGCCTAAATAGCTATGCCTGTAATTCTCAAGGAACAATTGACTAGGCTGACTTACGAAGCTACTGGTGCTCCACTAAAGGCAGATTGCCACTTTGCGGAGAGAACATAACCGCCGTCATAGAGCGTTCCAAAGTCTTTTCGGAATTGGGGAATTCCCAGAATGTTGCCAGACGCCTGATTCTCGAAACTGACAAGAAGAACTGCCCAGACGGCAAAAAGGCACCAGAGGAAGGCCCAAGGGTTCTTCTTAATAGCTTGCCACTTGCCATCTTGGTGGTCTTCCCGGTCGGTTAGATTTGCAAGCTGTTGCTGGTGGATCTGGTCAAATTCATCAGGTTGTTGTTCAATGTGACCCTCGACGTGACCTTTCTCCAGCTGCAATCCTACTTGTGTAGGCGGAGAGGACATTGTGAGACTTGCTGAAAGACAGGGTAGATATGTGCTAAAGAGTTGAAGGTGGGCATGGATGCTTGTGGAGGATGTTGCGGAGTTTGACGATGATATAAATATGCATCACAGCGACTTCTAGGCAGGGATTTATCTAGAAAGTAACGCCATTTTCAATATTTACAGCCCTTTGGATTATCATACGAAGTTTCTTTTGCTCTAGAGCAATGGCAGATTCTGGGATGTGGAGAACCCCGGATCCGCCCTACTGCACCCCAGGCTACCCCAACATTTCCGAGTGCTTAATCTTGCCTGTCTAGGAAACCACCTAACACTACGCATTTGCGCCACTCGGCAAAGCCTCTACCCACCCATGAGTCCCCAAAGCAGCGCAGAGGCAGCCTCATAGTGGCTCAGGGTCCTGGCCGTTGCAAGGAAATCGTGACTAGCAACTCATCTGACATGTATCCTTGGTTTGATCAGCCTAAGAGGCGCTATTGAAGGCTTCTAGATGATAATTTTCAAAAACTTAGTACAATAGGTCGGCTACACATACCAAACTCATTCGTGCAACGCCACCGAATGAAAGCACTGAAGTCCTGTGAGCATGACGATGGTGCATAAAGCTGCCAATGGACTACTCCCTATGATGTGAATTGACAGGTACCAGCTGACCTAAGACACTAAATTTTATATATTGCAACTCTGAAGACAGCTGGACTTCTGTTTTTGCACGCTTCCAGCTGGCCGGTGGAAAGTAGCGTGCCTGCTGAATTTTGTGAGATTGGCACTATCGGATGTCCGAGGTGGTGTTCAACATGGAGGTGCACCTGCTAGAGTAGCAAGAAGAAGAGGGTCAAGAGCCAGATATATTTGACAAGAAAGCCAGCATCCTGCGATATCTTAAGAATAGCGGCCAAGAAATCGACCCTTCTAGGGAGAACAACCAGGGGAGATAAGATATACTACAAAGACCACTATTTGTAAGAGGGATCGCGTATGTTAATCTCATTTGATACAGTAACAAAGAGTGCCTTATACGACAACCAAGATTTCGCTGACAGCGAGTCTGTGAAAATATGAAATGTAATTTTAGTGCCAAACAGTAGTTGAGAAACCTCGTTTGTATAACTTCTCTTCTTAGCTGTTTTACCACCACCAAAACACTTTTTTTGCACAAACTAAAACACCACATAAAGCGATTGCAATTTTTTGTCTCCTCATGGGTCTATTATAATAATGATCCAGATCCTAAATGTTTCCGATGCCGGTGAAGACGATAACTCTGGTCTTCAACCTGAAAGCAACTTCTGTATAACATCGCCTATTGCCTCAGATGGTTCGCCTCCACCTCGAAGGTCCTTGTTCATCGTCTGTATTACGATTCTCTTATAGCTTGTCAATGCAGGTGCCCCATTGTCACTCACTTCCAGTATTAAATGCAGCGCCTTCCCTCGCGCAACAGGCTTCCGACTAAGGAGCTCTACGCAGCATTTCTCTGGTCCAGGAAGTTTTACTTCCACCACCCTCCCATTATCGTCGATTGCCCGAATGTCCAATTCATCAATCTCAAATTCTACAGTCCACTGCATTGCACTGGGGTCTCGGTAATGCCACCACTTGAATGTAAGATTGTCTCCAGAGTCCGGATCGTATGTCTCACTTGCGTCAAAACTGAGCGTTGAGCCTGCCTCAGCTTCAATCATAATTGGTTCCGAGCCCTGACTTCCGTTTACAGTGATGACTGGGTGGTGATTAGCTGCTGTTATGTCGCTCGTGAGACTCCATTGGATCCGCGCAGCGAAGTCGTTCTGGAATGCATCCCTCCACCGCCATATGGTCGCCTGGTTTGAACGATAAGTACGGCCGTCTTGGCCAGTGACTGTATCTGCACAATCTGCAAAATGACTTGCATTCTGTCCGACATCACTGACGTCTATGAGCTGGTATCTGCCACCCCACGAACCGTAGCTGGGCTGCTCAGGTACACCGAGTCCGTTCTGGATAAGATAGAGGAAGGTGGGCGTATCGCCCTCAGGAATAAACATGAAGTTTGGGTACGCGGAACCAAGAGGGCCAAGCTGAATGTTGTCTTTAATCCACTCTGCAGAAACCTTTGTGAAGTCCGGGCCTCCTTGGTCAAAACGGTAATACCTGTCACCGGAAATGCCAGTCCAAGCTGCCATGCCATAGTGGTTCCAGGCATGCACAGATGAAATGTAAAATATGTCCGGGAACTGCGCTCTAATCCACGCCCCGGTGTCATCCTGGTCTGAAATTGTGTACACGCGTAGTCTTGAGCGTAGGTCTGCCGCTTCACTTGCTGAGTATTGCTTCCGTAATTTCCACAGTACTTGTGCAAGTACGTTTGTCCCGCCCCAGCAAAGAACCCATAGTGGTTCTTTGGATGGAGCTTTGATACGCTCGAAGAGTAATTGGCCGCCTTCGCTTAAAGGGATGTCATCGCCAACAGCGGCAAAGCCGTATACCTGGCATTGATTCAGCCAGTATCAATAATGAATGGGTGAGAAACATGGATATTTACCGGTGGTCCTGACCGCACAAGATTCCTCAAACTTTCAGCAGTCGGATAACGGAAGTCAGGGTGTACATGGAAATTGAGATTGTCGACAACCCCAGCGTATGCGTCGATGATCTTGATGATATCTTGAGGACAAACTTTGGTCCTCATCCATGTTGATGTACAGGCAACCAAGCCTTCGGTTTGAAACTGATTAGAGTATAGAAGATATCTGACGAGCGACTCTGCATCATCCGGCTCATTAGAGATGTCGGAGATGATGAAGACTCTAGTCTTCGACTTAAACGACTGTAGTCTAGCAGCAGAGGCCATTTTGATCTTCCTTATCAATGTTGAAGCTGTGTTGACTCAAAGGTGGCAGGCTCGGTTTCGATAAATAGGTACTTTGCTCATCTTCTCTTTACTTTCCCTTGTAGCACACGCTCCCTACCTTCAACTTGATAAAGGTTGTCCACTAGGAGTTACGAGGACCTTCTTTCTAGTGGCGTGAGGAATTATATTTAGGGCGCTAATCCCTCACCACCCTGGCCCCGAATTCTATTGCCATGGGCACGGCGGCGGCGGCTCCAATTGCCAAACCTGGAACTATTGCCACTAATAAAACGTGTAACTAGCGTTACCATACAAGACTATCTGTGGCTACGAGTAAACTTCGCTCGATGTGGCATTGTCGCAGCAAGTTGAAGCGGATTGTCAGCCATCGGGCAACCAGCCTGTGTTGACTTCATACTCGGCGCATATCTCCATGCAAGCATCTATGATTTTTTGGGGCGGAACCACTGGGATTAGATGGAGTGCAAGTTCCAGATTACATCTCGCAGGCCATACGTAGCCTCTACTCTAGGGGTGACACCGTTTGTGGGCTTAGAAAGGTTCGGCTCTTCGTTTTCCTAATTAAGTAATCCTAGCCACTTACTCTGCTGCGAAGCTCAACTGGGGATGGAAACATTCAAGAAGCCCGTCAGGAAGCTCGTTGATCATAGAGGTCGACACTGTCAACTTGAGCTAATATCTCACAATAGAGTCGTTTGAACCATGACCTCTTCTGTGACTGTAAAGCTAGCCTCTGGCCACCAGATGCCACTAGTCGGGTTTGGGTTATGGAAGGTTCCAAAGGAATCTGCTGCTGAGATAGTCTACAATGTCAGTTACATCACCCTTGGGAAGGCCATAAGCAACATCGATGGCCAGTGCGCAATGCAGGATTATTCGACTAACAGATATTTTTCTAGGCCATCAAGGCAGGATACCGTCTTTTTGACGGGGCCTACGATTATCAAAACGAGAAGGAAGCAGGAGAGGGTATTCGTAGGGCCATCCGGGAAGGTCTCGTGAAGCGCGAAGAAATCTTCGTTACGACCAAGCTATGGAACAACTATCACAGAAAAGAGCATGCGCTTGAAATGGCACGCTCCCAGAACGAATCTTGGGGGCTAGGGTATATCGATCTCTTGCTCATTCACTTTCCCTGCGCCTTGAAGTACATCGACCCAGCCGTCCGCAAATATCCTGTAGGTTTCGAAGAGATGATTTGGCTTGGAGAAATATTAGTCTCTGACACCCAGATATTAGGCCTGGTGGACCGACGACAGTGGCACCGTCGAGGAAGACAAGGTTCCCATACGGGAGACATGGGAGAGTCTTGAGCAGCTTGTCGACGAGGGAGTTGTCCGCAGCATTGGCGTAAGCAACTTCCAGGCACAATCTCTGTATGACATCATGAGTTACGCGAAGCATCCCATCTCCTCGCTGCAGATCGAACACCACCCATATCTAGTGCAACCTGGATTAGTGAAAATGGCACAACTACACTCAATTGTTGTCACTGCATACTCCTCCTTTGGCCCACAATCTTTCCTGGAGCTTCCCGAAGTTTTCTCGGCCAAGGCAAAGAAAATGCCTACGCTGTTTGAGGTCGAGCCAATCCCGGCCTTGGCCAAAAAGTACGGCGTTACCCATGCGCAGATTCTGTTGCGCTGGGCAACTCAACGGTAAATACTAAACAAACAAGACATTCAACAACGAAGATTTTCAGCTAATTTACACAAAGGAATATCGCGGTTATCCCAAAATCCAACAATGCGTCTCGATTGAGCCAAAATCTTGATGCAACTGGGTTTGACCTGATGGCTGAGGAGCTACAACTCATCAGTAACTTGGACCAGGGCTTACGGTTCAACGACCCAGGTTATTATCTGCCAAACCACCCACTGCATATATTCTCTTAATGGTTCTAGACTACAAATAGTGGTAATAGACTCTGCCCATTGTAATAGGGAAATACAATACAAATACAAATCGACAAAAATGTCCAGTTCACATTAGTAAGGGCCTGAAGGTGGATTTTTGTCATCACAAAACAAATTTTCTCATTAACTTCTAATTCATCCAGGGTCTTTTGGTAGGCATAGATAATAATATACAATCATTTGTATGGATATAGGCTATAAATTTAAGCCGAAGCATATTATGTGACATCCTTTGCATAAAGTCTCGTAGAAATAGCTCAAGCGCATGTGCGCGGTCTAGATACGCCAAAAACTCCATCCGTCGAGGCCTCAAAATTTATGAACTGCGATGCCTGATACTCTATGACAAAACGTTTTTCTTCCGGCTGCCGCGTCCGCATAGTTTTATGAACTATTAGGCGAGGACGGCGGAGGAACTATGGCGACATCAGGGCGATTGAGGCTGAAATTAGCATTTACGTGAGAAGTACACATGGTCTTAATCGAAGTTGTTTCTTGTTGAACATGCTGAAGCATCCATCGCATATGATGGCTTGGCGCCGACACTGATGAGGGTGGCCTACAACTTCCTCATTTTCGATTATAATAGAAGTGGGAGTTCACGTCGTCGAACTATGTCTCTGAAAGGTGAGATGGTGAAAGGCTTTCCATTCCACTCGATAGAATAGATATGGTGTGCATCCCGTTCTAGAAACAGCTGAGAACACGAATATGGCTGGTGGGCTGGCCGCCCTCAAAAATACCGGTAAAGGCAAGCCGATACCGGCCCACCTTGAGAGAATACCGAAAGTAGCGTACAACAACGACTCAAGAGCCACTTAGGTTATGGTTTGTTAGTCAAGATTCTAGAGCTGGAAAAAAATGCCTGGACTATTATCCTGTATTTTTTCCTCTCTAGGAATGTTTAAGCGCCGCTACAAGAGAGGACATAAATTGACTGCGCTTGTTCATCCCTTATAATGTTATAAGAGCTGGGACAGGGCACCGGATCGCATTGAAATGAATCAGAATAAAAGAAAAGAGCACAGCGTAGTAAGGCATTATGTTAATATATGTACTATAACTTGGCTTTGCAATCATATGCATCTCTACTAAAATGACATAGTATATCCTCTGGGGCTATAGGTATATATATATACACCTGTATATATATATATAAGAAAATAAAATAATAAAGAAGAAAATTAATCTTTAAATAGAGACTCCTTTGGGAATGCCCTTATTTGTCTTGGTCTTGGTGCCTCCGGTAACTGCATTGTTGGTCCAGGTCCAGTTAGAACAAGCAGCGCACAGAATGTATACATTCGTGCCGCCCTTCTGAACTGTGCCAACGACCTTATTGACAGTAAGACCAGTGATGGGAACACCAGCAGTAGGTGTGCCCGTCGGCCCACCATTTTTGTAATCTTGCTCGATCACAATACCATAGGTTCCAATGTTTGCCAAGGAGATGTTATCGTAGACAATATCAGAAACAGAGCCAGTCGCTCCAGAAACTGTCTTGATACGAACGCCGTTTTGCGAGTTGGAGATTTTCGAGTCCAAAATGCGAACCGTTTTAACTGTGTTGTCGCTTCGGCCACCAACCGACCCAATGGACAGGCCATGCCCACCGGAGCAGTTTCCCCCAGTAAAAGTAATGTTGGTACCGGAGTTGATAGCCAAGCAGTCGTCCTGGTTCTTGACAATGGCTCCAGAGATGTATACCCCGGTCGAAGAGCCAACGTCGAAAGCATCCGTGTTGTGTCCGCCCTCGGTGTCGCCGAGAGAGTTGTCCATGTTGATATTGTACAAGCCAAGATTGGTCACCGAGTTGATGCTGAAAGCTTGAACCGGCGTGTTCAAGACATTAAGCGACTTGATGTTGGAGTTTTTGAGGTTATGGGCACTAAAAAACTTTGGTTTTGTCTTTCCGCCGTTTGAACCTTTGCCATCCCACCATCGTTGGCCAGCACAGTCAATGGTATGTCCAGAGGCGCCCTGTACCTGAATCCCATTGCCTGAGATTGCCACTAGAGGGCCAGCCCATTCCTTGTAGCCAAAGGTGGTCTTTCCGGCAAAAATGACCTAAATTTTGAGTTAGACCTTTAGTCACCGGCGAAATAAGAGCTATATGGCGTTCGAACATTGGTGTTGTCCTTGAGACCAGTCAGATCTAGAGTCTCACCAGCCGGAACAGCGATGCTGTTCAACGTAATTGTACTGCATGATGCCTTCTGTTTAATTGCTGTTGCAGCGTCAGTGAAGGTGCAGCTAGCCCGGGGAGCAACATAAGCAGGCTTTGCAGCAGCCGTAGCCACCAACGCAGCGAGAAAAAATCCGAAGGAAGGCATGATGGCGAAGATTCTAATATATAAATGAGCGTCACAGTTGTAAACGAGTGTCACAGTTATAAATGAGTGTCAGATTTCCAATTGAATATGTTCGATGGAGAAGCTCTATAGAATAGTCAAGTCTGAAGACATTCAGCGGCCAACCCTCTTTATAAAGGAATCATGCCATTCATAAGTGGACCTTGATATTAAAATACACTGCATTATGCGAATAGAATAGAATATCCATAGAACAAATCGAAGACCCAGGAATTCTGACAAGACGGTAGGGCTTAAACAAGCATACCACCGTTATTTCGGCCTTTGCTGTCAAATGTACAAAAGATCCAAGATCCTAGTCCGTATCCGGCACTGCCGTAATCTCCGTCACTTTATTTGAGGATCGTATCCAAAGTCACACGTCAAACCGCCTGTTCAACCGCGCCATCCCCTAGGAAGGCAATTGATAACCTAGCCGCCAAAGTATCAGGTAAGGCTGCAGTGCCGCACTCCTTCAAAAGATTGGCTAGTAGGCCTAGGTTTTGCCGCTATCTGATCAAAATTGCCCCATTATTTACTTCGAATTTTGGACAGCTATCCCGCTACAGTTAGCAAATTGAGAGGCCCACAGGCTAATTTTTCGAGAATACGGAGTACGATTTACCAACTGCTCGGCCTTGGACCGAGGGAGTCCCACCCAGGCCGAAGCTCTCTCACAGCGCTGTTGTCTCTGTAACTGGCCCCTGAACGATTCCATGACATAAGCCATTACCCCCTTTCCCCACGTGTTGTCGCACAATAGTATCTCTACGACGGTAGCAAGTAAAGAGCAACCCATGTAGTTGTAAAACGCTATAGCAGTTCATTGGAGCGGCAATGCGAGTTTCAGTTGCTGAGTAATTTTACGGAATATCCAATTGCGGCGCTAGTGTTTAACTAGGAGACATAGTAAACAATTTAGCGGGAAAAAGAACAAGCTATTGGATGATAAATTTTCAATCAACAACGGAAACATCCGTTGGTAAAAAAGATACATAAACAAGTTTAAATATAATATCAGTCGTAAATCGTATTAAGGTCTTGCAAAAGATTGCCATTCGCGAATTGCTGTTCTAGAGCTGTTTCTTAAGGCTGTAAATGCAAAGAGCCATCTCCAATAACGGCTATTTTAGATGAAAGTGCGCAACGTTGTGGCATTGCTGTTATGGTGATAGTGTATACTTTCATAGTAGAGGCTATAATAGTTGACTTTTTATAGGATGAAGGAAGTTGCTACAACCTGGTCCCTTGTAAGCAGCTGGCTATGGTACAATAATTGCTCCAATTACAATTATTGACCGATTCCTTTGCCTTGTTTGGCTTAAAGATATAAAATATCGATATACAAGTCCTAAACTCACGCTACGAAAGCAAAATTCGAATCGAAAAAAGTATAACAAAAATCCTCTCCGCTGAAGCTAAGTTCCCCGCATTCTAACAATAGCTAGAGGCATCACAATTCTCTTTTCAGAGACAGACTTCCAATGGGAACTAATAGATAGAAAGTAGAACTTAGAGTAGGGTGGGGTTGACAAAGTTCCCTGCGATTAAGCTCAGTAGCATCATCCGTCAAGATCAACAAATCTCTCATTTAGCTGCTACTCGAGGCTGCTTGGCAAGCGAAGTGACGTAGACGCTGACGAATCTCCAAGGCGAACAGGATTCAAGAATATTAAGGGGGCACCAACGCAACAAAGACCAGTAGTCCTCTTCATTTAGAATATAGTTATCAATGTATATTAACAATCTATATTAAGGGGGCTACCCTCTTCATACCTCGTAAGCTATCATCGTAGGGCACGATGATTCGCTATCTCTCTCTCTCCTGCGGAGAAACAATTGCCGTTGGCGCTAACAACGAACAGCTGCATAAGCGGAACGGGGATTAGGACGACTGCGTTTTATGTGTGTCTATGCCTCCTTGAAGTCTTTGAAGTAGTCTCTCCCTGCACTTTCTATTGTATAACTATCTGTTTTTATTTCCTTTTCTTCATTAAGCTGCTATATAACTTACCCCGCTTTTGTGTATTCTGCCAAATTACCTAGGTATGTATACCCACTTACTGACGGCGAGCTGGGTAAAGCTTTTCCCGGTTTTTGCTAGACGTTCAGAGGGACAATAAGAGTAGACGTATCTAGCTATAGTTTCTAAGCATGTGCCATGCCACGAGCTAAGATTAGGATCTAGTATACCCTACTTAATGGCATGGAGGCTACTATATCATATGAGAAAACAGATCTCCTTCATCGTTAAAGTACTGGTACCATAGGATTTACTTGACTGTATAGACTATATTTAATGGCAGGTAGTATACAAAATAGTGAAGGGACTCCTTATTAAGGCTTGAGAACTATTCGCATCGTCTTGAACGTTTACATAGTAATGCTCTGTAGATTAGATCACATAGGCATTAAATCCCCAGATGTGACACTTTGGCAAATGCCCCCTGGGTGAAACAGGCCTATTGGTGCTGTTTTACTCTCATTATTAAAGTAATTTGATGAGCTGGAGTGAGGAGGCACCTTGACAGGAGCTCCCGCATTTCTCGTTGCGATAATTCAGCATATAATCACATCTACAAAATACTGCGCCGCTTTTGTAGACATAATGTTCTCAAAGAGGTTTGAATTTCCCATTATAAATATTTAAAGCGAATCGGAGTCTTTGCTGCTCACCAACCCCAACGCTAATGTAGGACGACATGCCAGAAACTGCAACAACTGACTCGCCCGTTTGTCGGTCCTAAATTAGGCTTAATGACAAATTGTATCTAGACCCAAGAATCAAGCCTACTTCACCGCTCAAGAGGTAGCGTTTATTTAGATTATACTAATCATACTACCCTGTATACAAATCTGGATTGTAAAAGCATGAAGCTATTTAGATGTGTATTTACCACATGGTATAAAATACGAAAGAAGTATTGCTCTTGCGTAATTCATTGTATATTAATGCTTGTAAACAGCAATATATTAGAGGCTTCCTAATTGTGAACCCCATACGTTAAGCACAATGAGAGCGAAACAATTAAAGTCGGTGCTGTGCAGGCAGAACTGGCATGGCTTAACTTAGAGGCATCTACTCAGTATTTAAAAAAACAAAAAAAAAAAAAAAGACCTCTGGTTGAAAGAACGGGAAATAATGAAGTAAATGTCATGTGATTGCCAGGTTATGCACAGCATAATTTGCGATAACCAAATATATATATATATATATATATATATTATAACAACCTGATCCCATGTACGAGTGAAATCCCTTGGAAGCAGCTAGATCTTCACAATAATGCCTACCATTGCCAGTATTGACCTACCTTTTTGTCTCGTTGGCTTAATATAATAACAGAGCGTTAAACTAACTGGCTACATAAATTATATTAATAATTAGTTGTGCATTTCATATGAATTATAGCCGAACCGTGACTACAGTAGCTCCAGGTACGATATGAGCCCCAAAGGGTTGCTGGCATAGAGGGCTAACAGATACCACATAGGTTTATTCATTTATGACACATGGCACCTTTTTGCTTTCGAGCATAGCCTTACTAGCACTTGGTAATTTGACATGGAAAACTAGCGATCTTGATATTATATTTCTGTAGACATTAGATGCAGGGAAATTTAATATCTTAAACAATTCCACCACTAAATGAATTTATTTTCAATTTAAACCCCAAAAAAAATTTGTTTTAAGTAGATGAAAATAAAAGCTCGCTTTAGTTATTAAACTAGAAACGAGTAGCTAAAAGTAGAAACTAAATTAGTAACTTTGGTACCAAGTTAAGGGAAATGAACATCCTTACAATGTAAACTTGACTCTATACAACCATTCATTATTGAGATGCATAGCAGGCCAATAGCGAAGAGCTCTACTTCCATTGAAGAACTTTAGTGTATGACTTTGCATGCGTAGTTTCATTGCTTAGCAATTTAGTACGAGAGTCAACGTGAAAGCAGTCATGCTTTGTGCCTTGATCACAAAGAGGCAGGACTTCTTTGGTGGCCATATCACAAAACACGCCTTCAGCCATTGACACAAGGTCTGGGCCACGGGAGGTTTCGCTCAAACAAAGTTCTGTTGCGTTGTGTGACGCAGCAGAGCTGATAACAAGCCTAGAGTCGAGCTTAGGAGTCTTATCGCGTTTAACTACCTCGCCGCCACTGGAAGTGTAGGAGCGCAGCGCCGGGTAACCACAGAATGAGTTGGGGTCCGTGTTTTGGTTGCTTTGTCCGAACGAGGTCCAGTCGATTAACAGACTTTGCGCGTAAAGGCCATTGGTGTCGTCACCGTCAATCCAGGTACATCTAGGTGCACTGTACATAGTTAGCTTATGAGATTGAATCATGTGGTTAAAGGGTTCGTACTATCCACCATTGTCGACCTGCAGAGAGAGGTTAGCTAAGGTTTGCGCAATATTGGTGTTATTCTTACGTAGACATTGCCGTAATACCATGGCAATCCACACAGGTATCCCCAGTCTCCAACCCATGCGTATTGGCTGCCGTCGGTCCAACTAGTGGAGGCATAGGACACACAAACTGCATCATTAGAGGAGTATATTTGAGCAAACACGGCTTGCTCGTTACCAGACTGCTCGATACTAAAGTCGCTGTAGCCGCCGCTAGAAACGTAGCCGCCATCGGTCTGGCCTATAAGGTTCTGGTTGTTGTCATATATGCGTATCATGGAGATTGTGCCATCAGCACCACTAAGTCCATTTCCGTTGAGTCCGGCTTCAACTCGCACCGTAGAATAGGCCGCCTGCGAGCCTGGGATCAGAGATTCCAGGAATTGAAAAAAAGACACCGCGTCATTGATCCAACCGATAGCTTCAGCCATTTTGATCAAGGGTTCAGAATAGAATCGGGGAGTAATGAGTTATGGAATGGGAATGTAGAGGTGCGTGATGTCGGAAAAAGGAAGAAGCCTGGGCGATATTTGATCCTCTTATACTTTTCCTTCAGCCACACGGAAGCAAATTTCGCATCTCGTACAGACGCAGGATTGAAGCTCTCATGCATGCGACATTCCTTTTCTCAGCACATTCAAGCCAATTCGTCCGAAGCTAATTCTATACGCTCTCTTCCAGCAACTACTTGCCCTAATGGGAAAGGTTAACGCTGTAAGACTACAATTTGCATAACATTGCTTTTGATGAGCTTTGAAAAAATTGTCAAGTGCTGACTGGTATTGAGGTCAAGTAATGAAACTCTAGTAGCCCACATCTAGTACTATACTTCAATGCTGATTGACTACTTAAATGGGGCTTATTCAGGATCCATACAGAAAAGGGATTCCGGCGTAAGACTTGGGCCTAAAACGAAATCAAGAAAAACTACTGGGTAAATCCATATATACAGACTTGATGCTAAGGCGTGTTGAGTAAATAAGACTGATAGGCACTTGCCGTTGGTCAAGTGTACAGTTAAACCGTATGCCAGTATGAGATAGCAAAGCACTATGTACCTTAGCACTGAGATTAGTCTCAGTGCGGTCACTTCTCGCCAACTATATCTACGTAAGGTGTGTTGGTTAAAGAAAGCTTATGGGCACTTAGTGGTTTGTCAAATGTTTACCTACTCTATATAAAACCCTTAGGATAGTAACGCACGTTTGTGTCGTGGTCGCCGAAACTAGTCCCAGTGCGTTGATCGCACTTCGCATCATCTCTGACCTACGTACTTCATTCAGACGATTGTTTCTCCATCTGGCCCGATGAAACCGCCCAAAATTGGCGTGCGGTCTTTGGGAAATTCTTGCTTTATTGCTTACTACAGACTATGGTAGAAATTGCGACCCTGCTCCAAATATGGCCCCAGTGTACTAAACAGTTCTCCTCGTTTCTCCCCAGTTCATTTTATTGGGGCTTATTCCTCAGCTTGGTCTAGCAGAATTGGAACGTGTATCCCGTAATGAACGCTGCCATTGCTTTGACTTGCCCCTTGGGAGCTGGTCTATTTAAAGGGACTATGGACCGCTGAGTTTCTGTGATAAACTCAACCCTTCATACTCCCAATAATTCTTTCCATCTAAAGACATCTTGATTTGAGCTTTTTGCATCTTTGCCCTCACGATGAAAGCCATTACCATCTCGCTCATTGCTGTTGTGGCCTTTGTGGCTCACGTTCGTGCGCAAGCAGTTGTCGGCGTAGGAAGCATGAAAACACATCATTGGATATGATTCACTAATAATCTACAGATATGCGGCGTGGAAGACAACGTTTGTTTTCTCGGATCATCCGTCTTGGATTGTCAGAATGGCCGGGTAAGTATCTTGTTGATCCATGCCAGGTAGAGGCTAATAGAGGCGCGTTTGTCAACAGTGTTCCAAAGACGAGAATCCTTGCTACGAGTACCTGCCAAATGAAGGTAGTCCGCTCGAGGTTCTTTGCTTCTAGTCGCCCTATGGCTGGCATTGGAGGTTTCAGTTTCTATTCGCGTTTTCATAAGGACTACGAGAGAATCTTGACATGAGGATATTGCCTTGCAAGGTTTCTTGCACGAGCCTCACGCGCCAGATAGAGTTTACAAGGATCTCCAACAGTCATGCATTAACTTGGGGCAGATAACTACTTGTGAGCCAGGGTTATAAATTCATCAGTCTTGTAGTACCTAAAAACTAGTTTATTAGTTTTCATATTGTTACTATCTATATTGATTTATTAATAAACACACTCCTTTAGTAACTATCAAGGTTTAAATAAGTTTATGGGGTAGGGGAACATGCATAACACGAATGATAGAGCTTATATAATAACCATAAAACGCATGTAACAAGAATAAAACTCCTAAAACAAGCGAAAGGAACGCTTAATCCACAATATTTCCTATTTCGTACTGATTAATAATAATAATAATATATATATAAATAAATTTCATTATATAAGAACCAATCTAGGTGTTAAGTGAATTTTTGCAATCGACAACTAAGACTTATAATATATTTGTTTTAATACTAAGCTAAAAGAAGTCAATAGAATTTAGTTTATTTAGCAGCTAAACACTAAATGTGCTTATAGAGCAGCCCCAGGTTACACGACATTAGCTAGTAAAGCAACTAAACACTAAATTAGCTTGTAGTAACAAAACATAATACGAAGAATGGAAACCGAAAAACGAAGTGCGAAGTGCGAGGTGCGAATTTGGCTGTCGTAAGCCAGCGCAAACAGGTAAAGAAACCTCTCAACCCACTGGGTGGTAAATAGGCCCTTATGCCTGCAGATTGCGCGGTCTTGCAACGGCGTAAATTGTCGATTCGAAGCCATCGGCGCCTTCGATAATGTTATGAAAGGCGTATCAACGCTCGTTGCTATTGGGGCGGTTAAACGACGTAAGGCAAGGCGAGCGCTGACTTGGCCATATTAAACACGGTGCAAAATTGGTAGAGGTCGAGTAAACGCTTAGCAATGGCTAAATGGAATTAACCTTTTTTACGATATGCAATATTATCTCCCCAAACAATATTTTATCCCAAACCTCAGTTGATGACTGCCAGATCAAACGTCATAATCATCGGTCGTCTAGTAGTGCAACAAGGCAAATATCCTTGAGTCTGAACTCCTCATAACAATGCTTCAACACCCACGCTGCCCCCCAAGTCCCATACCTCTGCCGGCGATGGTCCTTCTGCAGCATGTATCAAAGATCCATGAGCACCGCATTGGTGAGGCGACAAAGTGAAATGCATCCAATCATTTCTCCTGGTATGTTCATTCTCTAGTTGGAGCATGGGGACGCACGCGTTTTGGGGCTTGCGGCCATTGGCGTCGTCCAGCTTCATCGTAACGCTGTAGATAAAACAGCAATGTCATCGTCAAACAGACAACGTGAGACATGATCCTGGGAAGGTAGCGTTGGATTCGTTGACTACCATGACGACACATTGGAGTATTTCACGACGAAGAGTGTATAAGTAAGCCGCTCTGAGTACAGGACCTGCCCAAATATGGGCTGCCGCGATAGATCTCTCTTTGTGCATTGGGTTGCTAGGAATAAATACGAGGAACGAAACCTGACCGCCCCGAGGGTCTTCTTATAACTGCTAAATATACCAAGGGCTTTGTAAACGGGAACAGGGGACAAATCACGCTTGCGAGGCATACTAATTTCTCACGAGCCTTTTGATCTATAGCTCTCCTTACACACCCATGCCAATGGATGACAAGCTTCAATCCAAAACGAACCGGCAATCCAGAGCTCCCTCGGCACTGGTGTGAGCCCACACTAGTAGTGATGGCGGACGAAAAAAGCTCACAAAGCAATCCTCGAATCTAGCCGCCCCACGCAGAAGCTGGCTTTGGTGCAAACCTTGAAAGAGAGCAGGACATTTGGAGTTCAATTTGCCTTTAGGGCAAAGAGCGGGTTGGCCCTGTACCGGAAGATATAGCCAAAGTACTGGTTAACGAACCATGATGTATTGTTTACATACAATGGTCTTCCATATTAGAACATGCTTCTTGGCGATAACGGGCGGACAGTATATAAGGCTCTGGGACAGGAGCAGGAAACTGGCAGATTATTTACAAAAATAGAAAAGCCTAACGGTATAAGCATTGACAATGAAGAAAGTTCTATATTAGCTTGATTATTGTTATACATGTAGCCTTATTCATAAAGCTTATAAGAACTAGTATTTTATAATTAATATAGGGTAGTTCATCATTATCCGGATGTTCAACCCAATTCATCCTTATTAGTAACCCTTAAAGAATGGCCAAGTGATATAATTCATATCCAAATTCATTACCCTGGACCCGGGTATAACATGGCCATATTGAGCATATTTTGCGAAAATTATATGTCAAAGCTGATCTTCTCGTATTAAGAAGCTTCTTGTCTATGAAGAAAGGTGTCACAAATTAATGATAACCGGAAACGCTACCACTAAAGTAAGTTGTCAGTCTAATAACTTTTACTGTTCTGTAAAGCACTGCTGGCGGGTGGCAACCTGGCGTAAATACCTAGCGACCATACAGTTAGGCTTTTTGTATATTTTCGGCGACTTCAAGATTTCACCGAGGTTAGCTAATCAGATCATGGATCCAGGAAAATAGCAGACCCGCTTTGTGAAGGAACATAAAAAGGGTTGCCTCTCTATCGAATGAGTATCTACATATAACGGCAAATTGTTTGTTTCAAGCTTCTCTAAATCTACCATAAGAATTTACAAAATGCCAGATCTCATGCAACAGGCACCAGGCTTTGGCGTTGTGTATGAGCGCCTTCGCCTTGAGATCGATGGAACTTTAGTAGACCTAGCGCTTTTTCGACGAGCTGGTATGTCTACACCCATCTTGTTTCTTCATGGATGGGGTAGTTCCAAAGAAGACTACGTCGACATCCGACTTTATTCCGCATTCGACGGACAACCGTTCCTTGCATACGATGCTCCTGGGTGCGGTGAAACCTGGTGCGCAGATCCGTCGAAGGTGAATATTGCCTTCCTCGTTAAGACCGCCGAGGCAGTACTCCACCATTTCAAAATCTCGGAATTCCATGTCGTGGGACATTCCATGGGTGGCCTTACGGCCCTTCAACTTGCGCACCACAACCCCAAATCCGTCCGCAGCTTCGTCAATATTAAAGGCAATCTTGCGCCGGAAGATTGTTTTATAAGTCGCCAAATATTTGACAGGGAAAAGGACGATATGGATGAGTTTCTCAATGACTTCATCTTGGGTTGTCGCCAGTCTTCCTTCTACTCAATGGCATTGTATGCTGCTTCACTTCGGCAGCGAGTCCACCCCGGCGCAATTAAAGGCGTCTTCGAATCTATGGTGCAATTATCAGACAATGGCGATCTTTTACTAAAGTTTTTAAGCTTTCCGTTCCCAAAGGCCTTCATGTTTGGAGAACAACATGCGAGTCTTTCATATCTACCGAAATTAAAAGCTGCTGGGGTTGAACTAATGGAGATTCCGAAATCCGGCCATTTCCCCATGTATTCCAACCCCGTAGCTATGTGGTCATCTATACAAGACTTTATACATAGAGCTGATAGTCGCAACCTCCCTCCGCATCAGCCATGACAAAATTACTACACCAGTTCGGCAGATTGACTTGACAGGCTTACTAGAGGTTCAAAGAAATGTATATATAACTTAATAGCATATGTAGAATATATTTCCGGAATCTCATGGCTCAAGTAATGAATCATGAGCGCTGATTTAATACAGTGTCTCTGGGTCACTACTCGAAGTCATCATCGGCCAGTAAAGTCCTTGGTCGCTATCTAGGCTTAGCGATGCATTGATAAACTCAAGGTCTGGCATTGGCTGAGCGAGCAGATCGTGGAAAAAGGGCTCAGATAGTACTATATCTGCGGTTATATCCCCCGCCGCGGTCGTTGAATCGAAGTCTCTCCTTCTAATGCCCACGCAGTCTATAAGTTCTTCTGGCGAGCCATGTGCGCGCTGACCATGCATTTTCGTTTCAACAGTGGAAAAGAGAGCTGTCATGGCATCCGCATGTTGCTTAAACTCAGCGGCCACAAAATTTCCACCGTCTTTAAGCTGTGAAAGAAATTGCAGTGCCGTTTCAAAGCATTCCCTATCAGCCTGGCCGCTCCTGTCATCAAGTAAGCTCGAGATGGCTAAGACTGTTGCTGCGGTAAAAAGATATTGAGTGTGAAAATAGTCAAACATCATAAAAGTGCCACTTATCCATAAATCAGTAAGGATTTGGCATGAGTGACGCGCAGATCTAATGCATGCATCCGATAGAGCGCTTGCAGAATCTGGAATTTCCGATGTTGATCCCGAATCAACACTTTTAATACGTGTGCGAAAGACCTGAAGCAGGACTGGACGAGTAGCAAGTATCACAAGCTGAAAACATCGTTACTCCTAGCCAATGCCGCATAATCGCTATGTGGAACCTTACCTGGTTGAATAATAGATATAAAGATTCTGCCTTTTGGTCTGTATCTTGTGTTGAATCCATCTGCAATTCTGGGGGGAGATTTTTGAGCCACTGATGGAGGTCTGACAGGCTGTCGTGGACTCGTTTCGATAATGAGGCCTGCTGAGAGCTTTTACCATATATTGAGTGAGTTATACGCCCCGATATCCTTGCCAGATCTATCATTGCGATAGAATAAGAACAGTCCTCAAAGTTACTGTCCAGAAGCTTATTCGACGGAAGGTCTACGTCAATGTCACTGTCATGAATTCCCACCGGGTACCCCAGTTTTGTGGCCCACATTCTGTCAAATGTATAAGCAGTCCACCAAACTCGGATCCTATGCTCACGCGCTGCAGGATCCGTAAGAAGAGGCTCGGGGACGTTGAAATTCAGGCCCATGATAATAGATACCCGCAAGGCAGAACCAGCTAGGCTGTACGCAGAATGTCGTCGATTGAGACAAAGAGAATAGTAAGACTAGGATGCAGTGTTAATATGATGTTATAGTGCATTCGTAGGGCTACAAACCAGCAAAAGCCACGTCTCTACCATTTCAAGGGTCGGGCGCTCACTGGTGACGCGGAGAATTTTGGTAGCTTTAGCAAAGTATTCCAGGCCAGGGAAGGTTTTACAAGCAGCAGATGTTCGTGTCGCATACATCTTTCCGATTGCAAATAGTACCCAAAGTTTACTTTGCAGGAGAAAACCTATTGGTCTGGGATGTTGCAGGCTGCGCTCGAGCTCCTCAAGGACCGCACTGCGGCAAACAATATGGTGCCAGCGCCCAAGGCACCTTAATGCAGCATTGACGAGAAGACGTGCCTGGGATGGGTTCGGCCATGCACAAGCTGCATCACCCAAGGCCAGAAGGTGATCATCCGCTGGAAAATTTACTCGGGGTAGATGACTGTGTTCAGAATCAGACATTGCCTGGCGGAAACGCGTCGCAAACGCCGAGTCTGAGGCTTCAGAGAGAAGGATGGGAGTATGAGGAACAGCCATGTCAATGAACCAAGGCGTAGCCGCCGACTCGGGGACATGTATCGACGATGCTTCATCGCGGAGGTCTGTCCCATGGCTGATTTCCAGAGTATTATTATCTTGTGCATCAATTGGCGATCCTGATTGAGATACACGATTCTGAAGGCGTTGGTTTTCTTCAATCAATTCGTCAATGTACCTATCCAGTCAGTATAAACTGCGGTGTAGTAATCTTATCATGCCAAGGTGTCCGGCGCAACTTACTTTTGGCTAATTTTTACGAATCTATCTCTTTGAGGGTAAACGCACTCTACAGCCTTGTTTGCCCGTTTACAGTTATTACAAGGTTGTCCTCCAGAACATTTAACTCTTCGCGAATGACATTTACGGCAGCTAACAATACACCAGATGGTTAGCATAGGACCCTAGTCAATTCCCAATGCTATCCGAAGCCGATGGGTTGTCATACGCTATTGATCTAGTCTTTGGCGCATATGGGGCTTTCGTCGAAGACATAGTACCCGGCATATTCTGCCTGGCTAGCTTTGGCATTGTATCAGTTACGGGATTAAATTCAAAGATTACGGTCGTGTCAGGAGACAGAATGTCAAATACTGACATGCGGGAAAAAGCTGATGCAACGGGAAAAAACTTTGAGCATGGTGAATACGTCAGGCGCCATTAAGTCTCGGCATAGGCACATTCTTGCCGACAAAAAGTGGGCTAGATTTCGGTGAGATTGTTAAGATGCCGTAGAGCTAGTACTACCTGGGCTAGATGTTCTGAGTTCCACCACTCATGACTGGATTCGCAAGCTCACTCAAGGTGGAGAGGCAACCAAGCCGATACCAAATACCGGATTGTAGAGTGGCATTTACTTGTACAAGCAATCAGTGAATAAGCATATATAATTATGTTTATTCATGTTGTGGACTGGATGTTTTTCTAAATCTTAATTTTCTTTCCTTTTGTCTCTGGTTCCTCTGGCTCGATTTATACTCTTGTATCCTATGGTGGCGATTTTCTAGTGAACTGCCAACAAAGCCTTTGTATTTTTCTCACATCAGCATTACTGATTATTGTTTCGTCTATCTTTATTTCGCTTTTCTCTACATTCTAATTTTGCCGTCGCATGGGAAAGTGTGTTAAAATATTGAAAGATTAGTATTGATCCAGGGCATCTTAATCACCAACTATGACAGCTGCGATTCCGAACCCGCAATTACGCTTGCTCAATGCGCTACGAGCCAACTCAAAACCGATTATGACCTTTTTGGGGCTTCCTTCGTTTCGTACAGGTCAAATTATAGCTCAGACTGGCGTTGATGTCAGTGCCTCTCAACTGTTACACTTAAACTTTGCACTGACGGTGACAAGGGTATCATCATCGATTGCGAGCATGGAAATATTAGCGACGATTCAATGCACTCCTCAACTGCCGCTATCGCTGCTTTGGGGGTATCACCACTTGTTCGTCTAAGAATGACCCACTCAGATTTAATCAAGAGAGCTCTGGACGCTGGGGCACAGTAAGCGACATACATCCCTTCCAATATGTATGCTAAAATTGATACAAGCGGTATCGTTGTTCCTCAAATAAATACAGTCGAAGACGCCGAGGCGGTTGTGTCCCATTCAAAGTTCCCCCCACAAGGATGTCGAGGACAGGGCTCGGCATTTCCGGCTATTACTCATGGCATTGACCTCCCCACGTATCTGAAAACCGCAAATGAAACTCTCATTATCTGTCTTCAAATTGAATCGAGAGCTGGAGTTGAAAATGTTGACGATATATGTGCTGTACCTGGAGTCGGTTAGTACTGGAAGCCCCAAGGAAGATTGGACTAATCTTTTGTCAAGACATGATTTTTATCGGACCCAACGATCTTGCCCTATCAATTCTTGGTTATGTTCCTGCCAAAGGTGACGAGCCAGAGTTTCTCGACGCTATCGAAAAGATTGTGGTCGCAGCTCGGAAGCATGGCAAATGGGTTGGCCGACTTTCGAATGACGGGGCTTCGTCCAAGGAACACCTGAAAGTGTTTGATACCGTGGCAATGGGTTATGATATTAGGGCAATTCAAAACTGGTATACAACTGAATTGTGCGTTGCGCGATCTTAATGCCTTTCAAGATGAGAGATAAATAACGTGCAAAGCTTGAAGTTCCTTTCAATGGAAGGTAGATATCAGCTAAACTAGTAGAAAACATATGTAAAATTAATTTTCGCTGCTCAATCGTTGAACCGCGGCACATAATGCAGTTTAAGATCAAATGTCGAAAACAATTCTTTATTTGAGATCTTGTATATTGCTCATGATTATAATATTCTTTTATAGTTTAATATGACAAATTCACCTCCATTTGTAAACTAAAGCAATGTTCAAATTTGACCGAGTAACCTCCTTTTTAACATTTCCTTCATTTGAATCAACATGCATCATGTTTCTCATTCATTATTCATGTCTTACGCTGCAGTTTGTGATAGCCGAGCTCTTCGCGAGCTTCGGCAATCGAAGCTCCTCTTGCGATCATGTCCCGAATACAAGCTTCAGTTTTCTCAATCTTTTGCGCCACTTCGGCCACCTCGCGGGCTCGATCTCGCGGAACAATAACGACGCCATTTGCATCGGCAACGACAATATCGCGCGGCTCAACACGTACTTTGCCAATGCCGATAGACTCATTGACGCCCCCAACTTGAACTCTATCCTTGCCGGTTCGCATCCACCGTCCAGCCGTAAAGAGCGGATACTCATCGGCGATAACACGGCTTACATCGCGACATACACCGTCGACAACAGTTCCAGCAATGCCTCGCAAGCCGGCGTACTGCGTCATGATATCGCCCCAGACGGTACAATCTGTGCGGCCGTTGTTGTCGATGACCACAATATCGCCTTCAGCAACGTCGTCGATGAAATCACCGACACTTCCTGGCGGGTCGCTGGCGGGTACGTAACGCACCGTGAAGGCTGGCCCTACAGTAACCTTTTTGTAGTTGCACAAAGGCATGATATTGAAGACCTGGCCCGGAATTCCCAGCTTATCAAGCGCGTCAGAAACTCCAGGGGTATCTAACCCTGTGAACAGAGCTACCAACTCTTTATCGCCTGCACTGGCTTTCTTGGGATTTCCCTTGACGGAGACCACGTCTGTCTGAGACAGCCTATCTTCGCGTATGGCTTCAAATTGCGTATCATGCATAACCTCTGATACGGGGTGACCTGCACGAACAGCCTGAACCATGCGAGCCTGACGGTATTGGATCTTTTCACCAAGTTCCAAAACCTCGATGATGCGGTCAGCTGGGACAAACACCGTCCCGCATGTATCAGCGATCACAAAGTCGTCTTGGTGGACAGTGACGCCTCGCATCTCTAGCGGTTTTCCAGATTCGATTTGTATCATTCGATTGCGTGCGCTTATCATAGTCACGCCACGTCCATAAACTGGGTAACCAACCTCACGGCTGCCATCGATGTCGCGACTCACACCATCGATGATGGTTCCGCGGATGCGTTTCTCTTTCGAGGCATTGGAAACGATATCACCCCAGCATGAAACGCCATCTATTCCCCCAGAAATTACTAGAATACGGTCCTCTGTCTCTACCGCATCTATAACTGGAGTGAGCAGATGGGTTGTGGGGGTCGTATCGATTTTTGGGCCAACTTTTATTGTGCTGGCACGCCCCACGATTTTGGGACAAGCCCAGAGTGGTAGTAGGCCGTATGTGGCTCCTTTGAGGTTGAGAAAATCCAAGGCATCAGACACGATAGTAGTATCGAGAGCTGAAAGCCGATCCAAGATGCTGGATTGATTCATGGTGTTGAATGTGATGGATTGTAGAGTATCCAAATTAATGAAGAAAATATATGCAAATAAAGAGAAAAAGATCGGAAATGGTTCGAGAGAAATGGAGCCTTAGACAACACAGAAAACGGGGGCTTTATAAAAAGAAAAGCCATGTCGGGCTACAGTTTGGACTGAGTAACGGGAAGATTTTATCGACCAGGATATGCGATTCTATTCGGCGAAACAGCAAGACACTCGAGGTACCATCATCGCGTTCAGGCCATCAAACTTGGTCTCGCGGAAGTGTCTCCTCCATCTCTTAGCCACTGGCGTCGGTGTAAATGCTATGAGGCCGAAACTCGATTCGGCGAGATTGATCTTGGAGCGAGTTAGTATACTTACCCATTGCGGCACACAGCTGGTTTACACAGGTCATTATATAGACTAGTTAATGCGCAGTCCTATATGGGAATCTTGGGACTATCTTGAATTACCTCGCCATGTCGCTATTTGCCAACCTCTCCGAGGCGGAACCTGATGCCGCCTTTGCCTTGATTGAGGCATACAAGGCAGACAATTTTCCCTTCAAAGTTGATCTCAGTCCCGGGTTCTACCGTGACGAGGATGCAAGGCCTTGGATCTTGCCGTCTGTAGAAAAAGTAGCCTTGACTATCGTTGCCCAACAATCGCTACCTTTACTTACTTTCTTTAGGCTAAACAACAGCTATGGAGTGACTCGACTACAGATCACGAACATTTGCCTATACTCGGCCATACCGCCCTACTCGACAGAGCCCAAAGCCTCATATTTGGTGCAACATGCAAAGATGCCGCAACAATCGCCTCCATCCAGACCATCGCAGGCACTGGGGCAAATCACCTCGGTGCTTTGTTTTTGGCCAAGGCTCGCCGTCCCCGATCCGTTTGGATATCAGACCCTACGTGGATCAACCATCATGAAATTTGGCAGTGGGTAGACAGCAGAATTGAGCGTCAAACATACCCATACTTCAATAAGCAGTCGTTCACTATTAATTTCGAAGACACCATATCGACCCTCAAGTTGAAGGCCAAAGAGGGTGACATTGTTATCTTCCATGGTTGCGCACACAACCCTACCGGAATTGATTTCACCAAGGATCAGTGGAAGGCTGTAGCTGCTGTATGCGAGGAGAAAAACCTTGTTCCTTTTTTTGACGTTGCCTAGTAAGTGGTTTTATTAAGCTCGAAGCAGCTCTATGAGTTAATCCAAGGTTAGTCAGGGCTTTGCTACTGGAGATTTGGCAGAAGATGCCTGGTCAGTGCGGCATTTCTTCTATAACACATCTCTGGAAATGTTAGTAGCCCAATCATTCTCCAAGAATTTCGGTCTGTATGGCGAGCGTGTGGGCGTACTTCACGTTGTATGCCGGACGGAAATTGCTAAATCCAAGACTCTCAACATGCTTTCACGACTTTCGCGCGCTGAAATAACAACTGCCCCCATTAACGGAGCCAGGATTGTGGCAAAAGTACTTGGAGACGCAGACCTGAAGCAACAGTGGCAAAAGGATTTGCTTCACATGAGTCACCGTATGAAGTCAATGCGAAAAAGACTATTGGACGCGCTCTTGAAATACCAAACGCCAGGTTCTTGGGATCACATACTAACGGATGTAAGCAATTTAATACTTCGTAAGATGATACAACATACAAAGCCGCTGACAAACTCAAAGATTGGAATGTTCTCAATGACAGGCTTACAACCAGATCAAATTCGACAATTGAAAGGGATCTACCACATCTATCTTCTGCCATCTGGGAGAATATCTATAACAGGATGTTTGTTCTCGTCACTCCCTTATGATTGCTTTGTTTTAATGCTAATTTCTGCTTAGTGACGGAACATAATGTGGAGTATGTTGCAATGTCGATCAATAAAGTAGTTACTACTCCCAAACTTAAATAGCGATTACATTATAACCTATTATGCATACACCTTTCTAATCATAAGTTCCATAACGATTGTTATAATAAATAAAGGTAGAGTACTATTTGTAGTTTAACGTAGGGATTATAGAAAATTTTGCCAAAGGGCAGAAGAATAGCGGAAGTATTAATAGAGGAAATTCTCAAAAGACAACGCTCTCTATAGTTTCGCGTCGAAGCACTTCAGCATCCTCCGGAAGTAAAAAGCCAGCTCTAATTTGCTTGCTGATAGCCAAACCGGCAAGACGGCGATAGTTGGCCACCGTGCCATACAGCTTTTGCAACATTTCAGGTGCAAATGCCCATTCGGAGCCTGTTATTAGGTTATTAGCTGCCTTGAAATACAACTAGAAACCAAGATGACAACTTACCACAATACCAGTTTGGTCGGCCCTTGGGGGTAGCGGCAACAATACGAGACAATGGCACGTCTGTATATAATGACCTTACCCCTCCCACCGCATTGCCATGTTCATCCCGGACAATCTCATCGCTCAAGCCAATTGTTTGTATAATGGAGCTACAAGGAGGAGCAATAGCATCATTACTCGTCCAGCGTTCCATTGCATCAAACACAGCGTGGTAGATAAAAGAGTTTGGAAATGTACTCCACTTTGCACCATTGAGATCTGCGACTGACCATCGCTTGACATCAATGTCTGAAGGGTATCGGGATTCGCGATGAGCCATGCCTGCTATTTCATAGAGCCGAAAGGAATCGCTATCGGCTCGCCGATGAGATACACCAAGTATTTGGCCGCTGACCCCACACGGCAGCCGAACAGACTGGAATTCCGACTCGCCTAGAAGTTCAATTATCTTGGCTCCTGGAACATCTGGTAAGGCTGCTCCGCCAGACTGACAGGGAATAAACGCTTCAAATGGGAGACCGCCGTCAGGGAGTCTGAGATGGGATGAATGTGTGATGAACCGCCTGGTAACGCCTCCTGTTTGGGATAAACCTGTCAAAATCACTCTGGTAGCTGCAATGCCCAACTCCCCAGAACGAAGGGCGTAGGAAGCCGCTGTGATAATCTCTGGAGATTGGGTCGTTGCAGGCCACCACTTCTTCTTGAAATCAACGTATGATTGCTCCAGCATCTCTCGTGTAACAGCTGTCATGAATGGTATAGTATCCATAAACTCATCCGCCAGGGGGCCTGGAATAAAATTCATGTTTTTGTATCGTTCGGGATCGAGGTTCTTAATCTTGCCAATTGCTGAAGGAGACTGTGAATCAATCTCGAGCCAAGCATGCCCTGTTGAATTTCCTCGTCAGGTGCCTGCTAAAGGTATAGTCTGATACATGGTCTCACCTTTTCTCATCAACCAACGGTTTATATGACGCCAAATGCTTGTCCCTCCCCATAGATGCGATGGCTCTTCCACAACTAAACCACTGAATTGGGCTGAGTCTGCTGGGCATCGCAGGAGGAGACGAGTGCAATAAGGCTCACCAGCAGCCACGCCACTCATGAGATACTCACGACTAACATAGCCATATTCGGGGAGCAGATCGACGTGATAGGGTTCGAGAACCACAGGCTGCGAGGTCTCCCCGTCGGGTAGGTATGTGATTTGCGGCTCGAAGACGCGTTCTTCTGCAGGCTGTGTCTTGCCAACTGCCATGGTGAACTGATAATAGTATGGACTCATTCAAGTATACGGAGAGGCTCTGTACCAACAAGGTCTTCACTCTCAGCAGCATATGTAGCGATTCTGGGGTGTTTATCTCCCTCGACTGCTCCCTCAACTGCTCCCTCGACTTACACGCAGCTCGTAGCCGATAACATCACATGACCTAATTATCGCTTGTCGGCAAAGACAGTGACACCGAGAAGATTGAAATGAAAGAGCCGACAAGATCACGTGAGCCGGAGCCGACAGTATCGGCTCTCGACTCGCCATTAACAATAGACTACTGGTTTTCAACTTAACGGTTATAATAGCATTAATATGTCTCGAAAAAAAACCGAAAGATTATTTTAATATGCATCTCTTCCACTGCCACTCTGCTGGTAGATAAATCACACACGTGGGAGTCTTTCACTGCGTTATTCATCATGACTACTGGAGGCATCTCTGCCACAAGGATTTCGATTGACTCTGGAAACATGGAAAAAGACGACCAAGTTCATGTGCCCACCGATCATGTTGAAGATGTTACCCCAGGCGAAACTTTGGATATAAAACTCGCGAGAGAGCCCGGGGAAGCCTTCTTTACCGATGAAGAAGCAGCCTGTGTCAAAAGAAAGATAGATTTCATCATTTTGCCCCTTCTGTGCGGCTGTTACATTTTTTCCGTTGGTTATCCCTGTATAGAAACTCTCTATGCATGCTTACCATCTCTACTTAGTTCTTGGACAAGACTCTCATCAACTATAGTTCAATCTTTGGTCTGAAACAGTCACTGAATCTCCATGGCTCACAATTTAGCTGGCTGGGAAGGTCAGACTCCCCTCCATTTTGCCCTTCGTGAAAGCTAATAGCCGCATAGCATCTTCTATATTGGTTATATGATCGGGTCGATTACATGGGCCAAAATCGTTCACAAATGGCCACAACATACAGGAAAGCTTATTGCCGCGGCTGTGCTGGCGTGGTCCAGCATAATATTGCTTACACGTACGTCGCGATTTTACGTGGCTTCATTGCAGCACTAAAATCCAATCTAGCTTTATGCTTCAACTTTGCGGGGATCATGACCGCACGATTTTTCCTTGGACTAGTGGAAAGCATCATAGGACCAGTCTTTGTCATTGTCACAAGTAACTGGTGGACTCGACCGGAACAAGCATTCAGGACCGCCTTTTGGCTCGGTGGGACACCAGTAAGTATCGTGTTCTCATTTTATTTTGTTATGGTAGTAATTGAATCTCATTGTTTACAGATTGGGAATTTCTTTGGTGGAATCCTCTCATATGGCCTTGGGTCAAGTAAGATTTTTTTTGCTTCAAACTCGTGTGTATAATCTCTCGCTAATTAGTAGCAGTACACAATTCATCAATAGCTACATGGAAGATCTTCTTCCTTTTCTTCGGCTCCTTCAGCTTTGTCTTTGCACTTATTCTTGCCTATCTTATGCCCGACAATTATTCCAACGCTAGGTGGCTCACTCCACGCGAGAGAGAAGTCGCAAGAGACAGAGTGAGGGATAATCAGACTGTTTCCACGGATAATCACTGGAAATGGTCTCAATTTTGGGAAGCATTGAGAGATCCCCAAACCATCTTCTTCTTTGTGACAGCTGTGTAAGCTATATATACCTCCGCTGTCATTTATCTGATGCAGCGCTGACGAGTATCCATACAGTGGTAACACCATGCCCTCAACATTTGCGAGTCAAGTAAGTGTCCTTTTCCAGGCTATTATCCATGTAAAGCTCATAATCTCTCCAGTTTTCGAGCCAGATTGTACAAGGTTTTGGTTTCTCAGCCTTGCAAACAACGGTTATTTCTGCGTGTCCGGCCGCCGTCATCCAGCTTGGTACTTTCCTCATTTTTTCTTATATTGCTTCTCATCACAACAATATCAGGCTTCTTCTCTCGATTATAGTATCTATACCGCCCTTGATAGGTGCATCCTTACTGCATGTACTCTCCGATAGCAACCGAGCCGGCCGTCTCGCAGGTTACTATCTTACCTTCACGTCAGTACCGCGGTGTACGCGACAAAACTTGTATAAATTAACTTTTGGCCAGGCACACCATGTCATTTACCCTTAGTACCGGATTAATGGCTTCTAATTATGCAGGAAACACGAAAAAGTCGACTGCGTCTGGTATCATCTTCGCAGGCTGGGCCGCTGGACTCATTGCAGGCCCTCGTAAGCGTTCCAACGCAGGAATCTATGAACATTGTCTAACATGTGTTTTAGAATTTTTCCTCGACAAGCAGGCACCAGTCTACGACTTGGCCTTTAGAATGCTCAGTATGTCTCGGATTATAATATCACACCTCAACTGACTTCTGACTTTTGCAAAATAGTGGGCTGTTATGCTTTAATGATCATTGTTCCGATTCTTCAGTACCTATGGTACAGGCATGAGAATAAGCGACGTGATGAGAAACTTGCTAGAGAGGGAGGTGGCACGGATGAGATACTAAGCACAGAATTTAGTGATAAGACTGACTTTGAGCGGTGGCAGACATTCAGGTACACTTTGTAAATTGTCGGTTTCATGCTCCATATGGGGATACCTCCAGGCCGCTTATAGCAAATAGCAAATATTTATTACCATATAGTAACTACGTACTGACATCTGCCATAATGAAAATATGCTTGCTATTTATACGGTATACTGAGCTGCCGTAAATCCCTAGAACTGCTGACAAGCAGTGCTCGCATGCGATCTTGCCATGACGACTCCTTAACTAAGCCAATGTGCTTGAACCCCTCCTACCACGTAGCTATATTGGCGGCTATTATTCATTATATCCTAATCCATGAAGAAATACCGCTTGTGGTTGATGCAGTGCAATACTGAAGTTGTTGTCTTAAGACATATCTACCTTTCATCGGCATTTAACCATTTTCACTCGGTCTATACATTGACTGACATGTATTTTAGACTTATTAAAGAACCAGATATCAAAGCAACATGGAAATTTCACTCTACTAATTCATCAACAGGATCCATCACAACGCTGGGAAAAAAAGAAAGCATTGTGATGGTGAGGTAGATGTACATGAATAGTTTTCATCAATTCACATGTCGTGACGTTGGTATAAATAGCATTTAAAGTTAAACATTACTATTAGGTCAAATAATAAACCTTCCAGTTACTTCATCCATGACACTGCGTATACTGGGATGATGTCCATTTTTACGCAGTTTCACAATCGCTTGGAGCAATTCTCTTGCCTTCTGAATATAAACACCCCAGGCCTCCCCCTCTCGGAAACGTTCAATAATCCAGTCTCGCCGAATTGCGTCACCAGTACAAATTCCGGCAAGAAACAGTGAAGACGGCAGTATGGAGGAAGGTGAGCAGCTGCGCGACGGGTCATGGCGAATCTTCAGGTGGTAATGAAGTATCTTTGACACGGAAACTTCTGGATCAAATGACATTAACGGCTGTATATTGTCAATAGCACATCTTTACTCGTGACTAGGTAAGTAAAAGTACTCACATATACCGTGTAGAGATATAACAAAGCCGAGTGTAGAGCCGATAAGACGGTGAATCGACCATATGTGGCAGAACTGAGTTGTTCGTCCTCAACAATATCTTCTCCGTCCTCTAATCTGTCCTTTACGGCATCCACTTCCCAAAGATCAGCCTGTTGCTGAATAGACTTGTACAGAGATTTGATCTCTTCTATGCGCACAGGCGGAAAAGTGGCGGATTCACTTCGAAGCTGATCTTGTATCCTCAGATCAAGTCGTGCAACGTGCATGCGGAAAACGTCGGCTCGAAAAAGGGTATTCACATCACCAATGATTGAAGTCTGCCCTACTTCTTCAAAAATGGACGATATAGCGGGGACATTTCGAAGATGCTGGACGAGCTTCCCGCCGCCCAATCCATAGTGAGATGCTCGCGCATCCAAAATAGCAAGGCGGATGACAATACGCCTGATTAGACTGGATGGGTCTGCAAGCGCCTTTTCCACTTCTTCACTGCGAACGATATCGATCGCGGCAGCAATTAACTCGAAAAAGGTGTCGATGTTGCCAGCTGTCACATGTACTTGTTTGACCCTCACAAAAAGAGCTGAGAGCAAGCCGTCTACAGTGCTGGTGTTATCGTGTGCAAACTGGTTAAATGACTCGTGTGCTAAACGGTCATAGACTTTTGCTTGTTCGCTGTAAGAAGGAGTCTCCATTGAGAGGTGAGAGGCTGAGAAGGACAAAATGGCATAAAATAGTGGAGGAAAGGACAGAGATTTTGAAAACGCCGAAATAAAAAGATTATTTGTGTCTTTAGAACGATCGTCCACTTTGGCGTATCCCTTCATTACCTCTAAGTAATGTTGGATCAACTGTCGATTGCCTTCGTTCACTGAAGGGCCTTTTGCCTTTACAGTTTGGAGTATTGATTGGTCTCCGTCTGTTAATGGTGCTTCAAATTGCCATACGCTATTGCCAGCATCTTCGAGAGAAAATCCATCGTTAAAGGAAAGCGCTTGCGCATTGTTTGGTCCCTGCAACACAGAGGGAGACACAGCTGGTAAAGGAATGAGATTCAATCCTTCGCCGGAGAGATCTAGTTCCAGAGATTGGTAGTCCAGATCAGCATCAAAATAGTATGGAGCACCAGAGAATAGCTCAAACTGGTCACTCTGTGGCTGGCTCGAGACATCATTGCTTTGGTCTGAGTGCGGAGTTTGATTACGATCAATTAGCTCTTTGAACACGGGGATATCATCATTTTCATCCAGAGTATGAGTCGAATCATCTTTCAGAGGCTGCGTAGGCATAGGCGACGAACGCGAATTCTCTTCGTTTACACGACGTGAGGGGCGCCGTCCGATCATTTGTCTCCTCTTTGGTGGAGGTGAGACTCTTTCGCCAGGAGCGGGAGGCTGCCATCGGCATTTAAGCCCTAGTCTCTTGCAATTGGAGCATATAGAGGCTTGCTCTTTAGCATCTTCCAAAGTCCCAGCATGAGCTTTGCATCGGACTTTTCGTAACCGGCAGGTATGGCATCCTAAAGACGGGCCGTCAGGCACATCACTTGATCGTGTTGGATGATTGGGTTACGAACCAGCACGTGAACGTACTCTTGCCACGCCCTCATCTACTGTAGCAAGTGAGGCCATTGCGTAGTTGAATAGCAGACATCAGCCCTTCACCAACATCGTGTCCTGGTATTCTCTTAAAGGTTGGATTGGCGCTGCAATACGCGGCGTGAGGCTGGATGCGATAAAGCCAAATTATGAGGGCACGTGCCGTGACACTTACCTAACTGGGCAAAAACTTTCTGGGGGAAGGTCCCCATTTCCCCGATCAAATGAGTGGCTATCAGCTTGGGGCCATTCTGCAACTAAGGTGAACAAGAGACAATATGCTAAAGGTAAATTCAATAGGTATTAAAGGCAGAGAGCAGCCCGTAAAATAGAAAATATTTATTCACAGCATGTATTTTCTCATTTCATACGAGACAAACAATATTGGCTTTGTCGGCCTTTGACTTGGATCCTCTCCCAGCGTTTTACCAGACAGTGTGATTACCCGAGTTCAGTCCATCAAAATTGGCATGGCAGGTTCCGCATAATTTCAAGTTTCCTCATCTTTCATATATGTAAATTGCCTGGACTACACTTGTTATTGACCTCAAAAGCCCATATTCGCAAGATCGCCGATGAATACCACGTTGAGCTCGCGCGGGTCTTCGGATACGTTCTACCCGTCCTTCGTAAACTCCAACTCCACGACTGGTGCATCTGCTATAAGTAAAATGGTTTTACAGAGACGGTTCAGCCATAATGGTCATCGCATCTACATCGCCTTGGCTTCGACCTTGTATTAGATCCTGCGAATGTTTGGCGCCGGGATCGCGCTTGAAGAATGCGACCTTCATTACAGGCAGGAACACCACAAGCCTACCAGTAACAGCAAGTGGACGAAGACGTAGAATGAAAAATTTGGCTCGTTTTCAGAGAGGATTGAATCAAAAGCTCTCAATGTCTACTATAAACATTCTATGTTGTTGCGTATCTTTTGCATCTTGTCATGTGGCGATGAATATACCTTCGTTATTTTCTCAAGCTCAAGTATATTTGGCTCTGGTACACCTAATGTGCACCAGTGCAATCCTGTGGGAGATTCAGTTTAATTAGGTACACTCTATATCAAGTCTCGTTACATATACATCCAAACCGAAGACTGTCAAGCCCCTTTGCCCATCATCTCAGCATACTTTATAAACTCCTCGTCCTTTCTAAACATTGCCAGCTCCTCAGGATGTGTCCCTAACATGAGTTCCACTCCTCCATCCTTCCTCATGGGCAGAATAATTAAAAATCGGAAGCGTCCATTCCCTCTCTCAACCTGTGGGCGCATCGATTCTGGCGATCCTCCATTCGCAAAATATTTATCACCGAAACATATCTCACTGGTCTGGAAAAGCAGCATGTTGGAGATCATAGCGTTCATGTGATCAAGGCCCATGTTAGCTGTTGAGAATCTGCTATGCTCGGGCAAATTTTGCAGGATGGTTAATGCGTCGTGGATAAGTGAGGGGGTGATTCGCGCGTTAGACTGACGGAGCAGCCAGGCGATGCGGCCTATGCTTGTGTCAGGGGAACAGAGTGTTTCGAGATCCATAATGAAGCGGTTCATAACGAGCATACTGCCCATATACGTTGAGGGTAGATGAGAGGAAAAGTAGGGTCGACCGTCTGTGGGGAGTTCTAGAATTGACTTTGCCTCAGGGTGGAAGGTTTCTTTCCGAATCTCTTTCGCTACACGGTAACGTGCCCTGGTGGCAGCCCGCCAGAAAAAGGCCTGTATGATGTCGCTCATTGATAGATATTGTCCTGGGACAGCCTTATCGGACGACACACTGTCTCTCATCTTGTCGAGCCTTTCAGCAGTGATGAGAAACATGGTGGTGGTCATGCACCTCTCAGCAGGAGGCAAGGGCCAAACATTGTGCAGGGGGAATCCGTATCGAGGGTGAACTTCGGGCTGAAAAGGTCCATCAACTGAAATATCTCCAGCAACCTTATCCACGGTAGCCTTGATTTTTTGGCTTTTGTCCGGAGGAAAGAATGGCAAGACATCCCATGCCGCTGGATCAGCTTCGTCCATTGAGCTAGGCCATCCTTCCTGCTTGTGGACTATCTCTGGCAAGCTGTGGTTGAAGCTCTCCGGGTCATACCACTGACACGTAGCCGAGGCATCTCCCTGTAGGTATCTGCAGTTCTCTGCCCACACCTTTATTGCTATCACGGCGCCAACGCCGTCCAAGCAACAGTGATTAAGATCAGCAGCGACGATACATCCACCTTTCACAAAGTTGACTTGCCCGACGAAAATGTCTGCCGGGAAGACTGGGAAAGGATCATCTCTCAGAACGAGACTATCTGAAAACAGCGACGTTACAAACCCTGCATCTCTCAACTCGTCGAAAGCTGGAAGGACATCTGATAGATCCTTGTATACAAGCCGGTTATGGGCAGATGAAGCCATCGACAATGGCGGGATAGTAACACAGAGGTCGTCCTTGAGGCAGCCAATTTCTTGTTCTGAACGCTTCATCATCTTACCGCCGAGTGCGGGTATCATGTCAAAGGTCCGGTTGAGACCATGCTGAAGGTTCTCAAACACATCTTGAAATGCAACTCCGTCACGCAGCGGAAAGTAGAACATGAGACCCATGCCATGGTTCGGGTTGACATAGTCAAGTGCATTCAATGGAAATGACAGCCGAGCTTTGTGCTGCGCAGCCTCTTGGGTGATTCTAACAAGGAGCTCGTCTTCCTCTGCAGCAGCATCCTTTGACATCTCCGCCTTGATGGTCGCCGCAAGACGTTTGATGGCGATGGATAGACTCGCCAGACTAGGGTTGGCATAGATGTGACGCGGAGCGAGATGTTCTCCCAGGCTCGTCGCAGCTCTTATAGACTTGACAATTGAAAACACTCCAAGTGAGTCTAGGCCAAGATCAAAAAAGTTGGCAGTTGGCGCAGCTTTATTAATTTCAGGCAGGACTGGAGCATAAATAATCCCGAGGCCATTTTGTATCGCATCTGCAGAAGTCGTGTCGATAACGATCGAGCTGACCGACTCGTCACTTCGAGAGCCGTAGAAGCGCTCGATGTAATCTTCGTATAGTGCCAGCGTAGCTGGGCGCTTGATAGTACCCTTATCGGTACGCACGAATGGCTTATCGGGTTCAGAGAAAGTGACAAAATCTCTCAGTAGCTGATCCTTGTGCCTCGATTGTGAGTTTGCCTGCTTGACGGTATCCCATATGCTATTGAGAAGCTCGTCTGTCTTCTCGTAGCCGTCCTTCAACTCGATAAGCAATCCTGCTTGTGGCTTTCCGGTACCAAATATGAGGCAGCCCATGATTGCCGGATGGGTTGTTATAGAAGCCTCGGTCTCTAGCGGTGATATTTTGTATCCATTGGACAACACCACAAGATCATCACTTCTACCCTTGAACGCCCAGAGATCCGGCTTTGACGGGTGCCTTCTGTAGAGATCCTTGAAGTTGATAGAGTCCTTGTCTGGAAATGTCTGAAATATTCCCTGGAAAAGTGGCCAATGCTCGTTACGATGCACCCAGTGCTCATACGTACCCTCTTCCACCTCTTTAAACTCAAACCCAGAGTACGGATGAAAGCAGAACCAGTACCAGTCTTCTCTCGGAACAACGAGGTTACCGATAAACAAGCCTTCCGTTGTTCCTGTAAGATTCAGTACCCTAATAACGTCGTTTACCTTTCCGGCGCTGGTCGGGCTAACAGGCCCTCCAGAAGCGCAAATAAATTTGGACTTTCGCAGCTTGGCTAGGACTTCTGGTGTTTCGCCCAATTCATCAACCAAAGACGGAACCATGCTCCAGATGTCAATGTCAATGTTCTCTGCCAGACTCTCGATAAGGTTGATGTTTGGCAACACTCCTACTGGACCCAAGACACATTGCAGGTCGAACAACGCCGGCATGAGAATATCCATGATGATACCAGCCCCCTTAAAGCGTGGGAGTTAGCTAATCACATCTTCTTCGACCAGTCACCTATAGAATAGCGGACTTACATGGCTCATTGGAAAGCTTGAATAAATCGTGTCACCCGCCTTCCAGTCCGAGGTCCACGGGAGCAGCCCATTGTCACCTTCTACCGGCGGCAGTAATCTCACTGCGTCCATAGTGCCAATCAGGCCATGAGACCAAGGTATCGGCTTCGGCACGCCAGTTGTGCCCGACGTGTGGAGATAGCAAAACGGATCATCCTTGGCCTCTTCGAATGTCTTGGTGTAGGGAAATGGGTCTGTCGGCTTATCATCCAGCAAGTTGTCCAACAAAGGAAGCTCCAAGAGCCGCATATGTCGCTTTTCCAACAACTGCTTTACTAGAGGGGTCAGAGGCACTTCGCTGGCATTAGCCCATACATCGCACTTGGTGGCGTCAAGAACCGCCAAGGCCCCTTCAGTGCTGTTCTTTGGCGATAGAAACAAGGCCTGTAAAGTAAGTAAGCACCAAAACTTATCAGTCAATTCCGGGTCAACGTACAGAGTGTCCAGCTTTAACGCATGCATATGTCAACAATACATGTCGAAGATCGTCTGGCATAGAGTCATTAGTCCGATATATCATAAAACGTGTGTCCTGAACAATTAAAAGTGTGCTTACGCGGCCCAATGTATCCCACTGGTTTATTCGATGAGCTAATGCCGACCTGGCTTTTGATCCACCAAGCAAGCCTGTCCACCGCACGCGTGAATACCTTTGCAGACACATGAAGACATTCAAGGGTCCCATCTCTTACTGTCATCAGAGAGAAGACGATCCGCCCAGGGTCCCTTGCCGCTAAGCCGTCCATGATCTGAGGAATGAGCCGTCTACCGTATGAACTGTCCTGTCCCTTACTCTTCTCCGCCTGGAGGGAGGTCTCATGCTCGTCGGCAGCGTCAGGCAAAATGTTCACCGTAGCCAAAGTCACCGGGCTATGCGTCTCTGGCGTACTTGCTCTGCTACTCGCGGCATCTTCCCCGGGTGAGAAAGCTGTAGTATCCTTCGGTGATGGTATTACTGGTGAGACAGACCGTGATGTAGACACTGAGCTGAGATACCCGCTCATGCTAATCTGCTTAGCCTCCTGCAGGTAGTTCATTGTCGCAGTTCCGGTTGAACCAAACTCATCATGACTTGAGGGTCTCTCTCGGAAGTACATGGGACGTCCGTCTTCAATGACAACCTCCATTTTCTCATCCTTGGTAAACTCGCCCATTGGCGCACTGACCCATTCTCCGTCTGTCAGCTGAGCTACACTGCAGTGCCATGGGGTGGTGAAGCCGGTCTTGGTGTTGAGCAGACATATCGAGAGCTTCAGGCCCGCCTCTGACTCATGGATAGACAGGCGCAAGTGATTTGGATAGTTATGTTTAACCGCTTGGGCGAAAGCCTGTAAACTGTCAGCGACATAGACTAAACCCTTGGATCACTCGGTGTCTCTCACGTAGCCTCTGATTAGCATCTGCTTTGCAATGTATTTGCAATCTCTTTTGTACTCATTGGCTCCGCGTTCTGGCCCTTGGGGAAATATGTATTTGAGGTCAGATTCGAGGAATCTCTTGTATCCAAGATATGTCAGCTTGGTATCAGGGTTGTTAGCGATCTCGACGTCGACGTCGAGATCATCTTTACCATATTTGTTGAGGAGCTCTCGCCTAAACGCTGTGCAATTTGCAATGTACATGATTTCTGTCAATTTCTCCGGAAGGGGCAAATCCAAAAGATCCTTGATTCTAGAGAAGGCAATGTTGTCAAACTTCTTCTTAGAAGCCAAATCGCGCAAGCATCGACCGTAAGCCCAGGTATCTCGGTCAGATATTGACAAGAGATCTTGGATATAATATTAGTTCCAAAAGAATACAATTTGAAAATAAGAAGAAAGAGAGAGAGAGAGATCATACCGTTGTAAGTAATGCCATCAGAAATGATCGTGACACGAGCTCCTGGCGGATAAACCTCTTGTATGCGCAGGCACATATTGTTCAGCCTTTCGAGCGCAAGCTCTTCCGCCTTATCTGGCAGTGTCCCAAGGACCTTGTAGACCCTGTTTGCAGACTTGAATGGGAACGCGGGAAGACAAGCTTCGACCCTTGTGCCCGCAGCAACGAACTTCTGTATGACTGATAGAAAGTTCTGAGTCCCTCCCTCCAGCCTCTCTCGCGAATCGTCGAACTTGTTAAGCGCATACTCAAAGATGATGTCTAAGATACGGCGAGAGGTCTGTCCAGCATCCGCGGCTGTCTGGCTTATGGCCAGCGGGTCTGTTCCGCTGCTGACATTTGGGGGTGCCGAGCTAGCACTGCAGTTGGTGGTGTTCATTGTTGTATTCTTTGTCGGGAAGACTTTGCAACGCTGAATCCTTAGATGCAGGTTAATAATTCCGTCTGGCTATAAATATTCATTGTTTATTCTATAGATTTTATTAACATTATTTACATTAGTTCTTATAAATATTTATCAGGAAAGCTTTATTTGAGCAAGTTTGCGCAAATATTTCGTTCCCTTGCACGATTTACCAATATACTATTTTCTTTTGGGAATAATATGGTTTCTAAGCACTGAATTACATACAATACAGACGGTTTCAGAGCACGGCCTTATTAGAGTGGAGTTACTTTTGCATAAGTATAAATACACTGGGTAGGTGCACTCTTCTTCATTTTCAATCATGCTATTAAATATGTTATATACCCTCCACATTGTTGATTTATATAACGCACTTTATAATAAAACCTTTACACACTAGATAGGTCCTATTTCTAAAGTAGTTTAATTGTTGCATTAACAAAACTTTTCAATTTCTAGCCTATACATCTCGATGACCAATCTTCTCTACCTCGCCTTGCCCCATCTTTATATCTATCCTTTATCCTCGACACTACTGGCAACCATACTCGACCCTACGGTATTCCCGTCGCAAGATGGATAATGCTCGCGATGATACGCCGCTACTTCAGGGTCATGGGCCTCTCAGTGACTACCAGACAATCGCCGCGGTTGGCGGGTTGAGCGAAACACACACGGAGGAACACGAGAGAGAATCCATCAGCCAAGATGCACAGGCCGGCGTCCAGCAAATCGAGGCTATCGCCATGGTATGGACACGGACTGACCTCATCATTGCCTACATCTTGATCTGGGTCGTCTACTTGGTCATGCTGATTCAGCAGAACACGGCAGCGGTACTGTCTCCTTACATCACCTCTGCTTTCCGAGATCACTCTCTGACACCCACTGTCGGTATACTGAGCAGCATCATAGGAGGGGTGTGCAATTTGACAGTGGCCAAGATTCTCGACATCTTTGGGAGGCCTCAAGGCTATGGTTTGTCTCTGCTCATCGTATCCATTGGCCTTGTCATGATGACGATGACAACCAGTGTTGAAATGTACGCAGCTGCTCAGGTCTTCTGCACAGTAGGCAACAGTGCCCTGCTCTACAGCGTCAACATTTTTGTATCCGACACGTCGTCCCTTCACAATCGTGGCCTCATGACTGCGCTGACGTCCTCGCCCAACATCATTACAACATGGCTTGCAGGACCCATCTCACAGGCCTTCTTGAACGGTCCTGGCTGGCGGTGGTGCTTCGGAATGTTTGCCATCGCGGTTCCGGTCATGTGCTCCCCTTTGTTTGGTCTTCTGGTCTTAAATTCCTACAAAGCCCGACGACAGGACCTCATTGCGCCGCAGAAACAGATGAGGACCTTGTTGCAGTCTGTCCATTATTACTTCCACGAGTTTGACGCCTTTGGGTTACTGTTGCTGACGAGCGGACTTGCAATCATTTTGCTGCCCTTCAACTTGTATGCCCTTCAGGCAGATGGATGGCAATCACCACTCATCATCTGCCTGCTGGTGTCCGGTGTTGCGCTTATCGTTAGTTTCATCCTTTGGGAAAGATTCTATGCGCGTGTCACGTTCATACCATACTCTCTCCTCTTGGACCGTAACATGGTCGGTTCGTGTATCCTCGGCACCGTTTTGTTCATTAGCTATTTTTGCTGGAACAGTTTCTTCAGTTCGTCGCTGCAAGTGGTGAACAACCTTGGCGTCACCGAGGCGAGCTACATCGTCCAAATATATGGCCTCGGCAGCAGCATCTTTGCCATCGTGGCTGGTTTAGGCATCCGTTACACTGGACGCTTCAAGTTCATCACCCTGTTTGGCGCCATCCCCGTCTACGCTCTGTTTATGGGACTCATGATATACTTCCGCGAGCCCAATGGGAACATTGGCTACATAATCGTGTGCCAGATCTTCATATCGTTTGCTGCTGGAATCATCATGATTACACCCGAAATTGCCGCCTTGTCTATCGCAAGCCACCAACACATTGCGGTCGTCTTAGCCATAGTGTCCATGTTTTCCTCCATAGGAGGCGCTGTGGGATATACTATCGCTGGGATAATCTGGCAGTCGAACTTCCCCAACAAGCTTGCACTGTATCTGCCGGAAGAGGAGTTGCCCAATTTGATGAGTATCTATGGATCGCTGGAGGTTCAATTGAGCTATCCAGTCGGGACTCCAGCTCGGCTCGCTATTCAACAGGCTTATGCCGATGCACAGGTCAAGATACACATTGCAGGGACTGCCATTTGGGCTCTTGGATTTGTCGCCGTGGCAATTTGGCGAAATACTGATGTGAAGACGATACATCAAGTCAAGGGTAATGTTATTTAAGAAGATGCAGGTCATGATTCGTCGGTCCAAGGTTTGCGCCTCAGATCTTAATCTAGGTAGTCACAATACACTTCTAGACGAGGCTCCCTATTGCCGCCCAAGGTGCTCTTATGACAGGACAAGTGAATTTTCAATTCTTCGCTTAGCAGACCGGACATTAGTCCATCATATAGCCTTTTTTTAAAATTCAATTCAGCTCAGCAACGAACTTGTCGGTTTCTGGGATAACTTTGTTAATCTGCACCACAATCACCACAATCTGCACCACAGAGTCCGGAATGCCATCCAACTTTATCCTTCCTTGCTTTCGCCTATGTATAAACCAAGGTGTTTTGATCCTACTTAATGTGTTTATACAGCCGATTTAAGAACTCCTCCCACCCCGAACCTTGAAAGTTAACAAGATCGAGAATGATCAGCTTGACATAAAAAGCTAGGCTGTGTTTAATGTTTTTACATATATTGTCATAAACTGATTTATCACATCAATCAAGATTTTCTATGAGGGTAGAAATAAACATCTTTTATATTCTAACTAAAGACAATAGCTTTATCATTTCATTGATGTGAATATACCAAGTCAAAACTCATTTGTGTGCAGATGAAGCGATAATCATTTTTACCTTAGTTCTCCCATAATACAGGGTAGTTTAACGTGTGTTCAATGTCACAGAAACCATCAAAGAACCACTTTACAGCGCTTCCGCTGTAATCACGCCAGCTAGCTCTGAAAGGACCTAGCTCCCCGCAAATATCCATGGAGCTCGCTGTCTTTGAACTTTGAGTGGCTGGAGCGGATATAAACGGACATTGTACCTGATCTAAATCCAGCTGGCTCTTTGACTCTAAAGTCCGAAGCGGAAATAGACTACAGTATGGCCGGCTTCATCATCCATACGCTCGTCGATAGATATTCCTCCCGGTACTTTTCTAATCTTGTCAGAGAAGCTTCAATGGCATCGTCGGTTCCTGGAGTTGCGTTGCAGCCCCCGCGCAAGCGTCGCCGGCCAGCTCGGTCATGCCAGGAATGCCGCCGTAAGTACTGCCTACCTCCCTCTTCAAGTCCATAGTTGTGATTGACTCTTACCACGCCATAGGCCGAAAAGTCAAATGCGACCTTAAGCAACCCTGCGGGCAATGTGAACTTACAAAATGCGCGTGTGTCTATAATCTTAGCCTGGCACCGAAACAGCCCGTTGCTGTCAGTGCTATACCATGGCAATTGACTGGGCTTGAGCCACAACAGTCAGGCTCGTTCCATTCTACGGGGCTGGCAGAGCAACCCCATCTCAGCCAGGCAAACTCGCAGGCGCTGTCACCCACTGATGAGTATAAAAGGTACATGGAAGATGAATTCACCAATCTCAGACGTCGAATCAGAGCGATAGAGGAACACCTGGCATTGACAAGTGTTCACAATATGAGTTCAAAGGTTAAACAGCGGGAGACCGAGCTCGACTCACTGCAGTATAAGCAGCATTTGGATACTTGCCAGGAGGAACCATCATCGCAAGTCCATTCACTGGCGCTGAACAAATCAAGACTTTATGGTGCAACCCATTGGTTACACGGAGGGCACGAGGTGTGCAATTAATCAAGTACCCCTTCTATCATCGTCTATTGACCTCTGCAGTTCAAGAGGGTGGCGGTTCTTAATGGATATACGGATCAATCAACAGAAGAAGAAACAACAAGACAGCAGAAAGTTCAGCTGGAAAGGCTCTTTCGCAAGTGCAAGCACCTTGCACAAAAACTGAAGCAGAATGATCCTGGAAGATCAATCACGCAGTCGGGTCCGGGCCTACCCACGAGCTGCAAAAGCTGGGCCGACCAAATGGTTCACTTATACCTAACCCGCTTCGAGTCGGTGTTTCGGATCCTCCATATTCCTTCATTCAGGGCAGAATATGAGGAGTTCTCGAAGAACCCAGAACAATCACCATTGGCGTTACAATTCAAGGTCAAGCTCGTAATGGCGATTGGGTCCAGTCTATATCGGGATACTGCCGACGCTGACAACATAGGATGGAACTCATGTCGGTGGGTACACGAGGCACAAACTTGGGTATCTGGCCCCGTCAAAGATCGAATCAGCCTCGACGGCCTTCAGGTACAATGTCTATTGATTCTAGCTCGGCAAGTTTTGTCCATTGGTGGAGATTTAGTATGGATAGCAGTAGGCACTTTAGTTCGTACTGCCATGCACATGGGTCTCCATCGTGACCCGGTATATTTCAGAAAGATGACTCTCTTGTGCGTCACCCTCCAAAACTTTCAATATTACACACAGTAGAAAAGAAAGTGTTACTAGTATGGGGCCTATCATGAAGAGCATATGATATCGATCCGACGTTTCTTGCATTATTTAATCTATAATCTTGCTGACTTGGATCGTTCAACAGGGAGGCAGAAGTTCGCAGACGATTATGGGCCACAATACTTGAAATAAATCTCCAGGCGTCACTTGACTCAGGAGCTCCGCTGGCAGTATCATTTGACGATTTCAACACCAAGAGTCCTCGGAACGTTAACGACGAAGACATCAGCGAGAACACCGAGATTCTCCCGTATTATGATGAAAACACTGTGACGGATATGTCGTTGCAGCTGCTCCTGTTTAGATATTTGCGGCCACGAAGCGAAATAATCAATCGCATGAACGGAGCTTGTTCCAGCTTCTCCCAAGCCGAGGTTCAATGCCTTACTTTAACTCTCAACAGAGCTTGCCGTGAATGCAGTGCCAGTCTCGAGGGTAATAATAATGGAGATGCAACCAAAATTTTTAAACAAAATATGGCCAATTTGCTTCTTGGTCGCTTTTTGCTTACCCTTCATCGCCCACTGGCCACTGCTTCCCGAGTTGGTGATCCTGGCTTCCATTTCTCAAGAAAGGTGTGCCTTGACTCCGCCACGGCTTTACTTTTACCACCCCATAACCCAGACTTTTACCATCTCACATTGATTGGCGGTGGCATTTTCAAAAACCGCATTATCCATGCCTCTCTGGCTATATGTTCAGATCTGATTATTGAGCTGGAGGAGCTCGACACGATGGCGTGGCCATCTACCTATGGGAAAATGCTCGTAGATGTTCTTCGTGAGGCTCTAAGGCAGACGGCTGAACGAATAAGAGTTGGCGAGACAAATTTGCGATTGAATATGAAACTAAACGTTGTCTTATGCCGTGCCGAATGCGCAGAATCTGGTAGTTCTCGGCAGCTGAGGATGATTGAAGCAGCTCAGGAGAGTCTGAAGATGGCATACACCGTTATGCAGTCTCGCTTGTGTCTGATGGATGGGGGACGACGTGATGAAGGATGTCTAGAGCTCAGGGAGCTTGATTGGCAAAATTTGGGTATAAGCGTCGACGAAGATTGGAATGAATCTAACGATATGCCGGATATTGGACTTGATGAACTCCTTTGGTTGGGCCTAGGCGAAGGTGAGGCCACGGTGTCACACGAAGCAGAATGGTAGCCAAATCTGCGAGACGTTCCCCCTTTTATTTTATTCAAGCTGCCGTTTGCATCAAGGTAGATATTTGAAATGCGTTAATTAGTAATCTATCGACATTGACAAGGTTAGAATTTCCCGCCAGCTCCGGAGATATTTTGCTCACCGGCTCCGCGTTGTTATTTACTACTAGGCTACCTCTGAGTTCATGAGGGAATACACTTTACAGGCACCATGAGCCGGAGTATTCGCTCGGGGGGATTCGGAAAATTCGCTACAGCCACGGGTTATGAATACTCCACGGGAAACCTTTATTCGGCCGAGAGGACTACAAGTTTCACACTCTCGGTATTATGCGGACAGTATCTTAAACATAAATAGCCTCTCTTACCCTCTTGCATCCATGAATCACAAAGACGTCGGCCTCTGCTTACTTCAATACCTTCATTCTCAGTTCTTCGCCAGCATGGAAGCGAAAATCCCCCAGACTCATCGAGCCATTATTCTCAAATCAGTGGAGAGGGATTTGAGCGGAGTTCATCTCGAAAATATCGCTACACCAGAGGTGGAGACCGGCAGTGCCATAGTGCGTATCCTAAGTGCCGCCGTGCTCTCATACCAGCGCGCTATTTACGATGGACGCCGCGACTACCCTCTCCCCACGCCGCTTGTCGGCGGATTCTGTGCTGTCGGCCGAGTAGTCGCGTTGGGGCGCGATGCGGTGGCTCTCGAAACCGGGCAACTTGTATTTTTGGACTGTGTAATTCGTGGGCGCGACGATTTGGACGCAATCATTCTGTCCGGAATCTCAGACGGATTCAATGAAAACGCCCAGAAGTTAATGAGAGACGTGTGGCGGGATGGGCTGTTTGCGGAATACGCGAAATTCCCATTGGAAAGCTGCGTTGCTCTCAACGAAACAAGGCTTTGTCATGAGCTGGGATATACAGTTCAAGATCTGGCGTACCTTGGCTATCTGTTAGTGGCCTTTGGTGGCTTGAGAGACATCAAGCTTGAGCCTGGGGAGACCGTTGCCATCTGCCCAGCGACTGGTGGATTTGGCGGTGCTGGAGTACAAGTTGCCATCGCCATGGGCGCCAGGGTCATCGCCATGGGCAGGAATGGACAGGAGCTGGAGAGGTTGAGAAAACATATTCTATCCGGAACCCCAGGAGCTAGCATTGAGACAGTCACGATTACAGGAGACGAAAACGAAGATTCGGCAGCGTTGCTAAATTTTGGAGCCATTGATGCTGTGCTAGACTTCTCGCCAGCTGCGGCAAGTAAGTCGGCGCATTTGAATAGCGCAATCAAAGCTCTTCGACGAAAGGGCCGTGTCAGTCTTATGGGAGGCTTTCACGATGGGCCGCTGCCAAGCTTTCGGATCATTGCAAATGACATTACGATAAAGGGGAAATTCATGTACGAAAGGGACGACATGGCACAGTTTGTCAGGATGCTGGAAAGAGGGTTGTTCCCTAAAGGGCAAAATTTTGTGATTGCGAAGAGTTTCTCATTGGACGACTGGAAATCCGCACTTGATATGGCGGCTGACTATACGGGAGCTGGAAGACTTGTTGTAATTACGCCATAGAAGTTTACGTTAGACAGTACGTAGGGCTATCTATGTAGCTACAGAAGTAATATCACTCCTTGTTGCACTTGCTTAATCACCATCTGTACCGGCGTAATGGAACCCAGAGTCCAGCAATGAACACGCCCATCCAACCCATTCTAATTCTGTCAACCATCGGTGTGGCAATAGCCACTGCCCCCGCACCAACTAAGCAACGGAAGGGGCTGTTTGCTGCAATAGCTATAGCGGGTGTATCTGAATTGACATCTAGGCCTACCACCAAAACATTTAGGCCGTTTAGAGCCCCTGTGAAAAATGTACTAATTAAAAAGAGCGCCATCTCGATACCAGCCAGAGAGGATTTACTCTCCATAGTCCAACCCGACTCTTAGCCTTTTACATTTTCCATCTGCTTGAGCGGCGCTTTTCCTCAGGAAAATATTATACATTATATTTGTACGAGGTAAATAGCAGTTTTAGAACCAGCTACGGCAGTGAGTCCGTCTTCCAACAGTCCTTCGCAGATTATTGGCTGCGAAACCAGTGATTATCCCCAGATAGCAGTTGCCACGGATCTTTAACGGCTAATTGTATCCTTTGTCAATGAACACTGCCATGTTTTGTATCTGGGATGGTCCTGTCAATGCATTTATTTTTAGAGGTCATGATACGGTTGATATTTGTATGTTAAGGGAAGTAGCCCCAAACCGTTGGGGGACATAGTAATGGATGCTTTCATAAGTGCTTACTAGATTTGAATGCAGTGTTCAATTCCTTTTGGTCGCCAACAAATGTGCTGTGGATGTGCATGTGGTCTCTCAAGCATTACTAAATGGGCGAGACTTGACTACAGCTGTCGAGTTACACAGCGGTCGCCAATTTTGCCCCAGAGTCCAGAGATTGCTTTTTGGCGGCGTCGAGCAGGGGATTCTAGGACTAGTTTTCAATATCCCCTTGCTACTTTGATGGAAATGCGATAATACCCTAAGAAACCAGTCGGGATTAAGTCAGCTTATGTTTTCATAACGTCACTTCTGGATATGCGGAGGATGTGTGCCCATCTAAATAAGTGCTTGTTGATTGGTTGGTAAAATGACTAGAGGGCACAGCATCCGGCATTATTGCTAGTTATCGAATCCTTGTTTATATAGCCTTGATATTGCGAAAACAAGAAAAGAAGGTGTTAGAGGCATAGAATCTGAAGGAACATGAGCTAAATTTGGAAACCTTTCTGTGTTCCACAGGATACCTCGCTGAATTAATATGACGAAATAACTTGCTGGTGCAAAATAGGCTAAAGCCGTGTATTTCTAACGGGCGGCACACATATCCGTAGAAGCACCCGATGTTCCGAACTTCATTTATTCTTGGGTTGCAATGCATAACCGTGGGATTCCTGGTGAGACTTTACTGCAACAACTCTTCCTGCTCGGAACTACTGATTGGTTCAGTGCCTTGGCCAAGGTGCATGAATACTTGGGACATTGCTCTTTTATAGTCTGCTCGTTCAAAAGTCCTTTCTCTTTCTAGCCAAAGATAGCCAAGGTACAGTTTCTTTTGTGGGCCGTCGGTTCATAGTCTCTTTAACAGCGAGTTCTATGAATACATTTAGGATTCATAACTTCAGGATTGCATGAAGGATTACTGGCTATGCCTTGGCACGAAGGATTTGGTCTGACCAAGGGATTCGTGGTTCATATTTCGGTTCATTCTTTTGGACGACCGTAGTATGTACAGTGACATCGTTGTGGGAGGTGGTATTACAGAAAAATAATAATAAATAGGCATGCCTGGCTTCGAGCTTGTTGAGTACTTACCTTAAGCCATCGACCATTTTACTCTGCTTCTTAAACTACTTTCTAAACTACGAACTACCTCTCCAGCAATGCAGTTTTCATACCTCGCATTTTTCAGCTCTCTAGCTGCCGTAGCATTGGCAACTCACAGCCCCGGCCAAGCATGCAGTGGGAGCGGTTACGACTGTAGCGACGACTTTCATGATATTGTTGTTTGTAACGGAGCACAGTGGGTAATTGCTGCTGCTTGTCCTAATAGTTGCTGTGCATGGCCTGCTGGATATCCTGCACCTTTCTGCAGTTGCTAATAAAAGGCAAGTTTATATTCAATCCTTAGCAACACAGCACCTGAAAAATTAATGCTTTTGTAGAACGAAAACGTGGTTGCTACAATTTAATGCGTTTGGAACCAAAGTTATTTTGGTTTACCACTATTAGGCTCGAAAGGTTATTACTGAATTATTTTATGGACTACATTTATTATCGATAAGAATGAGTTTAGTATAGTTCATTCAGTTTTAAAGAAATGAAAGATTGAATAAAAGAAACAAATTAATACCGTGTGAGCTGGAGCTCTATGGCATAATAAAGGCTGGGTAAGTGTATGCTAATAATTGCTATTACTCTATTACTCATTCTATACAAAGGTGTAATACAGCTTAATAATTAGCAAGACGCCTATTTAGTCACATTTAGAAAACGATATTAATATAACATATTAATATAGCATAAATAGATACAATAACATAGGTCGGTCTACAAGCTTGCACCGCGCATGTGCTCTTTACCACTTTGGAAGACTCTAAGACTCTTTGGATGACCACCAACAACGGCGGAAAAGAGTTCAAACGAGAAAAAGCTCATAAGATACACTCTTTGCTACGATAAAGACAAGCATTCTTATGGTTTGCCTTTGCAGGGGGATGGCGGACCAAGTGGCGGCGACAATGTAGACTCAAACATCGCCGTTTCACTCTTCTAGATCACCAGCACCAGCGACATGAAGAATAGAGATGCTTTTGCCCAAGTCATTCGTGACGAATATGCCCAATTTGTCCTTCTTATCCCTTGCATGTCTACTGATGTTTCACCCATTACATATGTCGACGAGATCATGAATGGTAGGTATCGACGACGAGATACATTGACATCTACGCCAACAACTATTAAATCACTCTTTTACGATACTACGAGTATAAATAGTGTCTAAAAGAAGGGATCGAGTTTATGACGGTGCGTGTACTATAAATTGGACTATACCCTCTTATCTAATTATGCAATTTCAGTGTTGATAACAAGTTATTGATTTCATGTTCTCGGTATTTTATTCAACAGATAAATACATTCACAAGTTTCGAAATCTTGACCCAGCTATAGACTCTGCAAAGCGATAGCCAAAAAGATTAGAAGTCGTCTGAAACCCAGGTTTCGCCTCTCCCATCAACACTCGCCTCACAGCTTCCACAGAGGCAAGTGGTGTGAATGTATAGCCATTCACGATGTGGAGGACACCCCGATTAGTTGTACCATCCGAACTAGTTACAATGGCTGCAACGTGATACGGATTTGTCTCTCTTTGCTCAGCGGTTGGCCCCTCTTGCAATGAATCGAGATTATCAGTTGGGAAAGCGCCTCCTGCCACATGAACAAATGTTTTAATATTTGGAATGTTGGTCGATCGCCATAACGTGATGAGGTCGGGTAGAGTTGCTGGGAAACATGACACGCCGCCCCTGCCATCGTCAAAATCGAACTGCATGGTATGGCCGCTACCCTGGTCTACCAATTTTCCGTTCAGTCGATGGAGACACTTTGATGTCAAATTCTCCGCCGCACTTATTGCTGAGCCCCGAGACATGGGTCCAGCGACGTGAAGAGCAATGTCAATACTGATGGGGTTGGTTACATGCTCAAACATGTAGTCGGCTAGACAGCCCAGCATAGCCACACTCCCCCCACAACCTGGTAGGAGCATAATGTTGGCCTTTTTTGCTTCTTCATGCTTTTGTTCGCATAGCTCATAGCTGTCCAGTTCGGCAGCAATGTCGAGATAATGGACCCCATTCCGAATGCATGCCTCGATCAAGGGTTTAGCCGTGTGCAAAAATGGACCCGAACAATTCAGTAGAACGCGCAACCCTTGTAAGCTAGCGTCGACGAGTGTAGAGTCCTCAACTCTAAATATGCGATACTCGACGCCGAGACAAGCAGCAAGGGCTTTCAGCTTACTCTCCGACCTGCCGGCCACAGTGAATTGGAGACCGAGAGACTTGGCAAACTCAGATGCAAGCCGACCAGTGTATCCAGTAGCTCCGTAGATTGTCAAGTCCGCCATTGCGCTATTATATCATGGGCAAATTATGTGGCGAATTATATAATAAGACGGCCTATGAGACACCTCGAGGGCTGCTTTGACCGGTTTAAAGAGTAGAGATGTCGTGGATCCAAATATGTAATGCAGGCGATTATATATTTCACAGGACCTTTTGAAATGAGTACTTTAACATGAAGCGGAAATAGTTATCAGTTATAACGATTAAAATTATGGATCTTTTTTGTACCTGCATCTAATTCGGGCTCAACACGGAACTCCGGGATCCGATGCGCGGCGAAGGAGGCTGTTAAAAATATAACTCACATTTGACAGAAACTTGGTTTACCAGACGGAACTGTAATGTTGACATGACTCCGTTGATACAGGCGAGGAATTAGCTTATTGCGAAGTTTCACGCCACGAATTTGTGAGGCAAAATACGTAGTTGCTGGCATTTAAATTCTTGTATATCTCTCACGAACTTAGTTTCTATCTGTGACACGATAGTGAAAATCACAGTCATTGAGCAACGCTTCAAAGTTGCAGGGACCTCGTGTCCTCATTATTGGTGGACCATCTGACATTAGTTTCGTTGAGACCAAGCACTGATTGCTAACGGCGCTTCGCTTGCCATGTCCTTTTCCTTTAAATTTCTCGTCGGTTCGTGGATATCTAATGTTAGTTATATACCATTTACTAGCCTTGTGTGAGCTTCAGTATACGCCATGATCCAAGGCTAACTCTTACCTTGTGACATTAACAACATGCCGAATTCATCAACCTCTTCTAACCAATCCTCTGTCCTCCTGTCTACGATGTGCTTTGGCGAAATTGAAAGCAATTCTCCAATCCTGTACCCATCTCCCCCCCACTTCTGAAACCACTTCTGGTACAGCGGTAGCCACTCTGTCTCCGTCGGGGCTTGCCAAAGTGCCTTCGGAGACGGTGCAAGCATCAACTGTAGTTCATGGCAGTAAAAGGAAGGATAATTACGCCAAACGGACCATGCCCAAGTCAGCATATAAATAGTTAGTATCGTACGCCTCTTCGCCGACATCATTGTCCAGTCGTGCCATTGGGAAATTTTGCCCTCGCCAGTTGTTTCTTCGTGCAAAGCCAAACCGCTGGATGCAAGCCGCAGCGAAATCTCAGAGATATCTAAGATGAGCTTTTCCTCGTTGATTTCGTATTGCACAGAGTTTTCATCGGGAAACAAGCATAGAATCGCATAGATCACAAAGGCTTGTGCAGATGCAAGGAGATTATTTGCAGTTTTCAGGCTTGCCTGCGTTTGATTAGCGTGGATGAAGAGTCTCTTAATAGGAGAGAGTCGCACTGACGGTCTTGTTTAAACTTGTAATTTCCATCGAGATCTGTTCTTGCACAGAAATATGATTCCGCTCATTCCTGGTTAGAATGTCGTGGCATGTTTTCAAAGCCGATGGCAGCGCGCCCTGTTCTATCTGGGAATGGTGTATAAATGGTGGCAACTGCGTGCGCGCTGACAGCATACGCGGGTACGTTCGAAGCACACGTATAGTATGGTGCAAACTATGCTGCTCAATGCTTCCAGCTCTCTGTATTAATCCTGGGTATCTACCCAATGGCCCAAGGTCGACGGGGCATTGGAGTTTGGGGGAAACGGGCGTTGAATCACCATGGCTGAGAAGTAAGTCTTTGGAACTGCTAGGAGCGGATGATGAGCTTGAGGTATTGGGAATTGGACATTGGCTTGGATTAAGTTCGTCGTTCCCCTGATTCCCGTGCTGTCTTGAAGGATAGTGGCAAGAGAGTCGCTTATTTGAACAGCGCTCACATTTGGGCTTCGTCAACGTGCAGCGAGATTTTGTACGGATGCACTGCTCGCATGATTTTTGCCGTGGAACACCGCGAACATCTGCAAGGCACCTTTTAGAATGGCGAACTAACGAAGACTCTATGCATGAGAGTCAGTCCTGGTTAATAGAACGCGCAAATGGCGGTGGCAACGCACTCTGCGTAAAAGTCACGGAACATTTGGTGCAACGCAAGTCAACGAGGGCTGGAGCTGAGGACATTGCCAGATGCTCTTTTGCTATTTCTGGAACGGTTAAGGTTGAGGTCGAGCTGCGGTGTGATTCCAACGTACCCGGAAGTCCGGGCATGAAAGCTCTTTAAGAGTGGCTCAGATGATGGACTAGGTGCCGCAATAGGAACCCCCATCGCTGTCTAGCGCAAGTCTAGAGCCAATTTTGGGAAGAAATTACAGTAACTTTAGTTACGCCGGCTTACTTTGGCGTACTACTACTCGCTATATCATGATCCCGCCCACAACTAGCGAGCGTGAATCGACCAGGAGTTTTCTACCGCCGACATTAACGCCACCATTAGTCCACTGCTGATACACTCCCTGTTATTATTTTATCCGACACAAGGCGTTAAATTTGTATACATATTCAGAGTACATGTTCTGTCGAGCCTGGGACTTCTGTGATATATATTTGCCCTCACCAGCCTTATTAACCAATGCCGCATATTCCCATAAGCATCATCAACTCTACCCTTAATTACCCTCAAACAGTTAGTTCTCGTGCACTGGGCATTTCATTTAATTGACCATATTTAAAATGGCCAAGGAAACTATTCTGGTAAGTGATAATCTTGCCGCTTAGTCAAGGGCTGCCAACTAAAACGCCATCACTAGATCACGGGCATTACAGGGTATATTGGATTCAAGGTGCTGTACATCGCTCTCACGCACGGCTACCGAGTCCGTGGCGTTGTACGCAAAGAAGAGCAAATCTCCAAAATCAAATCTCACCCTCTCATGAATGGCCTTGCCGCTGGTGTTGAATTTGTCGTCATTTCAGATTTAACAGAAGCTGGAGCTTTCGATACAGCCCTGGATGATATTTCGGTTATTATACACCTTGCATCTCCACTTGCAAAAGAGGCGCGTCATTACTTCCGCATTTGTAATGCGTCAGCACCATTCACTAACATATGATGGACAGACAGACTACTATGATCGAGATATTGTCCAGCCGCCCCTCGATATGGAGTCATCTCTGCTCGGGTCCGCCTTCAACACACCTAGTGTGCGTCGAATAATTATTACTTCATCGGCTGTAACCTTGATTCCTCTATCTTGGATCACCACCAGCGACAACGACACCGTGTTCACATCACAAGACCTGAATACGGACACTACACCTCCATATCACAACTCCATGGAAGCGTACTGGGCATCCAAGGCTCTCGCACGAAAGCATGTTCACGACTTTCTGTCCCGGAACAAACCCCATTTTGACATTATTCAGCTGCTTCCTTCAGTTGTCCTTGGCCCAGATGATTGGGCTACAGATCTTGAAACCTTTTTCGTCGGAACTCGTGCCATGATTGTGCCAATTGTCCAAGGTAAAGTCATGGAAGGAGCGCTTGTGGGAGCACCTGTTCTTGTGGATGATGTTGCACTAGCCCATGTGGACGCGATCAAGCCATCGGTGCCCGGTAATAAGGACTATATCTTGACTTCTGACACACCAGAAGGCATCGAGTGGAACTCCATCTTGGATATTGCCATCAAGTATTTCCCCCAAGAGGTTGAAAATGGATTGCTTCAATGTACAGGATCACTCCCTACGAGAAAGTGGAAACTCGACGCTTCTGACACAAAGAAAGCTTTCGGATGGGAGTTTACCTCTTTTGAGGACACGGTCAGGAAACAGCTTGAACAATACATTACACTAGTCAAGAGTTCTAGAACTTCATCTTGAGGATAATAAAGTAACACGATCCCAAAATCGACACCCAAAGTTTCCCTTTCCTTCCTTGGAACTGAACTCTACCTGCTTTAGCCTGAGCTGGGCTGAACTGATGGTGAGCTGGGCTGAGCCGATGGTGATCCAACCTGAATCGGGGGTCAAGACGTGGTCTCCCAAGGCTGGAAGTAGTGTGGGCCAAAAATGGGAACAATGTTGGTGGAGACCCAAAGACCAAATTTGAGGACTATGCTCCGGCCGGCCATACAACTCCAAGCAATCCTGCCTGACCAATGTTGTTGATTATTCATACGCTACGTAGAAAAGGCCTTAATCGCAAAAAGGGAACTGAATCCTTGCACAAACGAAGCGTTGGGGGACGTGATATATGGATATCGCCGAGGCCTGAGGGAATGGGATGTTCCATCCTACGCTCTTTTGGTCAATCATAGCATAGGACTCGATATCAGGTGGATCTAAGGGATCGAGGAGATGTCCCCTTGGCAGATCAGGGAAATCGGCGGGAGCATGTGCCAGAGTAGGTGGCAAATTGGTTTCAGCTGGCAGGAAAAGCTCCAAGTGGCCCACCGTCTGGTACACGAGGAGTGTTTGCCGTATGGCAAAAAGCATATAACGGGGCACTTGGAAATTGGCTAAGGCATGTGCTGCAGTGTCACAAGATGAACAGCAGATCTTTCAGGGGCAGACAATTTTAACGAGAATACAAGAGGAATACACAGATTTGATCAATAGACAGAACACACGTACTTTCTGACACTTCCCGTCTCGCAACTATAGCCACAGCTTCCAGTAATCTCCCATTCCCTCTTCATCCTCTTCCAAGTTTAGAGCCTTCGTCTTGTTCGTCCTGGCTAACCAGGAATCGGAGCACCATAGAATGCTTGCATATCTTGATCATAATTAGCAGCTCCGATAGGTGCGTCTAATGCGGGTAGAAGGGTCTCGCAATTACCACATGGTTTGCGATATACCCTTTTTACATTGGTGTGGAAGCCGTTGAGCGTAGTGCTGCTGAAGTTGGCCGCTAGACTCGCGGCTGTTATTCCGTCGACACTATTGTTAAACTTCCTGACCTCCATTGCGAATCCGCGAACTTGGGATGGATTGGGTGCACCTGGAAGAGCTCGTTCTGGTGTGTAATGCGGCCTATATTGTATGGTTACTCAACCTTCCCTCTGAGGCTAGGAGGTGGAAGAGGGGAAAGAGGCAGTATAAGAAGGGGGGTTACGTCAAAAGTAGAGAAGAAAAGGACAAGGAGGAGGGGGACGAAGGAGGAGAGGCAAGAGGACCTACATTATACCTGCAATAGGGTATGTCTCTGCACAACGGCCATACCTTTGAACCGATGGCCCTGCAAATGCAAGGTAGTCATTTCCATTGTTAACCCAGGTATATAAATTATCCAGCATGCGAAGAACAGGGCTTGTGTTGGCGGGCCCATAGAGAGTGGCGAAGAGTGTGTCTTTCAGGGCCATGTAATTCGGTAGAACTTGTCCAGGATCGAATTCCGGAAGTAGAGTGTTAGGTTTGTTATTCGCAGTGGGCTGGAACATCCTTGGAACAAACACAATGTCAAACACCTGTCTGTATGCAGCCTGTATAGCAATATCATTGCGGTTAATGCCTAACTCCCACCGAAGCCGCACAACGTTCAATAGCGCTGCGCGCAGGGCATTCTTGAATGGGCCCCTATCCCAGTGTCCTGTGCGGGGGAAGGGCACAAGATCTTGAGGGTTCGGGACAGCCCTCCACGCAGCGTTCACCGCTGTCCTAACGAGCTGGAACTGGGCATCTGCGAGATTCTCGGGCACAGTTATCCAGGGGTCCAGAGCTGGGAGATTTGTGTTGTAGGTAATAGCATTATCAATTCCAAGGGGCGTATTGAAAAGGCTCTTCCAGATAGCCTCGGCAACAGCTAGTTCCAGAACAGGTGGCAGAACATGAGGAATTGGGGGAAGGCGGCGATTGGGATTGTATGACTGTAACGCCGGGTTAAGAATCTGCTCTCGTCTCCAGCCATTCATCAGGCGTCTCTTGGCATTATGATCGGCTGTATCAGACCCATCCACAGCATATGTGAGAATATATGTGCTGCCGAGGAGGAACCACAATTGATTGTCTGCGTCGCGGAAGTAGATACAAGAGCTCATGGCAGGGGGGTCACCAACGTTATTGACTGGCTCGGGGTTCCCGATCTTGCGAATATACGCTAGATAGAGGCAGCGACTGTAGATTGCTTGTAGCGGCACAAGATAGTTGTCGTAGGTGGCGCCGTTAGGGGGCGTTGCGACGCTGAATATGTAGCCAAGGGCTGCAGGCCCATCGATGATCTTCAAGTCCCGGTTGTTAGGACCCCATGGCACGGTCACGGGATCAGGGTCTCGTATGTTGGCGTAGTCTCCAGGATGACATGAGATGTCAACACGTCTATGTCAAAGGTTAGTTATATGACTAGCTGTTTACTTCTCGCTATATAGAGATAGAGGTTGTGGAAAAATTCCTGTTAAAGAATGGAACTCCATGGGCAAGGAACTTTGTTCACAGTACTATATCACGAGACATGTAGACTGATACCAGAATAATTGATGAGAGCCTGGATAATTCCGATATATCCATCTATCTAGCAGGTAGAAGCAAAAGAAAACAGGAGGTGAGGGCCGGGGTATGATGGTGAAAGGGGGGTTGAAACTCGTTGAGAGATTGTCTTTGTTGGCTTACCCATTAATAGGAAAAAAAGTGTCAAGCAGATGCATCACATATGTCACACGGTCTCCAGGAATCCCGCAGGTTCCCGTACCACCGCCGACTGAAGCTGCCTCGACTTCCGTGCTACCCTAATTATCAGTATAGGTCTATTACAGGTGTGAGTGAGGAGGTATACAACACACCGGAGAGTGTTCAGCCACGTGTAGAAACGCCCGACCATGGTTGTGAGACCATTTTGAGCTGGTGCTTGGAAGATGCTGCAGTCAAGGCGGCACGGAGCCTCAAAGACACCAAAGCCATTGCCCCAGACTATGTTTGCCATCTTGTAAAGGAGGGAGGAATAAATAATAAGAGGGGGCTTGACAAGAGGGATGAATCACCAGGAATTGATATAGATACGAATGCCTTGAAAAAAGGCCTGATATTCTATCTTATATCAAATTCTCCGCCATTTCCTTGCCTTTGACCCACCTTCCGTCTGTCTCTGTGCTGGCCTTCCTCTTCCCTTCAGCCACCCCTCCCCTCTGACAGGGATAGGTGGTGCGCATAACCACCACGAGTTGGCATATTGTACATCCAATAGGAGGCTTGGACTCTTCAGCCAGCCATAAACCAATAGCTGTTGCAACTTAGTTGCCGACGATTTCGTCCTAGAGGGCCGGAGTTCTCAGTCGGCCTCGCACTGGATCGTTCGAGACCGCAGTGAACTGGCTGCTTGCATCACCTGCATTTCCAGCAAATGCCGTTTAGTGGCCAACGTAGGCGCTTGGAGGCTATCTGAGGCTGACGCAATCACAGCTGGATCTCGGACGACGCGATGTGAAGTTTTAGGGCTCGTCCACGGAACCATGCCGTATATTGTTCTATCGATGTGCAGTGTGGTGGCGAATGGCCTGGATCTCTGAGCCTCGTTAAACTATCGGCCCACGTGCATGTATGCGCCCCTGCTGTCTTAGTTAACTTTGCAATAGACGAGGGTCTTCAGCTCGGATAGGTTCTGAGATACTTTACCTAACTTGGGCAGATGAGGGGGCCGGGTGACGCCATTGGCCTGGGAGACACTCAAGCCTCTTCTCTCGCGCACGCTCAGCGAGTCAACTGACTACGCCAAATGAGAGAGCCGGTCCGTGGAAAGCAGATATCAAGTCTCCTACGAGCTCTGGCCTTGCATTCCATACTATCCTTCTGCTCTTTGCCCAGATAAGAAAAGAGAAAGATTCTCTGAACAAGATCCTCTTTCTTCGCCAACCGACATCCTCATCCTCATCTTCATCTACCTTTCTTTGCCGTGAAAACCAAAAGATGCCGGGCACTGATCCCTCCAACCCAGGCCGTGACACTTCGGCCGAGGCCGGCGAAAGCTCCTCGTTGGCCTCTTCCGTACCTCCAGTGCCTGAGGAGGATCCGACGGGTGTCCCGCGGTACCTGAAGCTCGACCCTGAACTCTTACCGTCGGATTCCTCCTGGTCCAACGATCCAAAACTCATGAACTTGGAGACGTACTTCTCCCTCAACCCAGGTTCGCCTTACTTTCTCTCTTCTGCTTTTTTCCCCTTTTTCTTTTATTTCTGCCTTTACGTACCTATCACTAATACTACATCAGCGGTTCCTAGCCTCGCCGAGAGCTTTAACCTTGACAATCTCATCCCTATCATGGTAAAGGTCGATTACGACCGCGGCGACACCTATCTCCTAACCGTCTATAGGACGGACAACTTCTACCTTTGGAACGAGATAGACACCGCCATGTGGGCCTTCAGGAAGCCTAAGAATAGGTCGCTGAAGCTCGAGGATGTGGTTGAATTGGTCAGTACTGAAACCTACGGCGGCCAGGATCTGATTCGACAGTACAGAAGCAGGCAGGGCAGCTGGGGACAAGGCTAGTCCGCAAGACTGGAAACCGGGAGTGCTTCTTTGAGGTGATGAATACCTTCTCTGAGGCCTTGGGAAGGCTCGAGAGCCTATTACCAAGACCTTTAGACAATGTAATAGCTTGCTTTATTCAGTCTTTACTATTCTTATTTGATTTAAGTAACGGCTTTATCATGCCTTGCAGATGATTGGTGTGAAGGAGAGTAAAACTATACTAAGGAATGCATCTCATTGGAATATGTGATTGCTAAACAGAAGCCTGCACAATCAATCTTGTTCAATTCGAGCGAGCAGCAGTAACATCCAGCCTCAAGTCGGCGGACCCAGACGACCCTGAGACATCAAAGTTTACTGGTGACGTCGCTTCCTCGCCAGGAACCCTCATCCTGATAAGCCCACCTGTATCGTTATGGATCAAGGTGACTTGGTCCGTCCCCAGGGTGCCAAAGTCCACTTTGCACGTCGAGGGGCTGTCTTTCAGAGTTGGGCTGGTCAGGTCGTAGGGGTTGAATTGACCCACTACGACGTAGAATATCTTGGACGGCGCGATCTGGTACTCTTGGCCCGGCTCGGGGACGAAGGTGGTATAGGGTCCGATGTTCTGACGCATGGACGAACAGAAGCCAACAACGTACTGGTCTTCTCGTCACTGGTCAGCACCAGAAGTCCGCAGCAGCTACGCTTGGGGATATCAGAATACAGGGGTGAGGATGGGATGCGGCGACATTGGAACACGAGTAGGGTTCCCAGTAGCAGAGGAGAAGTAGGGGGGGGGGGGAGAAGAGGATGAGCAACTCACTGTGCTTAGCTTCTTTGACCGAGAAGTCCCGGCCAGTCAGGATGGAAAAACAGCCCAGAGCGCCCGACGGGGTGATTTCATCTGTGGTAAACGCCGGCGTGCCATCAGAACACTCAATCCGGAGCGTGGTTCCGCGGACAAGCCTGCCCGCCTCATCTAGGCATCCGAGGTCGACGGCGCGCTGGTCGACGACCTCGATACCAGTGCCAATACGCTTCCGGTGCTGGTTCTGAGGCGACGGGTCGGCTTCGACGTCGTACACACCGCATGTCGCAAAGAGCTTCTTGGACAGCATGAAGCTGGCCTGGCCCTGGGGGCTGGCGACGCCCCGGACGCTGGTGATGATGCGGGTGACGACGTCGACGGCGGAATCCCCGTTGCGCTTGATGGCGGGGGCAGCGGCAAAGATGGCGTACGCTTGCTTGCTGTCGGACTGATTGTTGATGGAGACGATATACGGCGCCATGATGCTCCTCGACAAGGTCGAAAGCAGCACGCCAAAGGGGGTTACACTGGTAGACTGAAAGAACTTCGCTCCAGCGAGCTAGGAGTATCGTGAAAGGGAAAGACAGCAAGCAAGAGTCGTCATCAACAAGAGAGGCGTCGGAGAGCCGTGTGACTTGAAGCCTAGTACGTGTAAGTGACCTGCGAAGAGAGTCTATCCGCGCAGAAGAATCCCCTGCCCGCGGCAGCGTACATGCACGGGCACCGAACAGAGGGCGAATTGGGCTAGGCGGTGGCGCTTAGAGGAGAGAACCGAACCGATAGTCTGTAGTCTATTACACACGTTTGTTTCTCTTCCTTGTTCACCAGCCCCAATCTGACCAGCCAAGGCTCAGCCCTACCGGCCCAGCGACCTCTTGGCCTGCATACCCGCCCTTACCCGTGCCCTCTCAGAGCCTCTAGACCCTTCCTCAGCTCCCACTAGCGGCGTCACCAAGCCCTGTGCGGGGGAGTGACAGGAAGCCATGGGCGAATGAGACGCTGACCCTCTGGCTAGACGTTGGAGGCGGCGTAGCTCAACCCAGCGGCTGTACTGGCTAGGGTCCAGTATTGCCCGCCGATCTGCACGTGGTTCGTGAGTTGCGCACCGTTAAGGTAAGACCCTGCCGTCTGCCGTCCTGCCCCGGCAGTCAAGGGCTGCGCATTGCCTAATTGGGTCCCTTTTATTCCGATACTCAGTTTGGAGGCGCCATCAGGTGGCCCCATGGAAACAACTATCAAACGCCCAATCCGACTATTCAAGCCTTCTTCGTCATGGCTGCTGCTTTGGTAACCGCTGCGCTCTCCTCCTCACGGACACGCCGATGCAGGTTCTACTTTCTATTCCTCTAAGAAGAGAGGCGTCAGTCTGATGCTCAATGTTCTACTCTTCGTAGTCATCCTCTTGGCTGGCTGAAGAGGGACTATTCGATTCTATTGATCGCCACTTCAGGGGGGGACAAGCAGAATCCTCACCCCATTCGGCACGGTGCCATGATCCTGAACCAGCTAAGGGCGTCTAGACTGTTGGATAACTCACTTACGCCATAGCTTTGTGATGAGAAACACCGCCTCCAAACACAAGTCTTGGGGAGCTTCGTCTCAGAATGCGGTCAGCTTGCAGTCGTCGGCGTCCCGCCTTGGTCTAGGCAGCGGTGTAGTGTTTGCTATCAGAGCTCAACGGGGTAGTTCGGCATCGTGGAAGTCTTCATCGTTTCCAAGCTGGAGATGGGGACAATCTGTCGCTAGTCAGAGGAAAAGTCGTCCAGTCTTGCCAATCTCGGATTATATAAGACCTTCGTCCTCCCCGACATAACACTGTCGTTTCATCAGCAGGAAGCATTAACACATTCTTGACTTCAAAGCACCAATTTCCAAACTACCCATCCTTACACTCAACTAAAAATCTTCCACACTTACACTTACCACCTTCAAGATGCCCAATAGCTATAACATCACCGTCAAGAACCAGTCTGGTAGCCTCCAGCAGTATGCCCTCTTCAACAAGGTCCCCATCGTGTCAGGTAAGGTCCAGGAGCAGGTCTGGTCCAACATCTTTGCCGTCGACAAGGCCGCCAAGGACCAGCAGATCAGCTTCGATCTGGTCAACGAGTACAACGCCATTGTCGGCAAGAAGAAGAGTAACCCTAGCGGCAGCGTCACCGTTACCGTCACCGGCACTCAGCCCGTTACTCTCGGTTACACCCAGCCCAATGGCCAGCCAGTCCCGGGAACTAGCTTGAGCATGTTTGTCGACGACGACACTCCCCAGTTTTCTTCCACGTCTCTCCCCAACGCCAGCTTTCCCAATGCCTATGAGATCCGCACCGGCGACTTCAGCAATAAAGATGCCAAGGCTGGTACGTTTAACCTCCAACTCTACTCTGGCGGGCTTTGCCCCTGGTTGAACCTGCTAACATTAAATGTCCTGCAGCGGGATACATGATTGGTCTGGGTGCCAAGGGTGGCTCCGACGGACCCGCTGCTACCTTCATTCCCGAGGCCCAGACGAGCTACCAGATCCAGCCGGTCAACACCTACTATGTTGCCGTTGGCGACTTCAAGAAGGGACAGCTCATTGACGTCACCAAGATCGGAGGAGTCTGCCCCGTTGACTTCACCAAGCTCCCCAACGATGTTGTCGTAGTCCACGACGACCACGGTAACCTCACCGTCCAGATTAGCGCTTAAGAGCCAAATCTATTAGGCGTGAATTACGGGGGAGACGAGTAGGTGGCTAAGGATAATTCTCATTCATTTCTTTCGTTTGTAGTGTTGAGGAGAACGAGTGGTCGATAGTTGAAGGTGTGTCCATGATCGGAGGCATCATCCCTGGAGCCTTGGAAATTTTGCGCTTCCTCCGTCAGACAATTGCTACAGAACACTAGAAACTTTTTTCTTGCAACTTCTTATTACTCTTGCTTCGCATTGTGACTAGAAACCTGAGCAGCTTGTTTACCTCCTGAATTCCCAGATCCGCCAAACTGGCAACAGTGGGCTACGGGGAAAACCACATGGTTGTGAGCACGAGTCGTATATAACAGTTGAAGTAGATTCCTATCCTTTTTGTGCTGCATGTATTCGAATGTTCCTGGTTTCTGAAAACCTCATAGGCCAACCGACCCTAACGGTAAACATGTCTAAGGGGGCTTGCTCCCTGCCGGTGTCATTTCCAGTGAATGAGGGGCCCCTTCAGCTCATCAATAAATGCCCAGACAGGCAGTATTCGTCAAGACTATTGTATCCAAGAAGCAGGGCGTTACAGGCCAAGTACCGAGCTGGAGGATTTTGTGTTCGTCTATGGCTAAGGGAGATTGCGTGATATCCGATGGATATTTAGGTTTCAATCATCCCCTCGTCTCCTCTCTCGGTGTTCTGTATCATTGTTATGTTCTCACTATTCAAAGGCATCTTATACTACTATCTCAACATAACCCGCAAGAAATCTATTGCACGAAATATTCTCATCTTATCTCATATCAACCACTATCTGAACCTCTCCTTACCCTATTCTATCCATCGTTAAACCTCTCAAGATGCAACTCAAGTCTTTCACCCCGTTTGTTAGCCTTGCGTTCTGGTCTGCGATGCCCTCACCTGCTGTTTTAGCCCATGACACGGATGCCGCCGCCGCCGAAGTTAGGCATCGCTATGAGTTGGGATCATCGATGCAGTTACCACTGGTTACCACCCCAAGCTGGTGGTCGAAATACTGCTCAATGCCTGACTGCAACCAAGCTAGCGGCGGCATTTGCGACGTACGCACTGGACAACAGGCCACCCCTGGCTGAAAAATTCGGAATACCAGGCAGCGTCGTTTCCCTCTTGTTCAGTTCCAATATTTCTGGTCTTGGGGTCCGACTCTTCACCGGAGCCGGCTGTACCGGCAACGCAATAGATTTCTGGCCTGTTAACCCGATCGATTGCGAGAATTTCCACGACGGGCTACCTTGGGGCGCTGAGTCGTTTCTCGTATTCTAGACATATGTAGGACTGGCTGCTACGTCTGAGTATTTTGGTACCTTTGCTTCGGCCGAGGAGATTCAGACAATGTGCGAGGAGTACGTGGACCATACAGTGGTTATCATACGCAAAAGGCCGGATAGTGCCCCAGATTGGGTTCATAGTATAGCTTGAACAATACATTACACTAGTCAAGGCTTATAGAACCTTATTTTAAGGGTAATAACATACAAGGAACTATAAGTCACATTAATGCTTTCATTAAGTTTAGTAGTTTTAGTAAACTGAGTCTTCCTAGGTTTGCTACATTTACTCATGTGGCATGATCCAGTGTAAAAGACCACAGACGCTGGAACGTGAATTTTTCAACTTGAACGACACTTGAACGATTATTTGGTATGTAATTTGAAAGGTCTCAGCTGTACTGCTTTGCGGAGACTTTGTCCTTCCGCCACTGTTTCAAGACCTCTAGGCCCTCTATGGCATCGTCATCGTCGAAAGTGTGCGATTGGTACGTAAGTTCGATTATGAGACCGGAAGGGTCGGTCACGTAAATTGAAAGCCACATTCCTTCATGATCAATCTCTCCTATAACATCGAGCCCGTGTGCACTGAAATGTTCGTGCCATTGTTTCACTTGCTCCTTGCTATCACAAGTCAGAGCAAGATGCTTCGTGTATGTGGGGATGCCGTCATCTTTCTTCTCATATCCTTTTCCAAGCTCGAAAAAAGCCAAAGCCGAGCCATCAGACATGCCATACAGACTATGCACGTAGCTGTCTGGAATAGGCTTGTCATGACCGGATTCCTTAAATGCATATGCGCCCAAAAACTTGCAACCCATAATTTGAGTCCAGAAGTGATGGGTCTCGTCCATATTCAATGTAGCATAAGCGAAATGGTTAAGCCCTCGAGGCTGGAGTGATGTTACGGGCATGTTGACAATTCAGTTAGTTTGAACAGAAAGAAGAAGAGCGAAGGCTTATTCCAAGTATCAATGTGTTGAAGAATTGAGTTTAGGACAAAATTTGCAAAGGAACAGGGTCCGTTTTGCACAAGTGGGAAAAATAATCTGCGTCGAGTTTGAATGCAAGAAAGGCGGTGGTTAGCAGATTAAGTGAGACAGGCAAATAGTTCAACCTCATATTCAGCGCCGCTCATCTTTAATATTATCAAGAACCAAGTCATCCCATATTCATCTCCACAAACCGCAACTTCTATAGTCAGCTTGTCCAATAGGAAGATTAATTAGTGCACTAATAAAGAGATCGGCATTGGCTGGACTCCTTGGTATTCATCCGCCAGTCCTCCCCCAATTCCTCCGTTAGTTCTTCCGGAACCCCTCCCACCGCTGGCAACCTTTTTGGGCTCCAAAGCAAAAATTGTATTAGTTAACCGCCCCAAATACGTAAGAGGCACGATGTCTTACATGATAGATAGTAAGACGCTACAAAGTACGTATCTCTCATTTACCGAAGAAATAAATAGCCAGTTGGCCCTATCAATAGTGTCGCATTGACCCTATTCCCTACTATCGAGTTCCGCTATCCTCCTTGTATCATTGTCCATATCGGCTGAATTAGGTTAAAATGGCCAGCTCTCCTTGGCCTAATAACGCTCAGGCAGCTGTGAGCTTCACAGTAGATAACCTGGGTGAAGCACAAGAGCTAAATAGTGGTACCTGGCCGTCCCATATGCCAGTTGGACAACACGCGTCAGTGATAGAGGCGCTACCGCGCATGCTGAAGATCCTCGACGAGTTTGCTGTCAAAGCAACTTTTTTTTTCGAGACCTGGAGTCTGGGAGTGTATCCTACTGTTGGTCAGGATGTAATTAATCGCGGGCATGAACTTGCTTGGCACGGATACCAGCATGAGACCTGGTCTAAACTCTCCCCACAAGAAGAAGAGGCAATCTTTGAACAGAGTTTCGCTAATGCGAAAAAGTTGGAAATCAAATACGATGGCTTTCGGCCTCCAGGTGGCCAGGTGAACGACAGCACGTACGATTACCTGCACAAATACGGTGTTCGTTATATATCTCCAGCTGCAGAAAAGGCCGCGATTGTGCGCAACATCGTCATCTTGCCATTTCACTGGAAAAACACTGATGCCTACTTCTATATGCACGAATTCTCTGGGTTGCGACGGTTCTATGGTTCTCGAGAAGATGTACTGGATTCGAAAACATTGAAAGATCATTTTCTTCAGCAACTAGAGGATGCCGTGGGGTCCAACGCGTACATATCCTTTCTCTTCCATCCCGTACTTCAAACAAGCGAGGAGAAATTCCTGGCCATGAGAGAAGTGGTAGAGTTGGTTGCCAAAGATTCCCGAATATGGTGCGCACCTTGCAATCAAATTGCTAAGTGGGTGCTACAACATCCAGAGTCGTTTCCAACTGACCCTTCCTGGATCAAAGCTAGTTGGCAGTAGTTTGTGTTATAATGCCAATGAGTAAAGGCAATTATATTTTGACATATTCTCTAATACCAAGACAAAATCATCCTTTCATGCAAAATTAAGGCCAGTAAAGATGTTCCATGAATTGGAAAAGTAGCTATGCCTGATGGCGGTTATCTCTCTCCCCGTAGTAAGTAATTGCAGGGAAATGCTAATCCCTTACCCCGCGTTTCTTTCTCACGAGATGGTGGCCCCGGACAAATTCATTATGAACGCCTTACAATGGGCGAAATGGGGTCGGAGGAACTATTAAATTACATACTTTTCGGGAGACTATTCGCTTAAAAGGCTATAATGCTTACCTGGAATGCCAAGTCGCCTACGAAAGTCTTTATGACGTCTTGTAACGTCGTAGTATCAGCATCTATTAATAATATGTTTAGATATATTATCAGTTGTCTTTCAGGCCAATACTTACGCCACAGACGGAAAAAATTGGTTATCAGTGGTTGAAATCCCAGGGAGATAACTAGTCTGTCTCTAATGTTTATAAATCGTGATTTTTAATATGAATGCTTACCAAGATAGAATAAGCATATATATATATATACGCATATGTCTGCTCCTCCCTTGAATTGCCAACCCTTTTACATTGTAACCTCAGGTTAGACTTTCGGTTACCTTAGGTCACAAAGTCTCGATCACGCTCGAGGAGCTTGGGCTTCCCTATGACATAACCGTCGTGGAACTTGGGAAGCTGGCCCACAAGGAGCCATGGTTCCTAGCAATAAATCCGAATGGGCGAATTCCGGCTCTGACGGATGAATTATCAGAAAAAATTCCCATCTCATTATTCGAGTCAGGCAGTATTCAACAGTATCTAGTCGACAATTATGATCCAGAACATAAGCTGTCCTACCCTAAAGGCAGTAAGGAGTATTATGAAACGAATAATTGGGTAAGTTACACAATTCTTAAGGCTTTACTATGATGGAGGTAGTTCCCATAACACTATGCTAAAAGGTTACACCTCGTGTAGCTTTTCTTCCAAAATGCTGGTGTAGGACCAATGCAGGGCCAGGCCAATCACTTCATACGCTACTCGTTGGCAGCAGAACCAATTCCATATGCTATCTACAGATATAAGAACGAAACAAGACGTTTATACCGTACTGTCGACAGCAAGCTTAGGCAATCTGGGTCTGACTATCTTGTTGGTAATAAATGCACCATCGCCGACATAGCCCTCTGGTGCTGGGTGAATTCGGCAAGTAAGTAATCTTCCATCATATACGATTCTCATTCTTCACCATTGCGCAATTGATGGGAATTTTACTAATATTGGAAAAGAGTTCTCTGAAATCGATATTAACGAGTTTCCAACATTGCAGATTTGGCACAAGAGAATCGCGTCGCGGCCAGCAGTGCAGAAAGGATACAACGTACCAAGTGGCGCTGATTTAAACAAAGTACTTGATGAGCCCGAAAAGCTGAAGGAGTTTCTCGATGGTAACAAAGCTTGGATTGCAAATGGACTGAAGCAAGATGCGCGGGAATGAGTTTTGTCCAAATAGAATGTGGGTATTAAGATCTGCTCGACACTAAACATGAACAAATCTGTAAATTTTACTAATATGATTCTGAGAGTGCACTAAAAGAGCTTTGTAATGATTTATAAATGACCTTATTGCGTAGCAGCTATAGAGCAACTGTATGTTAGTATCTTTACTCTTTCTCATTCTTCTTATATGATGGCTATCGCATGTAAAGTGTATATAGTCAATCTTTCATAGGCTATAGCGGGGAACTGGTTGGTTCCATTTTGTGTTTTGCAATTCAGTGCATTTCACATGCGATGCCAAAAAGAAAAACAAAAGAATAGCATATTTGAAACAAAATGCGGAGTTTTAGCTGCAGTATTGCGGGCTAGCCAGTGAACGAGTAATTGAGAAAATCCAGAGCGTCATAGTTGAAAACATCAGAAGGGTTGTACTTCATACTAGTCAGGTCCATCGGCCACGCGCTGTTTACAATATCTGCTGGTAATCCGAAGGGACCGCATGAATAAAAAGTATTCGTTGGATCTAGTGGAACATGTACTCCTGTAGAACTTGGAACTGTGCTGTCTAAAAGGACATCTTGATACCCAGAGTTAACTCCGAGAGACTCTCCGGTTATCGCGTCTTGGCGCCGGTTCCTCGCCAAAGGGTTTCTGTTGTCCATGCCCTGAAGACCATAATTGTTACTTTGTCGACGACGAATACTCTGAAGACGACTTTCCAAAGTATTGAGTTTGTGCTGTAGGGCCTTAGAGGTGCCCCAGAATGAGACATAGCTATCGAAATTATGCTGCAAGACTTCGAGTTTGGACTGCGAAGTTTGTGCGTTTGAAGGCTCGGGGTTGAAAACCTTGCTTACTATTTGCGCAACTGCTGCGAGCCATATGGTGCTAGCAAATAGTGGATTCACGTAGCGGACGTGATAGGGACTACTATTCCGTATCATGCGAAGTATATTGTCGGCGCTTTCGAGGTATCTGTTCCAAGCTACAATGTTGACACTATATGTTGGGAGTTGGCATTGCTGGTTCGTCGATTCTGCTGAGAGGTCCACAGGAGATGTTGATTGCATCGTTCGACCTTCCCAGAACATTTGATAATGATAAATCATAAATCTCGTTAGTTGTGTCATCATATACAAGCTATGCGTAGCGCAGTCATTAGTTAGGGTTGATTGCGTCTCCATTGAGGTCTTGGAATGGAAGCCAAGGTATTCATTACAGTAGGATAGCTGCTTTGGTAAGGCTCCTGTAAAAGAGGAGAGACACTCTTCAAGGGTCTTCAAGCTATCACGTGTTGTTCCAAATGCTGTAGAGCTTGATGCGGCTGGTTGGGCGTTGCCATTAGAGCAAGTAATGTTGTGCCCCACTCGAGAATACGAGAGAAGATGAGCGTCTCGCATCATCGAATTGAGCACAATATACCATGACTTCCAACTCTGGTTTGCGCATTTTTCAAGTATCTTCCATCGAGCCTTTGGGTCGAGATTCAGGCAGCAGCTAGGCTGATAGGTGCCGCCAAACCAGGCTTCATCACTGACTGGCAAGAAAGTCTCTGTTTGCATCGCATCAATCCCTGTGGGTAGCCGCCGGACTGTACAGGCAAAGGCGTCAAGTTCCCATATTGCCCACCAAGCTCTTCGGCGCTCCTCGTCCAAAATCCATTGGTCCTTATCATAGGCTGAATCATCGTTGTCGTTGGCAATTCTCTCGGCGTCTACCTTGTGAAGGTTTATTTCGTAGGCAAGCCGTATACAGACTCCCAGTGATCTCCACGCCAAGCCTCGAACATCCTGGGACAGTTGATGAAAGGTACTCAAGATCAACGCCTGCAAGACGCATAGAGATGGCGCATCTTCTGAGCACTCATCTAGGGCAGCTGCAATATATTTACGTGCCAGCGCATGGAACGTCTCTGGGGTTGGCAGTGGGACATGCTCTTTTCGTTGGAACACTGAGCATCCTCGCTTTTGTGAATCCTGGAGGAAGCGGGAAGAGAAGATAAACATTGATGCCACCAGAGCGGCCGACTCCGAAATGGATGACACAGAACTCAACTTCGAGAGAAACCCTGGTTTGTAAAATAGGGACAATGTAGACATGTTTTGAAAATACGCTTGGAGGCTGGAAGAAACCGCGGTTAATTCTGTTCACAAGGCCGGAAAGTAAAAGCATCAGTAAAAGCACCCACAGTTCGTCATATGCTTGTTGCGAAATCTCGAGGAGATTCCAGACAGCCAAATCGGATTCTATCAATGTTTTGGGAGCTCCGGCACACGTTTCATCTGGGGACTGCTGAGAGGAAGGTATATCGTGGGATGGATGCATCATATCAGAGAGCGATATCGATTCTAGGTGGCTTAAAGAAACAGCTGCGGTGCCGCGTGACCACTGGCTGGGACTTGATGTTAATCTTTCGAAGCCCTCACCAGATGTATCCTCCAGAGGGCTTGAGCTAGTTGCACTGAGTCTATGTTCAGGGGATATACGGCCGGCATGGCTCGTTACACCTCCACTGGAATGGCGAGTGATACCGTCGGTTCTAGTTGACATATCCATTGTCCTGAACCCCCGGCGGTTGTGCAATGTCACCCTACTACTACCTATATGGTCATAATCAACTAAACCATCCACTGTAGAGATTAAATGAAACAAGCATCTTACCAGGCTTGGGGCCAGGCTTCCTCGTAGAGTGTGGGTAAGAGCAGGCACTTCCCACAGACATACATGACGAACATGAAGGTCGATCGCGACTACTGTGTGCCAGCAATGGGATTTAGTCAAAATAGGACGCAAGGAGAACCTCCAGGTAGTAGTCTTTACCATTTCATCTTACGCCTATGCAAAATATAATGTTAGCTCGCGATAAACATTGACTCCACAACTGCGAGTGACTGGAACGAGGTTGTAGACCGCGAGGGCTATCATTACCTGCGGCAAGTATAACAAGCAACGGCCGTGGAGGAGTAGAATTCCATGATGTCTGGCGTATTTAATCCGGACGCGCGCCGTGGGAAATAACCCAAGCAGGATCAGTGACGAGCGGTATGTTTGTTGCGAAGGAATGATTGATGACTGCCAATCGCCCCGCCGTTTGTGCCTTGAAAGACACCGCTTGTGGGGAAGAAGCCGGCTTAATAATATGAACCCCCCGCAATGGTAAGAAGAACCGTGTCTCCAAAAACATTTCGCAGCAATGCAAAAATGATTTATTGGGGTGAGATTTGATTGGTGTCGGGTTGTACTGTGTCAGAGATTTTATGGCGTGATAATATCAACAAGTTATTATGCCTCAATTCGAAGCCAATTCGGAAAGAACGCACGACAGATCAATTACTACCTTCATGTTGTCCCGTTTCAAGCTTGAGAGAGTCATATCTCCTGCATACCTTCAGAGACATGACCTACTTAGTTGACGCCTTGAGGCTCGTTTTATTAGATGAATTTTCTGAGGCGCAGTTTGTTTCTTCTGTGTCTTCTCCCGTGGCCCGTTACGTCCCATCACATATCACCCTGTAGGATTATTCCTCTTCGTGAATTCTACGCTGGTGATGGCTAGTTATACAACGCCTGCATGGGATTCTCACTTCTCATAATAGACTGCATTAATCAACGTCCCAATCTTTCCAATCTGAACCCTTATATCATCCCCATCACGCAAACAGATTCTAGGATCTCGCTTGCATCCAATCCCTGGCGGAGTTCCGGTCATGATAATCGTTCCCTGCTCCAGTGTCGTTCCTTGCGATAGGAACGAAATGATCTTTGGGATGGAGAATATCATCTGACTATTTGTTCCCCATCAGCACATGTGCTCCATGATTCAGTATGCTACGTACCTGGTATTCGAGTCCTGTACAACAGCTCCGTTGTATATGGCCCTGATACTGAGATTGTGGGGATCGCCAATTGCGCTCTGGGAGACCAAGACGGGGCCTATTGGTGCGGACGCATCCAGTCCCTTAGAAAACGACCACTGGCTGCTTTTGAACTGCTCTGTGCGAGCACTAACGTCATTTCCACACGTGTATCCGAGAACGTGGTCAAATGCGTCCTCCTCTGCGATGTTTTTGCCCGTCTTAGATATTACCAAGGTGAGCTCCGCTTCATAGTCGCTGGATCCATCCTGTACGAACCTTGGAATCCTGATTTTCTCAGGCCAAGGACCCATCAAAGCATGCGGAGGCTTGAAGAACAGCACCGGTACATCTGGTATCGGCATATTGGACTCTTTAGCATGATCGCGGTAGTTGAGCCCGAGGCAACGAATGATGCTCTTTTGGTCAGTCGGAATCGGAGGCAAGAGCTATGCTGGATGAGTATTACAGCCATAGCATTGCAGAGCTGATGTAGACCTACGTGTTTAACGGTCATGGTCGTATCTGAGACAACCCCGTCGTACAGAGACCCTTCAATCAGCCTCGCGAAAATTGGGATGCCTTCGAACGCTGCAATACCAACATCTAGGGTGTCTGAGTCCACCTGTCCAAGGTGGATGTGTCCATCTTCTTCCGCCACGAACCGAATGAGACGAGTCCAGGTAGGCGCCATTGGGAAGAGATACAATATTGTGCGTAAAGCCGTCAAGCAATATATAGTATCAGATTCGCCATAGATTTACGGGTTGTTACCAGTAATGGGCTTAACTGGATGAAACTATGTCCGTGGCCCTGTTGAATGAGGAGAGGCTTTCCCGCCGGATTACTAGACAACGCTCAAATCATCCTATTTATGGCGATTCCACTCTACTTTTGGCATTTTCTCTATTGAGAGCGGCTTTAATACATTTACAGTACCTATTCAATCCACATGCTTTAGAAATGTTCATTATCCCGGCATCAAATTCACGACCGAGAATCGTCTTCCGCATTCTCTTGGCCCCCGCAGTTCGGAGGATCTACCGGAGGAATCCACTGTAGCGGCTCATTACCGACTCGATACGCACTGAGGTGTTCCCGAGCCCCAGCAGATGGCACAATATTGTCATTTGTTCGACTCCTCGCATGGTAGCTGAGGGTTAACCACTTCAGCAAGAAGCCAAAGTGACCAAACAGATATAAAACTACACCACTCTCTTCATTCAGAAACACCACCCCCAATCGAACATGCTGACTAACCCGAATGAAAAGGATATGGCAACCACTGTACGACCAGCTTTGTTGCCTATATTATACAGCGCTGTTAAATTATGGTGCACAAGCCAGGCTATTCAGAGAGCGAACATGCTACAGATCAAGGCAGATAGGCTCCAAGCTATACAGTTTGTGAATACTATTCCTTTCTGCATCCGTTCCATTTCCATCAATCGGGTCACTACCATTAACTCGTAAGTATACTACGACTGTATCACCGAAAAGTGCAGCGATTTCCTCTGTTGGTAGTTTCGCGGTTTTAGGGACAAAGAAGTGCACCGCAAACTGTGCAAACCACCCATCGCCCTGCTTATGCCAAGTATAACACCCTTTTACTGGTTGTGAAAGAATGCTATTGGCATCTTTGTAGTACAGTGAGTGAGTGGTACAAGGATATTCTGACAACTTACACATATTTGAATGCAATATCCTATTAGGCCGATACCGATTTCTCGAAGCGTGGTAGGGAATTTTTCCGCAGCGAAAACAAAGGTGGGGGCTGCGACGATCTAATACGCCACAATGAACGGGACGAGATTGGGCTTCAATGTTTAGATAGCGAAAATTGGAGACTTATTTCTGATCATGGCGTATAAGTTGAGCTTAGGGGAATGACTCAAGGTGGTGTGTCGGATTTTGCGTGTAATATTACATTGTTGAAAACATCAGCCTCAAAGATGCATGCTGTGCGCGCAGGCCAATGCGTTTATCAAGCCCAGTCGTTGGGTGGAAAAGTTCTTTAGGTTGCGTAAGAAAAGCCCTGGCCTCGTCCAACGGACTATTGTCGTACATGAGGAAGTAATTGTTGATATACTTGTATACAGTATCCAGTGTGTTTGCAGCCAATTGCTCCGTCGTTGTATATTCTAGACAGTAACCCTATACTCCGCTTTTAAAACAGCTTCATTTCAAAGTTCCTTTACTATGGAATGCTTCAGCCCAAATGGCAGAGCCATAAACATCATCTATGTTGGATTGCGCATCAGCGAATGTTACCGTTGTCACTGGACTTGCCTGCTGCTTGCAGTCCTTATGTTGCCGCCACAAGAAGCTCGAACAAGCCTTTACATATAGGGTAAAATTTTACTGCGTATAATGCGTTAGTTACCTTCTCAATTTGTAGAGTAGATAATACACTATGGAAAAAAAAAAGCAAGTATCGATCTGGTATACTGTAATGCTGAATAGAGCAGAAGGATTAGGCCAATAGTCTCAACCGTAACCATCACTGTTGCTATTCATGAGACTCTTCTGCGGTTCAGAGGCCTTGATCGAGTCTTTAGCGTGCAGTGGCTAAACTGAGGCGCCAAATGGTACCCCCAGGAAGAAAATGCCGACGACTTCTAACCCACGGCGAGGCATAGCAATAAAAGCGCTTCCTAAGCGTTTGAGATGCTGCTTGTGTTCTTGAACGGACAGCGTCATTCACATAATATGCTATTGTTTTGCCTTAATATACTAGCAGCAACCATCACGCCCATACCGCAGGCACCACATACTTGGGAATGATACGTGCCGTGCAGTAATCGTGCCAACGGCACTAGCAATACGGTAGTCTAAATATATTCACAATGAAACAGCTGTCATATACAGCCTGTGATTCCTAGATCTTTATGGGGACAACTCAGACAACCGTGGGCAATACTGGCTCACCCCAAGCCCCGTATGCGACAGACGTTCTGGCTCCGGGTACTCGTGTAGCAGCGGTTATAATACATACGTATAGCTTATTAATAACAATCTTTTAGTCTATTTGTAAATGGCTAGTAGATATTTGTACTAGTAGACACATTTAATTCCAATGCTAACGGCTTGCAACAATGACTGTTGTCCGAACTTCCCGAACGACATCTTGATATTCCATAACAGGCAAGTGGATCTCAGACAACTCCATTTTCCCAAAGTGGCTAACCGCCCAGAACCCAGCAAGCCTCCAATGGGTCTCGCCGAGACGTAAACATAACTAAGATTACGCTGCAGGGCGGACCACCCATGCTACGATAATTTACCGTTTGATAGGCGTAGATACTTTTCTCTTCCGTATTGGAGGTACTAAGTGTAAAACCACGGAACCACAAAGTCATATTCACATCATATCTTAGCTCAGGGTTTCTGCTGCTTTATGTGGATCTGTGCCATCTCTTTGAGAGGGTCGAGGCAGCTTTCTAGCACCTTCTGAGAGTCGGCCCAATAAGACAGCAGAGAACTAATGTGATACATTATTTACTCCCAAAAGTACAGCTTGCCTAACAAGCGTCCTACCTCCTACAGGGCCAATCAGATATGATCCAGGTTAGCATAAGTCCTATATTTGCTGACAGAGCAAGTACAAGAAAGCTGCCTTAACCCTACTAAAGAGATACCCTATATATACCATCGCATTCACTTGCAGCATTGCGTTTATGATGGCCATGTGTGTTTGAATTCAAGGGTTTTTTTTCCTCCCGCAGTGTCACCTTTTGAAGATGAACTCCAAAGGAAACGATCACAGCGGTTCTCTTCGCACCTATCAGCCCGCTCCAAACCTCGTGTTCGACGTTGTACCCATTAATCCCATTGATACGACGAATCTTGTTAAACCTTTTGTCATCACTTATTCTCTGTATTTTACTGGATATCTAGATCCCGTTAAACTACATGACTCTCTGGAATTGTTAATATTGAGAAAGTACAGAATTCTCGGAGCAAGACTGGTGAGTGCAATTATCTCTTAACATATCTACAGTGATTCTGATGCATCTGCTGCCAGACATCGGCATTAGACAGCTTTTACGTTCCTCGTGCGAAATCATTCTCGCGCGACACCTTGCCTGCGGTCGTATTCACTTCAAACAATCGTGGTCAAACAAGTGTCGCAACCGTCAATCCTTCTCTGCCGCACTTAGATACTCTATCGGACCGCATCACTCTTCACCCTGGAGTCAATTCTCTTCGAGCTCTGGTTCCTGCTGTGGGGACTCCGGAGCAGTATTGCCCAAATCCCAATCAGCCCGAACTGAATCCACCAATGCTGAAGGTACACGTTGAAACGTTCTCCGACGCGACAATCATAAGTGTGCGTGGCCCTCATATATTCAACGATGCCAAAGGATTCGAACGAATCCTTGCAGATTGGGCTACTGCCGTTAATTCTGATGTGGAGGATGCGATAGGGCCAGCAACGTTGGGATGGAATCCTTTATCAGGGCTCGGTGACAGGCACAATCTAGCAAACGACGCCGCAAACATACCACTAGGATGGTCATCCATCGTGGGCGCCGCTGAGAAACAATTCTTGGAGAACTTCAAGAAGGAGATGGAATCGGAGCCTCGGGCAAAGTATATGTCGTTTCATTTTCCTTCTTCTGAGATCACCCGGTTACGATCAGAAGCTCAAGGGGTTGCGGATAGAGTCCGACTGAGTGAAAACGACGTTATCTTCGCCTTCTTGGCCCGTGCTTGGGCCAGTTCATGCTCTGCATCACCATCCACTCTTGCTCACCTGGTGTTTCCGCTTGATCTGCGGTTTATGCTGCCAGAGCGATATGGGCCAGACCCTAGTTCGTATATCCACAACGCCGTTTTTGCAGTTCCTCTCCTGCATACCTTCACAGTAGGGCAGCTTCGAACCATGTCTTTGGGGGCTGTCGCGATGGAGGTGCGAAAGACGGTGCAGCAGTTGACGAAAGAGGGGTTAGAACGGACTGTCGACTGGGTACTTGCCAACCCGGAACAAAATCCTGTCCCTCGCGGTGTCGACGGATTGTTTTTTGGGGTGAGCAGCTGGAGGAAAATGAAATTCCTGGATATCCATTTTAGGGGAGCTCTCCAGGGTGGGGGTGATGGCAAGTTGACACGTATATGGGGAAGTGGGAGCAGTGCTGCTGGAGCTCGAAGAATATGTATGGTCGAAAGCGATGATGGCGAAGGTGGGCTCTGGTGTTCGGTAGAATTGCCCGAAGGAGATTGGGACAGAGGCCAGTTCAAGGATATTGAAAGACGGGGAGGCTAGTGACTCGATATTTCGCGACTGTAAATAAGGTAGACAAAGGAAAAGCAGAAACAACCAACGGGCAATGATGTGGAATTTCTTGTGTATGTGAAATAAAAAATTGCCGGTGCTGCTTCTCCGAAACGGCTTTAGTAGAGTATTCTGACCTGCTTGGCACCCAAACAGCGCTCCTAGATCTTAAGATATAGGGAAAGGGAAACTAAAAGACGGAAATTCGCCCAACACCTCCACGTATTGGTCAGATCTCAAGCTGACAGGTTTCACCTCAGTGATGACTAAGAGGGCGGCGCCATCTCTGCAATGCGTCCATAGAGTCGGCTTTGAGTTTGTCTAACCCCTTTTGACAACAGACTTGAAGTGATTTGGGAAGCTGAGGTGTTGATTTTTATCCACTGAGCCATCAAGCATTGTGTTATCGCTCACGGACCTCGACATCAACTATAAAAAAATGGCGTCCAGCGCAGAAAGGAGGGAGCTTGACGAGGAGCTCCAGCCAGCGCCTGAGGGCGAACAGGTCTTGGAGCATCCTCCCAGTGGGCATTCATCTTCGGACGCATCTCATGGATCTCCTCCCTTGACGGAGCCGTCGACAAGTGCATCAGGCTCCTCGGGCCACGGAGCTCTCCACTTCGTGAACATGTCCCACCCGGAAGATATCCGCCGGCAGAGCAACGTTCAGCGAGAAATCCGCAGGCACGTAATGAAAGGCGTAAGCGACCACCGGGGGCGTCTACGCGGAAGAAGGAAACCCTTCTCGCAAGATGGTGCCCAGAATAGCCGGCGGCCTGCGCATCCGGAGAGCCCTTCGCCCAGCCGGTCGCTGGCCCCCCTCGGAAGCTTCCCAGTTCAGACTAACATGCGCATGCTCGAGCTCGTCCGCTTCGGTATGGGATGGATGACCGTGTCGTAAATTAGTCTTGCTAAAGCAATAGCAGCCAACGAAGTGACCGACTTTTACGTTCCGTTTCGAGTCGCCTGGTGGGAGGTTGCTCTAATGGACCCCGGCGCCTTCTACGTCACCCTTGGCAACTCGGCCGACTTCTGGCGCAGACTCAACACGAATGATATCATGGCCAAGACTCCAGAGATTATGAGACACTACTCACAGTCACTTATCGAATTGAGACGGCGCTTAGATGACGACTCCGAAAGGGCAAAACCCGGCACTATTGCTAACATTTTGGCACATGTCTGCCTCAACGTAGGCGATCATATGCAATATTCCCCCGATATTCGGCACACACGTGCCAACTGACCTTGCTCATAGATGAGACACTGCGACTGGAACAGCTGGAGAGTACACATCGATGGGCTGGAGCTTGTTTTGAAGGCCCGAGGCGGATTTGAGAGTTTGCCGTATCAGATGGTCGTCTTGACGCTTTAGTAAGCCTTTCCCACTGAGGCATCTTCCTTTGGAAATCTAACCAAGCACTTTAGCTACGACATCTGTGGTGCCATGGTGTTTGATTCTCTACCCCGGTTCTCAGTGGCACCTGGTCTTGTCACCGCCAATTCGTCCATCAGAGCAGCACCGCCGAGATTGCAAACGATACTCCTGCAGCTACAGCAAATGCCACCCGACATTTCTATTGCTGCGAATGCTCTTCAGAAGGTATCAGACATCGCCGACATTGTAAACCTCAACAGCCACTCTGCGGCTTTCTGGAAGAAGGATGTTGATGCTATCCTCTTAATCGGCCCGCCAATGCACTATCTTTTGTCCATGCCAAGGCTACCGACAGAGTTCGCGACTCTACTTGGCGCCGGGGATCTTGTCGTGCGAGAGCTAATACGGCTTGTGTGTGTCCTCATTATGTCAGCTGTGAAGGAAAGATTCGCCTTCTTTACTGTTGAGAAAGGTACAATACAGGCCAAGCTTGCCCAATTTATAGCATCCAACTTGCAGTATATCGGCTCTGAATATCGTGATATTAAAATTTGGGCACTGATCACAGCGGCCTTGTTAGAGGAGCGCACTATGCGGGAGTTGTATTTGATCAAGCTAGAGGAGGAAGCGTTGGCGAGTCAGAACTCGTCGGAGAGCTTGGTCAATATTGCAAGGGAGATTATTTGGCTTGATTGCTTGGAATCTTCGGGCTCCGATGAGCTGGTACACGATATGAATCTTGAATTTGGATCCTGATTCTAAACGGAACGTTAGACACTCAAATTTAAGTCTAGGATGACTGCTTCTGACGACCTACCACCGACAGTTGCCTTTGAGATAACATGTGTGAGGATGAAGAGCAACTATAATGACCAAAGGTGTACGTATACGAACCTTCAAGACATAAGATATCTCTATAGTCTTTCCCACATAGCTGTTGCAGCTAATCACAACCATTCACAGGCGGGCCGAAGTGGCCTTCTCTCAAAAAACATATCTATTTTCGAACATATAGATAAAATAGCAGGCAGTAGGTAACATCAGTACTGGGTATCGCCGTACTTTAGCTACTTTCCATGCATTCTATTAGGATCACGGTCATCAGGCATGATATCGGGGGAAAAGAAAAGTCAAAAGAGCCCTATGGCAAGCCATTGAGGCAGTAAATACATATAAATGAGCTTTGGCAGATCGAAGTTACTTAACTGGGTCGAAGAAATGCCAACTGAGACTATACATTTCTTTTAAGATTGGCAACCTGCTTGAACCGCGACACCCGAAAGGCAATCTGCCGTGAACAGACGTGTGCTACAAAATGCGGCCGCTATCCGACGTCTGGACACCTATGAGCTTTTCCAATTCATTTGTAATTCTTACAATCTAGTGGCCTCCTTGTTACGAGTTGTCGATATATGTACTTGGTTGCTGAGTACAGTCAGCCAGTGCGCCTGGTTTACTACCTATTTCCATGAAGCTAAAGTTTCCTCTGGCTGTCAGTTTAAGGAAAATGGACAAGGCGGGTCCACTTCCCTAAAGGAGGTTAGTAACGGATATGAGACGCTCACCTTCAACAGCGATACCCAGCTTAGACGTGCTCGAGCTTAAATAAAGCAATGTCTTCACCATGTAGTGAGACGATGCACCTTGTAGCAGCCATGGTATGGGCTACATGAGGCTGGGGACAAGGGGTGTGCTGATAGGCAGGGCTTGGAGTTCTAACCACGTCGGGGAAGCTGTAATAAAGCTTGCCGTCGGGGTGGTTCCTATAAGTAGGGCTGTCTGGTAATAAACATACTTTCAATGTAATAGCCCCAGTATCGTCCCTTTGTAACCCATTATTTTGCTTCTCTCAAGAGCATGGATACAGACGACGGGTCCCCATCCCAGATTGCATGCATAGCTCTATTTGAAGACGACCTGTCTCGCTGGGAAGCAACAAAAGACCGCAACGCCATCGCTGACGGCCTTTTCTTCCGCGCTTCTGCAAATACAAAAGTCTACTGCCGGCCTGTGTGTAAGGCTCGTCTCCCGCGTCGCGAAAATGTATCCTTCTACAAGACCAGCAGAGAGGCACAGGCGGCAGGGTATCGCCCGTGCAGACGGTGCAAACCGAACCATGAAGGCCTTATGCCGGAGGACGCTGCCGTACTCAAAGTCCAGGCCTTTCTAGAAGGTAGTGAGAGGGTGTTCAAGTACGACTCTACCCCGGAAAGCCTGAGCCAAATGGCCAGGCAGGCTGGACTATCCAAATGGCACTTCCACAGGGTGTTCAAGAAATGCACCGGCATGACTCCCGTCCAGTACCGACGAAGTGTTGCGAGGATGCAGAGCGACTTTGTGTGCGATGGGCTTAGTTATATGGATCAATTGACCCAGGAAAGCGAAGAGTACCCACCACTATTGAACGCCCTGGATATGCTCGAAAACTCGATTGCAGGTAATTTCTCTGAAGGCCAGAGCGAGGATAACTCCGGTAATTATCTAGACTGCCTATTTTAGCCGCCGGAGATGGAACATTGAATAGCAGCGCTATCGAGAAAATAGCAGAGTCATAGTGGAATATTGGACTTGGACTCTGCTTATGTGAACCGTTGAGTAAATTGTCCCGTGGCAGCGGTTCTCTGAGCAGTTGGAGTTACCACTCACTTGCCTAATACGAACTGCAACGTCTGTGGATTTCGACGAACTCATCAGTCAGGAGATTTGGAGTTTTGTGTCAAATAATGTTAGTTTATTTGATAGTCATGGAAGCGCTGGGGGATCGCCTTTGTCCGAAAGCAATTGTAGGGTCTGTGCCAAATTGGTCACTCTCTGGCCACTTTTGACTGAACCAATTTTTCTTTTACGCTCAAATGAGCTTGGGCTACAGTAATAACTATCAGAGTAAGAAATATATTACGGAAATGCAAAGATCCAACAAAGATCCAACCGTAGCATGGTCAATACTATCTTGCTTCATTACCTCCTTCAAGCATTCATTATCCTGGATCTAACAGCCTGTATAGAATGCGCACTGTATCTTCGTTGTGACACCATGTCTTGCTCAAAATAGGCCACAGTCGGTAGCCGCGTATCCGGCACCACGGGTCACCATCTGCAACTCATCGCCACAGAGCTCCTTCCAGCTGCCAAAACAGCCATTTACGGTGGCGATACTGAGGCAGGAATCTTAACTGCAAAGACATCTTTCAAAATTTTAATATAAGCACTTGAAACATGACATCGACATTTTCCCCGGTGAATTACCACCAGATTAGAAATGAATACTATCAGAAGCTTGACATAAGGGGTGAAGTGACGGTGGTCGTGACTGATACTATGACTCAGTCTATTTTACTTATTACGCGAAAGACAGCAGGTATTTCCGACCGTGATAGCCGTAGTATAAGAGGCGTCTTCCACTGCAGTGACTAATATCAATACTGGCGGTCTACTGTTTGTTCACGCTGACAGGCTCTGCCAGCACGCAAGACTTCCTGCCTCCTCGACGCCTTTTCGCTTTTCTAAAACACCCAGCGATTGCTAAGCATCAGCCAACTCAAGGCGTTTGCGCATTGACATCTCGACGTTCATTTGAGGAAAATGGTCATAAAGGGAGGCCCATTTTCCGGAACGAAGCTAGTCGTTCCCTAGATGACTGAAGTTGATAGCTGCTTTACAACTAGGAGGGCCAAGCAGCCAAGTCACGATAAAAGAGAGTGCTTGGCTGACAAAGATCATATGCTACGTGCGGGGGCACCTCTACAACATGAGCAAAACGTCGCCTAGCGTAGAGGACAAGAACAGATGGGCAAGGGCTAAATCCAAAAACAGTTTACTTACAGGTCCTTATTTAAAGAGGGTTCCACTTTCCCAAAATGGCAAGCTATGAGCGGAGTCTCACGTTTGTTCCGTGATTTCTCGACGCAACCACCAAGAGTTGTTTAACCACAACGCACATACATGGGAAGTAGCTTAGTGGCCGATCGTCTTCGACTAGAGACGGGGTTTAGAGGAAAGGTTGCTTTGAAATCTACAATATCCTGGTGACAAATATGCCTCCCTGATTGGAGTACTTTCCAGAAACCTTCTGTACTCTGATTGATTGGGAATTTTTGTGTCCTTTGAGGTATAAAACAGTAGAACAACTTCGCTACTAGTCACCAAAGTTGAAGAGACATTCCTAAATTGATCACCGTTGTTCGTATACATTCTCTTTCATTTACAATCACGTAACCATGGCAGCCCCCTTCCCTTCCCCAACGCAACAGTGGCACAGCACAGCCTACAGCGAGATCGACCCAAAGCGGCCTGAGCTTTCAGCAAAGGGAAAGAATGTACTCATCACTGGTGGTGGAATTGGCATAGGAGCATCTGTTGTCAGAAGCTTTGCCGAAGCGGGAGCATCTACCATCAGCATTTTGGGACGAACGGAAAATGCTCTAATTAAAACAAAGGAGAACATTGAGACTGAATTCAAGTCGACGAAAGTCATTGTCTTGGTTGCTGACATCACTGATGAGCTGTCAGTAACCAAGGCATTTAATAGCTTCAAAAGTTCCGTGGGCTTGATTGATGTGCTCGTTCACAATGCAGCCTATATGTCGGACCTAGTGCCCATTCACGACGCCGAAGTCGGAGAATGGTTCAAGAGCTTTGAGGTTTGTTATGGAGCTGAGAAGATACTGTGTCAAACAAGGCTGACAACGAAAAAATACAATAGATCAATGTCAAAGGCGCATTTCTCGTGACCAAAGCTTTCTTACCATTGGAAGCCGAGAACGCAGTCTTGGTCGCGATGGGAACAGGTGCCATGTCGTTTTTAATGCCAAAAAGCTCGTCCTATCTCACTTCGAAGCTTGCGGAATCTCGATTTTTCGAGCATGTGCAAGCTGAAAACCCGCATATCCGTGTCCACAATGTGCATCCTGGAGGTATTCAGACTCGCATGGCTGATAAAACTCAAGCCGCCGGGATGACAATCCCAATGGATGATAGTAAGTGAAGAAAATGTGCACGCTGATGAGTCTCTCCTAACACTACTCTAGTCTCCTTGTCTGGCGACTTCGCTGTGTGGTTGGCAAGCCCAGAAGCTGCTTTTACCAAGGGTAAGTTTCTCTGGGCTAGTTGGGATGTCGCCGAACTCAAATCCCAATCAGATAAATTGCTTGAAACCTCGTATCTCTCGATGGGCGTAGTGCTCGATGGCTTTCCATTTGGTAAATAATTTGGTTCATAGCAGCACATGCAAATATGACAATACTTCTTCCTTGGAGTTGGAAGCAATTCAATGCTGAGTGCCGTTGGTTATTCTCTTCCGTGAATCATTGTGAGACACCTCCTGATACTTGCAATTGCTCAGTGCGGGTTTGCCGACGAGCCTCTATAGAAAACGTTGCTCATCCCGTCAACGGACAACTCTACTTCAAACGCGTTGTACAGCACAAATACAGCCATTTTCATCTTAAATTTCAAGTGATCTCCGTTATCTTTTAAACCACCATAATATTGCCGCTTTTGCGGTATCAAAGTGCCATTTTTAAGCGAGTTTTGGGTTTCTTAACCGCCGCTTCAGCACACGACGAGCAGTTCAGTCTCATTCACCTCACGAACCTTGACCTTGGAGTGACTTTAACAGTGAGGATTCTTCTGAATTTAAGGAGCCCATTTTATAACCATGGCGAAGTTAAGGTTGCTCATGGTCTCTATCTGGTATTCAAGCAGGTGTGTTTTTAATCCAGAACAGTGGGGTTTGTAGAAGAACTCAAAAGATCACTTATTAAGCAACTATAATATAGCTTTGTATACGCCAAGTTACAGCGCGTATTCACTAAATTGTGTACTATGTTTAATATAATAAATAAGTACTGTTTTAAATATATATAATTTAAGCTACTTGATATAATATATTTACCTAGTAGTTTTGCATACACTAAAACGATGCCTCAACGCGTTAGACAACGGGATACATCAGCGAAACATAAGCGTTAAAACCGTGCCGCAGTTAGTTTCGCTGTCGAAAAAAGTGAACAGCAATAGCCAGTCAGTAGACGAAGTTTTACAATAGACGAAGCTGCAGCCAGGGTTGGCGTAAAATTGCTGTCGCGAGAGTGGGCCAGAGGAAGCGTTCTTATCTGGCTTCGGGCTAGGCCCTCAGAATAGCCATTTTTGCGCGAACAGTCCTCCAGCCTTCAATGGATAGGTCTTGGCCATTGGATGATTGAGGTATGTTCATACCTGTAGATGGCGCCAAGTAACCAACCAGTGTTCCCATCCTTCTATCGCATTATATGACTCAACATCTACACAGCATGCAATTTGGAGCACCACTAATTCGTTTCGTGGTCAGGTTCTGGGAATTAGAGACAATCTGTCTTGCAGCTTTATTGGATGTGGAGAGTCGGCGGTTACTTATCAAGACGCTGGTGCTCCACTTCTCCGGAACGCGGAACGGCGACAACACTCGTAGGCGGAGTCTATCTTTTCTTATTCCCGCTTCCCGTGCTCCCTTCTGTCCCGATCGACGCTCTCCTTCACTTCCCAACGCTGCATATCAGCCCAATACCGTCTTTTACGCAGATGCAAAGCCAGTAACATCATGTTTTCAACCTTTCACCTCAACAACGCTGGTGGCGGCTCTCGCTCACACAGACGATCTGCTCATACGCTACGAGCGTGTGTGCGGTGTCGACAGGCTCGCATCAAGTGCGGTGACGAGAGACCATGTCAATCCTGCAAGAGCAGTGGGAAACAATGTTTTGACGAAAGGCCAGTGCGAAGGTCAGAGCAGTCACGGATAACACCAAACACCATTGTTGTCTCCCCACGGACTGGCCATCTCGCCCCGCATCAAGCTGAGGAAAGCCAATCAAGTCTTACTTCATCAAACACTACATACAGAAGGGCTACATCTTCAAAGTTCTTCCTGGAGAATCTTGAGGCTAAACTCCGCCAATCAAGCCCCGGCCAGGATTTTGACACATCCCTCTTCGAGCTGAGTCCATATATACCACAGCCATTCCTGGCCATACCAGGTCTCCCCTCAAACCTATTAGGAAACACAATTGGGGTAAATATGGATAGACAACTAGAGGAGTCACTAGTATCCACATTCCTCCAGTCTTATCAGATTGTCGCACCTATATTGGACGCATCCTGGCTCTGGACGCACTACGCATGTCTATGGACCATTAATTCAGACATGTATCGTCAACGGTGTCCGCTCATCGAGATCATCCTCGCGTTAGGGACTCACCAGGTGTTGACGCTATCTGTTGACGACAACGGTTACAACGCAGCTACTTTGGCGTATAGTCCACCCGGCTATGATCTATTTGAGATTTCTCAGATGGAATTACTCAGAAGGACAACCGGACCAGATTTGCTCAGCGTTCAGGCATACATATATGCTGCCATCTACGCTGGCAATCTGCATTCACACTACAAAGCCCATCAAATGCTATCACTAGCAGTTCGAGATGCATACCTACTCGATTTGTCAAGTGGGAATAGCGGCGCAGAACAGCTGAAAGGTCACATATCTGCAAAGAGGACATGGTTGGCTTTACAGATTATGGATACCATTATGTCAAAAGAATCAGGCCTGCCGTTTCTGATCCCAGCTACAAGAAACGAAGAAGTTGATCTTGGTGACTTCGGGACTACTTACGACACTTTGAATCACAACGGACTGTCCTACTTGGAGTTTTTCAGGCAGATACACAGACTATCTCAACTTATTCGACAATCTACTGCCGACTTTGACCAGATTTGTAATCAACATAACTCTCCCGATATCTATATACACAACTTCTACAGTAAAGGGGCATCATCTGTAAAGACATCAATCAAGGCAATGTCAACGTGGTTCAAAGCCATTCCCCCTGCCCTCAAAAACTTTACCAAGGACACTTCTGATAATACTAGCGATAACAACCACAACAACCTCGACTCCTCCCTAGACGGTGATATCCCCATGTGGCTTCACCGGCAATCTCTAGCCCTCAAAATGTCCTACCACATGGCCTGCCTCCTCCTCCTCCGCTCCTTCTCCCTCTCTCCCCCTACCACCACCATCGAGAGCAGCCACCACTCCACCTCCGCCGAACTCAGCATCACATGTCTCAAGCACGCGATATCACTCACGGCAACTTTGGCGGACAACCTAAACAGCGGCTCGTTCAACGTTCTGGCGCAGGCGACGAGGTTTCAGTGGCTGGCCATGCTGTGTCTTACGGGATACGTGAGCACTCACACGACAACGCCCCACACTACGATGGTGGCGCGGAGGGCGGTGGGTGTGATAATTAGGAATCTAGAGAGGTTGGCGGAGCACAGGGTGTTGCAGGCGAGGGAAGCGGTGGAGAGGGCGAGGGGGTTGGTGGAGATGATGAGGGTGGCCGTTGAGGGAACCATAAGTAAGGTTTGTCAATTGGGGCAGCCTGATTTAACACAGCTGTTCTTATCCTCATCTTCAGAGCTGGTGGACTCTATGACGGTAGGGTCAGTGGACTTGTGGAGTGATCTTTCATCATTACCGTACCACCCTTGAAGAGTCACCGCAAGAAACGGTATAATAAGATAGCGGCTATACAGCAAATTATATAAAAACCGTCCTCGTTTAGTATAACTACTTTATATAAGTTCAAGGTCATCCAAGGATCTATTTCAACCCTGGGAACAACTTCATTGCATTCTTAAAATAAATATCCTCCACATCAACATCAATAGACTTACCAACATCCTTCAACAAATTCGTAAAATAGTAGATAGATTCATTCGGAGCATTCGGAAAATCACTACCAAACAAAACATGAGTCGGATCCGCGACTTCAAACAATCCCTTCAATGTAGCCACATCACTGGACAACGCCGTATCATAGTAAAACCTCCTAGCCTGAGACCTGATATCACCAGGCAAATACTCTTTACCCATCGGCGTAAATGGTAACAGGCCAGATACACGACCGATAAGAGATGGAAGGGTGCCACCAGCGTGAGATAGGATGATCTTGCAGTCTGCGCAGTCGTTGATCAGCCTTCCCGAGGTGATAAGATCAATGGCTGTTCGGCCAGTCTCATGGGGGTAATCAAACGCAGGCTGGGGCAATTTGCTGTTGACCAACGTCCTATCGACAGCATGAGTCGGGTGGACAAACACGACAGCCTTGCGCTTGTTCAATTCCCTCCAGATGGGCAAGAAACTTTCATGGCCGAGATAACCATTGCCAGGGCCGTAACGTGAATAGAGAACCACACCATCGGCGTGTAACTCATCCATACCGCGGGCGATTTCCTTGAGACAGGCTTCGGTGTCGAAAAGAGAAGGGAGGACGAGGAAGAAGCCGTATTTTTCAGGATGTTCATCACGAAGGCGAGACACATAGTCGTTGCAATCTCGCGCGAGGGAAATGGCCTCGGAAGAATCTCCGACACATGAAGGTCCGGGTGCCGTGACGGATAGGATGGACTTTTTGATACCGACAGCATTGGCTAGGTCGAGGTCGGCCTGCACGGTCCACTCCGGAACATACCAGCCTGATGGGTCACCTCCAGTCTTTTGGAGAGCTGAATTCACCAAACGTCAGCGAGGATGTTATTAGAAGATGAGTGGAAAACTAACCTTGAGAGTACATGGGCGGGTAGACGTGGTGGTGGACATCAATCTTGGAAGCCATTGTGGATGAGAGTGTTGAGAGACTGAGATAAATGTGATTGTAGTTGAGGTTACGAGAGATGTGATATATGAAAGGCTATTTATAGTGTTGAGTGATAACGCTTCAAGCTGTAGTATATTGTTGCTGTTGTTGTCCAGTTCGATCGTGGGCTTTGAGAACCTTATATATAACTCTGCCTTATACTGGATGTCGATCAACTCGGTCTTTTCGGAAGATCACATTATTCAACGCTGCAGAAAACTCTATTCGCCTATAGTGCCAAAGTATCTTGGAAGCCCCTATTTCTTTGTAGTATAGCACATCATCATTCTCGCATCCTGGTGTCGCCTAGCATCTTTTAGATTCCCCGATTTGGAAGTCGAAACTGCCCAAGGCCGCTCCACTTTCCGAAACCAAAAGGGGAAATTCTCCTTTCGGCATTCCTGTCATAAATGCCTACGCTATAGAGAAAACAATTTTAGCAGGCAGAAAAATAATACTACTTGTCTCGTCTCCTCTCTCGTAGCGAAGATCGAGGCAATTAGCAAAGTCAGAGCGGAAAGGAGGACAAGATTCGACAGGTTTGACCATTAAATAGATTGATACAATTCGATATTCTACCCTGTGGATGCTTGAGATACCTCTAAACACTTTTTTCTTCTGTAGCCTTAAATTTTTAACTAGTTGTTTGACCCGTCATATGGAGAACAATGCCCACGTTTGCATCCTTTCGCCGACATACTGGTTTAATATTTTTAAATACCTTGTTCCCAGCTAATCAAAATTCCATTTACACGTCATTGGACAACCCTTCCACCTAACACTCACCTAGCACGCAACATTATAATATCCGGGCGCTGAGTTGACATTTTGCAGCAATAGCTTAATTCTCATTCAAGTGCTGGAGGCACCAATGACGTTTTACAGCTACCTACTGCAGTAAGAAAACATTGAGGGTCCAAGCGTGTAATAAGCTGATAGTAACCTGAGCGCCTAATTTGCGTATGTAACTTGAGTATTTTTCTGCTTGCTGTCAATTATCTCTAAATCTTCGATGTCATGATTGTACGAAAGCTCAGACAGGGTGTAAATAGAACTGGCCAGCCCCACCTCATCATACATGTCTCTTGTTCCTACTATTATTATACAAAAATAAAACTAACCAATTGACCTTCGCCTTCGAAGAGGGTAGTTCTTATAGTCATTATTGCTATTAAAAGTACTTGCATGTCTAAATAACGAAGAGTACGCTCGATATTTCCCTTCCGAATAATGATCGCGTGAACTTGCTGGAGATCTGGTACGTCCTTAATAAGACCGAGGTCGCTTTAAACTAATATATTCAGTAATGAATAAGCCGTGTTGTATACCATAGCTTTGTCCACCCAGAACTATTTCCTAATCTCCAAGAGGGTTTCTGCATTTTCGCGTCCGCGCATAGTAACTAGTTGCCTGTCGACGTTTGCTTCGGAGAGAGACCAATGTTATAATAATTGTAAATGCATTTTGATTCTTTCAATTACCGCAAGTTCATATATCGGGTTAGCTAGATAAAGCAAAACAAACCAATAATACTGTAACAATACGTTATACGGTTAAGCCACAGGGCAAAAGATTAGGCCAATACTCGCCAATGTAACAATTACTGTAATGGAACCAGCTGCTTATAGGGTATTCAACTGTTACAAAGGACCAGGCTGTAACAAATACCAAGAGTCGAGAAATCTACGCAGTCTAAGGGACTTGCGGATACGATCTTAAGATATAAATAATTGTATATATTTCATTATGACATGTGCAAACTCTACAACTCTACACCTAATTTGAACCTAGATGAAAATGGAATGAGTTGGCAATGTTTCTATGCTTCATAGCTCCCAATGACGTTAGTTATTATGGAGCACAGCTCAAATTCTTCTTATTCCATTATATTACAGTGGTATCGCCACCGTTGAGGATTTTTTATACACGCTGATGCGACAAATCATGCTCTAACCGGAAGATAAAATTTAACTCGAAAAATTCAAGAGCCCCCCAAAAACTCGGTTTGTTCGGGGGTTTAACAACCAAGCAAATTCCGGAGGCCGAGAAATCATGTGGGGTAGAAAATCCCCGAGAAATTTCCTTGCAGGTTGTGGTGGGCCAATTATGTAAGTCGGGTAAAAGGAAATACGCGGTTTCGATACCCGAGCGATGTGAACCTTCTACCTCTGCCAGATGATGTTCCTGATGAAGTGGGACTCTACCTGTCGGATGTGCTGTGCACCTCTTGGAATGCCGTCGTTGACACAGGTGTTCAACCTGGAGATACAGTTGCTGTTTGGGGCGGTGGTCCCGTTGGGCAAATGGCGGTTGAATTTGCCGTTGTCAATGGGGCAAAGAGAGTTATACTAATCGACGGTGGTCAGGGACGTTGGCGCCTAGATTTTGTGAAATCCAAGGTCCCACAACTCGAAACAATCGACTACACATTGCTACCAAAGGGGGAAACTGTCGTCTCTACTTTGAAGAAGATGTGCGATGGACGTGGCCCTGACGTTGCAATTGAGTGTGAAGCTGGCGAATACTCCAAAACATTGGGTCATACTCTTCAAAGAGCAGTGGGGTTGGAAAATGACACGCCAGAGTCAGTCAATGAAATGATTGAGTCAGTCAGGGGTTTTGGAAGCTGTGGTGTGACAGGAATTTATACAGGTTACGTAAGTGAAGATTATCATCGATGCCCGCTGACCTGGCTAACCTATCCAGTGCAACGGATTTAATATTGGTTCTTTGATGGAGACCGGTATCCGTCTTATTGGAAATGGACAGGCGCCTATTCATAAGTACTGGGAGCATCTATAGCTGCTTATTCAACAGGGAAAAATTCAGCCATTGAATATGGTCACTCATCGATTCAGGCTTGAGGACATGGAGAAGGTATATGATATGTTCAACCATCGTGCGGGTGGCATGCAGAAGATATTTGTGGAAACAAAATATTCGTCGCTTCCCGCGCCTGGCACCCCTATACTCACAGCACTTTAACATCGATGAAAAACCAAGACTTTTGTACTTTACATCGAGAGGTTGATACAGTTTATAATTTGAGCAATATAAAATATGTTTGTTGCTTTGCTATCTTGTGAAAGCTTTAAGCCATTTAATAAGTGTTAAATATATAAAGAGTAACCCTTATAAGTCGCAACCTTGCTATAATCCTCGTCTAAATTACTGCTTACATATGGTACTAGATTGTATAAAGCGAAAAATATCTAAATAATTCTTGTAAGGAAAGAAAAAGTCACCCCAAAGGCTATTGCTTATCTCGCTAGTGAGTCTAGTAGCTAGAAGTAAAGTACTATTGCCGCTGATTTATGCGGCGCATACCTTCTCAATTCAAGTTATCCGGTTCAGCTATTAAACTAGTTGTTTCATTATTGTACTACAAACTACGCACATAGAAAATTATATCCGTAGCGGCTTCCCGATCTCCCATTCTCCCCATGTGGGAAACGAAACCTTATCTCAGATATTAAGAAATACACACATCATGTTCTTTCAATATCAGAGAGTGATATCATAATGACGAGTTCATATATTGTAGCCTGACGCATTTTGATTGTCGTTATAGAGGCTATAGTCATTGATTTTAGCTTGTGGAGTAGTTGAACACTCCCTCTGGTACATATATATTAGTAACCGGGTTAATCGTTGCGTTTCTCTCATTTCAATAGCAAAAATATTACCAAATTACACATTATGGCTCAATATCCGATTCCGTTCACCAGAGTTATTACAACTCATGATCCAGAAAGTGGCAATGCTATATTCGAAAAAACCGTGGAGAATAACGTTCAATTCGAAGGATTTCCTGTTCCCACGGGAAACCCCCCTACATCAGACTATGTTCTTGCATATTCGACTACAACATTCCCAGTGCAAGGCCTCTCTCCTGGATCATCGAATACCTCCGGGGCCAACTTGGATATCAAACAGTACAAAACTAGTTTGCAAAATATATCGCCACTGAATCCAACGGGTGGCACAGCATGCACTATAGTTGAAGTGCCTTATGGAAACGATATCGCTATGCATCGAACAGTTAGTTTGGATTACGGTGTTATTATTGATGGAACTACTGAGCTTGTACTTGACTCAGGAGAGAAAAAAACCCTCAAAAAGGGAGACGTTTTTGTACAGCGGGGAACTGCCCATGCTTGGCGCAATCTAACTCAGAAAGATGATAACAACGGTACATTATACTTTCTTTGTGTTCCAACCGATTGAGAAGATTCATGTTAAAGGCGCTGAATTGGACCAAGACTTGACTTTGGGTTTAAAATAAGCTTATGCATTACGATGCATAACATAAGACTTAATGCGTCCAAATGGGAGCTCAGTTAGCAAAATGTGTGCAAGACTTATAACCTAAAGTTTATAGTCTAATTGTGGTTATTTGTCAATGAAGGTTCTAACTCCTACTGGTTTTTTACGTTTTCTATATGGGTTGGCTATTTACACATAGTTAGCTTAGAAAGTATCTACAATTGATCCAAGGAATCTTTCGTCTGAATGTCTTTTTTCCTCATTTTTTTCCTCAACTATATTTTCAAGCTATATTATACGCAAGGCCATATAGTGGACGGACTATGGGAGAAATCGTACTGATAAAGTCGACGAGGAGATGCTGGATACGCAGCAACAAATTGACACGCTGGAGAAATTGGATACCTATTTTCTTCAGACTGGTTTAGAGATGAAAGAGGTCATGTGTATTTGCACTCCAATTGATCTAGATATCAAAAATTAGCTAACTACATGGAAAGAAGAAGATCCAGGAAGAACCGCCGCCAATGCAAGTGGCCTCCGCAGTGCCGCATTTATTAAAGCAAAATCCTCCATCATCGAGGAAGAAGATGAATTCTTCTTCTCAGTACCACCGCAGTACTCACCCCGGAGCAGCGCATTTCCCATTCTCCCCAACATTGTAATCTAAGCCGCGGCGACGTTCAGCTATTTCTTGCTCTGGGTAACGCCTTGCAGCAGGATGCTCATCGCGTTCGCATCGCGACGCACAACATCTTTGCCAACTTCATTCGATCCACTAACCTCGAGTTCTTCCCTATCAGCGGCGACCCTGCTGAACTTATGGCGTATATGGTTTCCAATCCAACCCAGAGTCCAAGCCTACCCTTAATTCGCGAAGGCGCAATCCACCGCAAACGCCAAATGTATGAGCAAATGCTGGCTGGCTTCTGGGAGGCATGTGTATTGCCCGATCCTGAGATAGGATTTCCGTTTGTTGCAGATGCCATCCTCGCCAATCCGCCGAGCTTTACGCATGTTCAATGTGCTGAGGTATTGGGTGTCCCTGTTCACATGGTGTTTGCAATACCGTGGAGCAGCACTGGCGGGGCTTGGGCCGCTAGAGATGGGAAAAGAGAATGTCATGGTGAATTATGCTTCATATGCTGCCGTGGACTTCTGACTTGGCAAGGGTGAGTGAGGCTCTTAATGCCTGAACATTGGTTGCTTAGATGCATTAGACTCTGGCATCGAAACAGGCTAGGAGACATTGCTAACGATTGGAGGGTGAATATACTGGATCTGGAGCCCATCACAGCCATCTCCTCCGCATCCATTTCGAGCGTCGTAAGCGTGGCAGATGCAGCCACACGTAAGTAGAAACAAGAATAATTAAATCAGGTCTGTTACTGTAGCTTGGAGAGGCTGGAATTAAATTAATTTACACTATAACTTGCAGGCGAATGAGCAATAAGGATATTATTATATAAACTCTTGATTGTCAATCCTTCCCTCTTATCAAATCGCAGACATACCCTTGTGCAAATACTCCTGGCTTTCATTGTCAAAGTTAATTTCTTTGGTTGATTCTGTTGACAAGTTCTTGCTGGGCTCAGCATAGGCCGCTGTATGTGTTCCCAGCTCCCAGTCCTCGCTCCCCTTCTTGGTTAAGCTTCTACCTTGTGAAAACTCGGACAAGATATAAACATTTCGATCAAGGTGGCTGCCGCCATTGGTCTTGTGGTTCGATGGTAATTTATACAAGCGGCTCGGTGACGACTTCTGTTCGGACCCAAATCCCAGTTTCCATGAGATCTGGTTGAGTAACGGTCGCAATGTTGCCAGACTTGCGGCGCTGATGGCCAAGCCCATTTCGATAGTTGACCAGATAGCCACGTCGGTGGTCGCCCCTGGTTTCATCTAGAATTAGCAATAGCAATATGCTAGTTGAGGCAAATGACTATTTACATAAGAAATCAGGATTCTTGAGCGTGTGGGTATAAGCCAATCGTACGCATACAGCAGCGCTTGCACTATCAGTGCATGTTAGTTCACGTCATGGCCTAGTATGTCATCTACTTACATGCAGCCCATAGCGATCAAGAAGACAAGAAGAGCCTTGACTCGCGTCTTCATCTTGAGGCTCCAGATGATGAAGGCAGGCAGGATGGTGAAGGTAAAGTCGGTAATGATGGTCATCACGCTATCAAAGTATACTAGAGACACGATGATGTTGATCGGGATGCATTTGCCAGGTTGCGACCTATCCCAGAAATACGACACAGGTTGGCATTGGAACAGCGCAACGAAGAAGAAAGCAATGCGTGGGATGACCGAGAATAAGGTTGCTGCATAAATGATCCATTTATGAACCTGGTTGGTGATAATGCGAAGCAAAAACCATGCAAAGGACGCTTTGATGTTAATCACGATGACACTGTAAAGAAGGTAACACAGCCACCAGTACTATTCTGGGTCAGCGCATTTCTCCTACTTCAGCATCGGGGCCAGACATTGTAATCGTGCATGCTATAATTACATACGTATAAGGCTTTCTCCATATTCTCCAGCTCAAGGTTGTACATATGTTGGCCAGTGCCATAGTATACGCCAGTGCTCGATGAAACACAGTAGGCAATCCAAACAACCTGTCGAAAGTATTAGTCTAACACTGACAACTTATGTGACTAGGAGATGAGTGTGTTTCCGACGTACAGTCGCCACAGCCATAAACCAATCATCAGGGCCCAACGCCTTGACGGTAAAGACACGGGTATATATTCTCAGCACAACGGTGATTACAGACACAATGCCGAAGGCAATGTTCACACCGAGAAGTTGCGGCCCACGATTGTCATGATCGTGCGCTATGGCCGTCGTATTCTCCGTCATGGTTGGCGGCTTGCTATTGCAAATCTCTGGTCGACGCAATAATAATAAATAACAAAGTTAATAGGATTGCTGTTGCTGTTGGCGAGAAATGTGAGCAGGATCAACAGCAATTATCTATTGTTCTTGATGTTAATGTGGCGATCAACGGTACTAAGAGGGGTGCTAGACGGTGTGACACTTTCGGCTTGAAACCATCATTCAGCATGATGGGGCAACCAAGAAGCGAGGTCAGCTTTGCGAAACCATGCAATGTGGCGCATAATAACGTCGCCAAACTCGCGTTGCTTGCCGATCGGGGAGATACCAATATCTGCACGAGAGTCAGGGAGCATGAAACCCACCGTCAGTTGTGGCTGACCAACGAGTTAGTGGAAGACAGCTTCGTGAGAACTTCATAGTCTCGAAATAATCCCTGATTAGTCCCCGTATACTCGTTGTTGATGATGCTGTAGATTACAAATAGATAGTTACCCATGTAGGCTGGAGTTTGTCCTCCCTAGTATAGTGTACTGGAAATGCACCACGGTATGAGATCCGAGTCTAGTCTGTCTATAGAGTACGGAGCACATTTGCAAGATACATGTACGATGTTATGCTAGTAGCTTCTCTGTTAGCGTTGATATAGCTTGGACGCACAGGCTGACCATCTATCACTGTTGAAATGAAACCAATACTACTTTCTCGGCTATTGCTCTCTACCTCGGGCTCAACTTTAGCCAGACCAGCATCACGCCTTGCTCTTGCTAAAGAAGCCTTAACTTCCCAAGACTAAAACTATTAAATGTCACCCATTATTCCTTGTTATTTTTTTTTTATACTATAAATTGTAAAAACCTATTGTATATGAATAAATTTGTCAATATTAGAGGAAAACCAATAAGCCGAAGTAGAGGTCGGCTTATAACGGGTTCGGCAAATCCACTATGGATTATCGCCCTTGGCGCTACCCAATGGCGTTGGCTAGAGTCTGGAGTCTGGGGAAGATTTGGCCGGGAATGGGAATCTAAAAGGAGGGTCATAACGCCCGGGTGGGGTTTTGTCTTGAGGGGGCATTTCAGCCACATGACCTACTCGCAATCGACACCATTCAATTTGGGTATGCAGGACGTGAACTGGCTGCATTTCTAGTTTAAACTTCCATGAAGTGGATGATTAAAGCAGCTAGAGGGGGTCGTTGTACACATTGTTGGCAGTATCACGGATCAGGGTGTCTCACTTAATGTTTGGTGGTGGCTATAAACCGAAATCGGTATCTCAAATTGGCAGTATCCATATATTCGGTACGGTACAGCAGCTTATATGTTCTGTTTTTACACGTATTAGCCTTATTTGGGAGGTACCGAAACGTAGCGGGAGCCGGAAAATGAATATGTGGTAGCAAATCTGAGAGAGCCGATTAGCAGTTCGCCTTTGACATGTTGATATCATGGTTTAGCCAGGATCTGCTGGCTCAGGCAGGATCTCAGCATTCCGCGTTGAAGTGATTAATTGGGAATGAATTAACGGAATGATGACCTGGAATGGATCCGAGGAATGGATCCTGGACTCGAGATAGGGCCAAATTGTGTACCCTCCGGGGTCGAGCTCGTCACTCTTTGTGGCGCCTTGGCTGCTTAATTATAGCCTACAGAAAACCTCCCACGGGGCAAAGTGGGGTAGAACTCAGGAACCAAGTTACAACATGGAGGGATTTAAGGTTTACAGGGGGATAAGATGAAACCCAGATCTTTTTTTTTTTTTTTTTTTAAAAAAAAAAAATGGCCACTTAGCTAGCTTGGGGTATCTATGATACAGAGTAGAAACGTGAAAGAGAGGACGACGCACAGCTTAACCCCTCAAAGGGGCTAGAAAAATATGCAATTTACCTATCCTATGATATTGTATAGATGATTTCTGTCAAGGTGTCTCCTGAATATAGATTTTTAAGATCCCTGGCCCTGTTTTCTTTTCCTAGGTCGGGGTTTTTATATCAGTATAGAAATCTATGTTCAATTAGCTTTGCTTCTTGCTAATGCAGCGACATAACCCCCCTTGCTTATAGGTTATAGCTAGGCTAACCCCTACACGCCTAGGTACTAAAACTCCCTATGTGTATGCCCCTATTTAAAACAATCAACAATACTTTGTCTATATGTTGGTGATTTCTACTAGATGCTTCCGAGAACATGATTCATGTAGCATATAGCTCGTAACGAAGGGAACCAGTTCTCCTCACTCTCCAAGATGTGAAAAGTTTTTTTTTTTCTTTTATATATTCTAACTACAGAAGTCCTTTAGATCAGCGGGATATTTTAATATGTATTTAAGACAAGTAGACCCAGGGTCTTTTCATAGCCGCTCTAGTCTTTACCGGGCTAGCAAAGATTATGCTGTTGGACTCCTCAGCACGACTATCTACAACTATATTATTCCTCAATATATACATAGTGCTGACTGGAATTATGTCTATCATTATGACGGGCATAGAGATGAGGTCCAGGATTTAGCAACCGCTTCTCTATCTATTCATCAATACATCCCCTTCTATTCACTTTCTCCGTCTGACCTACTGGCTCTTGCGCTCTGTTTGTTGCAGGCACAAACAAAATCAAGACTGTAGCCTCACTGCATTTACTTATCTCGTTTAATTTTTAGCGCAGTACCAAGCTTTATCCCAGCCTGTACCATTGCATTCTTGATCATTAGGGGTGCTTCGAATAGAATATCAAATAGAATCGAGGTCCAGGTATCCATTAAGAGCATAGCTAATCGCAATTTGCCATTCCTTTTTCATCTATTGCATTGCCTTAGGCTGGATCCCTGGAGTTATCCTTCCGGCATAATATCCTTAAGGGATGTAACTGGGATCTCTTGCAATCAACCTCATCGGTCTTATCACCCTCTCTTCTGTTAGCTTTAATATCCAGGGGGAAAAGCGTTTCGATTTGTATCATTGGTCTGGTAGTGTATGTTAACCAGTGAAGAGCATCAGATTACAATATGTCAAGCTCATAGGTGGTTGCAGGTCTTCAATGCTCTCAATGTCGACAAGAGCTTTCTGAAGTGTTGGCAAGCTCTGTTATTTCATTGTCTAGACCTACAGACAAACCCGAAAAGCTGAAGACATCCTTCGTTTGGTTTGCTGTGTCAGATAATCGAAGCCTTGTCGTAGCTGTCGGTAATTTGACACGTGTGCGGCCGAGTTCATATGAAATCCAGATATTAAAATGGCGAGCTATGGCAAATAGTCTCCGCTTGACAGCCAAGGTATTTTCCAATGGCTGTTCATTCGGTATCACCAAATATAAACTAGATGCTTCAATAAGATGCATGAGCTGGCAGCTTGCTAGCTATGTTAGATGGGGTGTGCCGGCGATGCGGAGGTATGACACACGTAGGACCTAAGCCGTTATGAGGTCCATGGACGGAACATGAACGTTGCTGAGATGCTCCGGAGTCAATCGTGCAGCTTCAAAGGGCTGGCTCTAGACTGGGCTGTTTGTCCTAATGCAGCCACTTCAGAAAGGATGGCTTCATAGAGATCTTTGAGGATACTCTGTTTAAATCAACCACTGGGGGGTCATATCAAAGCAATCTTGCGGAAAAGCTCGCGCCGATTCAGGAACGGATAATAAGGGTCCATCTTTTCAAAGTATACTGCAGTTGAAAAGTGCATTTTATCGCAAGCTATGATGCTTTTCATGGAATCCGGAGTCGTGATGGCAGTGTTGGACGAGTTTTCAGAGGAAGCCAAGTGTTGGAGACCAAGGATCCAGGCAAAAAATACCCAACTTGGCTACCATATCAAGATGCATTGATAGTCCCAGCCTTCTCGCATATATAGCACCAGAGGAGACCTCAATAGGGCTCGGTTGCTCAGCGGCGAGGCTGTTCAGAGGCCTACGGGGAGATTTGATCAGATCGGCAGCGTGGTTAGCAACGAGCGGGCTGTCAGAGCGCTGCGCCAAAACGGTTTGAGCGGGCAGCTCTCTGCAGTTATATTGACAACCGAACTTGAAACGCGCAGAATTGGAGCAAGGCTGAGTATCGGAACATTTACGCTTCCGCATCTAACAGGAAATACAAGCCAAACGAGTACGATTTCGCCGTTGCTAGCCCATCACATGTCCCAGGTATGCGCAAATGATTACGCGAAATATGTTGATCTCAGGTGTAGGATTCAAATTGCGAGGCTGACTTGGCAGCGCAGGGCAACTGAGTCATTCGTTATCAATAATATTGGAATGGTTACTGCATCTTGACAAGGCATAAGATTTTGTTACGCATTCCCACTCGGTTCTAGTCACCATTTAGCAAACTGACCTCGTTGGTCCTGGGCGGGGAGAGGCGACGCACGCACGGGTTTTGCTGATGAGTGGTTGCGGCAACTGTCCGGCACCGCAATTCATTGTAATGCGGTTCATACCCTCCTCATAGAGCCACGCAGAAAGATGGCCGCAGTTTAAACTGCACAGTTTATATCAGATCAACCTTTCACATTCCTTGTGTGACCATTACCAAATGCCATATGCTTTTTTCAATACCGATCAGCTCCTAGCTTTCCTATAGAACCAACCTTAGTCGAACTGGTTATGCAAAATGCATTCTAATCTCTTGATGCTTGGTATAGATTCTTGGAAATCATTAATCTTAAATTTGTTACTCATTGTTTATGACCTCAATCACGTATGGAGGGACAAACGTCCTCAATAAAGCTGAGAATTTGAAATACATTAATCAAGAATCATCGAAGAGAAAAAAAAAAGCATCAATAGATTCATAGTAGCAATTGATTCTGAGAGGGTTCACTGCTGCATAATTTGAAAAGAAAGGATTTTGCTGCGTTAATGAGTGAGTATTTTGCGCGGCTTATGTTACATCGGTATGGAGAGAATTGCGCTGCAGACCACTATTTCAGTCAGACATGTCAGGCTGTATTTATCCATCTATATATAAATTTCACAGCAATTTTTCTTTTTCTTTTTTTTTTTTTTAATTAACTCCAATTGTCTCACCCATTTTGTCCGTGGCGCTGACAACGTGAAGGCATTGCTGATGCAAACTTATGGAGTCTACCCTATGTTCCGCGACGCCATCCAGGTTTCTCCCGCTCGCGGCGTCATGAAGGCAACAGCACACAGTTGGAACCCAAAAAACCTGCCGTTGATTGAGGCAATAGTTGTATTCTCACAATCGGTTTCGAGATTTTTATTTGACAGCGGAGAATGCGCGATGACACTAACACTGACCGACTTGTTCTCTTCGAACTGTCGTTAAAGAACGGAATCTTTGACCTCGAAATGCCAGACATTTACTAGCTCACTGCTGGAGCCGATGACCAACCAGGCTTAGAGGGAAATGAAGCGGTTGCCTCCTGCATATAGTACATCCGCCTCCGCGGCGGTCCGAAAAAATCCCCAAAGCGCATCACGGATCATGGGCCCAGGATAGGTATGTATTGCCAAGGGTAAAAAGTGATGTTGTTCATTTGAATAGGCTAATATAAATTGCTTTCTTGAGAGATGATGTAGTAGGCCTTTTAGTAAATGATCTCTTGCGGGATATCTGATGCTGGTTTATGTATATCTAATGCCTAATTTGTCTTCAACCTTCTTGTCTTGCTAATGGTTGCACCTAATACCCAGTCCAATATCAATAGGCTACTAAAATCCAGCCAATCTTTACTTTACTTCGTATTTTATTAAAATGAGGTCAAGGTTTGTCCTATAATCATTCCACACTCAGTCGCCACCAGGCGACAACGCAGACATGCTAATTGCTTCGTCTTTCTTGATTCGCTTCTCACTGGTAGAAACTATACAGTCCAACAGAAGGGATCAAACCCAAACGAATCACACAAGTCGACGTAGCTTGTGCCGTCAATGCGGCCACCCTAGGTCAAGAATCTAGAATTGGGCTGGGATCCTCCCGTGTAGGTAGCCGCATTACAGCACCAAATAACACATCCTAGCTCTTATGAGTTTTGAAACTCCACAAAACACCAAATGTAAAGATCAATGTAGCTCATCGGAAGCCAGACGATTGGACAGACTGAGTAGCACTTCTCACGGTCCCTATGCTCCGATGGGGTATGGATCTGCTCACGGGCTATAAGCATCCAAAAGCTGGGGGCAAGGTCCTTAGCAGCGCCAATAATCAAATGACAGGGGAGAAGTGGATGCGACGTTTCATCCAAGCGAGCGCGGCAGGCGTTCCAGGTATGGTTGGAGGGATGTTGCGACACCTCAAATGCCTGAGGTGCATGAAGAGAGGCAACGGCTGGTAGGCATTAAGATAATGATCCTCTCCGTATCAACAAGAAAACTAAAGACTCGACCATTCCAGGATCGAAACGCTACTTGAAGAGGCATTCAACGAGCGCGTGCGTTTACTCACGTTCGTCAGCCTGAACAAGCCGGGGCTAGGTATGCGACTTGTGGTGATAGGAACATAGGGCGTATGCTTCAATGCCATGTTCCTCGCCTAGGCCATTTCACTTAAGTTCTGCCATTGCTTTATCGGATGGTATGTTGAAGAGGAAGCAGTGCTTACATACAGCCGGGCTATTGAGGATATTGAAGCGGGTAAATTACCTAAATGGTCAAATGTAGTAATGCGTGATATCGTAGTGCGATATCGGAGCATGCGTGATCAACAGCGCACCATGAAAGATCTACTACTATATTCGAGATTCGAGCTAAAGAAGCAAAACCCAGAGAGATGAACCATACTCTCGGTAACCTCGACCAGCAGCAAGACCTAAATCCCGTTACAATAAAGTGGGTTGACTCAGTGGGGCTATACGCAGCAAGGGGTATTCAAAGTCTAAAGCCCACAGGATGGGAGAGCAATGATATTGTATAAGAATTAGCAAAATCATATCTTGTAAGGCTAAGAATTTATTCAATAGCATAATGCTATTACTAGACTTGGCCGGGCTCTATGTTATGGTAGGAAAAACGTAACATCATATGCAGTCTGTCTGCAATTGCGATCTGCTGGTTCAGGCATAAGAATTTCTATGAATGCCTGTAGCGTGCACATTGAGCTCCAAAACGTTTATGATGCTGCTCAAAAGTGGGTGGAAAACCCGAGACCTGCGGAGCTCTATGGCCCGTGTCTGAGGCGAGATTTGAGCGACGAAAGGCAGCAAAATAAAACACATGAGGAATAATTTAGATATCCTGGCAATGAGCTGTGCAGTTGTATACTAGATCTACATAGGTGCTTAAATATTCGCCAACTGTTTTTAGCAGTGCTAGTGATCATTAGTCTTAGTCTATTCGGTATCCTAAAAGCCCAAGCATTCAAAGTTGTCACAAGCTCTATCAGTAGGGCATATTGCTTTTTTAGTCAATGGAATTTAAATAATTGCGTCTTTATAACTAATTATGGTGACATGCTGATCTAGAGTGTTGTTGTAGTATATAATTGCATTTCAACTTCAATGTTTGCAATATGTTCTAGCAGCGTGGGCCAATTCCCCAGATTCTGACCCTCATACAACCCCTGGCCTAGTTCATAGTAAGGAACCAATTCGAATCGTTATACTATAGCGCTCCTTTCTTCCCCAATTACCCCGCAATCTTTCCTGCCCGGCAATTCGGCAGTGGTATTTTGCACTTTTTCCCCGGCCTTATTTCGGGACCTATGTAAAATTGCTGTGCATGATCCCTGAACTGGCTCTGCAATCGGACAAACTCGACTTTAAAACATCCACTAATAAGATCTCTCCTTCTGCATATATCCTAGTGGCTAAAGTGGCAAACGCACATATTTTACTAAACACCTACCCTGCGAGCTAGGGTATGCTGGCAAACCAACCATAGTATTGTCGAACTATACATGCTGTAGCTTGTAGGAAAAATATAGTACTATGTAGCACTTGGAGTAGTAGGCCGCGGAAGGTCGCCTTTAACAGCTCACAATAGTTATTAATCCGGACATACCCTACTTACCGGCTGGAATATGTTATTTCGGCGTGTTTATGAAAAGCATCGGTCCGATTATTATCGATAGTATTGAAAGGAAGATGTGTAAATCATGGTTGGACTCCTGGGCTCCTGGTCGTAGAGGCTGCAGCCAAGGTAGCATGATTTGCACGGCTGTTCGGCATGTAACCATACCTTCCGTAGAACTACCCTATTATTCAAGGGTATATATTCAGCTGGTGTCTCGAATGTAAGAAGAAGCTTTCGGTAGCATCAGTGCCAAGTCTCTTCCTCTTGGCACGATTTACTGGTGGCCAAGTCTCAGCCATGTTGCCAAAGTCCATCATCGCTGTTGGCACTCTCCTGACGGGAGTTGCCTCTGGCCAAGCGACCTCCCCGCCCAAGTATCCTTCGCCATGGATCAACGCGGACTTTAACTGGGACGACCCTTCTCCGGTTCCGACCAACGGTCGAACATGGGCAGAGGCCTATGATAAGGCTGTCCAGTTTGTCAGCAAACTCACTCTTTTGGAGAAAGTTAACCTCACTACCGGTGTGGGATGGGAGGGTGGAAAGTGCGTGGGAAACACTGGATCAATTCCTCGACTTGGATTTCCAGGTTTATGTAACCAAGACTCGCCGCTTGGTGTTCGTGACAGTAAGACCAGCCCCCCAGTCAGTTGACATTCATGAGAATCATTCTAAGTGACTTCGTTTAGCGGATGAAAACTCCGCCTTCCCTGCCGGAGTCAATGCGGCGTCAACCTGGAGCCGGAGTTTAATGTATGCTCGTGGTGCGGCTATGGGAGCTGAGCATCGAGGAAAAGGCGTGGATACTCAACTGGGACCAGTGGCTGGACCCATTGGCCGTACGCCTGAGGGTGGTCGAAACTGGGAAGGTTTCAGCCCTGACCCAGTGCTCACGGGAGTTGGTATGGCTCAGACGGTGCAGGGAATTCAAGACTCTGGTGTAATTGCCTGTGCAAAGCATTTCATCGGTAACGAACAGGAACATTATCGTCAAGGCGGCGCTTCCCAGAAATCGAACGGACAGAACAACAAGTTTGCAGAATCCTCCAACATCGATGACGTTACGCTACATGAGCTATATCTCTGGTGAGAAAAGTCCCGATGAATATTACTGGGTAGTTATTGACTAATTCTTTTTGCCAGGCCCTTTGCGGATGCGGTTCGTGCTGGAGTGGGATCTATTATGTGCTCATACAACCAAGTCAACAACAGTTACGCATGTCAAAACAGCTATATGCTGAACTATATTCTTAAGGAGGAACTGGATTTCCAGGGTTTTGGTAAGTTATACCAATGCTTTCTGACCGATATAAAATCTGACTCGTCTTAGTTATGAGTGATTGGTGGGCACAGCAATCTGGTGTTGCAAGCGCCCTGGCTGGTCTTGATATGACCATGGCCGGAGATCAGGGTCTCGCGTCTGGCAACACTTACTGGGGAAGCAACCTTACCGCCGCTGTCATTAATGGAACCATTCCTCAGTGGAGACTCGACGACATGGTTGTGCGAATCATGACTTCCTATTACAAGATTGGTCGTGATGTTACTAAAGTCCCTGTCAACTTCGACTCTTGGAGCTTGGAGACCACCGGGCCCGTGTATGCGCAGGATCCTAGCAAAGGAAGTACGACCATCAACCAGCATGTCAATGTTCAAGCCGATCATAAGAGCCTCATTCGCAAGATTGGTGCTGCTTCAACGGTCCTTCTCAAGAACACTAAGAAGGCGCTCCCCTTGAAGAAGCCAAAGAGCATTGCGGTCATTGGAAACGATGCGCATGATAATCCAGCTGGACCCAATGCATGCAGTGACCGAGGCTGCTCCAACGTCAAGAACGGCTATCCCATCTGGACCCTCGCCATGGGCTGGGGAAGCGGCACTGCCAACTTCCCATACTTGATCAGTCCCGTTACTGCTCTTGCCGCCCAGGCCCAGCAGGACAAGACCAGCTTCAGGAACGTGAGCGACAACTTTAATACACAGGCTATTATCAAGGCAGCTTCCGGTGTTGATGCTGCTATTGTTTTTGTCAACGCTGATAGTGGCGAAGGCTACATCACCGTCGACGGCAATCAGGGTGATCGAAACAACCTCACCGCCTGGGGTAACGGCGACGCAATGGTCTCACTGGTTGCACAGCATAACCCAAATACCATTGTTGTCATGCACACTGTAGGACCCATCATTGTGGAGGCCTACAAGAACAACCCCAATGTTACTGCCATTCTGTGGGCTGGTCTCCCTGGCCAAGAGTCCGGTAACTCGATCACCGACGTTCTCTATGGCAAGGTCAACCCCCAGGCCAAGTCTGTCTTTACCTGGGGCAAGGAACGTACTGACTGGAGCACTGATGTTATTTACACAACTGCCGAAGATCCCGTACAGATCCCATATACCGAGGGAACCTTTATTGACTATCGTCATTTTGATGCCGCTGGTATTGAACCAAGCTACGAATTCGGTTTTGGCCTCAGTTACACCACCTTCACCTATTCTAATCTTAAGGTTGTCAAGCATAAGGTCCGCAAGTATACTCCCAACAAGGGCAAGACGCCATCTGCACCCACATTTGGAACTGTCAACAAGAATCCTGCAGCAAACGAGTTTCCCAAGAACATTGATCCAATTAACCTCTACGTCTACCCATATCTTGAAGGCCCCGTTCCTGAAGGACAACCCGAAGACGTCCCCCCAGGATCTCAGGACGGCTCGTCCCAGAAAGTTGCCCCGGCTGGTGGCGCTCCTGGTGGAAACCCTGGCTTGTACGATGTTCTCTACACTGTCACGGCCGAAATTGAAAACGCTGGAAAAGTGACGGGCACCGAAATTCCGCAACTGGTAAGTATTTTTGCAAGCCAACAAGAATATATATGCATACAAAATTACTAACTTCTTGTCCTAGTATGTGAGCCTGGGTGGCCCAACAGATCCCGTCCGTGTTTTGCGAGGATTTGATGATATTGAGATCCTTCCTGGCCGATCTGCCACTGTCACTTTCAAATTGACCAGACGTGATCTGAGTAACTGGGACCCGGCAAGCCAGAACTGGGTTATCTCTAACTATCCCAAGACCGTTTATGTGGGAAGCTCTTCAAGGACTTTGCCCTTGAGCCAGATTCTTCCTTAGGAATTGTAAGATCGTGGAGATAAAAACGAGTAATAAATTACATAGTCGTTAGAGAAATGCCGGGTGTGTCTGGGTGAGGCCAGAACTTAATATAATTTCAGCAGTCTTTAAGAGCAAAATTTGTCCACAACTCCAAAGGCAGTTACTTAAAAATCTAGCCTCTTGCCCTGTGACTTAACAGTATAATGGATCGGTACAATAAGCTTCCTAAGATAATAATGATTTATAAGTGAAGTAATTAAGGAGGTAGTATATTAATATTGTAGGAGGATGATGAGGTAGAACACGCGAGGCGTGAAATGTGAGATGAGTTAGTATATTTTATATTATTGTTGTTAATCCTTTCCCTTACTACCTGAGTCTCGATGCGCCTACATAATCCCACCCTTTTTGTCCCTAATCTATTTCCACGTTACAGAAACACCATATTGTTACATTTTCCCTATGCTTGCTTTATTGAGGAGCGTCCTATAGTGGCCCGCATAATGAGGGGAAAGGTCTGGGCGGCACGCAAGAATCCTCGGAACACTAAGCGTTGTGTGGTACCCCCTTTACAAGCGTTGATCGCGTTGGATGTTGACAACTTGATTGCGTCGTTCGCATACACTCTCATTTCCTCTTCGTAAGTTCTAACACTTTCAGTAATAGAGAGCCTTCCGGCAGCAGCGTCGATAAGACAACGCGTGAGGGTATCTGCGTCGCGGAGCGCAGTGTTGGCTCCCATGCCGCCCATCGGCGTCATATTATGAATTGCATCGCCAAGGAGTGTTACGTTACTTGACTCCCATGATGTGAGAGTGGGCATCGAACGCAATGATAGGCACTTGGTGGTAGAAGTATCACTTCCCGTCACCAACTCCCGCAACTCTGGCGCCCATCCTTTTATGCAGTTGAGAACATACTCATGTAATTCAGACCCGTATACCGGACCTTCACCACGTGGTATGTCGTCTGATGGCGCAATGTAGGCCCAGACAATGTAGTGCTCAGGTGCAGATGATTCGTCGCCGTCAGCAGGTCTTGAGCGCCACGCCGAGATAAACATCCATCCTCTGCCGGATGGTACAATGTTATTTAGCGCTCCGTTGATCATTTGTGGAGGGAAATTTCCGACCCTCTTGTCGTCAAGAATGTATCGCCCGGCGATTGCAGATACTCCAAGGTCCAGGCGTTCTACGTTTGGCAGGAATTGACGACGAACCACCGAGTTGGGACCATCAGCACCAACTAGGAGATCGCCATCCTCGTAGGTGCCATCTGCAAAATGGGCGCGTACTCTGCCATCGCTGACTTGATCATACCGAGTAAAAGCTCGTCCCCATTGGATGACGGAGGTGGTTTCGTCGTCAAGCCCATCTATCAACACGTCGCGAAGGTCCAACCTTCCCACACCACTTCGCTCGACTTCTTGTGCTGACTTTCCACTTAACTCGACGTCGTTTTTCTCGGCCAAGACTCGAAGCTGCGTGTCGCGAAAAAACAACTGCGTCCCGGCGGACGTCAACAGCGACTGGAGTCGCGTCCAGTTGGAAAGCGGCAAGCAGTAGCGTAAAGCTCGTCGGCCATTTCTATCGATGTGAAGGCCGTACCCAGCCAAATTCTCAGCCTTTTCAACCTGGTAATTGTTCAGTAAAACTCAATTATGCTGCCCTGGTTGAAGAGTTCTGACCTGTTGTTCGAAAACCCGTACTTCTATTCCAGCTTTACGCAGTCCGTGTGCAAGACTTAACCCACCAATCCCCCCACCAATGATTAAAATACGCATATTTGAGATGGGGAGCTTTGCAGGGCAGGCCTGAAAGTGAAAATTGGTACTTGGTGGATGTAGATTTGTTTAAAAAAAAAAGTTTGAAATTTCTTTGTTTGTTTGTCGATGGAGCTGAGGGGTATTATTTGATGATTTCGACCTCCATCTTTGCACAGTTCGTAAAGTTTATATAACGGTGTTTCTAAGCATGTTTACTGGTGCTTGCGGATGATGATTTTTTGGTTGGAGCGCCGCAACAAGTCGGATGTTAATAAGCTCCGAGATTGATGAGCGCCACCGTAGTCTTGGCTCTGCTCTCAGCTTCGCACCACTGGCTCCATGCACTTCAAGCCAATGGTAAGCTCCGGACCACCAACATGTCTTGAGCAGGTGGCCTAAGGGGATGTTTTAGCCAGGCGGATGTTTGCTAACGTCCGCGTTGAGCCTTGACTGACGTCTCACGGAAAGTCTGCGCCAGCAGATTACGTACGCGTCGACCATAACATCAACGTCGTCAACACGCATCAGGTAACGGTTGTTGCAGATGTTCAAACAGAGACGCAATCCCCCAGCCGAAATATGTAGACTTCTTCGCAAAATCATTGCCTACTTCCGCGCCAATCTACCAATATTAGACCCCAAGAACTAGGCAAAATGCACTTCTCTGTATTGACTCTGTAAGCTTTTGGATCAGTACTAGGAAACTCACGACGATGAGTCCATCGCTTAACACAGTATGTGTCCTTATCCCAGCCTTCTCCTGTTACTTTCCGTTATTTGCTGCGTGTTGAACTAGTAAATACAGCCTGTATTTATTTCCAGACTTGGATTTGAGAAAGATGCAAGCCTGTCTAGCTTAGGCTACGAGATGTTGAATATGGCGAGACGTGTCGCGATGCCTCATTCAGCATCATTTCCTCCAACATTGCTGCCATGCTTATTCTGTGAAATTCGACATTGCGTCTAATAGTGGCAATCCTGGCTCTCTTAATCAGCTTCTGCCTATTCCAGCCCCCTTATTACATAAACAAAAAAAATCAGTCACAAGAGAATGTACCAAATCGCCGCAAACAAATTTCGTCAACAGTTGATTATATTTTGATCAAATGATGTGCGAACTGTCTAGGTTTGAGACATGTAAGCCCAATATACAGTAAGACTCTCCATCGTTTGTCGTTGCATTTAAACGCCAACCTAAACGCCCTGATCGCTTCGAACATCCTGCACAGCCAAAACAGAAATGCAAAACCCCCAGATGAGGCATTCGACAGGTATATTGCCATTAACGAAACTGACTTCGTAGCCAAAGATCAGACAGTTAAATCTTCTCAGCCCGTAAGTCACTACTCCACAGAGCCATGATATTATAAGGAACAGAGTCATCGACAAAGCTTGTTGAGGTTTGGAATCTATTGTTTGATCGAAGTGTCATTTTGACCTTTACGATAGCTTGCCATCCTCCCATGCGATTTCTCAGGCTGTATACCGCTGAATTATAACTTCTAGATTGTTACTTCAACTTTAGCACAATTTAGAAATGTGGTCAGGTGTGCACTTACATCATAGAAGGTCAATAAAGTGGCTCGAGTGCATTATCTGTAGCAATCATTTGCGCATTAGTTCCGGCTTCGCAATATCTTATATGAACGTACACAGTCAGGCATAAATATCTTGACGTACAGCATTATATAGACTGCCTCTGAAAGATGGGGCCAGTGAGGCGGTGCGCGGCTGACTTTTAACAACCGCTCTCCGCCCAGAGAGCATTGACGAGACTAAACTTCACCCTGTGCTTCAGGCCGTTTCGGTCCTCCTGCAGGAACAGCTGAGCTACCCTTAGCTCATAGGAAACCCCTGTTACCAGAGCTGGGAAGACTTTACTAGTGTTAGCATTGGAAGGTAACCCTAAGATCCTAAATTCCGAGCTGACGCAATGGCCTGCATCGAGAACATCGGAGCCATTGCGAGCATCGTTTCCCTGTGAATATTCCACAGATAAAGAACCACTTCATTAACAGGTATGCATATCGAATCAGAACGTCTATGTCGAGCAATATGGCCATATTGTGTATTTCAAGCCCCTACTCTATCAGGGTTATCTTGACCCATATGTCACTCATCTCCAATGCTTGAGGTCGCATCGAGAATAAAAATGTTTTACCCGAAGGGTACTGCTCGCGCAATGTCGGTTTGGGTAATATGATATGTCAAGCCGACGTTTGTACCGTATTTTAAAAAATCTTAATTTCTTCATGTCTGAACGGCCATATAATATTACATCGCCAACTGCGTTGGGGAATTTGAACTCTATTTCTTTTCTCTTTTTTTTTTTTTAAAAAAAAAAAAGGAAAAAAAGAACCTCGAAGATCTTGGAATATCTCTGAATAGATTTGCCTTCCAACTCGTGGTTGTTATCCACAGACTAAGACAAGTGCTTCAAAGTAAACACCCAGTCCGACGAGCACTAGTATTTCACGCAGTCATATAGATCGACATTCTGAAAATCAGCTGACTAGATTGTTTCATGCTTGATCTATGTGCCGTAAGCAAAATGACTATGTTAACGTGGCTTGTCAATGCTCACCTGGTCAATACCAAACGGTCTCAATGCAGATAGTTGGCACCCTGGCCATTGCCATATGATTACGCAGCTGACGACAATGCAGCAGCTATTCGCCTCGACAGCTCGGCTAGCACCAATTCCCCAGTCAAAATTATCAATGTAGTGCATCACCAGCCCCCTGATCGGTCGCCAACATTATCCATTCCGTAGTAAAAATTGGACATGGGAATCTCCTGTTCTGACATGAAGGCAAATCCGTAGTCGTCTGGCCACAGTCCGACATTACAATCACCAAAAGCTGTATTGTTAGGCAAAGCATCCTGAATTCCGACCACCACGTCTGGGGGTGTCGGCATATATTGTCCCGGACTTGGGGCAGTGCTCGATCGAAGTGTTCGAGTATGCACGGATGGCGTCGGAATGCTCTCTGCAAGATGCATGTTTCCCACGGTGTCTCTAATCTGGAGTACCACCGCTGCTGGAGCGTAGAGCCCATGTGTGCTTGCGTCTTCGAGAACCTTGGAAACACTGTGCGCATAGTGTGACCACTTGAGAGTGTCATTGTCGATGATCTGGCTGATTTTGTCGTTTGGATCAGTGACGCGTTTCTGCAGCATGGCCAAGGCTTTGAAGGCATATGGAACTCGGAAAAATGTGAGAAGTGGTAGCGATCGGATATTCTCTAGACCTGTGTTTAACAGAACATCCAGGATAGACTGACAGTCACTGATAAAAGACAACAGTATGCGGGTATACGTGGGGCTGAGTGGAGCGCGAGAGCCGGGCAGAGGAGCGTCGGATTTTGTTGCCAATGATGGCAGACTGAGGCTCTGGACATTGTGATCAAAGCAAATGACGAGTTCGTGGAGCTTGCTCTTGCACAAGTTAAGATCGATCTCGAGGGAAGCTTATACAGTGAGCTTGTGTGTCCCAAAGTTACAGACAAATACATACCAGTCAGCAGTGTTCGGTCAAGCTTTGCCTCCCATTCTCGCAAGCGCTGTTCGAGCAGAGCGGATTTCTCCTTGACATTGATATGCTCCACTACGGCAGGGTCGGAGCTCATCTCGGCCTCTCTCTTCATAGCCTCTATATCCTCAGCTATAGCTTGCAGCTGAAGCCACGCCACGAGTCGTTGGTCATTTGTCTCAGTGGCATATTGTTTGAAGATGGCTAACGCCACGCCAGTGGAAGGGCTGAATGATATGATCCTCTGTCGTCGAAAGCTAATGGCAATTCTGCGACCGGATTAGACAAGGCGGTCAAGGAAGCCATGAGTTCACCAACCTTGAACATGTCAAATAGACGCCAAACATTGCCCGATACCTTTCCAGCATGCCGTCCGAGGCGTCTTGGGAAAGCTCGGCAATATCTTGGTTCTGCGCCTGCCATGATGTCCTGCCGCCATATCCGAGATCCATGGCCATTGTGCATGCGGTATGAGACCATTGGGAGATATTCAGGTGCTCCAAGTTAGTTGGGGGACATCCCCATACCGCGGTTATCAGAAGTGCTTGAAGCAGGTCAAGGCTTTTGTGGCCCTGCACGAGCACTACATGAGCCAGAGTTTTTGTACTTTGAGTATGCATGTCTTTGAATAGCTGTGGTTCCAGAACGCTGCAGGCTGCTGTAATCATTGCTCTGGCCGAATACGGCCGATATTCCTCTAACGACTCGAGAGGCATGTTGGCCACTGAACGAACCACCGGGTACTGCGGAAGCAGCGTATTGAAGAAACAGCGAAGAAGTTTCTTCTTAGCAGCCGACGTCAGATTCAACGGTTCGGAACCGCTTTCTGGTGGGTTATGATCTTTACCATGTCGGGCGCTGGCTAATCCCCGCGATGGTGGCCCAGACGAGTCGATGGTGGGTAGGATATTTGTGTCCGAAGCTACGGGCACAGCATTGTCAGTCGTTACAGAGCCCAATGTGCTTTCAAATCTATGAAAACGATTTGGAGAGTGAGAATTATTAGGAGAGTTCCCAGCGGATCCACTCAAGACGTTATTCTTGTCGAGATTGTTCATGGCCGATGTGAGCGATACAATCTTCTCCTCTAGCTCCGCGATGCGCGAGCCAGTACGGGTACGCTTCCGGGTCTTTGAGATTTCCTTCCATTCGCAGTTGATTTCTTGTGCTTGACAACGCCGACACTTGCCGTTCTCTTTGAGCGTGTCGGTATAGCATCGTGTCTTCCTCCTACGGCAAGCCTGGCAGGCGTGTTTGCCAATGCTGCGAGAGGCCTTGGACTCGGCCATTGCAGTCGGGCCTATTCTCCGAGCAACTGATTAGAAATGCGGCACAAACGAAACGACCCTTGACTGCCTGAGTGTCCGAGTAGTGAAGCGGAGGATAGGCGACGCCCATGGGACTCCTTTCTTCTGAAGAGAGAGGGCGGCCACTAGGCCTTGTGCGTAAAGCTTAACGTCAATCTTACCGCTCATTCAATTTCAGTGCCGCGCCAATACCCCGCAATTGCCGGGGAGGAGGTCGCAAATCAAAGCCAACTAACAGCGTAATAGCGTCTACAGTTGCTGTTCCGTAGCGTGTAGTATAGATAGTGAGTGTCTATGCTGATCGATAGCCTCAGAGATGCTTGGTTCATGTAAGATGGTATTATGAGTCTCTAGCTTCTCTCTTGCTATGCGCCTAAGGCTGCCGTCGTATGGACAGTTCAATGGTTGGTCTAACCGATATTCTACTGGAGACTTGGTTGCCAATATTCAGTCTTCTATAATTAAGCTTAAGGCTGTTAAGCATTTAGCTGCAGGCGATAGCATAATTGTCGGCCTTGCTCGTGTCACAGCTTGCAGACAACGCAGCAACGCGTCAGCAAGAAACAATCTAATAACTTCTCCATTGTGTATTTGAAAGCATAGTACAATTATATCATAGACCATGAACGTTTCAATTGAGTAGGTGTTACGCTACGAGCCTGGCTGAGCACTCGGCGACGCCGACGAACTTCAGGCTCAAGGGTTTAGACGTCACTGCGTAAGACCTTACGTAGAATAGGCGCAACCACACTTAATTATTTAATGAGCAATCGTCATCTTCGAAACCATTCTCACCCTAGCTGCCCGTAGTGGATTGCCCTATGTGATAGGGAGTATCGAAATTTTTGGAGGCTAATAAGGTCCGACGTGTTTTAGGTTGCCGTAGCTTGGCGGGCGGACCTTGTTAACATCCGCGGCAACGTCTACGGAGTACGTAGCACATGTCGCCAATTTCACCTAATCGAGAGGCTGAGTAGTCAAGATGAAGATGACAGTACGGGAATCTACGACGCGTAAGGAGCATATTGCATAGATATAAGAATCTTTACAACTCCTAGATAGATGCGTTCAGTCTGTTCCGTTTTAGATACAAACAATTGTCCTCTCTTCATACGATCATATTCACCATGATCAACTCAAAATTGTTGTCACAACTACTGTTGCTCATCGGAGCCGGTGCACACACTTTGCATGCAACGGAAGTTGCTCGTAATGCGGGAAAGGCGGCTGCTGTCTTGGATAGAACCATTCAAGCCATTGGTGGAACTCAAGCACTGAATGCCGTAAATGGTCTCCAATACCATTCTTCGTAAGTCTCGCTTACAATGCTGCGCCAAGCTTTTCTAATGTGACAAAGTCTCTTTCGGAGCCAGACGCTTACACAGAGCTACAATGTTATTCGGTCGGACCAGGGTGTGGCCGAAGCCGGCTCGCAGTCAGTCTCCTTTAGCTTCGCCGAAAAGCAGTTGAAACAACGCATCGATCGAAAGTATCAATATGGAGATTACTGGATATGGGCGTTTCCCAACCTTCAGCCGGATATCGATTACTCCATGGTGGTGCAGTCGGGACCAAATGGTTTTGCCTGCTTTAACAAGGGACAGAACTCCTTCTTTGCAGAAGACCCATCACAGCCATTAGGCTTTGCGGATCCGTTCCTGGCCGATTATCTTATTCACTCAGCGCAGCAGCTAGCTTTGCCACATCTGCTAAAGTCGTTCCTTGAGAACCAATCCAGTTTGTTGCTCTCCTCCGTGGTTGAGAAGAACTATGACGCCGAGTTCACCACCCTCCAGATGCCTGGACTGGATCTTCTTTTGCTAATTGACCGGTCTACATTCCTCCCATTCGCGGTCCGGGCCCCGGAGAATCATCTCATCTTCGGCCCTTCCACCAGCGACATGATCTTTTTCAACTATACAAATGTTTCGTTCGACGGCCATCATATGAGATTTCCCCATCGAATTCAGACGCTGTACAATACTGTCTCGGTTATTGAGGACTTCGTCATTGACGAGCTCACGGTGAATCCCAAATTTGAGGCAGATTTCTTCTCGCCATCAAATTCGACCATCAGCCACATGGACCCACGTTCTAGTTCAGACTACCCAAGGTCTGAAGTTCATGAGTTTTTTGAAACGGGACTCTGGGGTGGTCCATTCCCAGAGCAATTCAACTCTTCAAGTGTTCAAATTGCACCAGTGTTCCATAACGGCTCCACACCTGAAATTATGAATTTGTTCGTTGGCTATCCTGACTACATTCAAATGCTGGTCGAAATGGAAGATGGTATTATCATTACAGACGCTCCTGCATTCCGATCCAGGATTGTTGTCGAATGGGTGAAGAAGAACATGGGAGGCAAAAAGATTACGCACGTTGTGCCCTCCCACCATCATCGTGACCACGCCGGCGGAGTCGGTGACATATTGGCAGCTGGTGCGGCGCTGGTGATACCCGAGGTCGCAAAGCCGCTCTATGCAAATGTCAACGGAGGAGACTTCAAGGTGATCACATACAATGAGGAAAAGCCCTTTATTCTCAAAGACCGTAAGGTACAGTTTGCATCGTTCTGGCACCCAAGAGCTGCACACGCCGAAGACTGGGTGTTTTCTGTCGCTGCGCCGGCGTGTTGGACAGATGCCAGCTCTGGATTCGCTCTTTTCAATGCAGACGTCGTCAGCCCCGGCTCTGGTCCGGCAGCAAGGTGGGACACTGGATATGCCCGGGGCTTTCTTCTTGACGCCATTGCCGATGGCATCCCGAAAAGCGCCACTCTGATCGGAGCCCACGGATCAAGTGAAATTGGACTCGGTACCCAAGATTCACTGGCACACGTTGCAGAGCTCGCTGGCGTGCCATATCCTGACCCAAATACCACTGGACAGCATAAGTGGTGCTATTAAGGACATATGAACACCTAGTGTTTCTGAAATACATTTAGTAGGTTTGGAATTTGACTGGGTCAGATCTGTTTGAGATGTAATAACAATGTTGTTTGGCTTCAATATATAACTTCTTGGTTCAAACTAGTGGGTAATTAATAGATTTCTAATCTATAGCTACAATAACTTAAGTGGCAATATTACAATATATATTTATTTAGTATTCATTGTGTCATTCCTTCCTTACTCGCAGTATATAAAACAATTTGACAGCCAGTATGATCACTAATGCACCATCGTTACTCTTCTCAGCAATAGTAATTACCTTTCCATATTTAACTCTTTCTACTATATCCATTCAACAATCATGCAGTGAATCCCTCTGATCTGCGACACTTTCGCTGCCCTAGCCCTTGCTGGCCCTGAGGAACCAGCAAAGCGTAATACACGCAACGTCTACATCGCCACCGATGCATAACTATCCTATCTCCCTCATCTCGATATAGTTCTGTCTCCCTCCTTACTAATGCCGGGTGTAGTAACTAAGGCGGGTTGCAAGCCAATGTTGCCTTTGGCAACGGCGTGAATTAGAGCTGGGCATAGTTTTGGTGGCGCGCGGGCCGACCCGGGCTCGCTTCGACCGGACTCAGGTGAGACAACATGGTCCTTAGACTCTGGGGCCTAAAATCTGGCTAATCTTTTCCTTTCCTGAAGACGTTTGATGCCTCCTTTACTACGCCAATAGCACTCCTCGAATACCATCTGCAACCACCAGACAGCGATCTTGCTTGTCACTGGCAGTTCAACATTCAGCTTATAAAGTGATAGCGGCTGATAGAGCTTGATAGACTTAACGTGGTAGTCTCTTATAACAGAGTCTAGAAAATTTATATGGTTTCCCTGCAAGGTAAGTCAATTTCCTAAGTAATACTTTTCTAAATCCTCTTAGGCTATTTTCTTCTTTTATCAGCTACTTGAAAAAGCCAAAACCTTTAGCTAGCAGCAGTTTTATTGAACTTTATTATTTACTCTTCAAGTGAATAAAGGCTTTTTGTAGCTACTTTTTTTTATTAGTTGCAGGTATCTATAACTTTACTGTATTAAATTTTATGAGTTTGGGCTATGGCTTTTTGGCTGATAGCTTTAAGTATTAGTGCAGTTGCTGTCCCTGTCTGCGTTCCCTTTGCTATTATTATTGACCAGGTCGGTTAGCTGCGAGATTATTCTTTATTGCGAGGTTGCTTTACTGTATCATATGCTTGACTTCTGGATAAGGAACCAACTATAAAGCTTATGAGGTGTGCATTGCTGGAGGCCACTATTATAACTCGGGGTATCATGCGCCACAGGCGGCGTAAGGTCTCTGGACGTATCGATACCTCCCCGAAGAGCTTTGAGAGGCAAGACTGCGTGTCGTATAGGCGCATCAGTCTGGCTAGTTTGGAGGCCTTGCCTAGCTTGTTTGTTGCAGCCCAACGTCAAGTCAAAGATAGTTTCGGTTGAGAAGTAACGATCGAGTGGGTCGATGTCCCAAGATTTGATCTCAGTCAAGACCAGTCGGGTCCCAACATCTGACTTGATGCCTTCAGCATGAGTGATATTGATGGGTTGACTGATGAGGAGTTTAAAGCGAGACTCGTAGCTGTGTCAAGTGCGACCAGAGTTGAAACATTATTACCAACCACACGTGCGGTTATCTTGCTTAGCACCATTGCAACATGTGTCTGCCGTGTCCTGATACAGGCTTTTCCGCTCTTTAAGAACATGGGTAACAAGGAATGAGAGACTCTCAAACAAACGCACTTTCCCAGCCACCCACATAGATATTGATATGTACTTGCCCTTGCTCGGGGTTCTCGTTTGTACGTTTCGCAATTGAGGTGCTATTGCCTCCAAGTATAGCTGACAGCTTGTCGTGGCTAATTGTCCCAACAACTAAACGGACGCCTCGAATTACCTTCCACCGAAACCTCGTTTTCTTTGTCACGGCCCCGATTGTCTGGCGAATGTGCATGTGCAAATCATAATGGCAGAGATGTACAATTTTGCGTATTCCCATTCCAGCCGAGTAATTTTTCTCATCGATATATTTTCGTTTCTTTAGACCTTTCGCATCCTTGTGTGGCCCTTCGACTCTTTATCCATCCGAAACGCTTTCGTGTAGGCATTCAGATTCTAGCACTCAATAAGTCTAGTTCAGCATCATAGCCACCTATAAACCTTTGCTGTTCTTAGTTGACATGCCCTCATATTATACACTTCGGGGCCTTTCTCCGACTTGCTCCTCCGTTTGGCCGTATAAGGTTGTTTATTGCTTGGTGTACATTAACAAAGGCGCCTTGATAAGCATTGTCATGAATCTATGCCACGCTGTTGGGTCATTCAGACCAGAGAAACTCGATCAGCCAAGAAGTGGGAGCTCAATGCCGTGCTCAAAGTCGTGAGCTATCTCAAAATGCACCTCGAAACAGAATGTGGGTAGAGTAAATATAAAGGGTTGTATATTCGCCATGGAAACCTAATAGTAATATATGTATAATAGCTGTCAAGGGGGTTCCCTTCATCAACTACCCTGCAATTAAGTATTGCCAGATTGCGGATAGTCAAAGTGGGGGAATACACTGATTTCAGTATTTTAGTATGGGGATCTAGTGTTTTCTCCCCACACATGCCAGCATCTACCAGACGCCCCATAAGTAGTAGTTGATTCTCGATTTTCTCATTGTCATATGATAGTGTTAAAAAAAAAAATTGATGCTCGAATTTAGCGTTGTCATATGATGAAGAAAAAAAAGGGCGCCGACTCAATTCTAGCGATCTATGAGTACTTCCGGCACCTTTCTTCCGGTATCTGGGTCAGCAGATAGCATAGAGATAAGCTTGAAGGACAATGTAGGGATGGCCGGGGAATTTCTTCCTCTTTTTTTCAGCTCCGATCTAGCAATGAATGGCGCCAGGTACGGCCTGTTGCTGGCGCTCTTCTGATTGGGGACCATCGACGGGCGTCCCGTTGCAACGGGCCGCCTCTTCCATATGAAGGAATTTTCCAAGTCTCGCCCCTATGTTTCTGGCCTGCGCCACGCTTTGTTTGGGGACCGGCTTGGCCCATTGCTCGCGTGGCCAGCGCTGGCCATACCGAATTCAGAACGGCTGAGGGAGCTTGGCGGTCGAGATCGGTCTAGGGAAGCGATATTGGCGGCTCCCCTGTCAGTTTCGGCAAAAGCTAATCTGCTTCTTATCTAGAGCCTTGCCACTTTGTGGAGAAAAAGGGCTTCAGCTCAGGTGAAAACAACAAATAGTTCGTGAATTGGTGCTCTAAAGCTTCGAAAGCTATTTCAAGATCAATCTATTGCAACTAGCACAGTGGTCTGAGGCGCGCGTAGTCTGGACCTAGAGATGGAGCGCAAGATGTCTCGCCTAACCCGAGCAGTCTGACGAGCACGTACGGTTGTCTATATGAGCCGCCGAGACCTCGCCAAGACGCTCGCTCTCCAGCTGCAGAGGAGCTACAGACCTATTCACAACTCGTCTTACAGTGACAGCTCTTGGCGTGCTGCCACTGCTCGACAACATGCGCTCTTTGCTTGTTAGCGCCTCGGCACTCGCCTTCTTGGCTTTGGAGGCTTCCGGCCGGATTGTCCCGACAGCTGGCCAGGAGCTTTCTGAGCGCGACCAGATATACCGTGCCAGTAACGGCGAGAAATTTGCCGTGGAGTATGGCTTCGATTATCATGGAGGCGACTACAAGGAGATCACCGCTGCGAACTTGCACGACTGCATCAACTACTGTGCGGCCCACTCATCGTGTCGGGCGGCTTCTTACACGGGCAAGTCATGCTGGCTGAAATCCACGGTGGAAGCCGCAGTCGCCAACAGCAGGGTAACTGGCGCTGTACGACTGCAATACGTGCCATCACCTATTACATGCCCCATGGATGGCAGTGATCAGCTGGAGCAAGCAGATGGGAAAAAGTACACCGTTGAGTGCGGGACAGACCGCCCCCATGGCGACATCAAGTCGGTACCAACGCTCGATTTTCCCAACTGCATCAAGCTTTGTGACGAAACCAGCGGATGTATTGCGGCTAGCTGGCGATTTGGAGACTGCTATTTGAAAAAGTCGCTCAAGCCAGCTATTTCCAATTCATGGGTTGACACTGCTGTGCTCAGCTCATTGCTTAATGCTCCGGCCCTGTGCCCGAGCCAAAATGGCAAACAGATCACGGAGGCAAGCGGCAGAAGCTTCACGGTTGCCTGCAACACCGATCGCGCAAAGGGCGACATGGCAAGCAAGCCATTGGCCAACTTCAACGATTGTATCTCGTGGTGTGATGAGACAAGCGGATGCATCGCCGCTGCTTACCGAGACGGCCATTGCTGGCTGAAGAGAGAGTTGACGACTTCTTCCACGCGTACGAATTGTCAGATTGCTGTCCTGAGCAGCAAGCTGCCACATACGTCAACGCACACAACGTCGACCACAACCAAATCGACTTTGAAGAGCACGTCAAAGAGCTGGTCGACAAGCACCAAAAGCACCACTACCACCATCAAGGCTTCCACTTCGACCACCATCAAGTCTAGCTCAAGTGCTGTTTCGAGTAGCCCCTCAAGCTCAGCTGCTACTTCTATGAGCTCGTCAGTCCCATCGACTACCGCTACCACAGCTCCTACAACCGGTGCTTCATCTGCTTCGTCTACTTCGACATCTGAGATTATACTCTCCTCGACCTCAGCTACAACCGCTACTCCATCAACTTCGACATCCGAGGTTATACTCTCCTCAGCCTCTCCTACAACCGCTGCTTCGCCTACTACTTCAACATCTCAGATTACACTCTCCTCAACCTCTGACTCATCATCCGCTTCAACTGCTGCAACGACCAATGCTGCCAGTGGTGCGTCAACCTCAGCTAGCGTCTCTGACACCTCGGCGCAAACTGCTGCTCAGACCACTCAATCCGCCAGTATCTCTACGCCCCCTGGTACCCTCCAGACACCAACTGGCCCCATCACACTTGATGCCCAGCCTACAGCGACTCTCACGCCGCTGCCACCTCCCAACGTTAACTTGGCAGGCACAGATGCTGTGACTCCTCAGGCGATTTCTAATCTCTGGTTCGGCAGCTCGTCTGCTGCGTCAAATGCTTCAAACGCCGTCAACTCTCCTACTGTCCGTGTCAACATTACATTCGAATATCCATCCATTGTCCTTGACAACTCTATCAACGTCATCAATATTCAATGTGGTTCCGGAAGCCTGTCTGCCGACTTCAACAGCACTCAGGTCTACAATGCCGCGAAGGCCGCTTGGACGGCCGCTGAAGGCAACGCGACCAGTCTGATTATTATCACGGCTGCTTCAGGCTGCAGCTCTGATGGTAACTACATATATTTTGTGGCTAGCAATTTCGCCTTTAATGACAAGACCCACTCTGTGAGCTGCAGCGGCTCTATCGAGACTGTTTCCGACATCGCACAAGAGGTCGGTATGGATTTTGGGTCGATCGAGTATTCTGCACCAGCCAGCGGCTCCAATTCTGATCCTGAAGCCACCTACGGCTGCACTGCGCCAGGCTCCTCTCAAGTCGATGGCCTGCCAGCTATTTACTGCGGCCCAGATTTCGATCAGCGTCTAGATGATAAGCTTGGTTACTACTCAGGCTCCGACGAAGATTTCAATGTACGTCCTACATTCCTTTTACATTATTTACATGCATTGTTCCCTTGATTCAAGCAAGATATGCTGACATACTGATAGGCTACGCTGGCGGCTCTCGCCCCTGGAGTCCCTGCAAACTCCCCCTCGCGTCGTGGTCTGATTGAGCGTAGATGCTTCCTGGGCCTCTGTCACGTTGTCCAAGCTGTCGAGCACGTCGTATCCACAGTTTACCATGCGGTTGCAACTGTTGTTACCAACGTTGCTCATAACATTGTAAACAATGTTGAGACCGCTGCAGAGAAGCTGGCTAGTGAGGCCGAGCAGACCATCGGCAATCTTGCTAGCGATGTGTTATCCTTTGTCGAGAACCTCGCATCCGCTGTCGTTGGCCTAGCCACCTTCCTTGTTACGGGTGACTACTCCAACTCATTTGACTTCCCCTTGCACCTGGGACCGCCGCCTCTCTCCTTGGATGAGTCTCCCTGGGGCGATGGGTTCAAGTTCTACGACTGGACTCCCGACAAGGGCGAATGGTATGACGCTCAGGCAGATGCCATCGACAAGATGAAAAGTGTGGTGCTTGGTGATGCTGATCCTGAGCCTGGTATTGAGCTTTGGTGTGTTAACTGCGGAGTTCAGGGTGACCTCAAGGTTACGGGTAGCATCTCTTACTCGCTTGCAAACGGCCTTACCAAGGGCCAGGTGTCTATGAACGGAAATATTTACGCTGGTCTCTTCCTCGGCATGAACGCCTTTGCTGAGTGGGACCCTACGGATGAATATGACTTCCTCACCATGGGGCTACCAGGCTTCGAGATTCCCCATATTATCATCGTTGGACCCTCACTATCCCTCGGTGTTTCTATTGATCTAGATATCTCTGCTGTCGGACAATACCTTGTTGGTGCTGGTCTTACCTGGCCTTCGCTTTCAGCTACGCTAGACTTTGTCCACCATGGCGGATCATCTCAGTCTGGATGGACACCAATTGTTAATGATACAGTCCAGGCTGATGGTAGTCTAACTGTAAACTCTACTCTCGGTCTCCCTATTACCCTTGGCTTTGGTATTGATGTCTTGGATGGCAAATACAAGAAGGAAATTAAGCTTGTTGATACTCCAGGTGTCCGAGGTAGCCGTAAGGAACCCCCTCCCTTTTCTCCGCCCCTTGTTTTTTTCTTTCTTGCAAACCGTCAGAATACTAATTAAAATGTTTTAGTCGAGTACGATTTCACCAATGAGCTCACTAATGGCTCATTCAATTCCGCTCCTGCGGACGGCTGCTATGGCATAGAATGGAGCATTGGCCTTGTCAATACTGTCGTGCTTGATCTTTCAGACATTGACCAAGGAACCTACACTCTAGATGAGTGGGATGGACCGCTGTTCGCCTCAGGCTGCATTGGAGAGTCTCTCACAATTGCTGCTCCCACCACTACCGTTACAGCTCAGCCAGGTGGCACCACCTCCGTTGCTCCTCCGCAGACTTACCCTGATTGCGCTACATTCACCTGCCCTAACAATGACTCTGGCTACTGCACTTCGAATGGAGAAACATTCCAGCTAAACTGTGAAGTTGACTATGAAACACCCCAGTTGGCCAACTTGTGCGTCACTAGCTTGGGTGACTGTGTCAATGCTTGTTCCTCTACATATGGCTCCAGCTGTATTGGCGTCAGCTTCTTTTCATGGGGTATCCAGGATTGCATTGATCAGGAAAATAATCCTTGGGAAGAAGACGAGTTTGACTTCGCCAACTGCTTCCCCTTTGCTGTTGCTTCTGGCGCTGTTTCTGGTGAACAGGCAAACAGCGGCTGGAGCTTGCTCAAGGCGTCGCCACCGACCAGGAAGCGAAGCCACTTCGACCTCCTTGGACGTGTGCCGACCTTGACCACAAGCACTTTTACCACAGGAACTAGCACTTCCACCGTTGGTACTAGCACTTCCACCGCTGGTACTACTAGCACTTCCACGACTCATACTTCCACCACTGGCACCAGTAACGCTGCTACTACTACTGCGACTAGCAGCACTGACACAGCATCTGCTGCTCTGCCATCACCCACGGATAGCTTCCGCAGCATCACCATCAACGATGCAACCGGCCAGCTACAGATTAACCCACATGTAAATGGCAGCTTGTTCATTTCCGCAGCCAACAGCAGCGTACCGTTGACTAATCTTACAAATGGCATCGGCTTCGTGGCCGACACAAGCGAGAGCGCTGTCATGGGCGACTCCATTGGCCGTCTTCTCTATTACTTCCCCAACACAATCTCCGCTGTTGGCGCATCCCGTCTTCGTCTCGGAGCCTGGGGCAGTATCCCCAATGGAGCCGAATTGGTAACGCTATTCCCGACCAAATCCAGCACTGGAGTTACTGTTCTTGTTGCTGTAGATTCGAGCCTGAATGTTTTCTATCCCTTTGTCTGCTCTATTGAGGGTCAGCTTAATAAGATATTCCTCGTTGCCGACGCAGACACAGGCTCATCCACTCTGATGAACTCCGATCTGACATATACCGTTATTGGCGGTGTTGCTCAACAGTGTCTGTCGCTCGCTATGGTGGCCCAGGGCCTGACTGGCTGGACACCGCCAAGCACAACTACCCCCCCGGGCAAGATATAACGGGGGAAAAAAAAAAGAGAAAATCCAAATCATTAACAATTTATAGAGCCCTTCTGCACTATACCCTATAGTTATAAGTACGGGTCTCATTTCTAAATTTCTTGTTATTATATATAATCATGTATTTTTATACTTCCTATAATGAGATAAACGAAGCTTATAGGACAAAACCTAATACTATTGTAAACCCTTTTTATGTTGTTTTAGCTACTATTTATAAAGAGCCTTTTATCTACTATTTTCAAAAATCCTACTGAGGTGTAGACGTCTGTTAGACACGCCCCTACGACATTGTAAGATACTGTATTTTCCGAGTCATACTAGATATTCTCTTCAGGAACAGCTTGCTTCTTGCAGTTCAGCAACAAACACACAACAGAAGTGGTGGTATTAAAGTGGCCTGGTGTAAGTCGGAGTTGTAAAAGACGGCAATACTTAGCTATTATTAGAAGCAGGTGCTTGAGTTGTTATGGAATGTTTGTAATCTAGCCTCCTTTGTTGTAGAGCGATGTTGTCTCCTACCTACTCCATCCTTAATAACGCAGCCTTAAATCCTGCTGTGGCGCTGAGTCGCAGCCTTTCTCTGCCGGTAGCTAAACTTAGCTAGGCCGCATTTTACCACAGCCAGACAGACATTCATGAACTTGGTCCTAAAATTGTGCGATCTCTGGCCCGGAAGCTCAGCTCTTTTTCTTCAATCGAGGATCGAAGGCGGCTGGAGAAAGGTGTAAAACAAAAGACAATCGGCCCTAATTATCAATGAAAATACCCTAGTTTGCTTTACATCAACTTCAACTTTTATTGTCCGTGATTTACAGCTGCCTCTTTAGGTTCAATATGTAAAGCCTGTGCCTTTATTTGAATTGGTTGAGTGGAGAACAGTAGCCGCCTGCATTTTTTTTCCGCATTTGGTATTACCCACCTACCTATTACACAACGCCTTAAGACTTGGTAAGCCTGAACCACCATTGTGTCGATACCGCGGAGCCTGTGTTCTCACCTTCTTTTTTCAGTTACTGTAAGGCTGCAACATCACATTATGACTCTGCATAGGGTAACTCGGACCCTTTCTATGTGAGTCTATTTGTCTTCTGCCCCACAAAGACTACTACAGTAATATTGTTTAGTTTGCAAGCAGCGGTTATCGGCATCTTGTTTATACTCATGATTTCTAACTTCATTCCTGGAGCATTTAGAATCCCCAGTCATTAGCAGCATGAGCGGGCGCTCTGTGAAATTGTAATACGGCTTTAACCCTTTAGAATACATAAGAATCTATGCCTCCCTCTTGATGTGCCGAGATTCCGTGTTGTCGGCACCTTGTCTACATTTCTGACTGCAAACTTCATGTCTAACCCGTTCGAATTTCTTTATTATTCGCAACACGAGAGGGCGCTCTGCAATTTGTCATAAGGCTTCGGCTCTTTGGAATACAAAAGATTCTTTATCTCCATCTTGACGTGCCGAAGTTCCGTGTTGTAATGAGCGAATTGATTGACTCCCAACATTGGAGGTGGATGAAGATGAAGGCATCAATTTCGAAGCCGCATATAAATACTTTACTGGTTCCCCGCCGTTGTAACCTTCAAGACACACTCATCAGCATTTTATAAAAAACAGCTTGCAGATTATTCTATCCAAGTTCTATAAAATGGTGGCCAAATTTGCACTGCTCCTAGCCGGCGCATCGCTTGTTGCTGCTGGTGGTGTCAATCGCAGTCTTCCCCTTCCTCCTGGCACCCGAACTCTCAAAGTCCTTGCTTCCCTAGCCACCGATACAGCAGTTACAGGCACTGCCGCAGTTTACGGAATCAACGACAACGAGAACACCAACGGCGGTCTTGGATGCCGCGCCTACTACGGCGACGGCAGCGCCAATGATGGCTGGCCAACCATCAGCGAATGGGTCTCGTTCAACTATATCTGGCAAGTCAACTACAATAGTATTCAGAACTCGTGTAGCCAGTATGGCGTTCCCAATCTTTCCGACGACGAGATGAACGATCTAGAGAACGGCATCAACGACATCGCCAACCAATTCAACATCGATCATCGCTACATTCTGGCCGAAATACTAACAGAGTCTTCCGGCTGTGTTCGAGTTCCCACTACGGGTGGTCCATCGACCGGCATTTGGAACCCTGGCCTCTTGCAAGACTACGATGGATACTACACCTGTAACTGCGAAACGTACAACGGCGTGAGCAACGAGTACGGCGAGACTTGTGGCGTGGTCGACCCATGTCCAGCAGGTAAGCATAACCTTCACCAAAAAACATTGTTTCCAACCTTTGCCTCAGACTAACAATATTGCTATAGACACAATCAGTAACATGATTCGAGAGGGCGCCGTAGGCACCGATAACGGAGTCGGTCTTAGCTTTCTCATCAACGCGGCTGAGGCCCAGGGCGCCACGGATGCACAGGTCTTTTACGTAGCGTCCGAGTGGTACAACCAAGGGGAGTACTCGCCTAACGTGGGTGGATCCTTAAACGCAAACTGCTATGCCAATAAAGTGGCTCAGTGGCTCACTGGTTGCACGAATCCGGTGTCATGCTAAGATATCACTCTTAAATACGCTTCTAAAGTAGCTAATAATAGCTTTTTCTCTTTGCTTCTTATCACCTATGCTCTGGAAACCATCGAAACAGTGAATATTTCATGACAAGGGCTAATAGGAGCCGCCTAGTCGATCCCAACTTTGGTAGCTCTGGCTCTTGATAGAGCCTAACCACTCACCAAGGTCAAAGAGTGGCTGGGTAACCCTATGCGTCTTTTGTAATTACAATCTCTTGTAACTTTCCGGTCAACAGAATCAAAATTAAAACTGGTAGTGACAATCCGTCGTTTGATGCGCATAACACTTTGAGCACTGGAAAAGTAATATATACAAGACTGATGCGTGATTTAACGCCTATGGAATTGGGTATGATAGTCACGAGTTTGTCGGATGCACCACCAGTCTAGTTGAGTATCGCGTCACCGGCCAAGGTCTCTCATTGGGATCGGAATATAGCATTTGTGAAGAAGATTCTAGTCATAGCTTGGGGTGTACCTCTTGAAATATCTCATGATTTCAACCTTCTCCAAGATCAAGATACATATTTCAATTCCAACAATCGAGATATGCTCGATAGCTGTAAGGAGAACACTCTCGAGTTGCTCTACGGCGTCAACATCATGCACCGAAAGAATTTGCCTCTCAAGCTGTTACCTAGAATGCCTTTTACTACAAGAAAAATATGGACCATCCCGTAAGAGATGGTAATAGCTTTATACGGCGCGACGAGCTCATTGACTAGGCGTCCTCGTTCAACCTAAAGTACTTAATCATGAAAATGAAGGGAGATGCTGTTTCCGCATAGTAGACATTGTTCCTCGAAACATGGAAGGCGAAAGGCAAGACGGCAGAAACGGATACAGATTTGTCTCATATTTGGCAAACCTTTGGCGTTGAAGAACTGGGGTGGGACACGGCCAAACAGGTTGGAAACAAGGGTCAAGCTTTCTGGGCACTTCTTACGGCGAAATAAGCGGATCATTTTGATACTTATGAGGGTTAATCTCTCTGATCCAAGGTGCATTCCATGTATGTGGTAGTGTTAGTGTAATGGGTAGCCAGAGAAGCTAGTCGATCTTTAAGCAAGTGCCGGCAATCAAGGTTACGCTCGTTGTATATACTCAGATATCATGGAAGTATTGAAGAGAGGGATTCAAACGGCGCCGTGCGGCGATTGGCGCGCGAGAGATATACACTACGGATTATTAGTCCATTTTCTAGAATATACTATAACCCTGACCTAATACTAACTGCTGGATATGAGTTTCCATAGCCTGGGCTGGGGAAAGCCTTAGTGCAGCTATTCCCGTGCGTGTTTACACGGTTGCGAGAGTCTTTCTTTTGCTGGCATTGAGGGGAATATAAACCCTTTGTCTCCTTTAGCAAAACCAGTGTCTCCCGCGTTCGATTAGATCTCGCGAGTTTTAGGTTCTGCTTCCAGAACTCTGGCATCTCAGAGTGCCGCCCTGTATAGGTCTAATGTGTCTATTAGTACATATGTATTGGAAAATGATGCAACAATCTGATGATATCTAGCAGAGTTGATGCGTCATTCTAAATTCTTTAACGATTTATAAGTTACATATCGTGGTGATAAACCCTTTGCCTCCCCGTATAGCATCCTGGAACCAAATCAAACTGGATTTCTTTGAATATACTCATCCGTCTTGCTATTGAGAGCCATTTTCGTTGGCTTGGCGGAGGCGAGAGCGTCTCCTCCACGACAAACCGGACTCCCTGACCCAGAACAGCAGCGCGGCCGCCACGAGACCACTCGCGGCAGCAACTACAAAAGTCCAGCCGGGCCCCAATCGCCCAAGTGCAGGCTCGAATATAGCCAGTCCTGCACCTGCAGTTGCACAGCGGATAAAGTTGTTGGCCGCCTGGGCACTTGCTGGTTTTCCCGGGTGCGTATCTACTAGCAGCGTGCCTATGGCTGTGAAAATGCCCTGCACTGGAAGACCGATGAGGAACTGTAGTACGAGCGGTACCGCCATGTGCTTCGTTTTGAAAGTCAGCTTCAATACCCACGTCATTTCAACCACGCCACACACCTAGTGACCTGAACTCACCAACTCGTACTGGATTGACCAGCCGTATCCAGCGATGCAGAGGCAGCAAGGCAACAGAGCGTAAACCAGGCTGCCGAGACGAGACTTTTCGATGGGAAAGGAGGCCAAATCATGGTTTGCTCTACGATCCAGTGAAAAATGAAGCCTGGCCGCCGTCCGTCGGTATTCTATATCTAGTACTTTGCCTAGGCCCTTGTCAGCTCATTTGAGCCGACTCTTGGGTCGCTGGAAATGAACATCTGAGTGAATGGAGACCAATTCTGAGCTATAATTCGTACCTGAGAGGACAGCTCCGAGACCGCATCCGACACCGAATGGAAGATAGATCAAGCCGGTGACTAAACTCGAAGTCTTGTATGTGCTGCTGAATAGACTTGAAAGCGAAGCTTGAAGGGACGAGTAGATGGCGTAGTATATGGCCATTGCGCAGATAATGAGGAACGTTGCAGGCTTTCTCAGTACACCAAGCGTCTTCAGCGGATTCGGACAGCTGATGCGCCCAGTTCCCTCATTGTTTGATGCGCCTTCGGAAACTTTCTCGCCTATCGAAGATTTAGGGAGTAAAAGTGTGAGGATCGGTCTACGAGCACCATAAGTCGCTGATGTACTCCCGTTTCCAACAACCAATCGGGAAGTCTCAGGAAGACATAGAGCGATGACAAGCAAGAAGCACGCTGACGCCGTTGTGAGGAACCAGAATATCGAACGCCATCCCCACCGTTGCATCAGCAATCCACTGAGAACAGGTCCAAAGCTTGGAGGAGTGTTGAGAACAAAGGACATAATGCCTGAGGTGCTCCCTCGTTCCGCCGGCGTGAACAGATCACCAAGGACTCCAAAAGTGATGGCAAACGTCCCCGATATCCCAGCGGCCTGTAAGATGCGAAAGCACAGCAGAGCAGCGAACGATGGCGACAAGGCCAGCCCGATGTCCGCACCGATATAAATCACCAAGCAGACGGCGACGGTCGGCCGCCTGCCGATCGTGTCGGCGGAATTGCCAACGATAGTCGGGGCAATCGCTGCCACGATGAGGTACACGGTGATGGTCAGGTTAATGTCGGCGACTGAGACGTGGAGATGGTCAGCCAGTTGTGGGATTGCGGGGAAGTAGACGAAGCTGCTGAGCGTGCCGAGACAGCCCACCGAGGCCATGAGAATCACGATCCAGCGTTTTTGCCAGCTGCTGAAAGCCGAGTAAGGCTCTTCCGGGGTTAGTCTGGGGCTCGGTGCGCCCAACTCGAGCTTTGGTTCGCTGGACATGTCTGGGAGGGGTCTATTATGACGAGCAAAAGTAGGGATGGACCCGAATCGGGCTTATTCAATACAATGAATAGAGGGTGACCGTGATGAGACTGGAGAAACAAGTGACGACGAATAGAGAATGACAATGGATGCGGCAGGATAAGCAAGAAGCATGTACTAATAATGGAGTCCATATAGAAACTACTCGCATTTGCATCGTGCTCGAAGCTTAGCTGCCCAATCGCAAGCATTGTGTAGACAAGCTGCATTAGTACGTTGTCGACGCAATGGGAACTTACAACTCATCACAAACACAAATGGCATAATTTCTCGATTCACAATTTGTTGGTCACGCTACCATTGAGAATACAGTGTAGAAATAGTGTTAATAAGATATTATGCGATCTAGCCGTGAGGCGCTCGTCCCCTCTACTATAGCTAGATGAAGATATGCGTGTATTGTTAAGCTATCTCTTTTCGTTATAACATCCTATTTCCTATTCCCGGCTTACTGTAGATTTCCCGAACCAATTAGACTTCCCGTCGCCGGCCCGTACATTCCTCCAATCAAAGCACTGCCTAGAGCAAGTCCAGGGATGCAGGTATAGACTTCTTGATACAACGTATCGCTTCCCCAAGATCAATCTAGTACATCTATACTTTTTATCACATAAAAGTCTTTTTCTATGATTTACGGCCTTGGGGTAATAGCTGTTACGCATACCTATATGCACAGCGCGTAATAGGGCTCACTTACTCCCCGTTATATAGCATTGCCCTTACTTAGAACCCTAGTTAATAATTCATGCGTGTTCTCCATATATATTATGCCACACTTACCGCCCCCCACGTTATATACAGCTTATCCAGTTTGTAGAGTAGAATAGAATATGCATTCATTTCATGCATGTTCTACTTGCGCAGTGTCGCTGATTGAACTGACGCGATGCCCCCGTTCTGCGGACATAGCAGAGTCCCATCTGGCGCCATAGCGCAGAGATATGCCTCGTTTGCCGTGGCCCAATCTCCAGGTAAGAAATAATGCCTCTCTATACCGCTGGTATTACCTGATGCAGCAGACTCCGACCCATGCCGCCTTGCCGCTACAACTCTCTCCGTAGCTGTGCCTGTTATCTGCAGGCTCCCGCGCCTATGAGACAGCGTTTCCGAGAGTCGACGGCCGGATTGTGAGTCGGTTGAACCGCCAGGTTGCGGTAATGAGGATGATGATAATGATCCAACTCGCCGGGACCCGCCAAGAGTCGGTCTCATAGACAAGCGGAACGTGCAGATCCAGGCATCGATGTCGAGGTAGGCAAGTTTGCCCCGCGGGAGGAAGGCGAGAGGCTCCCGTATGCGAGAGGCGACATGCTCTGGTAAGGTGGTGTACGAAAGCCCAGTCGTTGCGTCGTCGTCTGGGCTTGGAGTGATGTCCGCTGCCTCGAAGACGAGGAATTCGCGGGTCGCCTCCCCTGATCCGGCCAGATGTGTTTCGAAAAGAATCTGGGGAAAGCCTTGGCCCGAGATCAGCCGGCCAAGCTTATCTCGATCCGACTTGAGGGCATTGGCACGGGCCAAAAGTCCATGTGAAGTTGTCGTTGGCCCTGGCCCTGACGCTTGCTGCTTCTTTGCCCTTGGAAGCGCATAAGTTCGGACACCCAACTCATCGAGAGTTGCCCAAGAGACGATCCGCACCCGCGTTCTCGAGAATCCGAGAATGTAGTCAGGTATCGTGGGATGGCATGCCCACTTGATCTGGGACTCGACGCCAACGGGACACGGTTTGGCATTTATTTCCCATGTCTTGAGGTTGACGCAGTGCAGCGTTGTCGGCGTAGCGGCAAGCAGTCGGTCTCCGGATGGATGGACCACGAGCTGTGTGATGTGCCCATGCGAGGGCGGAATAACGAGATCATGCTCGTGTTGGATGTTCCATTTGTTGGAAGACCGCGTGACTCGCTTGAACAGTAACCGGCCCCCGAGATCGCTCAAGACGACGAGCCGCCCATCCTCGCTCCATACCATGTGCTCCATAGCTAAGTAGCTCGCTGAGCGTGCCAATTCTCCCACGTTGCCCTTCCCAACCTCTCCTAGCATTGCGACGCCGTCCTCAGTGGCGTAGCAGTAGAGGGATCCGACGGGTTGTCTGGCGAGCGAGACGACGCTGTCGAAATGAGCTGAAGTGTGTTCTGAATAGAGCGACAGCTTCGCCAGACTTTCGTTGTCGCCCGTGAATCCGAGGTCTGTATTGCTCTCTGGGTATTCGGACTTTTCCGCCAGCCTCACGAGCGTGCTTGGCTCCCAGACGATTCCATAGAGACTGCGCACGTCGTACAGTCTCCGCGAGTCTGAGCTGAAGGATAAACTCACAATGTTGTCCTGCGAGTGCAAGTGGCATAGCAGCGAGAGGTCTGCACTGGCATAGACCTTGATGTTACCCCTCGCGTCCCCAGTCACCACAAGAGAGCCGTTGGGGTTGATGTTGAGCTTGTCTGCGCCAGAGTGCGTCGTGAATTCGGCCTGATCATAATCTGGATCCCATTTGAACAGGACGCCAACATTGCTCAGGCAGAAGATCTCATAGCGCAGAGGGTGCCATCTCATGCTTGATGCCTCCAACATGTCGATTGCACCATCTGCGTCCAGCACAATCTCGCTGAAGAAAACCGTGGGGTCAATCTCCCAGACGGTGATGGGATGCCCGCGATATCCGTAAGCAACCATGCGCCCGTCGTGGCTGATGGCCGCGCAGGAGGGGGCGTTGGCTATGATACCCTCTAACACCTGGCCCTGTTCCTCGACGCGCGACTTGAGCTCCCACTCAACACTAGACTCGTCACTGATGGACAGACAACGAACACAGCGGTCCTCGCTGCTCATCAGGATTTCGTCTTGGACGAAGGTGATGGCCTGGGGCCGCGGCAGCGTGGCTGGGTTGTTGGCCACCTTGATACAAGCACCCGTCGTTATGTCCCATATCCTGGTCGTTTTATAGCCGTAGCTGACGAGCAGATTACCCAGCTTATTCACCTGTATCATGAGAACCCGTTCGGCGTGCTGCATACGTCGCTGCTCTCCAAAGGTTGCGTCGCTGTAAGTGGCGATCGTGCTGGTTCTTCGATCGATCGTGAGTATCACTAACCGGCTTCCAGCGTTCAGCACCGTCGATGCCACAGCCCCGGACTCGAAGGAAAAGCGCGCCAGGCAGTCGTCCCACCTTGTGGTTGCCACTCCGGAGACGTGCAGCGTCCGACTCTCTTTCTTGCCGAATTGCTGGTAGATCATGGACGGCGACGGGCAGAACGGCGGAATCCGCCTGTAGATTGAGTCTGGGTCCCGCGTCAGGTTCTTGCCAAACTTGCCCACGATCTTGATCAGGTCCGTTGCCCAACCCTCGATGACTTCCGTGGCCTGGCGTTGGGCCAAAGACTCGCCTTCATCTTGGATCTGTCGCAGGCGGAGCACCACGCCAGCCAGATACCGAGACGCAATGACGAGGAACCGCAGTTCGTTCTGGGTCGCTGCGCTGAACATCCAGACGAGAACGTGAGGGCTGCGAAGAAATCGAACAACAACATCGAGAATCTCGGGGTTGGGGTCGACGCATGTCCCCTTGGACAGGTGAATGTACCACGAGCTGATGGCGTAGTTGACAAGGGCGGGTGGCTCGCCGCGATTGATGAGATTCCGCAGCGATGGATCCGTCAGACAGGCTATGCACCTCTTGAAGAGCAAATCGTGTGTCCGTCGCGGGTCGATTGCGCATGGTCGCCGTCCAGAGCTCTCGTACAACGCCGAGCCGGTAAGATACTCGCGCGCCGTCTCGTGGAGCATGGCAATCTTGCCCTCGTTGTCGACCACAACAAAGCCACCACAGAGATCTTCCACAGTTCGGTGGATCTCGACGATCTCGCGCATATCGCTTGTTCCTCCCAGGGCATCTTTCAGTTCCTCGATGCTGAGAGACCGCCTTGCACATGTAGCCCAGCCGAGAATACTCTGCCCCAGGCGACGGTCACTGGCCTTTGGCTGGTTCTGCACCAACAAAGCCATTCGGTCGTATAGCTCGTGCATACCTGACGGCAGATCTTCAAGCGCCCGCTCCACGTCTAACTTTGTGTGGCACTGGTTGATCTTGTGCACCGCCAGATGCAACCACAGGAAGTTTCCTCCCGTGCGCTCCAGCAGCTGGGCTACGACCTGATCGCGGTACTCGCCCTCCTCGGTAAAGTCCATCTCTTGCTCAACGTACGCAAGAAGATCCTGTCGATAGCCCTCAATCCAGATAGTGTCCATGTCGATCCGTTTGCCCAAGCGCACAAAGGCAGATGAGAGGTCGTGAGTCTTGCGACTGACAATGAGAATGCGAAGAGGGATCTTTACAGTGGCTGCATCCATGTCGGCTAGCAGGCGGATCAGCGACGAAGGCGTGTCGGCCTCGTCCAGCCCATCCATCACCCAGTATATCGGATTTCCGACTTCCTCTCCCAGAGCAAACAGAGTGTCCTTGAAGAACCATTGCCAGATACTCCGAAAGTCGGCCGCTTTCAGATCGGTAGTCACCGAAGCCACATCCAGTAGCTTATATGCGTAGGCAGGGATCGAGTTGGCCATCTGGGCAGCGAGCGACCGGAGAAGGGTACCTATGGAGCGCTTCTTTTGGTCGTTGAAGCGGAAAAAGAAATAGTAACACGGCAGACCACCCCGGGCAAGCTTGTCGATTATAAAAGACGACATGATGGACTTGCCCCCGGCTGCGTTGCCCTGGAGCCACAGGACGTGGGGGCTCGTTCGATCGTCCTCGAGCCAGGTTGTGAAGGCTTGGTTGCTGAATATCCATTCGCAGGTCCCCACAGTCCAGCGGTCACGGAAGAAGTTGAAGTCTTGGTTTGGTGACTCTGCCGAGGAGAGATAGTCTCCGAGGTTCGCCTTTGCGGCCTCTGCTGTGTCAGGCGCATTTGTCGGTTCTACTGCGTCAAACACAAGAACTGTTATAATTGATCATCTCATTCAAGATTCAGCATATACTGCTTAGCGTACCTTCTTTCGTCGACGCCCGTCTTGATCCCCCTCGATAGCGGTCTCGGTCTAGGGCAATAAAATCGCTGCCGTTGCTGCTGCTGCTGCTATCGGATCTCGCGTGACGAGCCGTGTGTTCTCTGCCCTCTACATCAGATACATTAGCATTCTGGTGGTTCAAAGATGAAGACATGTCTCATGAAATGCACCTCTATGATTGGACTTGGCAACCAAACTCTTCAGCGCATTCCTGATGGTGATGTAGCGCGGATCGTCTGGGCCATCGTACTTGCAGACTCCGTTATGGTCCGCATCTAGTGGCTTGGATATCTCGCCAGGGTACCCGAGCACCGAGGACTCCTTCTCCAAAACCATGATGCTGGTGGCACTTTTGATTATTGGCGTCGGACGAGTCTCATAGAACGAAATAATCTGCAACTTCTCGGCGACGTGCCGGAACGACTCATTTAGCTTCTGCAACGTCTGTGAACCTGATGTGAGCTCGGAGATGAACTGCATCGGCTTAGCGACTAATGAGACCCTGAGAATGCGGTTTAGTGTCTCAGCTAGGTTTGTTCCACGATGCGGTGTCGACAGGAAGATGATAGATGAGATGGCCTTGATGATAGCCGCGTACTCGGGGTCGTCTTTGCCCTGCATGTATGCCTCCTTGACGATGAGTCCGCCCATCGAGTGAACCAGGAAAATGATCGGTTTCTGTCCCAGCCTAAGATCCTCCAGTTCCGGTGACGACTCGTCAGTCGCATATTTGAGATCATAGAGCAACTCCTTGGCAAAGTCCAGCAGAGATATGGTACTTGATCCGCTGCTTCCCGGCTTGAACTTGGCATTGTATCCAAACGTCATGATCCGGGCATCTCCAATCTCAGGCTCATGAGGCAGGAACTTGAGCGGCCAGAAGTTGTCGAGGTTGTGTTCTTTCGTCCATGTCATGCGACTGCTTCCGCCAAGACCATGAACAAATATGATGTCCACCTTGCGCTCTTTTGGCGGCCGATACAGCACTTTGAGGCCCAGAGGATCTTTCACTGAGCGATCGGCTACCGAGGACGTTGCCGACGACTGAGTTCTTTCGAGAGCCAACGGCCGGATGTTTTCATCGTCACTGCTGCTGGGGTCGGCCTCGACCACCTCATCCCGGTGTCGTCTCGGGAATGCAAACGGCTTGCGAAACTATATTGTGGTCCCAAATCTTGGTCAGTACAGGCGTGCCTAATGGAGTAGACTTGGGCATCACAAGACGGGACACGAACCATGGTGTCAGACTATCACCAAGTTTCGACTCGACTCTCTTGCGTCACGACCGCATCAAGTTGTCTCTTGCCCAGAGCCTACGGGAGGTCGCAACAAGATTTGAAAAAAAAAAAAAAATGGGACCACGAGGCAGCCTGATACTACTGTCCACATTGACCTTCTGTGGTGCCGCCCAGGTGGTACGTGGGATGCTGCAGTGTGTTAGCCTCATAGAGGTGTGGTTGCAGTTCTGCACAGCTACATATAGCCGCTTCTTTCCAGCCGATGCGCCATTATTATGCTACCTGACTGGCCAGGATATGAGGCTGAGGACGCGCACTACTGTACTACGCCAGAACAATCAGTGTGAGACGTACACTACTGTGGTTTGCCTGACTTCAACAACAAAAATAGGATGCTTATGCATTGTCAGTCACGCGCTCGAGCCACTCATATCGTATAGCACGTCACCATCTTCTTCATCCCCTCATTCCTACCCATGCATGTACTCAGAGCCTGGCGGGGTTGACATGATAACACCCCGGCAATCTGACAGTAATGTGCACTGCACCACGAGGATTTAGATGGTAGGCATGTCCCGCGGAATTAACAGCTCTGAGCCAAGTCCCCTCTTATCGGACTTGGAAGAACCCCAAGCCCTCTTGGATCTTTTTGTCAACTGATAGAATGGCGCCCTCCATCGTGGAACAGCCCAATGCCGCGCAGGACTCAGGACTTGCTGAGAGCGCCGTGTTGGATGAACATGAAGTCGAGGTAAACTCCACGACCATCCACCTTTGCCATCAATCCGTCCGGACGACTCAGTGCTCACATACTCTTTGGTTCACAAGTCTGGGATACAAAACCGAACCGAGGGGATTATACAAGCCCCGTTGATTCAGAATATCCTATCCCAGCTCGATGGAGTGTTCCCTTTTGACGAGGCAGTCATCGAGGGTACGAACACATTTCTATTTCCAACTGAGCGCTAATATAGTAGACAAGTCGTCGCTGACACCTTCTCGCATTCAGCCTTACCCAAGGATGTCACCTTCACCTCAGTTGAGAGTTTCGGCACCAGTGCGTGGACCGTGACAGGGAGAGTGACGGCTCAGAGAGCCGACGGGTCCATCCAGCGCTTCTTTCTCAAGGTATGAAAGCCGAGCCGAGTCAAGAAAATGAAATCTCCATCTCCTAGCATTCACTGCTAAACTAGTTTGCGTTGTGCAACTGACTCTGAGAATGTCTTTGTGTCTAGGTTGCTTACGGAGAGCATGGTCGTCTGATGCTTGGAGGCGAGCACGTATCGTCCAAGATGATTTACAGCGTCATGCCTGACTTTATCCCCACACCATATGGCTATGGACGTTATAAAATTCAAAGCCCAGACACCTACTTCTACCTCTCCCAGTTCATCGACATGGACGTAACAACTGCGCCCGACCCTGAAGACCTGATGGGCAAACTCGCGGAGCTGCACAAGAACAGCCAGTCACCTACCGGCAAATTCGGCTTCCCTGTCACAACCTATGACGGCAACATCCCGCACCGTGTCACTTGGGAGAGCAAATGGGTCGACTTCTTCCGCAACCTCTTCCTACATGCCTGCAGCCTCGATGCAGAAGTAAACGAGCCTTGGCCCGAACTCGAGCTCGCTGTCCGCCAGATGGGTGACGCCGTGATTCCGCGGCTGCTGGGTAATCTGCGCCAGAGTGGCAGTGATGAGCCAGTAAAGCCGTGCCTGATCCATGGCGACTTGTGGGAGGGAAATCGAGGCATCGACATGGAGACGGGCGACAGCGTTATGTATGACGCCAGCTCTTATTTTGCGCACAACGAGATGGAGTTTGGAAACTGGAGAAGTGAATTGTGCGGTGTTCCACTCCCTCCAGACGCTCTAATTGCCATCCTTGATGGGCAGCTTGCTTACAAAGACCTTGTCTAGGAACACCTTCTTTCGCTCAAAGACCTATATGGCTCACTATCTGAGGCGATTTCCAGCTGCGGAGCCTGTCGAGGAATTCGATGACAGAAACAGACTGTATAGCATCAAAGTCGCTATCAACTACTCAGCTATGCGGCCTGGAAGTATCAGAAGAAAGACGTAAGCTGACTCTCCTAACCCATCTTCATTTTCTCTTAACCCATCTTCATTCCAACACTATTGCGTGTCTACGTGGGGTCATGACAACTTGCTTACGAACTTTTTGCAGAGCCTATAATAACATGTGCTACCTCATTCACAAGTATGCACCTATTGAAGGTGTCGAGCAGTATGATCCGCGTTCAGATCCGTTCGTCACTGGCGCTCATTTCCAAGTTTATTCAAGCTCGGACTGATATTAAGAGGCCATCTTCTTTATCAGCAGATGGACAACTATAGAAAGATGTGAATGGTACCTTGCAGTACTAATAAGAAGCGCACCAATGCAATAGCTACATACGTATCTGAAAGGCATTATAGCAGTTAGGTTATTAGAAAATACACCTACGTAGAAATGTAGTAAACAAAAAAAAAGCTATAAATCACAAATTACAAACAACTTCTAGTAGTTTTTACTTGAATGATATAGCAGAAGAACCCAGAATAACTCATATAATAGTGTATATAGCATTAAATAAAACTATAGTTTTTATTTCCACTTGTGGCAAGAGAAATTACTAACCTGACCTTATATGAACCATAGAGTGGTATTTATACTAACCAAGAAAACCTTTTCTCCGGCCAGGGTATTGGGAGTGCTTGTTGAGCCTATCCGGGCACAATTCGGATAAGAAAAAGTACTGTAGGAGCTGTCTGGATAGGGCAAAGAGCCGCGCGTACGCGTAAACTCGAACTCCCCAGCATATGCTTTCAGAGTATACATCGCGCCTTTGCTACATGTATTCTCCGAGGATGTTCCAAGCCAGATCACCAGATAAGCTCGCTTGTAGATCTCTGGTATGCGACCAACTTCAAAGCCGCACTCTTGTAGGTCTCCTTGGTTAATCGAAAGGCCGTCAATCATCAACGACCTCTCTTCGTCGGCCAACAGAAGATGTCGGAGCGCTAAGCTCAAGCTCTCTTGGATCTTCATTTCTCGAGTTCTTTTCCATCTTCTGAGACGATCAGCAGACTCTGGCGGTTGTTGGGGCTGCTCCATGTGTATGAAAGAGCCTCATATTTTGGCTCGAACTCAGAGTCATCTGGCAAATCCCAAGTCTCTGAGAAACAGTGGTGTTTAGATGCGTCCATAAGGTACAAAAAGGATCATGGCACTGGAAAATGCATCAGCCTTGAAGAGCCTCATGAACCTCCCAGCCTTCTGGAAGAGCTTTCTGCACGGCGTTTAAAGATAGCTGAGCTTGTTGAGGTTGGCTGGATTGATTGGCAAATGGCGCATATACGCAGTGTTATCCAAGTTCTAAGGATAGACGATGATAGACGTGCTCAAGTTATAGGGCGTGAAGAAGTTGTGTCATGGACACCTTACCGATATAAACAAGTGAAGAGATTAGTACATAAAGTAACCAGGCCAACATTGGCAGAAGAGAATAAGTCTTTAAGTATTATTAGTAAGTAAAAAAAAAATAGCTATAAAGTTAAATTTAAATGTTTTATTATTTATTAACTATAACAGCAATCCAGAGAGAAAGAATAAATATATTATTTATATTCTTGAGATTACTTGGTTAAGCTAACTAAGAGGAAATACCCCCACGGGCATACCTCTAACCCTATCCTAAGGTAAAGAATTTTATATATACATACCATTGTTTCCTATAGCTGCAATCAGACGGTCAACTGCGTCAAGAAGCTTTATCCTGCCTTCATCAGTCGCTAGCCATTTACCTCCTTTAATATCAATCCCTTTCGCGGTCTTATAACTTCCATCCCGGTATGCCTTTCGCCGTCCAAATATATCGGAGATAAGCTGCCTACCCGCTCCTGGCTGGGCCCGCAAGCGACAAACAGCCACAATAGATGTCAAGAGCCGGCCGACGTTACTGCTCAAGGCAGTATTAGACTTAGGTGGATCTGCAAGCAAAGCACCATATACACTTTCTATTATGTAAACAGGTAAATCGGGATGAGAACGCGCCAGCTGGGGAGCGAGTTTTTTCTCAAACGTGGGCGGAGAATCTGACAGCAGAACTCCATCATTACGTGAAAAGGGACACACGATACCGTCCCAGACACTTCAACCAACAAACACTTCGTGTCCTAACATGTTTAACCTTCCAGCCGAAACTGAGTTTCACCTGGAGATATCGCTGTAGTCAGAGATCGGCCTAAGAGACTGAAAGTCCTCTCCAGCCTTGGAAATCACCGAGATGGGACCGACGACCAATCCGTAGATTCGCCCATGTGGCTCAGAAGAATGGGGATGTCTCAACTGGGATCAATATGCCATGGGCGTCCTAGCAGAATAGGGGATGGTTCTTCATGCACAAGAAATTTCTGTTCGTGCGCATGAGCATACTCATAGTCACAGACTCTCATCCGAGACACAGATGCACATGCATACACATGCATCTCTGCCCTCCCATTTGCACACCGTGTACTACCGCATGGACCGTGTAAAAACTCATGTTCTAGGCGATACACCAAATTGAAGTGTTGAGACAACTATTCAAATATGTCGCCCTGTACCCTTTTTCAGCACGTTAAGAGTTGACTACATCACCGGTGTCTTTCTTGGGGTGATCTACGGCCCGAACAAGGTATGGAGCGAGCTCATCTTCGGCCGGGTATGACTGCCATGTGTCTTGGAGACTTCTCACTAATACGTCTCAACTCGTTTCTCTCATCTTGGCCATGGCAAATCGAGTATGCGCCTTAAACCACCTAAAATGCGGGCATATCTACTCATCTATATAGTTTCGAGAGTCTCCCCTCCTCTCCCCCCAAATGTAAGCTCACACAACACACAGTATTTTCAATTTTTCAATACTCAAACAAAAGACTTACTAAACCTACAACTTTGAGAAATTAGGGTAAGACTCCTTTCGACGGACCCCCCATGTCTCTTTCGGCATGGCCATGTCACAGCAGGGTGCTAATATAATCATCTACGTAGGAACTCGTCAACATCGGAAAAAATGAGAATCTCTCAGGGACCTCTCACTCTCGCCATGTTGGCTGGTAACGTTCTTGCCGCTCCAGCCCAGAGCATTAACTCTGAGATATCTCACGATGATGTATCCGCCAAGAATGTTGGCGATAGTGTCTGGTTCGTTCCCTGGCGCCGCGGCGAGAACAGTGTTGATGAGACCGAGGATGTATCCGCCAA